CTCGATCTAATTTGACGCTAGAAGGGAATCCCGATCTACTCCGGGATGCTGCCGAAGGATGGGTCTTTGACACTGCCGCCCGCGTCGCCGAGACCAGCCACTGGTCGGTTGTAGGACCAGCCTGCAAACTGTTGCTGCATAGTCTGTGACAGGACGGGACCCTCAACATAAGAGTCCTGAGGTGCCTCGGAAGTGAATTCGCGGTCGAAGTTATCCGTGTCACGAGCGTCCACCTTGAAGAAGTCAGCAGGTGTTGAATGTTATACAGGAATAATACATACCACATTCGGCCGGAAGCTGGGCTCGTACTTCCTCTGGAGAAGCTTGCGCCAGTCAATGTTGGCAAAAAAGTGGTGCGACTTGATTTCAGCTGCGCCGTTGGCACCAAGTCGGCGCACAGGATCGCGGTCCAGCAGCCGTGTGAGAAGATCCCGAGCGGCAGGCGGGACGATATCGCTGGTAGGGAATGTTAAAGGCTCTTGCAAGATCTTGCGATACATCTCGTTGGTGTTCTCATCGTAGAATGGAGGAAGACCTGTCAGCATCTCGTAGAGCAGGACTCCCAGAGTCCACCAATCCACAGACTTGGTGTAGCCATTGCCAAGGAGAAGTTCGGGGGCAAGATATTCAGGAGTTCCACAGAAAGCTAGATTCAATTAGCATGAGTACAAGCGCACATAACGATAAAAACTTACTGTTTGTCCGATCCTCGTCCTTCATGTCCAGCTTGCAAAGACCGAAATCACAAAGAGCAATATGTCCAGTGTAATCAAGAAGAATGTTCTCAGGCTTGAGATCTCGGTAAATAACCTTGAATCCGTGCAGACACTCGAGAGCGCACAGCAACTCTGCGGTGTAGAAACGGGCCCTGTTGATATCAAATCGCTGTTCCCTTTGCAAGTGGTGGAACAACTCTCCACCGTTCACAAATGCCAAAACAAGGTAGAGCTTTTCAGGCGACTGGAATGAGAACTTCAGTGGAACAATGAAGGGATTGTTGATCTGTGCAAGAACAGATCGCTCAGCAAGTGTATGTGTGACTTCGGATCGCGAGATAATATGAGCCTTGCGGATGGTCTTGAGGGCATAGATTCGGCCGGTGTCCTTCTTCCTATTCAAATGATTAGCGCTGTCCAGAATCGGAATAAAGCGTGTCCCTTACATGACCTGCATGACCTTGCCGAAACTACCCTTTCCAACGACCTTGAGCAAATCAAAGTCTTCCATCTTAAGACTGCGCTGCCTGTTCTCCACGAACGAAACACCAATCTTGATCGAGCCAGCACCGAATTGAAGTTCCAGCCATTCGGCACCCGACTGACCAGGTCCACTAGTTAGACGAACCTGCTCTTCATGAGCCGCAGCGGCCTTTTGGTTGTCCTTCTTGCTCAGCTTGGGATCCTCCACATATGGTTGCTGGGCCTCTTCAAACTTAGGGTGAACCTTGCATGCGCCTAGGAAGATGTCCTCACTACGACCAGCACCAGGCCGGGCAGCAGGGTTGCGCAGATACAGCTGCACATTCAACTCGGTCTTTCGGGAGACATCGAATTTGAAGGCTGTGCTATCACCTGCCCACAATGGACTCTCGGGAGAACCTGAAACGGCATCCACAAAGACCTGGTTCTTTTCAAAATCAAGGAGGGCATAAGGAAGGTATTTGGTGGAATAGCGACCGTGGATAGTGGGGGCGGCATTGATTCCCCCACTTGTGGATTGTGGGCGGCCGGAGGGCACATAAGAGCCTTGCTGATTCTGAGATGAATGTGACGAAGAGGAGGTGCTTGGCCGTAAGGACGATGGTGCGTAAGAGTTGTTCTGGAAATGCGAATTGAAGATCTGCTGGAAATGAGGGGACAGAGAAAAATTGCGTCCTTCGTGGAGAGTAACAATGAGGATACCTGGGTTCACAGGAGCCACAGGCGGAGAGACAAGAGATTCGGAAGCCGCTATTGAATCAATTAGTGAAATGCACGCTCAACGAAAGAGCGACTACATACAAATTCCATTTGTTGACGGGGTGGCGGAGGAGATGCTAGGCGGGTGAGAGGCAACAGGGGTTTGAGCCTCGTCCCCATTTAAGTCGCCCTTGATCGTCGAGGTAGAGGACGATCGACCGAAGTTGGTCAGGGGCGCCAGATGCGTCTCCTTCAACTCTGAAGCACATGCAATTAGCCATTGTTCTGACGGTCTGCCGTGCAGGGAGAGGGGGTGGGGGGAGAGAGAGGGAGACCAACTGCCAGTGAACATACTTTTAGTGAGCTTCCAGGACATTGTGGCGGTGGGGTGTAAAAAGTCAGTGAAAATAGTGAAGATATGAAAGTCCAAGAAGCCGACCGCAATGCGTGGTAGTGCAGAGTGTCAGAAACCGAAGATCAACACATGCGAAAGGCCCGAAAAGAAGCCTTTTGACGGGGTAACGGCGCACGAAAAATCAGACCACTTTTATCCGGAAGCACAACTAATGAAGGAAGATGAAGATGAAGTTGGAAGTTGAAGATGGAGACGGTGATGGAAGTGAAGGGGAAGAGGGGAAGCCCCTGTAAACAAAATACATAAAATACGAAGGCTCAAGCCACAAAAGGGCTGATAGGGCTGTATGGTATGGAAACGAGCCTGAGGCAGAACTCCGCCACATTCAAGGGTGAACGTCAAGCTGCGAAGTGCCTCGGACAAGTCTGTATTCAGTGTGCAGGACTTGTTATTGGCTGACTCCAGGCTGCTTGGATTGTGTGAGGCTTGTCGATTCCTCACCATTTACCTTCTCCAGACCTCTCCATCTCCCCTGTCTCGGTTTCTGGGAAACTGTGACAGCTTGGCTTCTCGATACACCCCGTCAAAGCGGAGGATGAAACAGTCACTGAGATAATGGGTGTAATTCGCAAGAAGACCGCATCTCGCGGCACTGAGGCAGGCACCAAGTTCCATTGCGACGTGTGCTCCGTTGATGTCACATCAACAGTAAGGACCTAACCGTGCCATCCAGAAGCTCGGCCACCGAGCTCTATCATCCCGAAGCTGACATCGATTCTCCCATCAGGTTCGCATCTCGTGCTCACATCCCTCCTGTCCCGAATACGACCTCTGTGTCCCCTGTTTCTCCGCCGGAAAAAGCTCCAAGAACCACGATCCCGCAACTCATCCGTTCCAAGTAATCGAACAGAACTCCGTGCCTATCTTCCAAGGCGATTGGGGTGCTGATGAAGAATTGCTGCTATTGGAAGGTGCTGAGATCTATGGACTCGGCTCCTGGGCCGACATTGCAGACCACATCGGAGGCTACCGCAGCAAGGACGAAGTGCGCGACCACTACTATGACACATATATCGAGAGCGGCCATTTCCCGCTTGCGGACTGCGCCGATCCAGATGATAGAAGTCTACAAGATTCGATATCGAAAGAGGAGTTTCAGACGCGCAAGAAGCGACGTATTGAAGAGCGCAAGGATGCCGCCAAGGCCGCACCACCCACCACACCAAAGCAGAAACCAACCGCAAGTGTACCGGCATGTCACGAAGTACAGGGCTACATGCCTGGACGGTTGGAGTTTGAGACTGAGTTCTTGAACGATGCCGAGGAGGCCGTGCAGCACATGACCTTTGAGCCTGGAGCTGGTCTTAACGATAATGGCGAGCCAGATGCAGAGACCGAGCTGAAGATGACCGTGGTTGATATCTACAACTCCCGCCTTACCGCGCGAACAGAGCGCAAAAAGATCCTTTTCGAACACAGCCTCCTCGAATACCGGAAGAACACAGCCCTCGATAAGAAGCGATCAAAGGAAGAGCGTGACCTGTTGAACAAAGCCAAGCCTTTGGCGCGGATGATGAACCGGAAAGACTTTGACGATGTCAACAAGGGCTTAGAGTACGAGCACAATCTCCGTCTGGCCATCTCTCAACTTCAAGAATGGCGACAGATGGGGATTGGAGATCTGAAGGCCGGTGAAAAGTACGAACAAGACAAGCAGCAGCGTGTCCAAAGACTCCTTCCCCAAGGCTCGTTCGACCGCTTTGCCAGCGCACGTCCCAAGCAGACACAACTCAGCGAAACCCCGGCGGCGGCGACTGAATTGACAACCCCTGAGCTGCCACTCCGGCTACAAAAAGCTGCCAATCCCCACGCACCGACAGATGCCACCGATGAAGCACTAAATGACTTTGATCGCGCCTTCGCCGTAGACGGAGATGCACCCCCTCCCCAGCCAACAAAGACGAAATACGTTGTACAGCCATTGAGCGGGCTACCGGCATGGAACTTGGACAATGACACCGCTGCTGACCTGCACCTCCTCACCAAGGAGGAAACAGAGGTCTGCAATGTGCTGCGCATCATGCCAAAGCCATACCTCGTGGTCAAGGAGACATTATTGAAGGAAGCGATGAAGCAAGGCGGCAGCCTGAAGAAGAAAGACGCCAAAGCGATTTGCAAGGTATATACTCCTTTCACCCCAATCACGAACTGTCCAGTTTCTTACTGACATGACCCAAGATCGAGAGCACCAAGACTAGTCGCATCTACGACTTCCTGGTCCACAGCGGCTGGATCAATAAGGCCTAATTGCGACCCGCTGATAGCCACGATACTGTTCCCTTGTTTTGTTTCTATTGATATCCACGGTACCTCGTAAATTTTGCTCGCAGAGCGACTTTGGCTTTAGGCGTTAATAGGATTGATCTGTTCTCTCCCTCCGGAGAACTACAAATGAAAATCACAAATCTGTCCGGGCATACTGTACATGTACATTCATCATGGAAAATAGACCACGTCATGTTAAACTCCAACCACAAAGTTGACCAAAGTACGAGAGCAAAGCCGAGATCTCCACACCGATCGGCCCTCGGCATATCATCGGACATCATTCTCCGCATCTACAAATAACCCCCAGATTCTCCTTCCCTACACCTCTACAAAATAACCACCTCTGCCAGTCCCCAGTTTCATACAGAAATCAATCTCCCTCTACGCAATTGAATCTCCCCCCAAGATCCAACCCCAAAATGCCTACCTTCCGCATACCACCACCAACCCCGCACGCAGCAATCCTCTCCTACCCAGCACCACACATCCTCCTCGTAACACTCAACAGACCCAAAGATCTAAACTGCATCAACGCCCAAGGCCACGCCGACCTCCACGAAATCTGGGAATGGATGGACGAGGAGCCGAGTATGCGCGTGGGCATACTGACCGGAACAGGGAGGGCGTTTTGCGCCGGAGCCGATTTGAAGGGTGGGTGATAACGCTGCGAGACCACGACTACGACCACAAATACAATGCATGAAACTGCTATTCCAAGATGTATCCAGCTAACACGCTCCATGGATGTTTTCTAGAATGGAATACGCGCACCTCATCCACCTCCACTTCCAAGTCGACACCCATGCCCAACAGTGGGTTTGGCGGTCTCGCTAGACGAAAAGGCAAGAAGCCGGTCATCTGCGCGGTCAACGGGCTTTGTTTTGGCGGGGGCACGGAAATGATTGTTAATGCCGATCTGGTGGTTGCTAGTTCGCGGACGGTGTTTGGGTTGCCTGAGGTGAAGCGCGGGGTTGTTGCGCTTGCGGGGGCTTTGCCTAGGCTTGTTCGGACGGTTGGGAAGCAGAGGGCTATGGAGATGGTTCTGACTGGGCGGAATGTGGATGCGTTTGAGGCGGAGAGGTGGGGGCTTGTGAATTGTGTGGTTGATGTTGGGGGGTGTTGGAGAAGGCGTCGAAGGCGGATGTTGATGGCGAGGTTTCGAGGGTTGTTGTTGGGAAGGCTTTGGAGCTGGCGGGCACCATCGCTGGGAATAGTCCTGATTCTGTTCTGGTGAGTCGTGAAGGAGTCAAGTTGGGCTGGGAGGGGATTGGGGCGGATGAGGCAACTAGTATGTTGAGTGAGACGTGGGTGAAGCGGTTGAATGAAGGGGAGAACATCAAGGAAGGCCTGAGGGCGTTCGTGGAGAAGAGAGGGCCTGTTTGGGTGGACAGTAAGTTGTAATTAACAGCTTGGAAAGCAGAAGAAATTGTGTAAAGTTGTTCATTGCTATTCATACTACAGTTCGTTAATCATATCAAAACCTAATCCGTCGCGCCGTATTCCTGGTATTCGCCATATCCAATGCGAGCTGAAGAAAATCAATCAGATGCGCGGTTGCCCTGCCTCCCTGGAAGTGATGTTAAAATGGGTTGAGGCTGGCTGGGGTATATAAAGGTTCCTACTTTGCGTCGCATTGTACACCGTCGACGACCTTGACCACATGGGGGAATAGAGGGTGGTCACGGTCTAGGCCAGTGAGTGCAATGGCTGCATCTGCAGGCGAGTTCTCCTTGAGCACCTTGGCGAGTTCCACACTCTCTTCGTCTCCCTCGACGTTCTGGAACCGCAGGGCCATCTCAACAGATCCCATCAACGAGTCGAACTTTCCTCCACGCTCCGCCAGCTGTGCAGCCGGTCCAATGAATCGCTCCTTGCGGGAGACCTTGCGCATGGGAGCACGACCCACGCGCTCTACCGTGTCTTCGAGGTGGTGGTTGGAAATGCGGGCGATGATCGTCTCCACGTACTCCTGCTGCTCGGGGGCGCTAATTTCGTGCTTGTCGACGATGAGGGCAGCCGTCTCTTGGAGAACATCACGGACGATCCCGCGAATGTAGTCATCTCTCATTGCCTCGGCAATAGTCTTCTTGCCGAGGTGATATCCGTAGTAAGCAGCAGTGGCATGGCTCGTGTTGACAGTGAACAGCTTGCGCTCAATGTAGGGCTCAAGGTGGCTAACCCAGTGGATGGCTGGGATGTCGGGGTGGCCAAAAGTGCCAAAGGGTGTCTTCTCCACCGCCCACTCGTAGAACTTCTCGATGCGCACATTGAGACCGGCATCTGCCGCCTGAGCAGGGACGATGCGGTCGATGGCCGAGTTGGCAAAACGGGCTCGGTCTGGCATAGAATCCACACGGTCTGCGGCAGTGTTGTTCTTGATGAATCCATGTAGGGTATCCGTGGCACCAATCGCGTTCTCGCAGGCAATGACCGCCAATGGGTGGGAGTCAGTCCGGGCATCGATACCCTTGGCAATGACGGGGGCGATGAACTTGAGGATGTTGGGGCCCACGGCACAGGTCACGATTTCGGCCGTGGCGATTTCCTTGATGACATCGGCTTCATGTGTCTTGGAGTTGATGGCACGGTAGTTGGTGATGGTCTTGGTGTTCTCACCCTCTTCACTGACCTCGGTGACTTGGTAGGACTTGGTGTTCTGTAGGGAGGAGATGATGGCATCCATGACATCAACAAAGACGACCTCGAAGCCAGCTGAGTGCAGAAACTCGGCGACAAAGCCACGGCCGATGTTACCACCGCCAAAGTGAATTGCCTTTTTCTCCATGATGAATAGTGAGGAGTAGAAGTAGAAGTAGAAGTAGAAGTAGAAGATAAAGGCAAGAGGATCGAGGAAGTTCAGATAGAGAAGGGACTATGGACTAATTTGGAAACCGCAAATCAGAGGGGAAACACGCAGCTATTTAAACTCAGGCCAGAGCGATATCACGATCCAAGCCCCAGCGCCGTGAAGCCCATGACTTCATAGATATCCCGGGACTAGCCTCCGCCTTGTTTGGAACCGTCATAGTCATTTTCCGAGCCAACTTTCCCCCACTCCGGCAATCTCGACCATTCGATTCCCGTTTCTCTCTCTCTCTCCTGTCCTGCCCGACTGCCCCGTCTCCGTTTAGTTCAGAGGAAGGGCCTGAACCGTTCACCGAGGATGGGCTGTTGAGCCCGGGAAAACCCGCCTACACTCACATTCCCTCATGCCTAATCCCTCATCCCTATTCCCTCATTCCCGCATTCCCTCCGCATTCGCGCTTTGACGTGCAACCAGTGACAACCTTGGCAGTTCGGGGCTAAGCCGGAGTCACCAGCCGGCAGACCGGGACGAAAACCATCTCATGCCCGGAGTACAGTGGTCCTGCGGTCCTGAGCCTGTACAGCACAGGCATAATGGAAATGGTTATAGCCCAACATGAAACAGTCTTTTATAGTGACTAGTGACTATAGTTACTACAGTTACTTCAGACAATAACATTCATCTCTCATCGTTCTCTGCTCTATACTACCCATCGTCTCCACAGTGGTGACGTCGGCTAACGGCAGACCCAGTTTTGCCCGTCACTAAAGAGTCTCTAAATGAGTCTCGAACTCCTGAATTTCCCTCGATTCCAGCATCATCCATGGTGTTCTGTATACATGTAGACAGACCCAATCCAGACTAGACTCGAATCTTCTTTGGACGCTTTGTTTCTTACTGTTGCCTATCGTGAACCACACCCCCCAAAACTCACACTTCCCTCATCCCACCCATTGGCTACACTGCCCCCCTAGCATAAGCAAGCGGCCGGATTGGCAACTGCAATTTCACCCATTACCACCTAAGTCAGATTGGGCTCATCAAGGTAGTATTTCATTCACGCTTCGAATACAAATATCTAAATTGGAAATGGGAATGAGCGAGTTGGCCCGATCATACCCCGTCCCCCCCGTCCCCAGTCCTCTCCCCCCTCATCCCAGTGGTTGCTATCAGACCTCCGACTGGCTCACTTTCATTTCCCCGTGCTTTTTGTTTCATTTTCGTTCCTGTTCAGTGTCCCCCCCTTATTTTTTTCCTTGGAGGGGAGGGGGTTACTACCCCTCCAAGTCCGAGTCCAAGTCCTTCTCAACTGCAGGTGCAGGCGCCGCTGGCGCGCGAATGAACACGTTCACAAACGACGCTACACTGCCGGCGAGGAGGAGCCCCACTGCGGCCCAAGTCATTCCAAGGAACTTTTCGCCGTAGCGGGCGGACACGTTGGAGCCTTTGCCGTGGGCGTTGATGAGGGCTACGAATTCAAAGGCGAGCACGGTTGCGATTATCGATGCGATGGTTATGCTGAATGACGCGAACTGGAGATGGGATTGTTAGCCACGGTTCGTATTCTGTCCACCGAGTCATAGACACAGCCCTCATCACGGTCCAAGCCGTAGTCATAGCTATCAGAGTAAGATGAGAGTGAGAGTGAGAGTGGGCGATATCATATTCCGGGGAATACATGCACAGCACAGACACACCCCGAATCCCGAATCCGGGGAATATCATATCATCTGACCATCTCACTCTTATCGTCTCCGAGTCTCACAGCCAGACGTCTCTCGGATGCAGAAACACAGCAGAAGTAGAAAGAACGAGAGCGAGGATGAGAAAGAGGAAAAAGAAATACTCACAGTCAACCCTCCAAATTCCAAAAATCCCATCCCACCCCACGGTTTCACAACCCCAATAACCCTGCCAATAAGCATAGCGCCCAGAACACCAACCCCGACACAGTAAAGCACAGCCATAGCCCGACTAGTCATACGGAAAGCATGAAAATCATCCGCAATGACACGCGGCCAGTCCAGCTCGGCGCCGTGGGTGGCCTCTTTCGGCCAGGCTTGCGTCGGGTCGAAGGCGAACAAGATCGTGCGGTCTGAGCAGGCGGTCACGTTGCGCGTGACGCCTGCGCTTGGGTCTGTCGTGCCTAGCTGGCCGCTGCAGTAGGACATAATGTGCACTGAGTAGAAGTCGTGTGTGACAGTCTCTTGGGCTGATGCTGATGCTGATGGCGTCGTGGATGGGGTGTAGAGCTGACGGGGTTAGCTTGGACATCTCCATGCAGGGGATATAGTCCGGGGTGAGGATGGGTGTGGACAGGGCGTACCGTTAGCAGATCGGCGTCATCGAGAAAGTTCTTCTGTGTGCCGGCGAAGAGGCACAGGAGTGTGATTATGAATGCGACGAAGGCTGTTATTGTTGGGAATAGGGCTTTGAAGTCTATCAGGGCCATTTTGGCGCGTGTTCGTCTGTCTCCGCTTTTGTATAGTTCTGTTTGGGCGAGAGTAGCTGCGATTGAGTGGATAGCGTCACGTTGAGTGTGACAGGACAGAATTGAGATCACTTCGATGTGAGCATAGACCGGGATAGCTGAAGCTGTCGCAAGTGGTATAGTCACGGAGATAAGCTTGAGTTACTCGATGCCTGGATGAGAATCTGTGATTCAGCCGGACTCATTATCCTTATATACCAGCATCTCAAATGTGGGGTATGGATCGGTCGCAGATTTCTCACTATACAATCATTCCAGACGTGGGCGTGTCAAAGGGGATCAGAGGGGATGGGCATGTTCTGGCGAGTAGAGCAGATTTGAATTTCCTCATGGTATGTACATCTGACACATGATGCACCAGAGCACTTGCTATTGGAATTGCTGCTGTCAGAAATGCCAGGCTTGAGTATGATGGCTGAAAGGTTCTGAGTTCGGATTGAAGGGAGGACGATGAGGCTGGCCCTGCCCGCTTCAGGAATGCTGCCAGCCACGGGGCTTTGGTGCCGACTTATGGGAACTTTCGGGGATGCAGAAAATCCTGGGGTCTTGGAAACTCTAGGGTCTTGGAAATTCTAGGAGTAGGCTGGGGGTGGTAGTCAGTTATTTTGTAAATTATTGTAGAGTTGGCATTGTTGCCCTAGATTGCATGGATGAGGTCGCGACCCAACTCTATGACTCTATTCAAGCAATATTCACCACGCAAAGCGGATATTCTTTCAAAGTCGGGGGTTCGTAATTCAATCGTTTGATTTTCTGAATCCTGTGAGATGCTAACAGTGTTTTGTGTTTGTATGTGTCGATGCGACCATCAGCTTGCAACGCCAACGGTGACCACCCAGGCAACTCTATCACTCAAACATTAGCGAAATCCCAGGTCCACAGGAAGAGTAAGCCCAACCCAAATTTAAGAAAGTCATCAATCATAGCTTACCCAGTAGCCCACAAACAGAATCGTGTAACTCATCATAAATCGCCCACCACCCATCTGACCCGAGGGAAACAGTAACATCCGAGTCCAGCCCATAAAGCTGCACCAAATCCAGCAAACAGGTAAGCGATCAATGAACCAGACGGTCATTTGATGAAAGCTCCTGGGGCACAGTGACACCGCATCATATGCTAGTAGTATAGACAGCCCTATGAAGAGTCGCCGTACAACCACGGGCAACGCCCACTGGCAGGCAGATACATGTTCGTGAGACGAGCTGAAAGCCAAGGATAGCCAGTGGCATGCTGGAACACTAGTATCCGATTATCCGGGAGCTTTCACGTTCAAACGAGCGCCAAGTGCGGTTGTGGTGTGCCTACGGAGAACCATATGGCTGAGTTCAATAGATCCGAGGCAGGGTCTGGACTACTGCAAGGAGGTGGAGTTGCGCCCCGAACGGAAATGATTATGATTATGCTATCGATGTGATGATGGGCAGAAAATGGGTCTTGAGCTAGTTTTTACGGTCGACGGTTGGATCTGTGAGTTTCGGAGATGCCGGCAGACTTCTGGACGGGATTACGGTGAACCGGTACGGTGACGCTGCCAATCCACGAAATGAAAGAGCTGGTGGAGTCATGCAAGTAATAGAACGGGGGGCGTTCCAGAAGGCATCCACTTCCGAGAAGGAATCTGATGCATGCATCTCTCGTGTCGGGCGATGCAGGGAGACGGGACCTACTGTATTGAGAGAGGGGCCGGATATCCAACACGAGCAGGAATGTCATCAAGACACACCTATTGGCTGGTAGATCAAACACCAGGAGATAGTTTCGGAGCAGTACATTTACATGAGCTGAAGATCGGCCAGCTCCACGCAAGGTAGCCCCTGAAACAAAGTAAAATAAAATAAAACGGACGACCAAGCGCAAGTACAGTATGCAAGCGAGCGTGTGGTACGCAAGGCATAGCTGTCGGGACCAGCGGAAGGGAGCACAGTCACTCCATATTGTAGATTGCAATCTCTCAAACCACCTACTGGAAGCAGACCATCCCCCGAAACAGGGTTACGTTTGATGCGTGTTGGCTGATCCCATCTATCGACCAGCAATAGACGCGGATGAGGAGCACGTGCGAGTCTCGCTGGCAGCCGCACCAAGCCTTGTAGAAGCTCACTTGGCGACGCCTCGCTTGCAATCTCGAAGGCTTGACGTGCATGGCTTTACTGAAAACGAGCTCAAGGCGTGAAGCAAGCCTTAGCCAAGGCGACGAAGACTTTCTGGCGTTGATCTGGGTGACATGGATGGAATTGGTCGCGTGTGTGATTCAGACTATGTGTCTAAGCGTATAAATTGAGTTGGAAGGGCTTTTTTTTCAAGGGTTAGGAATCCGCCATGAGATTCTAGCCCTCGATCTGGCTGAGATTCATTGGGTGTTGGCCGCTGTTGGACACGCGAGTGCTCCCACGTGTGGGCAGCGAGGTGAGTTGACGTTGAGAGGGAGATGCGGAGGAGGAGCACATGGGTGAATTGCGGGCTGTGAGTGGTCCGAGATCCTGCATGGAGAGACCCCCGAGTTCTCTTGGCGGGAGACTCTACGTCAAGGGGGGCCCAGCCCGTTTGGGATGAGATTGTTGCCGCACCTATCAGAGTCGACTGGCATTTATCCACTGCCCGCCCCGGAAAGTGTGCACGTGTGCCTGAGCGAGAGTGACAGGGATTCGAGAAGCGATGCTGGCGCCACCCGGGTTATCTGGGTCCAGTGTAAAAAGTGTATCTGTGGAATTGTGAGTCCAGGAAGAGATTCTATTAGGATACATTTCCCCCGTAGATCGACAGAAAGTGGTTTTTTGGACCCCATTGAAGCCATTGACTGCCGTCCGTACAGTACTGGCAGAGTATCGAGTACACACCGTGTGATGCTAACGTTGTGTGAGTCCCCGCAAGATCTGCTGTGAACCGCAGGCGGTGGCGATCAGCGTTCAGATTCTGCCCCCACGTGCATTTTTGATTGGCTTGCGGCAGCTCCAGTGCAGCCCTGACGCCCCACTTTATCTGCTTTCGGCCAGACAAACTTCATCCGAGGATTCTTTTCGCTCTTTTTTTTTTTTTTTGCTGGACCCGAAGTGGAGTCCGCCACCGACTTATCAGAAATGGCCGCCATTACATGTGCTCTTTTCGACTCTTCCCACTCTTTCTTTCTTATAAGAAGCTGATCGCCACGAACTTGGCTTGCAGTCAGCCACGCTCTCTCTTGTGGTCATCTCGACTTCCTCCCCCCCCCCTCCTCCCCTCCCAATTCGGTGGAATTGATCTTGCCAATACTCTCGGCAAACTCTTATCGAAAAAGAGATTCTCTTCCCACCCAAAAGAGCTCACCATGGCCGACTTTGGACCTCGTGCCCCCCATGGGCCTGATATGTCGGGAGATCATAACCCGCTGGAGGATATGGATATCAATGAGAAGGGTGCTTTCGACTCCCTCATTCGTCCCGATGACAGTTACACCCCCGAGGGTACCTACTGGGCCGACCTACCCTTGTTCAAGAAGATCGGGTTTGTGACTTCCTATGATAACAAAGAGGCCAAGCGCGAACTGAGCGGCATCTGGTCCATGGTGAAGGAAGATCCGCTCTCACCGGTCTCCTACTACTTCCGCAATATGGTCCTGCCCGGTGCCGGTCTCGGTCTGGAAGGTTACGTGCTTTTCTCCATCGGTAACATCAAGCCGCTCTTCCAAAAGGCTTTCCCCACTTGCTGGGACACACACGAAATTTGCAGCAAGGGCTGGATTAATGCTGTCGACTACTTGGAAATCATTGGTATTATCGTCGGACAGATTTTGGTGGGAGTGCTCGGTGACTGGTAAGCTCTGCCAAAATTCGGATATTCTTCGGATCTCGGAGACTAACGGAAAATAGGATTGGTCGTCGCTGGGGTCTCATTCAGGATGCCGCGATCATGCTTCTCGGTCTGATTATGTTGACTGCCGCCTGGGGTACTACCGAAAATGGTTGGGTTATTTGCTATGCTTGGTGTCTGTTCATCTACGGTATCGGTGTGGGTGGCGAGTACCCCATGACCGCCACCAGTGGTATGGAGAACGCTGTCGGCTCTGGAAAGGTCTCTACAAAGGAGGATCGTCTGCATCGTGGACGCAAGGTCACCAGTGCTTTCTTGATGCAGGGTTGGGGTCAATTCTTCAACCAGGTCCTGCTCATCATCCTGTTGCTTTGCTTCCACCACGGTAGTGGCAACAACCCTTACTCCACCGTTGCCGTCCAGTGGACCTACCGTGTTTCCTTCGCCATTCCCGCTGTTGGCACTCTGTGGCTTGTGTACTACCGTGCCTACCATATGAAGGCAGCCAGCAAGCAGCTCTCCGCCGCGAAGAAGAAGGCCTCTGTTACCGGTTACGATGCCCAGTCTCTGAAGCTCACTTTCAAGTACTTCGGTGCCCGTATCTTTGCCACTGCTGGCGGCTGGTTCGCCAACGATGTCTTCTTTTACGGTAACAAGCTCTTCCAGAGCGAGTTCATCAAGGTCATCAGCCCTGCCTCCTCGTCGGTCATGCCTACCTGGCTGTGGAACTTGGTCAACGTCGGTGTTTCGCTGTGCGGATACTACATGGCCTCTTTCTTGATCGATAACAAGCTTTATGGTCGCAAGTGGATGCAGATTGTCGGTTTCCTCCTCTGCTTCATCCTCTTCGTTGTCCCCGCCTTCAACTTTGAGTACTACCAACGCCCCGAGAACATCAAGTCTTTCCAGGCAATGTACTTCCTCAGCTCTTTCTTCAACCAGTTCGGTCCCAACTCCGTCTCCTTCCTGGTCGCTGCCGAGGTCTTCCCCACACCTATCCGTGCTTCCGCTCACGGTATGTCCGCTGCCTGGGGTAAGGCCGGTGCTCTTCTCGCCTCCGTCCTGTACAACTACATCGACACCCAGACCAAGTTCTACGTTGTTCCCTGGTTCGGTCTGGCTGGTGCTCTGATCACTGCCTTCTTCCTCCCCGATACCACTGGTCTGGATCTGAAGGAGCAGGAGCGTCGCTGGGAGTACCTCCGCCAGGGTCGCGAGGAGGACTACCACGGACCCGCCGTGCACCCCAAGCACCTGTCATGGTACGAGCGCTACATCCTCCGCAAGGGCCGCTACTACAACGCCGAGCTCGACTACCAACAGAAGGTCGAGGAGTACCGTGCCGAGTGGGAGGCTGCCATGGCCCAGAAGGTCACCGAGAAGGAGAACGAGAACAACTTCGACACCGACGATTCTCTGCTCGAAGGCCACGTGCACACCTACTTCCACCGTACCAGCCCCATGTTCAAGGGTATGGAGAAGAAGGTGACCAAGCAGGACAACTTCACCCTGCCTCCTCCCGCCGAGAGCGAATCGGAGGAAAACTTGAATGAGAAGTCTTAATAAGCTGTTGCTTACAGTACATATATTTTCTTACCTGTTTTTTTTTTACGGTCAAAATACTGGATATACATCGCGTTGCTTTTTGTCGAGCTTCTACGCTTGCTATGAATATTGCTGCATAAAATCAGCTGGAGCACCTTGTCGCTTTTACCACATCGCTATTAGATATTGATACCTCATACCCCTCAATTGAACCTTGACAATGATCAACCTTTTTTCCTTGGTAAACAGGACTCTAAACCGAGCTTGAGCATTTGAGCGTGAACTGATCGGTCGCGGCTTGACTAGACAGACATCCTGCTTTTCTTTCTTTCTTCTTTTCTTCGCCTTTCATATCAGTAGAAGAACTGTAAAGAATTACATCATATTCCTGATTCTAACAATGAACATCGAGGTTCCTCCGCTCGGTCTCGTTCTCGCTTTGCTACCATAGACACCCCGTACATCAGCCCCCGACACCCGTGGATAGAACCAATGCCAATACGACAATACGAACACATATAAACCACCCTCCCATCCCATGAACTGTTCTACATTCTGAATGAAACATACCCTCAGTACCTTTTAACACCCTCACCTCTCTCTAACAATTAACAATCACCCAGGATTTCCCTGGCACCCTACAGTCATGATATCAACACCACCTCCAACCACAACACTAACACTAACCCTAACTCTCTCAACCCTCCTCCTCCCCCCAACCTTGGCGCTCGCCACTCCCGATCGCAACCAGAACATTAACCCCCATAATAACGAAGAGACAATCCCCAAACGAGCCCCGGCTTTGAATTACATAGGCTGCTACTCCACAAGCGAAACCTTCACCAATCGAACCTCCCACCTCTACCAGAGTTTCGGATGGTGTCTGACGGAATGTGGGAATCATAATGCCGCGACCTTTGCCCTACAGGGCTATGAATGTCTCTGTGGGAATGGCCTGCCCCCGTCAGAGAACCGGGTCGTGAAGCAGAAGTGTCAGACTATTTGTCCCGGGTTTGCGGAGGATGTCTGTATGCATGACCTTCCTTTCCTTTCCTTTCGCTTTCACCCATGCTGATTGGGGTGTTGTGCAGGTGGTGGTGAGGGTCTCTTTTCGGTTTATTCTACCGGCCTGCCGGGAAAGGATGGCGTCGCGGTTGACGCTAACTCAGCTTCAACTTCGACTTCGACTTCAACGGCAACTTCAAAGGCAACTTCAAAGGCAACGGCAGCGGCAACTTCAAGCGCTGAGACACACCCATCGAATAATGATAATACTCCCGCAAGTGACCATAGCACAGAAGATGCGGAAGACATCCAGAAAAGCAATAGTAGCAATAGCGGTAATACCGCTCTAATCGTCGGTGTCGTCGTCGGAGCATGCGGAGGCGCAGCTCTCGTGATCGGCGCCTTCTTTCTCTGGAGATGGCGAAGCAGAAAGCGAAACGCCCAGGAAAATGGAGTGGATTATGCTGATGGTTCTGGGGATTTCGGCCACGAAGCTTCGAGGGTCAATTCTCGGTTCGATGGTGACTATCTTGCTGAGTGTCGCAAGATCAATGGGAGCATTGATGATTTCCATGATTATTCAAGGAGGATCTTAAAGGTTAGTATGCACCGGTGGCTATGCTTCTATCTGTTTGGTCAATCGGTTAATAATTTGGTCAGGTCACTAATCCTGATCGATGACCCGCGGACAGCAACCCGTTTCCTTACGTTGGAACTATGGTAACAAACGATGGGAGGGAGGCATTGTTGGATACTTTTGACTATTTTGCCACTTTTGACTACGCGCTTGGTTATCTAAGATTTCTGCAGGCCTTGATTCTTCCAGCCGGTTTCTTTGTGGCGCGCATATCGATTTCTTCCGATGAAGTGTACTGACCTGAAATTATACAATTATTGAAAATGACCAGCTGACGTCCAAGCAACAGATAGACCTTGATCAATTTGGATGGAAGTCAAATACAGAATGCGGCAAGGTAAATAGAGAAATGTGATCAGCTAGCTCTTTGATCTCCTTTTGTTTCAACAGCCAACGACCCAACGTTTCCATACATCCCAAACACAGCTCATTCCCCGGTTGTCTTTAGCACAATGGCAAATTTACCATTTTCCACCGTCTCAACCGATAGCATCTCCTTCCTCTACCCCTAGGCTCTTAGGATCCTTGCTACAGAAGGTATACTGAGTAGGATCCGCATCTGTGGTGATACACATCCAAGTCCGGTCATTCGAGTCCACCACAACAGCAGCTCCAATATTGTGGGTGCAGTCAGGATGTTTGGCAATGAAATTCTGTAAATCCGTCGTTACTCTGTCAATATCCTGGCCTTTGTTCGAGTTAACCTTGCACTGCCATGGATCCGGGCCAGGCATATGCTTGATGGGAGCAATATTATCGAAATCGGCATAATTCTGCTTCGCTAGGAGCTTCTTCGGATCATCCAAGACCGGACAGTCATGAATATGAATCTGCTCCTGGGTGCGTGTGCTGACCGAGTTGATAGTCAACGCCTTTGAATCCCGAACAAGGCCGCTCTGGCCAAATTGCCAGGGTGCTTCGGAGTGCAGCTCGAGAATGCCTGGGGTGTGTGTCGTTGTCGTGATCAGCCGGTCGTGAGCTATCTTGATCCAGGTGGAGTCGCCCTTGGCTGAGAGGAAGCTGGCGCAGTTCCCGTTCTGCTGGCATTCGCAGACGGACTTGAACCAGATGAAGCATGAGTTGCAGGGATGGTTGGCGTCCGTGCATCCCTGGTAACAGGCACTCAGTCGGCTCACTGACTGCTGGGGTGTCTTGTTACATAGTCCTATATCGCATTTGTTGCACTTGTCGCCAGGCTGCTCTCCCTTGTCCTTTCCTGCGACGCAGGCGCAGTTTGTGACGCCGCCCTTTTCGATTTGTGCGGTTGTGCACGGTGGAATTAATCCGCCTGGGGTGTCAGTAGTTTGTGCAGAGCCCAATTCAAGGACCAAGGTGCTGAGGCCTATGTATAGGCTGATACTAATCGAGTTGAGGTGCATTTGGAAGGGCTCTCTTGATTGAAACCCCGAGATTTGAATTTGAATATTGCTTGCATTATTTGAATCAACTGTACTATTAAATAGAAGCCTTTGCTCTCTATCCCGAATGGACCATATCAGTCATACCCGTCATGTTGGGACTGAGAATCGGTTCGCTTGAACATTTGCGGAGTGGCGTTTTGTTCCCATTCGTTACCGATCGCGTTCGGCCGTCTCTGCCGTCTCGTATAGACATCGACCGGTTCGAGAACAGTTGTCTAGCCTCATGATTTTCTTAAGCGACTGTGCATCTGACCTGTCATCTAGGGGTTGGACGCTTTTGGAATCCCAGTCGATTCCTCTGAAGTCGGGAAAGTGGTCCTCCGCCAAGAAGCGTAGTGAGATCATCAATAGTAAATACGATCATGAGAGTTTTCACGGCGGGTATAGCCCGGAGCCGAGGATTTATTGCTTCAGAGAGAAATGTTCTCTGGAACCTCGCTTTCGAGTAGTGTCGTCATGTAACGAGTTCTATGTTGAATGGGTCAACGACGCGTCGCAAAGCATGCTTCTTAGTAAAAGCTAGGAAACCTAACTATTGTCAATGGCAGAGGATTTGATATTCGAATATGAATGTTCTGTACTCTTCATAAGATTCATAAGGTGCATAACATAGAAGAAAATAAGCCAACCTTGGACCAAACTCGTCTGCATTTGAGCGTCCCACGCGTCCCACACCACCAAGGTCCCACGTCTTCAATTGCAGCCAACCGCTTTCTAGTTTGTATTTCCGAATATGCGACACGACAATGGAATTATGCAGCTTTTCCGTATATCCGCGAGGCACGGCATATACGGACTTGGCAGTTGTAATGCCGTGGAGCTTCTATCAATAGTTAGGTTTATCATTTAATAGGAAGAAACTGTGAAATTGAATGCTGTCAGGTAGTTTGATCGAAAGTGTCGATGACCATCATACCACTGGATATTCTCCGATGTCTTCAACTCGAGACTCGCCATCGGCTCAGAAATGGAGAGTTTCAAAAGCCTGCGAGCCATGTCGTTCTCGCAAAATCCGCTGCGATGGAAATACACCCTGCTCGAAGTGCACTGAGAGATCCTTCGCATGCATATACCGAGAAAAGCCTCGTCGCCGCCCCAAAAGGTGTCATTTGAGGCCAGAGGCGAAGCACTTGCCCTCCGCATTCACCGAGCCCGCTTCGCGCAGGTTATCACAGCCAATGTGGGAGGGAATGAAAGATCCCAGTTTACCACTGAGCAGCGTGACAGCAACACACCTGGCATCGCCGGGACGTCTCATGCACTTGTATTATGGACCAACGTCTCATTTTGCCTTGATGCAAACTGTCTATCGGGACCTCATCCCAGGCTATGGCGAGGAGATATCCGGCGTGACCGCGACAACAGTGGAAGAAGGAAACGCGGGGCTGGACATGTTCAAATTTCGGGATATTTTTTTTGGAATATCTGACAGTGATTCTCATAGGGAAAGCAGCTGTGGAAGACGGTCTGGATTACCAATCTTCATCCCATACCCTGTGGCGAAGGCATTGCTGTTCAGATTCTTGGAGACACTCTATTATTTAATGCCATTCCAGCCCCAAGAAGTCTACGAGGAGAGACTGAATGAGCTCTATAAAGTATCTTATCGAATCTCCGGGGCTGCAGAGTATCAGGTGCTGCTTATGGCGATGGCCATTGCTGCGCTTAATACAGAGCATTTTCACCTCGCAGATTACTTATTCGAATCTGTGCATACCCATATGGCAACTATGGCAGAGATAGTTAACCTCGAGACGGTCCAGGTGTCCCTTCTTATGATAAGTTCCCTTGACTGAGTTCTCATGGTTAATCAAGACTTCTGACATTAGCAGTACGCTCACTTCCAAAATGAAAGGGGTAACCCAAATTCGGCCTATTTACACCTTGGGACCGCTGCACGAAAGGCGTTGTCTGCTGGCTTCCACAGAATCACGCCAATCTCTGACCCACGCTTTGTCGAGACCCGAAACACCATGTGGGCGTTGTACATCTTCGAAGTGTAGGTGAAGACTCGATATCCAGGGTTAGAGTTACTGACTGATCCATATTCACAGAATGGTTTCGTTTTTCTTGGGGCGACCGGCTTCTCTTTCGTGGGAAGATATGGAAATACAGGCCCCCGACGACCCCTTTCTTCTCTGTCTCGTCAGGCTGACGAGAATCATGTCGAGATCAGCAAAAGCGATATATGGCAGCCAACACAATTCATTCGGCCCAGTTCGACAGGCAGCTGCTTCGATCCGCCGGGACCTCACAGAGTTTGAGTCATTGATGAAACAAAATATGGGTGTTGGCGTGAATAGCGACTTTTTTCGACAAGAAAAGGGCATTTGCCAGACTATTCTTACATCTTGTAAGTCGTCACACACTTTTCTCAAGCCGAGAACTTTCCAATATTAATCTAGATATCTCAAGTGTATTGTCATACACTGCTGTTAACGTATAGACCATTTCTCATCCTTCGAGTGAAGTTGCAGAAAATGTTTGTCGAGTCAAACAAGAAGAAAAACGATGCATCCCACAGACAGAATTTGAAGATACCACAATGGCTAAATGAGGTCTGCAGTATTGCGATCACAGCAGCTCGAGATACTATACACCATATTTCGCGAGCCTCGGCCATCAATCCACCAGTTCAGGTATACATAATCCTCGTCTTTTTCATGCATTCAGTGGTATCAAAATGTAGCTAATGGAATCTTTTCCCTTAAAGGAACTTCGGTACCATGGGTTTTTCATTGGAGGTGCCGTATTCGCGTTGATCTGCGATATGCTACACGATCCGTTCACCATTGCAGTCCACCAGCCTTGGATCAACATGGGAGTTCAATATCTCCGTCAAATGCGAGAAGGGGAGCCCATTGCTAGTACCATTTCTGCTATTGAACTGGCACTCAAGAAATTGAATCAACGTCAGATGTGTCTAGATTTGCCAATTGGCGAGTCTTCGGAGATCGAAGGTGATGCGACATCCAGCGAGGACGAAGATTTGAACGCGGCCCGGCACGATCGGGCTTTGAATCATCCTCCAGCTCCGGCCCCTGTCTCTGAATCGCTGTCGACTACCATGGATACGGGGCGAACTGACGATCAATGGAGGATAGACCCATCTATGATTAGTCTAGAGGGGTTCTTTTCTTGGCCTTTGATAGAGCCCTTTGGTTAATCGGAAATTCCATTTCAAATATGAAGAATTCATTAGAATCCACAACGAACCAAGACAGACAGAACGGAATGTACGGAATCTGAGCCGATGACTTATAAATTGGCGGCTTTAGTGGCATGAAACCCTAAAGGATTGGTTTCCTTTTGGGAACTCGACTAGAGCGTTCCAGACGCTGTCTTGTAACTGACCTATTTAAGTTTTATTTGAACCCACAACAGTATGATGGGTGAGGCACACGAAGATCACTGCTTAAATAATTATAAGAAACCTCTTATTACCTAAATCTCGGATTCATCATTAGCTCCGTGGCAGCTTATATTTGATCTAATATAACAGCTAACCCCAACAAGCAATAAAAAAACCGTTCAACTGGCCCTTCTACAACCTGATATACTTAGCTAATATTTTCCAACTTCTAGAGGGGATATATCAGCGGGACCAGTGATTGATCGCCCTGTGGCGGGACGGAATGTCTCCATTCGATAACACAAGTGCTACTGCATACAATAGGAGGTTCTCCACTGTATACGCTTCTGTTCCTCTATCGGACTAGTTCATCAAGTAGTCCAGTACTTAAAAACTCAATCATACCGGCAATCAAGGTACTTGAAAGCGGCTATACGGAAAATCGCAGAGATAGATGGAAGTACGGAACTTACGGAAAGCAGAAAAGAACCAAGACAAAAGTTGATGAAATCTTTGCCATTCCTATAAAGTATAGCTCTTGTCACTGATTAATTTTTGCCCAAGATTCCTGGCAATATTCATTCATTCGTTACCCAAGCATTTTGTCACCAGAGATGTCGGATGCCAACCCCATCGAGCCCAGGTTTGAGGATGGTCACGACCTTCCCCAGGATTCAGCCAACCAGGACTCGTCTGATGAAATATACTGCGAGCAAAAGCCAATCAGATCCGTCGAAGCAAAGCTCAAACAAGTGACCGTGACATGGAATCAATTGTCTATTCATGTTCCGGCCTCTGAGGCGGTCCAGGGCGACACTCTATGGTCGGAGGTTAACCCTAAGAACTTGTTAGGCATGTTCAAAAGAAATCAGGAGGCGGTAAGATATTATCAAGCTTGGTTATTCACATGGAATTGAAGCTGAGTGAGTCACAGACGATTCTCTCGGACATGACTGGCCAAGTGCGGCCGGGAGAAATGGTGAGATTACAACCCAGCACGATAACTCAAGGACTACGGACTGACTGGCCCTAGATGCTGGTTCTTGGTAGGCCTGGAGCTGGCTGCTCAACAATGCTCAAGATACTGTCGAACGATCGTGATGGGTTTGACAGAGTCGATGGGTCTGTCCATTATGGAAGCCTAGACGACAAACAAGCTGCCAAATTCCGCCAACAATTGATGTTCAACAATGAAGGTTTGACTCTTGATCTTTGGACAACGATAAAAGGGCAAATGGGACTCACGATATATTAGATGACATCCACTTTCCAACGTTGACCGTCGATCAAGCTATCAAGTTTGCCCTTCGAACAAAGACCCCGGCGGACAGACCTGAAGGGATGACCCGGGAGGCTTTCGTGGAAAAGACACGAGACGAGATCCTCAGCTCACTGGGCATCTTACACACCAAGCGAACTCTTGTGGGAAACGAGTTTGTCCGCGGTGTATCTGGCGGAGAGCGAAAGCGCGTGTCACTTGCGGAAGTTATGGCAGGTCAAGTATGTACCATTCATTGTGAGTTGGTCATTATGAAGCTAACAATATTATGAAAAGAGTCCCTTGCAATGCTGGGATCAGTCCACTCGAGGTCTTGACGCCAGCTCTGCTCTAGATTTTGCTAAAAGTCTTCGCCACTTGGCCGATGAGCAACGGAAAACAATCGTTGCCACCCTTTATCAGGCAGGAAACGCCATTTACGACCAATTCGACAAACTGCTGGTGATCTCTAGTGGACGCACTATCTACTATGGCCCTCGTCATCTGGCGCGTTCCTACTTCGAGGAAATGGGATTCGTCTGTGGTCGTGGAGCCAACATTGCTGACTTCCTTACCTCTGTCACTGTGCCAACTGAACGTATCATCAAACCTGGTTTTGAACAGAGTGTTCCGGGAAATGCCATTGAGTTTGAGTCCCGGTACAAAGCCTCCAAGGTGTACAATACGATGATCGAGGAGATGATCCCACCACGAGAGCTGGAGGCAGAAAGTGCTACCTTTGCTTCTCTTGTCTCTCAAGAGATCGCGGGCAAAGATATCAATGTGAAGAACCCCTACAATGCCTCACTTCGGGATCAAGTTATCGCGTGCACGATTCGACAAAGCCAGATTATCTGGGGTGACCGGATCTCACTTATTATCAAGGTCGCTTCAGCGCTGATACAAGCCCTCGTCTCCGGCAGTCTGTTCTACAACCTAGCGGATACTAGTTCCTCAACATTCCTGCGACCTGGTGCCCTTTTCTTCCCTCTCATGTACTTTTGCATGCAGTCGCTCTCGGAAACGACTTCATCTTTCATGGGGCGCCCAATTCTTAGCCGACAGAAACGATTTGCATTCTATCGACCTACGGCCTACTGCATTGCTAGTGTTATTACTGATATTCCAGTCGTTTTCCTGCAGGTCACAGTGTTTACAATCGTTTATTACTGGATGTGTGCTTTCCAGGCAGATGCAGGGAAGTTTTTTACTTTCTGGATCTCCGTGAATGCAAGTACGCTCTGTTTTCTGTCATTTTACCGTTCGATTGGGGCCAATTGCACCAAGTTTGGTAATGCGTCAAAGGTTTCTGGGTTCCTCACAACAATTATGATGATTTACACGGGATACTTGATCCCATTCCAGAAAATGCATGTGTGGTTTCGGTGGATCTTCTGGATCAATCCCGCATCTTATGCATTTGAGACTTTGATGGGCAATGAGTTTGGTGGTCTCACCATGAACTGCGTCAGCCCTGAGTATGTGCCGTACGGATCCAGCTATGACAATGATGAGTTCCGCGGCTGTACCATTGCAGGAGCTTCTGGTGGAGGAATTTCAGGAGCAGACTACATATCTGCCCAGTACCATTACTCCATCCACCATGTGTGGAGAGGCTTTGGTGTTGTTGTTGGAATGTGGCTGTTCTTTGCCTTCCTCACAGCAGTTGGATTTGAGCGTCTTCGCAGCCAAGGAACATCTTCATATCTGGTTTTCAGACGCGGAAGTCAAAAAGCTCCCCGAGACGAAGAAAAGACCAACGCCATCCAACCACAGGGCAACGCAGATGCAGATGATGATATGCCAAAGCAAGCTATCTTCACTTGGGATCACCTTGACTACCATGTTGATTATCACGGCTCGAAGCTTCAGCTATTGAACCAAGTCTTTGGATATGTCAAGCCTGGTAACTTGGTTGCACTCATGGGATGCTCTGGCGCAGGCAAAACCACGTAAGTACTGACATCTCATTTTGATCTAGTGAACATTTTCTGTGGAACTGACTTGCGTTTAACTCTAGCCTCCTTGATGTTCTTGCACAACGCAAGGATTCCGGTGAAATCACAGGCTCAATTCTTGTGGATGGGAAACCCCAAAACATCAGTTTCCAGCGTACAACTGGCTATTGCGAGCAATTGGATGTCCATGAATCATCCGCTACCGTCAAAGAGGCTCTCATATTCTCAGCTTTACTCCGCCAGCCGTCTGAAGTCCCAAAGCAGGAGAAGATCGATTACGTGGACAAGATTATCGACTTGCTCGAACTAGGAGATATCAGCGAGGCGTTGATTGGAGGTAAGCCCATGAAAATTTCAAGAATATTTATGGAATCAATTTTGACATTTTGAGTAGTTCCGGGTGCTGGACTGAGCATTGAACAGCGCAAAAGAGTCACTCTGGGAGTTGAGCTCGTCGCTAAACCTTCTTTGCTTCTACTTGACGAGCCCACCTCTGGCCTTGATGGTCAATCTGCTTTCAACATTGTCCGTTTCATGAGAAAGCTTGCTGACTCAGGACAAGCTGTTTTGGTAAGTTGCGGCTCCTGATACATTTGCCAGTTCTAGCTTTAACGGACTATCGATAGTGTACCATTCATCAACCATCAGCTTCTCTTTTCAACGCATTCGATTACCTCTTGTTACTTGCAAAGGGAGGTAAAATGACCTACTTTGGCCAAAGTAAGATTCCTCCCCCCAGCACTTGTTGCCTTCTTGCTAATGATTTTCTAGCTGGAGAGGGATCCGATATCATTCTGGATTACTTCGCTCGAAATGGAGCACCTTGTCCAGAAGACGCAAACCCCGCCGAGCATATTGTGGATGTTGTTCAAGGGCGGTTTGATCCTAACGTGGATTGGAATCAGATTTGGGAAAAGTCCGATGAATGCCGGGTTGCACTTCGCGAACTGGAACAGCTCAAAGAAAAGGCGGCGAATGAAGCAACAGAAGAAGTTATGCTTTTGGACTACGCAACATCCAAATCTTACCAGCTGAAGCTGGTATTAGAGCGACAGATGGTCAAATTGTGGAGAAGTCCAGTTTGTGTTCCTATCCCAGGGCTATACCACTCAGACTGCTAACATGCGCAGGACTATATGTGGAACAAGATCATCTTGCATGTCTTTGCCGCACTCTTTAGTGGATTTACATTCTGGAAAATTGGCGATTCGATCCTTGATCTCCAGCTCCGACTGTTTGCCATCTTCAACTTCGTCTTTGTTGCTCCTGGTGTCATTAATCAACTTCAGCCATATTTCCTGCAGAATCGTGATATCTTCGAGACCAGGGAAAAGAAGGCAAGTTTGAATAATTGAGTATCTTGAAAACTTTTGCTAACCAAATGACAGTCCAAAACATACCACTGGATTGCCTTTATTGGTGCTCAAGCCATATCTGAAATGCCTTACCTGGTAATTTGTGGTACTTTGTATTTCCTCTGCTGGTACTTTACCGTGGGCTTTCCCAGCACACCTTCGATTTCCGGTCATATGTTCTTCCAGATGATACGTAAGATCCCTGGAATCCTGTCTTGGTGCTATACCTGACCTTTCTGCATCTAGTCTACGAGTTTTTGTACACTCCCATTGGCCAAGCCATTGCTGCCTATGCTCCAAATGAGTATTCGGCTTCACTTGTCAACCCCTTAGTCTTAGGAGCTGGACTGATCGGCTTCTGTGGAGTTGTCGTACCATATGAGAGCATCAATGTCTTCTGGCGTTACTGGATGTATTACATGGATCCATTCACGTACCTCATCGGCGGTCTACTTGGAGAAGTCCTCTGGGACGCCCCTGTCAAGTGCGCCGAGAATGAATGGACCAACATTCCTCTTCCCAACAACGAGACGTGCGGATCTTACATGGGCTCTTTTATTGAGTCTGCAGGTGGATATGTGCGTGACGCTGCTTCTACATCCTCGTGCGAATATTGCCAGTATGCGGTCGGGTCAGAGTATGCACCACAGTTCAACTTAAAGGCCAAGTACTATTCTTGGAGAGATGTAGGTCTAACCCACTGCTCTGTTTTACTCGTCATTGCTTGTTTCTTTAAGATTGATCCGCTGACTTGCCTTGTACAGACTGGCATCACTGCACTTTTCTGCATCACCACTTACATCTGCGTTTTTATTATGATGAAGCTTCGCAGCAAGAAAACCAAGACTGCTTCAGACTAAGCTATTGTCTGACCAATGCCTGAAATCAGACTCTCTGCCTTCATGAAAAGCCCGAAAGCTCTCAGTCTCGATTGTACTTGGTCTAACCCTCTCTCGTTTCCATTTTCTTTTGTTACATCCGCTCTTTAAGAATTGCTGATTTGTTTCCATCTATGTACATCAATGAGAATTTAATAACTGTATTCGTTCTTGTTTAAGTCGAAACTACCTTCTTTTCTATTAAGTTAACGTTGCGCGGTGCTAAATGATGGATTAGTCATCATCATTAGTTAACGTAGTTCACAACCGAGCGGCCACCACAACCGAGTGGCCACCTCCGAAACACATAGTAAATCCGATATATTACAACTTGGTATCTCAACAACAACAAATCTATATAGAGTTTTTTTTCTGATAGCCTACTACTTTTTAGGTGTAACTAGCTTTATTAGGGAGATTGAGTATTGTTACAGGTTTGTAAATGCGATAATATATAAATTTCTGGCTCTATGCAGTCTAATTTTCAAAACCACGATAACGTAACCTTTCGAGAATCTTAAAATTGATATATAGGACCAAGGATCCTTATCGATATCTATCCAGAGTTAGTAAAGTCATACAATAATGTGGTTGTTGAAATATGAGGTTCTAAAATATTGCATTCACTATGTGTTTTGGAGGTGGCCACTCGGTTGTGGTGGCCGCTCGGTTGTGAATTACGTTAGTTAATTTAGTGCCCACTTCCATGTATAGCCACACAATTTCTCTCTTCTCTCTTCCCCAAACTCCCAAACACACCATGAGACTCTTCGCTTTTGGATCCAATGGATCAGGTCAGATAGGAATTGGTCACATAGAAGATGTTTCAGTACCGACTCCGTGTCTTTTTGAGACCGGCATTGCAACCACAGATACAACACAAGAAAAGGCAAACCTCACTGATATTCTCGACGATGATGTCGTTGACATCGCAGCAGGGGGGAACCATACCCTTCTTCTGACGAAACGAGGAGCCCTCTATCTAGCTGGCTGTAACATCGATGGACGGTGCGGTCCACACTATCAATTTCAAGACACAGAGGGGAATATCTCGCATTTCCGCCGTTTCGTTCTCAACGATTCAATCACCGGAGCTGAAATTTCAACTTTCAAGCATGTCTCTGCGACCTGGGAGGGGACTATTGCCGTTGCTTCTGTCCCACAACCACTGTCCCAGTTATCAGACACAATCTCAGAACCACAGGACAGAGTCTACATAGCAGGCCCCTCCCCCAAAGGGACTCTAACGCATGATACGACAAACTCAATCCTGCCAGGGACATCTATACCCAATTTTCCACCAAGGGGTACAACGATTACCTCCATTTCGAGTAGTATGGCGCATACAATTGCCATTCTCTCGAATGGGGATGTCTACGGGTGGGGTGGATCGAGGAAAGGTCAACTGGGAGCTGGAAACCGAGCTACGAAGATCGTGTGTCAGCCACGCAAGATTGACGTGCCATTTACTGTGAAAGGGGGTGTCTGTGGACGAGAGTTCTCGGTTGTTTGGGGGAGTGCTCGGGAGATTTATGTATTTGCCGACTCGAGCATGAAATGGGGAGTCACGGGGCTGCCAAAGATCCTGTCGGGACTTTCGAATTCAGATGGAGCCGATGATGCGTATGGAGGTGTGAGGGGATGTATTCCTTTTACTTTTGCTGGTATTGGGGCCAGTTGGCATGGTGTTTATATACATGTGGCTCCTGCATCTGGTTTGATTTCCGCAAATGACACCGTCATTCAACCAGACGCTGATTCTGCTTCCCGGCTCCATCCCAACTCTATCATAGCCTGGGGCCGCAATGACCGTGGTCAACTCCCACCCCCAACGCTTCCGTCAACTACCCAGCTCGCTGTTGGAAGTGAACACGTCCTCGCGCTCCTGGAAAATGGCCAGGTAGCAGCATTCGGCTGGGGTGAACATGGGAATTGTGGACCGGATATAGATCCACAGGGTAACGTGTCAGGGACATACAATATTGTCCCATTACCTGATACAGTGAGCGCTGCTGGTGAACGGGTGATTGGTGTTGGGGCTGGGTGTGCGACTAGCTTCATGCTTGTGTCATGATCATGACCACCACCGTTGGAAGACTGCCAGCGATTATCACCGTGGCTATGCTCCTCAATCGAAAAGACCCAAGTGCCGAACTTGAGATAGACGCTGCGTGGGCGGCAAGCCCATCTCATCCTCAGGCTCTTCATCTTGTTTCGAAAACGCAGGCTCGGTATCGTGCAGCGAAGCACCGAATGCATCTTGCGTCCCAGACGCATCCCACCCAAGGATATCCTGCGGCTCTGCTTCTTGTTCTTCGTTCATCTCATCCCACTGTCGATCGTCATCTGCAGGGACAAAAAGACTGTCGAATTCCATCGAAAGGCCAGAAGCAAGCGGTCTTTCCGACCCGGCCCGCCGCTGAGAAAGATTTTCCTGAGTCGATGAACCGTTAAGCGGACGAATGGATCTACTCCGTGGCGGAGGCGGGGGCATTTGCGTATTCGGCGCCGAGGGTCTTGTTCGAGTGTGGCTCAAGACTGGGATCGGAGCGGGTGTTTGTCGGGGAATTGTAGCACGTGAAGAGGTCGGAGCGTCTTCGTTATCTGCTTGGCCGCGAGTCATGATTGTGAACTCGGCGTTTACACCTTCGAATCTGTATTCCAGTTGCAGGGGCTTGCAGGGTCGCGTGTAGCGTGCTGTTACGGTTGCGTTTGCTGTTTCTGCGTGGGCGATTATGGCTTTGAAGTCTTTCAGGTTGATTGCCACATGCATGTTTTCTTCAACCATATAGTCTTGAAAGTCGCGCTTGTCAGCTGCGACAGAAGTATGGACAGGATGTTTTAGGACCTCTATTTAGAGTTAGCTGGGGGGTTTAGGATTTATGGTGGATATATGCATACCTTTGCCTTCCATAATCTTTGTCGTGAAACTTGTGAATACCGCTCTCCCGGAGTCACCGTACATGTCTAATTGTTCTGCTGATAGACTGAAGTGATCGATGAGCTGCTTGATGAATTTTGAATCGGCTGCCCACAAGCTTGTGGCCTTTGATTTGTCGAAGACGGCATGCTGGATTGCAGCTGGCTCATATGTGAGCTTGTATGATTTTATCACACCTAATTATGTATCAGAAAGAGAGAAACCTTGGGGGTGCAATGTGTATCTCACCAAGTCCACATATCATCTTCACCGTCAATCTACACTCTGTCTGCTGCGAATCTTCATGAAGTTCCATGTCACAACGTTCCACGGCCGTATCTTTATTTCTATCAATTCTTCCACGGAATATAGATAGAAGTGCCTAGATTGCATCAGAATAGAACCAGGAAAGATATGTATCATCTTGATAACCACAGCCAGGGCATGCGACAGGTTCTCACCTTGATATAAATCTGGCAGAAGAACCGGTCAAACGAACCGCTTCCACTGCGACCATCACCACGCGCACTGAATGAGTAACTTTCAAAGAAAGCATCCTTCTCAAAGGCGAAGGATGCAAACCCCGTCTTGGTGGAATTAAGAGCACTTAGGCGAAGCTGGGCAGCTGCGTTAGCCAATAAACGTGGATAAACAATTTCTGAATATCAGATCAAATAGCCAAGCAATTTTATAACGTACAAGGTCTGGTTCTGCTTCTATAGCGACTGTATCGCTGAATTTGGCTAGACATATCAAGACGTCGTGAAGCCTGACCAAGGCTGCCGGGCCCAGTGATAGTGAGAGCGAGGTCATGGCTGGTTTGGTGCTTTTTGGTCCGTTTACACACAGTAGTGATTGCACAGTCTTGATCCTGTCTGTGACTATTAACAGTTTGATCAAATCAGAGTCATGACGCGTTGTTCGCTGCTCGTGGTTTGATTGAAGGAGAAGACGCGGGCAAAGACACGAGATTATGTAAGCATTCTACAGAGCCGCAAGTGTAGATGCATATGAAGCTCTATTGTAATGTCATGGGGAAATATTAGAATCTTGAATCGCTTTCTTACATCTTTTAGTACGGAGAAGCACTAAAGAAAACTTGGCTGTTTATGGATATCCGAAATTTGATATTGCGGTGATAGATTAGTGATATGTACATGGCAATCATTCACAGGGTGCCACATTTATGGAATTGAAAATGCCAGATGAAAAAGATCGTGTCGGTTCGTTGAACAGGGGTATCAATGATTGTCGTATGGTAGAATTGACGAACGTGCCTTTTCATGAGTTTTGGGGAGTGGAGAATTTCACATTCAGAGGCTACTCAACAGTGGCAGTCTCCGGGGCAAGTGACCGCGAACTTTGCTCTTCGGCATTGGTTTCAGCTCTAGTGTCTCTAGCTGAACGACGATCTTGATCTCGCTGAGGTAAGGGCTGTGGAAACTGCATTTCCAGAATACGTCGTCTGCGTCGCCCTGTTCTCACAACTTGCAAAAAGTTCACACCGACCTGGGCCAAGAATATGGCCACAAATGCACCGATCACAAATGTTTGTGGAACATAAGTTTCATCATTTAGCCCCTGCTGTCCAATGTCGCGTGGGTAGCCATGAGGATCAGGCATTTGCGAGCCGGGTTCAAAGGTCGACAGTGCCGAATCACCGAAAGACACCGAAATCGAGAAAGAGAATGGCGTGAACGACGTGAAGAGATTTGGCGAAACCGATGTAAAGAGTGCAGTCAATGGTCTCAATAGCAGAGGAATGATGCAGAAAAAGAGGAGTGGAACGGATAGTCACAAGACAGAGTATAACGATGAGCGGGTCGACCTGTGTAGAAATATCAATATCAAGAAGCAAAAGTTGAGGGTAACGCCTGAACCAACCAGTCCCGAGATTCAAGTTGCCTTGCCCATCTTGCCGAGATCTTCAGTCTCTCTCGAACGCTCATTGCTGTGAGAATGCGGTATTTCTCTTCTTCGGAGATAGGCATGATGCTAGCAAACCACCAAGGAAAGCGGGATGCATCTGTGGGAATGGGTCCATATGCCAGCATGACGCGCGGATGTAACCAAGGTGCACCTGATCTGCGTTGGTTGGTGAGAAATTCTCTTGCTGTGAGCAGGAGCTGCTGAGTTGACAAAGAGTCTAATGAAGGCTCGAGGGTATTGCCTTCTGGCGAGAACCCCGTGCTTTCTGCCGAGGTCTCCATCGACTCGAGTCGCTCTTCCTCTGCGAGCGAGATATCATCCACGCGTTCTGTTTTAGCAATATAATACCCATCGAGCATTGACGAGTCAAGGATCTTGAACCGCGAAATACCTGTAGCCACCACAAGGCTACGACCATCTGGAAGTAACTCATATCGTTCAATCATCAAGAGTGTCCCATACTGCATAAATGGATCATTCTCGGGCTGTCCTGGCTGGGTCCGACCACGACGGTTCACCATGACCATACCGAACTTCCCATTTCCATTTTCCACAACTCGTCGAATCATAAGCCGATACCGAGCCTCAAAGACATGAAGGAAAGTAGGCATTGTAGGGAATGACAGTGTGCACACGAAAAGTGGCAAATTCTTGTCCAGGTCGGTGCCCATCTCATCCTGCGCGACAGTTGCCCGCCGAATAGCGACCTGGTCAGGGAAGAGCTGATCGATCAGGCGCGCTACAGCCCTGTTCATAGGCTCTTCCTTCAACGAAGTTGGCATCCCAAGCTTTCGGCGACAGATTGGACACAGATCAGTATGGTCCAGCACTCGTGCGACACATTTCTGGCAGAAGGTGTGGCCGCAAGGAGTAGTCATCGGGTCAAGGATGAGAGAATAGCAGACCTGGCAGTCAAGCTCAGCACGTAGGCTCTCCCGCAACGTCTGGTCTTGAACGATATCTCGTAATTGAGCGTGTCCGTTTAAGAGCTGGGAGTCTTCATAGACCACCTCAGACGCATCAGAGGGGAACCGACCTTCTAGTGCCAATGCGTAAATGCCCTCTAACCAACCATGACACTTCAACTGCACACATCCATCCCTACCATTCTTACTGGATCCCCATAGCAGGCTTCGATCATCTGCATCTGAAATATCTCGAGAGATGTTGTCTGACCCGGCCAGCACATCCCTAAAAACAACTGCCAGCTTCCCAAGCAGAACGTCAACGCCACAATCGCCAACACAATGTTCCCCAGCGCATCGATCCGTCCCTTGCCAATAACATGTAAATCCTTGCTCCCTTCCCTCAGCTACGGGGTATGTAATACCAGTTCGCTGTCGGATGGGGGGTAAGCATTCTCGACACACAGTATTACCGCACGGAAGTCGGAGCGGAGTGCGCAAGGGCCGGGCACAGTGATGACATTGAATCAAGCGAATAACGAGATGAGGTTCATCTGTTGTGTCGCTGAGCGCATGCCCATGCTCTTCGGGACTGGACAAATCCGAGCTCTCTATTGCGGTCGGCATCGGGCTCTGTTGCGTGGGTGTCGGAGACCCGGACTCAACTGCCTCTTCCATTGCAGAGGGAGACTGTCGATATCGTATGAATATGGTTGAACTGATGCTAGTGCATGGGTGTTTTGAGAGGTGTCGTGGAGATTGGATGGTTATCGGGGGCGGGTCAACTTTAGATAATCTGATCTGATCTGGCCGAGGTTCAACGCCACATATGTCAATGACACCTCCAAGATTCTGACTATTCGGATGGGGTTTTATGAAGGATATTTTGTGTTCTAATGAATCGTATCTCATTTGAAAGGACCCCGCCATGCGATATGGGCATAACAAAACACTCAAAGTTTCTAACAGGTTGAAATTCATAGATTGGGCATGCATAAATCGTCGCTCAGAGTACAAAAAACCTAACACCCGACCAGCCATCGTGCAGGGTATAATAGCAAGACAAAAGGCCACAGAAGAGAGCGATCATGATATCTATTCCGAGTTGGAGGTAGCTGAAGATTCTGAATCAGAGTCCGAATCTTCGTCGAGGACGATCCGACGTAAAACACGCTTGTCGAACAAGTCCAGGGCAAACCGTCGAGCTGGTAGTCTGAAATGGTGACTTTCAAGAATGCAAAGGGTTTTTCGGAAGAGATGAGCTTGGTGGAATCGCTCCGGTTGTTTGGATTTTAAACTGGGACGGTGAGTAAATACGAGAAAACAAGGACTAAACTGCAAACATACCCATGAAGATCTGACGCAGCTCGTTTGGAAAGGACGGTATTTCCCATGTCAACGATCAGCTTGAGAATCTTTTGATTGACAGGGTCAGAATCCGTGGTTGCCTCCTTGAGTTTCTCTGGAGGAGTGCGTTTCGATTCTGAATTATATCCAGAGAAAGAGATCTAGGAAAATTAGTCAAAGGAGCCGGATATGATGGAACAGGATACCAACCGAGAATAGTTTCCGGAAATTGGTAGGAAGACAAAGACCCAGCGAATCCCCCTTTTGGTCCACGCCGGAATCCCAGCCCAGACCCTGTAGGACCTTCAGTCCATGTCTGCTGCGTGAGATCAAGCCTAGAACGAAGAAGGCAGTACCTCGCATGGTGAGCACTCCTGCACTCGTGGCTATTTCCACGATGCGCTCAATAATATCAGCATCCAGGAATGGCGCCCCCAGCTCCATTGAACCGACATTACCAACGGCCCAGAGACATCCCTTAGCCTTCAGGAGCATTTCGTTCTCTTCTTCGTCCAGTCTGAAATCGCGGATCGTCCAGGCAAATTCATTGAAATGGCCCGATTGTTCTAGAAGCTTACAGCCTTCCGCAGTGCGAGCAAGTTCTCGATAGAAATGCGGTGGTACCAGTCCAATATCCTGGAGGTCAACCAGATCCTCGGGCGCAAGGCTGCCCCGTCGAGGCTGCTCAACATAAGCCCTGGAGAGCGCAGCCTCAACGAGACCAACATAAGTATCGTTGCGACCGAGGAACCAGTCATCCATTTCTTGGGTAATATAATCGAGTCCATCCAAGTAGTGGTAGCCCACTGAAGTAGACAAGAACCGAAGTAACAGCGGCGCGCCGATTTCGCCCAGGTGATCAAGAGATGGTCGGCACTTTACCACGAATTCGAGGTAGTCCCGCTGGTTGCATGCCTCTTCTAAGATCTTGACAGCAACCTGGCAAACAGTGACTTCGGGGTCGTAAAGCTGAGTCACAAGAAGTTTAACCACCCATTCCGCATTGCCAATCGGCACATGAGGGGATAGTGAGACATCACCGACGGCATACTTGCGAAGAATCCTGGTTGCGAAGATACGGATCTCCTTGGAGCCAATCGTCAGGGCTTTGGAAAGCATCACTCGAAGGTGACTCTCCCGGCTGTAGTCCATGTTGCCTAGCAAAGTCTGGATGAGGTCATTGCGATCTCGCAGCTCAATGATATGGTAGAACATGTTGAGCATGTGCCAGCGCTCCATCATGAGCAATCCATTCACATCGCCACTGAGTGTTCCCAGCATCGCGAAATAACCGCCACTTAACGTCGACGCCATTTGCCTTTGAGAGAAGAGCGGCGAGGCAGAGGTCAATCCACTCATGCGATCCAGTTGAGCTAGACACTCTGCAACCTGGCGGAGGAATTTGTTTTCTGCCAGATACTTGGTACCTTCGGGGGTCATGACCAGAGTACGCATGAGGACGCAGCCAGTCCGAACATAGCGCTGGTTCGGCTTTGTGTTCGAAATCATGGCAAATCGGTATTTGAAAGGTCGATAGAATCCAATGAGTCGTTTCATGAATTTGGATCCTTTGATTGCTTCATCCATTCGCTTGGAATTCGTGAGAGGACCCTCAACCAGACGATGAATCAAATCCCACTTCCACTTGGTATAGTTCACGGTGTTGAGAACATGAGTTTCTAGAATGGCATTGCGGAATTGGGTCTCATCCATGGTAGGGCTTAGTTTGTCTTTTCCTTGTTCGCCAGGAAATAGGGACAGAGAATTTGATGGATCAGACTCCATGTTGTATCGGCTCTGCCCACTGGGATATCCACCGGAGCGAGCTAGTGTTCGGTTGATGCTCTCGATTTGGAAGATAGTCGCGGTTGAAAGGTCGTGGTTGTCAACCTCAAAGTTAACAGCTGGTGGAATAAGATGTGGAAGAACTTGTAGTTTAGCGCTGACAGACTGTGGGAGTGAATGATGCGCAAGCTTGAGCACTTCCGTTAATAATAGCGTTGCCTTGCGTCGGAGGGAAAGATCTGTCTCGTCCTCAATAACATCGGAGAGAGTCTTTGCGAGCCCTGCCTCGACCAAGCCAGCCAGGATAAGGGTAGAGAAGTGGGCTGTCAGGTCAAACCTGTTACTATTTGTGTCATTGAAGGCACGAGAAACTCTGGACTCGGCATCAGAGCGCAGGTTAGAGACTCTACCATAGGTTGTGAGCCTCCTGCCTGCAAGGAAAGATGATGACCATGATGGAGGCTTGATCCGTAGAGCGTCAAATAGCAGTTCCATAATCAGGTCTCGGGCGGTGGGATCATCGTAATGAAGCGAGTCGAGGAGAGAACGCAACGGTTGCGAGTCGTGCCTTGCAAGAATGACCAAACCCGGCCAAGTCTTGAGCATTGCCGAAATAGCCTTAGCTGCGGTTTTTAATCGTCCACTACGCAGTGAATCTGACAATGAATCGGTGAACGGTGTGAGTACGGCCTCCAGTTCCGATCCTTGCAGGAACTTTCTGCTACGCGGGGCGTCCACCACATGCAGGAAACTTGAAATCAGACTCTCCGAAGCACCAAAAGTCCCCTCCGCCAGCGCATCGTGTAAAGCAGAAAACCCACCAGCGGAAGCAACCAGTTCGGGATCTTTGACCAAAATTTCGGCCAAGGTCATGATCGAGATGCTGCGGAGACGATCCTCCTGGTGCTCGGCAACAGCAACAATGGTACGCACAATAGCGCGCGAAATCTCTCGTACGCCGTCCTTGACGTCCAGGAAGCCTCGCACGAACTTCAAAGCTTGTTCTCTTTCAATGCTCGCTTTGCTTTCCTTGACAAGGGATAATATCACAAGCTCATCGGTATGCAACGATCGGATTGTCTGCAAAGACTTGCGGTCCGCAATAGCATACCGCGTTAATCGATAACCGGCAGCAACTACTTCTTTGCTATCACTCAAAAGCATCACCTGGACTCGGAGACCAAATACAGGCCACGCGAGATCATACTTCAACGTAGGGTGTCGTCTGAAAAGTTCCACCAGGCTGTTCGCACGCTCAACATAGAAATCAGAGGACATCCCTTCAATCTCCAACGCTTGTAATGTTTCCGAAAGCACGTAGGTTGGTGATTCCATGTCCGCCTCTTCATATTCGTGTTGGTCTCCATCCACAGATCCGCCGTTGTCTTTATTGCGAGATGGCGAGCGCATGGGACTGCCTCGGAAGAGACTAGAAAGACGGCTGCTGCGTGGGGGGGTCGAGGCCGGCGCCTGCGCACGTAAAAGTTCCTCTTCCAGCTCATGCTGTAATTCCGCCAGCTTGCGGTTGGAAGAGCTCAGTTCCGACTCCACCTTGATTCGTTGGTCTTTGGTTTGTTTGAGTGGTTTCGATAGTAGCGCCTCTAACATGTTCTCGGTTCCGGACTTGATCTTCATCTCCTTCGCGATCTTGCCCCGCAGGAAAGCCTGGCGCTCTTCGGTAGTGTGAAGGTCCTCCTCGCCAATCGATCTGCTAGCACGTCTATTATATTGGCCATCTGGCCGGGGCGTGATACTGCGGGAGTTCATGCTCTTGAGCTCCGCACTGAAGCTGCCTGGCCCGCCAAACGAAGGAGCAAGCGACCCTCGCCCACCCATATTGCTGCTACCTCCTGACTCAGACCGTCCATTCCGCCCTGTTCGTGGGGTGCCATCGTTCCAGCTGCCGTTTGCTGAGTTGTCATCATGACTGAGCGAAGAGCGCCCATCGACCAACACGCGATGCTGAGTCGACGCGGAGAATGCTGAGTTGTGCCCGGAAGCCATGAAGCTCCATTTAGCCGCACGGGCTTCGCTTTCACCTATCGCAAGAGTATCCGGTGGTATATGGCTGCATTGAAGTCGCTTGTTTCGGAGCGGAGCAAGGGTTCCAATATGGGGAAGCGTAAGGAGGGGCGCAGTCACGGGTCGCACTGAAGATCAGAAGAAGGCCACAATCATGCCCGCTGATTAAACAGCGATGACAGGTGGGCAAGCGAACTAAATTAACACAGCAGTGATCATCAACTGCTCCCACTAACGATACTCGGTTCAGTCTGATGAGAGAAACAATGCTGACTAAGGGACATTATCCCCAGCCCTGGGCACGTGAAGACATGGCGCATTTCACCGCATCTTGTTTATTGCCCGTCTACCTACTGAACTGGACTTATATCATGATTGCTATACTTATTCAACAATAAGGGATGTTGAAGGACAAAATCATATAGCTCAATTGATCCCCAATTACTCCAGCCTTGAACTTCAAGAACCTCGGCTTGGCCATACACCGCAAAAATGCATTCGCAAAGAATATCGTACACCCTCATCATTTCATTACTTGTTAGAGGTTGTTTTCTCTAGAATGGTCTTCATCATCTGGTTGCCAAGGGTGGCAGCCTCAGGGAAACGTGGCGCAAAGTACTCGGCAATGCGTTCAAATCGGTGACGGTAAGAATCGAAGTCGCCAAAAGAAACACAGTCGGACCAGGCCTGGAGTTCGAACAAAGGTTAGTACAAGTTACTGATCTGAGTCTGAAACACGTGCAGAGATGCTTCAGAACATACCCGGGCAGCAAATGTGAATTCTAGATCATCGGAACGGAAAGTGGTGTCGTCGATGGCAGTATCCAATGCCTCGTTGAGGAGGTCGTCATTCCGGAACAAGTATTCTGTCACACCCAACCAAAGACGGAAAAGCTGCAGGACATTAGTACATCACTCAAGATACGTCTCCATGGATAACAAACCGGTGTGGAACAAATCATATGGTCATAAGGAACAATGCCCAGCTTCGACCAACAGTCAACAATAGCAAGCAAGCTGAGATGGCTGTTTGGAGTCGACTTCTCACGCGGCCGGTTGGACAGAGAAAACTGGTCCAAGACCTCGTCCTTCAACAAGAGATCCTGACCCTCTGTCCCGGCCTTGAAAACCGAAGCACCTGCAGCCTTGACTCGGCGCTTGAGCTCCTCTCGGTGTCCTCCAATCATGAGCTTGTACAATTCAGTGACCGACTCTGCGTATTGTCGGATCTGCTGCTTGGCCGCCGGGTTGAGAATGGCGAGGCCAGCATAGACGTGCCACTTGTTGGAGTAAATGCGCAATGTGATGTTGATCTTGACGTTCTCAATACCGCCAACCCAGCGCCCATGTTCCCAGGGGAATTGGTTGTTTGCCTGCCATGCAGTTCCCATACTCAAGAAGGCGGCATGAGTGACAGCCTGTGTATCAGCGGTAATCCGGTCGTGCATCTCACCGGTGAGATAGACATGCTTCGATCCGAACGAGGAGAGTATTTCTTCAACGAATTTGAGACTTTCGTCCGAGGCGCGGTGTTGGATCAGGACCTATATCACGGTGTTACTATCCACGTTGGGCTGGTCAGAACTATGACATGCGATGCAACGATACCAGAGGTTGACCCTGCGTGTTGACTTTGGGACCGTGCAGCGAGTGACATGATACGATCTCTACATCGGCAGGCAGGTGTTTGTCGAATGCAGCAAGCTCCGGAGCCTTGCAGGACGTTTGACCTCCGACGATGGCACCGAGTTTTGTTGCTTGATTCCGAGTCAGAATGTACTTGGGCTTGGGCTGGGAAGAGACCAGTTGCTTTGGTTCGACACATACATGGTCCGTACTGTGCCACGACCTTGTCGATGACTCCAGCCTCTACACTGTACACAATGAAATCGCTAATTCTTGAAACGAGATGGCCATTTGGGAATATGGTGACTCCTTGCTATATACGATGAGCTTCTGAGCGGTATAACCCCGGTTGAGGGACGTACTTGAGAAGCGAACTCTTGTTTTAAAGATTCATAATTCTCAGGTCTGTCACACGCATTTATCCTTGATATCAAATACCCATGTCAGTAAATTTATGTCTAGTAGTTAGTGATCACAGTAGCCCGATGCGTATCTAAAAGACTTTTTCACTTGTTAGCAATGTTTCAAAACAAAGACGTAAGTGAGAGTTGATATAAGAGTGAGGTTGAACAGAATCAGACATAAAAAAATAAGGTAGCGTGGTTGTGACATCATCGACAACAGGGCTGTTTACTACCAACCAGAATGGTATGATAGCGACAACCAAGCCGTACTCGAGCCAAATGCACTCTAGTCATCATTCGAGAGGTGTAGGGGCGAGAGAAGGAGTGGGGGCAAAAAGACAAGCTTACCTGAAGCATCGTTGGGCCCGTGTTGTTGAAAAACAAGGGTAGAACGACCAATTACCTCCATCCAGCGGCACTCAGGCGATTGGCATACATCTTGCCCATATCACCCATGCCGATGATGCCAATGGAGGCATCTTCCTTGGTGCGACCCATTCCGTCACACTTATATCTGCAATGTCTCAAAGCTGGTACTGAGCCAAGCGTAAGCAATCTATATCACAATCTCGGAGCTTTATCACTCGAGTTTGAGAAGAACAATTGCGATGCTGAAGACAAATAGAATGGGAGAAAGATTTTTTTAAATAGGCAACCGAGCTAATGACTCACCGCCCGTCGGGCCGACTTAATCCCATAACGGGTTGAAGCCTGAAAGGCCAGGCCAGAACTCGCTTGGTTGTGGCCAATCACAGAGCGGATATCACGCTAGGGCACACATCCACTTTTTTCTCATCCAAGTGGGATCGAATTTTGATCTTCTGTTCTCTGTTCCGTATTCCATCCAACAACCACCAACAGTCACAATGGCCCCCGCTAAGAAGGCTCCCGCCGCCGCTAAGGAGAACGTCTCCCTCGGCCCCCTCGCCGGTGATGGTATGTTGAGCAATTTGCGAGAATTGGGATCAGTACTAACAATGAACAGGCAAGCTCGTTTTCGGCGTTGCTCGCATCTTCGCCTCCTTCAACGATACCTTCGTTCACGTTACCGATCTTTCGTGAGTAATACCCGAATCAATCTTTTGCATTCGACCCAGCAAAGAAAGTTGGAATTGAGCGCGACAGAGCAACATGCAATAAAGAACATTCGACTAACCATTTTGCCTAATAGCGGTCGCGAAACCATCTGCCGTGTTACCGGTGGTATGAAGGTCAAGGCTGACCGTGACGAGTCCTCCCCCTACGCCGCCATGTTGGCTGCTCAGGACGTCGCCGTCCGCTGCAAGGAGCTCGGCATCAACGCCCTCCACATCAAGATCCGTGCCACTGGTGGTAACGGCACCAAGACCCCCGGTCCCGGTGCCCAGTCCGCTCTCCGTGCCCTTGCCCGTTCCGGCATGCGCATTGGTCGTATCGAGGACGTCACCCCTACTCCCTCCGACTCTACTCGTCGCAAGGGTGGTCGCCGTGGTCGCCGTCTGTAAGCGTGTGCGCTTGCAGTTCGGGTCCTTCTTCTCCTCCAAGTTCATTGTTTGGCTGGATTGGAGGCTGTTTGCGAGCTTCTCTCGCATCTGTGGATGGAATAAACGCGGAGAACGGCATTTATCGCCTGGTCTTCAATTTTTTTCATACGCTGAAAATCTTACCCTCTCCGGTTAAGGTGTTGTATTAGGTAGTCTTTGGCATCTGAATCAATATCTTGACCTAAATATCATGCACTCGTAAGCTCTTGAGCCTCGTACAAGTAGCCATTCTGATGTGAAGTTTTCTGCGAGGCCTGTGGGGAGCTCTGGCGGGGTCGATGAGCCTCGGAGATGAAGTTCTCATCAGTCCTCTTTACTTAACCTACCTTCGTAGCATTCTCTTTGTTGTTGATCCCCATCGACCATAGTCTCATGATACCCTCTTGTAATCCAGCTCAGTCGCTAGCTTAAGCGGGCATCTCCAACGGATTTCAAACTCAAACTCCGCAACCTCGACTCGTCAACCCCAACACCTAGCGCCGTCGCAGTGCGTATTGCCTGCTCCCTGCGAATCAACCGCCCTCAATCTCAAATCCAACCTCCCAACATGGCAAACCAAAAACCCACACCAACAATCCTCCTGCCAGACCTCCCTCCAAAATCCCTCGTGGGCATCGACCTAATAACATTCACCTCAACCGCAAACTTTCACGGCATCCGCGACCTCCCAGCAGGCTGGCACTTCCTCTATACAGGCGCAACAGAAACGCTCTCCCTACGCAGCGGCGCGTGGTTCTACATCGGTGACATAGGCACCGCGGGCAAAGGGTGCAATGATACCGGACTCGTTTCGCTGAAGAGAAAGAATCAACTCCAGAATTCCGTGCCGGAAATATATATCTGGAAATGGAGCGAAAATACCGAGTCTTTGGTTTCGCTGAATGCGGACAGTGATTCTGCAAAGCAGGAAACTATGCGCCATAAAGCTAACCTGGGTTCTGTTTGGCAGAGTGGAGGTCTGTTTCGGTATCGGAGTCGGATTTCGAAGTCTATGCTTGTTAAGACGAAATCTGAGGATCAGAAGAGCCAAGAGCAAGATGATGGACAAGATCAAGATCAGGAACCGGATTTAGCTGAGGCTCCGACTCCAGTTGAGGATGAGGAGGAGACAGAGGCGAATGGGCGGAGAGATTGGTCGGGGTTGACAGATAGAATCTCGCCGGCTTTATTATCGCGTGTTATTGGGGGTCCTGAGGTTGATGTTGATGGACATCCGCGATGGGTGTTGACGTCTGCTTCTACGGCTGACCGCGATGCGGATCACATCCCCGGTGTTGACTCGCCTGCTGAAGGTAAGAATGATCCTGAAGCTGGTGACGAACGAGAACGGGAATTTGGATTTCTTCCCATTGATCTCAAGCGCACTTGGAGAGAAGGTGCTGTTGGGCGGGAAAGGACAGAAGCTGCGCAGGACCGGTCTTGGGCTCTTGGGGAGTTACTTGATCGGTATTCTGGGGATGCTTCTGGGGGGAATCAGGTTATCGGAGAGTTGCAATTTACGTTCCTGATGGTGCTCACTATGATGAACTATTCATGTCTGCAGCAGTGGAAGCGGCTTCTTGAGCTGATTCTCACCTCCCGGCAAGCAATTCTTGACAGGGACGAGTTCATGAGTGAGGTTCTACGGTTACTGGCTTTGCAGTTGCAGCGGTGTGATGATGTTGATGGTGGACTTTTCGAAATCGATGGATATGATGGTGGTGCGTTCCTGCGCAAGCTGCTCACGAAGCTTCGACAATCCGTTGATGAGCTTGTTGGTAACCGAAAGGATTCCATGGTGAAGGTTGAGCTTGACAAGCTTGAGGAATGGGTCAGGATTGAATATGATTGGGAACTGCATCGCGAAGCTATTCTCCGCCGGGGTATGCTCCAATTGGAGGACGGCGAGGAGGTGGAGATGGATATGGAGGAGAACGATGAAGACGAAGAGACTGGCGAGTATGCTCCTATGATCGTCGATCTGGGAGATGGAGATGGAGACGCATAATTGCGAAGCTAGCACGGTCATCCTAGCCCTAGCCCTCATTGATGTACAACGCTTGACGATACCTCTTGTACCATAATTTCAGCTTCTCGGTGCATCTACTGGCGTTCTTGTTGTCAATTGAAATAACTTACCACCTTTTGATCTTTACATGACTAAGGCAAGATTAAATGTTCATCGCTCTAATGAAAAATAAAAAAAGCTGATCTATTTGTATGAGGCAGTCCAAAATCTATGTACAACCATCCTGACCAGTATCCTTGAAATCATAATAGTCTATTGGAATGGAAAGTCGTGGGCCCATTATGCGTGCTTTTCTATTGCTTCTCCTCCTCAATGGCGTAAGCCCAGTCGTGCTCAACCTTGCCGAACATAATAGCCTCGAGCCATGACTTGATTTGGGTAGCGTAACCAGCAGGCTCATCATTAACACCGAGGGTACTGATATCAGTGTTCTCGTTGCGGATCATAGCAACGGGGGTAATGAAGTACTATGACATTGTCAGTAAACCCGAAAGCGCCATAAGAAGGGAAAGGGAAAAACTCACAGCAGTGCCAGAAACAAAGGACTCAACAATACGACCCTCCTTGGAAGCTTTCTCAATATCACCAATGGTCAAAGTCCGCTCAAGGACCTCAAGGGGCTGAAGCTGACCAACAGGACCATTCGACAATCTCTCGCGAACAAGCTCCAAAACACTGCGGCGAGTAACACCAGGCAGAATAAGCTGGTTATCAAGGGGAGCAGTAACAAGCTCCAGCTTGCCATTATCCGCATTGTGCCAGACAATGAAGAAGTTGCTAGCACCAGCCTCAGTCACCTGGCGATCCTGACCAAACAGCCAGAGGATCTGATCAAAGCCCTGGGCCTGGGCCTGGCCATGAGCCTGCAGGGAAGGGCCGTAGTTGGCGCCAAGCTTGGCGTAGCCGAAACCGCCGGGCCAGGCGCGGATAGTATCCGGCAACGAGGCGAACAGCTTCAGACCCTTCTTTGGGGGTTGCGAAGGGTCCTTGGGCATCTTGGTGAAATCGGGCCAGGGGACAGCAATGATGAATAGGAGAGCTTCCTTTGGTACCTGGACACCCAGGTGAGGACCGTTTCCGATGATTGAGGGACGGATGTACAGGAATGAGCCCGGGTTGGGGAGCCAGCCTGTGACAGGTTGTTAGTGACTGCTTACAATTCATCTGTGTACAGCGCTATTGAGACTTACGGGGACCGTCAATCTGCAGGAGCTTGGCAACGAGCTTCTTCAATTCGTCGTACTTGAATCCGGGAAGCGAGGAGCGTTGGGAGCTACTGTTCAAACGCTCGCCGTTGCAATCGGGACGGAAGAGACGAAGCTTGCCGTCGTAGCCGCGGTACACCTTCATGCCCTCGAAACACTCGGTGGCATAGTGCAACACCGAGGCTGTTGGAGGGATGCTGAGGTTCTGGTAAGGCTTGACCTCGGGGGTCTCCCAGCCCTTCGCTGCGGTCCATCGCACGGTGACCATGTGGTCAGTACAGTGGGAGTGGCTCAGTTCCTCGGCGGAACCGGGGAGAGGCACATCGCGCAGATTGGTAGAGCGAGTAATGTTGACGGTGGAGGCATCAAGCTCGGCGATATGAGGAGCAACAGAACCCATGGTGAATGTATGTGATCAATTGAGTTGCTGTGATATGAAATGTATGGAATGTATGGAAAGTGTCAGTGTTGATTTGGGATGAGTCACCACTAGTCGGGGTTAACCTTGGAACCGATCTGATCTTTTCGGGGAAAGACTGCTACAAACCTATTTGATAATTGACTTGCAATTCAAAACAGCGAGATCCAACTGTCTTATAAAGTTGCGCGGTTTGCCCCGGAAACGGGGTATCAGGACCGAGAAAAGTTTTCAACGCCGAGCGGGAGTCGCCTCTCCCACGTTTCGGCCAATTGCCACTTCTCATTGGAGTTTATGTTCTAAAAAAGTTAGCTGCATTCTGCAGTGACGAATGCTGTATTTCGTCGTACAATTTACCAATCGTAGCGCCTTACACCCTACGCCTTACGCCCTGCGCTTGACATTGCTGATAGTTGTTATCGATCTATAGGCCCACTCGGGCAGACATCTCCGAGGCTAACCGTCAGGTTCCTATTTATTGAGGAATGGAAGAGAGATGTGTGAAGACTAAAATTTAGTTCACTGAGAAGAATTCAACTATGTCGCTGTGATGGTATTGGTTGAAGGACAATAGGGGGATCATTCTAGGCACTGATCGACACTGCTGCTTTAGTCGACATACGTGCATTCCACATTCCCGATGGCTTCATTGAGAATCAAATTGGGTAGTACAGGAGGGGCAGATCTTCTTCCAAAACGTATAGTGTGTCTGCATATTATCGATCGAGGGTACCACGATCGATCATCCTTGGATAGCATCCAGGCTACGCTACGAATCTGGACAAGTAATACTCAACTACGTGACTCCGAATATACAAGGGAAAATCGATGGCGTACAAGAAGGGGGCCAACCCAATGGATCTACGTGTATCTCCAAGAAAGTCATTCTTGTGAAGTCATCGTAGCCTAAGATTATGCAATCTCGCCGCGAATCTGATCTCATAGCAAATCAAAGGATATGCATACCACACACACACTACATATCGTGTGAAAAAGTGGTGTATAGAGGGGAGTGCAAAAGAACACATAAAGGCCATCGTTTCCAGTCCGAAGTAGCGATATGCAGATTTCACTCCGATCCAATTTACTCATTCTACAATCACACCATGTCAACTGTCAGACTTATGAAAGCAGAGAATGCGTCTCTACGCTTCTTAAACCCCACAAACTACAGCTCTACAAACTACAGAACAAACAAATCAATCGAAACGTTTATCCAAGACCACCCCGTGACCCGCGCGCTAAAAGCCAACCCTAAGTTCATCGAGTCCCGGCCCCATCTCAACGGGCCCAAGATACTTCGAGATCGAAAGCTCCTAGCCGGACCCCTTTCAGGTACACAAAAGGTCACAGTGCCGCCCTTGGTGTTCAGTGAGAAGGGAGGCAAATGCATGGTCGTGATCCTCCATGTTGGGGGTGATGTCTGCAGTCATCCGGGTATTATCCATGGCGGTCTGGTAGCGACATTGATGGACGATACTTTCTGCAGATGCTGTTCTGCAGTTTTTCCCAAGAGGGTTGGAGTCACTGCCAATCTAAATGTCAATTTTCGGAAACCTGCTTTGGCTGAGTCTTTTATTATGCTGAAGGCTGAGGTGGCCAAGATGGAGGGCCGCAAGGCTTGGATGGAGGGGTCTATCGAGACGCTTGAACCTGATGGTGGGGATTCCTCTCTTCTTGCAGAGGCTAAGGCTCTGTTCATACAGCCGAAAGAAACTGAAGTAAGTCTTTGTTTTGGAGAAGCTCTGGGTGTTGTCTAAAGCTTACTTTCTAGGGCTTGGGTTTGTAGAGATGTTACAACCAAGCAACACACGAAGACTAGTTCCGAATACAGTCTATCTGTGGTTCCAAAGGACGTTGGTATTTATGTATACGTAAATTTGCGGGATAAATTTGATTTCATGCGGTTTTCTGGATTAGAAACAGATATCATGAGTACAGGAGTTGGGAAATTGGTAAACACCCTATGCAGATAGACAGTGAATGCTACTTTCTTTTTCTTATCAATATTAATGACCCATGTGTTTTAAAATATCACATTGGATGCACTTGGATTGAACAAGAGAGGGGCCTAAAAGGGCGAAAAACAAAATATCGTACTGTTTATTCGCTTCATCTTGCGGATAGAAATCCGCTTTCTTTTCATCAGTAAAACTGTACATGTTATCTTCTTCGCAATATTGATGGCATTGGTCTATAGTTGAAAGCCTCAGGTCTTCGGGCGCAAATTCAAGCATTGCTAAGACCGGAACAACTACGTATATTCCAATAGTCGGAAAGGACCACCCAAGATATATAAGAGCCAACATAATTCTGCCCACCGGCCCACTCCTTCTGAATATTATACTTATCAGCCTTGAATTCCAGAAGGGCTCCAGGACTTTGCCCTAAGGTGCCTCCTAGGTGACGGAGGCGATGTGTCAGCGCAGGGTCATCACGAGGGCAGGCGAACCCTACTGTTCACCATTTGAAACTGAGAACACCCAATTCGTTCGGAACGCCTTCCATCTTGGTATTTTTGCTTTATCTGAAACTAGATGGAAACGGCTATATCTACGACTGTATACCATGCCAGCGTCACTCGGCATCCGTCATCCTACTACTGTAAGAGTAGCAGGCAATCCCCAAAATATCATCTGAGAACATAAATTGGTCTCAAGCCTCTTTAAAAGACATAAACCAGGTAATATTGGGTATCCGACCATTTCAAAAGATTCCAAACGAATCATCTCCTGAACAATGTCAATAACATGCCCATGATATAGGACCGATCAAGTCGAAAACAAGCCCAGCAAGACCTAATAATAAGACACGATGGAACTCTCCGAAACAAAGCAACACCAACACGCAGGCAATGAAAACGCATTGACCGAGTTGACCCCCGTCAGATCTCGTAGGTGGCTGGATAGTCTAGCAAACAACAGCAACACGGTCCCCAATTCATACGGACGTGAGAACTGGTATCCAATAACAATGCTCAGAAAAGCGACCCTTGCTAAGTGTGAGAACATCAAACAAAGAAACGAGGGGAAAGACGGGAACAGGAGAAGGACTGGCGAAGTGATCTGCATAGGGAGGTGAATATTAAGTAGAATACCCAAGGCAGCTACAATGCAGGAGCCGGCAGTGGCAACGATCGAAAGTCAAAAAATACAAAAGTACATAAAATAAAATGGCAAGATTAAAATATAAAGTATTTTTGGAAGAGAGGTGCATATATCACACCACAACATTTGGTTCTGGTAATTTCGATCGTGAACACGGCTGCTCGTGACCTTCTTTTTGGCGTCATTTTTTACAATAATTTTAGGTCATCCATCTATGAATAGTACGCCATTTCCGTATGCTCAAAAGTGCTCTATTCTGGTTTCATTATCCTTCTTATCTATGTACTCGGCATACTATCTATGTGCTTGTTCTATCTGAACTGTATCATAATTAATGTAGTCGATGATAGCTAACCTGACACTGGATTTAACAATACAAAACCAGAGTGCAACAAAGCCAGAATGATAGAGATAAACTTAGTGGCTAGATAGACACATATACCTCCTTCGCAAGACTGGCCCGAGCGTAATAGTTTAAGCGGCTAATAACAGAGGACAACTCTCGTTTGGATTGCGAGAAGACTGGGTACAGTATACTACAGTACTACCATACTGTACAGTAGAGTAAAGGTCACAACGTCGAGTGTCAATTGGCTGAGGTGGATCACCAGCAGGCATAGGGGAGATAATCTCAGTCTGCGTGTGCCTTGGGATCCCTTGTCGGTCACTTCTGTAAAGTTCGAGGACTCCGCTGGCTGAGTTGAATGCATGCTATGTCTACTTTACTGTACAGTACAATATACTATTACCGCAACACTATATAAGTTATAACGTTATATCCAGGGCAAACTGTCATGGAAGGAAAACCCAACCTATACCAACCTGGGGAAAAGAAAAAGAAAAAACAGGTGTAAGGATCGGGGCATGATAATGACGGTGAAACTGTCCGACCAATTAGAATGGGTCGGCTGCTTTTTCCTGATATCAACTTCCAGTGACCAGGGGGTTCGTAAGTGTTGTTACATTGCAGCTAAAGTATTGCCACTGATCAAGATAGTACTTGCAGGGTATTGGGGCCTCATCGGTCCCCTATCTCAGTACTTAGAACATAGACCGAGTAGGGAATTCCAGCCGCAAAGCCTTCTCGCAGGATTTAGACCCTGACATCAAATACGGGCTGGTCCAATTTCACGCGCGAGATCTTCTTCCGGGGAAACCGATAGGCTGGAAGGTCGAGGCAGATTCTCTGTATTCAATGAAGCTCAATCAAAATTCCGAATCTGACGTGTTGGGTTTACGGTATATCCTAATCCACTACGGGAGGGGGGAGCGGGTGTCCCGCAGCATGCACCTACAGTACAGTAGTGTCTATAATTTGGTGAAAAGGGCGGGTGTTTGCTTCTTAGTTTCAGTTTGCTTTTGTCTGACTCTTTCTTCTTTTGGTGAATTGATTTTATGATGCGTGGGGGAAACGGGCAACAAACTGCAGTACTGTACTGTACAGTAGTTCAAATGAAATGAACTTGCATCGTTTCCGGCCAAAGTACCGAATCAATGAGTAGTGTACCTCGACCGCAGAATTGGATGTCGTTGCCAGTTCAGCTGATTGTCATATTGTGTCATATCGTTATTTTTTCTGTACGACTGACATCATTTGCGTGTCGCCAGCAAGGATGTACAGTAGGTAAGGCCATTTGCTTTGCCCCAGCAACAAACTGACAGGAGAAAGAATCTCTCGGAGGACTCTCAGTATGCACAACCCGGTTGGTTGGAATATCATCCACCAATCAAAACCGGTGGAAGAATAGTTTTGTGGAGATTTCACAAAGGACAGCCTGCCCCCAAAGGAGAGGACGTCTTGGCCGAAAGAAACACGGGAATTGGCCAATTCGGTCCTACACATCACCCCTTATACATACAGTATCTTGCTTGGTAGATTAGAATGGAGACCGACTTCTCCCGAGGCAATGAAGGCTTAGGATAGAAATTGCGTGACCGGTCTTCTGGGCGTTCCACTCCAGTAGATCCATTGACGGGAGGCGACACACAAAGATAGCAAAGTACCAGTACCCGTTACGCACTTCATCTCTTGCCCCTGATACATGTACAGTGTATCACACCGTGGAGGAGCATGTCTTGTGGATCCTATCAACCAATGTATTGGAATTCGCCCCTTCGTACGAACCCCGAAGTTAGGATCCTTTTTCCTTGCCGTCTGGGTTAGAATCACGACAGTAGAGCAAGCAAAATTGGTACTTTTGACTTTGCAGGGGTGGATGCCATGATTGGAAGTGAGTGGATGTTGGCTTTCCCGCACATTTTACATGTACTGTAGGCCCGCGAGTCAATCGTGGCGGCGCGTTTTGGTGCATTTGGTCTCAAATATAAAACCATGACTCAGTTGGAACGTGTGGAAGCCAAATCGGTGATTGGCTTCGGAAGCTTCATACAGTAGTCTTAAGTAAGACGCTCCGGTCATAATTTTATGTCGTACATGCATGGAGCCCGTGGGATATCAGTCTTTTCTCGCCCTTTGATGTCCGAGATCGTGGCCGTAGATAGCGATGAAACTGACGCAAACATTTCGAAGCGGCGACACTGCACTAGATCATGTTCGCGTGCGGGAGCGCATCAGATGAGCCCCGGGCCAAGATTGGGGCCGTTGTGACGATCCATAGCCGAGCTCGACAAAGGCATCAAAATTGTATTGGGTACCACTGCCACGGAGTCTCTCGGTATGGCATTGAGGTATTGAGGTATTCAGTCTTGGTGCGTTTTTTTCTTTCCTTTTTTTTTGACGGTTTTTCCTTTGGTTTTTCGTTTTCGCTTTTGTTTTAATGGTTTTCGGATTCTTTGTTCTTCTTGTCTCCATAGTTGCCTTCGTTCTGTTGAATCCCACTATCGTTCAGGCTTAGTCTCGCCTCAATAGCTCCATACCAGTCTACTGTATGCCGGATTGGCGAGCTGCTGGATCTTTGCCTCTCCAACCACTTGAGAATTCGATATTGGGCCACCGGGCTACCCCGGCTGTGTGACAGACGTCGAACCCCCTTCTGTTTGTCAACACGGACCCCTTGTTTCTGGGATTTTATCACCTGCATGTCAACTTCGATCACTTCAACCGATTCCAGAATGATTGGCTTTTTTTCATGTCCCACTCGTCATACATAACCCAGCTACCGAACCGAGGTGCTCTGGTTCTCCCGACATGATATCTTACTCTCCTTTGAATCCTGAACCGAAGAGGCTCTGGAGAGACCGTCTTTAATGATCCATTAAACAAAACACTGGACAAGTCCAGATTTGATACTGGTAACGGACTTGTTTTCACCGACAACCTTCAGCAAGAAAACACAACTGGTGTTGAACTTCTCACCATTTGCATCTCTCAAGGCGGATCTCATTCAGCCTGTTCGAAACCCAACCTGCTGCCCATCACATTGGGCTGATTTTGATCATGATCATGAGCCACCCCGACAACACGAAGCCGTTACCGGCACTGGCTCCGGGGCCGCCACGAGCTTCTGCTCCTCATACTTCAGTAGGTATCAGCAGGCCAAAGAAGAACTCCACGGCGTGTTTGGCTTGCAAGGCTGCAAAGAGAAAGGTAAGCTGGATCTCTGGTTACTTTAATTCGAGCTTCATTCCGAAAAAATATCCAACTTGGAGAATTTTGCTGATCGTGAACGGCATTTTTTTATAGTGTTCTGGACCGCCCGGTAAATGCAAGACCTGTAGTGCCGCCAACCTTGAATGCCTGTTTGATCCAAGCCGAGATCTTAGGCGCAAGGTAGCCGTGAAGCGGACAATCCAAGAACTGACAGATCACAAAGATCTGTTGAATGCTCTGTTGGATATGATCCGCTCGGCTGATAAACCCGATTCTGAAAAAATTACGGACATTATTCGAAACAGCATCTCGAATGAAGACGTCGCCCGTGCTTTCGGAAGTTCAGCAACAAAGTTTCATGACAGCCACGGTCTCTTGGCCGCCAATGCATTGGCGATATTGGACGACCAGGAAGACCCCATACATGTAGAGCCTGAAAACACTAGGGTGAGACAGAACTCGGATCCTGGAAACATAACAAGCTCTTCAGAAGCGATACATGTTGAAATTCCCCGGCCACAGGTGGTCAACTCTTATGCACGTATAACGCTAGAAAGCCTGTGCGATATACCGCTGTTTGAGGTGCAGGCCAAGCCGTGGACACGGGTCACAGATGATGATTATTTGGTCTCTCACCTGATCTCGCTTTACTTCACCTGGGATCATCCATGCTCTCAGTTCCTTGATCAGACTGTTTTTCTCGAGCATATGCAACGAGGGAATCTAAATTCGGAATTCTGTGCACCTATCCTCGTCAACAGCCTTTTATCAATGGCCAGTGTATGATACAGCTCCCAGTTTGTTGAGATTGTTCATTGTTCTGACCCCGCTAGGCCTATTCTGATAGACCTGATGTTTTCTCAAGTCCTGGAAATACATTTTCACGAGGTCGAAATTTCTTTTGCGAAGCAAAACGATTATGGAAAGCCGAGAATGGTCGCGCAAATTTGACAAACATCCAGGCTCTGCTTCTGATGTGCTGTGTGTATGTGGTCCATTGATCGGTAGTGTGATGATTGAATGAGAGAAGCTGACTGTGTTTGTAGACTCAAATTCCAGGGAAAAGTCGATAAAGGCTGGCTGATGCTTCGACAGGCTGTTCGCTTGGCCGAGGAAATTGGAATCCTCGAAGGCTCGACATTGCCTCGATCTGAAGACAGGATACTGCCCGAGATTGAGCGTGTTCGTGCAATCACCGCCTGGGGAATCTTACAATTGAATTCGTAAGTCATAGCTTTCACCTTGAAATCCACGAATAAAGGAAGTTACCAACAAGCCTGGCAGGGAAATATCACTAGAGCTGCAGTGGGTTGCTCCCTTGGTGTCGCCAGCCATGGATATCAAGCTATGTGGCAACCAGGATCTAGATTGGATCCCATATCCTCTCTCAAATCAGATGACCTATGACAAAAGACCAGCACGCCTCCCAGATGTTCGGGACAAAACATCCCAGATCACCACAATCTTAATCGATATCCAAACCCTTGTTTATCAAAAAAATCAAGGTAGTAGCTTTGAAAAGTTGTGGAGACTGGCCGAAGAACCCTTCGATCAGTTAACCGCTTGGCTCGATCGCTTGCCTCAGGTGCATGAATTGAAGCGTGATCCTATTCCACAAGTTCTTATCCTCCGGTAAGCTTTGATGTTCGCACACTTTGGATGATGTTCCTATGCTGACATTATGTGAAGAGTCAAGTGCCTACACACGATCATGTCTCTCTTTGATATCCTTAATGACCCTCATCAGCCGCAACTCGTGCAACAGGCCCAGTATTATCAGATGAAGTCCGCCGAAGAGATGGCACAGTGTCTTCGTATCCACCGCGAAGCATATGGTCTCAAGCACATACCAAGTCGAATGGTCGATGCGACGCAGACAGGCCTTCAGATACTAGCCTGCCAAATGAATGACAACGAGGAATTAAGGCAGGCATTTGTTGAGTTCAGTCGGTTTGGCGCCGCTCTCGGCAAAAGATTCCAGCGAACAGCTGATACGATCCATGAAATTAGTGCGCAAGCGCTGAACCAAAACCTCAAGCTACCGTCCGAGGCCGTTGCACTTTTGAATGACGCAGAACATTGGGAGGGGCGTGGAGCGAGAGATTCGGTGTGGTTTCCGTGTGAATAACCATGCCTGTATTATGACACGGCGCCAGCAGAATCTTGTTATGATTGCACACTTGTTGTTACAAAGGTAGAATGACGAATGTAACATCCAAACGGTTGGGAAGAGGGGTAAGCTGGTATTGACCGGCGAAAATAGTTCATTGAAGAGGCTGCTGTGCAAACTTTGAGGAGACGATGCAGTTCTTCGGACAGTGCTCTAAGTAACCAATGTCGCTATTTGGTTACCGTTGGCTTTGAACAGCGTGACCTATGTGATATGCCTTAAGATCAAAGTTTACTCCCAAGACTTGTCACCGATAGACACGAATATGTGCCACGAGAAGAGCGAGATGGTCTTGAACTCGAGAATGGTGGCCAGGTCCGCGGGTGCAGAGATAATGTCTGACTTTGTCGAGCTGAGCAGGAAACAAAATGTCAAATGCGTTTCAGGGGAGATAGAAGAAAGGCGAAGGAGTCTCTTCCCAGGTACCTCGAAGTCAGCTTCGTCGGTCACGGTACTAGATGTGACAGCCCGGCCGAGGGAGCATAGTCCAATTAGATCTTAGAAGGGAGATCATTGTTGAGAGAACAATTGAAAGGAAAGCTTAGATGATACATACGAATTCATGAGATATAATCCACATCAAGGTAGTCTATAAGAATCCGATCAATTGTGTGATGCTAGTGTATAGTATGGCATCGGATGCTATGTTCACGAAAGCGAGATATTCCTCGCCATGAAACTGCACTCCATGTCGATGGTTTCCATTGATACATGCCAATCTCGAGAATGACAATGGAGCCTGAATGGAGTGAATGAAGAATGAAGTATAGAAAACAGCAGGGCTGGGCACTGCTTACTCATCCCGATAACAGATAAGCAAACACTGGTGTTAGCGAAAACCCTCACAAAATTCGTCTCTGGCAAATCGCACACGCCCGACGCCCCGACCCCTCTCCACCCCCCTCCCTTTGCCGTCTCATCTCGGCTTCTTCTTCGATTTTCATCGTCCCTTTTCCTCCCACATCCAATATGTCCTACGACGAGCGCGCCAATGCGCGCCCCAACCTGAACGACGAGTCCGACGTTGAGGAGGAGGCCATGGTCAACGACTACCGCGAGCAGGTCACCTACGATGAGGGTATGAGTGAGCTCGACCACACTACATCCAACAGTGGCGCCGGTCAGGATCTTCAGGCTCAGCTTGCCGCTGCTGCTACCCCGCTGGAATACCAGGCGACTCTTGAGACCAAGTTCGCCAGCTACGACAACTACTGCAGTCTCTTCCACTACATTTTGAACTCGGATGGTCCTGTGGACTTGGAGGTTCCTTCGGTAGGTGTTTCGTCTCACCGACCATTGTTGAATCCCATGCATGAAAGGAAATACTTGGCATTCGTGGAATCAACCGGTCAAGGTATTCTTCAAAGGGAAATTACTTAACTAACGATTTCATTCTTCACTATTAGTACTACTGGGCTTGGGATGTCATTGATGAGTTCATTTACCAATTCGAATCTTTCTGCCGCTACCGCAACCGTGTGGCTTGCGGTGGAGTTAACGAGGAGGAAGCTCAGCTTCTCCGCGAGAACCCGAACACATGGGGCTGCTACTCGGTGCTGAACGTGCTGTACTCCCTCATCCAGCGCTCACAGATTAACGAGCAGTTGGCTGCCACCAAGCGCGGAGAGGACCCTCTCGCCGTTGCCGGCGAGTACGGCTCCCGCCCTCTGTACAAGATGCTCGGATATTTCTCGATCATCGGTCTGCTGCGCGTGCACTGCCTGCTCGGTGACTTCAGCTTGGCCCTGAAGACCCTCGATGATATCGAGATGAACAAGAAGGCCATGTTCGCCCGCGTGATGGCCGCCCACTTCACCACCTACTACTACGTAGGCTTCTCCTACATGATGATGCGCCGCTACGGCGATGCCATCCGCATGTTCAGCCACATCCTCGTGTATGTGTCTCGGACAAAGAACTTCCAGAAGGGTGGCAACAACTACGATGCCATTGCCAAGAAGAACGACCAGATGTACGCCTTGATCGCCATCTGTGTTGCTCTCCACCCCACCCGTCTGGATGACACTATCCACTCTGCCCTTCGCGAGAAGTACGGCGAGCAGTTCTACCGTATGCAGAAGGGTGGCCCCGAGGCCCTCCCCGTCTTCGAGGAGCTCTTCCGCTCCTCCTGCCCCAAGTTCATCAACCCCACTCCTCCCGACTTCGACAACCCCGCCTCCAACATCGACCCCGTCGACCACCACACCGCCATCTTCATGGACGAGGTCAAGAACACCCTTTTCAACCCCACCATCCGCTCCTACCTCAAGCTCTACACCACCATGGACCTCAAGAAGCTTGCCGGTTTCCTCGAGGTGTCCCCCGAGCAGCTCCGCTCTTGGTTGCTGGTTAACAAGCAGCGCAGCCGCCAGATCCGCTGGGTCGATGGTGGCCTGCTGGATGGCGAGCCCGCCATTGCCAATGACCTTGACTACGCTCTTGAGGATGACTTGATCCACGTCAGCGAGACCAAGGCCGGTCGTCGTCTGGTCGACTGGTACCTGCGCAACCTTGCCCGCGTCTACTAAGCGGTATCTCATAAGTGTGCCGAGAGTTGAAAAGAAAAAAGCGAAGCGCGGTGAGAGCCTTCTGCTTACAAGAAGAGGAACGGACATGACTTGAGATGAATTTCTTTCTTTTTCTCTGCCGACTTTGTGTTTCATTTCCCATATTATACTCATTGCCCCTCCCCGGTTACCTTGTTAATGGTTCCCACAACTCCCATTTCTCCATTTCTTGTTTACTTTTTTTTGTTTAAACGTCATCTGTTCCGTGGACCTGGAGGAGCTAAGGCTTCTTGGTTCTTTGAAAATCAAGTTCGATTATCGCAATTTCTTTGGTGGGCGTCCGCTGTTTCTTGTGTTGTCTTGGTCTTGCTGTCTCTGTCTCTTTAAAGGCAGTGTGGTTTACACAGCATGGAGAATATTTGTGTCAGGTAGAAAAAAGCAGTTACTTGATGAAGCAATAGATCAACGAGATACTACACATGTCCGCTTTTAGCCATTATTGGCTCTTCTCCTAACTCTAATTCTACCCAAAGCACCCATGTATAAATTCATGATTTGATAAGATGAAGTCTTCGGTTGATCAGCTACATGCCATGGCTACCCCAATCAATAACTTCTTCGTTGAACTCCCTTTTGCACATACCTTTGTCCCAGGAAACTCGAGAAGACAGAAAACACTGTATTACTTAGCGTGCGCAATTCTACATGTGATAAGCTATATATACAACCGTCGTCCGAAGTCATACCCCAATGAACACGAATATATCAGAGAAGAGGGGTATAGCATGCAATTAAACTACCTAACCGGTGTACAGTATGCAATATGATTTACAAGAAAGCAAAGAAAAGATTTCTTCCAACAACCTCGCTAATCAATCACTAACGTCAAAGCTGGTACCGCAACCGCAATTGCTCGTAGCACGCGGGTTATCAACGATCTTGAACTGGCTTCCGATCAACTCGGTGGTGTAGTCCACAGTGCTGCCATGCAGCAGTTCGAGCGAGGGCTCATCCATCACAACCTTAGCATCACCGGCTGATTCAGCTGCTGAGCTATCGGGCTGGCCTTGGAAGATTGTATCTTCTTCCGGGTCGATCTTGGAGGCGCCCTCCAAGGACATCATGTACTGGAAACCGTGACATCCACCGCTAGTGACTGTGATTCGGAGATGGTGGTAGGGATTTTCTTCTTTTGTGGCGGAGGGAGAGGTGGTTGGGTCTGTAATTTCGCGAAGACGCTATGCTGAGTTAGCTTGGACCTCTCGGAGATAAATAGCTCTGTCAACGACACTGAAATAACCAGAGAACACAAGAATTTGATCGCCGTAAGAAACGCATGTAGAATGATAATCAAAAAAAATAAAAACATGCAACAGTGAGGATTCGCTAGTGGTCACCCACCTAACTACTAACTCACCGGCGTGTGGCTTAAGTACGGCTGAGCGGACGGGAAGCCCTGTTTTCCACACCCTGTGGTCGCATGTATTAGAAGGAGTAGTTGCAGGGTAGATAGCGCGGGTGTCTGGCCATCCACTCCATCTGAAGTAGACGACGAGAGCACCCGACACTTTCCCGAAGCAAAGCTCAAACAGCTTCCATGCGACTTGATACAGGCCCCAGCAAAACGAAAGCAACCAAAAAAGCATAGCAAAGGTAGTCAAATTGTAAAGAGACCATTATAAACGTACCTCTATAGCCCGTGGCGAAATCGCAATCTCAAGTGGTTCCCCGTCATCTCCGGTTCTCGGATTTTGCATGACCACGGTAGCCGGGCGAATGGACGAGGATGAAAACTCAACGTAGCGTTGGCGGAGAGAGCGAGGGATCTGGGAGCGTGGCACCAAGCCCTGAAGACGTGGTACAGTTGCTGTCCGGCGAGAAATGAATTGGCCGTCGGAGAATGCGGAGAGGCAAGCCGGGCGAGAAGTTGAGAACAGGCGGCAAGCTGGGGCTTGGGATAGCCGTCGAGCAGCTGTGGGCGATAATATAGAGCGTGGCATGGTGTGATAGAATATGATATGGTCTATGTGAGAGAGAGACTCTGAAGAAGAATTGTCGGTTTGCTTAGATATCAAATCATCCCATTCCCGATTACATCTTAGTCATGATAGCTGCGACACAATTGGTCAGAATTGGTCGGAGGGAAAAGGCAGAATATTTACATATCGGGAAGGGATCATCGAATGGTGGGGGACTGCAGGCAATTGTTCATCTGCAAGCCTCAATAACGGCAGCTCGCGGGTGGTAGTGACTATATAGGATTGATCTGGATCATCAGGTGTGATTTAGATACCATGGGTTCAAGACAGCACGTCCGAGCTATCAAAAGCGGTCCCCCGCTGCACTACACGGACGATATCAGAGCATACAAGAAGGAGTACGCTGAGGCTCTTGATGCGCAAGATCCGCTTCGGTCTTTCCGGGATGAGTTCATCATTCCATCGAAGAAAGACTTGAAGAGAAAGACACTTGCGGCTGATGAAGGTGAGTATCTGACTTTGGCGTCCGACCATACAGTCAGTGTCGAATTGCTCATCTCTCAATAGGCAATGAAGAAGCAGATCCAAGGTGCATCTATCTCTGTGGTAACTCGCTAGGAGTTCAACCCCACAGCACTCGCAAGTATATCGAACAGTATCTGCGAGCTTGGGCAACCAAGGGCGTGACTGGGCACTTTGTGCCGCATGAAGATGAACTACTGCCTCCCTTTGTTGATGTGGACTCTGCGGCCGCCAAACTGATGGCTCCTGTCGTAGGTGCCTCTCAAAATGAAGTGGCAGTGATGGGCACCTTGACTGCCAATTTACATCTGTTAATGGCAAGCTTCTATCGTCCAACGCAAGAGAAGTTTAAGATTATCTTGGAGGGCAAGGCTTTCCCTAGTGACCATGTATGTTGTCTGCTACATAGCCGCCTATTATCCTAGACTGTTTCCCGGGACTGACACATCCACATAGTACGCAATTGAGTCTCAAATCCGTCATCACAACTTGGATCCGAAGGGGGCCATGGTTTTGATCGAGCCTGAAAATCTCGATAAACCTACACTGAGTACGGAACAGATACTCAAGGTCATTGATGACAATGCTTCTAGCACGGCCCTTGTACTTCTCTCGGCTATTCAGTTCTACACGGGACAGTACTTTGACATCGAACGGATCACGGCGCACGCCCACTCAAAGGGAATCATGATCGGTTGGGACTGTGCCCATGCTGCAGGCAATGTGGATCTTCAACTCCATGATTGGAACGTGGACTTTGCAGCCTGGTGTAACTACAAGTACCTTAACAGTGGACCAGGTGGAATAGCAGGTATATTTGTCCATGAACGCCACGGCTCTGTGGACGAGAAACAGCCCGACAGTGACGAAACATTCCGTCCTCGATTCTCTGGCTGGTGGGGTGGAGATATCAAAACACGCTTCAACATGGAAAACAGTACGTATCTGATTGTGTTAATGTATATGATACGAAACTAACGAACATAGAATTCCAACCGCAACCCGGAGCGGCTGGTTTCCAGCTATCGAATCCATCTGTTTTGGACATCACCGCTGTCGTCGCATCCCTCGAAATCTTCAATCGAGCAACCATGAAAAAAATTCGGCAAAAATCGTTGAGCATCACAGGCTACCTGGAGCACCTGTTACTCAAATATCCTCTGGATGCGTCACCAGACGATAAGCCGTTCACCCTCATCACACCTTCAAACCCAGCCGAGCGAGGTGCTCAGCTCAGTCTGCGCCTCCGACCAGGCTTGTTAGATCTTGTTCTTCATGGCTTGGAGGAGAATGGGGTAGTTATTGATGAGCGGAAGCCAGACGTGGTGAGAATTGCCCCTGCCCCATTGTACAACACCTACGCCGAAGTATGGGAATTCTGTCAGATATTCTTGCAGGCGTGCAAAGATGCAGTCCAAGCTCGTGGTTAGCCACTATACATCGGACATAAGCCCAATCTCCGAGACCACGGAGAAATGGAAGGCTTCTCGCTATATCAGTCCTTGTCGAATAACTCTTAAGGACTTAAATTGAATACGGAAATATATACAGACACTCCAGTTACTACTATGAAGCTGTTTATATTGTATCTCATGGCTTATAATAACGCCTTATGTGCTGATCGGCTCAACCCGCCGATAAGCGTTAAGCAAAGCTTCGGCTTCTCGGCACCCATTTATCAACTCCGCAAATTGAGTGGCTAGGGTCCCCTCCACTTGGGGCATAGTGGAAAGTGAGAAAAAAAATAAGGATCATGACTCTTGATTCCATTTACTCGTATCTCTCTCTGGAGCACTTGGCGGTTGGTTGCAACCTTCACGCCTGCCATGACGGAAAAGGAAATCCAAGAAACTTCTGTGCAGGACCCTGAATCACAGCCCAAAGTAGCAAATGGAGATAGGGATGTCACTGATGTCGACTACTCGGTCTTTACAGACAGCCAGAGGCGCTATATTGTCTTTATGGCGTCGTGGGCAGGGTTTTTCTCGCCAGTCTCGTCCCAGATCTATTTTCCCGCTTTGAACACTTTAGCGAAGGATCTTAATGTATCCAACTCTTTGATCAATCTGACTTTGACAAGTTACATGGTCAGTCTTCTGATAGTCTATTTTCTGTTGGACAATAACTGACCAGAGCATAGATCTTTCAAGGTCTGTCACCCATGTTCATTGGTGATTTTGCAGACAAAGCCGGAAGACGACCAGCATACATTGTCTGCTTCACAATCTATATCGCTGCCAATATCGGACTTGCCCTACAGAACAACTATGCAGCTCTTTTCGTGCTCAGGTGTCTGCAAAGTGCAGGTAGCAGTACCACAATCGCTCTCTCATCTGGCGTGGTCTCCGATGTGGCCACTGCATCCCAACGAGGTTCCTACATGGGCTTCGTAACTGCTGGCTCTCTAATGGGACCTTCAGTAGGGCCGGTTGTAGGTGGTCTGTTGGCTCAATACCTAGGATGGCGCGCCATCTTTTGGTTCTTGACCATCTTTGCTGGAGCATTTATGGTGCCGTTCCTAGTCTTCTTCCCAGAAACAGCCCGTGGTATCGTCGGTGATGGATCACTTCCTCCTCAGAAATGGAATATGTCCTTGATCAGCTACCTCAAGATGAGGAAAGCCCGGGAAGAGGGGATTGTTCCTCCTACGAATGCGACGAAGCAGAGATTGAAGTTCCCCAATCCTTTTAAGACGCTAGCCATTGTCTTCCAGAAAGATACAGGCATCATTCTCTTTTGCAATGCTATTCTGTTTGCGGGGTTCTACGATGTCAGCGCAACCATTCCTTCTATCTACAATGAGCTCTATGGCCTTGACGATCTCCAAGTTGGCCTTTGTTACATTCCATTTGGTCTCGGCGCCACTATTGCTTCCATCGGCAATGGAAAATTCTTGGACTACAACTACCGCCGCCTCGCCAAGCAACTGAACTTTCCCTTAACTAAGAACCGCCACACCGACCTTCGGCATTTCCCTATCGAAAAAGCTCGCCTTCAGATTGCATTCCCTCTTCTTGCATTAGGAAGTCTCAGCATTCTTGTGTTTGGTTGGTTCCTGAACTACGGGATTCATCTTGCTGCACCAACCTGTATCCTCTTCCTCATGGGGTTGACATTGACTGGCGCGTTCAATACGATCAGTACCCTGCTGGTTGATCTATATCCAACCGAAGCGGCCAAAGCCACGGCTGCTAACAACTTCGGGCGTTGTTTGTTGGGTGCTGGTGCCACGGCGCTTATTGATCCTATGCTTGCAGCTATGGGTCGGGGTTGGTGTTTTACTTTCATTGCGCTTGTCATGTTGGCTACGACACCATTACTTATCATTGTTATTCGGAGAGGACCTCATTGGCGCGAAGAGCGTCGTTTGAGGGAAGAGGCAAAGAAGGTTGATGGTGTGGATGCACAAAGAGGCGATAAGTGACATTGTATTCTAATTAATAGGAGGAAAGTGATTTGCTCCATACAATGATAAACATAGAATACTTTGTTCCTTCGCACATATCCAAGTCTATCTGTAAATCCTTCAATATAAGGCAAACTATAGGAAATTTGTTGAGCTGCTAGTGGAAAAATAGGCGATACTGGAGGCAGCGGGCTCCGAGTCCCCACGGCTCTATGCTGCTTTAAATTGGCAGGGAGCCCCATTTAGCTGTTTCTTGACTAAGATGCTTGAGAGGACTTTGAAGGAAATGGTGACAGGAATGCTACGGACCAAGACATCTATAAAAGAAGCCGTAATCAATGATCAAGGCAAAAGGTCACAATGTGCAAATTTCTTGTCTGTTTATCATCCACGAGTGTGATTCAATCTGTATCTTTCCAACGACACTCCTATCCGATCATCTGAAAGCAAAATGAGCATGCTCCAAGGGTTGACGTTCCGACTCCCATGCTAGCCAATCCGATCTCGTAGTTCTGGGCAGATATGTTAGCAACGAACGCTGTCGATACAAAAGACAAACTTACGGCAATAGACCCATCGCATTGACCTTCCAAATTCCCAATGCCAATAATAGCAGCTGCATCAACATATAGACAACCTTCACTCCGAGCAGACGCGAATGCGTCGACTCGGTGTCATACTTGGCGAACGCCGCGTTGGTATTGATCAGGCCCTGGATAGGACCCTTGAACAGCATCATAACCATCATGATGCTGAAAATCTGAAGACTGTTGCCGGACATGTACATCATAATGGCGTTCATCGGGATCTGCTTGGACGGGGCGATAGCGATCTCCCACGCCTTCTTCATCTTCAGCGCATCGGTGTCCTCTGGTTTCTTGGTGGTAGCTTGTTGCTGCTGCTGTTGGCGCTGAGAATATTTGGGTTAGGAGCTTCGTTCCGGATTCCCACTATTTCCATAGGGGTGTCTCACCTGCTTGCCTCCCCGGCTGCTGGAGAATCCTGGGGGGTCAGGAATACTAGACGCAGCCTTCGAGGGGCGCGGCATCGGAGAGTTGAGCGCGACAACCCATTGAGGTGGAGGAGGTGGTGGCAAAGGTGCTTGTGACATGATGTTTGAGGTGTGGGGAGAGGAAGAGGGAATGAGTGCCAGAGAGTCTTTCCTCCGCAGTGCCCACTCCGCCTTCCGACAATTCTCCTTTCTCTCTTCCACTCTTTCACTTCCCCTTCGATTCTTCGAATGCTGTTCGCATTACTTCTAATGTCCAGTTAATGACCTTGTGTCCGCCGAGTTTCCCGCGCAGTGTGCAGTGAACACGCTCTCGGTCTCACCCTTTTCGGACCCTTCCACCATACCCCCGAACCCCTTTGGACTCGATTCCGCATCTCTTCTACTTCTGGGCCATTGAGTATCGCCTCGATCTTGCATGTGATTGCTCGCACGGTGACTAGACAAGAGCCTAAATCCGCCAAATCCGCAACCCGTGCCTAACAGTCCGCAAACGCTATTCGCCCATATCGCAGCCATGAGTTCTGGGGGAGACGCGAAGTTGTTCGCCAGGGTACGTTAGCTCCTGTCTGATCGCATCCTTTGTCCTTTCCCCGCATTCTCTGTTCGATTCCCTCGCTTTGGCTCTACCGGACATCTTGCTTGCTTACTGCATGAACTTGCACTGTTCCATATCGCTTCCCCATGTTTCTCGCAGTTGCTCCTTTTCCTCAAACACATGGCTTACACTCGTCGAATAAACAGGGGAAGGTCGCGGAGCTACGCCTGGAGCTCAGTAGTGGCGGCAAGAAGGACAAGAACTATTCCGCCAAAAAGATCGCCCTCAAGAAAATCGTCGCCAACATGACTATGAGCAACAACGATATGGTGGCCTTGTTTCCAGACGTTATCGGCTGTATGAATCTGCCCAGCTTGGAGATCAAGAAGATGTGCTTCTTGTTCCTGGTCAACTATTCGAGAATGAAGCCTGAAGTCGCATTGAAGGCGCTTCCGATTTTGGTGGATGTAAGGCCCCGGCATCGAAATTATAAAAATGGACCTGGGCTGACAGGTTGCGCGACAGGACATGACCGATGACAACCCACTTGTGCGCGCGCTCGCACTACGTACTATTTCATATGTACATGTTCGCGAGTTCGTCGAAGCAACATTCCAGCCTCTCAAACGCCTAATGCAAGACAACGACCCTTACGTCCGCAAGACGGCCGCTTTCTGTGTCGCCAAGTTATATGAACACGATAAGAAGATGGTGGAGAACTCAGATCTGATCGATAGACTGAATCGCATGCTGAAGGATGAGAACCCGACTGTCGTCTCCAGCGTTTTGGCTTCGCTGGTGGACATATGGGGCCGAAGCGAGTCGATCTCACTCACTATCGACTATGTCAGCGCCTCGAAACTAGTGTCTATCTTGGCGGACTGCTCCGAGTAAGGAACTCTGATTCACATGCTAGGACCAGTGTGCTAACAGCTGCAATAGGTGGGGTCAAACGTACATCCTTGAGGCATTAATGGCATATGTGCCCCAAGATACCGCGGAGGCACTTTTGCTAGCAGAACGAATCGCTCCACGTCTCTCACATCAAAATTCAGCCGTCGTTCTCACATCTTGCCGAGTCATCCTTTACCTCATGAACTACATCTCCGGTGAAAAGCACATCACCTCCTTATGCAAGAAGCTATCCCCGCCTCTCGTTACATTGCTTTCTAAGCCTCCAGAAGTTCAGTATCTGGCCTTGCGAAATGCTATCCTAATCCTTCAGAAGAGACCCGAAGTCTTGCGGAATGATATCCGTGTGTTCTTCTGTAACTACAACGATCCTATTTACGTCAAAGTGACTAAATTGGAATTGATGTTCATGCTCACCACCCAAGATAACATCGGTGTGGTCTTGGCTGAGCTCCGCGAGTGAGTATATTCAATTCTCTGCTTTAGATTGATTGCTGATAATTTTAATAGATATGCCACTGAAATTGACGTACACTTTGTGCGCAAGGCTGTTCGGGCCATTGGAAAATTGGCGATTAAGATCGAGTCTTCTGCAAAGCAGTGCATCGAGACACTATTGGAGCTGGTTGACGCCAAGATCCCATACATTGTCCAGGAGGCTACAGTGGTGATTCGCAACATTTTCCGCAAATACCCCAATCAGTATGAGAGCATTATCAGCCATGTCCTCCGTAACATTGACGACCTTGACGAACCGGAAGCTAAAGCAGCTGTTATCTGGATTATTGGCCAATATGCAGACCGCATTGATAATTCTGATGGTCTCCTCCAAGATTATCTGGCCACCTTCCATGACGAAACGGTCGAAGTACAGCTGGCCCTGCTTACGGCTACCGTCAAATTATTTATTCAACGGCCTACCAAGGGCCAGCAGCTTGTCCCACAGGTGCTCAAGTGGTGCACAGAGGAAACCGATGACCCAGATCTCCGTGACCGTGGTTATATGTACTGGCGTCTCCTCTCCACGGACCCAGCAACCGCCAAACAGGTAGTCATGGGCCAAAAGCCCCCCATCACAGCCGAAAGCGAGAAGCTGGATCCCCGGACCCTGGAGGAACTTTGTCTAAACGTCGGAACTCTCGCCACCGTCTACCTCAAACCTATTCACCAAGTTTTCCGCGCCGCCCGCCCTCGCCGCCTCCTACCCAGCCCAGCCTTACAGCGTTCTCTCCCCGAGGATGGCACAGGCAACATGCTGGATTACAACCCTCCCACTGCACACATGGCTGCCGCAACAACCAGCAACAGCGGACTCGCCACAATCACCACGACAGGTGATCCTGTCACCCCAATTAACGCTCCTCCCCCTCCCAACCTCCCAATTCCTGTTTCCAACCCTGTGGGTTATACAGGTCCCAGCAACATGAACGAGGCGGCCGATGCGGCAGACGCCTATTTCAACGGAATTGGGTCTCAACAGATGGCTTCGTTGGATATGGGCGGTGTTGGTGGTGGAGGTGCGCCTCAATCCCAGTTTGTCGTGACTCAGAACCAGCAGCAGCTTTATCAGCCGCATTTGGCTGGTGGGGCTGCTACGGGTGAGCTTTTGTTGTTATAATCCATGATGTCGTGGAGGGGTGTAATTGTACATGTGGATAGAACACGTCTTCTCGTCTACGCCTAGTAATTACGATTATGTTTGTCTATCCTGAAACTCGTAGTCAGTCACTGACTCGAGCTGGTCATTAAGCTACGTAGCCGGTATCTGTTTCTCGATATTCATATGAAAGACACAAGCCCTAATGAGATGCCATACACGGCGCTGGGCTATGCCCAAAACGGCAACGAAACTATGCATTGGGATTTGGTATCAAACAGTCATTTACTTCTTAGGGAGGCGTTTGCATATCAATATTCTATATTCACTTTGTAATTCTCCTTGGCTGACATCGGCACAAGCTTGCGCAAGCAACCTAGTGCAGCACGCCATCTCCATATTGTCCGAAGATTATAAATCGGCTGATAAATAGCCTGTCTCTTTGCTCAGATGTGTGTAGAGGGGTAAGCTATATAGAGCATAGTTATTTCCATAGTCCAAAGCAAGCCATACATCACCTCATCCTCTCCTCCAGCATCCAAGAGCATATACAGCATAGACATAAGCATAAGCACATCAAACAACCATCACAATGACAGATCCAATCCCAACCCGCCAACTACACCTAACAGCCTTCATGCGCCCAGTCTCCCTACACACAGGAGCATGGCGCTATCCAAACTCCTACCCAGACGCCAACTTCAACCTGAAACACATCACGCACTTCGCGCAAAAGCTTGAAGCCGCCAAATTCGACGCCTTCTTCATGGCCGACCATCTAGCCGTGCTAAACATGCCCGTCGAAGCCCTCAAGCGCAGCCACACAGTCACATCCTTCGAGCCCTTCACCCTCCTCTCGGCATTATCCGCCGTAACCGAGAAGATTGGGCTCGCCGCAACAGCCAGCACGACCTACGATGCTCCGTACCATGTGGCCCGCCGCTTCGCCAGTCTGGACCATCTGAGCAATGGACGCGCCGCGTGGAATATCGTCACGACTGGCAACCCGGAATCAAGCCATAACTTCGGTTTCGATGAGCATATGACGCATAGTGATCGGTACAAGCGGGCCCGGGAGTTCTACGATGTGGTCACGGGGCTCTGGGATAGTTTTGCTGATGATGCTTTCACGCGGGATGTTGGGACGGGAGAGTTTTTTGATCCGGCCAAGATGCATGTTTTGAATCATGTTGGGGAAGAGTTGAAGACGCGTGGACCGTTGAATATTGCTCGGCCGCCGCAGGGCTGGCCTGTTATTGTCCAGGCTGGTCAGAGTGAGCCTGGGAAGCAGCTTGCTGCTGAGACTGCTGAGGTTGTGTTTTGTAGTCCTAAGGATATTGAGGGGGCAAAGGTGCTCTATGCTGATATCAAGGGACGGGTTGTGAGGGCTGGACGGGAGAGGGATCATTTGAAGATTCTACCGGCTGCGTTGATTATTGTTGGGGATAGTAAGGAGGACGCGCAGGCGAAGAGGTTGGCGTTGGATAGTCTGGTGCATTATGATAGTGCGCTTGCTTCTTTGTCTATTTCGCTTGGGGTGGATGTGAGTGCTTTTGACCCCGATGGGCCTTTGCCGGCTGATCTGCCTGAGACAAACGCGAGCAAGACTAGCAGGGAGGGGGTTGAGTTGTTGGCGAAGAAGGAGGGTTTGACTATTCGCCAACTTGCGCAGCGTTATGGTGGTTATTCTGGGCTGGCTTTCCTTGGCTCACCGAGTGATATCGCTGATGAGATGGAGACTTGGCTAAGGGAAGAGGCGTCGGATGGTTTCACTTGCACGTTCCCATTCTTGCCTCAGGGTCTGGAAGACGTGACGGATAGGCTTGTTCCAGAGCTTCAGCGAAGAGGTCTGTTCCGCAATGACTATACGGGTTCGACGCTGCGTGAACACTTCGGTCTGCCGAGACCGGAGAACCGCTTCTTCAGTGAAGCATGATGTTATATTTGGGAAGCCCTTTACTATCCAACTGGTTTGACCAGGGTATCTAGCATATCATATGGGTTCAGAGACGTCGACATCTTCTCCAGGATCTGTGGGATGTATCGAGAAACGATGTTTGAGCCTCATTGAGCGCTAGATAGTATGAGCTTGGCAGGCTTGGTAGGCTTGTAGGCTCCAGTGCAAGGCTGGTGGTCTCGTGATTGGTAAACCCTAGGGTATTGTAGTCAGGCCAGGCAGGAGCAAAGAGCAAACAGGGCAAATACTGCAAACCCTTATCAATCTACAAGACGCGTCTTCGGAAATTGAAGACGCGTTCTGACATCAGCAACTGAATTTGCTCCCACCCAAAAGTTGGAAAACGTCGCCAAATTACCACGTCGTCCCAAATAGGAAATCTGGGGTAGTAAACAAAGTCCAACCCTTCAAGATCTAATCAATCCATCTTGATCTAATCCTGACACGCCTTTTTTCTCGAGCCTTTGGTTTCTTTCCCAGAAATAGAGCTGTCACTTGCTTGCATACATACACACACAGAATAATACTGTAGACATCACAATGATCGGCATTGCTACTAATCGCTAAATAAATCCAAGGGAATCATGAATGCCAGCCCCATAGTCGAAGCATCAAATCAAAACTGCACAGAATGAATACACACAGGAAGACCTCACTCGTACAAAACGGCCCTTCTCAATCCTCATCCATCCTCTCGAGTCCACCACGAGAACGACGGATACGCTCATCGAGACTATCTTCTTGCACACGCTTATGCATATCAGACATGAACCTGCCCCGGTCTGAACGCTGGCGATCATCAGCTTCCTGCTGCTGTTCCTCCTTCGCGGTTATATCAGTAATCCGCTGGCGTCGATCGACCTCCATATCGGCGGCATTGTTTTGCATCTCTGCCAGCTTGCGGCGCCGTTCTTCTTCAACCTCCTTGGAGTCAGGCTTGTTGGCTGGGGGGCGAGAAGAAGGTGCATCATTATCACGACCAGAGTCCCGTTGGTTGTGAAACTCACGACGGGGAAAGTCACGACGGGGAAAGTCACGACGACGATCCTCGGTGGGAGGCGGGCGTTCGCTGCGGTCCTTAGACGGGCGAGGGGAGCGAGAGTATCGACGAGATGAGCGATCACCTTCACGGTCCCGGTCACGTCTGTCGTCGCGGTCTTGTCGAGAGGATGAATCTCTCTTGTCCTGGTCGCGACGGTGGCCACGGTCTCTATCATCCCGGCGAGATCTCGTATCATCACTTCGCCGGTCACGGTTATCACTGCGGCGTTCATCGTCGCGCTCACGCTCACGCTCACTCCTATGTCTTCGGTGTGGAGATCTAGATCGGTGCCGACGAGGAGATGACCGACGGTGATGTCTGTCGCGGCTCTCATCACCTGCATCATCACTGTACCGTCTGCGCTTAGAGTCATGATCCCGATGGCGGCGGTCGCGGTCCTTCCCGCGGTCGCGAGTACCATCTCCTCCCTGGGTGCGCTTCTCCTCTCGTTCCTTGCGTCTCATAGTCTCCTTCACCATGGCCTCGTAAGCTGCCTGTTCTCTCTTCTTCACTTCAAGAAGCGGGTCCGCCATAACCTTCGCCATGGTATCGCGCGCTGACCCAACAGATGGACCAGCCGCCGCCGCATCATTACCCACAACCTCCGACCCCTTCTCCAGCTTCTTGGTCTCGGCGTCATTCTTAAGCAGGACTCCGTCGATTCGTCGCTTTCCCAGTAGGTATCCCTCCATCTCCTCCGAGTAGTGGCCGGTGGCGCTAGACGGGGCCTGGTACATCCAGTCGACGCGGTTCTGCACCTTCGACTTTCCGGAGGCTTCTTGTAGACGTTGAAGTTCTTGGATTTGTCGCTCTTCTTCTCGTTCCCGTCGGAGCTGGTCGATTTGCTTGCGCTCCTCGAGCGCGCGCTTCTCTTGCGCCCATACGCGCTCTTGATTCTTGATCAGCCCTGGGTGCCATGATCTATTATCGAGTTAGTATTTGATTTGTGGGATTTCGCGGTGGGTTTGAGCTAGACGTACTTCTTTAAATTCAGATCGCCACCCATTTTGAATGTGCTGTGAGGTTGTGACGGGGGAAGGTTGAAATGTCACAAGATCCGCTTCCGACAAGTCGACCGCCTCGGGCGCTTTTTTGCTCCCAACTCCCACCTGCGGACTCAGCTTAGCTGAGCGTTAATTCTTGATTTTTTACATCTCATGCAAGGTCTGATGGTTATATTAAACCTGATTGCTTTGTTTTCCGCTAAGCTTGAAGATTTGTCCCACTATTCATCTACTGAGAACTGGTCGCTGTCTGCCAAATATATATTTTGCTTATATCCTTAGATTCTTATAAGTTAGCCTCACCTTGGAACAATTATAGGCAAACAAATCGCAGTAAAATACAGAACTATAATACTTCCCTTGGCTTCTTGTGCTGAGAAAGTCAAGGATTGAATCGTCTATCACACCAAGAGGGCTGAATACTGCCATAGACTCACGAAGTCACAAAGCCCACAGGCAACTGAAATTAATATCTAAACAGACCAGAAGCCACAGGCTCGAAGATGTAAAATTCAAAATCCAAAAAACCAAAGAAAAGCAGGGGTAACTCTACATACAGTGAGAAAAAGACAAAATAAAATAGACGCGCATCGAATCATATCATCATCCACGCCATAGAACACCAAGAAGCAACAGAATCCACGATCAACTCGGACTACCAGAAACTGCACCAACCGATCCAGTGCTGACAGATGTTCTCGACATTGGTTGCTTGTGCGAGGAGCTTGTCAACTTGGTCGCTGACACTCAACTCGTCACTAGGCTTGAAATCACGTCCAGTAAGCTTCTCCTTGACTCGAGCAAGCACCTGAAGAGCGCGGGCATTTTGTGCCTCACGGGCTTCCGGGGGAACTGTCTCGGAGCCATCGAGAATGCCACCTTCGAGAATGGACCCGCGGCGACGAGAGAAGTTGCCGGGTTGAACGCCGTGCTCGAAGTTGACACCCTCGATGATGGATTGGCGGCGTTCTGCCGTGAGGGATACGCGGTCGGGAGACTCTTGGGCACCGAGACGCCAATTGATCAGTGGATCGTGAATAAACTAGAAGAACGAGTTAGTTGTTGGCTGTAAATGATAGATGATCAAGTTACTTACGGCTTCTAAGACAGCCATCAAAGAGTCCTTGTTATCCCGTAGTACACGCATGACAGCCTCGCAAGTGATACGGTAGCTTCCTTCAATGTTGCTGACTTCCATGGCGAATGTCAACATACGGGTGAGTCGGAACGGTACTCGCTCTGGGTACTTCTCGCGATGCATTGCGATCTCGAAGCAGTCGCCGAAATCGATGTGTACAACCCGACCATTGCCACGATCAAGAAGCAAGTTCGACGGATGCCGGTCACCAAGACCAAGAATGTAGCCAACCATGGACATGACACCGAGAGATCGGGTGTAGTTGGTACGCCGCTCGAGCCATGCTTCTGAGCTCTTGCTCTTGAGCCAGAGTACTCGGTAGAGATCCTTGCCGGTTGTGTTATCCATAGCGTAGCCAAAGACCTCAACCTTCTGCATAAGAGTGAGGCTGTCATAATCAGGTGCCATTTGTAGCATGATGCGGTGCTCGATGTTGAGAAGAATACGGCGACTTTCACGATACTCCTTAATCAATGCGTGTAATGTATCACTGTTGCAAACCCAACCAATCAGACCGGAAGCCTGTGACAATGGGATGGCAGGGAAGCGCTGGACTGAGAGGTGTCGCTTGAAGCTCTCGCTGTCGTTATCAAGCAGGGTATTGCACAGACCGAAGAGCTGCATGACTCGCTCGTCTTGTCGAATATCCTCATGTCCCTTGAGAGCGTACATGTACGAGCTGCCGTTGCTACCCTTGAGTGTCATACGACGAGGCCGTTTCTTTGTTTGCAACACATGCAAGATTGGATCGAAGCTGATGATTCGAATGATAGGTTTGCCGCTCTGGTAGGTTCCCGGAACAGCAAGGTCAAGATCCGAGCAATCCTTCAGTCGAGGAGAGACGTATTTGAGATCGAGGGTCGATAACTGTGGGAGCTGTCGGTTGATCTTACGGAACACCGTGTAGTACAAGTCCCAAGCTTGGTTCAAATCGCCAATTTCTTCTGACTCGCGGTACAGCATGCAGTAGTGTTTCGCCTCGGCTAGATCACGCCCGAAAGCCTGGGCAAATGATACCTCGCGCAGGGTCTCAGCGCCCTTGTCTAGCATGTCGTGAAGAGGAGCAAGTGTGCTGAACATGCCTTCGACATTGTGATCGCCGAAGTAGAGACGAGAGGCCTCTTCCAGGCCCTCATGCCAGAGCTCGTGCCACAGGACTGCGACACGGATTAACTCGTGACTTACGAGATCTGCTTGCTCGACAAGTTTGGCGCTATGTTGCCGCATACTTTCCATAATGTTGCTGGCAGATTGGGAGCGTCGGGTCACATTCGATTTCGATGCCACCGTGAGTGGATAAACCAAGGCCTGAGGATGCGTCTTGCCCACCTCAGCAAGCAGCCTGTGGACCGCGCTCCGGACTCTAATGTTAGGTTGGTTGATTCGAGCAATCAACTGAGGAGTCACAGAAAGCCAGGTATCAATGTTCACAACTGTGAAGCCTTCTGTGACGACGGTGTTGACTTCATGGTCACCACCATGGCTGAACCAAAGAGTAAGCAATCGCAATGTGTCTTGCAGGGAAGATGTCAAGGACAAGGCGATGGACCGCAGGAAGCCACGAATAGCAGGGATGACATGCTCTGTAACAATGTGGGCAGGAACTGGCGCCGGTGCACCGTCACGGCTGGCTTGGTTGGCGATGGTTGTGACAACTTCAAAGTTGGCAAGGGCCCATGAATGCCACGCCTTGTACGAATCGCGGTTGTACTGGGTGGCCGCAGAGTAGGCGTTAAGGACCTCGCGAACGTGTTCCGGCCTCCAATCGCCTCTCTGAAGAGCTGTCTGCCATTCTCCCTGCCTGAGATAACTCTTTGAAAGGAGCTTTCGGAATTTGTTGGCATCTCCAATCCGTTCACGCAAGCTAATAAGATCTGGGTGATTCGGGTCAGCAGCTCCATTGACCCCGTTCATTCCATGGTGATCGCCCTGTGCTACCATCAGAGTGTTGAACTTTTGGAAATCATCGGTCAACGCGCTGGTAAACTCTTTGAGCATATCGAGAGAATCTTGTTGATGTCCATTTGCCCAACTGAATTTCAGTCTAGCATATGTGACTTCCGGGGGAACGATAGTGCGAACACCATTTCCATCAGCCACTATCGTCTCCAGTGATGCTAGAGATCGTTCGGCAAGGCCCATACGGTTCGATTTGCGACAAAGGTTGGCAAACTTAATACTCATATCAAGGTTTTCGCGCGGAGCCGTAACAAGGGCCCTGACCTTGAGCATACGTTGCCACACTTCCACGTTCTGCTGACATCCAAGCAATCGCTGATTCCACGTTGCACGCATAGCCTCTTGCTTTTCGGGATCACCGACATTCTGCTTGTATGTGATGATCTCTTCCAACTCGGCCAACATTTGAACACGAACGACAACGTTGTAAGCACGGTTGTACGACTCTCCAAGAAGAGCAGACAACTCGGTATCGAGGCCATTACGTGCTTTTTCGATGTACATGTTCGCCTCCTCGAATTGATTCCGATGAATAGCTAGAATGGCACCGAAGAAGGAACGGTCGGGGGACTGCTCCTTCATGACTCCGAGGTAGGAGTCCATCAACTCCCACTGGCCTCGGCCCCAAGCAGCGGCAGCAGCCAGAGGAGCGATGGCTCTGCGATGCTCCAATGATGCTTGGTTCCATTTTTCTTGCGCAAGGTCTGAAAGTACCTTCCATTCTCCAAGAGCATGCAGACAACGCATTTTACCCATAGTAATGCCGAACGAGTCTGGGTCCGTTTTCTCACGACGCTTGTAAGCAGCAAGAGCCTCGTCCCATCGTTGAAGCTTCTCGAACCATGTTTCCTTGAGTTCCACATCACGGTATGCCTGTGCTTTGCGGAGAATACCGATGGCAGCATCGGATTGCTGGAGCTGATTGTTGATAGTAATCAGGGCCTCAACAGCACCAGAGTTCTGGTCTTGCTCAAATTCGAGCTCTTTGTAGTGAAGAGCCTTGGCAAATGCATGACATTTGGCAGCGTACTTTCCAAGGGTGCGAATATCAATTGGAAGAGCCTTATCGTCGTGCTCCATGAATTCAGCCAGGTTAAGAAGAATTTGCAAAATCTCAGGGGAGATATTGGGAGAAGTGAGCGCCTTTTCAATGGAGCGAACGAGCTCTTCTTGGTACTGATCATACAGCTCGGTCCAGCATGACACAAAAGCGGCGTTGAACAAGTCTCTAGCTAGTGGCTGATATATACCAGCCAAACTAGCACAAGCGCGAAGCGCCGGAGAAGGAGATTCCTTCAGAAGCTCGACACTGAAACGGCGGATCCATTCTTGCCAATCCTCGCGCGTGGACTTTTGCGAGGCATCCCAAGCGTTTTTGAGATGCTGCTGGTTCACAACGATCTTCTTTTGTCCAATTTCGGCGAAGTTGGTGTCGTCGGCTGGGTAAGCATAGTCTTGTTCAGGGTTAAGATCTTGTGGAAGGGGATCGCCCTTCTGTAGCTTTGTTACTAAGATCTGGTAGTTGACGTGTGTGATTTGGTGGGTCTTCAGGACTTTGTTGAGAAGGTGAATGTAATGAGTAAAGTCCTGACCGAGCTGGAAGATAAGAGCGCAGATGCAGTCGAGGGCAGCCTGACGTAGGTTACGGTCGCCACTGGCCACGACTCTTGACAAAGAGTGGATCATGAGGGAAGCAAAATCAGAAACATTGACTTGCCGCGAAAGCTTCGTTAAGCTATCGATGGCCGACTTTCGAATACTTGCTGGGTTCTGCGGTCGATCAAACAGACGCACGATAGATGGAATGATGAGATGCATGTACTCTTCTCCACTGGAACCGAAGATCAAAAGAGTATGGAGAATTTTCTCGGATGGCTGGTGACGAGGCGTTGAGTCCTTCTCAAGTGTGTCTAGCATGAGTGGAATCAGGCCTGCAAGGTACTTCCTAAATTCACCTTCAAGGGATCTACCAATGGCTTCGACTAAAGACAAGATCGTGCCCTGGATTTGATATGAAGAATCCCAGAACTCCCGAATGACTTCAATGATTTCCGGCAGGAAAGCACGGATATGTTGCCGCACGATGTTGACCAAAATTGCCATTTGGTTGAAGTATGATTCGAGGCGACTGGAAGGAGAAGTTCTAATCACCAAGATGAAGCCTGGAATAATCTGGCCGAGGAATGGTACACATTTCAAGCCCAGCGTCTTGAAGATTGTGACGATTGCATCAATGACAGCTGAGTGATATTGTGCCAAGGAATTCTCGCGCAGAATGTTCTGCATGAGAGTGTGAATGACCACAGTGGGATAATATTCCTCATTGGATGGAGTAAGATTCTGCATGATCATGGCAACTTCAGAGACATTCTTCATCTCGTTAATATGGTGTACGTCGGGCTCAAGCTCACTGATCTGTTGGTACTTGTATGGATCAAGAGCACCAAGAACACCGAGAAGTTTGATGGTCTCCTTCCGTAGAGAGCCTGTCATTTCCGTCTTGATGATGTTGATCAGCACGGCTAGGAGATGAGGGTATTCGATGTAAGGCTCAATGACATAACCCGAGTTGCTGGCCAATTGACCTAGTGTCCGAAGTGCAGCTTCACGCTTTGTATGCGACGAAAGATCTTGCAGAGCGTCTAGAATGATGGGCATGATCTGGGAAAGGTATCCTCTCATCTCACTGCCACCTACATTGGCAAGCTCACCAACAGCCTTCAAAGTGGTGGCAGCGACGCCGGGGTTGCTGTCTGTTGCTTTTGGCATCAATGCAGTCACCATTGGGTCCACATAAGACCTGATCAACTTGGTTGCATTTGAAACAAACAGGCTGATGAGCAGAGCAGTCTCTTCCTTTTGCCTGGCCGTAGTTGCAAACCCGAGACCCGTGAGAAGATTGACCAGCAGCTTTCGAAGCGGTGGGAAGACGTAGGCAGGGTTGACACTGGAGAGTCGACCAATGATACAGATGGCCGCTTCTTTGACCTCGAAAACCTCATCGTTGACGGCTAGGAATAAGCATCGGATATTCTCTGGCCGTGCCAAGTGCCGATCGAACTTGCGGTCCAAAGACCACAAAACAGTGCGTCGGATCTCGGGGTCTGGGTCTCCGACACCGACAGTCAACAGCTTATCAATCACCTCGCTCACAACCTGAATAGAATGTCCGCTAGTCTGATTGATGATCGGGTCGTGCACAAATAGTTGACAACAAGTCAGGGCCGAGGCTTTTCGAATCTCGGGATTATCATTTTCCACGTAATTGATGGCAACATCACGGACAAATTCATTCAAGATATGCCCAGAGAAATCAAAACTTCCTAATGTGTGCAGTGCCAATGCGATTTCAGAATCAGCATGAAGCTCGTGGGGTGCAAAATCTTTTGCGAAAGATGGCATGGGAGGAAGTCGGTTTTCAGGGCAACCGAGGGGCCTAAATGGTGTTCCGCAAAGGATAATACTCAGCATGTCTAGGAGTCTTTCTTGAATCATGGGCTTGATAGGTGGGATGTAATGAGCCATGTCAACGAGCGCCTGTGTTAAGGACTTGCTGAGTCCGCAGGCGAAGATGGGATCCAGAAGAGCCTCCATGTATTTGCTGAGTGCCTGTCCCACGGCAAGGGACAACATGCTGATACACTCAAACATCGGGGCCTCTTGAACGCCCGCTCGATTCCTCGCCTTCATTGCAAGACCTTCGCGGATGTAGATAATGATTCCATCGAGATATTGACCGATTGCAGGGCCAACTGCATTGGCAATCTTTCCAATGGCAATGAATGCGGGGTTACGCTCTTTGTCTCTCTTCAGCTGTGCTTGGAGATAGACCATGAATCGGTGGAGGTAGATCTCAATGAAATCGGTAGGAGCATACGAGGCGAGGATAGGGATAGTGAGGACGACCTGGGCGCGGATCTTCTGGTCACGGTGGTCCTTGAGGCGGAGAATAATCTCGCAAGCATTGCGGTAGTGCTCCTTCATAAACATTGTGCCTTTAAGGATCAACTCCTTAAGAATCAGAAGGGAGCCATGGATCCAATCCACATTATGGGACTTTAAGCCGAGAAGGGCCTCGTCGTGTATGCGCGCAAACCATGATTGTCGAACTTGGGTATCACGGGCCACGATGATCTCAAAGCATTCACCCACGGCTTCAGCGGCGGTATCTCGAATGAGTACTTTGGGATCTCGGAGAGCAACCCAGACAAGCTCAAAGATTTGAGGGACGAAGCCATAAAGAAGTGTCGGCGAGCCCTTGGCAAGTTCCCGAATCACGAGAACGGCTGCAAAACGCCGGCTTTCCTGGCGTTCTGACTGCAACCATTCTAATGCAGATTGTATTTCGCTTTCCACCAGCTCTGCGGTAAGAGCTCCACCGGGTTTCGCGAGGCGGCCCAGCGATCGGGCCGCGCAAATCAAGACCACATTGTCGTTACTGCGGAGAGCGCTGCGGAGGTAGCTGGCAAATCTTGTCGTCTTCTGAGCAGCATCAACCCCGTCAAAGTCAATCAGTCGATCAAGTGCGAGCAGGCCACCGATCCTCTCGTTTGCGTCACCGCCGGTTACCACGAGTTGGGCGATGCGTTGGCTAACCGCGTTGTAAAATTCGACGAACTTCTCGGCAGGCCAATCTATAAGAGGGAATGCATTAGCCAAGTTAGACAGACACCGGGGTCTAATATTATGGCAGTACCTCTGGAGACAGAGAGAACATTGTCGTAGAGCTCATAGGCAGCTCTGGCCCTGGCCTCCTCATTCTTGGACTTCAGCTCCACGAACAGTCTTTGGGTAACGTCCGTCATTGCACCTGCTTGTGCCATATTTGTAAATCACACCCCAGGCTGGACATTGGAAGTCAGCCTCGTAGGGTAAAAGAAAGACGCGAGGCGTATAGAGTTGTTGGAGGGATGGTCATGTGTGAGAGCCTGGAGAAGGTCGAGGGGCGCACGGGCCACGGCGTTCCCGACGTGCGACCTTCCACTCTTCAACGACTTGCGTAATTTGTGTATGGCATTTAGGACTATACAATATGTTGTGTCTTCTCCTACAGTTCAGATATCACCTCTAAAACAGAAGCATTCATTCGTATCAACGTGGCAAAAAAGACTCATTGACTCTCTCGTCTGTGTCTTGACGCCCCATCCTTGCTTGCTATACGCTCATGTGAACTACTTCTGGTAAAACTTACATGGTTGGCTCAGTCTCAAACACTCACAGCTCTTCTAGAATCCTGAGATGAACTAGAAGATGACTAGAAAGACGCGCAAGGGTCACCGAACCAGAGATGTCAAGTTCTACGAGAGGACGAGCAGAAAGTCAACACCAATCGGGATGCAGCCGTCTGCTTCTTCTGACATTTCGATATAATAGTCACTATGCAACCAACCGTGGCGGATCTACTGGTATTCCAACGGCAAAGGGCTTTTTCCTTACTGATCTGTTATCGTATGGCATACCGTTACGTCACGGCTTATTTTGTTCCAAAAATTCTAGTGAATCAAAGGGATCTTATTTCACTAATTTCAAGTCAAATTTGTCCATTTTGAAATAAGGTGTCTCATAAGATCAATCATAATGCAGTAACATGCCGACGCTCAGCTCTAGGCCTGTTTTCAGCTATATAATAGCCTATATACTGAACTTACAAGTGTACCATCATCCAGGGTCTCTTTGTCAATCGAGAACGCTTTGTACTACCTACATGTATAAAAAAGATTGCATTGCCGAAGAAAAGTCTCGTGTTTTCATGTATCCCTTGTGCAAGTCGAATTCACCCTATGGTCTTGACCCTGCGTACAAATTGTATTGGACTACAGTCAACTTGGCAAGAGACGACCTCGGGAGGCATCAATTGTCGTTTTACAGTAGTATTGATTCGAAGATTGTATAGACATACACATACAGTAGAAATTTGACCTGTCCAGTATTGGTAATCCTCAACCCCTCATATAACCTTATCGGTGGAGCGATGACGGGATAGAGGGGACCCCGGATCCATAAAAGCCAAGGTCCTCCCCTATACTGCTTTGTCCTCAACCCACACTCACACAGACACAATGGTTAAAGTACTTCTGACTGGTATGTTGTGTCAACCTGTGGCATTGATCTGGTCTAACTGTTGGCTTCAGGAGGCAGTGGCTTCATTGCCGCCCACATTGTCGACATTCTTTTACAACATGAGTATGTCCACCTTGTCACCTCGGAGGATTGGCTATTAAGTTAATCATTTTGCTCCAGTTTTGACACTGTTGTGACTGTTCGATCAGAGGAGAAGGGCAAACAGATCCTCAAGGCTCACCCCAATGCATCGCAGGAGAAACTCTCTTATGTGATTGTTCAAGATGTTGCCAAGGATGGTGCATTTGACGAGGTCAGGACGGAGTTATACCCCAATTTTGGAGCGAGTAAGACTAATTGAACTGCAACAGGCCGTCAAGTCTAGTCCTGCATTCGACTATGTTCTTCACACCGCATCTCCTTTCCACTTCAATGTTCAAGATCCGGTTAAAGACTTCCTTGATCCTGCAATTAAAGGAACTACAGGGATCTTGAAAGCCATTAAAGCCCATGCGCCTACTGTGAAGCGAGTGGTCATCACATCATCTTTCGCCGCCATTGTGAACCCCGATGAACATCCCAAGGTATACAGCGAGAAAGAATGGAACCCAGTCACCTGGGAGGAAGGACTGGATCACTCAAAGGTCTATAGGGCTAGCAAGGTAGGTCACCTCGGGACTTGATAGAAGCGATGCAAGAGCTAATAGGGTCCGTATTTTAGACCTTTGCCGAGAAAGCAGCGTGGGACTTTGTCGAGCAGGAGAAGCCAAACTTCGATCTTGCAACTATCAACCCTCCACTTGTCTTCGGTCCCGTTGTTCCCTACTTGAACTCTCTTGAAGCCATCAACACCTCGAACCAGCGTATCAGAAGCCTCATTCGGGGGGAAATGAAGGAGAAGTTAGCACCATCAGGCACCTTCCTCTGGGTAGATGTTCGTGATGTTGCTCTCGCACATGTGAGAGCCATTGAAGTCCCAGAAGCTGGAGGCGAGAGATTCTTTGTCACTGCTGGCTACTTCTCCAACAAGGACATTGCGGATGCTATTCGCGAGGCCCACCCTGAGCTGGAGTCTAAGCTTCCTCCGAAAGACTCTCCCAGCGACCTTCCAAGTGGTATTTATGGGTATGACAACAGTAAGTCCCAGAAGGTTCTAGGGATCACATATGTCCCGTTGAAAAAGACAATCGTGGATACTGTCGATTCTCTTCTGGCTGTTGGTGCTTAGTAGGTTCCTGGGCGGGCCATAGAGCTAGAAGAGCTAGAAATGAATTATCAATAAGATGATTGGATCTATCCTTTTTTTTGATAATGTCGTGATCTTGAGTTGAAATGCAATAAATTAATCGAAAAGTCAAGAAGTAAAAGGGTCAACCCACATAGATATAAAATTGCGGTTGAGGTCTTTATGTTGTACCCTACCGGTTTGGCCCGTGTTCTCCGGCCAACTTTTCTCGCGTTAACTCTTCAAGATCAAATACCCCATTGAACAAGATGGCCTCCGCCAGGCTATCGCCAACGGCGAATCTTTTGCGAAAGTCCCGTTTATTCGCGCTTCCGAAGTCTCTCAACCCCTCGAGCGACCCCTCAACATCACGAGCGGTGTTCGAATCCGATTCAGCAACTCTGCCTCACCCTATTCGAGCAGCCATTGTTACGCCGCAATCATCGCTAGCTCGAGGCGATTGGGGTTTGAAACGACCTCTTCCTTCTAAATCGACATCTGAGAAATCATCGAGACCTGTCGTGAGAGTCAATGCCCTCGATAACTACGAACATGTCACCGACTTCGAATCCGCAGCGGACCATACCATGACACTCGAGAAGTTCCAAGAGCTTCATATGCCCATGTCTCTTCCCTCTAAAGTCAACTACGCCACAAGCATTCTTCCGAGGCATCAGAGTCCATTTGAACCACACCTTGACAACACTCAGAACAGCCTGAACGACCAAGGTATAAACGACCCTAAAGCCAAACAATTCAGACACTCCGGTCCTTGGATCGCTGGACAGACAGAAGCGGAATTTGTAGACTACATGAAGCAAGTCAGTCGAAAGAAGCCCGAGCTTATTCAAAAGCTGCGTGAGCAATTGATTGCGAAGCGGTCTGCCGAGATCCGTAAAGAGGCCCAGGATAATGGAGAGGACTTGATTGATGAAGCTGTCACCATCACCGACGCAGAGTTTAAGACATATGTCAAAACCTTGCGCAGTGACCCTAGCGCTCTTGGTCCTGCTGTCTTCGATCTGCTCGATCTGCCCTCCGGTCCTGCCATCCCCAGCGAGCGCATCGGACGCAGCTACTTCGGAGCTCCCCCATCTAGCTTGTCCTCCACCGAATACGCTATCTCAGGACCCCCGAAGACACACCCATCTGCTGGTCTTTCGTACACTCGTTCGCACGCCTTGATCCAGAATCACGCCCAGTATGGCCCGCAGGCTCACCAGCGCCCCGTCGAGGCCCGCATCTTGCGCCCTAAGGGCCGCTTCAAGGGCCGCATGAACCGGGCTATTGCTGGTGTCGGTGGTATCGCCACCGAAGACTTGAATGCCATGGCCTTTGTTGAGCAAGGTACTCCTCCTGGTCTCACCTACTTTGATGCCTCTATCCCTGGTGGAGGCAAATACTGGGTTACTCCCATCCGTGCTTCTATTGATTCCCAGGGTCGCATTGGCCTTTCATCTTACCGCGCAAGTGCAACAGCTAAGGCTCCCTACGGACTTGAAGACCACTCCAAGCCCAACAGTCTGAACGTCTCGGGCGTGGCCAGCAGCGGTGACCAGACAGTCCCACGACTAGACAGACTCCCGCATCAGCAACCTCGGTTCCAGTCTAGAGATCAACCTTCCCTGAGACGCCCAATGCGGGGGACCGAGGATGTCGCTCGCAGCCTCCTCGACAATCTTAACTCGAGAGAATGAGGAAGGTTGGGCGAGTGTGGAAAGGATGTATGATAGAATTGGTGCTTGTAAAGCTACTCTCATTTCTTTTGGACTGTGTCATAGTCATTTAAATTAGGTGCATCAATATATTAGTTTCTGAGCGATGGTTTCCCCAGGGATCGTAACCATAACTTGGAGTAAATACACTTGGAGTAAATACGGTTGACGTAGCTCCTTCCCTAAAGGGCAAGATTGATTGGATGACATAATCATGATGACTAACACGTGATATGTGATTAGGGCTCAGGGCAAGAATCCGCACAGGACTAAGCGAAAGCCGTTCACCAACTCAACCCAAATTGGACATACACATCGAATCTTCGAACCTCCATCCCGCCAGCCAACAACCGCCAAAATGGGTCGCGTCCGTACCAAGGTGAGCATACAAAGCCAACAGCGACAAAATTACCACCGATCTAACTTTCTTCCTCGAACAGACAGTCAAGCGCTCCGCTAAGGTCATCATCGAGCGTTACTACCCCAAGTTGACCCTCGACTTCGAGACCAACAAGCGCATTTGCGATGAGATCGCCATCATTGCCTCCAAGCGTCTTCGCAACAAGGTGAGACCCTACCGTTACAACACCACACTTCCGACCTCAAATACTGATTCAAAATTCTTCAGATTGCTGGTTACACCACCCACTTGATGAAGCGTATCCAGCGTGGTCCCGTCCGCGGTATCTCCTTCAAGCTCCAGGAGGAGGAGCGTGAGCGCAAGGACCAGTACGTCCCCGAGGTCTCCGCTCTCGATGTCTCCCAGACCGAGTCCGGCCAGCTCGATGTTGATGCCGACACCAAGGACCTCCTCAAGTCCCTCGGCTTCGACAACCTCAAGGTCAACGTCGTGTCCGTCAGCCAGCAGCAGCAGGCTGAGCGTCCCCGTCGCTTCGGTCCCCGCTAAATTTAGCGACCCGGAATACGGAAAAAAAATTCATGTCTGGTCTTGGGTTAACTCCCGGCGTTTCCCCGATGCTTGTTATGGCTGGCTTTCGCCCATGCTAGCTTTGGTTTAGCTTAGAGTGGAGGCTATTCCTGGATGAGGAATGAATAAACATGATTCTCTTTGAGAAAAGGTGTCGCTGATTCTCCGCAAGGGGATGATGCTTGATTGCCAATGTTCCTCGTGTTTACTTGGCTGGGGTTCCCCCCTCCAGGTTAAATTACGTAGGGGTTCTCATCCCAAGGTCTTGTATCTGGGTTTGAGTAGCTCGAGACCTTTGGTCTGAGCTTTGCGTTGATTCTGTTTGTGAGTCTTGCAAGCCAGTTCCATTCCACATGGTCTTTGTAGATCGTTCATTTCACGTAGTCGACATATAAAAGGGTAAGTTGGGTATATACAGTAAAGAGACGGAAATTTCTATGTTCCTTGGCAATTCTTTTGCCTTTCAAATCTGATCGAGCACATCGATGTCTCCATCTTCATCCTGAACATGTTGGTCTTGCTGCGCTCTGGGTACATAACCCTCAATCGAGCCCCCCATCGCATCCTCGGGACGCCACTGCGGAGCATCAACAGCACGCTGGGAAGCACGCTCGTTTTCCCTGATATCGACGTTCACACGTCCATTTCGAACCACTGTACTAGTATCACCACGTTCAATCGCAAGCTCGCGAGACCTGTCTCCTAGCCTTAGATTCTGCAGATCATCCACGACAGAAGAAACAGTGCCAGTAGCCGCAGGAGCCTTCTGCCGTCTAGCGCGTGCCTCCTCCAGCAGAAGAATCAGCCCACCCCGCGTGTCGCCAGCCCGCCGCTCCCACACTGGCACCTCAGAAAGCTGCACACGAAGCCAAAGAGCGCGCTCGGCACAAGCATCCGAACACCATTTCTCAACCTTGTCCTGGGGAACAATATCCACGGCGCGTCCGCGTCCTCCAGGCCCGCTTCCCTTTGCACCGTACGTAAACCGGAACCCGCCTCCCCGGCCTCTGTTGTCTTTCCGATGTTGTTTTGGGCATAGACTGTAACCGCAGAGGTCACCGTAGTTGCGCTCCAAAATTAGGTTGTCATAGTCGCTTGGGCGGAAGGGGGCCAATGAAATTTTTAATTTCCGTGCATCTTCTTCTGACGGTGTGGCGGGGTCGGCGTTTGGGTTTGAGGGGAGGTCGAGGAGGTCCAGGATGTTATTCAGAATGATATCCTCGGCGTCCTTTTGTGTTTGAATCTGCTGCGCATGCTGTAAGGCGATCTCCAGGTGGTGTTGTGTAGCCCCAGGCCTTCCTTGAAGATATCTGTCTTGCTCATCCTGTGTGGGGTGCAGATATGATGGCGGCGACGGTCGTTGGGCATTCATGGCTGCAAAGGTCTCTGGGAGAGACGTTTTCAATTGTTGTGCCATAATGTAGGGAATATATGAAGAGGGGAAGAGATTTTGGATGTAAAGCGGAAGAAGCAAACCCCGGATTGCTGACGTAGCTTGGGCAGCAGCAATACAGTGGCATGACATTGGCCAGTCGACAAACTGACAAGTTCTATATATATACATCTTTAGGCATATACAGTCAAGTGATTGGGGTCGATCATGGTTGTTAATGGTAGACTGTGCAATTGTTGCCTTATCCATCCGGCATATAAGTTATGTAGTGTTCTATACTTGACCCCTTAACCAGAACTCTGCCTCTGACTCGTTCGCCTCCATAGACATAGACCTATTTCAGTCCTCAGAGTCTACTATCACTCACTTCCAAGCTTGGGAACCTACCTATTTCCCCATGTGCGTGTTCCCTGGTTGCTGTTAGCCGCCGATCGTCAGTGGAGCCCATTTCCCTCATCCCGCCAAGTGACGACCACACCTACCTCATCTCCTTCTCCCTCTTCATCTGCTTCCTCGTTCTTCCCCCCAGTATTTCCTTTTCATCTTGCATCTCATTTTCTTACTGGCCCTGCCCAGGGTGTTCGGTTCTCCGTGAGTCCTTCTCCCAAGTTTGCCTCCCCCTCCCCCTCATCTCCTGGCAGGCACCACTCATTGACGTCTGTTTCATCGTAGCTGACACACCTTCGTACCACCAAGGAATTGATTAATTTCTCCATATATCTCTGCATGCTAGAGGTATCGAAGCTGGCGATTTGTCCTGTACAGATATCCTAGCGTCATTGCCGTTTCACACTCTAGCATTCCTCTCCCCACATCGTTCTCAATTCTGAACCTCGGTTTCGACTTGCCAGATGTCCAGCCCGCCTTTTACGGTCCGGGCGGTCTTCGAGTATGCTTCGGGCCATGATGACGACCTCCCCTTCCCGATCGGTCAGATTGTGACCGTCACCGCTCTGGAGGACGACGATTGGTACTACGGTGAATATTCGGACGCCTCGGGGGTTAAGCAGGAGGGCATCTTCCCCAAAAACTTCGTCGAAAAGTATGACCCCCCAGCTCCTCCGCGCCCATCTCGCCCCAGACCGAAGAAGGAGCCCGAGCCTGCGCCAGTGCAGTCACCCGTGATCGAGAGCAAGCAGCCCGAACCCGAGCCCGAGGTGGAGGCACAACCCGCGGAGGACGAGGAGGACATTGCACTCCCACAGCCACTTGCGCCCCAATCTCCCCCCAAGCCTACGATTGCCCCCGTCGCAAAAACTGCATCGTCGCCCCCGCAGCCGGCAAAGGCGCCCGCGCCCGCTCCAGCTCCTCCAGCAGCTCCGGTTGAACCCGCCGCCAAGGCACCGTCCAGTAAACCTGCTCCCCCAGCTGTCGCAGAGAAGCCTTCCGGGTCGTCGTTCAGAGATCGCATCGCCGCCTTCAACAAACCTGCCGCGGCGCCAATTATACCCTTTAAGCCCGGTGGTTCTCAGCCATCTTTCATCAAGAAGCCTTTCGTCGCACCACCTCCCAGTCGGGATGCCTATAAGCCTCCCCCGAGGGAAGCTGCGCCTCAGGTATACAAGAGAGAGGAGGACCCAGATGTTAAGGAGCAGATTGCACGCGAACCTCCGGTCTCCGAGAGCCGCCCTCCTCCTCCCATTGCTCCTACGGATGAAGGCGAAGAGGGCACAGAGGATCAGCCCAAGCCCACCAGTTTGAAGGACCGAATTGCCTTACTTCAAAAGCAACAATTAGAGCAAGCTCAACGTCATGCAGACGCAGCTCAAAAGAAAGAGAAGCCTGCTCGTCCTCCCAAGAAGTCTTCCGAGGAACCTGCAGCCCCCGCAGTTCCTATGACCCCTGCAGCCCTTGATGATGAACCAGAGTCTCCTTTTATTGAAGGAGCTCCGACTGCCCGGGACCCCAGTGTAGATACTGTGAGAGCTCAAGCTCCTACTGCACCGCCGCCCGTCCCCTTCTCGCCCACTCAGGAAATTGCCAGTGACACCAATGACGCAGATGCCTCCGCTGCTGCCGACTCTGAAGACGCCGGAGAGACATCCACAAGCAAGGATGATGATGAGGAACAGCCTCGTCCAGTTTCCAAGCGTCAACTATCGACCCGAGCAGTTGAGCCGACTCTTTCCGAGGACGCTGACGTAGAAGAAGAAGACAAGGCAGAGGACGAGGAAAAAGAAGAAGAAGTAGAAGAAGAAGAAGAAGAAGAAGAAGAGATGGACCCCGAGACCAAGCGCAGAATGGAACTGCGTGCGCGAATGGCGAAGATGAGTGGTGGTATGGGCATGATGGGTCTCTTTGGACCACCGGGTGGAGGTATGCCCATGCCAGGCATGGCTGCCCCCGGTGCTGGTACTCGCAAGCCGAAGACCCCTGGCGAGTCTGATAAGAGACTTGGTGAAAATGAGTCTGAGCCTACCTCGCCCGCTGCTGCACCCCCAGTTCCTATGATTCCTCTTCCTGGAATGAACCTGAACACCAAGCCAGTTCCCCCTCCTACAAGTGTAGAGAAGGAGGAAGAGGAGACCCCAGTGACTCCCATCACTGAACAGCATTCTGCCCGTGAGGTACCCGACGTTGAAGATGTCGTTCGAGAAGGCGCAGTCCCTCGCGGCTCCATTGACCGGCCCCGTGGTTCCATTGACCGTCCTCCTCCGGCTCCTCCATCCCAAGGTAAGATAAACCCAGGATCTAGTATTTTTTTCAGCTGCTAAAGACCATAGAACGCTCTGCTCCTCTTCCACCTCCTCGGGAATCAAGGCCCGTCCCATCTATGCCAACTGAGCAACCTGGTTCTCCTCCCCCAGTTCCTTCAGGTATGTCGCACACTCTTTTTATTTTAAATACTCTTTGCTTGTAACTGAATACTGATCATGGTGGACAGCACGGCCTGCCCCTGTTCCACCCAGGCCCTCCACCGCTGACAAGGGCGAAGAGTCTGATGATGAACTGTCTGCCCATGCCAGTAATCTATCTTTGAATACTTCAATTCAACCTACTGGTGCTCCACCAGCAGTGCCTGCTCCTGCGATTCCTGATCATTTCGATTCTCGTCGTTCTTCGATGTACGACTCAGCTTCCTCTCCAGTCCTGACACCTGCGGCTGAAAAGAGAGCCAGTCGTCTACCACCTCCTATCCCAACCAACCCACCCATGGCACCCTCACAAGGACGTGCTCCACCTCCACCTCCTCCAGGCCAAATGCGTCGCCGATCTACTGCCGACAGTCGCACCAGCGCGATGTCTGCCCCCCGACAGGCTGGAGAAGAGGCAGAAGGAGAGGTTACCGAATACGACGGGGACTACGATACTGATATTGCCTCGGGAGTCAAACACAAGGATGCCCTGAAGTCTCACGAGCGTGACTCAAGCTTTGACGAGGGCACCATTACCGATGATGTCTCCATTCATTCTCCACGCAGCCCCCAGGAAGCTCGGCAACCCCCGCCTCTTCCCCCAACAGCTCCTAGAGGTGTTCCTCCACCACCCCCAAGTCAGCCGCCCCATAATGTTCGTGCGTCTATCGACACACCCAGAGGACCCCCTCCTCCTCCACCAAACAGAGAGCCGGCTGGTGGTGATGACGATGATGAATATGACCCTTTCAACTACGCCGCTCCTCAGCACGGCCTCCCCAGATCCCCCGGCGTTCCACATGGACGCCCTGAGGCACCACCTCCGCCACCGCAGCATGCGAATGATGACTATGATGATCTGTATGACGCCTCTCCAGACTTGCAGAGCCCAGCACAGGAAAGTGCCACTTCCTCGCACAAGAAAACGCTCTCATTGGTCCCTCCGCTTCCCCACGGCCAGGCTCCAGGCATGCCATCCCCCTCTACGGGCCGAAGCCAACGCGCATCCGTGGATTTATTGAGAAGCCAGCCTAACCTTCGCCGGTCTATGGATGTCTCTCGCCCGTCGGTCGACCTTGGGTTCATTGCTACCGATGTCGACCTTTCTGAGAGCACACTCTGGTGGGCCCAGCCCAACACACCCCCTCCGGTTTTCCAGAACCGCAAGGATCTACTTTTCGAAATCGAAGAGTCAGCTTCTACGAAGCGTGGTGGAAAGACATCCGTCTCAAAGGACGTTTATATTCTGTTCATTGATTACTCCCAGACCATCGTGACCGTCCAGTATGATGCCAAAAACCCCGCGGATGTTTCTCTTGAGCAGCGCCACGAGTCTCCACCTCTCCAACCCCGTCAAGATCAGTTAGAACAGGCCCATATCCAGCTTGGAACCAAGATTTCCGAAGCCGTCAATTCGATTCAGAACTCCACCGTTGGAGATGGCACTACCTGCGGACTTGTGCAGTACCTGCTCGATCCTCTCTCTGACGCTCTTCTCCCTGTTGGCACTCGAGCTTACGGCGTCGCGGTGTACTCAAATCTAGCCAATGCTTCCGTGTCTTTGCATGACGAAATTCGTGCTGGTGACATTGTCAGCTTCCGCAATGCCCGTTTCCAAGGTCACCGCGGCACAATGCACCAAAAGTACAGCGCCGAGGTTGGCAAACCCGACCACGTCGGCGTCGTGGTCGACTGGGATGGCACCAAGAAGAAGATCCGAGCCTGGGAGCAAGGTCGCGAGAGCAAGAAGGTCAAGATGGAAAGCTTCAAGTTGAACGATCTCCGCAGTGGTGAATGCAAGGTCTGGCGTGTGATGCCCCGTAGCTGGGTAGGCTGGGAATCCAGCAAATAGGCAACTGACACTGGTTGGACTAGGATCAGATTCTATAGTCTGTTCTTCTTGGAGTCGACCTCCTTTGGCCAATATTGGGCTATGAGCAGATGACATTTTCTTTTGTGTCTCGTTTCCTTTTTTTTTTCTATTCTCTTTCTTTCCCCGTCTCCCATCTAGATTGGGTTGGATCTTGTATGAATGAAAAGGTGTCTCCTTTCTCTCCCTATCCTCTATATCATTCTCTTCCATTCTCTTCTTCTGTCTTGTCTTCTGTTCTCCTCTCGTGGATCATCTGGACCCCTGTGGTAATGTGCAATCGGGGGTGGTTTCCTGTTTGATGGAGAGTTCAGCGAGCGTGCAGTTTTTTTCTTCTTCTCTTCTCTTTCTCTGTCAATGTTACATTTTGCATCTGCCTTCGGTTATCAATGTTGCCTAGACATAGTTAGGCCTGTCTAGACCTGGTCCACGTTCGGATGCCTCTAATGTGAGAAATTGTCGGAATGATTTCGGTCTCCCAGCTCTCCTATATCCCCATCAACCGTCAGTCTTCATTTTACCGACGTGACCTTAAGACTCCCCAAGCCCACGGTCTAGAACTAAGAAATAAATTAACCCAAGCTCGTAGCGAAGCACTAAAACATCCCAAACCTAGTCTAATTTGATTCACGGAGAACCCCTCCAGCGACCCCACCGACGCCCCAGGACCGTTGGAGCTGTTAGCAGTTTGACCATATCACCCCGAGTCCACCCTTGGGAACCTTGGACACGAACTTTAACGTTATACTGTCGCCCTCACGGTCTAATACCCGCGACCAAAACCCCCCTCCCAATCTAGCCCCATGGCAATTTCCATCGCCTGAAACGCCGGCTTCAAGCCCACAGCCTGAGTGACTAGGGCCCCCCGGCCCCCTCCCTTCTCAAAACGGGGGCATAATGGAGAACGAGAGAGGGAGAGACCCGCCAATGACGAGCCGACTCCTTTTTTGGTACTTTTTTTTTTTCCCGGGGAGTTTCATTCGACTGTGCCGTGTTCGTGCGGCAATCGCCCATCTCCCACTGTTCGACAGTTCGAGACCCGGCACACTTGTCCGGATATTCGCGATCGGGTCGGCTGTTGGGTTCCGTGCTGATCGCGAATATCATGTCGATTTTGGCTACGCTGCAATGCTGGAAAGAGTTCGGATTCATGCAAGGTACATGCACGCCGACACGATGTACTGAACAGGACGCTAATTATGGACCATGGATCATGGATCCCCATGCTCTGAGGTTAGAGTCTACTAGTACGGAGTGCTGTCGTAGGCTACGGAGTCCAGTCCTATTCGGCACTATATTTGGGACTTGGACGTGAAAAGTGATAGATCCAGTGTCGGAGATTAAGGTGAGTTGGGGGGGGGGGGTGTCCACGAGGATTCGGATTCGTTCCTATGAAGGACTGCTTGGTTTGGACTGTATCTGGGGGTGGGTTTTCTACTGTTGATGTCTCCGGGACACCTTGTTGATATCCGAGCCTATATATCTATGACGATAGGTGATATATTAAGTCCTCTTCCTCCGTAGATGACATCAATCTCGATCTATTGGAATATGACTCTCCTCATTCGGACTAGTCAGGGGGGCACTATGCCTGATGCTTCCAATAGTCTCTCCCTTTTGCCGTGGCATTCTTTTTTCAGGCTTTTACAACGGCTGTCACCGCTCACCGGGACGCTAACTTCTGTTCTAGGCTGACTACATTCCCGGATTCTTGATTTCTTCTCCCTCTTCTAAACTTTGTTCCTCCATGTCCGGAACTGCACCTGGAAATGGAGATTAGTAATCCAGGCCTGGAGCCCTGAACGCCCTGGAAGATGGGCTCCATCGCCTCCCATGGTTCGAAATTTGGCTTTCTCGGGGGCGGATCCACGTCTAGCAAAAATCTGCATCCTCTTCGTATACAGTACCGAGCTGACTGTGGGCTCTGCGACGTACTACAGTACTGTACAGCCCCCCCCCCGTCCTGCACAATGCAGGAGGTCCTGCAGTGCGGAAAATAAAATTGAATGCATTGTGTATCCGGTACTGCAGGAAATTGACCTTGGACCCGGCTCTTGTTCACTGATATGGTGGCTGAGTCCTGCACGCCATGTCCATTTCGCTAATCTCAGCCATGGCAGCCATATTTAATATAGTGGTCTCGTGTACATGCAGAAGGCGATATTGCAGAGGCAAATCCATGTTTATCTGCCGTTGATGCTGATTGGGGGCTTTCCCCGGTTTACCTGTCCTGTCCTGGGGACACAGTTACTGTACTTTGCCCTTGCCGGTCCATTGCTATGCAAGGAGTTGGGGGGGTCTATTTGATCTCATTTGATATCAGGGTCTGAGATGAACCAGAGTCTCCATTTCGATGGAGTCTTCTCTTCTGATCCATAATTATTGGGATCACCTTCTCCATTGGATGTCAACTCCGATCTGGTATGAAGTAATCGAGCGACGATCTTGTTTCCCGTGTCCAGGCCCCCGGATCTTAGCGGGAAAAGGGCTTTTTTTTTTCTTGGGACATGAAGGTTTGAATTAAGACACACACATGTTGTGTGTCGCATGGTGTAGATAGGTGGCGTTCAGCCCCGGGTTCGAAGAGAGCGATGTATGCTTCTCCCGTATCCAGGGATGAAGGATGAAGCAAGGGGACGGTATTGTAGGGACGGTAACTTACGACCCTCATTGGCCTGTTTTGTCTGTTGGGGGGATCTGAACACTGTGAGATGACCATACCATACCGTAGTTCCATGGATATCGCTCGGGAACTGTCAACTTCAGGTTTCAAGAGAGTATGAAGGCGTAAACAAGTAAACAAGTGGCTGCTGGCATTGTCCAAACATTGTCGGGCTGATCTGAACAGGACGATCCTCAGCTTCATTTGTTTTTCTTTCCTCAAAATTCCAATTGAAAAATCGAAAATCGGTTTTTTTGTTTTTTTCCCTTTAATTTTACTTTGACGCTAAGGGGAGCTGGATCCATTCCAAATCGTGACATTCTTCGCGTTCCCTATGTGATTTGTCTACTCTAGATATCTCTCGCTCTCTCTTCGATTTCCAACCTCTCTGACTTGGGTCATGCCGCTCTCTTCCTCTGGATGATATCCAGTGAGTCAACTTCTTCCAATTGAAGGGGCTATCTGTTGATCCAAAAGTACACTCCACACACTCGTTCAACCCCTCATACTGTACATTCCTTACTCGCCGATTACGGCCTGCCTCCTGAGCACACATTACCGATGATGAACCGTTTCCGCAAGAATAAGAAGGTGAAGGACACCTCGGGGGAGATCGAGGGGGAATCTCCAACATTCAGCCTAAAGGGATCCAAGAAGAAGGACGTCCAGCAACCCAAACCCGAACCGGATTTTGACCTTTCCGCCGCCCTCCCCCCATCAGATAACTTCCGGACGAGTTTGCTGATGCCAAAGCTGTCGGCTCGGTTTAGCATGCTGAAGGAACAAGATGACCCCCTCTCATTACTCGGAAAGGCGAGTGACGACAGCGTGCTGTTCCCCAAACGCGCCTCACGATTAAATCTGTTCGGACACAACCCGAATATGCTCGCGGATATCGATGAATGTTCCTCCAACGATGGGAGTCGGCCCTCGATCGCTCTCGGCCGCACAGACTCGTTCGCTTCGGGGGAGATGGATACGGCACAGATGACGACCGATCACAGTCTGGGAGTATGATGAGCAGAGGACGTCGCGCAGAAGGAAATAATCTGTTTGGTGGCCGCCAGAAGGTTTATAAGATCCCGGTTCGAGGCCCAGGGGCACCGAATGGAGCACCAGAAGGTGGTAATCGGGGGATGGGAAAGCCGGTGTATGACCATGACATGAATCTCTCCGCTTTCCAGCGACTACGTTTAAAGGAGAAGGAAGAGAAGGCCGCGGAGGAGGCGCGCGAGGCTGCTGCTCGGCAATCAGAAGACGCCCCGTCGACTGTCTCATCGAACGATCGAACCACTTACTCTTCTACGGCCTCCGGACCTCTATCAAATGTTCAGTCATTGACCCCTGCGACGTCGATCGACGAATCGCCATTAAGCGCATCATCCTTACCACCGGCGGGTGGATATCCATTCCCAGAAACCGTGGCCGAGCCCCATCGGTCGAATTCCGCCATGTCTAACCCGAAAACTGGTTCGATTCGATCTCGTCGTCTCTATGGTCAAGGATTGACCCAGGCAGCTCAGAACCAGCAGACCTCGACTTTGTACCGTCTGGAAAGCCTGAGCCGCCAGCGTGCAGGGACGCCTGATCTTCCTTCTTTAAATCGCAACTACTCCCGGAGTGCATCCAACCTGCGTGATCGTCTGCAAAAGCTTGCTATTAATGAGCCTGCTTCAGCTTCTCCTACTAGCCCACCTTCGTCTGCAACCTCTCCCAAACCCCGCATTTCCGGAGAGTCTGCTTTGAAAGAGCGCCTCTCGCCAACAGCAGCAACTTTCGGGGCTGCTCCTCCATTGAGTCCTCCCTTCAGTGAGTCCGAGGATGTTTCCGCCCTCTTGGCTGCTTCAATTCACCCCGAAGACCACGGCAAGGCGACTGCCATGGGCCTGTTCAACCGCCCTGCCACAGGTTTCGACGAGCAAGCGTTCTCCCGTCGTCAGCTTCAGATGCATCAGGGACGAGAAACCCCACCGCCGCGACGAGCGTCACCCCCGCGCCGGCCTCTTCCCGCAGAGCCTGTGAACCAACGCCCACGAGGATTGTCCAAGTCTAGCTATCGTTCCAGAGCCGAGTCTGCCTCTTCTCACTACAGTAGCGAGGCACACCGGGGCGTTGATCACTCCCGTGCCTCCAGCATTGAGGCTTCCCCTTACAGGCTAGGAGCGAAGACTTTCTATGCCAATTCCACAGCTAGCGACTCGGGGGATGAAGGCGATGATCGGCGCTCGCACGACCTCTCGTCAGCGACATCCTTGGCTACAGAATACGGCCAGTCCATCCAGCGTTCTAGCATGGTATCGAACACCCCGTCAACTCAAACCAAGGATCACCTCGAGACTCTCCCGGAAGTGAGATACTCGGATCTAGGTGACCTGAAGCCCATTGAGGAGAATGATTATTTCGATGCCGCTTCCTCGCATGAAGCTGTCCCACCGAGACCTGATTCCCCGACAATTCAGGCGGACCCGGGACTCGGTGGAATGGGGGGAATGGTTCGCTCTCACCTTCGCCAGCAAAGTGATCGATCCTCTATTTTCCCTCCCCCGTCACCCCGTCTTCCTGAGCATGAGCCAGAGGAGCGTGTGTCACAGGAATCCATTCCGCTGTACCAACAATCCCGCGAAGATGCTCGGCCGTCATCAGCTGCACGCCCCAGTACGTCAAGCTCGCATACTCCTTCCGCTCACTCTGCAGAGGGAAGCGGTTCTCGTAACAGCGAAGACTCTTCCGCCCCTGGCACTATTGGCGACAGCTCGAAGACCCCATCGTGGAAAGAGGAAATGGCGTCGTTCTCCCACCGCCGCGACGGAAGCACTGAGACCCAGAAGGAACGTGAGGAGTTCGCCATTGAACTGGCCGAACGGCGCAGAAAGGTGCAGGAGAAGCTCCGAAGTGTTGCCGAGAGCGAGAGTCGATCTAGCAGTCCTACTCCTGGCCGCTCAACCCCCGACTTCACCAGGACTGGAAATGCATTTGCTATGTTGAAGCAAAAGGCTAGCAAGCAGGTCACCCCCAAGCCCGACCAGAAGAAGCTCTTTGGTTACAACAACTCGTCCTCCCCTGCCCTTGCTTCGGATGAGTCGTGGCGCGAGGAACGTCCCCCTTTCAGCTTTGGTCAACACTCCAACTCTAGCTCTCCTCAAGTGGGAGAGCGTTCTCTCAGATCACGTATGCCCACTCTCAGTCGCAACAACAGCAACGAGGAGTCGCGCGAGTCCAGCCGCAGCCGTGGGCCATCTCCGCACGGTGGTTTCCGGTCCCAGAGAGAGCGTTCGGGATCTGATGCATCTGGCCGCTCTAAGAGCCGCACCAGATACCGCGAGCGTGATGATCTCCAGACTGTCGATGAGGGATCAGTTATTGCGCATGATAACTTCGTTGTCCCTGATGGATTCGAACCTCCCATGCCCAGTTCTCTCCCCGCCTCCAACCGCCCATCGGCTGAGATGGCTGAGCCAGGGTATTTTGATCGGACGCCATCTGGTGCCTCCGGTAGATATCGTAGCACCAGCCGCTCCGGGACCCCGAGCTTCCAATACGAGCGTCCATTCCAGTTCCCCAACTCTAACACGTCCTCAATCATCGGCGCCTCGCCTCGACCTTCGCCTGCTGCCCCTCCATACTCTGCCAATGCAACTCCTCCTTTGAACGAGGTCCCAGCCAATGCCTCATCCACGTCCCTCGCATCCACAGCCATTTCCACCCACACAACCCCCCAACGTGCTCCAGGACCTGGATCTCTCCTCAAGCGCCCGGTGAACAAGAAGCAAATCTCAGAGCCGACCTTCGTCTCTTCAACATCCAACGTCCCACTCGTTGGCCTTCAGTCCCAAACCAGCAACGCCCCTCCCCTTCCCCCCATGAACCCACGGCGTCGCCGCGGCACAGCAACTCAGACTATCCTGGGTGCTTTCAAGATCGACAAGCACGACTCGTCGCGGGTTGCATCACCAGCTCCAAGCACCACGGAGGAACAAAGCGTCTTTCCAGACGACGAATCTCGTCCCCGTTCCCGCAATCGTCTTCGCAAGACTTCCAGCGAGGGTGGTAACCTGAACGCGCGGGCGCGCCAGGAATCCCGGCCTAGCTCTCCTCCAGCCGTCCCTCAATACCCTCCCCCTGCCGTTCCTGCTGATGGTGGCATGTTCTAATCTAATCATATTCCTATTCCCATTCTTTACATCTTTCCTTGGTCCTTGACTTCGTCTCCTTTCGTTACACTCTCATTCCATTCCACCCATTCTACCCATGTCTATTCATCTTCATCTTACATCTGTCCATGGCTCTGTTTCTGTTCGATTACCACATCCCACTTTCCGGGTTTCATTTTCCTTTTCATTTTGTGCTTCGGTTCACTTTCATCTTGACGACTAGATACCATTCGGTGCATTTGAGCGTCTTGTCTTCCAATCCTCTTTTCTTTTTTCTATTGGGTGTCTTCTTCTATTACACTTCTTTTATCTTTAGGTGCTTTTTCTGTCTATGTACTCTATTTTCAAGTGTACTGTCAATCGATACATATCCGGTTTTGATTCGTGAGATTGTAGTTCGTAATCTGTGCCTCATATCCGTGCACGGATGATCAATAACATGGCAAGGTTGATCCATGTTCGTCCATAGAAAGTAAATATATCTGCATCTCCAACCTATTCTACAATGAAGCTTCCAAAGGGCAGCATCGGAATAGCATGTAACAGTGGCCAAGTCAAGCCACAAACACTGCATCAAGGGGCAGACTGGCTTTAAGGTATGCATAGAAGGCATCTGCAGAGAGACTTTTAGATGCTTCATGGCACGGTGAAGTTATTCATGATCACTGTTGTATGAGATGAAACAGCAGGGATAATAGCCAAGCCTCCTCACTTCCATAACGTTTCAATCCCATTGAACATTCGCCAAACAAAAGCCCCCTCCATCCAGCACTCTCCATAGTGATCAATCCGTGATGGTCGAACCCGCCAGCGGATAATATCTCAATCGCAGCGGAAGCTGTGATGAAGTTGGAACCTTTCCCAGTTTGACCGTCCACACTGACATCTCGCAGTTCCATCTTCACTTCAAGCGGTTTACTGTCTACATTCATGGGCCGAAGGTGATCTTTGATGTATGATCGAATTGTCTATAGAAACGCTGGACTAGTATATATTTTTTTGCCTACGCCCTCTCCGCAGCAGTCTTCAAGTATCCCAACACCCTCTCAACCAGGAACTGGCGCGGCTCAGCCTGATCATCATTGCTCAAAGCATGAGAAGCATTAGGAATAACACCCGTATGCTTGTCATCCCAGATCTGATATTTGCCATTATGATCCGTAGCATTTTTCCACCTAGCGAGCATCTTGTCCTTGTCAACCCAATCAGGAATGGACTGATCCTTCCCAGAAATCAACACCATCAACTTATGATTGAGCAAGCCACGCTCCTGAATCATACCAAACGTCTTCCCAAAGTGCGCATCACTCAAATCAGAACTAAACAGATCATCCTCCTGAGGCGACTGCGGACTCTCGGGACTAACAAGACTCAAGAACCGCCTGCAGCTGATAGGCGTGTTGGAGGGGTAAATCATGGAAGTCAACTCCAAAGGCAGCATAGTATCATGCTTAGAATCACTGGCAACAGCTTCACGAGCCAGGGACTCCATCTGATCATATACAGCACGAGCCTTCTCAGGCGTCGTATCGCCAATACCCCACTTCAGAACCCAGAAGATAGCCTCGCGATCCGAGACGGGCGCCTGCATAATCGCACCATCAAGCACAGGCCGCTTGACGTGCTCGACGTGCGGGTCAAAGGCCGGGATGTCGGTGTGGGGGTTTGCTTGGGAGAGGTAGTGCAGCACGCATTGGCTGCCAGTGGAATGGCCCATGACGGCGATCTTGCCGCCGCCGAACTTGTCGTTCTTGTATTCTTTGATGTACTCCAAGCACTGGGCGATCTCGCTCGTGTCGCGGTCCAGGTGTCCCAGGCCCCAGGATTGGTAGGAGGAGGTGAGGTTCAAGGTGAAGAGGGACCATTCGGAGTGCTGGAGTGCGCGCGCGAGATCGGCCATGTAGGATGTTGTTGCGAGGCCGTCGCCGAGCCCTCCGACGAAGAGGAGACTGTGCGGTTGGCGGACGGTGCTAGAGGCATATTCGAATGTGACGAGTGTCTCGGTCTTTTGGTTTGTTAGCTTCCTGTCTGGGTCCAATTGACGTTTTTCCCCCCCCCTTCTTTTTTTTTTTGTCCGGGGATGAGGGGTTGGAACTCACGTAGTGATGCAGGATGCCGGGGAGGCCTCCCTTGGGCCAGAATTTAGACATGATGTGTAGATGTAGATGTAGATGGTTATACAGTAGGATAGGTAAGGAATGTTTCTAGGAGAGGAAGTTGGCGGATCGTTCGATTTGCCGAGCTCGGGCTTTCGAGGTTCCGCATGACGCAGTCTGTGGGATTCTGCATCGGTTAGGGAGACCGAATGCGATCCACCGGACAAATGGTTCAGAGCATCTTATCAATCTGATTACGCCGTGTCAAGCCGGGATTATTAGGTAACAAGTCTCACTTTTGGCAGCCAAGACAGAGTTGCGGAAAAGGGGGTTGCGTGGTTGGAAAGGTTGGGGTTGCGTTTTGGTAATACAGTGTACAGCTCTGTATGGGCTGAAGAAATACCGTGTCACGTAATATAAGAGAATCGTGGGAGAATACCAGCGGTATTGCACCAAGTGGGCACTTGCAGAGTCTGTCTCGCCTAGCAGGCCAAGAAACCCACAAAGTCTTTTAATACGAGCCCATGTCCGTCACCATTTCCCGTTTTTGCTGGAAATACGGTACGCACACACACCAGCGCGCGCTAGTCGGAGATAGGTAAGATCAACGGATCTGATTAGATTGATTGGTTGAATCAGTCCGAATCTGATTAGATTGCCCCTCGGTGAAAACTCTATCCGGGTTAGATCGGAGTTAATTTCGTCACTACGTCTCAGCAATACCTGTGCTTTACCTGGACTTGCGGTAGAAAGCCAAGTTCTCCTGAATGCCTAGGAAGGCTTGTATCTCGATAGCTAGCCTTACCCGACTCAAGCTCCAAGCAGATGATCACTGCCCAAGGGGTGCGTTATGAGATGCTTGGCCAAATGCCAAATTGAACCACAAAGTTCAACGTTGCGACTTCGTCAACCAATGAATAAAGTATGGTCGAGGAGGGGCTCATGGATATTGTGGCGTTCATGAGACTGAAGAGGCTTTCAGCAAGCGAGCCAAGAAATCACTCAAAAAAGCAGGTACATGTAAGACGCTAAAATCATGGCCATTTTATTTTGGCTTGTTATTCTTTCTACCCACGTTGCTTTTGAGCACCCGGACTGCAGTAGGCGCATATAATCTGAAATTCAACAAATCAGTGCTCAGAACGAGAAATGCGCACGCTTGTGATTTGGGTGGGGCTCGGACTGACAGGATATCGCAAAGATCCTCGCTTCCATCGGGCATCACAGTATATCGGGTATTTCCGAAAAAGGCATGCACAATAGAGGGTCAACATGCATAGCCAGTCTCCGAACATCCGTGCAACGGATTCAGTTTCCTGTTCAGTTCGGGGGTAGGGCTGCTGCATTGCAGGAATGTAACCACGTTCTCCCCCCTGTCTTGGTATTCCCTAGCTCAACCATAAACATACGACTAGCCATGCAGGAAAAATGGCTCAGGTCGATTTCATGTTCTTGGCAGCAATTTCGTATTAGTTTCTGTTTCCACCTTATGACGCGCTACCCGCTTGTGGAGCCAAAGATAATAATTACATTACTTACAGTACAGAATGAACTCGATGTCAACGGGCAAATATGAAACCTACACTGGCTCCGGCCCGTTTCTACTTTCGAGTTGAACCCCACCCCGCAGTAGCCGATCTCGGGCAAGACGTTCAATACATGCAGGGAAAAGTTGACGCTTCGGAAGTTAGGTGGAGCGTAACGCGACAGAACCGTGGCTTAGTATAAGAGTCGGCCATACCACTTCCGCCAAGTTGACCCGCTCCAAATTAAACAGCTTCAACACCTTCACACCAGGGGATATAGTACCAGCTGTGCTGGTCTACCGTCAATATGGGTTTCATCCCTCTCGATCAGGTGAATCTTCCCAGTGTGCCAACAAACGACGTCGAGAAAATGACGACCACACAAATCAATGGCGACGACTTTATGTCTTTCGAAGTCGCGGCCCTTGCCTCTGATACCCCGAGCCCGACCGGCATGAAAGAAGAAGTTGTGTTGCTATCATGGCTTATGGTTCTTCTGCGAAGCCGCGAAGATGTCCAAATATCCTACGACTGGACCTACAAAAGTGGCGCAGATTATATGGCGTCAGAGCCGGTCAAAAAACTGTCAATGAATGAAATAATGAGCGGATTACAAAGTAACGTGGGAGAAGTTGGCGCGACAATTGCGCGCAACATTGCGACAGCTTCACAAGCCGCTTTAAGTCCGGCATCCCTCGTTCTGAGCACGAGTTCACTCTCAAGAGAGCCTGCCGAGGCTAAGGATGAAGTGAGTCTGTATGAGCTCTGGTTTCTTGATAATAGCTAACCGTAATCGCAAGGATGTACTGCATCTTGAAATTCGCTTCAATAATGCGAGCCTCGAAATTCGCCCGTTGTGGCACATCGAGAAGATGCTGCCATACGCAGTAAAACACCATATTGAGGCGCTGGCTGACACCATCAAGGTGTGCCTTTCAAGCTCCCACGCGACCATTCAAGACTGCTTGAAACCGACAGAAAGCGATTTGAGCGATATCTGGAGCTGGAACCACCAGCTGCCTCCCACACTTAGCTATTGCATGCAAGACAGAATTGCCGACAGAGCTCGCGAGCATCCAGACAAGGTTGCGATTGATTCTTGGGATGGCAGCTTGACTTACGGTCAGGTTGATCAATATTCCACTTATGTGGCATGCTGTCTTGTCGAACTGGGCGTCCAGGTACACGACGTTCTTCCAGTGTGCTTTGAAAAGTCAAGATGGACCATCGTCGCCGTCCTCGGTGTTATGAAGGCTGGAGGCACTCTCGCCCTCATGGATCCAACTCTTCCACTTGCCCGTCTCCAGAATATGGGTGTTCAAGTCGGCGCAAAGTCGATGGTTGCATCTCGCAAGCAATGTGAACTGGCCAAAACAATTCTTCCCGAAGGTCAGCACTTTGTTGTTGACGAAGAGACCTTCACAAAATTGGAGAACTCTCCATTAACCACCACTCTACCTGTTGTGCCCCCTTCTGCCCTTCTCTATATTATCTTCACCTCTGGAAGCACGGGTACCCCCAAAGGAGTGATGGTTTCGCATGAAACATACACAAGCAGTGCCATTCCCCGTGGCGAGGCAGTCGGCTATACTCCGGAGTCCAGGGTTCTGGATTTCGCGTCCTACGCTTTCGATGTCAGCATTGACAGCATGCTTGTCACCGTCGGAAATGGTGGTTGTCTTTGTATTCCATCTGACGAGGATCGACTCAACGATATCAATGATGTGATTCGGAAGTTGCGAATCAACTATACCGGTCTGACTCCTTCAGTGGGCCGCATCTTGGAACCAGATGTTATTGCATCCCTCAGTGGTCTTGGCCTCGGTGGAGAGGCTGTATCCGCCAGAGACGCTAACAACTGGGGTAAAGAGACCCGTATCATTATTGGATATGGTCCTTGCGAATGTACAGTTGGATGCACTATCAATAGCAGCGCTGCCACTGGCAGGGATTACCTCTCAATTGGCCCTGGCAATGGTTGCGCCATGTGGATTGTGAACCCCAATGACCACAATGAACTTGTTCCAGTTGGTGGTGTTGGTGAATTGCTTGTTGAGGGCCCTATTGTCGGACAGGGCTACCTCAATGACCCCGAGAAGACCGCATCTGTCTTCATCAATGATCCTACCTGGTTGGTTGCAGGTCACAAAGACTACCCAGGTCGTCAAGGCCGTCTGTACAAGACTGGTGATCTTGGAAAGTATGACCCCGATGGATTGGGAGGTATTGTCTTTGTTGGTCGTAAGGACACCCAAGTCAAGCTTCGTGGACAGCGTGTCGAACTTGGCGAGATCGAGAGCCAGCTTAAGGCGGTCCTTCCCTCAGATGCCAACATCATTGCGGAGGTGATCACTCCCAAGGAGTATGGAGGCCAGGCAATGCTCGTCGCCTTTGTGACATTCGGATCCACGAAGGGACAGACTGAGCTTGCCCTAGAGCCCCTCTCTAGCGAGCTGAACGAAATTATCACGAAGGCCAACGCGGATGTTGCGAAGGTTTTGCCTCGGTATATGGTGCCCACTATTTATATTCCAGTCAATGTCATGCCAGTATTGATTTCAGGTAAAACTGATCGCAAGCAACTTCGTGCATTCGGTTCCAGCGTCGATCTGCGCCAGCTGGATCAAGGCGCAGCAAGCACTGCTTCTCGCGAGCTTACTGAGCTCGAGCAGCGTTTGCGGAAGACATGGGGCGAGACACTGAAGCTTGATGCTGAAGCTATTCGGCCTGACGACAATTTCTTTGCTCTTGGTGGTGACTCTTTGGCAGCAATGAGACTTTCGTCTGTGTGCCGAACTCAGGGTCTCGATCTCTCTGTCATTGACACATTTGGTAACCCTACACTCTCAGCAATGGCCAGCGTTGTCAAGCCGTGCAGCACTGACATCGAAACGGAGATTCCCGCCTTCTCGTTGATCTCTCAGTCTGTCGAGAGCGCCCGTCTCGAAGCAGCAGAAGCCTGCGGCGTGAACCAAGAAGCCATTGAGGATATCTACCTTTGCACACCCACCCAAGAGTCACTGTTCACTTTCTCGCTCAAGTCAGCCAAAGCATACATTGCCCAGAGAGTCGCGAACATTCCATTGCATATTTCCACGGAAGCATGGAAGAAGGCATGGGAGGATGTTGTCGCCGCAAGCCCTATCCTTCGCACTCGCCTGGCACCGCTGCAAGACCCTGGTCTGCAGCAGATTGTTGTCAAGGAAGGTGTTGCCTGGAGATCTGCTACAGATCTGGAGCAGTACCTCGAGAACGACCGAAGTGAGCGCATGAATCTCGGACAAAGCCTGGCTCGCTATGCCATTGTCGCCAACGAGGACAAGCGATACATGGTCTGGACTGTTCACCACGTCCTCTACGATGGATGGTCAGAGCCAATTGTCCTGAAACAAGTCAGCGATGCACTGCAGAGCCAGTCCATCGAGATCCAGACAAAGATGCGGAACTTCGTCAAATATGTTCGTGACACCGATGAGAATGCTATGCATGAATTCTGGCGTCGCGAACTGAAGGGTGCTGTCGGGCCTCAATTTCCTCGTCTCCCCTCCCGAGACTTCATGCCCACCCCTAACGCCTTGATCGAGCACCAGATCTCGCTCGAGCCCAATGCCGGCTCACCATTCACAATGGCTACACTGGTCCGTGGCGCCTGGGCTCTGGTTGCATCGCAATACACTGGAAGTGACGATGTTGTCTTTGGTGAGACACTTACAGGTCGTGACATCGCCTTGCCTGGCGTTGAGAGTATAGTCGGACCTTTAATCGCCACAATCCCCATCCGTGTCCTCGTCCGCCGCTCAAGCTCGATCGAAGCTTACCTGCAGACAATCCAGCAATCTGTCTTGGCCCGCACGCCCTACCAGCACATGGGAATGCAAAACATTCGAAAGGTCAGTCAAGATGCCCAATACGCATGCGAGGCCCCGACCGGTCTTGTTATCCAGCCCGACCCAGAATACGTGGGCAGTGAGCTTGGATTTGAGCTTGGAGATGTCGTGCGCGAAGCAATCCATTTCAATCCCTACCCAGTCATGGTCGCCTTTGGAATTCGCAAGGGTGGTCTCCGAGTCTGTGCAAGCTTCGACACTAGCTTGGTTGAGGGCTCGCAAATGCAGCGCATCCTTGCTCAGCTGGAGACCGCTTGCATTCAATTGTCGAAGAACCTTGATCGGAGACTTGATGAGATCTCTTGTCTCCCTGAAGCGGAGTTGAACCAGATCTGGGAGTGGAATCAGACTCCTCCCCTCTCTGTGGACCAGGCAACTGGTAAGCTCCGCGCGGAGGCCGCTATGAAACAGGGATCTGTTTACCCTCGTGCTGTCGTCCCTTGGGTGTGTGATGCGCGCAACCCGACTCTTTTATCACCTATCAGCTCTGTTGGTGAGCTTTGGCTTGAGGGTGATTGTCTCTCTGGGGAGACTGTTGAATCCCCAGCTTGGCTCTTGGCTGGAAGTGCTGGATCCGCTGGCCGGATTGGAAAGTTGCAGCCCACTGGTGATATGGTGCAATTGCGTGAGGACGGTAGTATGGTGTTTGTCGGCCGCAAGGAGAATGTGGTCGCACTGCAAGGACATGCAATTGACATTGTAGACCTTGAGTCGCACTTTATTGACCACCTCCCGCCTTCAACTCGTGCCGCGGCGGCAGTCTTCATGTCATCAACAGATGGCGCCCAGAGGACTGCGGAGCAAGAACTCGTTGTCTTTGTTGAGAAGCAGCCTTCCGAGGAAGACAACATCAAGATTATCGCGGAAAAGTATGATGTTGCTAACAGTGAGTCCGGCTTTGAGACCACTGTTTGCGATGTTATCCCAGTCAGCCTTGCTGTCTCATTGAAGAAGCTCGACAAGTATATTCGGGACTCACTGCCGGCCTACATGGCTCCCTCAGCGTACATCGTGGTTGACAAGTTGCCCGCTGGCCTGGAGCAGCTTGAGCACACCATGCTGAACCAGCTTGCTTCATTGATTCCCCAAAGCGTGCTCAACCAAGTGCGCGAGGGCACAAAGGAGGCATGGACCAAGGGTTTGGCGCAGACTAACCTCACACCCGAAGAGAAGATTCTACAGGCTGCTTGGGCCAAGATTCTCCGTCTCACCCCAGAGCAGATTGATGTTGATGACAACTTCTTCCGTCTCGGAGGTGACTCTGTCTTGGCCATGAAACTTGTGTCTGGTCTGCGCACCGAAGGTCACGCCCTGTCTGTGGCCGATATTTTCCAGAACATGCGTCTCGGCGATGCCGCTAAGGTGTTGAAGGTCGACCAAGCTTCCAAGGACAGTGTTCAGCCTTATAAGCCCTTTTCAACCCTGAGCAACTTGGATGTCAAGATGTTCTTGGCCTCTACCGTCCGGCCCAAGCTTGCCAACCCAGGCTGGCCAGTCCGCGATGTCTGTCCTGTCACCGAGTCCCAGGCAATGGATATTCGGCAGACTGTCCAGGCACCACGGACATCCATCCAGTACAACATGCTGTACTTTGACCAGACAATCAACACCGAACAATTGCTCCGCGCTTGCGCCGATCTAGTCAAGACTCACGATATCCTGCGTACCGTGTTTATTGAGAATGAGTCTAGCTTCCTCCAAGTTGTCTTGGAAGACGCAGTCCTCCCAGTCACGATGCACCAGACTGACCAGGATCTCGAGCAATACGTGACAGATCTCTGTAAGGCAGACATCGAGACAACCTACGAGCTCGGATCGCCGTTCTTCAAAATCTTCCATGTGGAGGGCACTGATGGCAAGCACTGCCTGATCCTTGGCCTCTCGCACGCCCAATATGACGGTGTCTCGTTGCCGAGAATCCTACAAGATCTCGAGACCTTATACACAGGAGGGAAGGTTTTCGACTTCGAGCCATTTGCCTCATATATTGCTCGTATCTCCGACGGCCGTCTCCAAACCCAGGCAGTCAATTACTGGAGCAATCTCCTGAAGGACTCATCACTGTCCGTCCTCGATGGCCCAGTCGTCGAGCCAACCGATAAAGCAATCTTCCACGAGAAGCCTGTTGAGAACTTCACGCCCGTACAAGAGATCACCGCTGCAAATGTCCTCACTGCAGCCTGGGCATTAGTCCTCGCCCGCCGTCTCGGAAAGCCAGACGTGACATTTGGAACAGTCACATCAGGCCGAACCCTCGACCTCGCCAATGTGGAGAACGTCATCGGACCCTGCTACCAACTCACTCCCATCAGAGTGAAGTTCGAATCCCAGTGGACAGCAATGGATTTGCTACAGTTCGTTCAAAAGCAAGCTGCCGAATCTTCTACTTACGATTTCCTCGGGTTCGAGGAAATATCCAAGCAATGTGCTCAGTGGTCACCGGAGGCGCGCACGTTTGACTCCATTGTGCACCACCAGGATTGGGCTGACTTTGATGATATGCCTTTCGCGGGCACTTCTTGCAAGGTTGATATCTCCAACCCGCATGGTGATGCTGCTTATCCCCTGAAGGCGGTCTCTTTTGCTAAGGGTGGGAAGATGCATGTTGGTTTCGTTGGTAGTGAGAAGGATGCTGCATTTGTCGCTGCTACTCTTGATGAGTTGGCTGCTGCTGTTGGGGAACTGTCTGGCTGCGGCCCTAACCCTTTGATTCTTGATGTTTGAATTATATAGTGGCTATAATAACTGGGTGCTTTTTTGGAAGGAGATAGTCTAGATTGATTTAGAATTTTTATTGTTATCTTTCATCCCTTGCTTCGTAGTTAGGTTATTGGGTAAGAATTATTCGAAGTGAATGATCAAACTGAGACAGAACACAGATCTGGAAATAGACTGGGAGTTTTGTTCTCTACAATTTTCTACCATAGACATTCACTATGAGTAGTGTTTTACATGTTGAAGAAGACTCCTTTGAGACAATAAAAGTCTCTGTTTACCAAGGAAGCAAGAGTGTCTACATGCTGAACATATCTCGAGAAAGAAACAAATGGATATAATATTAAATGGTAACTAGAAATATGCAAATCTATAATTTTAAGTAGCAACTGTCTGGTGCATGACGTTGGAACGGTAACTGTCTGACCGCTGCAACAATTCCTCGTGCGAACCATGGTCAGTGCAAACACCACCATCGATCAAGAAGATCACATCCGCCTTGCGGATAGTGTGGAGACGATGAGCAATAGCAATGACAGTGATACCCCGAGCAGCCTTCTCAAGACCATCCTGCAGAAGCTTCTCAGACTCCGCATCCAAAGCACTAGTGGACTCGTCAAGAATCAACAACTTAGGCTTTCGAACAAGCGCACGAGCAATGGACAGTCTCTGCTTCTGGCCACCGGAGAACTGGTTACCGTTAGGTCCACAGAGAGTCTGGTATCCTTCCGGCAGGGCCATGATGACGTCGTGGATGTTGGCAAGCTTGCAAGCCTCCTGGATTTCTTCAGGGCTGACGTCGTGACCAGGTCGGGCGCCGAGCCCGATGTTGAACTCGATACTTCCCTCAAATAGGACATTTTCTTGGGGGACCAGGGAGATCCAGTCACGGAAGGAGACATCAGTTGTCTTTGTCACGTCGACGCCGTCAATGAAGATACCGCCGGATTCAGGTGTGTAGAGACGCTCGACTAGGGAGATGATGGTCGATTTACCGGCACCACTAGGTCCAACCAGGGCGCAGAATTTGCCTGGGCGGATATCAACGTTCAGACCCTTCAGCACCTTCATATCCGGGCGAGCGGGGTATGAAAAGTGGACATCGCGGAGCTGTACGCTCGAGGCTGGGTTGCCAGAGTCGTAGGTGGGCTTTTCCTCGATGGACTCGACATCTTTGAGGGTTCCGTTCATCTGGTCCTTGCCGATCTCGATTAGGCCTAGGATTCTGGCCATGGCAGATCGTGCCGCTGACAGCTCGGGCGCGAGCGCGAACATCTGACTCCAAAGTAGGGCACTAACGAGAAGAGAGAAGACGACAATCAGGAACTGGGTTTGGGTGTAGTTTCCGTTGACGATTTGTTTGGAACCCCACCAGTAAGCTAGAGCGTTGACGAGGTTACCGAGGAAGTAGGTCATTGCTTGCCATAGACTGGCTTGGATGGTGACCGTGAGTGTTTCCTTGCGGGGTCCCTTCAGGGATCGACGATAAGTCTGCAGGGTATCCTCTTCGAGGGAGAGAGAGGCAATGGTCTTGATAGAGGTGACTGCTTCGACGCCAATATCGACCGACTTAGTGTAGGCATTCTCGTGGCGTTCCTCGAATTTGCCGAGGACCATGAGCTCCATCATACCAGCTCCAAGCAGAAGGGGAACCACAGCCAAACAAACCAAAGCGATTCTCCACGCGATAATGTGGGTGAGAACGATGGCAGCAATCAGGTTGATGGTGATAGCAAATAGAGTGCCGATGACAGAGCCACTCAGACCAGCCAAGGCGTTACCATCGCGAGTGATGTAAGAAAGAAGTAGTGCAGGAGATCTGCCGTTAGACTGGTGCCATTGAAGATCCTGCTCGAAGAGTGACCGGAAAGACAGGACGCGGACTTTGTAGACAATCTTTTCAGAGATATATCCGAATCCTCCCCAACTAACGATGTTGGCAAAGAACTCAATCAAAGCGAGAACGAAGAACATGAGACCATAGAAGTTACCCCGGTTCCTGATACTGGCTGCGCTCTTGCAGGGGTTCAGACTACCGACAGTGTTACCGAAGATGACGGCTTCACCAGAGAAGGCTCCACCAACCATGGTGGCACCGAGAAGCGAAGCAAGAATCATAAGCAGATGGGGTCTAACAGCAGGTGCGTATCCCTTGCAAAGAGCCCACAGGCTCTTCTGGGGAGTATCGGGCTCTTCCTCCTCATCCTCCGCGGACTCGGGGGCTGCCTGTTCAGTGGTAGAGACATGGGCCTCCTTGGCGGGTTCAGTGTCATTTGAAACACTACCCTTCTCGTTATCGACCTCTGTAATAGAGGTATCGTCAGACTTGCTGACGGTTTCAACGCTGACAGTGGATTCAGTCTTGTTAGGAGCAGACCCAAGAGTCTGCAGCTTAACGAGTTCAGAGTATGGACCATTTTGGGCCATCAATTCAGAGTGACTTCCCTCCTCAAGAATGTCTCCCTTGTGCATACAGACAATCTTGTCGGCACCGGTGATGGTAGACAAACGATGAGCGATGGTGATAACAGTTCGGCCGGTCGAGATGTTGTTGATAGCACGCTGGATGCGCTGTTCACTTCTAGAATCCAAAGCAGCGGTGGCCTCGTCCAAAATCAGGACTGCGGGGTCCTTAACAAGAGCTCTGGCCAGAGACACACGTTGCTTTTGTCCACCACTGATCAAACGTCCACTTGAGCCAACAAGAGTGGCATATCCGTACTGCAAAGCCTCAATAAAGCCATCGGCATCTGCAAGCTGCGCAGCATTACGGACCAAGGCAACAATTTCGACGACTTCAGCACCTCGCTTCTCGGCGGCTGTAGTAAGGTCTGATCCTCCTCTGATTTCAGCAGCAACATCCGAAAGATCGGTGCTGAGGAGAGTAGTCTTCAGGTGTGCATGGGCCGGGTTGCTCGAGTTCATCAAACCGTGGGCAATGTTTTCCAATAGAGATCGGTCCAGCAGAGAAGGCTCTTGCTGGACGAGACTGAGGAATCCTCTCAAGTCACGAGTGTTGAGATCGCGAATGTTTTGACCATCGAAAAGGACCTCGCCCTCGGTGACGTCGTATAGCCGATTGACTAGACCTGCGATGGTTGATTTTCCACTTCCAGAAAGACCAACAATGGCAGTGTGCTTCTTAGGAGCAATGGAGAGATTGATTTTGTTGAGAACAGTGATCTCAGGACGAGACGGATAGATGAATGAAACGTCCTTGAACTCGAATCCGCCCTCGGCCTGCGAGAGACGAATGCCGTTATCGCCACATCCATCAATCAAAGGCTTGCGCTCAATGTCATCGCGGAGCTTTTTGTACGAAGCCACAGCCTGAGTGAACAGGTGAATAAAAGGAGCAACTTGACTCAGGAGCAGAGTAGCTGTGTCGCTGTCAGTATGACTTCCGTTTTCAAGATGACTGCCTAACTAACCTTCAACCAAGACGAAAATCACAGTAAAGATAGATCCAACAGTTTTGCCAGCTGAGTCTCCACCCAGTGATTCGGCAATCTGCTTACTTCCCTGCCAGAAGGCCAGACCGTTCGCACCATAGGCAATGAAGTACAGGAAACCAGCCTGGATACCGGTAGCAGCAGCTTTCTTCAAGCCTTCGGTCTCGGACTGCTTCAGAGCTTTCGAGAACTTCTGCTCCAGACGGCCGTTGGCACCAAAGGCCTGCACCACAACAATGTTGGAGAGTGCCTCAGAGGCAATCGACGCAGCGGAAGCGGCGTAGTCGGACATGCGCCCGGTGTATTTCTCAATATAATGACTTCCAACAAAGGACATCAAGAAATAGGCGGGAACCAAGGAAATAAGCATTGCAGCCAAAATATAGTCCTTAATGAAGGCCACAATGTAGGCCGTGATGAAGAAGGAGAAACTGGACAGACAGATGCCAACCTTTTCAGCTGTACCGGAACGAATAGTCTGGATATCGGTATTGAGACGAGAAGCAACCTCACCAGCGGGCAAGTTATCGAAGAAAGAGGGTTCCTGCCGGAGCAAGTTCTGCAAGTATTTTTCACGGAGTCTCTGCGCGAGGCGTGCACCAGTCATGGTCCAGCATAGTAGGTGCATATAAATGAGAACGAATTGGGCAACGGCGAGGTAAACAATCAACAGAATCTTGCTATTGATGTCGGACTGAGAGCTGGAGTCGGAGCTGGACGAGGCGGTTCCATCGGCTTGACTGCAAGTAACATCGTTGAAATCGTCGAGCAGTTGACCGAAGACGATACCGATAATTGGAAAGGGAACACCAGCAGCAATCGCCGACAATATTCCCACCAAAAGTGTCCCTAGCTCAGCTCGGGAGGGATTGCCGGCCAGGAGCAGCTTGGGGTAACCAGAGAGTTGCCCGAAGAGCGTCATGGTGACTCGATATAGGCGCCGGCTTGCAGCACGTGTATAGTTGACGTTTCGAGTGTTGAGGAAGCTAAGTTCTTCAAAGCAGCAAATTTATTGCTCCGATGGGCAAAGTCAGGAAAAAGTCGCATCCACCCGTTAGCGTCTTTCTATCCGGTAAAGCAAACTAGGACACAGCTCCAGAGAAATATGCCAAGTGAAGGTGAGAATTGAAGGGGGCCCGGATGTTCAGCATCCGGCCACTGAGTTTTTTTTATTTTTCCAGCTATTTCTCTCAGCCGACATCGGTTTTAACGGTTTTGAAGGAAGAAATAGAGAAATTCCAGAAATTCAATTGTTATCAGATCGTGGGGCTGCCGTACCACGGGTCGCCATGAGCTGTACATACCAGTTCGTACGAACGAGTATTGGCGTATTGTATGTTTGTTTCACCGTAATTATACTCTCTGTACGGAGCGTACTGTATGCACCTTGGTGCAATTTTTGTCGTATGATGTTTGTTTCATCCGATTAAACATAACAAATGATTTACAATCCCAAGGTCCGATTTAAATACAGAAAGGCAAAAACTTGCTACCGAAATGATCATTCTTTCTATAGTATTTGGGCTTGAACATAAATTTGGAAATTCTTTCTATTATGAATTCTAGCATATTACGTACCACCGTCAAAGCAACATTTCAAGTACTCCGCGACCTCCGACCTGCAATGTGACGGTGTGAGTGGGCCCTCGAGCTCCGTAAAGTTACCGTGCAATCTAAGAAGATTCTTTTTGACTTATCTGATCAAATCAGATTGGAACAACGGGACCAAAGTGGATTCTCTAATTACCGCAGAGAGTTGCTCTAGGAAGCTGCAGATGGTCAAAGAGCTACGAAGTACCCCAGTACTACCCGCATTTATTGGACGTGGAGAAGCGAGGAAAAAGAATTACAAAAAAAAAAAAGGCGTGAATTTTGTATATTATCAAACAAGAGGGTCAAGCATTCTTACAACTTGGCATTCCACGCGGCACGATCAGCGGACTCCAAAGGCCGCTCTCGTCCATCCCAGAACAGTGGGCACAACTGGAACCACTTCTCTCGGCTACAGATCGAGTGGACCGATCTCTTATGTCCGAGGTCAACGTATTTGCCGATGGTGAGACCCTGGGAATTCTCGTAGGACAAAATGGTGGCACCGGTGGCCTTGGGCTCACCGACCACATTTGCCGTACGTGGGTCGTCTAGGAAGCAGTAGTGGATGCAGCTGGAGTACCAGGCATTCACACGTTGGGCGCCTCGGAAGCTCGAGTCGCCGACGAGAGAGTGGCGGCCGCGATCGTAATCTCCGGCATCGTAGTGAGCACCGTAGTGATCCTCCTATCGGTATATTGTAAGCATCATCGATGTAGATAGAGAAAGATTTTGACCAGATTGAAGGGTTGAGATTTACCTTTGACCAGTACAGTTCGTAGTAAGAAAAGCGGGAGTCATTAAAGCGGCCGAACAGGCACAGAACATGGGGATCGAAGTGCAGTTTGCGCAGATACTCGGTGTGCTGCTCAATGGTTCCAGTCTCGTTCCAGCCAGCTGCAACGCGAGGGTCGTTTTGCCATGTGTTGAAGAGTTTCACATGCTCCGCATTTTGCCAATCAACCACCTCGAGTGAGAAGTGCTCATTGATCTCTGGGATATATCGACTGTACGCAATTGAGCCCGGATGAGGCTTGGGACGACGTGTCGGGTGACGAGTATACACTGGCTCTTCGGGGAACTTATTTGTGATTTGGTAGTTCTCTGGCATCACCGGATATTGATCGAGCGAGGCCCGCATAGGCCCATCCGTACCGTCTCCTACCACCCAGATAGGACGAGGGCCCATTGGGGAAGCAGCGCCTTGCCAGAAGGCGCTTCGAAGAATCAACAATTGGTCAAATTGGAGGGCTTTGTTGTCTCTGTCGCGAAGATTTTTGGGATGTTGGATAGCAAGGCCGGTGGAAAGAAGCTCATTTCTGATTACATCTTGTCCTGTGCCGGTCAGGTCAAGTCTGAAGTACTCAATCGTTGAATGAGTGAGGAAGATGGCGTGAACAACATTCCAAACTTGCGCTAGAGAAGGTGCACTTCCCGACCATTGGAAAACGGTTTGCGGGCTCCGTCGCGCGCGACCCCAGGGTGTGTTATCGGAAATTGGAGGCTGTTCAGCCTTAGAAAGAAATGTGAGGTCGTTCCATGAGAGCGAATCTGAGTGTAACGGTTCTGGCAACGATCGTCCCGCGGTGGGTTGCTCATCGAGTGTCAAGCTGTGTTTAGCTGGTGACGATCCGGCAGACTGCACCCGATATGAAGTCAGATATGGGTGTGGAAGCTTCACCAAAGGGTATTGTTGAACAGAGGCCGACTTGGAGCTCATTGTGGTGAATTTAGGACAATTGATCCCAAGCTTGACCAAAAATGTCTGAGTAGAAAGGAGTAAGAAAAATTTGGAAGGAAGTTCACCCTAGTGATAACAATCAAATTATATGTAAGCTATGCAGGGACTCTGAACAGCCGAGGATGATCCAAAAAGGATATGGAAACCGAAGCCGAATTTTTTTTTTTTTTTCTGACAGAACCTAGTGAAGTAATATTGTCTCGGATGCTCCAGGCAACGCTATACTGGATATATATGGGGATTTGGTCTAATTTTTCATCTGTACCAGTCGTGGTACGCGGGTTCCGAGGTTCCGTCCGTAAGCTTTGACGGGATGCGCTAAGAATACTGTCACGTCGCAAGCATAAAAAGACATAGGTATCCTAGGGTGGATTGGCCTAAACTCTCCACATTATTTACTATGTCGCTACGAACAAGGCCATCAAACTACGAGAACTTCGAGGTCTCGTTTCCCCATGAGCGGGTGGTCCAGGTCACAATCAATCGACCAGACAAGCTGAATTGCATCGATAAGGCTACGAGTCGGGCGATCGCAGAGATCTGGGAGCAATTTGATCAAGATGAAAGCCTATGGGTGGCCATAATCACAGGAAATGGCAGAGCCTTCTGTACCGGAGCCGATCTTGGAGGTGGGTTCGCTTGATTTCTGCCACTATCAGCCAGATTGGAGCAATTCTAATAAAATATGAGCAGAATGGAACGCTATGAACAAAGCCGGAGTGGTAAATGACATGTCCGCACCCGGTCTTGCAGGGCTTCCTCGCAGGAGTGGCAAGAAGCCGATCATCGCTGCAGTCAATGGCATCTGTATGGGTGGAGGCTTCGAAATGATAGCCAATTGCGACCTCATTGTGGCCGCCTCCTCCGCTATCTTCTCTCTTCCGGAGGTCAAGCGAGGTATTGTACCTGTGGCCGGTTGCTTACCGCGACTAACTCGTACCATCGGCCTTCAACGCACGATGGAGCTCGTCCTTACCGGCAGGAACGTGGACGCCACCACTCTCCACGAATGGGGTCTTGTGAGTCGAGTGGTGGAATCACCTGCGGATGTTGTCCGTGCGGCACTCGATATTGCGGAAGTCATGTGCAAAAACAGCCCGGATGCGCTAATTGTTGGTCGCATGGGAGTTCGCATGAGCTGGGAAGCCGGCAGTGTGGAGGATACTGTCTCAAGTCTAGCGGATGAGTGGTACCCTCGGCTAGTAGGTGGTCCTAACTTCGCCGAAGGGATCCAGGCATTTGTGGATAAACGAGCTCCAAGCTGGCGGAACTCGAAGCTTTGAGAGATTGGAAAAAGAAGAAGAAAAAAAAGAAAATCCATTCCAAGGTTCAATTTAATCAGATTAACAAATGCGGACTAGTGTCGGAGCTATGAAAAGTGGGGGCGATTTATCTGATTCACGCGTATTTGGTATTTGGTATCTGGTATTTAATATATATCGTATTTTACATCGAGATATTGGAGGAGCATTCATTACTACTACAACTGCAGATCAGCTTGGACTCTCTTAGAACCAATGCAGCAACTTCTGCTCCAACTCACTTCTACTTAGCTACACCGTCTACCCAGGTATATTCTCGAATTCCTTCATGATACACCAATATATACCCGTATCGGGTGAACTCGCTCGGATCGCGAGGTGAGGACCTAGTGTCGGCCTTTGCGTCCCAAACTTGGAGGTCCGGTTGCAGCATGGGTTTTTTTTGGTCATTTATGGCTCTTGTCGCGGTGGAAAAGACAATGTTATTCGCCAATGTACGCCAAGTCTTGCCAAGGCGGTCCTCTGCTTATTTCCTAAAAAGGCATGTTCAACGAGCATCTCGAAGCTTGGTGGTCGTATCCCCCCGGTTGGCGTAGCCTTCGCTTGCTTGAACCAAGGAATTATTGAATCTGATTAGATTTTGCCATCGGATTGTCCGAATGTGTCCGAGTGTGGCTGTCTAGGCCTCTCGTGGGCTGACCGAGGACTTGGCGCAATATGCCGAAAATTTGAAATGTCTTGGCCCTACAGCAAATGGCATGTTGAGACACTGCCAAGGCTTGACATTTTGGTTCGAATATCACGGCGTGGCGTGCATTAGTCTTCCACCAAGTTGCCGACTTCGGTGGATATCAAGCGCCGGATCTCAAGCGCTAACAATAACAGGAACTCTATAAGGGCCGCGGGTCCCTGGCGCTTTTTTACTTTTGAAATGTCCTGAGTTATTGCGAGGCATTTTTTCAACCCGGGTCATCATGGGTTTCGCCAGGTTTCGATCTACCTTCCGGAGGTCTTCGACACAGGAGAATGTCACTCCTGTCACTGTGAACACTGACGAGGAAACCAAGAGAGATCTTGCTACCGAGACTGTCACTCCAGCAAATGCAAGTGAAGAAAACCCAGAGGCTCCTACAGAGAACACCCAGCGTGGAGTTCGTGATGTTGAGGCCATTACTTTGAGCTGGTCAAAGACCATGCTGATTGCAGTCTTTGTCAAGTGAGTTTGACTACATGAAATAAAGGACCGGAATAACTTGATCAGTGAACTAACAAAGTTTTTTCCATTAGCATCTGGTTCCTTTACTTCGTCAATGCAATGCAATCCTCGATCAACTATAGTTTGATGTCCTATGTCACTAGTGACTTCGAAAGCCACTCGCTGCTGAACGTGATCTATATTGTCGCAGATGCCATGACAGCTGCAGTATACATCCCCACTGCCAAGGTCATGGATGTCTGGGGCCGTGCTGAGGGTTATTTGTGCATGACCATTTTCGCGACACTTGGTCTCATTATCATGGCCGCATGTCACAATCTTCCTACGTTCTGTGCCGCCTACGTCTTCTACAGCATTGGTTTCGGAGGTATGACATACTGTGTCGATGTTATAACGGCCGATATCTCTACATTGAAAAATCGAGGATTGGCCTTTGCGTTCACCTCTTCTCCCTACATTATCACTGCCTTTGCCGGCCCGAAGGCGGCCGAGAGCTTCTATGAAAAGATCAGCTGGCGTTGGGGCTTTGGCTCCTTCGCCATCATCTTCCCCATTGTTGCTGCTCCTCTCTTCTTTATTCTGAAATTCAACCTGCGCAAAGCCAAGGTTAATGGTGTCTTGCATAACGAGCCTAGCGGCCGGACAATTCTTCAGAGCATCTGGCATTACACGAAGGAGTTCGATGGTAAGTTTATCTGTAAGAGCTTTGCCGGTTAAAAGATACTAATTTTGAACAGCCTTCGGTGTTGTCGTTTTCTCGGTTGGCCTTACTGTTTTCCTTCTTCCATTCACCATCGCTGCTAGCGCTCCCAATGGCTGGGGCTCTGGTTATATCATTGCTATGATTGTGGTCGGCTTTGTGATGCTTGCTGTCTTCTTGGTATGGGAGATTGTCTTGGCTCCTACGCCGATGTTCGACTTTAGTCTTTTGACAGACCGTACCGTCATTGGCGCCTGCTTGCTTGATGCGACATATCAACTTTCCTACTACTGCTGGAACAATTACTATACCTCTTTCTTGCAGGCAGTCAATGATCTTTCTATCTCTGAGGCCGGATACGTCAGCAACACATTCGATGTTGTCTCGGGTGTTCTTCTGCTTGGAGTCGGTTTCATCATTCGCCGGACTGGGCGTTTCAAGTGGCTCCTCTACATTGCTGTTCCTCTCTACATCTTTGCCCAGGGTCTCATGATCTATTTCCGTCGGCCCAACCAGTCCGTCGGTTACCTTGTTATGTGTCAAATCTTCATTTCCATTGGTGGATCCGTCTTCATCATTGTTGAGCAGCTCTCTATCTTGGCTGCAGTTGACCATCAGCACGTCGCTACTGTGCTTGCTCTATTGAATGTTGTTGGCACTGTCGGTGATGCCGCCGGTTCTACCATCTGTGGTGCCATCTGGACCAACACCTTCTACAAGGCCTTGCAGACCAGGCTCCCGTCATCTGCTATGGGCGACATTGATTCGATCTACGAGGATATCACCGTCCAACTGAGCTATCCTGTCGGATCTCCTACCAGAGTGGCAATTCAATCCGCATATGGCTACTCCCAGACAAGAATGCTTGCTGCTGGAACTGGTCTGATGGGTCTTTGCATCTTCTGGACCCTCATGATTAGAAATATTGACCTGAACAAGGTCAAGCAGACAAAGGGTGTTGTCTTCTAAGGTGCTGGAACTCACCTTTGTCGAATTCTCTTTGATAAGACGGGTGTTGGTTCATTCCCTCCCCGTTGTTCACCTATCTTTTGGTGTTGTTTAAAATTGATCAATGGCCTGAAGGCTGTTGTCAAACATATACTTGTGCTTCATATCTTACTATTTAATGCTCCTTATATAACGATCTGAATGTAGAATGTTATACTCTGACTCTACTTGTTTTTTCTCACACGTAAGAAGAAATATTATCAAATCCATTAGCCGCAATTCAGCCGCACTGAAGCTTGCGTGGACATGTGGACATGCAGTGTGACAGACCACCTCAATCCTGTTCGTCTAATGCCAAGTTCGTATACGCCACGAGACGCGACAACCCTCCGCTCTGTAGCACGCCAAGGCCCGAAGCTGTCGTCTATGCTAGGATTCCCTTAGCCTACAACTCACGAGGAAAAAGTATTATCAATTGGGCCTCTATTTCAGGGTAATGGTACTAGAATACCCCCTTTAAGTTACACAAATTTACCACTAGTATGTAACATACAAATTCAAGATACAGTCTCCACGCATCCAAAACGGGCAAGTTTGAACCTCAGTAGATACCTACCTTTGTCGGTTACAACGCCCGGCGTCTTTCAACAAGATCCACGTCTAGGCAGAACTCCGACCTCCGAAAAGGTCCACTCCGCAGTGGAACCAGGGATCAGGGATCGAAAGGATCAGATAACTTTTGTTTCTCCTGTTTGCACATCTTCTCCTCGTTTGCTCGGGATTCTGAGACAGTCAGCTTGCCTTGCAGATCGAACCGTCTTCCCTACAACGCATGGTTGACAGGGCTGATCCACTGCTTATTTCTTTTAGTAAATGGTCAAGCATGTCGGCCAAGTTTGACCGGATCGTCTTGGGAAATTCCATCTAGGGAAAAGTCGCCCGAGCTGTCTCATCCTCTTCCGCAGGGGCAACCACCCCCATTTCGGAATGCATTTACAGAGAAACTAGTACAATTCCTCCAAAAAAGAAGTTGAAGAGCATTGTATGTGTCATTTTTTCCCAGACCATCTGATTAGATTGGGCTGGATGTGGTGTCCACCGTGGCGTTACTATCTGATCCGCTTTCTTTCAATTTCCGTGTCTCGGACTGTTTGAAGAAATATCTTATCCGTGTGAAGTGCCGCGATGTTATACATCTGTTCGGCGATGACATCTGTGTATTAAAATATTATGCGCCATGTAGACTGTATGGGAGATTGATAGTTGCTCTTGTTCAACAGAGCAGAAAAACCTTGGTCCTGATCGAATTGATATCCAATATAAGTTAATGCTAGGTTTTTATTGTCGGGTATGATGGTTATACTAATATCTGGTGTTAATTTTTGACCTTATGAGATGATGTTTGGACCGTATGTTCCATAAACATTTGCAAGAATTATGCTTGTAAAATCATACTCTCGGAGAGCTATATATCTAAAAGACTACTTGCATATACATAAGGCGCTTGTCATTCTCTGGGTCTGTAGGCATTCTGGACTTTCAAGGAGGAGGCGAGCATCTGTGGCTTCTCAAATGTCAGTCATGTGATCTTAGGCCTCAGGCGTTTAGGTTTGTCAAGATTGTCACATTTGTCACGTTTGCACTCCCGTATGCCTCTAATTTCTAGATGACTCATCCAAATGTCACGTGCAGAACGAGCCCTGAAAACAATACATCCCATGTCAACAAGTATAAGTCCTGTACTTGTCCATCGTATCTATCATAGGGGACTAATTATTCCAAAACTGGATGTAGGCTATTTAGACTCGTATATGAAACTTTTCTTGGCTTCTCTAGACCTCCGGTGCACTTCTAGCGGTAAAAAGAAAACAGAGGGATGGTTGACTCATGAGGTAAAGTCTACGAGCATGCGTCCGGGTTGGCGCCAGCGAGGCTCTTCTGCTTCAATTTTATCAAAACTCTCATCATTGTTTTCCTTTGATTGTGCTCTTCATTCCATTCCCCCTCTCTGTCCCACCTCTTCTCTCAACCTTTCATCCCATCTCCTCCATCCCATCTTCTCCATCCTATCTCTTTCATTCATCCCATTCTCTACATCTTGTGTATCTGCTGTCTTAGCTTTGATCATCTTCACTGTGCGTCTTGGTGTCTCCTTTTACCAGACCTGTCTGCACCCTCAAGAGTCTACCTTTACGTGAGTACCCATAATTCATCTGAAGCCAACAAGATCCATACACTGACCTTGGCACTCATTCCTAGGTGAAGCAGAATCACACACTGGCTATACCGTTCTTTTACAGAAGAACGTTCAATGTTCTTCCTCTCGTCAGCCTGACAAGCTGCTCGAGGCGAGGACTGTAGTGCCGAACCGCCTTCTCTGCGCATCAGAGACGAGAGGCAGACTACTGTCTACACTCTACTGAAAGCTTTGATTGCTTTCATTTATCGGGGTAAGTGATTTCCGGCCTAAGGATCGGAAAACAAAGGATCTAAGCTCATGTTTTTCTATGCATGAAGCACGAAACCCGAACCCCAAAACCCGCAACTCGAAATACCACAACCCTCAAGCCCTAACGTATCTCATCCAATCTCTTCGATACAAAACACAGACTTAGAATGTCTTCCTCAAATGTTTGCCCATCTTCGGTAGAAGAGTTGGGTGACAAAGAGGGGCCCATCCCTACCAATGCGGGCCCAGCCTCGAATGTTATCGAGCCTAAACCTGGGAAAGCTACCTCTGCCGTTGCCAGTCCTAGCCAAGCTCTAGAAGACAGCACAATCATCGATACTTCTGGGGATAGTATGAGCCACCCTCTACAGCAGAACACTGTTCGCACTTGGCCTGAGTATCGACACGCTTTGAGCCACAACACAAACACAACGATTCGCTCTCATCCTATCAGCCACTTTGGCTCTCTTCCAACCCGTAGGCTCTGGTCTATCAATAGTCCTCGGTCCTTGCAGACTTCTTTGCCTGAGCCCAGTCTTGCACATGAAGCTACCTCGAATGAGTTTCATCCCATCAGCCACTTCGGGCTTCTTCTTACCAGACAACTTTGGGCTGTTCGTCGTCCACAGTTCCATTTGACTGCTCCGCCTTCTGAGTCTAGTCATTCACATGAAGCTCCCTTGAATCAGTTTCATCTCATCAGCCACTTTGGCTCTCTTCCTACAAGGGGTCTTTGGCTTTATCGTCGTCCGCAAATCCATTTGACTGCTCCACCTTCTGAGCCTCTTCCCTCGCGTGTGACCTCTTCTCCTACCCACGCCTTACCACTTGACACTGCTCTGCCTACTGAGTCTATTCATTCACATGAAGCTCTCTTGAATCAGTTTCATCCCATCAGCCATTTCGGCTCTCTTCCTACAAGGGGTCTTTGGCTTTATCGTCGTCCACAAATCCATTTGACTGCTCCGCCTTCTGAGCCTCTTCCCTCGCGTATTCTCGCGCGTGTGACTTCTCCGGCTCACCCCCTACCACTTGACACTACTCTTTATCCTGAGCCTGTTCTCTCGCGTGTGACTTCTCTGGTTCACACTCTACCACTTGATACTGCTCTTTTACGTCAGACTTCTCCTCAGGTTGAACCTCTTCAGCCTGAAACCCGATCTCCATCTAAGGCGATTTCTCCTCCATACAGTTCTCCTCTCAGATCTCAGAACTCTCTTCCGCTTCAGACCTATCTCAACCCCGAGAGTCGATCCACCTCTGAATTCGTTTCTCCTACCTTCACTCCTCCTTCCCCATTGAAGACTTCATTCCCATCCAATAATCCGGACCACTTCGCGGCTTCTCTTACAAACACTTCTCTGCTCCTTGAGACTCCTCTATCTGCCGAGGCTCAACTTGTCACGCTCAACAGTTCCTCGGTACACGACGAGACCCTCCAGACCGAACAGCATCATCCCGACGTAGTCAATCCCGACTTAACAGTCAGCTACCAGACGCCCGTTGGGCCAACTGAAGCGACGTCCCTAAATCAGCCACCGATCACAGATCCCACGACTGCACCGGTCGAGTCTTTATCTCAGCTACCGCATGTGCCAAGCAACAACTCTTCATCCCATGACATCGCGATCTCCTCGCACACTGTGAAAGGCGCATCCACACCCTCCAACTCTCCTGACCCTGTCGAACAGTCGAACACCTACCGCTTCGTCTCATCAACCGAGCCCAGTACTGTTCCTGGATTGACTCCTGTCGAATATTCTGAGTCTGACAGTACCTCAGTCCATCCCTTACACGGTGTTTCAAAACTTGCGTATGATCAGATGGTAACAAATTGCAAGTTCATAAAATCCATATGCGAAATTCAGGCACAGTTTCGCCATACCAAGCTCAAAATGCCGGACACCGATTGTGAAGTTTGCGACCTGTATTACTCGACGGTCGAGCAAATTGAGGCTCTCGAAATTGAGATCGGCCTTCCTTCCACACTCTCGCCCTCTGAAGATGCACAGTCCGGGGCAATGTTGCCCGTGATAACCCGTCTCAACTTCTACTATGAAACCTTGGGCCTGGAACAGATTCGTAATCCCCCTTCTGCATGCGACTTCCACAGGGGTTCCCCCCGGAAGAGATCAATTATCGTACCTTGGTCTTTCTGGAGAAGTATTTCCAGTGGCTTTGTGATGCGAAGTCTGCCTTAGAGAGAAGGGCAGCTTTACTGCGTGGGCGTGTCATGGACCACTATCGGAAGGAATGTGAGGACGTAAGTGCTTATATACTTGACTGTATTAAAGATTACATTGCTAACTATTATGAAGCCAAACAACAATACGGTCTCCGATTGTGAGACCGAAGTCATCGATAACCTTCTCACCAAGTTTGAGAAGGGGGAGGAAACCACCGTGAGGCTGCCTCAGAAGAAGAAGAAGCGCAACAAGGGAATCAAGAAGCGCAGAAAGCCCGCCAAGAAGGGCCAGCCACCTCAGTGTCAGCCCCAGTCCGAAGTCGAGGCGGCAGCTCCTTGTGAGTTTGACACTGAGGTGGCTGTGGAGCCAACCGAAACGGCCCCCAAAAAGAAGAAGAAGAACAAGAAGAGAAAGGGTGGCAAGGCGGCCGAGGCCATGCCTGCTCAGGAGCGAGGTGACTGGCACCTCAGCCAAGAGCCAGTTTCTCGTCTCCCATCTGAGGCTGAGGCAGACTCAACTATTGCCAGCACTGAGCCTCTGAGTAAGGCGAAATCCATAGCCGAGGTCAGCGACGAAGAGCTTGGGGCTCCCATTGCGGGAGAATTCATCTACCAGTCAGACAAAGACTCCGGGTCTAAGACCCCAACCCCAGGCTCTTCCGAGCCATTCACGGGCCCTGCTGCCCTTTCTCGAGAGGTCCTCGTCGACCCCTCCACTCCATCTTCCAACTGGAAACTCGTCCAGCGGAAGGAACGCCGCCACGGCAAGTTGCAGGAGGAGGTGCATCACCCCGAGCAAGCCCAGAAGGAGACTGGCAAGCTCGAGTGTGTGTTGGTGTCCTCGGTTTCCACCGGCAACGTCGAAAAGACGACCGGCGCCGAGGACCCAACCCCTTCTCTCCCAACACCTCCAACCCCGACCCCTCCTCCCCAGCTCGCGGCCTTGTCCACCGCCGAGTCTGGCCACGCAAACCTCGACGAGACAAATACCGACGCTCGTCATCATTCGCGTCCAATTGTCTCGTCGGGGGGCGCTGTCAACCGGGAGGGGCGCTTCACAGAGCCGGAGGGCTCGTGTCGCGCCTCGGGATTCGGCATGTGCGGTTTCTACCGCGCATGCTGCTACCATCGGCAGCAGGATCTGTGCGGCTGTCCGCCAGGCAGATCCTGTTGCTGTCTTCACCACGCAGGAGACTGCTGTCACTGCCTCGGTACCCATGGTACTGTGGCTGAGCTGTTGAGAGAGCGCAGTGACGCAGTTCCCTCGCGTCGGAGGGCGCTTACTGGCTAAGTTAGCTGGTAGGTGGTGGTAGGGAGGTGCCGTTGGTGGTGGGAGTGGAGGCCGGTGGGGGCCTCTTTTTCTTCAATAAAAATTCCTGTCTGTGTGTGTCGGTCCCTGGTCATCTCCTACCTAACTCCCATCTGGGTGGTGAGGTGACTGGGGGCCGACTTGATGTATGTTAAGAAAAAAAAAAACAAAATAAAAAATAAAAAACAAATGCCCTTATTTCAACGTAAATCCTAGATATTGAAGAGTCTATATAAGTGGAGGTAGAGGCAAACAGTTTGAAGACTACATTTTTGGTAGGAAGCTGTGTTGAAGGACAGATGCAGATGTGAAATCTGTACAAACAAAATATGCTACTCTTTGACTGTGTCAGAAACACGCAAACTTGTAGTATAAAAGACATTAATTTTAGAATACTGACCGCAGCAATAGTATAGTATGCAAAGAATGCGTAGAATGCACTATCATTTTGAGGTGAATTCATTGCAATCCATGTATACACCCCGTTATCAAAGGCTTGCTATGTCACACTATGTCAACATTAGATCGCATTTCTACAACTGCTTTAATCTTAAGTACGATAATAGTAGTCGAGTTCTAGGCATCATGTGTTGGCATATCTAGGTGATACCCTCTTCATCCTGAAGCGAGAATTCATAAACTAGCCATGAACATACCGAGAAGTAAATGCACCATCTTGGATATGAGTAAGTAGATCAACGTGTAACACCCTCAAAATTGTGGACAAGTGGTCAAGGACGCGAATAGCAAGTACCCTTACTCTACTGTAGAAAATTCATGCACACTTTCTGGACAAGCGTTAAGTCAACCCCAGGTACCTTATCGATGCTGAAACAAACCAGAATTAACGTTAGGGCGTCGAACCTCAACCCGAACCCCAAAACCCTAAGGGCGCCAGCACCGGAAGTCAGACCTCCCCGGGTAAACATTATACCGTATAAGTAATCTGCCCATGCACCAATTCCCCCCGCCCCGGGGGCAATTACCCCGAACCTGTGTTTGTTTCCACCTTGGCTCCGTAAATCCCTCTCAATTTATTCTTGCTATACTAGCAAGCATGATAGATCAGAGTCGAGTTGTCAAATACTAATTGCTTGTCTGGCCACCCTAAGTCCGTCTTCATCATACCATATACAATATTGCTCCAACCAACCATATCTTCAGTCCATCTATGAATTAATATGCCATCATCAACTACAATACAATACAAGAGCAAACGTGATATTCATGAAATCATAAATTTTCCTGGTATCTATCGTAGCAAAAACAAAAGCACTGATCCAACCTCTATACATACAACAAAGGCTTTATCAACCAACGCTGCAATCATGTACAAGCTCCCATTTACTGCTTATCGGGGAAACCAAAGTTCACACCGAAAGGAGGGAAGACGAAGCGCTGGAACTTGTTCTCAGCCTTGAGCTGGTCACTGTACTTCTGAATCGTAGCCAGATCCTCGGCGTCGAGGTGGATCAGATCGGCGCGGTTGGCTTCGATGCGGGCTGGGGTGACGGACTTGGCCAGAACGGAGGAGCCACGGGCAACTGGAAATTTGTTAGTCTTTATGTTAATGGTGATTAGGGGTGGATGGTGACTTACTGTGCCAGCTGAGCAAAACAGTGGCGGGGGTAACACCACGCTTGTTGGCGACGGAAACGATGGGCTCGGCAGTGAACAGGGGGCTGCCAGTGCTGCCGAGAGGGCTGTAAGCCGTGATGTGGATACCCTTCTGCTTGCAGAAGTCGACAATCTCCTGCTGGGGCAGAGAGGGGTGGTTCTCAATCTGGTTGACAGCGGGGACAATGGTGGCCTCGGGGAGGAGCTTCTCTAGGTACGGGACACTGTGGTTGGAAACTCCAATGGCCTTGACCTTGCCGGTGCCGACGAGTTTCTCCATGCTCTTCCAGGTGGTTACGTGAGAGTGAGAGTGGACAATATCCCGCGATCCATCAGGGAGCTTGGGGAAGATGTTGTGGTTGCCTGTGGGGGAACCTGTTAGTTCATTCGATCTAACTTTGCAGTCAGACTCGGTGGGCTCAACTCACCCTTAGGGTTCATAGCCAGGGGCCAGTGCATGAGGTAGAGGTCAACATATTCGAGTCCAAGATCAGACAGACTCTGCTGGAGACCCTCCTCGACGCGAGCGTGGAACGAGCACCACAGCTTGGTGGTCACGAACAGGTCCTCACGCTTGACGATGCCGGAGTCAATGGCCTCCTTGATACCCTGGCCAACCTCGTTCTCATTGCCGTAGCACAGAGCAGCGTCAATGTGACGGTATCCAACCTTGATAGCGTGGGCAACAGCGCGCGCGACTTCGCCGGGCTGGGATTGCCATGTTCCCAGGCCTAGAGCAGGGATCTCTGCGCCGGTGTTGAGCTTGAAACGAGTATCGCAGGCAGCCATGGTGTAGAATTTACAGACAGGAGATTATTTACAGAAGAAGAATTTCCAGTTCAATTCGAAAGTAAATGAGGGACTCGTTCCAAAGACACCCCGAATCCCCCCACGCGGGGCCCTTCACCCCCGCGTCGGGGTTTTTCCATCAATCACCGCGGGACTGCGTGAAGATGGAATTCGGTGGAATTCAGCTCTTCATTCTGACATCAAGATGGGTTGGAATGTCGGTAACTCAGTCGGCTCTCCAAAACTCCAACCCTCCAACCTCCCAAACATCCTCTGGGCAGTTATACTTCCCAGACCAAAAGACGGATGACTCAGCACGGAAACTGGCTTCCTCAATGGCTTCGATTTCTTCGACGTTTACTCCGCTTGACATCAGCGCCCACTTTTTTAGCTGGATTGGTTGGTGGCAGCCAATCAGAGCTCGAAAGGAGCTGCTCAGGTCAGATCTTCATCGGCGCGGAAGCCAGAATCCGTGATGTTTCCCAGTACACTCGTTTAAGGCGGCGCATCATGGGGTTTTCTGGGGAAATACTTCGGCGCACAACTTTGAAGATCGGAATTCTAGACGCGATATCCTAGCCTGGCATCTTTCCCCGTGCCTAGTTTTCGATTCCTATATATACGTCTACTATCCGGGGTGAGGAAATCCTATTCTACACTCCTGCAAGACATTTGGATTAGCAATCCTCGCAATCTCATTTGACAAAGATATTATCATTATTGTCTGAATAGAAGCACATCAGCTTCGTTGTACATTTTTCACAATGGCACCCGTCGCCGTTTCACCGCAGGCTTCCCCCGTCTTCAACAAGCGGGATGGCCAGGCTCTCGAGGACCTCTCCGATGCCATCGATGAGGTTAATGTCCTCAAGGACACCCGGAAGCGTGAGGCCGAGAAGAAAATCGCTGAAGAGAAAGATCTGTACGAAGCGTCCGAGTTTGACAAGGAGAAGGACAAGACCAACTTCCGCCAGTACGAGGACGCCTGCGATCGCGTCAAAAACTTCTATCAGGAGCAGCACACCAAGCAGACAGTGGCCTACAACCTGCGTGCCCGTCACGCTTTCCACAGCAAGACCCGCGCAGAGATGACCGTCTGGGAAGCCATGGAGAAGCTCAACACTCTGATCGACGAGTCCGACCCCGACACCAGCCTCTCCCAGATCGAGCACCTGCTCCAATCTGCCGAGGCTATCCGCCGTGACGGCAAGCCCCGCTGGATGCAGCTGACCGGACTGATCCACGACCTGGGCAAGCTCCTCTTCTTCTTCGACGCCGATGGCCAATGGGATGTCGTCGGCGATACTTTCCCCGTCGGCTGCGGCTTCGACGAGAAAATCATCTACGGCCGCGAGTCATTCAAGGGCAACGAGGACTTTGAACACCCGATCTACGACACCAAGTTCGGAATTTACACCCCCGGCTGCGGTCTTGACAAAGTCATGCTCTCTTGGGGTCACGATGAGTACCTCTACCACATCACCAAGGAGCAGTCCACCCTCCCCGCCGAGGCGCTTGCCATGATCCGCTATCACTCGTTCTACCCCTGGCATAGCGCTGGCGCATACCACGAGCTGATGGATGACCATGACCGTGATATGCTTCGTGCTGTTAAGGCTTTCAACCCTTATGACTTGTACAGCAAGAGCGATGGTATTCCCAGTGTCGAGGAGCTGAAGCCCTACTACATGGAGCTCATCAATGAGTACTTCCCCACCAAGGTTCTCAAGTGGTAGATTCGAGGCTACGGCTAGATGCTCATTTGTTGTACCCTTTTTTTGTTTATTATGAGATTCCCCTGTTTACCTTTTGGTACATACTATCACGACATGAAATAAGCGTTGGTTTTTAGAAATCCATTTTGTCATTCTTTTCAGGCAATATTCTTTTCTTCATAAGAGACCATCAAGTGTAATTTTAGCCTCTTATTTGGGGTGTACAGTAATTATTCCAAAGTTGAGTCTCATCTTCAATATGTTCTTCATTTCTGTCTTCTATTTAATATTCAACGTTCTTTCGAATCCCGATCAATACCGGATAGTAATTTCTCTTCTTGCCATTAAAAACGTGTTTCACTTTCTCAAGCCTTTTTGGTCCCTTGCGCCCTCATCGTTTGCCTTCTAATGATTACCTTATAGTCTCCATCCACGTAGGCTTGACAGAATGATACCAATTTAATTTATAATAAACATACTCCAATTAAGCCAACTACGCACAATAGCGGTTTTTGAAAAGATTTCATTTTCAACTAAGAAAGCAAACCATCTGCAGAAGCCCCCATAACTCACAGACGGGCAAGCTCACACCTCTCTCCGTTCTCATCAAAGAAAATCTTCTTCTGAGTAATAAGCGACTCCTGCAAAGCAGCCCCAATCCTGACAGCAGTAACTGCAGAACCCAAATCAACAGGAACCGGCGAATCATCCAAACACGACGCGGAAAACTCCTGAGCCTCAGCAACAAAAGCATACTCAAAGCGATCATAATAAGTCTGCGGAATCTCACGACGAATACCACTCCCATCATAAACATTAACATGATTCATGGCCGGCTGCGTATTAACCGCCAACTTGCCCTTGGTCCCAATAATCTCCGTCACATCCTCCTGGCCAGCGGCCATCATACGAGACGCGTAAAAGAAGGCAATGCGCCCATCATAGAACTCAACCAGACCCACTGCATTATCGCGGTCATTGTGTTTGCGCAGGTCTGGCTCGACGGCGGTGATGCCGACTGCGGAGACGGATTTGATTTTGCTGTCTTTGCCGAAGAACCAGAGGGTGAGGTCTATGTCGTGGATGGAGCAGTCAACGAAGATGCCACCGCTGAACTCGGCATAAGCGACGAAGAAGCCGCTTGGGTCTAGTTTGTCGCAGGTTTGGCTGCGGAGGACGGAGGGCGTGCCGATTATGCCGGCTTGCATCTTGGCGTAGGCGTCGCGGTAGGATTTGTCGAAGCGTCTGGAGAAGCCGCACATTACTTTCAGGTGCGGCTTTTTGACTGCTGCGTCGAGGACGGATTGGGACTATTTGGAGGGAGATGTTAGTTGTGTTATCAGGTATTTTGGGTGGGGTACGGGATGTGTGTATAGATCGAGTGGGTGCAATGAGAGAAAAGAGACAATTGACGTACAACTTCTACGCTGGTGGAAATGGGCTTCTCGCATAGAACATGCTTGTCCGCTGCGATCGCCTTCAGGGCCTGTTCGGCGTGTACGGCAGTGGCTGAGGCAACCACCACGGCGGCCAGGCCCTCATGCTTGAGCATGTCATCGTAGTTCTGGTACAGGCGAACACCAAAGGGCTCGAGATGAGTTTTGGCCCATTCGAGCTCCACGGGATCTGGAGAACTGGCTGCGACGAGCTCAGCTCGAGGAGTGCGTTCGAGGAAGTTTAGGGCATGGCGCTTGCCCATACGGCCAAGACCGGCACAGCCAATTTTCAATCTTTGAGCAGACATTATATAGAAATGAGGAAATGAAATGAATTAGAGAATCACTATGAACAAAACCGAGCGCTTATATAGATTTGGAGAAAATCGATCCCGAGTCAATGCGGAGGCCAGTCTCCGAATGTTCTCCGCGTCGGAAAGTGAGTTCCAGCCCAAACCCAATGATTATATGCGACAGACACCCGACAGACATCCGACAGACATCCTACTCTGCCCTCGAGTCCCGACGGGCTTTACGTTTCGCGGCCACCTCAACGGGGTCGGTGTAGCCATCGCCTCTCATCCAGGAAAGACCCTTGCGCACACCACCGCCCCGCACGGCTGCCGGGTTGGCTTCGAGGATGGAGCCCATCATCGCCCAGGACAGAACAAAGAGCAGCAACTCACCGCCTCTTCGGCCCTTCCACAATCCGCGCTTGACGCCAGTCTTGTACGCTGAATCAATGGCGGCGCGGAAGAAATAAAGGAATGTGCTACGGCTGTTGCCCAGGAACAGGAAGGGGAGACCGCCCAGTGCTCCGCTAAGGAAAAAGCGCTTGGTAGGGAGCGTAGAGCGGGGGAGTTTACTGTTGAGGAGACAGACACTGCCCCAGGCGGATCCAATGGCAACAGAGAGGATAGCTGTCATCTTAATGATACGCTTCGACATGCTGTTGAGGGAAGCCATTGGCTGGGATAGGATGGTCTTGAGTTTGGGGATTGAGAGAGCCAGGGTAATAGTTGTTAGGAACCGGGCGAGGAGCGGCACAGAGAGAAGGATGTGATGCAGGAACGCTGTGCCGCAGTTCGGGAGGTTCGGGTGTAAGAGAGCGCATGATAGGTTTGAGATCGCAGGGTGGGCTGGACCAGTGATGGGGGAGATGGACGACACTGACAAGGGCAAAGTGTTGGGGTCTCCAGGGTGTAGAATAGGAGACACGAACGCCCTAATCCAGATTAGCAACCTCAATGTCCTCCTATGTGTGAGACAGACTTACGGCCAGCGGAGATCAGCAATAGATGCGATTGAGTTCACAATCTCCTCCTTCTCAGGCCATGCGACGTCACTTGGGAGCGCGTCAGGTCGAGCCTGGATGTAGCTCGGGGAGAGCCTGAGAATAACATTTCCAAACCACTAAGAAATCATATGAGCGATCGAAACACAATATCACGGTTTCCGACCACGAACCTTGGGTGTAGTCTCCCGGTCAAAGATAAAGGCATGGAAGAGCTGCGCAAATGACACAGGCATCAACAACCAACTACCAAACCACCACGGGCGCTTGTCTAGCCAGCCTTTGGAGTCCAACGCATTGAACAAGAACTCCAAGCAGCGAGTACTCGAGTAAATCGCCGCCGACAGACGCAACTGGTCCTGTGGGCAGATCCCCAAGGCGAAACCAGCAACACTGGCGCCAATAGCTGGCGCATAGCGCGAAGTCAAGGCACGCGAAATGCGCGGGTTTCGCTCTCTGAAAGGCTGCGCATCGTCCGTGCGGAGGTTGGCGCGCAGTCGAACGAAGAAGCGGTATAGGAGACGATGAAGGAGTAGGAGGAGGGAGAGGGAAATGGAGAGACGGAACTTCGGCGAGCGAAGAAGCGGAGTGCGGTCCTTCTTCCTATGGCATTAATTAGTCTGCGAACTTTTGCTATCGAGTCTTGGGGTATAGTTGGGTCATACTGTGGAGCGCCAGTGAAACGACCGATAAGCAGCCCGCCCAACTTCATCGCGATTCCAGACCCGACCAGGACACGCAGTGAGGCGCGAACAGCAGCTTCGCTGTGTCGGTTTCGGGGACGAGCGATCGCATCGTATCTCGACGGCTCAGTGAGCTTGTTTTGGAGGGATGGGACTCGCTTCGCTGTTGCGTGGAGGACGCGGTACTCCTTAGCGGTGAGACATATGCGGAGAACATCGCGTAGTGCCGGTGGAGGGAGGTCCAGCGCATCCCCAGGGGGAGGGTCTACAGACATGATGTGTATTGTCCTCAAGTGAGTCTGAAGCAGGGAGATGAGAAGGGGTTTGGGGCGGAGAAGCGGACCTCGGCAATTCTGAGCCCATGGAATGTGAAGTGTTGAGTTAAGGAAGTGTGTGTGTGTGATGTAAGTAGTGTTTGTATAGTGCTAACTGAATTAACTATATCATTATGGAGGTTATGGTCAGTTCGCTGAAGCTAAGTTAACTGTGTTTTCTACATGGTATGATTCGAGATGTGAGGCCTGAGGCAGAAATTGGCCATTAGGTCCCTTGCCCTCCAAATAAGCTACAAGGAGTAATTTATGTGATTCCAACGACCTCTACGTAGGTGGTCCAACTGCCGGCGTTGTGGCTTGCAAGTGGCTCGTCCTCTTGACAGACTCCTTAATATGAAATATATAGTATACAATGGCTCCCACGTATGAGTACCTTCAATATATATCGTGAGCTCGTGGAGCATGAACACGGTCTGGACTACACCGATACCTCCTGATTCATGACAAAAGTCCAAGAGCCAAGGTCTCTATAGTGAATCTTCTCCGACGTATCCGGCCAACTTGGTTGTTAATCAAAATTGAACAGTCAGCAGTAAGCATCGTGGAGCATCAATCAATGAAAAACGCCAGGTGAGGGTCCTGCACGGATTGCCAAAGTGGAGAGGTTTCAGCGCCACAAAATACTTTGGGATGACTACAATTGCCGGGATATACAGAAACCAGTGGTGCAAGAGGATCAGTATGAAACACAAGCTCGAGGCAGCTCCACATAGCGTTCAACGGTGTGGATAACAGCTCTGCAACTATCAATGACTGTCCATCCCTATTGGACAATGAGTAGTTCGTGCCAATGTATGAAACGGTAGCTGGTCTCGGCATCATATTTTAGCCGATTTTCTACCGATATGGATTCTAGTTGGGTTCATAGGCCAGACCCTGGGAGTGTGGATGCTTTCGGAGGATTACCCGTTACAGATAGCCCTAACACACCCAGATTAATATAATGGCTAGACTAGGGTCTCCGGATGTGAGACTGGCTCTTGATAGGCATAGTTCTATGGAACCCCTACGGAGAGAGACCGACACGGTGCTGCGGTAGGCGTACCTGGAGGGGTTTCATGGCTAGCGCAGGGGCTCAGAAGTGAGGCTGCATCGAGGGTTTAAATATCAAGTCCAATCCAGTCGATCATATTCCTCCATCAAGTCATTCTTTTTTCTTATATCCTGTTTATTGCTTTCAACTGGGCTAGCCCCGAACACATTCACTCTTTTTACTTTGTCTGTTGATCGGACATTCTTCAAAATGCGTACCTCATTCCTTTCCATGCTGGCACTCGGCGCTGCTGCCGTCTCTGCTGCCCCTGCTGCCGAGCTTGCTGAGCGGTCCTCCAAGACCTGCACCTTCACTTCTGCTGCCGACGCCAAGTCTGGCCAGAAGTCCTGCTCCACCATCTACCTCAACAACATCGCTGTTCCTGCTGGTGAGACCCTGGATCTCTCCCACCTGAAGGATGGCACAAAAGTCATCTTCCAGGGCGAGACCACCTTCGGATACAAGGAGTGGAAGGGTCCTCTCATCCGTGTGGCCGGTACCAACATTGAGGTCTCCGGAGAGGATGGCCACGTTATCAACGGCAACGGAGCCAAGTGGTGGGACGGCAAGGGAACCAACGGCGGCAAGAAGAAGCCCAAGTTCTTCTACGCCCACAAGCTCACTGACTCGACCATCACCGGCCTGAACGTCAAGAACACCCCCGTCCAGGGCTTCAGTGTCCAGGCCGACAACCTCGTCCTCGACCACATCACCATCGACAACTCCGACGGTGACTCCAACGGTGGCCACAACACTGATGCCTTCGATGTCGGCGAGTCCACCTACATCACCATCAGCAACGCCAACATCAAGAACCAGGACGACTGCCTTGCCATCAACTCTGGCGAGAACATCATCTTCACCGGCGGCACCTGCTCCGGTGGCCACGGTATCTCCATCGGCTCTATCGGCGGCCGTGACGACAACACCGTCAGCAACGTCACCATCTCTGATTCCACTGTCACCAACTCCGACAACGGTATCCGCGTCAAGACCATTTACAAGGCCACCGGTGAGGTCAAGGACGTGACCTTCTCCAACATCCAGCTGTCCAACATTGCCAAGTACGGCATTGTCATTGAGCAGGACTACGAGAACGGCAGCCCCACTGGAAAGCCCTCCACCGGTGTTCCCATCACTGGTCTGACTGTCGAGAAGGTCACTGGCTCCGTCAAGAGCTCCGGTACCGATGTTTACATTCTCTGCGGTGACGGCAGCTGCTCTGACTGGACCTGGTCCGGCAACAAGGTCTCTGGCGGTAAGACCAGCAGCAAGTGCAAGAACGTGCCTTCCGGTGCTTCTTGCTAAATCACTGCTGGCTTGAGCTCTAGATCTGTCTGCGATGAGTCAAGTGTGCAGTAGCTTAGATCTGGGGGAAATCCCGAGTGCCATTTAACTTTATATACATAGACTTGAGAGGTCTTAATCAATATATTATGGCTTTCACCCGAGAATTGTAGATCGAAACATCCGTGAGGTAGTTAACCTTTTCAACCCTAAATCCGATTGGGTTCGATGACGACATCCCCGCGATTAACAATCAACACTTTCGCTTCGGAGACTTCTTTTCCTACTTAAGCTTCCCTATTGCCCAGATCTTTCAGTAACACCACTCAAAATGCAAGTCCTTCTTCTCGGCGGCCACGGCAAAGTTGCCCTGCACCTAACCCCGCTGCTGCTCAAGCGCGCCTGGAACGTAACCAGCGTGGTTCGCAACCCAGACCACGAAAGCGAGATTCTAGCCTTGGGCAAGGGTCTTAAGGGCAAATTAAACGTACTCATCTCCAGCCTGGAAGATGTCAAGAGCCCAGCCGATGCACAGAAGATCATCGATACCGTGACACCAGACTATGTGGTCTGGTCGGCGGGTATGTTCAAGAAGGATTTCAACCCCTCACCACATCCATCCAAGACTGGAGCTTCCACAACAGCTTCCACAACACATTCCACAGCTCCCCATAACCCAACCGCCCGATGAAATCAAGAGCCCCCCAACCCATCCCGAGATCTGTAAAAAAAAAAGGAAAAGAAAGAAACACTAGCTAACCCACACCAGGCGCGGGCGGCAAAGGGGGCCCAAACAGCACCATAGCCATCGACCAAGAAGCCGCCAAGCACTTCCTAACGGCCTCATTCGCCACAAAAGGCATCACGAAATTCCTCATGGTCTCCTACCTAGGCAGTCGCAAAACCCAACCAACCTGGATGCCTGATGACCAATGGGCCGGGATTGTGCGCGTGAACAACGAAGTCCTCCCAACATACGCCAAAGCCAAGCAGGAGGCGGACGAGTACATGACTGCACTGGCAGCACGGCGCAAAAGTGATCCGAACGCTGCGGCCTTCCAGGCGATTAATCTGCGGCCGGGGCTGCTTACTGAGGAACCTGCTACGCGGAAGGTCGAGTTGGGGATTACGCCCAAGGGACGAGGCAGTGTTACGCGGGAGGATGTGGCTATTGTTGCGGATGAGTTGCTTTCTAGGGCTGATACTGAGGGGTGGATTGATCTTGTGAATGGGGAGGAAGGGGTTCGTGAGGCCGTTGAGCGGGTTGCTAAGGAGAAGGTAGATGCTGTCGTTGGGGAGGATGTTGAGGGCATGGTGAAGCGGTTCTTTGGGTGATTTGGGGGTTATCTTTCGGGGTTTATACGTATCGTGGAAATAAAAAAATGAAGATGATTGTGAATGTTGATTTGAACATGAGGGTACATTTGTTTGATATTTTGTCCTGTAAGATAATCTTTGGGTATCGAACTATTTACAGCTTTGCCTTGGGTGCCTTGGCCAATTCCTTGAACCTCAGCTTCAGTACACGACGGAGAATCTTCCCACTGGGGTTCTTGGGGATCTCATCCACAAATTGCACACCGCCGCGCAGCTTCTTGTGATGCGCGACCTTGCTGTCCAGCCACTTGGCGATGTTTGTTGCTTCCTGTTGCTCTGTCGTGCCAGAAGACTTGCTCTTCGCGCTACGCACCACACAAGCCATAGGCACCTCTGAGCCATGGGCGTCACTCTCAATACCAATAACAGCAACGTCGTCAATGGCATCATTGTCAACCAGAATACCCTCCAACTCAGCAGGGGGAACCTGGAAGCCCTTGTACTTGATCAGCTCCTTAACACGGTCGGTAATGTAGAAGTGTCCCTTTGAATCCTGGTAACCGACATCGCCAGTCTGGAACCAACCATCCTCAGAAAGACAGCCTCTGGTAGCCTCCAGATTCTGGTGATAGCCCAAAAAGACATTGGGCCCCTTCAGGTACAATTCACCAACCTTGCCAACTGGAACCTCGGTTGGCGCAGACCCATCTTCCGGCATGGTCATGTACTTGGCTTCCATGTTTGGCATCAGACGTCCAACAGATCCAATGGCCTCACGCCAGTCCTCCCACTGCTGGGAGTGGGTGGTCGGACTAGTTTCGGACAGTCCATAGCCTTGCTTGATACCGACCTTGATGCGAGAGTACACAGCTTCAACCAATTCCTGGGTGAGTGGTGCAGCGCCAGAGTTCATCATTCGCATACTTGATAAGTCGTACTTGTCTACAACTGGGTGCTTACCCAAGAGCAAGACAACAGGTGGGACGATGTAGCTGAATGTGCAGCGGTAATTTTGCACATGAGCGCACCACTTCTCGATCTCGAACTTTTGCATGACGATGAGATGGTAGCCCTTGTAAAGTGCCTGGGTAATCAAGCAGGTCAACCCTGGAACAACAAAGTCAGTGATTTGCATTGCAAGATTGTTCAATCCCAACTTTGGAAACATACCATAGATATGATAAAAAGGCAAAAAGGCCAGAACTCGATCCCCCTTTCCATCATGCCCACCATCCCAATTCAACTTTTGCCCTTCACCTACATACTGCTGCAAAATATTGGCCACGATATTCCGATGAGACAACATAACACCCTTAGGCACACCCGTCGTCCCCGAAGAATAAACCAAAAACGCCACATCCTTCTCCGGCGCAATCTTCTGCTTCCGATAACGAGTAGCGCCAGAGATATTGCGCACAGACGTGAAATGCTTCACACGGGCACTGGGATCCCGCTCATCACCGACAAGGAAGACATTCTCCGCATCGATGCCGACTTTCTTCGCTGCTTCAAGCGCCACAGATAGCACAGAGGCGTGTGTAGCCACGGCCTTGGCGCCAGAGTTCTTGAGCTGGAACGCCAGCTCATCGACCGTGTAGGCTGGGTTTGCGGGTGAGATGATCCCGCCTGCCCAGAGTGTTCCCCACATCAGCACGGGGGTGTCGATTGTGTTTGGGGTGAAGAGGGCTAGTACGTCGCCTTTGCGCCAGTCGAAAAGGGCTTTTAGGCCCTTGCCGAAATCTAGAGAGGCATCTCTGAGGGCTTTGTAGGTATAGTGTCGCTGGGTGTCGGCATCTTGGTAAAGGACTGGAACATGGTGTTAACCTCATCTATACAAGAAAGAAAGAAAAAAACCCCCCGAGATATAATTTATGCGCGGAGAATCTCGAAGTCACGTACCCTTATTATCTGGATATGGCCTATCCTTGCGCTCAAACAGGAATGTCCAGAGGTCCAGATCTGGGATGTCCACTGGAGGGTAATTTGACGAGATTGGCATATTGCGGAGGGTAAAATACCGATCCGGAGAAAGAGGAGGCTCAAAAGAATCGGCAAGCCGGGAAACACGTGTAGAGGGAGATGTATAGAGAGAGAAAGGTGAATGGGTTAGAAACAGCAGAAGCAACTACTTAAGAAAGCAAGAATGTCACTTTCTCCGCAGTCTCTCGGTAGTGGACTGCCTCGGTTTCCTTCATGGTCTTGACCAATACCCGAAGGCCGGTTCAACTTAGTTCGCAGCTTGAATTTTCTTTCTATTTTATCCTTTTCTTCTCAATTCTTCTCTTTGAAGTCAATCTTGGGAAAGAGATATGCGAATAGATATTCAACTCGAATTTCAATTGCTATTGTACCTGTGTAATTTTCCATATGTACGGGACATTTTGACATCTCGGTGATTTCGGCGCTTCTCAGCCGTTTTTTGGCGGATGATGTAATCCGGGGTCCAACCCGTGGAAAGCCAGTGCAGATCAAATGATCGCATCGCGGGACGGAGTGTACGGAGTAAGCGGAGAAAGTCTGCATAACCTTGGAAATATGGAATGTGGTAAGCTGACTTCACAGGGATCAAGCATCAATGATGGCCTCAACGGTGAACCTCTGTCCCCGCCTGGCGCCATGTGGGGAGACGAGCTCGGGAGGAAAAACGAGGTGATGACAGTCCCAAGGCCCTCATTGGCGTAGACCCCCAAATTATGTATGCGGTCTCACCGGCATATAACATTATATCAGCAGTCCTATACAGTGGCTTCCAGCCTCAAAAAATGAGCGCATGTAAGACTCATAGCCGTAAGCCACGATGTATGTAGGACTGTGTCAGACCTGGTATACGATGGGGACGACACGAGATGCGCGAGTGCGCCGAAGAGACATGTTACAGACTACGCGTGCAGAGTGAAATTTGTAGTGTCGTTAGATTAAACTCTCTCCCCAGGAACAAGAAACGAAACCGAGGACAGAGCATCTTTTTTACCTCGCCACGATAGACGAGGGACCGTATCAACCCAAAATCATTTCATGCCGACAAGATCTTAAATTGAGTTGGAAACAGCTGACCCGCACTGGAAATACATGCTGAAAAAAAGAGCCCAGTTGAAAGTAGTGTTGATTTCCATTTTTCGTATTCCAGCACCATTTCCTCCACACGCCACTCCGAGGGGAATCGTTTGAAATCGTTTACTTGAGGGGAATGAAACGGGAAGAGTGGGTGGCACCGATACCGGGACGACCGTGCTTGACGGGCTTGCTGGAGGGTTGTTAGCGGCGTGTTCCCGGGGAGAAATGGATGTCAGGGAACACATACTAAGAGATAGAGAACTCAGCCAGGTAGTGGCCAACCATCTCGGGCTTGATCTCAACCTGGTTGAACTCCTTACCGGAGTAGATACCGACGACGGAGCCGATCATCTCGGGGACGACGATCATGTCACGGAGGTGGGTCTTGACGAGGTCGGGCTTCTCGTTGGGCTTGGCCTCCTGCTTGGCCTTGCGGAGCTTCTTGATGAGACCCATGGGCTTGCGCTTCAGACCGCGGTTGAAACGTCTGCGGGCACGGGCGTGAACGACATCACGGAGCTGCTCGGAGGAGAGGTCGAGGAGCCTGCAAAATTTCGTTAGAACCGTGTCTTTTGAAAGATGACTTGGGTCTCAATCGCAATGCAGCATCGGGCACACAAATAAACACCAAGGCGCAACCAGTGTGTCATGGCAGATAGTGTCACTCGATGGTGTGGCAAGAGGGGCTGACTGCGAAGAGACTTCCAAGGGTTCGTGAATTGGTGGGAACGTACTGGTCGAGGTCAATACCGCGGTAAGAAAACTTGCGGAACTGTCTTCTCTTCTTGATCTCTGTTTGGCGAAGGTTCAGTCAGTCTCTGCGATCTCGTTGTCGTGTGTGCGTATCCCCTGTGCCCAGATCATTTTCGTTCCCCGCCAACGTGAAATCCATCTCATCCTCATCTCATAATCGACCGTGCGTATTGTCTCCTTCCTTGCTGGGTCCTTGTGTCCTTGGGCGATGGGTTGGGAATAGGGTTGATCATAACGTACCGGCAGCCTCCTCGGCGTTCTAGATAGAAAGTCATTAGTATATCGCACAGTGCTCCCAGGACGAAATAAAATACTCACGTATTCGTGGTCAGCCATTTTTGCAGATGTTCCTTCGGGTCGCTTTTCGTTTCTGAAAAGCGAAAGGAAAATGGGTTGTCGGAAATTGTCGTGTCGCTGAGCGGTCTGCTACTAACACACTGGGTTTGGGAGGTGGGCAGGGCTCGTTAAGCGACGGGTAGGTTCAAGCCCTATGCACTAGTCCCAATCTGGAAACATGTAATTTATTTGCATCCCTCGGTTTTGGCCATGTAATTTACTCATTAATCATCTTGTTTACTTGGGTTTGCTCAATAAATAGCCACTAACGCATGTAATTTGAGGTAAAATTGGCGTATCATATTTACAGATATTTCATATGGAGGCTATCAGCAATCAGACTTGCTAACCAGGAGATCTACAGACATGAGACGTGAGTCTAGTCCCTACTAGAATCGTTATCGCCCGATTTCCCTACATGCCATCACCAACAAAAACCACTACGTTTAATGGAAGTAATGAGGACCAGATAATCTGTATTGGCTAGAGCTGTTTCCAGCTCAAATATGGCAAGTTATAACTGTATTAAAACAGTCGGAACGATACACATGAACGAAGCCAGCCGGCGCAAGGCCTTGCCCGGACTGACAAACCAGCCAGACATCTGCTCCTCCAGGTCATGATTTTGGAGGTCGTTGAGGGTGAGACGCTTAATCGAAGAGTCCGAATCCCATGTCCTCATCGGACTCCTCCTCAGCCTTCTCCTCCTCCTTCTCAGCGGGAGCGTCGGCACCACCGGCAGCGGCAGCGGCGGCGGGAGCGGCAGCACCAGCACCACCGGAGGGAACGGAGGCGAGCTTGGTGGAACCCTCAGCGATCAACTGTAAAAGAATTAGTATTGCAATCAGTGTATTTTGCGTTGAATTTGACTAACCTCCTGGATGTTCTTGCCCTCGAGCTCAGCGATGACCTTGTCAAGACGGTCACCCTCAGCGTCGATGCCGACGGAGGAAAGGACGGACTTGATGTCGGCAGCGGAGGGGGTCTCGTTGCCACCAAGGGCGAGGAGAAGGTAGGCAGCGAGATACTTCATTTTGAATAGACTAAGAAGATTTTGTCGTTAGACTCTGAATTTGAAGATCGGGATGCGACCGCAGTTTGCGATGCGAAGAAGTCGTCTGGCTGGCGCCAGATAGAAAAAAAGGCGTACATACCGTTGTAGATTATTATCTGAACAAGAGAAACAATCGATTTAACCGCAAGTTGGGCGGAGACTGCAACGTCAGGTTCTGGTTGAAGAGGTTGGTTGACGAAGGATGAACCGAGTCGCTAAAATCTTAAGAAAAAGTGTGGTGCGAGCGGGTGTGGCTGGTGCTGGCAGAACTTCTAAGCGAGTGCTGTGGCGCAGGCGCATTGGGAACCACGTGACTGGTTCTCCAAATGTTGGCATTTACGTAGTTGGTCGCCCACTTGTTCTTTTCATTCAGAAAGTCTTCCCAGTCAAAGCTAGCAGGGCCAACGTGCCACATATTGTCTCAAGTCTATTGCTCTTGAGAACAATAGAAGTATTGAGCGTGCCAGAAGGAGCCTACCAGAGATCTCCTCCCAGCTATCGGGCTCGGAGTCATGAAGTTACTTAGTACCAACTATCGACGGTGAGCGTGACTTCTTCTCTGTACCACTTCTACACCATCTCCCAACTGTTTATTTCTTATCTTAAATAAATCTACCATGAGTGTATGGCCCTTTTCTCCTATGTTTGACGTCACCTTTTCTAATATCTATTAGTTCCTTGACTCGGTTCTCTCGTCACTTCAGACGGGCAAACCTTCGCCCCTCCCGCCTTCCCAAGCAGCAGCTGTGCCAGCGCCACCCGCTGTCCCAAAAAGAGACGAGCGGAAGCCAAGTGCTGTGCGACCGCCAGCCCCTCCAAGTGGCAATGTCGGTGGAGGTCTGAAGCGCAAGGCCGAGGACCAGCTGGCTAGGCCAGTGAAGCCCGAAACGAAGGTGACGAGCAGGCCCGCAAGCACGAAACCCGCTGCCACCGCTACCAAGTCTCCTATTTTATCTGCGCAACCCAGAGCCATCTCCAAGCCGGCCTCCACCCTTACTTCCCGGCCAGCACCAGCCAAGCCTGTATCCAAAATCGGCACATCTATGGCGACAAAACCTGCACCTGCACCTGCACCCAAGGCACCGACTAAGCCCACGGCTGCAACCACCCCCTCCAAACCACCACCAAAGGGATCTTTTGCGGAGATTATGGCAAAGGCACAAGCTTTGCAAGACAAAGCTCCTACAAATGCCGGCACATTCCGACATCAGGCCGTTCCCAAAGAGAGATTGAGCAAAATTGAACGCAAGAGACGGGCCATGGAAGCGCAGGCAAAAGATAAAGAACCCCGCTCAACAAAGAAGCCCGTACCCGGCGCCACTGGCAAGGACAAGCTTGCCGCCACGAAGGGCAGCTCTGAGGGTCCAAATTACAAAGGTACCGCCAAACCCGCCAAACCCAGCAAACAAACACCCGAGCCACCTTCTTATCGTGGTACTGCTGGTTTGCCATCTAGTCGTGGTGGAGGTGACCGCAGACATCAATCTCGCAGCCGATCTCGCGGAAATGAATACCTCGGAACCGATGAAGAAGATGAGGGCGATTACGGTGGTTATGCGGGATATGATGATTATTACTCCGATGAGTCTTCCGACATGGAAGCTGGACTAGACGATGTGGACCGCGAAGAGGCTGCCGCGTTGAAGTTCGCTAGGCGGGAGGACGAGGAAGAGCTGCGCCGAGAGACAGCAGCAAAGAATGAGAAGTTGGCGCGCCAGCAGAAGTTGGCAGCTCTTGCCTCTCGCAAGCGTTAGATATATTTTATTCTTTCGGCTCTATTTATTTTGAAACTGACCCATTTTCATCCCGGTTCTTTTTTTTCCTTTGTTCTGGGGGGGTTTTGTACTCAGCATTGTGAGCGTGTGGATGCACCCATAGAGGGTGCTCTTTTTTTGTTATTTTTGATTCGAAGCGCCATCCATAGCGGGCGTTTTGCCAATACCAACTTTTTTTTCGCGCCTATAACCTGATATGCACGTTTGGACAAGTAGTTGCGAAGTATTTCACTGGCTTGTCTTAGCCCCCACTTGGCGGTGACATCACCCGCCAGTTTCATCTTGACTCCAGAGCTGTCGCTTTACACCCAACTTCAATTCTGCATACCTGCATTTCCATCATGGAATCTGTTCATCATGTCTCGACTTCATCAAAGATTCTCTTCAGCAAGGTCCGCAAGATTGTGCCCCCAATGCTGGAGAAATTTCACAAAGGTTTGTAATGCCAGTGTCATCCTCGGATCGATTCGTGAATCCCAGATTTGATAGTAGACCGTCATGCACGTATAGAAACTGACAATTACATCAGGACAACTTGGTCGTGTAGCCGTCATTGGAGGCTGCGCTGAGTAGGTACTCAATCCCAATGGCGTGTTCATCCCACTAACTGATAAGCTATACTGGCGCTCCATACTTCTCCGCCATGGCCTCCGCAAGACTTGGTGAGTCTTTTATACCTATGCATAAAATACAACCGATACTGACTGTACAACCCCACAGGATGTGACATGGTATGTCAAAATCTATACAGACACCTCGCCAGCCATTAACAACAAGCAGAGCCATGTCCTCTGCGAACGATCCGCAGCAACGGTAAATTCAAAATTCCCTAGCTGTAGCCTATACAAACTCTAACAAACAAATAGGTCATCAAGGGCTACTCCCCAAATCTGATGGTTCACCCATTACTTCCAAGCAAAGCCACAATCAACAACTCTATCTCATTCGATGCACCGACACTAGCAGCCCCGATAATCGGCATGCTCTCACGACTACACGCACTGGTCATCGGTCCAGGTCTTGGGCGTGACGAAGTAACGCTGAAAGTGGTTGCCGAAGTGATCCGAGAAGCGCGATCGCGATCGATTCCATTTGTGCTGGATGCAGATGGGTTGCTGATAGTAACGGAAACCCCGGATCTGATTAAGGGATACAAGGACTGTATCCTGACGCCCAATGTGGTTGAATTCGGCCGTCTTGCCAAAGCACTAGGAGTCAAAGTCTTCAGTCCGGCAGAGTTAGCGAAGAGCGGAGACACCAATGTGACCAACAAGGAATCAGATGCCTGTGAACAGCTATCTCGGGCCCTTGGCGGTGTGACTATTCTCCAAAAGGGTCCTCATGATGTGATTTCCAATGGGGTTACGAGTATCATTTCTGATACGAAGGGTGGCTTAAAGCGCAGTGGTGGTCAAGGAGATACCCTGACAGGATCATTGGGGACCTTCCTTGCCTGGAGATTGGCTTATCATGATCAGCTGTGGGATTCTGGGGAGAAGGAGAACGAGAAGGAGGCGCAAAGCAAAGAGGATGTTGAACGAGAACTTAAATCCGAGGATAAGCGCATGTCGCCTACGACGACATTACTGCTGGCCACTTGGGCTGGAAGCAGTATTACACGGGAATGCTCGCGGCGGGCGTTTGAGGCCAAGGGGCGGAGTATGCAGGCTAGCGATCTGACTGATGAAGTGCACCATGTATTTTTGGACTTGATTGGAGAGCCAGAACAATCGCATCTGTAGGCTACCATGTCGAGAATCATTGGACACGAGCATTCGTGAATGGAAGATGCTTGAAGAGGTTTAGTTCTTTGACTCAATGCTCCATTTTAGCACAAGACAAGATAACTTTCTTTTCCATGTTTCTATTGATTCTCGTATTCCCACTTGCAGCTAGCACGAAAAAGGGAGCTGACATTAGTGTAGAGGCTGGTGACTATTGGTACGCTACAAAACCGGGGTGCAATATGATCTGCGGAACGGTGTGAAAGACGGTAAGCACGATTGAAGCTGAACGAGCAAAAGACTGAACTAATTTCCCAGGCAAATAACATCTGCAATGGGTTTGAAATTCCTTCGAGGCGGTTCACTCTCCCTATCACCAAGCTTGTCTGTTACAACCAAAGAAAGACTTAATTTAGTCTATATATCATGAGACTTGAGTTTTATTTGATCATTTGGAGCTCTGGGTTCATTTTTGAGGCAACCCGGTTCAATATTCTAGCCTCAGCTGCGCTTACATAGTACGAGATACACCAATAGCGACATAAAGGTTCCAATGTTATATGCATCTTACCCAAGAAAAATGAGAAGAGGTATAATGTTTTGAGTAGGCAGCACGATAGACTTCTTTGAGGCAGCTCAGAAATCAATTGAATAAGTACGCAATCCTTTCAAGTTATTCATTTCGATCGAGTCCAACGGCACACACCTGTATACCCTATGGCAAGGTTATTCCATAGAAATGGAAAGGACATGTGCTACAGCCCTTGCTTGAACCTTGAGTAACTGAGCTTATGATGTCACCATCTTCTCGCTTGTTGAGGCTCGTCTTTCGTCAAGTTCCAGAACCCGCAGACAAAACAAGTAGCATTTGCAGACAACGACCTATCTAGACCGGAGAACACAAAGCTATTGAGATCAAACGATGTGAGACATATGCAAGAACAACTCAAGCTCCCCCGCATTACTATACATAGATACAAAGAATGGTCAGCGTCGAGCTCTTGATGTAGTTAGGGCAATGCGTAGCCAGAGACATGTCCCAGGGCTCAACCCCTCCAAAGTATAACTTAAAATCTCCCTCAAATAGAACATCAATCTCTGGTTGCGCGAAGTAAATTTGAACCGACATAGCCTTGTTCAATGAGCACTGGCAAATGTCTCGAGTCCTTGATCCAGATCTCGTATTCAGACTCACCCAGTCCCGGGTCCGGTGGCGCGCATCCCCCGTCTTATCCGAGGACAAGGAGACAATATTGCAACCATGGAAACCCGTATATGATACGATCTTCATCTGCAATCATTCATGCTAGGAGACCCAAGCCAAATATGCCCGCGTGATGTGACGGTGATGGAAAATGCAGGGAACAGGCCGGATAGCATATCCGCACGAGAACGAAAACTAAAGGGACTCAGCACCATAAAGGATATACGAATAATCGTATAACCCAGAGGCAAAAGTATATAAAGATGATGTCTCTCAGCCAAAGATCTCGCCATCACACACCAATCCACACAGAAAGCACAAAGTACAAGCTCCGTTCTAGTACAAATCAATACTCAATCCCAACCTTCAGCCTTCAACCAAGATGCACATCTCAACCTTGGCCTTGGTCATTGGCACTGCTGCTCTGGCCGCCGCAAACCGAAGACCACCTCCCCGGTGTGGTACCTGCAACCCTGTCTCGGGCCAGAACCACTGTGATGTGACCACCTCGTGCATCAACACCGGCACGGCCTTCCACTGTGCCTGTCGTGCTGGATATAAGGCCTCGCAGAATAACAACGATGTCAATCAACAGTTCCGCTTGCCGATGCCGAACTATGAATTCCTCGTGTTCGTTCCTGAGAATACGGCTTGCAATACTCTTTGTAATAATCCCTTTGGTATGCCATCGGACCTGTGTAATGAGGTTAAGCTTTACAACCAGTGCCCTGCTTAAGGTGCTGTAGCGGAGATCTGGCTTTGCTGTAGGTTGACTCAGACAGCACTTGAGGATGGAAGGCAATGTCTGAGTTTGAGGATGCTTACAGGGCCTGGGAAGGTCAATTGTTGTGGCGACAAAGTCTTCGAGATATCTGCTCATAGTGTCATGTCACTCTTTCTTAGTGAATGGAACGTATTTAAATATGAAACGTAAACCATGATTAAAAAGAAAAGTGGATGATCTTTTGATTGTCCCTACAATATCATAACAACCAGCTCCATGTTCCCAAGAATACACCCAAACACCCAGCGCCTTAAAGTCAGCCTGTTTCAAATGCATCTTTAACAGACAAAAAAAAGCACCGGTCGACCTCCAAGAAAGAAGAGAAAAAAAACAAGATAAATGAGCTTCAAAATTACATGCCCATGTCAGCGTCAACTTCAGTGAAGAGCAGACGTGTGCCGTTGCCAGTGACTTGCCAGAGCTGTGAGGTAAAAAGTTAGTCAAGGTACATAATGGGGTGGAATAGGAGTCAAAACTTACGTCCATGGCGGCGTACTCGTCGATAGTTACGGTGAGGTTGTCCTCGGTAAAGCCACGGGCCAATACTCTCTCACGGATACGTCTCATGCTCATCTCACCCTCCTCGCCATCACCAACAGCAGCCGCACCGCTCTCCTTCATGCTGCGGATCAAGTTGTAGATCTTGCTGGAAGGAGTGTTGTCAGCACCAGACTCGCCCTCGTCGTAGAGAGAGGCCTTGGAAATCTCAATGAGGCGCAGAGCCTCATCAACATCCTCACGGACAACCTCCTCACTGAAGCGAAGACGAGCAAGGGCCTGAGACAAACGAATGATACCGAGTAGGGTACGGGGGGAGACGTGAGAGAATTGTCTCTTCTTGGACTCGTCAATCTTTTGACGCTTGCGCATGGCCACATAGGCGCCAACCATGTAGTCGGAAACGTTGGAAGGCACAACAGGGCGGAATGAGCGAGCCTTGGCGATGTACTGGCGGACCTCGTGGGGAGTAAACATCACCCCAGCGTCTTCGGTCTCAGGGTGCTTGTTGTGCATGTGAACGTAGGTGACGTGGTTGGCTAGTTCTTCATCACCCTCGCGGGATGGAGTATCAAGAAGCAAAAACATCACATCGAAACGAGACAGCAAGGCGGCGGGAAGGTTGATGTTGTCAACGGGAGACAAGCGGGTGTTGTATCGACCGTACAGTGGGTTAGCTGCTGCCAGAATGGAAGTACGAGCATTAAGGGTGGTGTTGATTCCGGCCTTCGAGATAGAGATGGTTTGCTGTTCCATCACTTCGTGAATGGCTGTCCGGTCTGAGTCCTCCATCTTGTCAAACTCATCAATACAGCAAATTCCGTTGTCAGCAAGGACAAGAGCACCTCCCTCCAACATCATCTCGTCGGTAACGGGATCTCTCATAACGGCAGCAGTAAGACCGACACCACTGCTTCCTCGTCCGGTGGTGTACACACCGCGAGGAGCGACCTTGGTAATGTATCGAAGCAGTTGGGATTTGGCAACACCAGGGTCACCCATCAGGCAAATATTAATGTCACCACGAATGTGCATGCCGTCACCCATCTCCTTAGTGACACCTCCAATCAACAGCAAGAGCAATGCCTTTTTAACATCGAGGTGTCCGTAGATTTCGGGCGCAATTGACCGAGAAAGGTACTCGTACATGTTACCTGAGCGCTGGTGCTGTTCGATCTTGCGAAGAGTCCGGCTGTCCATGCCCATCTCGTTGTAGGACTTCTTGTGCTGGGTAATGTGCTGGGCTTCCAGGTAAGTGTCGGTCAATAGGCCAGCGCGAATAGCTCTGAAGCCGGTATAAGGGGTAGGCAGGAAGATTCCAGCAATGTCAACGACATCACCAGGGTTCAATTGGCGAGTGAGAGCACCATGGCAGTGAATAGTCAAGGTGCGAGGAATGTGGCCCACTGGCACTTGATCGGCCATCTCCTGAATCTTAACTTCCTGGAAGGGAACGAACTTAGAAGCACGGGTCGAGAGGAAGAGTTGTCCCTTGGAGTTGTTCTTTTTGCATTCCTCCGACAGACATTCGGACAAGGGAAGGAACTGCTTGGTGGTGACGGGCTGGAAGACTTCGCATCCACAACGATCGCAAGTGTAGGCGTTGATCTGAACAGCGGGCTTGACATCGGAGACACGGGTGGTAATACCGCGAACAGTGATCAAGCTACCCAGATGCTCACCTCGCACACTGCGGACAGCCATAGCTTTAGACTCGAGGCTAGAGCCTGAAGGCGTGATGGGCTTGAAGTTGAGGGTGTATCTGCGAGTGAGCTCGGGGGGGAACATCGATGGGGCGTTGGCAGCAGCTTCCATGTCGGCCTCCATAGCCATTTCCATTGTTTCGTTGCGCTTTTCACGCTGGGACATGATCACATCAAGCACATCGTCTTTAAAACTGTGTGGGGGTTAGTTGGTGTGCGATTTAGTGCTGGTCGAAAGTTTGACGTACGTAACATCCTTCGTCTCTTTAGGCATAATATTGTCAACTGCTTGAGAAATAACATCGATGTAGCGCTTGGTGTTCTTTTCAATTGACTCGACCAATTTGAGATTGACTTCGTCGGGGAGAGATTTCTCAAACTGTAGGAAAACAGTGGTGTAAGGTATTGTTCAGTGAATAGAAGCTACCGGGTTCAGATACTGACCACCGCGAGATCATCCAACTCGATTAGGATATTAGACTGGTCTCTGTTTGCGACATCTTGCAAGATTTGCATATACTTGAGCTTCGGCTCCCGGCGCCTGCTTGCGCGAGTGGTGGCGCCCGTCTCATCGGCATCATCCATGAAATCATATTCATCACTGGTACGGCCTTCATCGATGTTCAAGTCCTCCAACGCTTCGGTCGCAGCAGCTTCCGAGGAAGATTGAAAGGTCTTGAACCCTTTCAAGAAGTCTTTGAATCCATCCAACTGTGCGGCATAATCAACGGGGGTGGTACTGAAGGAGCGACATTGTGCATAAATGAGGGTTAATCGCAAAGAGGTGGTGGGACGGAAGAAATAGCAGGAGGGTCTAGCGGCTTTCCGAGCCCCTACCAAAATCGCTGGCAAAACGCGAACGCGACGCAACGACGCGCTAGAATGTTGCTAGCCTGTTTGGGATTAGGGCGGATTGCTCCGGATTATTTGTTCTTCCGCCATCACGATACGCGGTCACGTGGATGGCCATCGGGCCGAGGCGAAACAGAGGCAGTGTGGAGTCCGGGGTTCGTGTCTCTCCGAGTTCACGTTCCCCTCTCCTCCTCGTCCTTTCGTTGTTCACGACAGTTCAGCGCTTACAGATGGCGCCCAAGAAACCTGCGGCCACGGCCGAAGTTGCCCTCGTTCCTCTTAAGAACTGCCTTGTCAATCTACCGTCGTCGCTGGTCGCTTTACTGGTGAACGCCAACACGGTTAGTATACCACCCGTGAAGTACCAATGCGTGATCTCGACTAATTTTCGGCAATATCAGGCTGCCCAAAATGTTATCATTGAGCTACAGTACAAGTCAGACTCCGCAAAGGCCAATGGAGCTCCCCCGCAGCAGTCATGCTTCCTCGGGTGGACTGGTATGCCAAGCAAGCGTCGGCTTGCGCCGGTCGTTGGAAGAGATGGTATCAACAGCGGATATGCTAGAGAACAGGAAGTTTCTACCGTTGAGCTAGATACTACCTTTGGGCGACTTCTAGGTCTCACCGAGGGGCAGAAGGTAAACTCGTGTCTCTGCCCGTGCGCTGTCCACGTGGGGTACTAACGCCTTACAGGTCGGACTGTTCATTCACCTCGATCCACCTATTGCGCATACTATCAACATTGAGCCATTGACACCTGAAGATTGGGAGAGTAAGTCGCACTTGTTAATAAGCCATATAAGCTCACCGCTAAATCAGCATTACTATAGTAATTGAACTCCACGCGACATTCCTTGAGCTCAATCTCCTCTCACAGATCCGCGCCCTACCAAATCCTACATACAATGCCCCACAATCAGAGCAGCATATGCACCCACTTGCATTACATCTATCCCCCACGTCTACCGCAAATATTGTCGTCACATCACTTACCCCCGCTCCGATTAACACATCTCCTTTTGCTAAGATTGCATCAGATGCGGAAGTTATTGTTGCACCGAAGGTTCGGTCGAAGACAAGCAAAGGGTCTCGGTCTGACAATCGGAGTGCAGCTGGAAGCAGCAGGAGAAGTGCTGGCGGTAGAAGTGGTTCGAGCACTGTACGCCCGAAGAGCGGCCATTCTGACTCGAGCACTCGAGGTTCTGTATATTTGAGAGGTGTTGATCGTTCAGCAACCAGTCAATGCTTTGATGCGGAGATTGAGGAGGATGCGAATGAAGGCCTACGTGTCTGGGTTGATCCGGACCTGCTTGCAAGTCAGGAGCTGCGCGGGGCGACGTGGGCATGTGTATCGGTTGTCCAACCATCTGGTCTCAAGCCCCCACTTGATCCCCAACAACAACTTGCCCAAGCTGAACAGCAGAAGTCGAATGATGCTGGCTCTCCTTCCACCAAGATCGTAGCTAAGCTGCTTCCGTGGGAAGAGGCCCCTGACAATCGGCATGCGGCGATGTCCACATTGTTGTGCACGGCCCTTAACGCGGAGAACATGGTCGGTGGAATTGTCCGAGTCGAGGCAGCGCCCCCACAGCTTCATCGATCAGCTGTCAAAACACTCAAGGTGTATCCATTCATTGCCGATCCCTCGAAGAAAAGAGACGGCCTGAAGTTCGGCTCTGACACTGCGGCCTCTCGAGATGCTCTTGCCGAGCGATTAAAGGTTATTTACGGGAGCACAGGGTCAGATGTCGGGCTTTTCTCTGGTCCTTTGACCGATGGAATGATTCTCCCCAAATCTGAGTATCATCCATCGGTTCTTTCATTTGATGGCGCTATCATTCGCTTTGATCCACCCTTGAAAAGTGGTCCAGATGATACAAAGGCAATGTTAGGATGGTTATTGGGCTCGGAAGCCAAGTTGAATCTAGAGGTTCAGGCAGAGATTCCCAAGCCATTGGACCCAAGTTCATCTGTTCTGCCTATGGAAGATCCCCTGCCAGAGACCGCTCCTGACCTTGTTGGGATTGATTCTATCATTTCCAAATCTTTGAACAACCTGACAAAATCGTCCTCTATCTTGCTCACTGGTGGTTTAGGGGCTGGAAAGACGACTCTGGCTCAGCTACTAGCCCATCGTCTAAGGCGGGACCATCTTTCCAACGTCAAGTATTTCTCTTGCCGTAAACTCGTTACCGATGAGACAAGAATTTCCAATATCAAGGAAACCCTGAACCGTCTGTTCATGTCCGCATCATGGTGCGCACGCCTCGGTGGTCAGTCTGTCGTGATTCTTGATGATTTAGACAAGCTCTGCCCCGTTGAGACTGAATTACAAGTGGGTGGGGACAATGGCCGTAGCCGTCAAAATAGCGAGGTTATCTGCTCTATGGTTCGGGAATATTGCTCCTTGAACTCTTCTGTTGTACTATTGGCCACTGCTCAGGCCAAGGAGTCCCTCAATAATGTTATCATTGGTGGCCACGTTGTGCGTGAGATTATTAACATGCGTGCTCCCGATAAGGAAGGGCGCCGCAAGGTTTTGGAGAAACTCACTAGCCAAGACAAGCCTACGGAGAACATGAATGGACATGTCCGGACTACGAGCTCCTCGACACAGGACTCTTGGTTGGACCCTTCGAATCCAGGTAGTCGCCCTAGCTCCTCTGGGGGTGATGGATTCGTTATTGGCAGGGATGTCGAGTATCTCGAGCTAGCTGGCAAGACTGATGGGTATATGCCCGGTGATCTTGTGCTACTTGTTTCTCGTGCGCGCAATGAGGCTCTTATTCGCTCTGTTTCAGATCTAACAGCGACATCGAAGATGATCACTCTTGGACTAGAGGACTTTGAGAGCGCTTTGAAGGACTTTACCCCAGCATCCCTTCGCAACGTTACCCTTACTTCTTCGACAACAACGTTCGCCTCAGTTGGCGGTCTCTTTGAAACCCGAAAGACCCTACTGGAAACCCTGCAATATCCTACGAAGTATGCACCTATCTTCTCTCAATGTCCGCTGCGTTTACGGTCTGGTTTGCTTCTTTATGGATTCCCAGGTTGTGGTAAGACAATGCTGGCTAGTGCAGTTGCTGGTGAGTGTGGGTTAAACTTCATCAGTGTCAAAGGTCCCGAGATCTTGAACAAATATATCGGAGCCAGTGAGAAGAGTGTTCGTGATTTGTTCGAAAGAGCACAGGCAGCTCGTCCATGTGTTCTCTTCTTCGATGAGTTCGACAGTATTGCACCTAAGCGTGGCCATGATTCTACCGGTGTGACTGATCGTGTTGTCAACCAACTGTTGACCCAGATGGATGGTGCAGAAGGTCTTTCAGGTGTATATGTGTTAGCAGCAACCTCGCGGCCGGATCTGATTGATCCCGCTCTCCTGCGTCCCGGTCGTTTGGACAAGTCCTTGCTTTGTGGGATGCCAACCCACGAAGACCGTGTTGATATCATCCGTTCAGTGAGCGAGAAACTCAAGATGAGTGATGAGGTTTCTTCTCGTCTGGATGAAATTGCTGCCGCCACCGAAGGATTCTCCGGTGCTGATTTGCAGGCCGTTGTTTACAACGCCCATCTGGAGGCGGTTCACGACGCTCTAGGTGACCATTCTGGCGATGGAGACAAGCCTGGTGCCAAGTCCAATACTACCAAGAGCTCCAACAGTGCCTCAACCAAGTCATTCATCCAGTTCCTCTACTCCTCCTCCGAGGAAGCATCTGGATCGGTCTCCATGCCAGCTCCGGCAGTGATCTCGGCCAAGCTCGAGGCAATTAAGAGTTCGCGTCGACGTCAGCGCCAGCTCGAGCAAGGACCTGGTGCTTCAAATAATAGCGCAGCACAGCTAGCTAATGGCACCGAAGCGCCTACAGACGAGCTGCGCGAGGATATCATCGTCCGATGGGAGCATGTCGAGCGTTCTTTGGCCACCACGCGCGGTTCCCTGCCTCCGGCAGAGCGTAGACGACTCCAAGGCATCTATCGGGAGTTCGTTGTCGGCCGAAATGGCGAGATGCCCAATGGTGAAGCCGGCAACGAGATTGGGGGCCGGACCAGTCTGATGTGATATAGTTCATTCACTGTGGCGTGGGGTTATGTATATTTTAGACTCAGCATTTGGCTACTTGCCTTCTATATCTGTATTTATCACTGTCGGCAAGTGGACATTATCTCATTTACCTCGTTTTTCTACTTGAGTCATGTTGCGTCAGCGTAGATATCCAATGACCGTGAGGCTTTAGTAGATATGTCATTTGCCCCGGATCCCGAGATAATAACCCGTCGCCCTCAAGTATACATGAGCATAGGGCAGGGTCAAGGCAGTATCCCAGGACACTAGAGCGACAGTCTTTTTTTAGGAAACTGTCACTTGCATCCGGATTTTAGCCTACTTTTAAACCTCTTTTTATACTTGGCTCCAGATGCCCGTTTGCCTATTCGTCTCTGATTCCAGTATAACTCATGAAATCAGTTAGATCCTACCCTGATCTTCTTTGCTCTAACTAATCCCACCACACGATTCTCCCCAATATCAAACATCACCAACTATACTCAGTACACAAAGCCGATGGCCAGAAAAATCATGTGTGCGGCCTCTGATTAGCTGCGGGGCGACCGCCCCGAGTCGGGAAAATCGAAAAAAAGATAATTCTTCCCCCCCCTCTTCACCTCTGCTTCTTCTCCCCAAGATCACCAAGATCACCAAGATCTCTCTAGGACTCCTTCGTCCTTTCCAAACTGAACTCGTTTCCCCCGGCCCTCCCTTCCCGCCGGCCCGCGCTCCCCGGGGTTCCTCGTTTATTTGGAGATTTCTTGCCTTTTCGTATTGGGGGATCGTTGCGCGATGGATGTCACAGCCCTCCGAGACCGCATTCAGTCTACTCTGGATGCGAATGCAGACATTCGCACTCAGGCAGAGCAGGATTTGAAATATGTATGTGTCGGAATCTGTTAGCGGGGCACCCGTTGGACTCACACGTGGTATAGGCCGAGACGCAGCCAGGGTTTATCAATGCCCTCCTGGATATCCTGCAAGGCGAGCAGAACAATGCTGTTCAGCTCTCTGGTACGTCCGTGACGGTTTCACCCCAGCGTGAAATCTGTTTCCTGTCTCTCGATCGACCCCGCTCATTTTCTCCTTTACAGCTGGTGTCTACCTGAAGAACCGTATCACCCGTGGATGGGCCCCCGTCGAAGATAGCCCACAGCGTACACCAATTCCCGAGGCCGAGAAGCCTGGGTTCCGGGAGCGCCTTATTCCTGCCCTGGCGTCCACACCCCCCAACGTTCGCAACCAGCTGGTTCCGCTTCTGCAGAAGATCCTGCAAAACGACTTCCCCGAGAAGTGGCCCGAATTTTTGGACCTGACTCTTCAGCTCCTCGGCACCAATGACGCAAGTACAGTGTATGCAGGTCTGCAGTGTCTACTGGCAGTCTGCCGGGTGTATAGATTCAAGGCAGGCGAGAAGAGAGAGGAATTCGATAAGATCGTGGAGCACTCGTTCCCCCAGCTGCTCAGCATTGGATCAAAGCTTGTGGACGAGGAGAGTCTAGAGGCTGCGGAGATGCTTCGCCTTGTGGTGAAGGCCTTCAAGCACGCAATCTACGTGGGTGTTCCTGTGCGCGCAAACCGACCAACCGTACTGACTGACCGTGGGATATAGTTCGAGCTCTCTCCTTGCTTACAGACCCACCAGGCCACCGTGGACTGGTGTACACTTTTCCTGCGAATTGTTTCGAAGACGCCCCCCGCGAACGCTATGGGAGATTCCAAGGAAGACCGGGAAATGAACCACTGGTGGAAGTGCAAGAAGTGGTCCTACGCTAACCTGAACCGTCTATTTATCAGGTGAGATGCGAATGATTCTTTGGGACTGGCCGACAACGACTTTTATTGACCTTGATATTCAGATATGGTAATCCCACTACGATCACCAAATCTTCTACCCCCGATTACACACCTTACGCGAAGACCTTCATCAGCACATTCGCCCCCGAAATTCTCAAGGGATACTTGACGGAGATCGACAAGTGGGTTTCAAAGTCGCAATGGCTCAGCAACTGCGCCCTTTCATATACCCTGGTCTTTATGGAGGAGTGCGTCAAGCCCAAGGCTATGTGGGACCACCTGAAGCCGCACATGGACAACCTGATCGCCCATTTCGTCTTCCCTATCCTTTGCCAGTCTGACGAGGATATTGAGCTCTTCGAGGATGATCCTTCTGAGTATCTCCACCGCAAGTTGAACTTCTACGAGGAAGTTTCCGCTCCTGATGTCGCCGCTACCAACTTCTTGGTCTCGTTGACCAAGAACCGCAAGAAGCAGACCTTCTCCATTCTCACTTTCGTTAACAGCGTTGTCAGCAAGTATGAGGCCGCACCGGAAGACCAGAAGCAGCCTCGTGAAAAGGAAGGTGCTTTGAGAATGATCGGCTCTTTGGCTTCGGTCATCCTGGGCAAGAAGAGCCCGATTGCGGATCAGGTTGAGTACTTCTTCGTTCGTCACGTTTTCCCTGAGTTCCGCAGCCCCCACGGTTTCCTCCGCGCTCGTGCTTGTGATACCCTGGAGAAGTTCGAGCAGCTCGACTTTAAGGATCCCAACAACCTCATGGTCATCTATCGCAACATCCTCGAGTCTATGACCGATCCCGAGCTCCCTGTGCGTGTTGAGGCTGCCCTCGCCCTACAGCCCCTTATCCGCCACGACGTTATCCGCACATCGATGCAGCAGAACATCCCCCAGATCATGCAGCAGCTTCTCAAGCTTGCCAACGAGGTCGACGTGGATGCTTTGGCCAACGTCATGGAGGACTTTGTTGAGGTCTTCTCCGCTGAGCTTACTCCCTTCGCTGTGGCCCTCAGCGAGCAGCTTCGCGATACTTACATGCGTATTGTTGGTGAGCTTCTGGAGCGCAATGCCTCCAAGGGTGGTGACGAAGATGGCTACGGCGACTTCTTGGATGACAAGAGTATCACCGCATTGGGTGTTCTGCAGACCATTGGCACCCTTATCCTCACTCTCGAGAGCACCCCCGACGTTCTCTTGCATCTCGAGACTATCTTGATGCCCGTCATCAGCATCACATTGGAGAACAAGTTATATGATCTCTACAACGAGATTTTCGAGATCATTGACAGCTGCACATTCGCCTCCAAGACTATTTCTGCTTCCATGTGGCAAGCATTCGAACTGATTCATAAGACCTTCAAGGCTGGTGCTGAGCTCTACCTGGAAGATATGCTCCCGGCCCTTGACAACTATGTCGCCTACGGTTCCGATATGCTGGTTCAGAACCCTGCTTATCTCAATGCCGTGGTTGGTATGGTTCAGGACATCTTCGCCGATGAGAAGGTCGGTGGTGTTGACCGCATTTGCGGTTGCAAGCTTGCCGAGACCCTGATGCTTAACCTCCGTGGACACATTGATCAGTACATCCCACTTTTCATCGAGATGGCTATGCGGGTCATCGATGCCGGCGAGGCTCGCACCAAGTCTTACCGCATCCACTTGATGGAGATGGTCATCAACGCTATTTACTATAACTCTGCTCTCAGTCTTCAGGTTCTGGAGTCCAAGGGCTGGACCAACAAGTTCTTCAGTGCTTGGTTCGCCAACATTGATAACTTCCGCCGTGTGCATGACAAGAAGCTGTCCATTGCTGCCATCAGCTCGCTTCTTACTCTTCCCGCCGGTGAAGTTCCCATCAGCGTCCAGCAAGGATGGCCGAGACTGTTGCAGGGTGTGACGCGTCTGTTCCAGACCTTGCCTGCTGCATTGAAGCGTAAGCTTTTCTCTTCCGTAATGAACTTGAGGATTTCAAAGCTAATCAATTATATAGAACGTGAGGATGCCACTAAGGAATCCGACTTCACTCTCGACGACGAAGATGAAGATGATGACGAGGATAACGACTGGGACGGTGATGTTGAGTGGGATGAGAACGAAGTTGAAGCCGCTCTTGACGATGATGTCGCCGATGAGAGCGCCGCCTACCTCGACTTCCTCAACCAAGAGGCACAGAAGTTCGGCTCCTTCGCCGATGATGACGACGATGATATGGACGAGGAAAGCTTGCTGGAGACCCCTCTGGACAAGGTTGAGCCATATGGCATGTTCAAGCATGTCTTGCTGAGTATGTGATTCCACCTACCACCTTACTTCATATTCTAACATAAACCTAGACCTCCAACAAGAGCAACCCCAGCTCTACGAGAGCTTGACCAAGGTTCTCGGTCCCGAGGAGCAGCAGATCATCCAGGGTGTCTTCCACGAAGCCGACGCCAAGGCCATGGCCGCGGCAGCCAACGCCGAGGCCGCCGCTGCAGCGGGCATGCAGAACGGCAACTAAGCGAAATCATTTTCCAAGATGGTGTGAATATTTACCCGTGTCAATGTCAATGTCTCGTCTCGTTTCTGGTTTTCCGTTTCCCCTGCATTTTCCTCACGAGACCATATGCCCATGTCATGTCTTATCCGCTTCGCTTCTTTAGATCATGTCCCCCCCAAACCGACCTCTTGTCATCTCTTGTTTCTGTTCCTCTTTTTTTTTTTTTCTCTTTTCATTTTCAGTCACGCTCCCGCTGATGTACTCACACAAAAGTCCTACATCCTTATCCCCCTTTTTCTCTTCCCCCGTCCTAATCGCTCTTCGTTGCACAGATTCCCCTGAAGACCTCATTATTCTCCATGATATAGTACATCAGCCATGCTACAAATGTTGGATTCGATTCGTTAGATTCGAGATGAGTAGATATGTAGAGATCCTAGCAGGCAGGGGATTGGAATCATAGAGTTCTCCCTCTTTGGGCTCAAGTAATGTTCCTACGTTGACTGCGTTTTCGAATTATCTATAACCGGATGGAAGGGATTTTTGGGAGCTCTTCTATAGCATACTCGACATAGGTCCATTTCCTGATGGAAAAAAGGTAATTAAGATGCCTCTCGCAGACACTCCTGTCACCGAACGAGCTAGTCATGACACGACGGTCATGGAGGAGGACAGTCAAAGTGATGGATAGTAAGAAAGGAATGACAAGTAAGAATAATCCCTCTACCAGCTCCTATCTGGAGCCATCTTGCTCGCCAGTGCATTGCAATGCCCAGGTGGGAGTAGCAATCTCTTCCATATCTGTTGCAGTCAAAATGAAATTGCTCTCCTCTTCTCTTTTAGCCCTCCCGAAGACGTCCGAAAATTGTATCTCTAGCTGACCACTGACTCGAGAACAACCTGGATGGGGGTGGCGGACAATTTCAATCTTTTGGTTGGGTGATGGAGGCCTGTCATGACCCCTTGCCCAGCTCTCCACCATTATCTTGTCGCGGAGCACACTGATGGTGATGGCGACATTGACGGAACTTCCTGGATCGTCTAGCCAGAACTTGATATCTTCTTAGAGCTTACTACGATGCTCCGAACACGCCACCTCGCCAACGAAAGTTGGCCACGTCTGCGATCGGCCATCTAGCTTCGATGCTGGGTACCAAGCGAAGTCGGCCTTCTTCGTTCGGGTTTGGCCGCGGACAGAGATCTTATTTGTAGCAATGAGAATGGGGTCGACCACTGGTCTAGCCCAGGCAGAGAAGATCGTGCTAAACGCACCGGCAGCAACGGCGTGGGCTGAAGACTTCATTTCCAAGAGCGCTGATTGGGAAACATGATCTTAGATTTCCCAGGACAGCGTCATTAGTTTCTCTTCAGAATCGACAAAACACTCACGGAAGGACTGTTCGTCAATATCCATGATAAAATATGGGTCATAGGCGCTCCCGAGTGTCACTTCTTCATGTTTGCATCTCTCGGACTCTTTTTCCAAAATGTCAAGACATTGACGGAGTCCCTCATACCTGTATCGCCGTGTAGTTGAAGGAAGAATATCTTGAAAGGACCTCATTTCTGCAGCTGAGGAGATGCAGCGGAAGAGATGAAAACATCCCAACAGCCTTGAGTTGACCTGACCGTCTATGGATGGTTAATTATGACGACAACCGTACGCAGATGTACACCTGGAGACCACCTCTATTCCCCAACCCTAACAACTCAAAAGCCGATCCAAACGTCGACCAAGTAAACCAAGTCAAAGACAAGTTATCCAAGGTTCACCTCCGCCCGCGCTCACACAATTGGAGCATAATCCAACCCATTCACGGCCAACGTCATCATGATGAACACAGACCGGTTTGCTAACGTCAGAGGAAACGTCTCCATATAAGAGACCGAGTAAACGGTCTCCAGTAAGGTAATTATCCAATTTAATCTCATCTGCTACATCAAATCCGTTGACACAATACCACAGACACAGGTGAGTCCCCTCAGTGTATACATCCGCACCCATCCCAGATGCCACACCTCACTTCACGAAACCAGCAAATCACCAAAGAATCATCAATTAACACAACCCTTTTTAATTTAGCACATTCATCCATCTTTATCATCCATCTTTATCATCCATCTTTATCATCCATCTTTATCATCCATCTTTATCATCCATCTTTATCATCCATCTTTATCATCCATCTTCATCTCCAAAAACAACAAACATGTCCGCCCCCTACCCCGGCCGCCAATCTCCCGATCCGGAGAACCAGTCTGGCGCCCAGCTGAACGACACTCCCGGCACTGGCAAGACATCTCTGGGCAGCCATCCCTCAGCCGAGGATGCGAAGAAGTCGGCTGATGACTTCAAGTTCCATGGTCTGACAAGTAACCCGGAGCCTTTGCTGGAAAAGATTGAGGCGGCGAAGTACGCCAAGGGGAAACATGATTAACTTGGCGGGTTTTGGGGTTTTGTTCTTAGGGCGTGACTGGATTTTGGATATTTACTAAGAAGGATATTTTCCCTGTGGGATGAAATCAAATTTATTACATTAAGCATTCTGACTGTGGTATGTCATGGATACAGTAGACATAGTCTGTACGATAGTGTAGCGTGGTTACCAATGTGCAAGTAGATATGGAGGGTATCCAGTATGAAGTTAATTTCTATGTCCGTTCGTTTGCTTTCATTACAACACCAAGAAGGGGTAATCAACTAAAAGCGAATCATAACGCAATCAAAAGCTCGCTCTGGAAATCCAGAAAAAGGTTATCATCGAAGACGCGAAAAGAAAAAAGGTCAACTATGGACAGGTGGCATGGCATCATAAACAACGGGGTAACGAGAAACAAAAATAGACACGAAGGAACCCAGTCCAGCGCACGATTTCATTCATCACCAGCCCCTACACTCTCGGCAAATCTAAGCCTTGGGCTCCTGGGGAGGAACAGCGGCAATAGACTCAGAGGCGGGAGCACCACCAGCAGCAACAGGAGCAGGGGTCTCAGTGGCAGCCGCAGCAGCGGAACCCTCAGATTCACCAGTCTTGCCCTGCTTGAGGTCTGCCAAGCGACGAGCTTCAGAGTGGATATCGCGCACCTGCTTATCAGTCTGGGCGTAGAAATCGCGGATCTTCTGGCCGGTGGGGTGCTCAAGCGCCTTCTCGAAGTAAGAGCTCAGACCGTGCCAGCCACTGGTGGCCTTGGTGCTGATATTGTAGCTCTGGTCAATGCCCTTGGCACGCTCGGTGGCGTTGTACTTCTTGTCGAAGTTGCTCAGGGCCGATGTGAAGCGGTTGGTGAAGCCGTGCTTCTGGTCCAGGGCGATCGCCTTGGTGATGGCATTGTCACTCAGGACATAGCCGTGGGCAAGGTACTCGGCGACAATGCGAGAGCGGGGCTTGTCCTCCTGAGGGATATTATCCTCATCTTCCTTGGTGTCGGCGGTGGTGGTGTTGGAGCCGGCAAGATCGTCGATGTTGTGGGCGGCTTCGACGTGCACGGCAGAGGTTCCCAATTGGGTTTGGTCCAGGAGGAGGGCAGTCTTAGCAGCTCTGTGCAAAAATTGGGTTAGAATTGCGGTTGTTCTTTTTCAATTACTGGATGTGATGGGGGTTTGGTGATGTTCTTGACGGGTGCGGGGTAGCTTACGCCTCCTTCTCAAAAGTCACTGACGCGGACTTGTGGGCGTCGGCCTCGGATGAAACGGGGGTGACAGACAGAGAGACAATCTTGCCACTATATTCCCACCAGTCAGTATAGGGTTCCAAGTTTGTTACATGCATTCCTGCATTCATGCAAGGTTATGCATACCAGAAGCTGAAGAAGTCGCGAACCTCCTTCTCGGAGGTTGCGGGCGAGATGCCCGAAACATGAACGGTAGCTGGAGTAGACATGGTGATGGTGAGGATAGAGAAAGAAGAGAAGTGTAGAAGTGCAGAAATCCAGATCTCACGGAGGGGCTGTACATATAGTGACCAGAGCTACTGCGCCACTGGTGACGTAGAGCGGGGCTTGCACCGCCACATAGCTAATTCGGGAATTTTGTTTTTTTTACGGAGCTGCCTGAAACTAGAGAGCTTCTCGATTCTTCTGTGTTTGCCTGCAAACTCCTAACCCGAACACGAGCTCTCTCCGCCCCCATGGACGCGAATAATATGAAAGATACTGTATTGAGGGCTTCATTACTCTGCAATCCCGTCGGAAGAGGGTGCCCCAGAGACATTGCTGGTTGATCCTGATGACACAGTGTCTTTCTGTTTCCTCAATGTCTGCTCCAGATCCTTCACACGCTTCCGGAGTTGCTCATTCTCCCGCTTGATGGATTCCAGCTCCGATTTGTGTTGGGATGCCTCTTCAAAGCGTGATAGCGAGGTGGCGGGGGAAAAGCCCAGCTGTGTCTGCGAGACCGAGTTCCGGTGGGGATATACACTGCTGTTGCTATGAGAGAACGACGATAATGACCCGACTGATGGACGGCGAGATGTCAGAGATGGTTCACGGCTGCGCGCAGTTCGAGAATGCAGACTAGTCTCTCGGGAGGGTGCAATGCCCGTTATGCTTGCTGCCTGAGGGACGTGCGTCGCCGATGCATGGGAGCTGAGACTGGAATGAGACCGGTGTCGTCGTGTTGAGTGAGGTTGGCTTGAAGTGCTCAAAGTCGGTGATGCACGGGCATCTGGGTCATTGAATGTAGATGTAGACGATGCGGTCGATGATACAGATGCTGTCTGATGCCGGAGTAGAGAAAGCTCGCGAGTCAATCGGTTTACCTAACGAGGCATAAGTCAGCATTTTGATCTTGTTGGGTACGGTACCCAACTCGCCATTGCTTCCTGCTCCTTTTCCAGCACTAGATGGAGATCCGAAGGCGTCAGCGGCTGGGGGTGACGCAATGGCCCTTATTCCGTTAGCCGGAGAAGGACATCAGTGGAATCTCCGGTGACCTACCCTGGGCTGTACTTGTGATGCCATAATCTCCCGAGCCTAACGGTGGGCTGCCGGGATTCTGAAGAGAGTGGAGCGTAGTATGTGGTCCTTGGACCGGTTGTCGCGGGGTCGGCGATTGCGATGCCATCACGGGAGGTACCGTTGTGGAGGCCCGGGGTCTAGTCCCAGACAAATGCACAGTGCTCAAATCGGGCGTCATCGTGAAGAGAATATCAGCTGAGAGGGGGTTCGGAGCATGTGAAACGGGCAGCCAGCGAACTATAACAATGTCAGCATTTTGATAAACAATAACTCAACGTCAGATATTGGCGCAGTGATGATCAAAATACCCCTTGATGACTCTAGGGAGGACTTTGAAACATACCAGTAATGGAGGGGTTCCGAGCGTACTGGAGTGACGCAAAGTTGTTGTCACCTTGGGTAGTGCCAGGAGATGAAATCAGACAATTCAAAAGCGATCAATCACGACCGAAATCATCAGTTAGGCGTTTGTTTATTACTTCATTGGGCGGTGCGCATAAACGGCAGTTACTGGCACAGCCAAGTGCTGTGGTGCAGGGTACCTACATGTACATTCCAGGGCTCTGTCAAGATTTATAGAGAGGTGAGAAATATGAGAGATTTGAGGGATTTGAGGGATTTGAGGGGCCTGCACCGCAATAGCATATCATAACAGTCAATCAAGTATGACGGAAGTATTGGTGGATGAGCATCGTCGATCTACAATACATCCTAGCCAGTTTATAGGAGGTTGTAGACATAGTGCTCGGACCCCGATGAAGAGATATTGGATGTCTCAGTTGGAGCTATCAAGTCAGTTGGGCAAGGAGAACTACTGTCAACAGGATGGAACTATTGAATATCACTCATATATAGAATCAATTCAGCATCCTCGCAGCAAAATATTGGAACTAAATATTGGAACTATAAGTTAACTTGAGCCCTGGAGCTCGACGATCTACATATTACGTAATCTGCAATCAAAGCCCTGGAGCTGGCAAGCAGCACAACAACTGCCAGTCAAGTTCCTTTGTTGCGAGAGGCAGGAAAGCCCGACCTATCGAGGTCTCAGTTTGTCTCTCATATTCCACCCCAAGTGTGCAAAGCCTCCGGGGCCAATGAACGCCATGGCCTTACCCAACGACTCTGCCCCTACCCACATTCCACCCGTTGTGAAACCGCTCGCTCCTTACGTCAAGTCCCGTCAGGAAGCCCGTCAGATCCGCCAGGCATTGACGTCCTATCTCCGATCATTGATCGTGTTTGATGAGGACCAATCGACTCACCTTGCTCAGTCGCACCTCGCCCTATGTGTACCACCTGATACCGTCACGGCGGTGAAGCGCATCCCTAGCGACCTTCACGGACTACGAAAGGACTATTTGAAAGCGTTGGCGGCAAATGTCGCTGCTCGTAAGGACTTTGCTGTGGCCGCTGATAATGTTGCCTCATTGAGAAAGCAGAGGAACGCACATAATCGCCCGGCTGATGATGGGGATCAGCAAGAACCCGGCGTCGAACTCCGTGAATACCTTACCCTCCTACGCGATCGGCGGCGACATACCAAGCTGCAAGTCTTCCAACATTACCTTGACGAGTTAAAGACGAGAGACACAACTGGGTTGGGGGAGATTGAGAATGGACAGGAACAATTGCCATTGCCCGAGGTTGAAGCGGGTCGTCATGGCTCGGAGACGGATTTGGATGAACTCGTACACAATCTTGAGAGGGCTTTGATTCGTGCGAGAGCTCAATTGGATCGCGAGAAGCTACTTTTCGAGAAAGCCAAAGCACGAAATGCATCTCAGTCTCAGAGTGAAATCTCGCCCGAGCTCAAGGCTCAAGCTTTACAAAAGACCCGTGATGAGCTAGTTCAGTGGGTCGAAGAACGGCTAGTTGGCCAGAGAGATCCAGATGAAAGTGTGCTTCAGGACCTACCTGCCGAGGAAATTGAACAAGTCCAGCGCGAGCTTGAGGAGCGCAAACAACAGATTGCAGATCAATATGCTGCATATGTACAAGCACGGCGAGAGCTTCTTGATGCCGCATCCATGGCGTGCCAACCACCCACTGGGCCACCTAAGTCTTTATCCAGATCAATCTACAAGAACGAGCTCGCTACCGCGGAGGTACCACCACCAAACCCGATTGATGTCCTTTCGTACACCAGTGAAAACCTAGTGCCTTTAGCAAAGAAACACAAGGCCCTGGCCCTGCAGAAAACCTATCTGTCTGGCTTACTCGCCAAGGAAAAGTCCACAACCCTCCGCGTTCTTAACCGCCTCAGTGACGAATCCCACTTACTCCCCGAATATCCAATCCCCGTGCGACAGCCGCGGTTCAAGCACGCGGTGTCCGCCCTGAGTTCTCGGCCCCAGATGCAATCTTCAGAACCGCCTACCGATGAGGTTCTCGCTCTCGCTGAGGCTTGGGCATTTGCCTCGGATGCAGCAGCCACCAACGAACGAGAATTTGTGCAGCAAAAACTTGCACTGGGCACTGAAGTTGCTCAAGATGCACGCCAGACCCTCACCACAGTATACGGAACTCTCAATCAAGACCTCGATGAGGTCATGGGCCAGGCACGGGAACGGGATGGGGTTCTCTGGGCCTCCGAACCTCGCTCCAGAGGGCTGCCGAAGGCTAGTGGGTCTCGGATCGAGCAGCGACCGAAAGGTCCCTGGTCAGGTTTACATGGAGCCGTAGGTGTCGAGTGAGATGTGTTCCAATGTGCAATTTCAACACCCTTATATACCCCCTTGGGACTTGTTATTCGCTCTACTGGTTCCTGGTATTGCTTGAAATTTGGCCCTGTCAACTCGAGTCTTGGCAACCGGCAGCTAGCCGGCGCAGAATTCATGAGGATCTTCATGCAGTATCAAACTCAATTGTGTCGCCTGGCTGTACCGTGAAGTGCAACATGAGTCTGTATATATGGCTATCAACGATGTCATTTTGGTTTGTAGTTATAATAAGCAAATGCAGTCTATCTGGAGCTAAGATGAGGAGTCCGGTCTGGACCTTGCTCACATTCAATCGGAATTAGCTAAAACAGTACTTTGTTGCTCCATTTGCCATGCTCTAGTCTGGACCAATCCGCAGAGTTTTCACGCCATTGGCCCTAAGCCAGCGATTTAGATCATCTTTGTGACGTTCAAGTCGAGAGATAAGCCAGAGCTCCACCCGGTCGACAGCGCTGAGGTCCGGCATCGGCATGCAGATCATACTCGCGCACAAGCTTTGCTTTTTTGTGCTTCCACTTGCCAATTGATTCAGAACTTTTCAGTTGAAACGCAGAGGTGATATAGGGTTCAATTTATAGAATAGAGAGAACAACGTCATATATATCAGACTGTTCCCCGAGCGTTATAGTCCCCCCAGCTCCACCTCCAGATTGACTCATCCGAGAAAAAAAAAAAGAAAAAAAAGGCTAATAAAAAGAGAAAAAATTCCCACTGGCTTTCCAACTACTTTTTTTATATTAAATCTTATACTCAAATCCTTTAATTCCACTTCTTCTCTTTCTTTACTCTCTCCTGCCTCTTCCCAAGCTCTCCTACGCCTGTATCTGGTAGAGTGGAGCCCTTATACGGTGAAGGGTGCGAGCCAATTAGCGAGCCAGAGGGGGAAAAAAAGAATCCCGGCAAAGTGTCGACTCACCTCCTACACATCACCCTCGCAATTGAACCGATCTTTCTCCGCTCGAGCGGTGCAGTGCGCAATGGTTCTAGGTGCTCGATGTGGCCAGGCGGCTGGCCTGCTGCGCCAGCGCTGCCTCGCTGAAACCCGTTCCGGTCTCTCGTTGCGCGCATTCTCCTCCCAGACTCCCGTCCGCTCGACGGCCTCCGCTCTGCGTTTGCAGAAGATCCCCACGGCTCGCTCTCAGCAGCTCCGTTCCTTCTCCAGCAGCCTGCGCCGTCTCACTACTGAGAAGCCCCCCACTGCTGAGTCTTACCTCGCCAGTGGTGCGGTCAAGACCGGTAGCGGCCTGGTTGATGTCAAGAAGGTCCTTGTCATTGGTAGTGGTGGTCTGAGCATTGGACAGGCCGGAGAGTTCGATTATTCCGGTACGTGGGAATCAATTGGGGACGATTGTGTGGCCCTGGGATGAATGGCTCTGGTGGTTCCCCATGGGGTGTCAATGTGGTCCTCACAAAGCCTTTCTGTGGGGAATACAGAGAATTTACATGGTTCCCCAACAAAATGATTGTGAATGGCAGTAACTAATCTTGAACTCTCGGTCGCTTAGGCTCCCAGGCTTTGAAGGCTCTCAAGGAAGCCGGTGTGCACTCGGTCCTGATTAACCCCAACATCGCGACTATCCAGACCGATCACAAGCTGGCTGATGAAGTCTACTACCTCCCCGTTACCCCCGAATATGTCACCCACGTCATTGAGCGTGAGCGTCCCGATGGTATCTTCCTGACCTTCGGTGGTCAGACCGCCCTGAACCTGGGTGTGCAGATGAACCGCATGGGTACCTTTGAGCGCTACGGTGTCAAGGTCCTCGGTACCAGCATCAAGACTCTCGAGACCAGTGAGGACCGTGACCTCTTCTCTCAGGCCCTGAACGAGATCAACATTCCCATTGCTGAGTCGACTGCCGTTGAGACTGTCGACGAAGCCCTCAAGGCCGCCGAGCAGGTTGGATACCCCATTATCGTCCGGTCTGCCTACGCCCTTGGTGGTCTCGGCTCCGGCTTTGCTAACAATGCCGATGAGCTCCGTGACTTGTCCTCTCGCTCTCTGTCCCTCTCTCCCCAGATTCTCGTTGAGAAGTCTCTCAAGGGCTGGAAGGAGGTTGAGTACGAGGTTGTCCGTGATGCTAACAACAACTGTATCACCGTCTGCAACATGGAGAACTTCGATCCTCTCGGAATCCACACCGGTGACAGTATTGTCGTTGCCCCTAGTCAGACCCTGTCTGACGAGGAGTACCACATGCTCCGTACCGCTGCCATCAAGATCGTCCGTCACTTGGGTGTCGTTGGAGAGTGCAACGTGCAGTACGCTCTGCAGCCCGATGGACTTGACTACCGTGTCATTGAGGTGAACGCCCGTCTGTCTCGTTCGTCCGCTCTGGCCTCCAAGGCCACCGGTTACCCCCTCGCCTACACTGCGGCTAAGATTGGTCTGGGACACTCCCTCCCCGAGCTCCCCAATGCCGTCACCAAGACTACCACTGCCAACTTCGAGCCCAGTCTGGACTACATTGTCACCAAGATTCCCCGGTGGGATTTGAGCAAGTTCCAGCACGTCAACCGCGACATTGGTTCCGCCATGAAGTCAGTTGGTGAGGTTATGGCTATTGGCCGTACCTGGGAGGAGTCCCTCCAGAAGGCCATCCGTCAGGTCGACCCCAAGTACCTTGGTCTCCAGGGTGACCACTTCGAGGACCTCGACGAGACCCTTCGCAACCCCACCGACCGCCGCTGGTTGGCCGTTGGCCAGGCTATGCTCCACGAGGGCTACTCCGTCGACAAGGTCCACGACCTGACCAAGATCGACAAGTGGTTCCTGTACAAGATCCAGAACATTGTTGACTGCAACAACGAGCTCAAGGAGATTGGCAGCCTCTTCGGCGTCAAGCAGGAGATCATGATGAAGGCCAAGAAGCTTGGTTTCTCTGACAAGCAGATCTCTCTCCTCGTTGGTTCTACTGAGGACGATGTTCGTGCCCGCCGTAAGTCTTTCGGCATCACCCCCTGGGTGAAGAAGATTGACACCCTGGCTGCCGAGTTCCCTGCCGATACCAACTACCTCTACACTACCTACAACGCTACCTCCCACGATGTCACCTTCGATGACCACGGAACTATCATCCTTGGTAGCGGTGTGTACCGTATCGGTAGCTCCGTCGAGTTCGATTGGTGTGCTGTCAACGCTACTCTCTCCCTCCGCAACATGGGCAAGAAGACCGTTATGATCAACTACAACCCCGAGACCTACTCCACTGACTTCGATACTGCTGACAAGCTCTACTTCGAGGAGCTCAGCTACGAGCGTGTCATGGATATCTACGAGCTCGAGGCCGCCAGCGGTGTCGTTGTCTCTGTCGGTGGTCAGCTGCCTCAGAACATTGCCCTCCGTCTCCAGCAGACCGGTGGTGCTCACATTCTCGGTACCAACCCCGAGGACATTGACAAGGCTGAGGACCGTCACAAGTTCTCCCAGATCCTCGACAGCATCGGTGTTGACCAGCCTGCCTGGAAGGAGCTTACCTCCGTCTCCGAGGCCGAGACCTTCGCTGATTCCGTCGGCTACCCTGTCCTGGTTCGTCCCAGTTACGTCCTGTCCGGTGCCGCCATGAACGTCATCTACAGCGTCGATGAGCTTAAGGAGAAGCTCCTTAACGCCGCCGCCGTTTCCCCCGACCACCCCGTTGTCATCACCAAGTTCATCGAGGGCGCCGAGGAGATCGACGTTGATGCCGTCGCTTCCAACGGCAAGCTTCTTGTTCACGCCGTCTCCGAGCACGTCGAGCCCGCTGGTGTCCACTCCGGTGACGCCACCCTCGTCCTGCCCCCTGTCAACCTCGAGGAGCCCATCATGGCCCGTGTTAAGGAGATCGCCCAGAAGGTCGCCAAGGCCTGGAACATCACCGGTCCCTTCAACATGCAGATCATCAAGGCCGATGTCGAAGGTGGTGAGCCCCAGCTTAAGGTCATTGAGTGCAACCTGCGTGCCTCTCGCTCCTTCCCCTTCGTCAGCAAGGTCTTGGGTACCAACTTCATTGACGTCGCCACCAAGGCCCTCGTTGGCCGCGATGTTCCCGAGCCCGTTGACCTCATGGAGGAGAAGCGTGACTACCTCGCCACCAAGGTTCCCCAGTTCTCCTGGACCCGTCTGGCCGGCGCTGACCCCTTCCTCGGTGTTGAGATGTCCTCCACTGGTGAGATTGCCTGCTTCGGTAAGAACCTCGTTGAGGCCTACTGGGCCTCTCTCCAGTCCACCATGAACTTCCGCATGCCCGAGCCCGGTGAAGGTATCCTTCTCGGCGGTGACGTTACCCAGCCTCACCTCGCCAAGATCGTCGAGTACCTCAACCCTCTCGGCTACAAGTTCTTCGCTGTCAACCCCGAGGTCAAGTCTCACATCGAGTCCGCCGCCAAGGACAACGTCTCCGTCCAGCTTATCGAATTCCCCAAGAAGGACAAGCGTGCTCTCCGTGAGGTCTTCCAGAAGTACGACATCCGCGGTTGCTTCAACCTTGCCAAGACCCGCGGCAAGACCCAGCTTGACGAGGACTATGTCATGCGTCGTAACGCTGTCGACTTCTCTGTTCCCCTCTTCATGGAGCCCAAGGTATGTTCAGTCAACTCCCTAACCACCCCGCCACTCATCCAAATAACTAACCCACTCTCTAGACTGCCACCCTTTTCGCTCAGTGCATGAACGAGAAGCTGCCCCTCTCCGAGGAGATCCCCTCCGAGGTTCGCACCTGGTCCAACTTCACCGGTGGCAAGAAGGCACTGTAAATGACCTTTTTCTGCACAAAAAAAAAGCCCCACCATGTCGAAGCAAAGAGAAAGAGAGAGCGAGCCCAACCCCTCTCTATCCCTAGGACCACCTCGATATCCCCTATGACCACGGTCTTCCCGTCATGATTCCAATATAGAATCTATGTACGTTCCACTGTATGGTGTCTGGTGTGTAGTGATGGCAAAACATGTCAATAGCAGGCGTGCAATTCGGCGTGTTTTGGACCCGTGGACTCTGGAATATCTTTGTCTTTTTTTTATCGCCCTCCGAGTTGTTGGCCGTTTCCTACCTTTTTGTTAATTTCCTGCGAGAGACGGGACTCTTGTGGTGTAGCGCTTATGTCCTATTTTCATTTTTTTTAAAGACGAATCTTTGGTCTGTTGAGGTCTGTTGATCAGGTAGTAAATTGGGTACCTTATAAGTTCACGTTGTGTATTCAAGCGTCAATGGATTATTGGAGTTTTGAGCTGGGTTCTCGTAAGATAATGTTTAGTTGTAGATTCAGTTCGATATCTGTTTTCTCGTACATTTCTGTCTAGTTTGTTTGTGCATTGTGACTACGTATTCAATCAAGGTTGTGAGAGAACGCAACCTGAACGCAAAACCAAAGATAATTTACGACGTAACCGACTCAAATCCACAGCCTACCATTTGAACCCATATCAATCGAGCCAAACTCATCAAGAAAGGCTGCAAGTTACAACTTCGATGGTCCACCGCCTCTGTGGAAGATGACTAAGAACCCTCCCCACGCTGATGACGACGATCTCTGATTCTTATATCTTCAAGTTGTCCTCTGGAACCTGACAAAAACGAAACAAATATGGCTTCGCGTATTTCTTTGCCCTCGGTGGAAACCAGGACTGTTCCCCGTGCCACTCCCAATGGCATGGGCAACGGTCTGTTTGCAACCACCGACATCAAGCCCGGTGAAGATGTTTTACATATCAAAACACCATTTGTGGCTGTTCTTGATTCACCACGACTTGAAGACACGTGTGCTGGCTGCTTTGGCAAAAGGCAAATGGAGACTGGGAATGAATTGAAGGCTTGTACTGGGTGTCGAGTGGTCAAGTATTGTGATAGGGTAAGTTTCCGGTTTGTTGATTTGTTCTTTTGTTATTCAGGTTCTGAATATTCTAAAATTTTGGCCGTGGCATCCTTTCGTATTGAACTTGCTGACCTGTTTTGACTAGGCCTGTCAAAGCAAAGACTGGAAATTTGCTCATTCGCTTGAATGTCCTATTTTCAAGAATCTCAAGCCCATGATTCTGCCTAATAATGCTCGTGCACTGTTGCGTATAGTGCTGCGAACTTCAAAGAACAAATACAGTGCTGAGGAGACCAAGGTCTTTGACGATCTGGAAACTCATATCAATGAGGTCCAGGAGAGTCAAGGTCAGCTTGATAAGATCACTTTGACTGCAAGAGCTGTGAAAAACTACTCCGGTACAGATGTGGATGAAGCAACTGTTTCTACCTATGCAGCCAAGGTAATACCTTTCAACGTGTGCTTCTCATTGAATTAGACTAATTCAATTCTATAGCTGGACCTCAATTCTTTCAATCTCACCACCTCCCTGTACGACCGCATCGGTCTGTACTTACACCCATATGCCGGCTTGATCAACCACAGCTGTGATTACAACGCCACAGTTGGATTTGACGGGGAAGAACTATACGTCAAAGCCATGCGTCCCATTGAGAAGGACGAGCAAATATTCATTTCATACATTGACACCACGACACCATACGATATCCGCCGCAACGAATTGAAAGAGCGATACTTCTTCGATTGCCAATGTAACAAATGTGCCAAGGGTACAGACACACTGGAAGACAAATTCATCTCGACGCCCGAAGACATGACGCCTCTCGAGACTGCCGAGCGAGAAGCCCTGCAACTCTTGCAAACAGCCACTGCATCCAGCACAGAAGCTTCAGTCACAATCGAACAATTAGAAGCTGCCATGCACACCCTTCACGAAACCGGAAACTGGCCTCTCACGCGCCAGCCCTACGCATCTCTTCGCGACAAGCTCATTATCTCTCTGCTCACCGAAGGAAACTTCACTCGGGCTTTCATCCATTCTGCCATTCGATACACGAAGATAGACCCCGTTGTCTACGACAAGGCGCACCCAATCCGACACATCCACGCCTGGAGTCTAGTCCGACTCACGGTTTTACTCTCACAGGATGGATTCTCGGCGAACCCTAAAGATCCTGTCCAGGTGAAGGATTTCCGGTTGAACCTCCACTACTTGATTTGGTACATCCTTGCTGAACTTACAAGCACCCAGCTGGAGAGCTGTACTGTCCCTAGCTTCCGAAAGCTGGTGAGCAACCAGTTTGTTCAGGTTCACAACGAGCTCAAGGCCAATGGCATCGATCCTACCAAGTCTCGAGCTTCTCTGGCTGCTGAGATGAATAAGCTGGAGAAAATGGTCACTCAAGCGTTGGCGAAGGAGTAGAGAAAGTCATAGCTGATATCATGTTGTAATAACGGCAAAAAATACAAATTTTGATATACATAAGCAAGCCCAAACAGCAGGAGACGAAATAAAGTAGTAAAAGTAGGTCCTAGACTTGGTAACATTGCAACAAAGACAAAGTGCACTATGTAAGTGTGAGGGACTCCCGCAGCCCTAAATTCCGTCAACCACCAAACCCCCGCGCATCAACACAACAAGCAGGCCCCGAAGGAAGAAGTCGCGACCCCTATTTTCGCATAATACCCCCGAATACTTTCATCTCTTCTATTCCAATACTTCTCTCGTCCTCTTCCTATCATTTCCATTCTGCTTCAAACACCCTCTTTGATCCAGCATGAAAACAACCAGTCAAAGCATCCAACATGGAGGATGACGAGAGCATCTTCCGTTTTTCTCCCGATTTCCCCAATGGGCAGGGCCCCGAGCAAGCCATCACCACCGAACCAGCCCCCCCAGGCCACTGACCCCTTAGCCCGTGTCCTGCCCGCCGCCTTGGCAACCTTGTACCGACCAGCGAGCCTAACGGCCGCTGTAGCATATCAAAATGCCAACTCCAATGGAGGCGTCGCTTCCCCAAGCTATCGACCACTCCCGGGCTTCGTAGTCCAGGCTCGTGGCGAGGCAGCTCGTCAAGCACGCGGCCCAATCTGGGCTCGCCGGGGGCCTTACTGCCCCTGCTGCTCTCGAGACTGCGGTGAGAAATACCGCGGTGTAGTGATATGTTTTCTGGTTTACTTTTCTTTCATCTCGTATTCATCTTGTTTCCATCTCATGCTTGGATTTAGTCTTGCTTGGCCTGCCTGATGTAAGATCCATCTGGGGGTTCTTCTTCTTGAACTTGCTTTGGTGGAACTTTTATCTGTCTGGCACCTGCTGCTGGATCAGGAGGGAATGAGGTAAGTCTTGATAAGCTGGGATTCCTTTCATCTGTTCATGCTGCTGGGTTTCCGATATTTCTTTATACAAAGGTACCGATGTGTGGCATTTTTGTCGTCCAGGTTGACCACCGGACATTACTTCTACTACAAAGGAGGGGGGAAAGGGCGGGGACCGGTGTTAAGGCCAACTTTTGTTGTTTTTCTATTGTTTTGTTTTGAGTACTGTGGGATTTATGTTGGAGTATATGGGTGTATGGTGTATGGTGCATGTATATGGGTATGGACGTTCATAGACTTGTCCTAATATTTGATATCGCATGGACCTAGCACGAGTCGACTGACTCGTGCGTGATTTGAACATTTTCAACTTGGTTTTCTCTCCTGCTCCTATCATGTAGGCTTGTTGTGGTTTGGTCAAACAGTCACGCGATGTGGAAGCTCGTCGAAACCCGCGGACGAAGCCCTAATTTCTCGAGATACTATGCGATGAAACTAGAATCTCGCGAAAACAAACACACCTCCGACTAATAGGTATATATGAAGTATTTTTTTTATCTAGTTCATCCAGCCCTACCATCTATCGAACCTATATAAACTTGAAAAATCAACGTGGTATCGTTCTTTCCTGTGTTGATTGCTAGAAACGAACAATCAATTCAGGCGTCATGTATGCCGAACTCCGGATTATTACTTTGACCGGTAAAGTGGCCGAGTGGTCTAAGGCGCACGGTTTAGGTTTCTTCATTTGTCTCCGTGTCTCGAAAGAGGCGAGGGTTCGAACCCCTCCTTTGCCAATCTTTTTGTTTCTTTTTTTTACTCCCGAGGATGGCTCCATTGTCTCTGTGTGGTCCTTGAACTTTTTTTTGATTTTTTTGATTTTTTAGCAGTGGGTATATATTTCTTCTGGCCGGAACAGTTGTAACAAATTGATTGTACTGTGGCGGTGGAACATATGCTCCGGAAAGCAAGATATATATCACATAGCGTAACGCCCAACTGTTACAGCACTTTGACGTTTTATTTAAAATTGAAAATTGAACACTTTACAAGACTTCATATAATTGAACTAGAAATAGTTGTTGTTTATTTCTTTATGCTGCCATACATCAACAGATACAAGGGTCTCTAAAAGACAGGGAGTAGACCAATTAGGAATAAAGGCATATAACCATCCCCTCAATTTATCATGTGAGACACCTTACATATAGAGAGAAGCAGCGAAAATAACATCACGCTTGATCAACTCCTGTGCCTGCTGCATCTTAGTATAAAGATTAGGATCACCAACCAACTTAGCCGCATTCTTGACTTCACGACATGTCTCATCCAGACGAGTGATGCAGCGAACAATAGTTCCCTCCATAACATCAGTGAGATCGGTAATGCGGTTAAAGGACATGCCCTTAGCCCACTCGTAGACAACCTCGGCGAGACCAAAGCGTGGCTTGCTGGCGAAGTCATTCGAGTCCTCGGTGGACTGGATGACTTGGTGGAGGATCTGGAAATCGTTCACCTTCTCGGCGATGGCGATGATCTCTTTCATTCCCTTGTCCAAGCGTGGGGTAAGTGTAGGCTTGCTGTCTGTCTTTTCTTGGAAGACGAATGCGGAGAGGAGGGCGACGATTTCCTCGGGCTCGTATTCTGCAAGAACGTTCTCGAGGACTAGCTCTGTAAGGACTAGTTCGTCGGCGGAGTGAACCTCGCATGCTACCTTGCCCTTGAGCTGCACGCGGGACTGGTCGTCGACGAAGCCGAGTTCCTTTAGTACTTGAATGCGCTGTTCGTAGTCTGGGAGCAATTGGAGGTTTTGGTCTGACATCAGCTGCTTCAGCTGCGTGATGTTCTCCTTGACTTGCCATTCGTCGTGTTGCATTTCAAACTATTAGATGTTAGCAGAAGCTCAGCCCAAGAGACATGATTTTTGCTCACGTGTTTCAAGAACTGAGGGCACTGGAGACAACGGCATGACTGAACAATATTCGCCTGAGCCTGTCGCTTATCCAAGAGCTCACGCAATTGCAGCTCTGTGATCCGTTGCCAGTCCATTTCATCCCAGACCGAGCTGGTCCACGACTTGGTGTATTTGTGCAATTCCCTATCGGCGTACTTGGCAGCTTCTGTATGCAATGTGAGTATTTGTTCCTCATGTAGTCGAATTGAAAACTTACCTTTCTTGATGTTAAGATACCAAACAGGGCCTCCACTCCGAATCACAGTGTTGGTGATGCACTCGACATCAGAAAGGGGAATTTTGCATACTTTCAAGCTCATTTGAGCAGCGGAAGTAGGCAGTGATGGGAAGTATGGACGGAACATGGGAAGGAAAGGTAGAATGTCAGCTGGATGGCGTTTGCTGCTCATAGTTCCGACTTCAAGGACGGTAATACACGGGGCGGCTCCTCCAACTCCACCGGCGATTCCCTCGCGAAGGACAAGGCCAGCAGTGCGGAGTCCATCCTGCGATACAGTTAGTACCTGTCGAAATGATACCTCGAGGAGTGAGATATCATCAAACCTCAAGAATCAAACTCACCTTTTTGTAGACAACCCAGGCCTTCATTCCAATAAGACGCTTCGCAACAGGAGATGATGCCATAGCGGCATGTAGCTCTGCAGTGAGTTTCTGATACTCCATTGATGCATCATGACAAGCGGCTAGATCCAAGTCGCAAATATCACAAGGCTCCCGCTTGATCTTTGCAAGACTGTCCTCAGACAATTGCACTTGCTTTTCATGCTCCGGCAAGAGAGCTTGCGTAGCATTCTCACTGAAACTGCGCTTGATCATCTCTTCGATCTTAAGTGCTTCCACACGCAACAGATTCAAGATCATGTTGTATGTGAGGCGGAATTGTGACCTCAGCTTGGTGGGCTCTCCGAGAATCATCTTCTTCAGTGCACCGGCGGGTGGTGCTTCATCCTTTCCACTGTTCGTGACGATAACATAACCAACAGTGTCAAGACCTCGACGACCTGCACGGCCAGCCATTTGGGTATATTCACCTGGTAGGAGGTCACGGAAGCCCTTGCCATCATGCTTTCGGAACCCAGAGAATACCACGGTACGGGTGGGCAGATTTAGACCCATCGCAAAGGTCTCCGTGGCAAACAAGATCTTCACGAGCGATTTGGCGAAGAGGATCTCCACAACTTCCTTCATGATGGGCAAGAGACCACCGTGGTGAACGGCAACACCTCTGCCAAGCAACTCACGAAGACGAAGAATCTGGGGAAGATCACGATCTTCTGGCTTCAGACGGGTGAGTGACTTCTCGATGAACATGTGGATAAGACTCTTCTCAGTAGCATTGCAGAAGTCTTGGTTTGATAGTGAATCGGCGTTCTCTTCACATCGCTTCTTTGAAAATACGAAGACACATCCTGGCAACAAATCCTCTTTGCGGAGATGAGAGACAAGGTGTACCCATATGTTCTTGTCTTGTGCTGCACTTGTTCGTCCACCACCACGACCGGTTCGAGCAATGTTTCCGGTACCGCGGTTAGAGGGTTGTCCTCTTCCACCACCGCCGCCGCCTTGTCCTCGACCTCTCTGAGGAGCACCTCCGCCTCGCCCACCACGTGGAGGTGGGCCACCTCTGCCGCCTTGCTGGCCTCGTCCTCTGCCTTGACCACCACCACCACGCTGGGCCTGATTTTGAGCCAAAGCCTGAGCTGACTGGGCCTGAGCCTCTGCCTCCTTCTTGGCAACAATCTTATCTTTGCCAGATATGATATCATTTGCTTTCTTCCAACCACTTTCGAGGAATCTCTTGTTGGAGTCAACAATCTTGTACTTGTCCTTTCCGGCCCAAAGATAGTGCTCTAGTGGGACAGGTCGCTTGTGGGTCGAAATGACATAGATGTCCTTCTTCTTTGTACGGCCCACCCAGGAGGCGAACTCATAGGTGTTGGGGACGGTTGCAGAGAGAAGAATAAGAGTGACATGCTCGGGAAGCATGATGATGACTTCTTCCCAAACCACACCACGCTCGGTGTCATTCACATAATGCACCTCATCAAAGATAACGAACTCGACGTCACGGATAAGGTCAGCACCTCGATACAGCATACTTCGCAGGATCTCAGTGGTCATGATGAGACAGCTTGCTTCAGGGTTGATTTGGACGTCACCGGTTAAGATACCGACATCATCAAATTCAGTTCTGAAATCACGGTACTTCTGGTTGCTCAATGCTTTGATAGGAGAGGTGTAAATCGCTTTTGTCATGTGCTTGGAAGCCAAAGCAATGGCATATTCAGCCACGACTGTTTTTCCGGCTGAAGTATGAGCGGCAACAAACACGGAATCACCGCCTTCAAGATGATAAACGGCCTCTTTCTGGAAAGTGTCCAGCTCGAATGGCCATTCTCTGGCCATGTCAGGAACGAGTTCATTAAAGTTCGGGATTTCTTTATTGACGTCAACAATGTGTGCCCATTCTCTGCCCTTATCTTTCTTGATTCCTGCGAGCAACTGGTTCCGCGGCTCCAGTGCAGGAAACTCGACTGGCAGCAAAGCATCAATGTCTTCTTCCTCGTCATTGTCAGAGACATCCTCGTCAACTGCAGTATTTGAACCTTCAACATCGGGGCTTTCATCAGGCTTGTCGGCAGAAAGGTTGCTTTCTTCTTGGAGAAGCGCATTCTCGACTTCTTGATCACCTTCAATGTCTTTCGACTTGACCTCATCAAAGTTGAGACCGCGATCGAAGCCAGGGGCCGTTGTCAAAAGACCGCCCTCGGTACCGAAATTGATAATGCGGTCAAGACCTGATTGTTTTCCACCACGAGATTGCTCTGCAACTTCAAAATCGTCTTCCATCGCAGCGATAGCCTCAACGCCCTCCAAGCCACCGGGGGCAAAGGGGAAAAAGCCAGCTGCTCCTCGAACGAAGTCAGCCCGCCCAGCAGGTCGGCGAGTAAGTGCTGTAGAGTTCTTAGCGGTGGCGACACTGGCAGCAGGAACGGTGACTTCGTGGTAACCGGTGACCCGGCCCTCTAGTCCTTCGCGTGTGAATCGAGTGACGGTTCGGGATTGGGTGGGGGCAAGTTCGAAGAGATCTATATGGTCCGTTGAAACATCCCATCGTCTGTTCAAGCTGTTAGCATCCAGGAACGCAGCTTGCCCGCCAGACAGAAAAAAGAAAAAGAAGAACGTACTTCTGTAGATTGTTGAGCCATTTGGTGTTGAACTTATTCGATGGAGTGAGAAATTCATGCTCAAGCTCAGCAAGCAACTCCTCTGAGGTCTGATGAGCTTGTTTGCGAGGTTGAACATTCTCGACGGTGCCGTTCTGCTCGTCTGCTAGGCGAGCTTCGAAAGCTGCGGGGCTGACATTCTTGGCAGTCAAGCTCAATCGTTCCATAGAGGAAGCGATTGAGTCTGTCATGATCCTAACAAGTTAGGATATTGGAGGGAGAATTGGCGTGATGAAATTGTGCTGATGATGAACTCGGCAAAAGCCGCACCCCACACCGAGCTGTATTAAGCCAATTCAATCGCTGTGCGGAGATCCGACAGCGATTATCCTGAAATGTGAATGGCGGATTTGTGAAAGCAATTTCCCCGAGTTTCAGGGTCGAATAGGACGACGATTGCCCTTTCAGAGAATATGGGAGTGAAACGATGCCATGTTGTTGGCTGTAGACCTCGTAGTTGGAAGGCCACTGGAGCGGTGTAAACCAAACCGACATTATTTGCCAGCAGTATTCATGACGTCGTGTGGGGGGCGGTGTGATGGATGGCCGAACGCTTTTCTACCTCATGTTGCAGACTAGAAGGTGCCGTTTTGACCTCGCTTTCACCTTGTGACTAGAGCTGGACTACTTAAACTCGACGAAATGTCTGGTTGAGTATCATAGTTGAGTTCAGGAGGAATCATATTAGCTTAGCAGCATATGTAGCCTAACTTTTTGTACCGCAATCATTCATACAAAGAAGGAAAAAGAGAAGCAAATATGACATAGTGGAAACATGAAAAGAATCAAATGTACGCCCCGAAGCTCCAAAGGCCAAAGACATATGCAAAATAAAACGGGATTGGTGAGGAATCAGCGACAAGAGAAGCTAGGGAAAGTTTTTCGGTCATGAATATTAAGGTGAAACTCGTAGATACCCTCCAATGTAGCAATGTACCTGCAAATGTTAGTATAATCCCTCACAATCGGGAAAAGGGATACGTACAAGGTTCGTCCATCGGCCCCCCAACCAACACCAGCGGTGGAATCCGGTTCGTCGGCGGAATTTTGGCTGTTTCGATCGGGGAGTTCATTGATGATATTTCTGATCCAGTGAGGAGAGTGTGTTTGCTCGAAGCCGAGTAGCTGTTGGCGATGCCGCTGATCTCTTTCAAAGGAGCGATTGTGTACCTCATTAGCGATTTGGCGTTGGCGCCTGAGCCGCTCGGCGGCTACGTTGGCACGTATCTCATATGTTGTCAGGCGAGACGTGTCGTATCTCCTCTGTTCAGATGCTCCACTTGGCTGTCGATCAATTCGTTGTGGAATAGAGCTTGATCGCGGAGCCCGGCGAGTCAGGCCATGTGAGCCGATATTTGGATTAGATGAGCCATTTGCTTCCGACGACGTGCCAGCTTCATCGTGAATAATTTCGGGGTCGACCCCCGCTCGAGAGAGGACCTCTGAAGTGAGGGATGGAAGTTCAGAGGGTGAAGTTGAATAGTTCAGAATATTTGATTGACGGTCAGGATGAACAGACGCCGTCTCCGAGGATCGATTGCCCTGGGACAGGATTACCGAGCCTTGACGTCTTGGAGTGGATGCTAAACGGCCCAAATGGCTGTCTCGGGAGACATCAGACTGATCGTATGGACGCGGAGGTGAAGTAGGACGGTGAGTTCGAGTGGCACCATCTGTGGAACCGTGATGCCGCGTTCGAGCCACTGGACGAGGGGGATGAAGACCGGAGATTGTTGATCGTTCTGGTCTCTCGGTAAGACCCTCTTCAAGTCGTGACGTCCAGCGTGCTGTGTTCAAAAATTCCATAATCAATCTTTCTCGTTCGGTAAGATCGTGCATCACAGATTCGCGTAGTGAAGAATGCTCTGCATCCTCTGTATACCTCTCAATTTCGAGGTCGTCATCATTGACCCTCGGGCGTGGCGGTTGATCGGATATGTCTTCAAAATGCGGACGTTCCAGCTCGTCGGTCAAATAATCTGTATACACTTCTTCCATTGACGGCTCATTGGCATCTAGGTGAAGAATCTGCCTGCGTAAAAATCCCTGGCGAACGTCTGCAACACCGGCTCGACCATGGCCCTCTAGCCATACTAGAAGGTCCCAAGGCTCCGGTGAAAATGCCATGCAGCGCACAGCGCCGCCTTCGGCGCATGACCGTGACGCTGAAAATTGACAAATAACAGGCGTGTCATCCTCAGACTGGCCCAAAGTCCCCCAGACGGAGTCAACATCAATGATGGTGATGATTCCAGATTGGGAGCCTATAGCACACAAACGGCTGGATGGCGAGAAAGCAACAGTAAAACAACATGCATCATCCGCACGCAGGCCAATATTCAACTCCAGGTTTTGAATAAGCTCCCATTCCCATCCTGTCACCTTTTGATCTGCATCAGTGACACCGACTGACTCCATGTCACGGACAATTTCATAGAAGTAAGCGCGATTCTCATCTCCGACAGCAGTTAGTAGTTTCGAGTCTGGAGAAATTGTCGCATAATTCATGCACGTCGGGTGATGAATAACTTTAAGGACCTTTGCGCGCGTGAGGGAGTACACGGTTACTGTTCGATCATTGTTGCTAATCAAATTGGTTAGCATTCTCACTATGCGCCAATCTTCTGATCCAACGCTAACCTTAGAACAACCACGTCTTCATCCGCCACACCATCACCGCCACCATAGAAACGATGAATAGACACCGAATTGACTATGCTACCGCCAAACTTATGAAGCTCCACTTCACGCAATGGCCGATTGGGGTGGTAGCGCGCTGATGCAAATTCCGAAGCGGCGTTGTTGGGAGTCCCCGGCGATGTCCGTCTTGACGGTGGGTCGAGATCGAGTGGCAGCGGCGTATCCACATCGGAAGTGTAGAACGGAGGTATTTCCCCCTGCACTTGCAAGTCTCGGTCCCCAATCCGGACGAAAGCACATTCGCCATTTTCAGGACCGCCGATGGCTATCCAGCCATGTCCAGCGGCGAGACAGCGCGGTTCAAACGGAATGACCGCTACGCTCACTCGTTTTTGCGCCGAGATATGGATGGAGTATACGATCCTCTCGACGACCACATAGATGCGATCGGGATCAGCGGTGCTGATGTAGTTGCGAAGCTGCACATGGCTATGACAACGCTCGTTAGAATGCGCACAAGATAAGAGAGGGACACGGACAAGTTGGGGATCTTGAACGGGAAGAAGCGCCGTTTGTTTGGGAGAATAAGTGCCTCGGTCGGGCGGTGTCTAAGACAATCAGATTAAATCTCGACGAGACATGATCCGGAGACTCACAGTAGAGAATCCGAGGTCATGATGAGAGAGCTAGTTCAGAGGTGACATTGTTCGAGCGGGGAAAGTGGACAAAACAACAGCCCCCAGTTGACGTGCGAGACCTGACTGTCGTTCTTCACTTTGCTTTCTTATTTTTTGATAAGAAGAAGAAATAAAAAGAAGCAAAGCTCTCAGTTGAAAGTCCAACGCTTTCAGAAAAATGATGACGTAAGATACGCCAAATTGGCTGGTTCCGGTGTCGCAGTCCATCTGGGACAAAAACCCGGGGAACTGCAAGTCCAGCGAATCGTGATGAGACGTTTTGTGACTCGGGCACCCTTTGGTGATACTCGATATGAGGGGGATCTTTATACATCTTGCCACTCCACCCTATCTGGATCACTCTCTACACTTGTAGGGTCACGGTCCACACCTCTCAACTCCATACCTCCAACATCCCGCAGGATCTACACCCAGACGGACATGGCTATATTCACAATCTGTCTCAGGGTGAGTCAAAGACGGGGGTTTGTCAACTACATCACACGACCGTGAAGTATAAGTAATTCAGTCACCCCCAGAATTAGCCAAGAGTGAGGAGGATTCCTTGATATCACAGTTCTGATCCGATGGATAGCCCTCGTTGTGCTCTATTGCATGTGATGCAAGTAAATTGAAGTATTTATCAGTTGCCTTTTGAGTTACTGTGGTGGCCATAGACAGTGCAGACAGCCATTGCTCCGAACCTCGGGACAAGGTAGCCACTATAAGGTGTGTAGTATTGTGATATAGGGTGTAACGTGAGAACACACATATGCCATACAATGAACCCCCCACTCATCAGTCAAGTCCAATAACTTATAACTTCAGTTCAGATAACGTTAAGTGACTGCGTCGGACTTCCCCTATAGTTCCCCGATGACGCGCGCAAAGGCGGTGAGCCGGTTACCGGGCAGCCTGCCGGTGGCGTTGATTGGCCAGGTCCCGTGATTCTACCAAGTTCGACGGCCCGAAGCTCTCCGTGCAATTTCTATTCCCTTCTCCCTTTCTTTCTGATTCCATCCCCATTCTCCATCCTCTCCATCCTTTCTCTCTTCCTTTAATACTCTGCGATTGAGTCGTTGAGTTTTATTCCTCTTTGTATTAATTAATATCCTCACAATGCTTCCTCGCACAATCACCCGCGCTGTAAGCTCCAGCTTCCCCTTGATTCGAAAAAAAAAAAAATCGACGCGTTGACTAACATCTCGTCCAGCTCCCGCGCGCTGCTTTCGCTCGCACCCCTGCCTCCAGATTCCCCGGCGCATCAATCCGGAGATGGAACTCAACGGAAGGTGGTGAGGAGAAGGTGAAGGGCCAGGTCATCGGTATTGATCTTGGTAAGTGATCGCGCGAGCTGAATCCATCAACATTCATCCTAACATGGTCAATTAAAGGTACCACCAACTCCGCCGTTGCTGTCATGGAAGGCAAGGCCCCTAAGATCATTGAGAACGCCGAAGGTATGTGACTGAAAGAATTTTACGCCCGGTCAAGTGGCCAGAGCTCGACTACGGGAGCTTTGCCGAGGACCAAAATTCGGGTATTAGTTGCTGACTAGAGACTACAACAGGTGCCCGCACAACTCCCTCCGTCGTTGGTTTCGCCCAGGATGGCGAGCGTCTCGTCGGTATTGCCGCCAAGCGTCAGGCTGTTGTCAACCCCGAGAACACTCTGTTCGCTACTAAGCGTCTGATTGGTCGCAAGTACACCGACGCTGAGGTTCAGCGTGATATTAAGGAGGTTCCCTACAAGATCGTCCAGCACTCCAACGGTGACGCCTGGGTTGAGGCCCGTGGCCAGAAGTACTCTCCTTCCCAGGTTGGTGGCTTCGTCCTCAACAAGATGAAGGAGACCGCCGAGGCCTACCTCAGCAGACCCGTTAAGAACGCCGTTGTCACTGTTCCCGCGTACTTCAACGACTCCCAGCGTCAGGCTACCAAGGATGCTGGTCAGATTGCCGGCCTGAACGTCCTCCGTGTCGTTAACGAGCCCACCGCTGCTGCCCTTGCCTACGGTATGGAGAAGGAGACCGACCGTGTCGTCGCCGTCTACGATCTTGGTGGTGGTACCTTCGATATCTCCGTCCTCGAGATCCAGAAGGGTGTCTTCGAGGTCAAGTCCACCAACGGTGACACTCACCTCGGTGGTGAGGACTTCGATATCAACCTCGTCCGTCACATCGTCGGCGAGTTCAAGAAGGAGTCCGGTCTCGACCTTGCCGGTGACCGCATGGCCATCCAGCGTATCCGTGAGGCCGCCGAGAAGGCCAAGATCGAACTGTCCTCTTCCCTCCAGACTGAGATCAACCTTCCCTTCATCACCGCTGACGCCTCCGGCGCCAAGCACATCAACCTGAAGATGACCCGCGCTCAGCTCGAGTCCCTGGTTGACCCCCTCATTGCCCGCACCACTGAGCCCGTCCGCAAGGCCCTCAAGGATGCCGGTCTCCAGTCCGGTGATATCCAGGACATTATCCTCGTTGGTGGTATGACCCGTATGCCCAAGGTCAACGAGTCTGTCAAGTCCATCTTCGGCCGTGAGCCCTCCAAGTCCGTCAACCCCGACGAGGCTGTCGCCATCGGTGCCGCTATCCAGGGTGCTGTCCTCGCTGGTGAGGTCACTGACGTTCTCCTGCTCGATGTTACTCCCCTCTCCCTCGGTATCGAGACCCTCGGTGGTGTCTTCACCCGTCTGATCAACCGTAACACCACTATCCCCACCAAGAAGTCCCAGACCTTCTCCACTGCTGCCGACATGCAGACCGCTGTCGAGATCAAGGTCTACCAGGGTGAGCGTGAGCTCGTCAAGGACAACAAGATGCTCGGAAACTTCCAGCTTGTTGGTATCCCCCCTGCCCACCGTGGTGTTCCCCAGATTGAGGTCACCTTCGACATTGACGCCGACTCCATTGTCCACGTCAACGCCAAGGACAAGTCCACCAACAAGGACCAGTCCATCACCATTGCCTCCGGCTCCGGTCTCTCCGATGCCGAGATCCAGTCCATGGTTGAGGACTCCGAGAAGTACGCCGAGGCTGACAAGGAGCGCAAGGCCGCCATTGAGGCCGCTAACCGCGCCGACTCCGTCCTGAACGATACCGAGAAGGCCCTCAAGGACTTCGAGGACCGTCTTGACAAGACCGAGGCTGAGACTATCAAGGAGAAGATCGCCACTCTCCGTGAGTTCGTTGTCAAGAACCAGTCTGGCGAGGGTACCGCCACCGCCGAGGAGCTCAAGGAGAAGACCGACGAGCTCCAGACTGCCAGCTTGACCCTGTTCGACAAGATGCACAAGGCCAACAACGAGGCCCAGCAGCAGCAGCAGCAGGGTGGTGAGCAGCAGGGTGAGAACAAGCAGTAAATGCACTCTCCCTAACTGTTCCCCCTGAACCACGTTGAACTTGGTTCCTGTATTTTTTTTATTTCCTTTTCTTTTCCTTTTGTGTGTTAAGAGACTCCCTGATTTTGCATCTTTTTTTCGCATTTACCTGTACACATACTTTTTAAAGCCTCTTTACCTCTTTCCCCCTTTTTTTCTCGTTTTACGGTGTCTCGGTGTTTGACTACCATGTATGATCATCAATTCTTCTCTCTCTGCCCTCGTGCCTCTGGTCGGGTTCATTGCTCGTCAGCTGGCATGCCGGGATTGTCTACCATTGTATCTAATGACATTACGGCAAGGGGCCACCAAAAAAGGATGTGGTAGGCTTTGGTTATTTGGGGCATGTGACAATAGAAATCGGACAATTCTCCTCTCGCTTCAATATCTGACCTTCCCAACATTTTCTCTTTTTCGATCCGTAGAAATGTCCACTAGTAAGGTTTCGTGGCACGGGATTTGGAACATTCGCTGCTTCACTTTACTTCACTTTGCATCACTCTGCATCCGTCTGCTTCAGTTGAATCTCGAGTTGTTTCCGACCTATCACATCCCCAGTTCTGATACAGACCCAATCTAGACTTCCCCCTCCCCCTAAATAAACAATAGATTGAATCTGACTGTAAACATTATGTGTACTCTGCAGCGTGCAGATGCAGCAGTCTGGTGGGCCGTGTCCCCATAGACTACAAGCTAGCAGCATCGCAGTATGCCAAGTACGGAGTAAACAATTAATCTACAGGCCTTAGCCTCTCACTAATCCCTACTGTAGGGACTAGTACGATTGGGAGAACACCGTCCAAGCTCGTGATTTAATTATAGTTATATTAACCCTGCACTGAACATCGTACACATGTACACATCAACTCCAAAGGCAATAAATGGCTGACAACCCTGATAGGCTGAAGGCCTCTGGCGCACGGGTTTCTCTTCCTCGCTCCACCCGTACAGCCAGTCATCTGAAACCGTCGAGACGCCTTTTGACTCCAATCTATTAATTCAACCTGGCCTCCACTTTATGTGTTGGGCCAATCGTCTCTGTAGGCTGTTTCTTCCTCCCGCCAACGTCCTGCAAGTGAACTTAGCTTAAGTGACGAGATGACATGTGTGCCAGGGAGAGAAAGAGAGCGAGAGAGAGAGGTTAAACGGTTAAATACAATTGTAACTAGATACATAATCACAATAATATCACAATAATACTACCAAGAATGAGAACGTTATCTAACAGCCCGGCCTAGCCATGTACAGTCCAACACATGCTTAATCTTAATCAAACTTTCCCCCATTCAATACAGTATGCAATGCACTCCAACGTGTATACATGCACCGTACATGCGTACATGTGAGCCGAGGGGGGAAACCGGGCAATGGGGAACGGGGCACAGAACAGAACCAAGCAAGCATTGGACCCAAGCAGGCGCCAACACAACAAAGCACTGTGCAGTACAGCATTACGACCAGTGGACTTGGTGAGTGTACAGTAGTAGATGGAGGACGTATACTGTACAGTACTCTGAAACCAGGATCTCCGAACAATGGTCAACGTTATCAGACCAATCTGGACTCGAGTAGAGGTCGTTGTGCAGACACTTCCCTGCAGCGGTCGAGTAACAAATCATCGTTGTACACACCAGTTAAGCCCAGTCAGGCCCAGTCAGGCTGCCAGTGTGGGTCTAGTCTTTCGGTCTGTTGGTCTGCAGTGACGATGAACAGTGTACTGTACTCCGGAGTGGTCGTCATACTTGGATCCTTCGATTGACTGGACTGTTGATGTACATTTACATTTACAATTATTGACAATTATTTTGGAGAGTTGGGTTGAGTGTATGTATCTCCATCTCTAGGGTTAGGGTTAGGGGATGTGTCCCATAGGGAGACGAGGGGGAGAGGGGGGGGGATATAGGGGGATGATGCTATAGAGGACAATAGACAATAGACTATAAACTATCGGCTATAGAAGCTACTCTGTATCCAAGGGAGGTGTAGATCATCAAGGCCAGAAAGTGAAAATTTTCATACATACCATTTCCACCCCATTCGTCGATCATTTCTGGAGTGAGACCATCTGCTTTAGCGTGCCCCTAGTCTTGATTATTTTCTCCACTCGGTTTACATGTTTTTCCCTTTTGGCCCTTTTTTTTCTTTTTTTCTTTTTTTCCTTTTTTCTTTACAAGCTTAGCCCTGGTGTGTGTCATGTACCCGGCTACAATCCGGCTGGAGTTCGGGTCCAGTTTGGGTGCCTTGATTTTTAATCCCCGGGGCGATTGAAGTGTGTGGTCATGTCATGGTTAGGGTGTCCCAGGGCTAGGGTGTTAGTGCTGTCACAATCACTAACATGATTGTGACAGCATGGCAGAGAATAACCCTAACTGTGTTGGGGCTGGGGAAGGGGGGAATATATTGAATAGATTATGCAGTGTAGAATGTAGAATGTCTTTGCAGAGACACCATTCTTCCCGGTTCTCTGTTGGACCATGGAACGATCCAGGAACACATGTTACATAATACGGATGGCCGATTTACAGTTGTTTTGCTGCGTTTTAGCTGTTTTTAGCTGTTTTTAGCTGTGTTTGGGCGGTTTTTAACTTCTTTAGGAAGTGATCGATCGACGGGGAAAGTCGGTCGCTCTCCAGATCCTGTGGAAATTCCAATTTCCCCTTGAAATTCTACTGGGCCACCAATCGAGATCAAGGGAATCGGGCAGATAGGAATTTTTTTTCGACAGATCATGTTTCCCCCTGAAGAGTGTCAAGTGACCTGAATCCAAGGAAATTACGATCATTGGGACCCAGTTGGATCCAAAGATGTGTAAACTGGGTTGAACTTATCCACTACGGAAATTAAACCAAGCCATTGGAGTAAATAGGACAGTTAAGAGGCCAGGAACCAGGACCGTAATGAGAGAGAGAGACAGACTAAGAGTAGAATTCAGGGAAATAAATCTCGATTTCGAGTAGATCCCCTTACGCCGTTACGGGACATTTCATAACGGGGGTGCAGAAGGGTCGCGCTAGTGGAAGTCATTTCTTATTTTCTTTAGAATAGAATGTCAACCATGGGGGAAATGGGTCTGTTTTCCTTTTGTTTTTTCTTTCCTTCTTCCCTGCCATCATGACTGCTGCACCACCGGTGCATCCTGTGACTGACAGTGGCATGCCGGGTCATCTGGTGAATCTTCCTCGCTATCATCCCATTGCCATGAATCCGCATCCACACCCAATGCCTCCGCCGGAGATGGTGCAGAGTCATCACTTCCGCCATTTTGCAATGCATGACCATCACCCTCCGGTTCCGCCAGTACACAGTCCCGCTTCATTAGAACATATTGAAGCCCGACTGCGCCATCTAGAGCATGAAGAAATGGCTCGCATGGCAACTCGCAGCCGCATTCTGGCAATGCGCAAACATGAAGATGAAGAATTTCGATCCATGACAGAACGGGCCGAGGCCGAGGAAGAGGTGAGAACTCAGCGTAGCAGCTAGATCAAGAGAAAAGAAAGAGAAAGAAAAAAAAAACAAGAATCCCATACTAAACAGCAACCAGGACCTCCGGAGACAACGCAAGAAGCTGAAGAGAGAATCTATGGGCCTGGGGCCCAATGCCAACGCCGACTCGCCGCCTCTGCGGCCAACACCACCGCGGCGGCTATCAGAAACCAGTGCAGCCACAACACTGGCCTTCTTCAAGCAACAGAGTCCTCCCGAACCCCGCCAAACACCTCTCCCACCGGCACAGGCTCCTCCAATGCCACCACCACACATCCACTCCCAACCTCATCACCACGCAGCTCCCCCACCACCCCCACCATCTCAACATCCCCATGCCCACCCAATTGTGGCCCACGACTCAATACATGGCGCGGGATCTATCCGCCGCAAACAGAAATACACCATCAAAAACGTCGAAGCATGGGGCGAACGTCACGGCCGCCCAGCAGCTCACGACCCCTCCGGCCGAGCTCTCTGGAAAAGACCCTCAGACGGCAGTCTGGTCTATCTAACATGCCCAATCCAAGGCTGCAATAAATCCGACTTTGTCACCCTCCACGGCTTCATGTGCCACCTCACCAAGAAACACAAAGACCGCACTCTGGGCAGCCAGTCGCGCGCCCTAGAAGTCTGCGGCGTCGTCTACGACCCCTCAGCACCGCTCCCCCCGTCATGAACACACACCGCGCCTCGACAGAAGAAAGCCCACACTCAACACACATGGACCAAGACCTGGGCGACGGGGACGTCGAGGAAATGGACTCGGACTCGGAAGCCGATGACCGGGAACCAACCTACCGCGTCAAAACCGAACTCCCAGATCGAGACCGATATATGCCCGACGCCGAGGGGACCCCGGTTGATTCTTCACATGCGGCATCTACGCCCCCCAAGCCGGTCTTTTTCAATGGGATCGGATCAACGAAACAATCCATCTCTTCTATCATTGACCGCACGCCGGACTCGGAACCTAGGGAGGTGCTGGCGCATTTGCCGTCTTCGGAGGCTGTTGTGCAGGGTCCTTCGCCTACGCCGACTGAATCTTCTGTTTCGGGGCTGAAGCGCAAGTATGAATACTCGCAGCCTGAAAAGGAAAACACTGAACCTAAAGATGGCGTTCATGAGTAATCTCGCATTTTGCTGCATTTTTTTCGTTTCTTCACATATTGTTCTACCTTTTTTTTTCTCTCTACTTATATTGTCTATTGCCGCTGGCTACTCATACATATAATTGTCTTACTAGGTTATCTGGTGATCTACGGATTTCACCAGGTTTCTCAAAATACGATAATCAATTGCATTTTGTTTATCGATGCGGTTTCTGTCCTGGGATTTGTTTTGTCTTGGCTAGCATGGTGTCTCTGCTATCATGCTGTATCTGTGCCTGTGTATGTGTGTCTGTTGCATGCCCTATCTTTTGAATACCCTCTGTTTATGTCTGGGAGGTCCTGGTGTCTTGTTTGACTTTTGGTATGTCACATCTTACAACTGTTGATTATTGTTAGAGTGGCCGGGTTTGTCTATAGTTAATTGCATAGCACATTTACATCTTACTGTTGATACCACAGACTATAACCATGTCTAGTGTTAACCACATCTCGTTCGCTATAAGTTACTCTATCTACGTCTATGTACAAACCCAACCTATAGGCTCATGCCCAAGTCGCCAACTTCCCATATGTACCAATGTATCCATGAAACTAGGTGTCCTGCACCCATCTCATCTGACCAACAGCAAATGAACCAAATACCCAGTTCCGCTCTTCAAACCCTCCCCGAGAATATCGTCCGAGAGCCTCCAAACCCTAAACTCCCGCAAAGTCTCCCTCAACCAAGTCTCAAAAACATCCGGCGACCTCTGCTGCTGCGCAATAATACATATCGTCGGTCGACGCTGTCCCTGTTTCTGCTCCGTAGGATCATACACCGGACGCAGTCGACAGATTTCAGCGCATGTGCGCACGAATGGTGAGACGAGGGCTTCGTTGTAGATGCAATCACACGAGAGGAGGACGTCGAAGCCACGATCTTCTGCCTCTTCCTCATCTGCGTCCCCGCCTTGGATATCTTGGTTAGGATGGGATGTTTCCGATGGCATGCATTCTTGCTTCAATGAACCAGGTTGATCGGTTTCCCAGTCTAGAGTTGTGAAGCTGATGTTGGACGGGTTTCCAACTGTCACGGTTTTCGATTTGGAAATCTTGCTGCCTTTTCCTTTGCCACTTTTGCTTTTGCTGCTGCCTCTGCCTGTCCCTGCCCCGGCGGAGGACGGGATGGAGGCATTGGCTTCCAGGTTCGTGCGGAATAACCGCTGGACGTATTCCTGGTCTGTGGCGATGTAGTGTTGGACTGAGGGGGATAGGGTCAGGGCTAATAGGGCTGAGATGCCGGTGCCTAGTTCAACTATTGTTGAAGAGCTGTTTAGGAAGGATGTTGTCCAGAGAGGGTTTGTTGGGGAGGTTATCCATTCTGAGAAGAGAGGGGTGATTTTCCAGAGGACTGTTTTGTTTGGTTAGCTATTGTTTTGTTAATTGTTTTGTTAATTGCTTTGCATGAGTGGTAATTGGGTGGGTGGAAGGATTGGTAGTGGCCGGGGCATGATAGAACCATGGTGGGATGAGCGGTAAAGAACAGAAGCCACAAGATATGAAGATACAGAAAGCCAAGCAAAAGCAGAGCAGGTGACAGAAGCCAGCTCGTGTTCAAGCCAAGGTAACCTTCGCATCCTTCAAATGAATGACATTTGACCTCGGCTCACACGCGCTCGACGATTGGACGCCCCGAGTCCGTGGGCCGGTCTGGGCAAGACACTCCATCAAAACAAAGCAGAAAACAGAGTGGGCGGGGCAGAGCAATCGTCGTCCGTGCTGGTATGCGGGAATGGGGGAAAATGGGGGAAATGATATTCGGTGCAGATCATGCGAACGGCTGCGCATCGTACACCTGTTCGTGTACGGCGTATGCGACTACTAACCGGCGCCTGTAGTACCCCCAGCTCTGTGACCAGAGAGGAGAGCAGGTGATTGATTGATGGTGTATTCATTGCCATGGATTGATACTTCCACGGACTGTGCGCGGGAATCGATCATGCCCAGATTGTTGGTTGGGATGTCTTGCGCGAAGAGGACAAATGACTCTGTCGACCGATTAGAGTTGGCTTTAGCTTTGGCTGCCTTGACTTACCTTCTTCGACATCGAGGACTTCTTCCCCTGTGGCGAGGAGACCGCTAATTTGCTCCATTGGGTGTTTTTGGTTCTGATATTTGATCTGGCTGGAGTGCGGGTTTTTTTTTTCTGATCTACGACTACACGATCACGGGACCAGAGGCTCTACGGGGAATAAGAGCCCTGAAGTCAGGGTTTCTGACTGCATAGCCTTCCAATTAGATATATGGGATTAATATCGTGCTGCCAAATCATAACCTTCGTCTTCAAAGTTCACTTGTTGGGATCCAACGGAAACAAACGGGCAACTGATCAGCTACAGACAACGCTAAGTCCCATTAGCTTAGCTGTTTAACTATTTGCAACCGAAATGAGCACAGGCCTATGTGGCGTACTTATGCAAATAACAAATAACAAAAAAAGCACTAAGTTTCGAGGAATCAAAGATTTCAAGGAGAATAACGGAGTAGTACGGAGCTGCTGGTCTGCCGAGCAAGGAACCCCCGTAGCTGCGTCATATTACCCGCCACATCAACTTCAGGCTCTGTGCACTTCCTCTTCTCCTTCTTCTTGGAGCTCATCGTCTTTGGCAACTAATCTCTCTCGTGTCTCCGGTAAGCTGGGCGCTGACTATTCCACAGCTCGTGTTCCCAAGTTCCCAAGTACCCAAGTTGTTGATGCCCCATTCCCGCACTAGCTAACCTCCACCCCCGGATAGAACTTTTCTAACTGCCTGCTTCAGTATCTTTGTCGACCCCTGGCATCTCTCCCCTCGCCATTGAAGCTATTCCGCCAGAATGTCGAAGCGCGACCTTCACCTCCAACCGCGCATGTCCAAGAAGGGCCCCTTCTCCGTCGAGGCCCCCGGCTATGAACCTGTAGAGGGTGAAACTATCCCTCGGCGGCACCCCGCGGCCAAGGACGGTCTCATTCTGCGCCCCTCGGAAGACGTTGCGACGACCTACGACAATTTCCGCCGATCCGCTCGCGTCTTCGGCAATGCCAAGGCTGTTGGTAGTCGCAAGTTGATCAAGACACATGTCGAGAACAAGAAGGTCAAGAAGATCGTCGATGGCGTCGAGACGGAGGTTGACAAGCAGTGGACCTACTTTGAGATGAGCGGGTACACCTACAAGAGCTTCCTCGAATATGAGCAGCTCTGTCTGCAGCTTGGTTGCGGTCTTCGCAAGCTTGGCCTCGAGAAGGACAGCAGAATCCACCTTTACGGTGCGACGAGGTGAGAAGAGGTGTCCTGTGCTCTAGACTAGACGTAAAGCGCTGACCTGAAATGCCTGTAGTGCAAACTGGCTCGCCATGTCACACGGTTCGTTTCTTGCCCTTGCTCCTTCGTGAAATTCGACTGACACCCGCGATAGGTGCCGCCTCCCAGTCCGTGACCATTGTGACCGCATATGACACCCTAGGCGAAGAGGGCCTGAAGCACTCTCTGGTCCAAACCGGCAGCACTGCCATCTTCCTCGACCCCAGCCTGGTGAAGTCACTTATCAACATTCTCCGCAGCGTCCCCTCGATCAAGCACATCATATATAACACCGACGGAGAGATGGACCAGAAGCTGCTTGACCAGCTCCACAGCGAGTACATTCACATCAATGTGCAGAGCATTGAGGACCTGCGCAAGCAGGGTGAGGAGAACCACGTGGAGCCCGTTCCCCCCAAGCCCGAGGACCTTTGCTGTATCATGTACACCTCTGGCTCGACCGGCCCGCCAAAGGGTGTGCCTCTGACCCACGCTAATGTTATCGCTGCCACCGCCGGTGTGAATGAGATCGTTGGTCCTTATATCAACCACAAGGATTCCCTGCTGACATACCTGCCCCAATCGCATATCCTCGAATTCATGTTCGAGAACCTTTGCTTGTTCTGGGGTGGTACCATGGGATACGGTAACCCCCGTACTTTGTCTGACGCTTCAATGCGCAATTGTCAGGGTGATATTAAGGAGTTCAAGCCTACTATCCTGGTCGGTGTCCCCGCCGTGTGGGAATCAGTGAAGAAGGGCGTCTTGAACAACCTGAATAAGAACAGCTTCTTGGTCAAGGGCATGTTCTGGGGTGCTATGTCAGCCAAGAATTTCCTGATGACCACTGGCTTCCCTGGCTCCAGCGTGGGGTCCTGGATCCTGGACACCGTTGTGTTCAAGAAACTGAAGGAGGCCACTGGTGGCAACCTCCGCATCGTGATGAACGGCGGTGGCCCCGTCTCCAAGGACACTCAAAAGTTCCTGTCCATGGCCATTGCTCCCATGATCAGCGGCTACGGTTTGACCGAGACATCCGCCATGGGTGCTCTGGGTGACCCCATGGCCTGGAATCCTTATGTTCTGGGTGATATTCCCGCCTCCATCGAGGTCAAGCTGGTTGACTACGCTGAAGCCGGATACCTGACCAAGAACAAACCTCCCCAGGGTGAGATCTTCATCCGCGGCGGCAGTGTGACCTCCGGCTACTATGACAACGAAGAAGAGACCAAGGCCGCACTCACTGAGGATGGCTGGTTCATGACTGGCGATATTGGCGAGTTTGACCGCAACGGAAACCTCAACATCATTGACCGCAAGAAGAACTTGGTCAAGACCCAGAACGGTGAATACATCGCTCTGGAGAAGCTCGAGTCTGTCTACCGCTCCTCCCCTGTTGTTGGCAACATCTGTGTCTACGCCGCCGAAGACCAGGACAAACCTGTCGCTATCATCGTTCCCGTCGAGGTTGCTCTTAAGAAGATTGCCAGCGACAACGGCATCGAGGGTGACACTCTCGAGACCCTTGTTCACAACGACAAGATCAACAAAATTGTGCTTCAGCAGCTCCAGGCTGCCGGCCGCGCAGGTGGCCTCCGTGGCATTGAGATCATCAACGGTGTCGTGCTGTCTGATGAGGAATGGTCCCCTCAAAACGTAAGTGATAACTGAAAAAAAAAATGTTGCATTACAAACCCAAACTAACACCATTGACAGGGTTTCATGACCGCCGCACAGAAGCTCCAGCGCAAGAAGATCCTCAACACCTACGAAAAGGACATCAACAAGGCGTACGGCAAGAAATAAAAAAGCACATTGAAATGCCTGTGACTTCATTTTGATTTCCTAGCTATGCTGCATACTTGTCTTTCTCTCTTTGTTTTCCGTTCATTCAGCTTTGACACCCTCTCCGTTGTGTTGGTTTTGCTCCTTCGCGTTTCCTTCGACTTGTGATCCTGTTGATATCCCCATTTGATGGAATATGGCATGACTCTGGTACTCCTTTCTCCCACGATCTAGACGAGGCAGTGATGAATGCGGACATGATCGGACCGACATCACAATGATTCTGGATCCTATCTCCGTCTATCTAGTAATTTCATCATTTATGCTTTAGCTCTACTCTTGTAGCTTATTTCCGTTTCCGCCTGATAATTCTCCTTGTAGAGACGTGAACCTAACATTTGCTAAACCTACTAACGAACTATAACGGTGGTACCTGCATACCAGGATCCAAAGTCCCTAGGTGCCTCACTGATTAGCCACAGTTACACCTGCATATGTCCATCCCCCGTACCCATGTTGTACATGTACCTGACAAGACATAGTCCCAAGCAAGAAACCCAATTGCTCGAACCCGTCACACTTGTACAATCCAAGTAGGGATCCCAATTGAAGTAAACAATCACGTTAACAGGCCCCGTGACATTATCACCACGTGACCATACCAATACAAGGAGGAAATACCAACTCCAAGCTACAGACTAATGCTATACATAGTACATAGTCGCCTATATCCCTCTCCAACTCGAGCAAATTGAACAACCCCGTCTCATCCAATCCAATCGACCGCAATGACTCTCTGGAGGTACGTAACACAACCAACCAAATGACCCGACAACGCCAATCAAAAGAAAACAATCCCAACCGAGACTACCAGACTAACAAGTCTCCGCTACACACAGCTCCTACCGCGGCCTCAGCCCCAAGACTCGGGCACTTTTCGGAATTGGTGTGATGGCTTGGGCAGGTATCGGACTCTGGACTGAGTCAAAAGTCGAGAGCGCGCTCGGTATGCAGCCCACAAAGGAAGAGCAGGAAGCGCTGGATCGCCAGATGGCGGTTCGTATCTCGCGCGTTGGGGGAGACGAGTCGACGGAGAGCCAGGAGAAATAATTTCCACTGGGGTTCGGGTGTGTCGAGGGGATGAGAAGCAATCGGGAACTACAATGCTTGGAGGAATGGATAGGAGGCAGAGCGAGGGAAGGGGACGTACGTGGTGCACAGATCCTGGCGCGCATTTCCCGATGCTCATATGACGGATGAGATAGCATGACGCTATCTGCATATGTTTCTCTCCGAGCGTTGTCTCTGCCGTGAATGTCTACGGAGTCAGAGAGTCAGCTACGGAACCCTGGGCTCGAACGGGACTGGCTAAGCTGGGGAAAAGAAAATTACGCCAGGCCAGCCCGTTGCGAGCCAAGCTAGGTTGACCCGGGCGTCTCATCTCTGAGCCTCAATTGCGTCCACCGCAAACTACGTTGCAAAGCAATGCTGCGTTCGTGCGCTCGCTATCCAAACACCAGACTTCCACCCAGGTATCTGCTCATCGTGAGTTCCAGTTCGGATCAGTGATCCCGGGATTCAAAAGAGGACCCGGTTCGTCGGGGAAAAGAGGCGGTCATAGCGACCCTGCGCCTGCGTCTGTTTGTCTGTCTTGAATATTGTCTTGTCTCCGAGGGCCAGCAGCCAGAAAGACAAACAAACAGCGGGGGGACCAATTGGCTGGTGTATGAAGTGGTCAGCACCTACAGAACAACATTCTGTCGTGCATGCAACGGGATATGGCCTGATCTCTCTACCTTGCTTTGCCCTGTCTTTCTTTTTTCTTCCCATGCATATTGTATGTAGCATACCCCATGTCATGTCTGTGCGTCGACTTAGATCCCCCGGTTTCAACTGCCCTGTTCACTGCCTACTGTGCAGGTTTACCAGACGCAGACGCAGAAGCAGGGAAGAGACTAAGTTGCGCCCGACTACCCCCGGCCACCCACCGTTTTTGGTATTTTCGTTTCTTTCTTTTTGTCTTTCAGGTTAGCACATCTGTGGCTCGGAAGAATTGCTGCGGCTGAGAGGGTGGATCGTTGCTTAGCCTGGCCCAGATCGTGACGCGCTGGCTCTTAGGCTGAGAGTCCAATCAGGGGGAGATTTTAATTTCTAGTCTTTTCTCTGCTCCGATTGGGAAAGACATGCGAGGGTAGGTGGTCTGGCCAGGATTGTTTGGAGGGGATTTGGAACCTGCTTTTTGGTATTTGTTGCAAAATGTGTGTCCAGGCTAGCACTCTTTATCTGATCACATGTTGGCTCTGGTTGGTTTGATATTGAAGTAGATATGTTTGTTAGAGATAAAGCCACCGGTAACCGGCCGACAGACTCATTTGAAAGAATAGGCAGACGACCATACGGATGGAATTTCTAGACTCGCTTTTCTGTATCTTGTCTTAGATGGACTTGAGCCGGATCATACCGTATCATCATCGATTCAGTCGAGAAAGAACAATTCCCATAGCTAGACATCCTGTGCGGCTTTTAGACACTCGCCTTTCGGATCAGAGGTCATCTATATCATTTCGACAGTGCCACAAGGGACCCTTGGCCACTGAATGGCAATGCTGTGTATCTAAAAGATCAGGATCAGATACCCAATGTGAAACATACGATGATTTCTAGCTTGATCCTGAACGGATGATATGTCTTGATATTTCTCCAAATCTGGAGGAGATTGTATTTTTCCACGACTGGCACGATGTGAGACCGATGCCCCCGACTTGAATAGAATGATTTACATATACATATGGCGCTCAGATAAACTGGTCTCTACCGAGAGCTCGACCACGAGGTATACCCGAGTTCTGATACCCAAGTGTCAGACAGGACTCCAATGACTTGCATCGAAGTATGTAGATGGACAAGTATATCCTTGACAGGAACTTATTGCTGTGCAAGTCAAGCTTTGAAAGACCAGTTTTATCACCAGGCCCATTGTCGGGCCTCTATGGCTCAGCCCTAGCCTGGCAGGATATACAAGATAGGTCATGTGGTTCTATTGCCAGTGCGAGACAGACTCAACGTCACACGATGCTCGGAGGACGTTGAAGCGGAACACGGAGAGAGACCAACCTGTCTGGGTGGCGAAAAGTGGTAACATTGAAAAGCCAGGGGTAAAGAGTCGGACAGATGCAAGGCAAAGCAGAGAGAAGCAAACCCTGATCTCAGATGATATCCTCGACGTGGCAAAGTATCGTCAATTGAATCTTTGGCTATGCATTGCATCCTGCGATCTGGGTTTGGACATCCCGGCCTCTGGAAGTTGCCACAGGCGAAGGGGCTATGTGTTAGACTTAGACCATGATAGTGGACGGGGAATTTGAGTCCCTCTTGCTCTTTGGACAGCAATGAAGAAAAACTGGCAGTTCCCGAGTTGGGCGAGATGGCAAGACCGAGGAGTACAACAGTGTCTTGTCCTGTGGGTTGTCGATGATTTGATCACGTATAGGATTTGCTGGCTATAGTCGTACGGACAATTCAGGGTCCATGTGTTTCTATGGTATGCATTGGCGATGTGATGTTCCATGAAATCCTTGTTATCCATGCTCTGGTGTACATAGTGACACTAGATAGAACGTTTTAGTCGAGCCTGATCTTTCTGCCTTGGATATTTGATGCCTCTGAGCCCTTTTTGCGTGGCATGCTGTGGCACATGAATCTGAGCCCAAAGTGAAAGCCGGAGACAGTCTCTAGAGCTGGGATAGGGAAGGAGATCCTCATGTGGTCAAACACTAAAGACTTAGTCTTAGAAATTGAGTCGCAGATTTGTGAAAAGATCTTACGTTACAAGTCTAAATTATTTCTATAATAGGGTGAAGAGAAAACGTTAAATATTGAGCGTCTAATTCAAGGCATTTTTTTCCAATCCTCATTGCCGAACCAAGCGCGGGACAATGAGAACTTACATTGTTATTGCATCGGAGCCGGGCACTTATTGTACTACCATAACAGTCAGAGCAAAGAAGACCAAATGCTATTCATCACGCTCGGACTCTTCAAGGGTCAACAGGGTCGATAGCAATCCACAGTCAAGTGACCGCATAGACTGAAGAGTCAAATGTTGCGGCCCAGACCGGACATAGTGGGTGAGCACAGATGAAATCAGATTCATCTTTCGAGTCAATCAACCTTTAGAATTCTCAGACAAACTGACTAATTCGAGGTGGCAAGACAAGGGGTCAAGAAGCTTGTGTATCCAACGCGGGACTCCAGAGATGTCACGATGATGAACATAATAAAGAGATATCTCATGACGAACAGCAAGAGAATTTCAATTACAAAGTACTCCGATCCGAATGGAAGTTGAGGACTGTCATGAGCAGTAGCAAAACCGTGATCCATAAGTTGTAGTGGAAATAACAGGCTAAGTCATGCATATAAGAAACATGTATTGCCTGGGATAACGAGCCAACCAAAAGTCGACAGAGAAAATGGTCCTTTTGCCCCTTGTGCGACGTGCATAAGTACTTCTCCAATCGGCCGTCAGAGAAACCCTTACTCCCAATAAGAAAACGTTTAGCAAAGATGATGCCTGGTCATTCTTCTAAATAAACTTATTTTCTTCTCATCCGGATGCGAGGTAGCTCCCCGGCAAGCCAGGTATACAGATGCGGGAAATAGCCTTTGATTAAAATGAAACGAAGCGAAATTTGTGTTTCAAATCAAAGTCAGTCAAAGGTCTGATCTCCACAGTTAAACACTAACTGATCTACAAGCAGCTAGAACTTCAACCTCTTGCCGTATATGGTTATCACCACCCCAGTCCATAGCATAGAATACCAACCAGGATCATAGTGTTTGAAACATCGGAATCTGCCGAGATGCATGAGGAAACCTAGAAAATACGAGGATCTTTTCCATTTTGGAATATAGACATGACCATCACTGTGGAAATGGTGGGGAACATAAAGTACTAAGTCATGGGCCGATCAATACCCTCGGGGACACAATCAAGCGAGAAAGTATCAGAGATCGAATTAAACTCACCGGCTGAAAACCTGTTTGCGCTCCTCGTCATTTCATATACTGAAGCTATGCCAAATTTGTAAATACTCTACATTGCCGCATTAGCCAAACAAGGCTGAGCGGTGATGCAACAAAGTATCAGCTGCACATGTACCGTCGATCACGATCTGCGTCTTTGGGTTCATTACATACGTACCGAATCACACAAGAACAGTACCTAAGAAGATCATCGCCATTCCATAAGAGTTTATATCCATTTCTTTTTTTTTTACATAAGAAGAACCCTCAACGGCTGGCCTAATCTCTGCTGCCTCGTAATTGCAAGCCCCAAGGCCTAAACTCAGCCCCGCGAAAACCACACACCCAAACAGGATGCTGCTCAAATGCCTGATTGGCTCTCATCTCTTCTAGTGTGCATACTCACACCCTTCCAGTAGGTGCTGGTTATGCACAGTACCTAATCTGCTCTGTTTGGGTTCAACCGCGGAGTTCCCTACGTAAAGAGAGAGCATAGAAGCAAAACCAAAAGCACAAGTATAGCAGAAGTACGAGCAAAGCAAAAGCACAAGTAAAGCAAAAGCACAAGTAAAGCAAAAGCACAAGTAAAGCAAAAGCACAAGTAAAGCAAAAGCACAAGTAAAGCAAAATGCAAAGACGATACACATCGCAGATTGCGCTGTGCCAGAAATCCCTTTAATCTTGCCTACCCCTGCAATAGCCAACTTACCGATTCTTACGAAGTCGCCCTTGCCCATGTCGCTTACTGTACAGTACAGATACAGATCCCAGCACACCAAGGCAGGCATAGATTCAAGAATAACCAACTAGAATAGGTAACGCATCCAAAAATACAAAAATAAAACCCCAAAGGCAAATTGCCCAGGGTGTTTGCAGGCCTCAAGTTTGATTGGATAAAGCATTGACAAGAAATAGAAAGAAAAAAACAGAATGTCTGACAGGTAAGAACGTGAGGAAATTAAATCAAAGTAAAATGGCAAGACTGCAAGACTGTATCGAAACCCGGGCATTTGGAATGGGGCTGGGAGCCCTGCAAAAATATGTTGGCTAGGACTAGGACCGCAGGAAATAACGGTTCCTAGCCATCGGACTGACCAAGTCGGGGAATAAAGTCTCAGATTGGGCTATGGGGAGATCGAGCAGCCAAATCAGGGAAATTGGGCAGAGATGAGATATTTGCCGGGGTGTTTTGTAGGTTGGTGTAGACCCGGGAGCTTGTAGTTAGGGTGTGGTTAACCTCAAGTCGTGATCAACATCTACACAGTTAACTGTCTCTCTCTTTTCGTTCTGTTGACTATGATAAGTCAGGCTGAGATCTGATTACAGTACAAATATGAGCGATGAGACATTTCCACGGAGTGCTACGGAAGAAAGTCTTCAATGGCATTCTGTTCGTTTCTTTTCAAAACACTGACAGACAATTGAGCAAGAGGATGGGGCTATAGGAGGAGAAAAGGAATAAACTAGAATGACAAACAAAGACCAAGTTCAAATTCACCAAAGAAAGCGTTCAAAATAAAACAGCGAATAAAATACTTCGTCAACATTCCCCCCACGCCTTCCTGCACCAGTGCATAAAATAGGTTTCATAGGGTCATATCAAGCAAAATTGAATTAAGACACAGAATGAAAAAAAAAGCAAAAAAAAGCAAGTCTCAAGTGCATAGACTATGCGAGTTCTGAATAGGATCGTAACGACTGTAACTCGTAGAATATATCGGCTCATAACCACCAGTAGTCGACTGACGGTGCTGGTGAATAGGAAAACCTGTATAAGATGGATCCTGATAGGGGTCTGATTTCAGGTATGGATCCGATTTGAGATATGGGTCTGACTTGAGGTAGGGATCTGACTTGATAGTGTCCATGGGATCCATGGTATCAATCATGGAGTATTCAAAGCCCGAGGAAGAAGACGAGGAGATAAGAGGACTGTCACTGAGAGGCGAATGATCTGTCCCAGGCACCTGTCGGAAATCGGATCTGCCATAAGGCATACCGTTTCGATGGGACGCGTCATACATGTACATGTGTGAGCGGCTTGTTTGACTCAGGCTTTGTGGGATGGATCCGCTACTACAGTTGCCATCGGCTCCTGCACCGTCGGGACCCATGCTGGCGGTACTGCCACGTCGTCCGTCTTTGTAATGACCGGGTGAACGACCGCGCACTACCATGGGGTGTGAATGGCGTCGGGCGATCTGAACCCATTGTGTTTCACCGGGGACTGAGCTAGCAATCTCGGCGTAGAGCTCGACGACCAGATTGTAATATTGCTGCTGGGCACGGCGCTTGCCGTTGTTGGCAGTCGCTTTTTGGAATTGGATTCGTTCGAACATGTGAGATGTTGGGGGCTGACATGGCTGGGGTGCTCCTGTAAAGGAGGAGCTGTAGTCCATTGATTGGGAGCTGAGGGGGAAACCAGACATACTACCATTGCTGGCTGACGATGTAGAGTGAGATGCTGGAGGAGATGGCTGAAGAATGACACGGCCTGGTTTACGTTCGGATTGCTTGTCTCGCTTCGGGGTGTGTTGGACAAGTTCTCGAGTTTCTCCTCCATATTGGCCATTCACAATAGCCGAGATGGCCATTGCAAACCCGCGAATAAGCTCGACTGTCTGATCCGGATAGCGGATATAAAGAGGAACAGTGTGAGGCCAAGGATGGAGCCCGAAGCCGCAGGTCACTGAGAAATAGTTTCGTCGATAGCAGGTCCATTTGCCATCGGATGGGAAGAAGCCACGGCCCATTTTTGCTTGAATTTCTGGCTTCAACGTTTGGTATTGCCCCCCTAAATCTGCAACAATGGTTTCAAGGAAAGTCGTATCATCGAAAGGCGGTGCCTCAATCTGTGGCTGTGAGTGCTGCGTGGAATCCACCAAAGGTTGTTGATATAGGCTGTTCGGGGATCGCTCCAAGTTTTCTAACGCTCGAGGCGTCCCTGAATACTGGTGACGAGGAGGAATATCATTCATTCCAGCCAGAGGCAGACCCATAGCTCCAACACTTCCGCGGTGTAAAGCATATGAGCCCCCGTAGCTATTGTTGCGCCCTATCAGGGGAGGTATAGAGTTCAAAGCATACCCTGAGCTCTGGGTAGCAGATGGAATACCAGTCGGTGGTTGGCTATGGTATCGAGTATAGATTAGCCATGACTTGACCAAGGATGGACAAAGCAAAGCTTACAGCGCTGGCACTCGTCGGAAATCCATTCTATCAAAGGAATGCTGAAGCTGGGAGAGATGAGGGAAGATAGGAACAGAAGAGGGTGAAAACGAATCTTCACACACACAATCAGTTAAAACGCCTCGGCAGAAGTACAAGTGAGACTTACCAGCACACGAGTCTGGAGGAGTCATTGCAAGAGCGCTGGAACCGGGATATCTAAAGCGAAACAGATTCAGTCAAACAAGATACACGTGCGATCGCCTGAGATTAAAACAACGCCAGAAGATATCAGAAGCGTCCAAGCGCAGGAAGTCATGATGTGCAGGGAAGCGAATCGAAACGGGCGCGAGAAAGAAGCAACAGGCTTCAACAGCACAGGGTCGATAAAAAAGGACACATCGGAAGAAAGACATGCAGGCAGCAAATCGGTATGGAAGGTACAGAAACAGGCCGGACTGAAGTCCAAGCTGCCCGGACCCGGAGGAAGCGCAGCGACAAGGGATCGAGAGGCTGGCCGAGCGCAAGGACAGTCCAGATTGAAAAGTAGAAATAACTTACTGTAAATCCTGCATCGCAGGCTGCTGTGCATGGTACCTCACGCCGTTGGTGTCAGGTATGGAGGCAAGACCTCCGACTCGCCGGCTGTCGTCTTCGTCCATCGCAAACCCTGTCACATGGGGGCTGATATAGTCACTCTCCGAAGTTACTGGATCCCTCAACGAGAATGACTCCGATAGGAGAGATGCTGAAGATTCCATAGGTTAGACCGGGGAGGGAATGATAGGGAACTAGGAAATGCTGATTCAAGCCGCATGACAAGAGTAGAAAGGAAAGGGAAAAGAAAATTCATAAAATAAGAAAACCGAAAAGGTCAAGAATCTTACCGGGATTCATGCTGAATGAGCTGATACTAGATGCTTTGAGGACCCTGAACTTTGCAACTGAGGTGACACCAGCGAGACGCCAAAGCCTTGTTGACTTCTTGGGTGGCAAGAAGTTGGATGTCTAGAATAGCCAAGGTTAGTCGACCCAGGATTCTCTGTCAAATTGTCAAATTCCCTCATACCCCGACGAATGATATCCAGGTCGAAAGAAAGTGTGTCTGGGTCTATAAAGAAATCGACGGGGAATGGCCCAACGCACAGAGAAGCCACTTTGATAGGTCTCTTTGGATAGAAGCCGAGATGACTCTCAGTGAAAGTGATCCAGAGAAGGAGAGGGGGAAAGGGGAGGGAGGAGGGGAGAGAAGTCAATATGAAGTCTAGTAGGGAAAAATGAAGTACATGAAATTTGGCAAGACCGTGGAAAGTGAAAGAAGATAACAACGGGAAGAGTTGAAAAGAAGAGAGCCGGGAAAAGATCATGCTTCCAAAGACTGAAGCCTTATAGGTAACAGGAAGAGGCGTAAATGGTGAACATTAGGCAGAGAGCGCGTCACCGAATGATAGACATGACTTCCTCATCGGGGACCCTCACAGAAGTGTACTATAGGTACACAAACAGAAGAGATCGGACCAGTCCGGTAGCGTTGATACCAAGCAAGAATGGGAAGAGGCTGCCAAATGACAACAATAGCAATCATCGAGGGGCAAAAAGGAAGGGTCCAGAAGGGGAAAAGATAAATTCACTGATGTAATCAGGTGTGACACCCTGGGCAGTGTGAAAGGGAAAAGAAAATGACAAGTTGACGCCAACAAGTATCTTGCAGGTATTGTAAGAGAAGGTCTCCAACTTGGCCAACCCTCGCTTGAGGAGATGCAGAGCAGATCCTACTTGATATTCTTCTTGACGGGCAAGGTGCAGAAAGTGCAATCGGTGGCTTACCTAGTGGATATAAAAATGAAAGTGTGTGTGTTGTGTGTGTGTGGACCGGGTTGAGATCAAAAGGTGCGACTGCAATTGAGCTTTATGCCAAAAAAGAAATAAGAAGCAATGAGTATCTGAAGCTCATTCCAAAGCCGTTCTCGGGATGGTTCCTTTCTACCCTGGTCAGTTTGAGAAGAAAAATGATTAAAAAAAGAAAGAAAAAAGAAAAGAAAATCAAATAAACAAGGCTCATTGACCTAACCGGGAGGCGACTACTCCCACGAGTTCCTGGGAACTGTCAGGGACAGTGGAAATACGTTGTATTCGACAAGGCTACAATGGATGGCAGTCTTTGGCTTCAGGGTCCAACCAGCATCGGCCAAGAACTTCAGAGAAAAATCCAATAAATCCAATAAGTTTTTTCTTTTTTAGATGATTTGTATTTCCCCCTACTTCCGGCCAAGCGCGAATGGGGGTGGGTGCATGTCTCCATAGTACAGTAGCATCGAATCATCGGCTCCGGCACCCAGACAGTCTGATTGTTCCAAGGGGACTTCACATTGGTCAGAGCACCATGTGTGCCCTACTGTACCGTAGGATCCGACACCGGCTGCACGGACCGTGACTCTCTAAGATAGGATGCCTTTCCCTTCCAATTCCCGAAGTCAGATGCTCCAACGCGAACCGACAGACGGGTTTCTGCAGGAGAACGGAAGAAGATGAAACTAGAAAGGATAGAGGAGAGATGATCAACGCCCCGGGATACCCGTGCAGACCCCAGTCTCATGATAGAGATGATGTATCAGACCTGGAAACCAATAGCAAAAAGATTAGATCGGGGGGTTCTCAAAACAAGGAAGATCAGATCCTTGACCATGGTCCGTGGTCTGTGGTGAAAAGGCCTGTCGGAGTAGTCCCTTCCAGATTTATTCTTGCGGCGATATCTGTTGGGTCACCCAGGAGGTGGGAGGCTCGAGGCTCCCAGCAGCCGTTCTTACATGAAGAAACACGAAGATCATGCGATCGGCGGTTTCCATTTGAGCAAGCTGCATTGTTCATGCTGGCAATGTCCTCACCGACACACCAAGATGGGGAATGAACAGAAGAAACACATCACGTTTGAGCTGACATGCCGAATCAAATTCTAGTCTAAAAGGAAGAGACCTTGCCCGCCTAAATGTTCTGTAAATCAAAATAACCCTCAAAGGAATATCCAGTAAAGGATAGGGCCCCCACAGGGGGGCTAAAGCAGATGCAACGGGGGGCAATACGCAATGGGGGGCGGTCCGTACCCGGTAGCCTTTTCCAGAATGGAGCTTTCAGGCCCACAGAAATCTAACCACGGGCCTTGGGGGTCAGATCCAATCCTAGTTTCCATGATTGCGTCGACAGAACTGCAGTAGTGGCTGGAAGATCGGCCATCCTGCAGGCGGCTAGCTGGGCGTGATGGAAAGGTGCAGGGTTAAAAAGCACCGGGGGGAGCTATGATTGGCGGGGACAAGACCTAGATCGAATTCCTCGGGGCCCCAGAGAGTGGTAATGGAGGGTATGTTGTGCAGGGCTTTGCCCCACGTAATGGGGCTTTTGCCAATATCGGCATTAGTTGCAGGGGGTTCCTTTGTAAAATCGAGACAAGAACGATCTGAGAGGATGACGAGTGAGGTGATGAATGACGCTGTTGACATTTCTCGGCTTTTGGACATCCCTTCCCGAGGCACGTGCGGGGCGGTGAAGGGAAGTCACGGGAGGTGCGTTGTGAATATCAGAGGACATGCAGACACCAACATTACGATAACTGATCAATGATCAAGTATATCACGATCTGTATTGTATATATACTTCATATATTTCAATATACTTCACTACTGCCGCACTACAACAGTGGTTTACCTCGAGCACAAACAACCTGGCAATTTGGGAATAAGCAAATCTAATATGCCTCTCCCGATCTATCACTTGCGATACATAAACATAATTGTCCGGACTCTGCAGGTACTGTACCAAGCCTAATCCTGATGATTTGAGTTTCCTTTTGGGCGAATAGGACATGCATGCCCTCATCGTTTGAACCATGGATATGCAGGTCGATCAAAACCTAGACGCAAATTCGAGGTAGGAATCAATATCCTCTTGTCTCAGGTATAGAAACCTAACCAAACATATAACGTTATGACAACAAAATATACCAAAAGAAAAAGAAAAAGAAGAAGAACCCCCCCAACAGACAGACCCTGCTGTATACTGTAATGTGTATGTGCCATATCATACCCCCGGTTCAAAGAGCGATTCGCGTTTCAATGCGAACAAAACTCTTGTGCAACGACCATATGCGACAGACGAGAAGCCCCGTGGTCAATGCCATGCCTGATTTACGGCGTTCGGCCGGACAGTACTGTAGACCGTGAGCACTGCAATAGACAAGAACATCCCGGGGTCGGGATGATCTACGACGAGAAAATTTGGAATATTCAGAGTTTTCAAATGATCATTAGCTCTGCAGATCAGCTTCCTGTCATTCTAGACCCTACAATCTGCGCGTTGCTCAAGGATCTTCGATGCGACACACCCAACGGACCCATATCATCCATCCTGGTTGGCTCGAGGCAGACCACGCACCAAGTGTGGAAGGAGTTCCTCATTGTTGCCTGATGTCGGGGCCGGAATAAGGTTTCAACGGTCATCCCGAGACATTCAAGCTCAGGTTACTTCACACTTCTTGACCTGCTCCACATCGGACACAAGGTTCGGTGATGGGTTTCCTATGTATCACTTCTTCCGATATTGATGTTTACCAGATGCGACATTTGACCTGACTACTGGTAGCCCGTTGCAATGGATGAGATGCGTTGCAGAAGGAACAAGGGAATCCTTTGTCTGACACTCCTTGACTTCAACTTTCCTTGTTCTCCTCTGTACCGGCAAAAGAGACTCGATACGGCGGAGGTGTCACTAGCAGGTAGCCTCATCCTGTCACTCCAATTTGTGACCACCCTGTATCTACAGCCCGACAACATTCGATCGTGTCACAACCAAGAAGCTTCCGGCAAAAAGGTCCATCAAACTCTGAAGCATCCTGGCTCGGCTGGCATTAATGGCAAGGCAACGTGTCAACCAAACAAGGGCATTGCCAGAAGCCAGGAGGTCCCATTGGCTCGCTGCCTTCAAACTCTTGACATGAAGCTTTTCAGGTGGGCAACGTGCTTTGGATGGCGTCGATGGTAGACCAGTTGAAAGTTGTTGCGAGTCAAAGAATCGACCTGTCAGTCGTTTTCGTTTGTTTTTCGCATCTCAGCGAGACTTTACTTCAGCCTTCGTCAGCTAATTCTGACAGCGCCAGCCAACCCTAAGACGAGCCGACGTAGCACGGAGAAATAGCCAAGGGAAAAAAAAAGAAAAAAGAAGACTCGCTCAACGGTACGGAGCCGAGAAATTTCTCGACGAAGAATTGCCCTTCTTGTCGAATCTCTCCAACCAATAGCACTCCCATCCCCGTCATCCTGGCGCTTCAAGTTCCTGCAATGTCACCAAGACCTCGGAAAGTCATAAACACTTTTCATACGTGTCTGCCTGTCATAAGAGATGGTGACAGCGGCAACCAAAAGAAAGAAAACACTGTGGCCTAAGAGCGTTTCCATGAAAGTGGTAAACAGCAGGGTAAAAACGCCCTCAACGCTCCACTCCACCCCTGTCCACGCAAATGCTCTCACCATAGGGCAAGACAGCGGGGGGCGAGAACAAAAGCCACAAAATACCAGTAAGCTTTTTGCCCCCCATCCAAGTCTCTTTCCCTAAAGAAACACCGATACTACGTTATACAATGGCTTCCATCCCGTTGCCGTGAAATTTGAAATACGTCAATTTTTGCCGGCGAGGCTTGGGTCTAAGTTCATTTGAGATCTCTTGTCGATCTGTACATAGGTATTTTTGTAATAAGGCCGAAGGATCTAGGATCCGAGACGTAGATAGCACGCAGTAGTGTGTCTCGGCCTTCGCCTTGTGGGTACTTGTACACCGGAGACAGGTACAGCCACTCGCTCTAGAATGATCTATTCAAGTGTCATTTCCGTTGTCATGCGAAGGTGCAGAGATTGATATCTCAATGCTTGATCCACCGCCATTCCCTGGGATGTGTCTGATATTGGAACAGTCGAGGCCTGAGCATTTTCTCGCTGTCCAGGATGATAATCTATTCCCTGTCTATGGTTTAGGTGTTTCTTGTCAGCAGGGACTTGCACCGGGTCGATGGTATGTGCATGGAAGTCTATATATGAGTCAGTTTGTTGACTGAAGTCACAGGGTGGAGGGTCCAGACTGACTCCTACTGTAAGCAAAAACATGCCCGAAGAGCCTAGATTTGACGTCTATCTATGCAGAGCGACTAGTTTGACAAGGTTGAGTTGTTGGGCGAGCAAGAGGTACGACTGACATCTTGCACATGAGCATATACCGTGCGTGGTTGCAGTTGGGATCGACCCCATACCTAACATCATCCTCACGGCCGTGTTCAAAAATAACCTAAAAGACCCAGGCACTAGATAATGGATTCACCGTGCCTACTGGTGGAAGTCCCAGGAACAATACACGTGGTATGTGTTCCATGGGAGGAACAAATGATCCGTGGTTGGCATGAAGCAAATATAGAATTAAACCTTCTATGAACAAGCACCGATTCTACCTAGGAACAAAGAAAGGCCACAGAAACCAATCCCATGTAGAGTTGGAAGGAAATGTCTCTAACCCATTGCTTTTGTATCTGACGAATGCAAGTATATGACATGAAAGATGTCTTTTTGGTAATCATCATTATCAATCAGATCATACAGTACAAAGGATAAGAGGATCGGCCAAAAGGCAGGCCCGCCTGAGAAGAAGGAAACAATCCATCCAGAAAGTCGTAAAAGAAAACCGAGAAACGAATTTAAGTAGACCGCTTGGCGAACTCGACGCGGAGAATGAGGTGGCGGTAACCGACTAGAAAGAGAATGAAGTTTTAGTACTCTGAGGAAATTTCCAAAGCAGAAGCTGGAATAGTGTGAACACATACAGCCATCCACCTTCTCGCAAGCAAGCGCCGCATCGCCACGATCCGCATAGCTGATGAAAGCGAAACCCTTGGCTCTCTGGGTTTCCCGATCCCGAGCAAGGAAGACTCTGGTAACACGACCGAACCGTTCGAAGAGATCCCGCAATTCCTGTTCCTCTGCCAACTCGCTGACCTGTTTGAAGAAGAAAAAAAAATAGTCAGCACGGAACCGTAAAAAAAAAAAAAGACAAAAACCAATCGTAGTCCTTGCAACAAGACAGGAAGAGTAAAACATACGTTTGTAACTCTCAGAGTCGCCAAATCGTCCTTCTCGAAGCGACCACCCATCTTCTCGCCGCCGGCAGCACCACCCTTCCGCATGTGAGGAGGAACGTAGCTGGAGCCAGAGGCACCGAGACCACCCTTGTCCTCTTCCACATCGGCAGCACCAGCACCAGCGGTGCCCTCCTCGACGGGGGCCATGGTGTCCTTGAAGGGACAGCGAGCCGTGAAATGCTCTCCGGAACAAATACGACACTTGACCTTCTTGTCCTTGAGCTGGTCCTTCATGCTGCCCTTCTCGCCGCCGTCCTTCTCGGCCTCCTTGGCCTGTGCCTTCCAGTTAACGCTGGGACGGAAGACGATGTTCTCGCCGACGGAGGTGGTGTCGAAGGAGGGACCGGCGGCGTGGCCCTTCTCGTTTCCGAACTTTTCCCATTTGCGGCGTTCGGCGACCTGGGGGTTGACGTGTTCACGGACCACTGTGGTCTTAATCCGGCGGGTGACCTTCACTTTCTTGTTGTCATCGTTCAAGCGGTAGGAGATGACGGTCTTGGTGCCGTCTTTGTTCGCGATCACTTGTTGCGCGGGGAGCGCGGAGGGGTCATCGAATTCCTCATCGTCGGCCCAGTCGGCGCGGCTGCAAATGAAAAAGTTTTGTTAGACGGGAGTTTTTGAGGAATTTGATGGGGGTTGACTCACTTCCCAAGTTTAGACATGATGTGTGTAGTGGTGTTATTGACCTGCGGCTGAATTTCTGGATTTCTTTCAAAGGCGAATCCGTTGTGGATTTGATAATTTACTGTGGCGCTGTGGCTGGTGAGGTCACGTGGGGCCGTGATACCCCCGATTCTCTTTCTGCTGTCTACTGCCTCTTTTTCGGATGAATGAGAGCAAAATCAATTTGGATCTGATGCTATGTGGCAGGTCTGAGTATGCCAATACTTTTTGGAAGCCAAACAAATCCCTCCTCCTGGAACGCTGTTGCCCTAATATCAAATTTACATCAACCACCAGCCATACGAATTGCCTATCACAATTTCTCAGATTAAATGCAGTATGCTACGTATGTTAAGCAAATCTTCTTTCATGAAGCAATGTCCTATCTGCTCTTTTAACATGGCCCTATCTATATATAGACGCTAAAAACATGAGATGAGTAAGAGGCCTGTGGCACTGACGGCACGTCGATATAAACCATTATAATTCTTCCCTAAGAATGGCCATATCGGTAAGACTGACTGGAATTCGTCTTAACCTAACTTCTGTTGCTTTCAAGCTATAAAGACATCTATTCATTCACAATTACGAGGTCTAGATAAGAGAATGAAAGGTTCATAGCTCGCAATAATTTGCTTTCACTTCCAAGAATTTCATCCAAATTTGAATCAGCTAGTTGTGACAATGGCTTTTCCACCTTCTATCAGGCCATTTGCTATTTCCTAGATTCCTATGTAAGAGGACCTCAAATGTATGGGGCGTATCCCAGCCAAGCCACTGACACCAACTGTAATCCTGGGCGTTGATATGAAAGCTAGATTTGGAACGACGAAAAAAGTCCTCCAGCCATATTTTGGTGTCTTTATGCAGACAGAGATTAGAGCTAGTTCTACCAAAGGGCCCCAAGTGTGAGGAACCTGCTTTGGAGAGGTCGAAATTAAACCGATTTAGCACCTGGAGAGTCTTGGAGGTCTCATCAAACCAAAAAGTGGTTTTAATTCGAGTCTTCACCGATGGATAATTGTCAAAGGTACATTCATGGACAAAGTCGACAAAGATTTCCTCGCAGCCAATATTAGGATCAAGTTGCGTGTGTTGTTTTTGATAGTTCTGTTGAGCTCGATATGGAGAACCTGGATTTCGACATAGATATGATAATAGTTGATGTTTATAAAATGAAAAAGTAGAACAGGGGCAAATGTCGACCTGTCCCGCAAAGGGAGGGCGATGCCAAATTTGGTTACCTGAACGGCAAGCTTCATTTATGTGATTCAAGCTGAGCCATGACTGGATATTGCGCCACACAGAGCACCAATGGGGAATGGAGCACCAGGTGCAATATATCCAGCGTTTATTTTGAAGTCGAAGACGTAGGTCTGTTTTCTGTATTATTGATTCAAGTCTGGGTGCGGAAATCATGTGTTTCTGTTGTGTGTATATGGCATATATACCTTTACAACTGAGTGCGAAGCAAATTTGATCCGGGTGAATAAGCAATCGGAATATAGCTTCAACAATTTCCACAGGCACTTTCCGAAATTGGTTGGCCTTCAGTCGGGAGAAGTGATAGCTAGCGGGCATATAATCACGAAAAGCCGAAGGGCTAGGCATTATAATGAGTGTTTCAGTCGTGTGAAAGAAATAGCGCCAATATCCAGAAGAATACCGTCATCTTAGCCAGACTGCCCCAAGGGATTGTTTCATGACACGCGCTCGCGTCATAGACTTCACTATCCGGAACCTTTTTGATGAACAAGATAATTTAGTTCTTTTACATTTTCAGTTTCGCATCAGCAGCGGGACAATAAGATCATGCAGAATAGATACAACGACTCAGCGAGTTCAATAAGTGTGGGTTTAGACAAAGTAACAAGCTTATCATTTTAATATAGTATAGAAATGCTAGCTCTAAGTAGGAAGAAATATTGAAGGGTAAAATAAAGGGTAATAATAGATATGAAAAAAGTGAAATAGTCTAAGGAGGTGAAAATAAGTTAGTTTTAGACCGATTTAACTTAAAGTCAAATCGCCTCTAGATCATTTCGTTTCTAATACCCGAGTAGTGAAATGTGAGAGAGAGATAGACAGTAGGGATAATGCTTGCAACACTGAATATCTAAAAAGAAAGACAGATTGTTAACCAAGTGTCAAAAAACAGTATATTATGAAACCTCCAAGTTTAAAGCCCCTTTTCATCACTATAATGCGTATGCGTAGAAGAGAATAAAACCCAGCAATCAAAAACAAAGTCCACACATCTAGAATGCCTTCAAAGCCTCCTCCGTCCACTCCCACAATCTTGCTGCAAGCTTCCCATCCACGTCCAAAGCCACAGAATCCAAAGATCCCTCCATGAACTTCCCAACAGGCTCATAATACCCCCCATTAACAACCTCATTCTCCCCAAAATCCACAGTAGCAGCCCAAACCTGATTCAACGCTCCCTCCTCGGGCTTCACAAACCTCCACCAAGAAGTAGCATACACAACAGCGCGGTTTTTCCAACTCAACGAATCAACCAACCCAGTATTCACAATCCCAGGATGAACAGCCAAAACCCTAACCCCCTCCACCCTCTTCACAAGCTCACGCGCATAAAGCATATTGGCAAGTTTACTCTGCGCATAGCGCTGCCACGGCCCAAGAAAACACATATCCTGCCCCGACGCCAACGTGTCAAACCTGATTCCGCCGCGCGGGTGGAGAGCCCAGCCCTGCGAGGTGAGGATGACGATGCGCGGATCATCAGACGAGGCCTGCAGTGTTGGAAGGAGTTTCTTAATGAGCAGCGCGTGGCCGAGGTGGTTTGTTCCGAATTGGATTTCGTAGCCGTCGCTTGTCTGGCCTGGCGGTACGGCCATTATGCCTGCGTTGCACATTAAGATGTCTAGCCTCCAGGGTGGGGAGTGGGATGTGAAGGATTCGATGGTTTGGTTTATTGAGGGGAGGGAGGTGAGGTCGCATTTTATGAATGTTGTTTGGACAGATGGGTTGATCTGTTGGATGCTGGTTATTGTTTGTTGGGCGCTGGCCTCGTTGCGGCCGCTTATGTAGATGTGAGATGGGTTGTGTTTTGCCAGGTGGATTGCTGAAGTTGCGCCTAGGCCGTTTGTTCCTGGGCTTGGGTTAGGGTTGAGTTTGAGAGGTCTGGGTATGAAAGTGGTCTTTACCTCCTGTTATGAAGATTGATTTGCCTGTTAGGTCGGGGATATCCTTCTCTGGGTTGTAGTTGAATGGCATGTTTGCGGTATCAATTAGGGCTTAGTGGCGATAGTGTCTCCGGATCTAGATTGGTCAAGTAAAGTTGGTGCAACAAGTTTTGATCAAGGCTTGAGCTGAATCACAGTGTTTGGAGCAAATTTCACGCGGAGCTCTCGCCTATTTTATAGCCAAAGACTAGTTATCTCGAACTCGGAGTCTGATGGAATCCGCGTGGGAGGCAAGGCATGTCCCCATAGTCTCTTATTGGCCAATCAGAGCCCGTATTTTCCGAGCCATCCAACGACGCGCCTTAGCCTCGATCCAATGCGCCAAGCCGGCCCAGCATCGTCCCGAAACTTAGCCTCTGGTTCCTGCGATGAATTCCCCCGAGCCCGAAATCTCCTAACACATCTTCAGTATGGTTCAAAGTGATGACATCACGGAGAAAAGTACGCTGATTTGATTACAGATTATAGACACTGACAAGTTACGTGCACATCGGATTCAGCTCAAAAATAAAGTTATAATGCAAATGTTTTCTTGCTATGCAACTATCGGATATGCATCAAAAGCATACTGGCAACAAAGTGCCTTGTAATCAACAATCTAACCCCAGCCAACCCATTATGTACACTGTATAAACCAAATTTAACGACCAAAGCGACGAAGCTCAATTGGACGCAGACCGCAATATGTCGCGAAAGCAAAAGCAAAGCCAAGCTCGAAACCAACGTCACCACCGCCAGCGTGGCGAGCGACAGGGCCCTCCCACCATGTTTGGCTCATACCTACGACCACACCTGCGACACCGCAGCAGAATGCGACAGAGGCAGCGATGCCGAGAGGCAGCTTCTCAGCCTTGTCGTAGTCTTCAGGGCGGTAACCGGCAAATCCACGTCGGAAGATGAAGTGATCCGCGATGGCAATGGCGGAGTAAATGGCCAACCAGTAGGCGATCAGGTTCATGAAGTTTTCAAGGACGGTCTGGAAATGGGAGTATCCAGGGATGGCGATGGCAAGGGAGACACACGAGGCCAGGAAAGTCCAGATGAATCGGGGCACGCGTTGGGTGTACTTGTGCAGGACTTGGAGGGTCAAAGAAACCGAGTAGATGTTCGGGCAGTTGTTGGCGATGATGGACAGAGCCAGGATGACCAGACAGAACTTGCCAAAGCCGCCGAGTGGGGAAAGGACAGCATCGATGAGACCGCCGTTGAGCGAAGCTGCATAACCGGTGGCATACTTGTTATCTCCCCCATTGATGGTGGTGGCAGTCATCACGGCAATACCCAGGAACTGAGTGAAGATCAGAGGAATGATCAGGCCGAGCCATGCAGAGAAGAAGACCAGACGACGGCTCTGGGACTTGGGCTGGTACACAGTATAGTCGGCGGCGTAACTGGTCCAGCCAGTTGCGAAGCCGTAGACCGTAGATCCAAAGGAAAGACAGGAGCCCATTTCAGAAACACCGACTCCCATAGGGATGTTGTAGAAGTCACCTGAGTGAGCAAAGCAACCCAGCACAAAGAAGAACACAATACAGGTCGGGATCCAGCTCCAGTATTCATAGACGTGAACGATCTTGTATCCAGCAAATGTGATGAATAGTGTGACGAAGGTGATGATCAAAATACCGGCCCATCCAGGCACCGTGCCATTGACAGCGTTGAGAAGCTGAGCACCGACGATGGCGTTGGACGCGGACCATCCAACACAGGCAATAACGTTGAGGATGGCAACTTTAAGAAAACTGTCAGCAGTGCTCCCCAATACCAACTCCTGCCATATCCAACAGGCAACTTACTGAATTTCACAGCCCACCATCCAAACCAAAATCTCGAAAGCACCATCTGGCGCAATCCAAAGACCGGACCGAAGCACGAAAAGAAGCACACGGTCATAACACCAAGGAGGTTGAAGAAGAGGCACACCAAGATGGCATCCACGAAGCCGAGTGCGAAGATAGACTGTCCAAGTACACCGATCGCAAACGAGCTGACAACCATGTTTGCGGCGAACCACTATGTTTGGTCAGTGGGACGGGGCCTTTAGGCCATGGCAATCATGCCAGGTAATTGCAGAAACACACCATGCTGCCGATATTCAGATAGGAGGTATCATTCCGTTCGCTGTCTGGCACTCGTTCCACTCCACGCTGCTCAATGTTGAACTTTCCAGCGAACCGTTGAATCTTGGCGTAGAGCGAGTCACCGTATTCGAAGCTTTCGCCGGGCACGGCGCCGTCGCTGGCATTGTCGAACATGTCATTGCCGCTGTTGACCTCGGAAGCATTGTTCACCTGAGGAGCCTTCTCGAGGTCCTCGTCGGAGCTGCGAAAGGCTTTTGCGAGTTTGGGAAGCATGATGGAGTGTGTTTCCTCACCAGTGAAGGAGAAGAAAATGGGAGAGGTAGACAAGGGGAGGGATGAGTTGTAGATCGAAGAGCTGGTAGGCTCAGCGAGACCCGAAATCAGAATGGAGGATAGACAGGAAAGAAGAGTCACATCTTTTTCTTCTCTTTTTTGTCTCCACCGCGAGGGACAGGCCGTACATATAGTGTCGCGAGAATTCTGTTGCGCGTTGGGCTCCACAGTGGCAAAGATAGCCCTGTCGCGTGGGCAAAGATCCCATAAATTCCAGAACACAAGCAAATGACAAGCCTCGGAGCCGCTCTACCGGACTCTGTCGACCAATGAAAATTCCGCCCGTGGCTCTAGCTTATCAGCAACCCGAGGGTTTTGGCGTTCGCTTGCTTCACACTTGCTTTACGCTTGCCGCAGATTGGCCGAAGTGGAGTGGTTTCACTGCAGTCGGACCCCGTCGGAACGATGATAAGAACTGTGCCTGCTATCGATGACTGTAAAGCTTCACAGCCAGTGTATCTCTCCGCTCATCTCCCCGGCTTTGCTAACTGTTCTGGTTCTGGTCCGGCTTATCAGTGCCAGGCCTTGGCTGAACGATCACCGCCTGCCATTGGCGTAGACGCGTAGATTTCGTCTGGGTTGTCTGAACTCATCCGCAATCAGCATCAGGCCAAGCTGCTCTGCTGCATGTCAGACGGTAGACGCCGAAATACATGAAGCTTGACGGTCATGGCAAGGCTTGTATTGCCTTGGCAAGAGCCGTCGCGACAGCCCATCGAGGCCCCGTCCTCAGGAGTCCGCGGTCGCTGACCCCAGATGGGACAAGAGAGACCTTGTTCAGGATCATACACATCCATTTCGAACAGAGGGCATCCCTCCCTGCTCCCTGGAACTTGGGGAGGACCGTGAGTAGCAGAGAGGAAGAGAGTCCGAGTGCCTGTGTTCTCGATGAAGCAGGTTCAGCCGCGTGTCTGATAACTGCGATCTCGTTACATGAACATTGTACGTCAACCTGGGAAGTGAGCAACAGGGTTATCCCACAGGCACAAGACGGAGATCCCCGTATTGGACGTTATTGGTAGATCGACAACCCCAGACCCGCAGACGTTGAAGTTGATGGCCCTCGACTTGGATATCTACTGTATACAGGACGGTCTCAGCAAAATCCCCCAGGCATCTATTGGTTGTGCTTCGTATCCCCCCTATCCAGCTCCATCATCGCCCCTGTCAGGCATCCTCGAATGACGTCTAATCTTACATTTCCGACCCCCTCCACTCGTGTCGATCAATGATTCGGTATCCTCCGAGAGGTCGGAGTCTTGCTATCTCTGGGCTAAGTTCAAGATCTTGCAGAGGTTCGATCTCTCGGACATGTTCGGTCTCAGATCAATGGAGAGCACGCTTAGATTCCCCCCCCCCTTCCCACTTTAGGGCATCTTAGACTATTGCCCTGCATTGAAATCCACGTGGCAGGGAGCCCGGGGCGACATTGGAGATTTGTTGATCCCCTGACATGTCGTTTCCATCCACACCCAGTGAACCGAGGATATGCTACCTTATGTCTCATTACATGTTGACTTCAGGCAAGATACTGAAAAGAACGCCACCGTCCAGAACTGGCTTCCTCAAACAGCGATCTCAGCGCAATTCAGACAACAATACTCTCTTCTTGGATGTATTCTCGCACCCTACCCCATCCCCATGCGCCTTCCTCGTATTCATCTGGCGGCCTTCCGAAATGACTCCCTGATACTTTCCCCCAGCCGATAACATGGAGGGATGACGAAAAGACACCAACGCCCCCTGAGGCAACATACATGGAATTAGGGCTATAGTGACTCGATGAGACACCGCTCATGGCTATACGAGTCTACCACCTCAGTCAAAAGAGTCACCCCGAAATGGTCTTGGCAGCTGGAACTCGGCCCAAACTAGACCGAGGGAGACAGAAGAAGCTTCAAGCCCATATCCAAGCCTGTCTTGTGACTGAACACCCTGGACTCAGTTATCCCACCAATTATGCAGTAACCCGGGTCGGAGAGAACCCCGACTGTCCCAGTAGGGGTATGATTCTCATATAGACTGGAACAACTGACAACAAAGCCAGGTATCTTCCCCGCTTCCCCTCCTTTTGAAGAGAGAGCTATGTATCCAAATAAATAGGAAGACATGGCGTTCATGTGCCGGAAAGCTAGTTGTATTCACCACCACGTTGATAGGGGTACACATTGACCCAACATCCTTCATCGAACACCCCAATACAAACCTCCAACCCACCTGCCCACTATGGGAGACATGGTATCACCCAAGAAACGGTATGCCCTAGTAGGCACAGGAGGAAGAGCAGGACTCTTCTACACGACCATCGCAAAAGACTACAGCAAGACAAGTGTTCTAGTAGCTCTATGCGATACCAACCAGACCCGTCTGAACTACGCGAAATCCAAAATCGAAGCCCTAGGCCACTCGCCAATCCCAACCTACCCAGCCGCCGACTTCGACAAAATGATCGCCGAGACAAAGCCCGACGAAGTCATCGTCACAACAATCGACCGAACCCACCATACCTACATCGTCCGCGCCTTGGAACTGGGCTGCAACGTTATCACCGAAAAGCCAATGACAATCGACGTGCCCCAATGCAAAGAAATCCTCTCGGCCGTCGAGCGCACCAACCAGCGCGTCCGAGTGACCTTCAACTACCGCTACGCACCGCACAACACCAAGATCTTCGAGATCATCCGCTCCGGCGCAATCGGGACTGTGACAAGTATCCATTTCGAGTGGATGCTGAACACGTCGCACGGCGCGGACTATTTCCGGCGCTGGCATCGGGATGCGCGGAATAGTGGCGGCTTGCTGGTTCACAAGTCGACGCACCACTTCGATTTGATCAACTTTTGGTTGCAGTCCAGACCGAAGACGGTCTATGCTCAAGGAGACTTGAAGTTCTATGGCAAAAAGAATGCCGAGGAGCGGGGTGTCACGCAGTTTTATTCCAGGGCTCGTGATAGTGACGTTGCGAAGGACGATCCGTTCGCTCTTCATCTCGCTGATAATCAGCAGCTCAAGGCGCTTTACCTGGATGCTGAGCATGAAGACGGTTACTTCCGTGATCAGAGTGTTTTTGGTGATGGGATTAGTATTGAAGATACCATGAACGTCCTTGTTCGGTATGAGAATGATGCCGTCTTGACCTACTCGCTCACGGCATATGCGCCATGGGAAGGGTTCCGTGTTAGTTTCAATGGAACCGGGGGGAGATTAGAGGCGGAAATTGTTGAGAGCAGCTATGTGAATTCTGGTGGTGATCAAGCCAAGGAAGCTGCCGCTGAAAGTATCAAGCTGCTGTTGCGGCCGTTGTTCCAGGAGCCGCGGGAGGTTGAAATTGTGCAGGGTGCTGGTAGTCATGGCGGTGGTGACAATGTGTTGCTGCGTGATCTGTTCGGGGATGTTGAGCCTGACGAGTATATGCGGGCTGCCAGTCATATTGATGGGGCTGCCTCTATATTGACTGGTGTTGCTGCTAATCGGTCTATTCGAACCGGGCAAGTTGTAACTGTTAGTGATATTCTTAGCCTGCCTTGAGATGACTTGATATCTCCGGATAGATAGAAGATTAGATATTATTCTAGATAGAAATTGAAATTGAACATGATTCCACACCAGAGCGTCCGAGTTCATGAACCTCACTTGCATAGGGGAAACTATCACACCTGACTCTTCCAACTTTTGACAGTTTCCCCCACACTCCCCGCAAAACAGAGGCTGATCGATTCCGGATAAATCGGGCTAAAGCAACGCGAGAAAACACGGGGAAAGTCAAGAAATGCGGGGAAACGCCAAGAACAGCGAACTGGGACATCAGGTTCGTCTCTGATATACAGCGCAAGGGATGAGAGGATACCCTCATCGCGTAAAAAAGAACATTGAACATTCCGAGCTCACCTGGTCTGACAAGGACCAGACTATGCAGGCTCTATACAGCATTCCACGGCATGAAAAGCCCAAACAGTCTTCGAGATATGCGTGTCTAACCATCCCATCGAGCCTAGCTCATTCTTGAACCACCGATGATAGGTGCAAAAACTGCATTAAAGGCTGATCTTGTGCCGCTACGCCTCCAGCTTGGCATCGGTGGTGCACCGATCTACCAACTGATGTCCTCATGTTCTCTATTCAATGGTCCAGTAGCAAGGGAGAGGAGCCAAGTTCAAAGAGAAGCGAGAGATACAGAGAAGCCGAGGTTTCTCCAGGGCTTTATCATTCAAATAGCTTGTATTTCCCATTGTCTATACCTCGCTTTGCAATCCGCCCAAAATGGCTACCTCCACTCAGGACGAGATTTCCCCAGTCCAGAATCAGGAACCAAGCAATCATCCAACAAAGACCACACGCTCAAAAGCCGTTGAATTTCTGGAAAGACATGCTAACGAAGAAACTTCTTTTACGTATGAAGAGGAGAAGGCTGTTCTTCGTCGCATCGATAAGCGTGTCCTGCTTCTCCTCTTGTGGGCTTATTTCTTTCAACAACTGGACAAAAGTACTCTAGGGTATGGAACATCTCTCTGAATGCGTTTGTGTTATCAGTCACTTACCGTCATATCTCAATGATTAGTTATGTCTCCATCTTCGGCATCTCAGAAGATGCACACCTAGTCGGCAAACAATACTCCTGGCTGGGATCAATCCTCTACCTCGCCCAACTAGTAATGCAACCACTAGTAGCCCTAATCCTTGTCAAATTGCCAAGCGGCAAAGTCCTCGCCAGCGCCATCTTCTGCTGGGGCTCAGCCCTGACAATAATGGCAGCCTGTACAAATTTCCCATCTCTCCTGGGCCTGCGATTTGTCCTTGGGTCATTTGAATCCTTCATTGCCCCATGTTGTGTGGCCATAACCCAGATGTGGTGGCGACGAAGCGAACAAACACTGCGTACGAGTTACTGGAGCGCCATGAACGGCGTCACCGCAGTCATCGGCAGTCTGGTCACATACGGCCTTGGACACGTGCACAGCCATACCCTCTACCGGTATCAGACTATCTTCATGTTCTGCGGACTGGTGACGGTCGTTTACTCATTCCTTGTTTTCTGGCTCATGCCCGACTCGCCCATGGAAGCTAAGTGTTTGAGTGACCGCGAGAGAGTTATTGCCACGGAACGCTTGCGCGCAAACCAGATGGGCATTTCAACCCAGGTATGGCGCTGGGATCATGTCACAGAGGTGGCGCTTGACCTGAAGACGTGGATCTGGTTTATTGCTACAATTTCTATCTCGATTGCAAGTGGTGGTATCTCAACTTTTGGCTCGCTTATTGTCAAATCTTTTGGGTTTACGAGCTTCCAGAGCATTTTGTTCAATATTCCTTTCGGCGTGATTCAGGTTCTTGCTATCCTGATCACTGGATGGTTGGCCACCTTGACTCAACGCAAAGGCCTCGTAATCGCCGGTGTCAGTGTGTTGCCTGCTATCGGGACGATCCTGATGCTTACAGTTCCTCGGAAACAAAAAGGTGTTCTCCTCTTTGGTTACTATCTAGTGAGTCCTTACAAACCCCGTCAACCTTGGAAGTATGAACTTCGGTCACTAATCGGGGCACGTCAGGTTTCAACCTTGGCAGCTATTACTCCGTTGCTATATGCATGGTCAGCACAGAACACCGCCGGTGAAACCAAGAAGAAATGCACCTCCGGTATGGTGTTTATCGCCATGTGTGCTGGCAATGTCATCGGGCCGCTCCTTTACTCTACGGAGGATGCCCCGTTATACAGAACCGGTCTGATCGCCAATCTCGCCATGTTCGTGACAGTTGGTGCGGTCTGTGGGTATGTATTCTCATCATGTCCAGATTCAACCCATTCTCGTATTAATACCTGTCAATAGATTTACGCCCTTCTACCTGATGATCTTGAACAAGAAACATGAAAAGCGCCGTCTGGAACTTGGAAAGAGTGGCCTAGTAGCTGACATGTCTATGCTTGGTAAGGATCAGTTGAAAAACAGCAAGGCGATTGAAGTGGAAGACATTCGGGATCAGAAAGTCTCTGTGGAGGAGGATAATGGTCTTCATGATATGACGGATCTGAAGAATGAGGACTTTGTTTACGTTTACTGAGAGATGATTGTATAGGTAGGAACTTCATATTTTAGTCAATTTATACCGTTTTTGTGTTTCATACAGCGTTGAAATTGAGCGACAGGATTTATCGTTGCGTATATAGCACCGAGAATTAAGACTTGGGCTGGTCTAGAAACTAAAGAAAGTCTCAAAGCCAGTGTGCAATCCCATCCATCATTTGACGTCTAATAATGTTTCGATATCTTTTCATAACGAGGATCTTTGGTGATAAGAATTTGGATTGTCTTCACTTGCTACAGATAATAATACACTTTGACTTCAGAATGGCGGTTAAAGAATACTTCGAATGTACCCTGTCCCTTCTCATGAATGTCGGACTCTCTTCCTTCCTCTTTCCTCTTCCGAGGATGGCGAGAGGGTCTCATGTTCAGACGACGTCCAGTCTGGCTCGCCCGGCATCGTCCAGATCGGGTCTTCTTCAATTCTAGCGCGAACCACATCGGACGGTGTGCCCTGATCTATCTCCGGTTCCTCCTCATTTTCTTCATTTGATTCCTGCGGCTGTCCGTCTTCGGATTCAGATAAGGAAGAATTACTATCATCGTCCATTGGGAATTCAGCTGCACCACTTAGAGCCAAAACCCGAGTCAAAAACCATTGCAACTCCACAAGTTCCATGGAAGGCAATGGATTTTCTTCTGGATTCTTGGTAGTGATGGTGATAATGTCTCTCGAGCGAATCTCCATGTTTGTTTCATAGTTCCACAATCTTGAGCGACTCTGAGCACCGTAGAGAACTGATGGAAAGACCGGAGGATCTATCAATTTAAGTCGTGGCTTGCAGACTACCGGAAGCCAGAAGAATTGCAGCGTCATTGTCATTCTGTCTTCAGATATTGCGATGGGCTTCAAGGCGAATCGAGCCATCCGCCACAGTGCGTGCGCATTGGAAGAAAGGGTTATCATGCTTTCACAGGGCGTACAAAAAGAACTCTGGTGATCGACAGCGTCCTGCCACCCCGAGACCCTTTCGTGGTTCCAGAAAATACCGATCCATCTCCAGCAGTAAGTGTAGAACTCAAATTGACTCCCGACTTCGGGTTCGTCTTCGTGGCTATTTCCAGGGGCCTTTCCTTCTCCCAGAGATCCTGCATAGATGCATGCAAGCTCAATTGGCTCGCTGCATTTTGTCAGGATACACTGCTCTCCGTCTCTGTCAAGACACTGGCCATGGTCAATAGGTTGGAAAGTTTCAACAGTTATTTGATCAAGAAGAGGCTTACATTGTATTCGATAGTTCTCTTGAGGATGACTTCAGCTGGTAGACCACCCACATGAGGAGCTCTTCGCTCCGCTGGCCCACAAGCAATGTAATTGGTTCGGGTAAGTCCATGGGGAGTAGGCGGCTCAGGGCAAGAAAGACGCCATCCCGGAGGTTTCCACCAACCCAGCTTGAACAGTTCATCTTCGGTTTTTCCTTTGTTCCAAGGGCAAGGAGCTGTTGCCCCTGTAGAGTATAAGTAAGCCAATTTACCTCGCAGCTAGTGTGGCAGTACTCACAATCTTGGATACGATCTCGAAGTAGTATTCCTTTGTATGTACTCAAGATCTCTTGGACCTCAAAAAGGCTTGATGATGCTGCGTTGATCAACCCCTCAAGTTGCGAGAGATCTGCAAGCCACAGGAGCGCGTAAGTAGTTGACCGAACATGGTCTTTCTCTGTGACCCATGCGAGTCGTCGGATCAACGCCCGTCTGACCGGATCGTTGGCCTCTGGTATAGCCTCAGTGACTAAGAAATCGGACATGATTATCGCATCAACAGAGGATAAGCTGGTGAGAAATAAACAGAAAGCACCGCAGCAGAGGAGGAACGAATCTACTTCGGTTTAAGGTTCGGGCACCTTCCCCATTCAAGCTAGACTGGTTGGAAAGCCTCATCTCATATATTCATGGCTGGTCATGTTGAGTCGTTCAAATTTCGATTTGCAGTACATGTAATGTATAGCATCTGGTCAGGATTATAAGGGGCATTTCGAGAGATCCCCAGAAACATAAGTTAGCTCCAAGCATGCAGGGCGTTGGCACAAACTCAAAACATAGCCTCCTGTGTAAAGGTAAATATTATATCAACAATGCCTCATGTAAGCCACACAGAACATGTACTTTAGAAAACAGTATATCCGGGCGTAAGTCTTTGCCAGTGTGGCTGGATATGTCGGAGCTCAATATTTACATCGCACTTTAGAGCCACCGCACATACACGTCATTATCTCTGTAATTTGTGATGCCCGTGATACTACAAAGAGAATCTTTTACACTATGTTGCACAGCTGTTATGGTTTCATTCGCTATCTCAGAAAAAAAAAGAAATTATGAATAGCCGAAGAACAGTGCCATCTGGACACATATATATATCGTGACAGAAAACCCACCCCAGCCCAGAACTGTTTCTTTTTTTCAACTCTGATTAAATCGCCGGAAAACAGTTCTTATCTCATTCATCATGGAAAAGACAAGATTGATCGATCCGGCTGTAGTAGCCCAATATTGCGAAACGAAATTTCCTGTCCGAGTGACCAAATACAAAGATTTGGCAAACGAAGTGTCTGAACGCTTCATCGCAAAATGGAGTCAAGAAATTGGCTTTGATCTGAAAGGATCTCAAAGTCAATATGGAGGCTGGGCTTCTCTTGTATACCCAGACTCTGGGGAGGAAGAGATCATAGCGTTGACCAAGCTCGGGGAGTTTTACTTTGGGAACAACGGTCAGTGTTCTACTTTCATTAGTCTAATAGTTGAAACAACTTGACTGACACATAAATCCAGACTATTCAGCAGCTTTGGATACCGCAGAGGTTGGTTCAAGACATCATGACAGACTGATATCAAGTTCATTAATCACAGGTAATCGACAAGACCATCAATGATCAACAGGGCCAATCTGTCAATCATGGCAGTAAAAAAGTCCTGTCTTCCGTGATGTGGAACTCTGCACTTCATCAGTTCCAATCCGAGATATTTCTGGACATGTTCTCTTCCAATCAAAAAATAGGAAGACTTCAGATGCACAACATCAGTCGGATGTTCGAGCGTGTCCCTCCGGAAATGGACGGATTCGCCCTCTTGGATACTCTACTGAAGTCAAGATTTCAGGGTGGACCGTTTGAGTAAGTTCTCAGCTGTGTTTTCCTTATCGTTCAATGCATACGAGAGACACATTGACCTATTCCAGCTGGACCGTGACCGCAATTGTCTTTGCATCGGGTCTCAATCTATCTCTCACGGATCTCAAATCAGTATCCTCAATCATCCAGCCAATTGTCGCAGCCTGTGCATTGGTAAATGATCTGTATACGTTCAACCGGGACGTTCAACTCAAACTAGATCAAAGCGGTTACATGAAAAACACTGTGTGGAACTTGATGAAAGACTTCAGTCTCACCGTACAACAGGCCAAGGAATTTCTGGTCAGACAGAAGATTATTCCCTTGGAGCAAGAGTTTATCAGGAAAAGACAAGACTACCTGCGAGAAAACCGGGTATCGCGGGATTTGGAACTATTTTTGGAAAACTTGCAGTACATGCACTCTGGTAATTGGCTTTGGAGTGCTACCTGTCCTCGGTTCAAAAATCTGACCCTCAATGCTTCCATTGGATCTTGTCTTGAAGATTCGGCAACTATCTGTGCTACTCTGCTATCAAAGGCACGGCCCGGCCCTCAGTCAACTGATCATGGCGCTATGGACGGGGGAAGAGTGGCAAGGGACCCTGATATCGATGTCTGTGATAGGACTGAACACATGCTATAGACATTTGCTAACATGAACCCTTCCTGTTAGTTCCTCATGGGTCCGATTGAATACTATCGATCCATGCCTTCGAGAAACCTCGCTGCTATTATCATCAACGCATTAAACCCATGGCTGAAGGCGTCCGAGGCGTCAATAATTCAGATCTCGAAGATCATGCGCCATGTTTTCGACAGCTCTTTGATGCTGGATGATATTCAAGATCACTCAACAATGCGCCACGGCTTCCCAGTGGCCCATGAGATATTCGGCGTTTCACAGACGAGCAATGCCGCTAGCTATTTGTTTGTTCTTGTCTTCGACGAGTTCTTCAAGCTCCAAAATCCGACTTTGAGTCAAAGATTTCTTGGTTAGTTCTTACATGCCTTTTGTATCAGAGGACTTTGCTGAATAGATGATCCAGGCGAGCTGAAAAATCTACACATTGGCCAGAGCCTCGATCTTCATTGGAGTCACTCTGGAAAATGTCCAACTGCTGAAGAATATCTTCACATGGTTCGCTTGAGTAAGTTTGTTATTACTCAATGTGCCTTGAAAACACATGTTGCTGACAATTTGAGCAGAAGCCGGTGGATACATCTGTTTGCTTGCCCAAATGATTTATGCAGAGGGCACAAACTCCAGGCCAGTCCATTTGTTCTAGGAGGAATGGCCGAAGAGGTCTAACCTTTCCACAGTGCCATCGACTGCGACGAACTCATTGAATTGGTGATTCTCACTGCGCAGTACATGCAGATTCGAGATGACTATGTGGATACAACTACTTCAACAGGAATGGTGAGTATAGAAATTGCATTACAAAGTATACTACAAGGCGCTTTGCTCTAACTCAACCTAACAGATCTACGAGAAAGTTGTCAACGGTGAGGACCTAGATGAAGGGAAGTTCTCTCTTCCAGTCATCCATATGTTTTCGCATTCCCCCAAGCGCCAATTGGTGGAAGCCATCTTCATCGAACGGTTGCGACAAGGAAAAATGCCAATGGAACACAAACGACTTGTTTGGGACGAAATGGAAAGCGTGGGTAGCGCCCAGTACTGCAGAGCAATTATGGAAGACATCAGAGCCAAAGTCCTCACCAGACTTGAGAAAATTGAGGAACAGTTTGGAGAGAAGAACTACAACTTCCGCTTGATATTGGAGTTTTTCTCAATGGAGAATTAGTGGAAGATGTGGAGGAAGGGGGTATACTTTTCTTGTAATATTCAAGAGCAAAGAAACAGATTGAAGAATAAATCATCCTCTGCCATTCATAATCATATCTGTGCGTTATGGCATCTCATATCCTACCTCTATACATCTCACTGGGTATGAAAATATCTCGCTATATGTCCAAAATTCAGCAATCACCTAAAACCTCCAGTAAACACCACCCTAAATTTCTCATCAAATCTCCGTTCAAGCCATACCCTTAACAACCTGCTCTTGTCTCTCCTGCCAAACATTCTTACCAGAGCAAGAGCAAACCATCTTGTCATTATCCCAGACACCAGCACTGCGCGCAATAACACCAACCAGGGTATTCTCATCCTGGCGCGAAAATGGTCCCTCAGCAGTCTTGGACACAACCATACTCCGACCAATCAATTCCCAAATAGCCACAGGTCGGTCCAAGAATACATTGCCGCGACCCTTCTCATCAACATTTACACTTCCCAAGATACCGCGGCCCTCCTTGGGTGGTTCAGCAGCGGCATCAGAGCCAAGAACCTTTGTCTTGACAGCCTCCCAAAGACCACCGGTTGACTCGGCACCTCGGGAGATATCTCCAGCTTCACGAATAGTAGCAACATATTTGCCTGGCGAGAGGCCATTAATTGTCAAGTCGACGAGGGTCATATTCGAGGAGACCTGGACCATACGAGCCAGGCCGCGGATCTTATCTGAGACACTTGTGCAGTGGGTTTCGAGGATGCAGACAGCGGAGCCTATTCAAATGGAGGGATCAGCCAACGTATATCAGGGATATTTGAACAGTGATAGGCTTGAAATGCGGGGATCCATACTGTTTGTTGTGCCGCTGCCGCGGAGGATAGCATCCCGGCCGGTGCTTTCAATCGCGGAAACGATGGAACTGGGAGGGGCGGTGCCTTCAATGAAGACTAGTTGGTCTTTGAGGTTTGCTTCTACCTTATTGATACCTGTCGAGAGGTCAGACCGGAGAATCGCGGATTAGAGCCAGGGTCCGAGGGATGTCTACCTTCCAGATTGTACAGGGAGCTGGAAATAGACTTGACACAGCCCTCGCAGGTCATAGGGACCGCAAAGGTCGTCTATCATTGAAGAGCACATCAGCATGAGGGCCTATTGAGTCACAGCGCAGACAGACCTGGAATGGTTCGATCATGGCGGGGAGAGTGTAGATCCGGCGTCGTAGGTAATGGAGATCTGTGATGTGCACAGGTGAAAAGCGCAGTCGAATATCAGAAAAGCAAGAATCCCTCGATATGTCCAAGAAGAAGAACTCCTGCCGTTAAATCGCAAGGCGGGGCGACAATTCGGATTTCAAAGCGAAGGAACTCGGCCCATTTCTGATCTCCAACGTCATTCCGAATCTTCCCCTACCGCATCCCTGTCGCGTCGGCGAAAATGGCCTCCAGATGGGCAAATGACGACCCCGAGACTGAGGCAATCATCGCTCAACAAAAAAGAGAAAAGGAAGAAAAGCGACGCGCCAAGGCAGAGAAACAGCGGAAGCTCGACGAAGCCAGCAAAGCTCAACGAGCTCGGCAAGACGCTCACAATGCACAGGGCCCCAATGGCGACTCTGGGCCTCCGCAGAAACGACGGAGACTTTCGAATGACCAAGATGCAGCTTCGAGCGATGCGCAGGTAGGCAGGGTCGACAAGGAACAGAAACAGTCGACGCTGTTACGGTTCCCGGTTGGGGAATGGGGGCCCTGCAGACATGTGGATAACTTCGAGAGATTGAACCATATCGAAGAGGGCTCTTATGGATGGGTGTCGCGCGCGAAGGATATCTCCACGGGGGAAATCGTTGCGCTAAAGAAACTGAAGCTGGATAACGCGCCGGACGGGTTCCCAGTCACAGGACTGCGGGAGATTCAAACGCTGATGGAGGCGCGACATGCGAATGTCGTCTATCTACGCGAGGTAGTGATGGGAAACAAGCTGGACGAGTGAGTCCCCCTACCACAGATCTATGACAGACCCAAACATGCTAATCAATTTGTTCTCAACAGTGTCTTCCTTGTAATGGACTTCCTCGAACACGACCTTAAAGCCCTCCTCGACGAAATGCGCGAACCATTTCTCCCATCGGAAATCAAAACTGTTCTCTTGCAAGTCGTAGGAGGCCTCGACTTCTTACATGCACAATGGATCATGCACCGTGACCTCAAAACCTCCAACCTATTAATGAACAACCGTGGCGAGATCAAAATCGCTGACTTTGGCATGGCCCGCTATTACGGCGACCCGCCACCAAAGCTAACCCAGCTGGTCGTGACACTCTGGTACCGTGCACCAGAGCTGCTTCTCGGCGCAGACAAATACGGCACGGAGATCGACATGTGGAGCATTGGCTGTATCTTTGGCGAGCTACTCACCAAGGAACCCCTCTTGCAGGGCAAGAATGAAGTCGATCAGGTATCCAAGATCTTTGCGCTGACGGGCCCGCCAAACTCGCAGACATGGCCTGGTTTCCGCTCACTGCCCAATGCCAAATCGTTACGGCTGCCATCGACGTCGGCTGCTGCTTCTTCTGGTAGTCTGCCTTTGTTGCCTCGGTCTCGATTCCCTTATTTGACGAATTCTGGGTTGGGTCTTTTGTCCGGGCTTTTGGCGTTGAATCCTTCGTCACGTCCTACGGCGCAGCAGTGTCTTGCGCATCCGTATTTCCGGGAAGATCCACGACCGAAGCCCAAGGAAATGTTCCCTACTTTCCCTTCCAAGGCTGGAATGGAGAGGAAGAGGCGTCATCATACGCCTGAGGCTCCGAAGAGGGGCCAGGAAGCACCCGAGCTGGACTTTGCGGGTGTGTTTGGCGGTGCACCTGGTGGAGATACAGGTGAAGCAGGTGCAGGATTCACTCTCCGGTTGGGATAGTCTGATTTCGCTATAGTGAAGAAGAGATGAACAAACAATAACGAACAGTTGATCAACTACCCATCATTTGACTACGAACCTGGCGAGCGGAAGCCTATGATATGGATTGCAAAAATGGATCACTGCCTTGGAATTCCACGTCGAATTGAAAACATCTAAGAATACAGTATTCCACAAATGGATAGAGGGTAATAAACAACAACATTGAATCCGCGGTCCTTTTTGAGAAGCTCAGATGCAATGCATCAACGAACGACTTCCACCAATCATTTTCATTCTACCAATGAGCGTGACTCGGCAGTCCGCGGTATTCAATATCATACATCTCTGATTCAACTTGTTCGTCTGTTCCACAGGCACTATGTGATGCAAACTGCAGAGACATGTTTGATGGGAACATAACCTCAGTCATCTCCCGATTTCGAATGGGAGAAGTCCAGTTCGAGCTTGAGCAGCTATGGGCACTGTCTTCCCTGGTTTCCTTGCAAGAATTTCTGAGTGGCTGATTGCCTCCGTCATAGTAGTGAGTGTTAGTCTTTCCGTCAACTAGGTAATACTCGTTTGCACCTAGTGTCGAAGTTGGGAACAGAACTTCACTGTCAATCGGTGACCATGGATTACTTGACATTGATGTCATTGATGTCATTTCCGCCGATGTACGCTCCGGTGATGTACTATCGTCGGCGTAGAGGCGTGGATACGCATGATCATCTTGTAGGGATTGGAACATACAATGCCCTGGCTCCACATTAGAAGCCCAGTACTGAGAATCTCGGTTCCGGTGATCGAAAGACAGTGCTCGGTAGCTTGTACGATTTGATTGGGTCACGCTGTGTCCTTCCATATCCTATTCTAGAGAGTTAGAACGTTATATCTGGATTTGAATTAATACTTACAGTCGACAAAGACATGTGAAGGCCAAATGAGTATCGGTTCCCTGAATCCCTGGAATTTGCCGGGGGTATTCCGTGCAGCATCACTTCGTCGATGGTATTAGAAGAATGTGCGAACTCTTGCGATCCATTGTCAAAATGCTGACGATCCAGATCGTTAGCAAAAGATGGGGTTGAGTGATTCAGTGGTTGCAATTCTTCCATGTCTGAAACATCCACAATAACACTGGATGTTTGCGGTGATTCCAAGATGAGGGTATCTTGATCATGCACTTCATATGAAGGTAAATCTCCATGTGCATTGTCTCGAGTTACGGTACATTGTGCTGAGTCTGAGCAAATTTGTACCTGAGAAGTGCATATGTCTTCTTCAGTGGGAAGGGTAACTTGACTTTCACGGGGCTCCCTCAACCACTGCTCCAGCATCTCTTGGTAGATTCCAGGGAACGCAATTTCCACTTCTGCGGAGCATTGCCTCGATATGGGGATTGATGCTAGATTTGTCGCGGTGTTTGCAAGTCCCTCTTCCGTAACTCGCGACGGATAATGTCTGACGTGATCCCCTGAGCGTCTTCTATGAGTGCTAAGATGACGGAAGATGCTAGGAGCCGTACTTTTGGAAGATATTGAAGACTGTCGACTTTCGGATTCTCTGTTGCCAAGCATCTCTTGTTGAATAGCCAGGTCATCGCTCACACCTGACACTGGATCTATTTGGATTTCACTGCCTTGTACTAGGTGTTCTTCCCAGGAAGACTGAGCATCATCGACTCCATGGACTGACACATCGAGCTCTTGATTGATCGAGATTGCGCCATCCCATGGTGATGCTGTCAAATCATGAAGCAAAATACAGTCGTCAGCAGCGCGATCATCCAATTGTAGTTCTAAATGGCCTGGCATAGCCCTGGTGCTTTGGGTCATCGTCCCTGGAGGTTCATCATCAACGAGGTTACTGCTTGTAGAGGGTGACTCGGTCGGTTCTGTCAGAGACGATTCCACAATAAACATCAAGTCTGGGCTTCGGTGCACTCTTATGATAGGGGATGCACTTGGAGACGTCGCAGAAGGTGCTGCTTGTAGCCCAGATACAGAATCACTGTCCGATGCATCATCGGTCCGGCTGACTTCCATCTCGTGAACTTCGAGGGTTGGCCATGGAATACCAGTTCGATAAATCTCAGTACCGAACACCAAGTCGTCTTGTGTATCCATACTGTAAACTGTCGGACGAAGACTATGCTGCTCTCGCTCTCGTCTCAAAGCAGCAGGGCTCACAAACCGTTCCTTTTTAGCGGCGTCTCCAACCTTGTCATCTTCAACAGTTGAATGGCGTAACAGGCCTGCTCTTAATGCCAAGAGACGAGAACGTACCCTGTGAAATGATTTCCTAGGGATGCTTTGAGTCCATTGTTTGCGCTTTCGGGGTTCCGACGAATTCAATGATCGTTGGCGATGGAGAGAAAAGGGCTGCGCCTGGGGATTGTGACGAGGGTCCTGAGGATTGAAGATGGGATAAAGGGCTCGCTCTTGACAAGTCGGTTGCCCATTTAGCTCAGGAATGCAGCTTTTCTAGTTAGCAATATGTTCTCTAGTTCCTCGGTTTCTGTACTTACCTAGCTCTCTTTCTCATTGATCGGAACATCAAAGACAATGAGAACCGCTGGCTGCGCGCATGATGTAAGCTCTGGATATTAGTATTCATATTGTAAAATTATGCAAAGACAAAGAAGACATGAGCTAAGAAGAGAGTTGAGACAATCGAGGAATAATGTAAGAGATGACAGGAGGGTCGACGAGGCAGGAGCAATCAATGCCACGAAATTGGATAGTCTTCTCAACTGCCTGAAGTCTACTGTCATCAAAAAGGACATTGTTGCCAATTGATCAGACACAATACAATAGCAGTTGTTCTTCCAAGGTCGATTCAGTGGACTTGTGGAGATATAGTTCGGCTCGGCCCCAAATAGATTTGTGATCGCCCTCCAAGCTTCTTTTTCCCCCCTACCTCGACTTCAGCTCAACCATCCTCCGTTGGACTCTTCGGATTATTCAAATATGGCAAACAAGAAGCCTGTTTCCTTCGATGATATTATTCTCGCCGGTAACTACTGCACTTTTTCGCTTACCCACGCGCAACTCTGACCCTTTCCGCCAGATCGCGAGAAGAACCAGAAGAAGAAACAGGAGGAGCTTGCCAACCAATTACTCGGAAAGAACCGACGCAGAAGCGCTCCCGCCTCGGGATCTGGCTCTGGCTCCGGCTTCAGCGCCAACAGAGGACAAAACAAAACACAGAATGCGAAGCCTGGAAGCTTAGCCAGCCGGATCGGAGTAGCCAAGGTAGGCGCAATCCGAGTCCACCACTATAACGCGACCAAAACGAATGGGCAAGCTCTAACAACCGACAAAAATCCAGCGCTCCACGCCCGCGACCGCGAATTTCAATAAGAACAAGCCAGCCTCCGCCATAAGCACCGGCCGACAACGCGGAAATACAGGAAAGAATGATCGCGCAAAGTCAGAACAGGTCTGGGATGCCATCCGGGCAGGAAATAGCCAAGCAAATGTCCGTCCCGCCAAACAGGGCCGGGCACCCGGCAACACTTTGTCCATCAAGGGCGCTTCCGGGCCATTTGTCGTGGTAGGAAGGAATTTTGCGCCTGGAACAACCGCTGCCGACATTCAGTCTGCCCTCGAACCTACAACTGGACCCATGCTCAGCTGTCGGATAGTCTCCAGCCACCCGAGTGTTGTTGCGGAATTTGCATTCGCAGAGAAGCACAATGCAGAGCTGATGATCGCGAACTTCGATAACCAGAGGGTAAAGCGTATTTTCCTCCTGCAGTTCAATACTTTCGCTAACATGCCTGACAGGCTGATGGAAGAGTCCTCGCCATGAGCCTCAAGTCCCCTAATGCTGGACCTACCGCCAAAGATCCCTTCACTGCCCTTCGCGCCCAGGCTGACCAAGAACGACTCCGCGCTCGCCGAAGTGCCGGCCACGAGAAAGATTTGCTGGCATCGCAGATGTCGCAGCCCGGCCTATACAGTGATAAAATGATGGTCGATACACCGCAGCAGAATAACAAGGGCAATCAGAACCAAAACCGTCGGAAAGGACGACGTTAAGTACTGATTGCAACAACGATACTTGAATTTGGCCATAGTTACTGGCGTGTGGAGTTTCATCATACAGAATGATCTGAGGGCCATATTTGCCACTGAAACTTGATGATATGTATGATATTATTAACCGTAGTGGATTCAAGGACTTTTTTGCACACTTTGAATAGCAAATACCGACATATCTGATACCTGGCATCCTATTGAAATCAGTTCCTCACAGAACATGGCTTTCTACTCTCCTCTAATGATTTGGCTTGTTTAGTGACTCAGTTCTTCAACTATGTACAGCGGTACATTGTGGCCGACCACAAGCACAGGATATCAGCCAGCCTTATCGTTCAGAGAAAGACCTTTTATCAAATAGCCTCACAAAAATCATCAATTGGTATAGTCTATATGATCTGGGTGCACTGCACTGAGTATTTGAAGCATTTCGTTGCCTCCGACAGTGATAGATACTATATTACCATTTTAGGACTAGGGTCAGATAAGCACCACGATAAGGCTCAAGTCACGTGCAGCGGAGCTTTTGCGGAGAGATTCAGGGAAACATTTACATTCAAGTGTTGGACATTTAATTGGAACCAGAGCCTATACTGCTACATACAGATCTAGGTTCTTGAGAAGACTCGGTCAATTAAGCCAAGAGCACAATTCTTGTCGAGGCCGAAAAACGACTTGACACCAAAGAAATATGAACCCAACGGCGAGGCGCGTAGCGTCGCATGTCCTACGCAGATCTCGCAATACAGCAGTTCCAAAATGCCCAAGAAGATGGAACTCTTCTGCAATTGAGCAGAGAACATGGTCCACGCCGCTAGCCCAGACATTGGCCAATGTTATGAAGGTACTTGCATTCCATATTTCGGTCCAATGGCACTTGCGCTGACTATTTTGCGGCTTTAGGTCACCGGCCCTGTCCCGATTGCGGCTTTCATGCGCCAAGTCTTGACTTCCCCTGATGGTGGATACTATACAACACGAGGAGAAGGCGGAGGGGTTTTCGGCAAGAACGGTGATTTCGTTACTTCGCCCGAGATCTCGCAAGTGTTTGGAGAGTTGATTGGTATATGGACAATTGCGGAATGGATGGCCCAGGGGCGAAAGAAAAGCGGTGTTCAGTTAATGGAAGTTGGACCAGGAAAGGGTACTTTGATGGATGATATGCTGCGGGTAAGTACTTGCTGTTACTTTCTACAATGAAGGTCGAGAGGATCGTTGGATTGACGGAGACTTTATGTGGCAGACTTTCCGCAACTTCAAGATGTTCTCTTCAAGTGTTGAGGCTATCTATCTGGTGGAAGCAAGTGGAACCCTTAGAGAGGTGCAAAAGCGGTTGCTCTGTGGCGAAGAGGCTGCCATGGAGGAGACAGATATCGGCCACAAGAGTGTATGCAAGTACTTCGATGTGCCCATTGTCTGGGTGGAAGATATCCGTCTTCTGCCGCATGGTGAGTGACAAGTCCAATGATCACCCCTGGAGCTGAGACTGACCGAAAACCTTGATCACACGCAGAGGAAGGCAAGACGCCCTTCATCTTTGCTCATGAATTCTTCGACGCACTCCCCATTCATGCCTTTGAGTCTGTCCCGCCATCCCCGGAGAACGAGCAGCCAGACCAGCCACGAAAGATCATGACCCCTACTGGCCCAGCAGAAATACACAACCCGCCCAAGGTTGCAAACACACCGCAATGGCGCGAGTTAATGGTAACATTGAATCCAAAGGCCGTTGAGGAAAATATTCAAGGAGAACCCGAGTTCCAATTGACCAAGGCCAAAGCCTCGACACCTTCATCTCTGGTGATTCCCGAGATTTCTGCGCGCTACCGGGCTCTCAAGTCTCAACCCGGATCCACCATTGAAATCAGTCCCGAGAGCCGTATCTATGCGGCTGACTTCGCACGCCGGATCGGTGGTGATTCTGCCGCTGCACTTGCTACGAAGAAGAACACCCCTCCCAGCACACCTTCGACAGCTCAGAAGAAGACTCCCTCCGGCGCGGCTCTTATCATGGACTACGGAACGATGTCGACCATTCCTATTAACTCGCTCCGTGGAATTAAGAGCCACGAAAAGGTCGCACCTCTTTCTGAACCTGGCCGTGTTGATGTCAGCGCAGATGTGGATTTCACCTCGCTCGCTGAAGCTGCCATTGAAGGCAGCGATGGCGTCGAGGTCCATGGTCCTGTTGAACAGGGTGACTTCTTGGGTGCCCTGGGCATCGAGGAGCGTATGCGCCAGCTCCTGCGTAGTGTTAAGGACGAGGAAAAGAGAAAAGTTATCGAGACTGGCTGGACAAGGCTGGTTGAGAAGAGTGGTGGATCAATGGGCCAGATCTACAAGGTCATGGCCATTGTGCCTGAAAACGGTGGACAGAGACGACCTGTCGGATTTGGAGGTGGTGTTCAGATGCCCTAAACCTGCAAGTATATTCTCGGTATCTTGCTGTAGACTAGCTTTCTCTTCGAACCCTTATGTACAATAATATGATTCATATGAATACATTGCACAAAACAATATTTTTAAGATATGTACGACGGTAACAAGGCCAAGGCACAACAGTTCAGGGTCCTCAAGAATGTCCATATAAACAAACCAAGGCCGGTGAATCACACCGTGATATCAACATCAGAAAGTCACAATAAAACCCATCAATGCATATTTTCAAGTGGTATCTCATTCAAGTTCATTGTCTCATAAAAAAAAACAGATATGCAATGTCCTCAAGACCCTTCAGTCGGGGATACAGGGCTCAATAATCTTCCCAGATATCCGCAGCATAGGCCTCAGTCAGGCGATTGTCATTGCCATACTTCTGCTGCCATTCCACAAATCCACCTTCAAGTATGAACACCTGCTGCTTCTGACTGTCTTCCGCACCAAGAGTAGCTTCACGCTCGCGCGCATACCGCAAAGCTGAAGAGGGGCCACGCTGCTGGCTGAGCGCACAGTGGAAGATAACCATCTTCTTGTCCTTCAGGGTGCGAATCAACTCTGGCATGCGGACATCTAATGTTGAGGTGGGAACCCAGATTGATGAGCGAATGTGGCCGCCAACATGGTCTTTTAGGTTATTAGCTAGTTTTCTATATCCAGAAAGATTCTTGTAGACACATACCAGAGTCTCGGACATCGATGACTGCGAGGTTGCTTGGCTCGCTGGCTGAGAGGAGCAGAGCTGCAAGTGCATCGCGACCCATGCGGGGGAGGGTTGCGATTGAGATGGATGACATTGTTTTTGCAGGTCAAGATGAGTGACAGATGTAGAAGTACCGTCTAAGAGTGAAATGCAAAAGATATTTGTAAATATAAGAAACTTTGCAGCTGTGATGTTCATGATATGCGAAGTGTAGCATGGAGCATGCACGTGACCTACAATTTCCAATCGGGGTTGATTTTCGACCAGAGCAACTTCAAGCCTCCATTGACCCTGTGCACTCCGCCAGACCAACCCTCCAATTCCACGACCGAGCAGACAATCCAAATCCACCAACTCCACCTACATCCCCTGATACATCCACACATCTCCAAAATGGACGTCCGCCTCCTGGCTCGCAGCCTCCGCGCCAGGCCGACGCCATTCCTCCAACAGCGAACCCAAATGTTCCCCCAAACAATCCTAACCTCAATCCGCTTCAACTCCTCGTCGTCCTCCCCAGAGGCCCCAACAAGAACCGACTCTCCCCCTCAGCCACACCCTCCACACAAGCCGCAACCGAAACGGCAACAGAAACCCCGAGCAAGAAACCCTCGGACTTCGACGACATCCTGGACAGACTGGACCTGAACCCCACCCAAACGCCGCAACGCAGCCGTCGAGTCTTTTCCGACACCCTCTCCCGCGCCGTGGGCCAAGGCGCCATGGGCCGCGGGCGCCGCGGTGGCATTCCCCCCCAACGCAAAATCGACCTGAAGCTCGGCCCATCGCTTGGCCGACAGGCAATTGTCGAGCCTGAGCGTGGTCAGGACCTTGCCTCTGCACTGCGCAGGCTCAACACTACCATTGTGCAGAACAAGCTGCGTCAGACTGCTAATGCGCAGCGCTTCCATACGCGGAAGGGTATGGTTGCCAAGCAGAAGAAGATGGTGCGCTGGAAGAGACTGTTTAAGGTCTCATTTCAGAGTACTGTGCAGAAGATCCAGCGCATGCAGACTCAGGGTTGGTGATTTCCTTCCCTTGCTTGTTGGCTGTGTGTATGTATATACCGAAGTGGCTGTTCCTGGGTGTGACGGGTGGTTTGAGCAGGCTTTGATGTGGGAGTGGCTTGGAAATGGGATGTGTCTCTTTTATTTGTTATATGTGTACAATTATTATCTTGGTACCTTTGATTGGTTTTGATTTTGGCTCTTGCATTAGACATGGGAATGCATTGCACTTGATTGAATTAACTTATCTGCTATGGTCGTTTCATGTAGAGCATAGCATCCATAGCATAGCTGTCGTCTTCGCAATCAGTTCTTTCGTCTTTCTTATAGGGTACACTGTACACGCCCATAGAACGTCACTTTATCCCAGCCTATACAGATCACTCTTTCTCGCTCTCGCTCACACACACACACACACACACACACACACACTTCAGCAGTAATAAATCAGTCCCTCTTTCCAGTAGGGAATCCATACCCACCACCACTAGCCCCGTTCCCATTAGGCGAACCAGAATAACCACCATACCCATTAGCCCTGCCCCCATTGCCAAAAGTAACACCAGGACCCTTGGCACCTCTAGCAGGCGTACCACCCAAAAGCCCATCACCATGCCAAGCAGGACGTCCACGGCCGCCATTCCTCTCCCAGTAAATAGCAAGCAACGCACCAACCGAAGCAGCCATCACAAAAAAGAACAACTTGGAGAAGAACGACCCAGCCGCCTTCCCAGACCCAGTAGCCAAAGACAACCAAGACGCCGAACCAGGCCGAACCGGCCACCCAATACTATCACCACCCTCCAACCAAGCAACATGGAACGAGAACGTAAGCGGCTCACCGCGCACAACCTTGGTGCCATGCCCAGCGGTCCACGGCTCACGCGCCGCCTGCGCAAGAGCAACAGGCTCCTCGTCCTCATCCAGCCGCGGATTCTTGCCAGTATTATCAAACTCAGGCGTCGAGTACGCAGTGCCCGCAACGGCGAATCCGGGCTGGCCAGATTGCGCGCCATTAAGCGTCTTCTGCTCGGCTGCCGCGTCGGACGCCATGTTGTGCATGACCACATTCATGTCTGTCCAGATGTGCAGGTGGCTGCGTTGCAGGGTGCCCTGCAAGGCGATTGTGAGTGGTGTAAAGGGTGGGCCGTTATCAGTCAGTGCGGAGAGGGAGTCGGCTTCGCCAGAGGATGACTCTGCGTCTTCGGCTTTGGTTTTCTCCGTGTGGTCGCCGTTGTTGGCTTGGGTGAGGGGTGCTGTTGGGATGCGGCAGGTCATTGGTACGTCGGAATGGACGTAGAACTCGAGGAGGTGGTACATCTCATCGGTAAGTGAGGCGATGGTGCAGGTTATTGTTTCGGAGATGCCGTAATGGATGGAGAGGGGGCGTGCGGTTTCGTTGCAGGTTGCGAAGGGCACATATTGGAGTTTTCCGAGGTCGTCGGTGATCTGGAGGGTTTGTTAGTTGACTGATTCTTCTTATTTCGTTGCGCGTGGGTTCGCGGGTTGTTGTATGCGTGTCAGGAGGGAGGTTGGGCGCTATCGCTTACATGTTCTCCTTCACTTGAGGACGAGTCTTGGTCAGTGATGCTCTCGTATGCTCGGTATAAAGAGGACTTACATGGTGCGATTCAGACATGATACTGGAATGTCTTCTCTCAACCTGTAGCCATCGTTGTTGCCACTGTTGCTCCCCGCAAATGCTCCGCATGGCAACAACGCGCTCAAAGAAAGCAGCGCCACTGCTGCCGAAGATCGGCTCAATTGATGTGTAGGAATCATTGTTATTACTGTAAGGACTGTGAAGAACTCGCCCCGCGTCGGCGAGTTTGTGTAGAAAGATGGCGCAGGGGTCCAAGATGGAGTTCTGCCGTTTTGCGGAGGCGAGTGGCGGCGAACCAGGCACAAGGAACTCCCCTTACTTGTCCATACCAGACCCAACCTGAATGACCCTACAAATACTATCCCAAATCTAAATCCAAAATTGAAGAATATCGATGGCTGTTCATTTCTTTTCCAACCCAAAAAATAAGTGACAAAGTATCATTCGTTGCTCGTCATCACGGCATATCCAAAAAAGACTCAATTTATGCCAGGTTAGCCTTCGCCTTGAAGGCGAGCAGCAGACCGCTGGTTGAGCTGTCGTGGTTGGCACCCTCGCCAGCAGTCTCCAGTTCCTTCTGGATGTTCTTGGCAAGAACCTTGCCGAGTTCGACACCCCACTGGTCGAAGGAGTTGATGTTCCATACGGCACCCTCGGTGAAGGTGAGGTGCTCGTAGTAGGTGATCAGAGCACCCAGAGTGGCGGGTGTGATCTTCTGGGCCAGGATAGAGGTGGTGGGGCGGTTGCCCAGGAAGGTCTTGTGGGCAACAAGCTCCTCGGGGGCACCCTCAGCCTTGACCTGGTCAGGGGTCTTGCCGACCATCAGGGCCTCGGACTGGGCGAGGAAGTTGGAAGCAAGCATGCGCTGGTGCTTGCCACCCTCAACGGGGTTGTGAGACTCGGCGGCCATCAAGAAGTCGGCCGGGATGAGCTTGGTGCCCTGGTGCAGCAGCTGGAAGAAGCTGTGCTGGGCGTTGGTGGCAGGCTCACCGAACAGGATGGGGCCGGTGGTGTACTTGACGTACTCGCCAGAGCGAGTGATGGCCTTGCCGTTGCTCTCCATGGACAGCTGCTGCAGGTAAGCGGGGAAGCGGTGGAGGTACTGGTCGAAGGGGGCGACGAGGTGAGTCTGGGCACCGAAGAAGTCGCTGTACCAGACGCTCAGGAGACCACCCAGAGCGGGGATGTTCTTCTCGAGAGGAGTCTCACGGAAGTGCTTGTCCATGGCCTGGGCACCGGCCAGGAACTGGTGGAAGTTGTCGTAACCGATGTACAGAGCAACGGACAGGCCAATGGCGCTCCACACGGAGTAGCGACCACCGACCCAGGACTCGAAACCGAACATGTTCTTGCTGTCGATACCGAACTTGGTGACCTCGGGCTCGTTAGTGGAGAGAGCGACGAAGTGCTTAGCAATGTGAGACTCCTCCTTGGCGGACTGCAGGAACCATGTCTTGGCCGAGTTGGCGTTGGTGGTGGTCTCGGCGGTGGTGAAGGTCTTTGAGGCAATCAGGAAGAGGGTGGTCTCGGGGTCAGAGTCCTTCAGGGCCTCAGCAATGTGAGTACCGTCAATGTTGGAGACGAAGTGGAGCTTCATGTCGGGGTGGCCGTAAGGCTTAAGAGCCTCGGTGACCATAACAGGGCCGCTGTTGATCAATTAGCTTTACAGCTTCCAATCACACCCGAAACAATACTTACAGATCAGAACCACCAATACCAATGTTGACAATGGTGTTGATCTTCTTGCCAGTGTAACCCTTCCACTCGCCGCTGCGGACCTGCTCGGAGAACTCCTTCATGTGCTCAAGCACGGAGTGGACATCCTCCACCACGCTCTTGCCGTCGACCTGCATAGGCTCCTTGGAGACATTGCGCAGGGCAGCGTGGTAGACTGCACGGTCCTCGGTGAAGTTGATGTGCTCACCACGGAACATGGCATCCCGCAGCTCCTCCACATTGGCCTCCTTAGCCAACTTGACCAAGAGAGATACAGTCTCCTCGGTCAAGAAGTTCTTGGAGAAATCGAAGAGGATGTCCTGATTGTCAACAGTGTTGGCAAAGGTGTGGCTGAACTTCTCAAAGCGCTTAGGGTCCTTCTGGAAGTACTCCTTCAACACAATGTTACGTCCCAGGGCGTTGTGGTGCTCCTGGAGCTCCTTCCAGGCGGGGAGGTCGGAAGCTTGTGAGAAACCAGGCATGATGACGATTATGGGTCTATGTGCAGAGCGTTAGTGGGGGGGGAACTCGGGAGCAACAGGATAGGTGAAGTCTGCTGGGAATGCAAGTACCTCAAAAGTTTGAAATAGGAGTATATAGATGAAGAAGGTCAAAGTGGGAGAGAGGAACAAGAAAAGTAAATGAGGTCAAACGAGCCCGGCGCGTTGGGGTCCGGTCGTGGGGCATCCGGCGAACATCATCATTGCCGCATTCGGATTTCCACGCTTTATTTGCCTGTTTATTTCCGTTTTCTTTCTCCGGCTGTCCCGCAGGCAGTTCGCTCTCGAAACCACAGCTATCCATTTCCTACTTTGGGCTAATGCCATGGCTTTCAAGTTTCCGTCTGACCAATTCGGCTGTTCCAGAATACCCGAACTCATGTCTATAGCGGGGCATTGGCAACTGAACGGCTATGTGTCACTTTTCGGTGTCGAACTCCAGGGCTCAGACTAGAACTTATGTAATAGATTATAGAACCTAGGAATGGCTGGTAAAGTTACGGAATTTAGGCTTCGGATAAATATCAAAATATGATTCCATTTGTAGATCTCGGGGCTACCAATGGGCCCGTCACGTGGGGTGCCGCGGGGTTTCATACCTACAGCATGCATCTCATGCCTAAAAGCCGACGAAAGACTCCAGGGTCGAAAGTTAGGCAGTGAGGAGAAATGCCGAACTGGCTCTTGGGCCCTGCATATCACGTTACTTTAAATTAGATTAGTTAGAATGATGAGTTCCAGAAACAGCAGCATAGACATAGAACATGGATCCATAGGAGCAAAAGATCCAATGCAACTAGTTATACGCCCCTCAATAGAACCCGGTTTCGCAAACTTGGGATGTGCTGGATGCTTGCAAATGATAGGGGGATAATCAACCTTGGGAAGGTTCAAGTTGATACACAATGCTTATATCATCTAGCGTTCATTGAAGACTCTATTATATTCAGATACGATGGGATGAGAGATCAGAGTTGTAAAATTCTGGTCTATGAAATAGCTTATCAATATATGCCGCTGGTAAATAAGACAAATGGTGAACGGCCATTGGTACTTGGCTCTATGTAGCTCCGATGCAGCACACAACTGCGATGATCGAATTGACCTTTCTTGACCAAAGAGAATCTGGGTCAATTCAAATTGACTCGGGACAATTGAACGATGCAACTACAGGATCCAGAATGCCCAAAGAATCAGCCTCAGAACTAGAAACTGGAGCTGCTGCCAAGATCGACGCACGGACCACGTCGAATGCGCTTCTTTCGCCGACTTCCAACTTGACATTTCACCTGCGTCTGTACTTTCATCTCATTGCAGTTTGGAACTGAGTCTTGACCAACATTGCACAGTGAATTGTGCAATAGCTTAGTCTCCTTCAAGATGTACAATCCCTACCAGCGTGAGTTCAGTCATCTCCCCCGATCCACGAGAAGGTCTCCAGACGTCGCGAAATAGAAGCTAACCAATTCACAGCCCCAGGTCTCTACGGCCAAACTCCTGATTATGGCGCCTATGGTGCACCCCCGGGAATGGGTGAGTATCCCCGCCACTTAGCAGAACTCTCAGTTGGAATAGAGGTTGACCAGCATCAGCGCCTCCTCCAGGGATGGCCGCCCCAGGAACCGCAGCTCCTCCAGGCATGCAGCAAGCAAATAGCCAGCAGCCAGGCCGACCGGGAGGCTTTCCGCCCAACTTCCAACCGCCCGCCAATATGCCCAACATCAATTTTTCCGCGCCGGTGATTCGCCTCGGAACCTCAGGTCCCGCAAAGCCCGCAGGTGCAGCTCCAGAGATGGGCCGGGAGCGGGGATCGGATGGTCCTGGCCGTCGTGCTGGTCTCGGAGCCGGGGGCATGGATGCCCAACGCCACCATGCCCGCGATACGATGATGCCCCTTCAGCCTCCCACACGCGACGAGGTCATGCGCACGCTGTTTGTTGGTGGAATTACAGAGGGTGCAGGTGGTGATGATGGCGTTGAGCGGATTCTGGGCTCTGTGGGTGGTCTGCGACGGTGGATTCGGGCTACCGACGCTGATGAGAAGCCCTGTCGGTTTGGCTTTGCTGAATTTGAGGATCCCGCCAGTCTGGAGATCGCAGTGGAGATTCTTAAGGATGTGCAAGTTCCCGTGAAAGTGCAAGCGCCACGTGCTGAAGGTGCTGAGGAGCAGGAGGTTGAAAAGAGCACTCTTCTGGTGCGTGTACAATGTTTATTGGATTGCATTGGAGTACTGCTAACATATACATAGGTCGTCGTGGATGAGAGTACTCTCACCTACCTTGAGCAGTTTGAGGCTTCACGAGCAGAACAAGACCCCGAGGAACGCCAGGCACGCTTCAGTGCTGCCCGCAATAACCTGAACAGTGTTTTGTCTGACCTTTGCAACCCTACTACCCCCACAGAGAAGGAGGATGCCTCGGCCCTTGATCGCGAGGGAGACTCTGAGATGAAAGATTCTGTTACGAAGGACGGGGAGGTCGTTACAATCCCGATTACAATTGAAGACGAGTTGGCCGATATTCCACCCGAGATGCGCGCCAATGTTGCTAAGGAGATTGCTGCATTCCGTGAACGAAGCAACCGCCGCGATATTGAGCGTCTGAAACGCGAGGAGGAGATTGAGTCCATGGAACGCGCTCGGAATTCAGGCTCCAGGATCAGTCGACTTTCTTCACCCCCGGCATCAGCCCCTAGTGGCCCTGCTGGTGGTACCAACAACATTCCACTGGGTCCTCGGGATCGTAGCGGGGCCAATGCCAAGGCATTTGGTGTGCAAATTCCCAAGGACTACCAGAAGGGTGTCTCCTTTGTGAACGGTGGATCACTCAACGGTGTTTCCATTGACCGTGACGCCGAGGATTCTGATGCGAGTGACGAGGAAATTGAACGCCGCCGACAGGCCAAGCATAACGATGAACAAGAGAAGCAGTTCTTGGATCAAGAGCGCCGTTGGCTCAACCGGGAGCGCAGCCGAACTGCTGCTCTTGAGCGCGAGAAGAAGCGAGAGAAGGAAGAAGACGGAAGGCTCCAAGCTGCGCATGACGAGATGGAAGCACGCCTCAAGGCCTGGAATGATGATACTGAAGCCAGCGGCAAGACAACCGATTATTACGCAGACCATGGTGCCTGGCTTCGCAGCCGCGCCGCCCAACGCGCTCGCGAGATTAACATCGACGACGCCGATCGCGCTGCCGAAGACCGTGAACGCGTTCGCACCGCCCAGCAAAAGGAGCAGGCTCGCGGTATGGCAGATGACTTCCTTGCCCGCCAGGCTGAGGAGCTCACGGCCCGTCCCGTGGAGGCCCCCCGCGAACCCCAACGCTTCAAGCTGTCCCTCGGAGCTGCAGCCCAGAAGGCCCAGGCCGCTACCAGCCGACGCACCGTGGCTGAAGTCGAAGGTCTCCTCGAAGACGAAGAAGAGCCCGCTACCACCACCCGCCGCCAACTCATCCCGATTAAGTTCGACTCCGCCGCCGAAGCTGCTGGTCTCACCGACGAAGAGCGTGCGCAAGCAGCCCGCCAATTGGCCGCTGAGATCCCGACGGACAAGGAGGGTCTTTGGAAGTGGGAGGTCAAGTGGGAATTTGTGGACGAGGCGATTCTCAGCGACCAGCTCAAGCCATTTGTCGAAAAGAAGATCGTCGAGTATCTCGGTGTTCAGGAGCAGATGCTGGTGGATGTCGTGGAGGAGCATGTGCGCAAGCACGCGCCACCTCAGGAACTGGTCGAACAACTGGCAGAAGTAAGCCCTCACCCATTTCCACGCTTCAATCCGTTACTAACCACATTTCACAGGCATTGGACGAGGAGGCCGAAGTTCTTGTTCGCAAGTTGTGGCGCATGATCATCTTCTTCTCAGAGAGCGAGAAGCGCGGATTGTCTTCGTAGGTCTATGCCGCCTGACGGTCATTGTGGTCATAGATCCGCAGATACGTACAAAACACAAATTCAGCAGTTTCCCATCCCAATTCCTCTCGTAACTCGACTTGCATCCAAGTTGACCTGTGGACGGCACATGATGCAACCCCACGCGTGAATAAAAAACGCGGAGCTACTCCGACTGTATTTTCTCGGCTGTGATTGGTGGAATCTGTCATTTTTCCGCCGTCCGCAATCCTCCACCAATCAACACCTGTCAAGCTGCGAAGTGTGAGGGGCGCGGGATAACCTGGCGATGGCGCGGGGGATTAGATTTGTGGTATATACAGCTGCTTTTCTCTGGCTGCTCTCAATTTTCTTTCTTCTTCATCTTCTCTTCACTCTCCTGTTCAGACCGAGTCATTTTTGACCAAAAAAAGTGTGGATTCAATCTCCGAGTCTACCCCGGACATCTACTCCCCGCATTTCTACATTTGACATTGCGCCTGCATAACTTGTCGCCGTTGACATACTCAAGTCTCTTCCTCAAGTCGCAGTTGACTATCTTTCACAATGGTCAAGATCACCGGCTTCAGCACGCGGGACGTGAGGTTTCCAGTATGTTCATCCATCCATGACATTGCCATGACCAGCGCAGGCGCAGATCCTAACAAAGAAATAGACCTCCCTCGACAAGACTGGCTCAGATGCCATGAACGCAGCAGGTGACTACTCCTCCGCCTACTGTATCATCACCACCGACTCAGAGCACTCCGGACATGGCATGGTACGTTACCCCATCCACCATACCCTCCAACCAACCAACAAGCAAACAATGAACTAACCTAAACCCAAAAGACCTTCACAATTGGCCGCGGCAACGAAATCGTCTGCGCAGCCATCTCCCTCCTTGCCCCCATGGTCGTCGGCAAGGACCTATCCGACCTCACAGCCGACTGGGGCAAGACCTGGCGCTACCTAGTATCCGACAGCCAACTGCGCTGGATCGGACCGGAGAAAGGAGTCATCCACCTCGCCCTCGGTGCAGTTGTCAACGCCTTGTGGGATCTCTGGGCCAAGACCCTGAACAAGCCTGTCTGGCGCATCGTGGCAGACATGACCCCCGAGGAATTCGTGCGTTGCATTGACTTCCGCTACATCACTGACGCTATTACGCCCGAGGAGGCCATCCGCTTGCTGCAGGAGGTCGAGCCTGGTAAGCAGGAGCGCATCAAGGAGGCTGAGGCTTCTCGCGCTGTGCCCGCTTACACTACTTCTGCTGGTTGGTTGGGATACAGCAAGGAGAAGCTGAAGCTTTTGCTTGCTCAGAGTGTTGAGCAAGGTTACAAGCACTTCAAGTTGAAAGTTGGAGGTGATCTCGAAGACGACAAGATGAGACTGGCCATCGCGCGTGAGGCTATCGGATATGACAAGGGCAATATTCTCATGGTTGATGCCAACCAGGTATGTTACAAGCCCCCCAACCATCACCTTCGTATCCATTGAGCTCCTGGTAGCTAACATACAATGTACAGGTCTGGTCCGTCCCCGAAGCCATCACCTGGATGCAAGAGCTAGCCGAATACAAGCCCTGGTTCATCGAAGAGCCAACCAGCCCCGACGACATCCTCGGCCACGCCGCCATCCGCAAAGCCCTCGCCAACACACCCCACGGCCCCGTCGGCGTCGCCACAGGCGAGATGTGCCAGAACCGCGTGATCTTCAAGCAACTCCTCCAAGCCGGCGCTCTGACCGTCCTGCAACCAGACGCATGTCGCGTCGGCGGCGTGAACGAGGTCCTCGCCATCCTCCTTCTAGCACGCAAGTTCGGCGTGCCTATCGTACCGCACTCTGGCGGCGTTGGTCTGCCCGAGTACACCCAGCACCTGAGCACGATCGACTATGTTGTTGTTACGGGCAAGAAGAGTGTGCTTGAGTATGTTGATCACTTGCATGAGCACTTTGTTCACCCGTCCAGTGTGCTTGATGGGTACTATGTTACCCCCATGGAGCCTGGATACAGTGTTGAGATGAAGGCTGATAGCATGGATGCCTTTGAGTTCCCTGGACAGGAGGGTAAGAGTTGGTGGAGGTCAGAGGAGGCCAAGGGCATTATTGACGGGCCCCGTGTTGTATAGACTGTGGTGATACAGATAGATCAGCGTGCATTTTTGTCATGTCTTTATGTGGTTTCATGTTAATAGTTTTAACGTTTTATAAAAAAGATTATTGTTTATATTATCATTTTGGTTTTTGATATGCATTTGATATGCATTTTGCCCGGGCTGCCGGACTTGGATTGATATTTGGATCGCTGCTGCGGTCTGGTATGACTATAGTACATCGCACAGGTCATCGGAGCCTGATTGAATGGCCAGTGGCCGGTAGAAGTTACAGATTGTTACGGTATCCAAACTGGTATGGGTTGATCAGTCTTGAAGAGGAACCAGGAACATAGTTCAGAGATCACCACAGAAGAGACGGTAGGTCTTGCGGTGAGGGCGAAAGGGTATAATAGCAGATTGGAGGCAAATGCGACGTCTAGCGCCACTGCATACCAAAGAGCTTCAGGGTACTTGCCACGCTGGGCTTCTCTGATGCCTTTTCAAGGATCACACGAGAGTGTCCCTTCACATCGAGCGCGAGAAGTTGGTACTCAAGATTGGTCTTGTCCAGAGGCTTCATCATGTGCACGATGACCACACCAGAGTTGAGGGGACCCTCGACCTATATTACATGTCAGTGAACTCGTCATTTCATTTCCTCAAGGGGCATCTTACGTGGAAGTTCATCCGGAGATGCTCACGGCCTAACCTATCTTTTTCGATGGTTGTCCTAGTACTTGTTAACACCTCAAATCTAGAAACTACGTGCGAACCATGTACTCACGCAATAGGTCTGCTTCGCGCCCATCGACTCCAAGTGTTCTCGCCATATGCCTTGATCTCTCCGCGGTCACCAAGCAGCTTTATACACTCGGGGTCATCCTTGATCCGCTCAACTGCCTTTTCGAACTGCCATGTCTTGCTGTTCGGCGAGAACAGTTCTTGGTAGAGAAGTGTGAACACACCACCCTGGAAACATAGTTAGCACCTGGAATGTGACGCTCGGCAGGTTGGAGTTCGTACCGTCAGGACAGCGCCAACCAGCACAATGACAAAGTTGAAGGACTGTTGTGTTGTGCGCGCAACTTTTTCGCCTCTGCTCAAATCACCCCACTCTACTCGTCCGTCATCGGACAAAACTGTGATGCTCTTCTTCCTTGATGTCCCGGTAGGTCGAGGCCCACGGCCCAGGTCGCCTTGGGTGGCATAGTACCGAGCGATCTGCGTGCGGGGAGACTGGCGGAGGAGAGACGCAGGGGAAATTCGAACAACGCGGACCGGAAGGTTATTCATTGTGGGAGATATTGCTCATAGAAGTTGAGGCTAGACGTGCAGTTATCGCCGTCGCGATCTTCATCGGCATCACGTGCGACGGGGTTATGGAATTTAGAGTTCTCGTCAGGTGATTTCCATGCATACGGCTGTCCGTAACTGCCATATGCTCAAATGTCACGTGTAACATACGTTCCACAAAATAGCAATAGTTCTATGTTTTATCGGGAGAGATTTCAGGGAAATGGACCAAGGATCTTGTATAATGATTCTGGGGGCTGTAGAAGATAGGTTTTGAATAAATTCTATGACTGAACTGCTTAGCATCTACTATGATGGGTATTATATCAGGATGTTTCTGGTTACAGAATCACTCAGCCTCATAGACCATATCAAATAAAACACCAGGTAATCACGTTTCGTCCAAGAATAACCAGCTCTCTTCTTCCATACTCTTCCTTCCATATTATCACTTCTATTCCTGAAATTAAAATTAAACCAAGGAGCCCTATCCGGTCCATCATAAATAATTATCTCCGACATGTGATTTACAGATCCAGCCCATGCCAGACTTTCAAGTCTATATACATGACAACACATGTATCCCTGATACGATCGTTTTCCCCGCCTAGTCTTCGTGTCCGACATAAATTCAGGGTCGACCACTATCACCCAAGCACCATTCTTTTCAATTGCATCGGGTTCTGACAACCCAAAAAACTCCGCAGACTGAGGGTGGCGGACGAAGGACTGCAGGGCCTCCTCGTCGATAACCAGGCACCAACGAAATCGAGTACCGAAAGCGCCAGGACTGCTGGCGATGAAAGTTCGGAACTGTTGCCGAACCTCATCGATGCTAGCGCTCTCGAGACTGGCTTTGTCCTCAAAGACTAGGCTACGGTATCCATCGTGTAAGAGCCGATGTGCTTGCTCATCTTCTTCCTCTCCATCTTGTAATGCCCAATCGAGAGTGGCAAAGATATTTGCTCGTATAGCGTCTGCGCCAGCTTTCCAGTGGATATATAGTATATCCTGATGGCCAGCGGTTAAATTCCGCCCTTAAAAGCTGAGTAGCTTCACAACCAGCCATTCTGAGCCACCCCTGAATCTTCATGAGATTTCGTCGCTATCTGTGTTCAGAATCAATTTCGTTGGGTGGGAAGTCTCCGGACTGGGACTCCCATGGTGTATCCCGGCTCTCGTGGTGGAACTTCCATGAAAACGGAGTGGCTGTAAGCTCCATTGACAGAAATGGCAAAGAAAAGAAGATTGGATTATTTGAGCCCCGATAGCCAAGGGACGTGAGCCCATCATGATCATATATAATATAAGCCTTTTATCTTGGCGCCAAGTAGTGAGCAACGCAAGATGTAACATGTAAACGCCGGCAGTCTGTTAGTATTGCGAACGAGCGAGTTGTATACAGCAGAGGCGGAACTAATGAGTGACTTTTCTTTGTCTCTCATGACAGGCTTGGCCTTCTAACAGGGAACTTCTATTGGCTAAAATAACTGGACGTGATCATGCCAACGTTGAATCCGTGAGAGCCTTGAAACGAAGACAATCACCGTACTTTTTGAGGGCTTGACCTTGATCCTAGCCCTCCGTAAAGCTGAATCCACACGGCTAGAGGTTGAGCCTTTCGGCCCAAGCCTAACTCGCCCCGGTCCATGACTAAAGCCCAAGGGGCCCCACGCAAGCCCATTCTTGTGTATGCTGCTAACTGATTTTAAGCAATCTATCGATTGAAATGTTTGATATGGGGTCAAGTTAGCATCTCAAATAACCTCATACCATAGCCTATAGAGCATTATATTGAAGCATCTTGAACTGAGATTAGGAAGGAAGGCATTCAGTAGTATAAGTTCGCATGACATTCGGAGGGAGTTGAAGGACTGGATAAGGAAAGCGGTGAGCACGGGGGTCTCGAGATCATTAGACGAAGGCTTCGATGTCTTCGAAGTGTTCGATAAAAGCACTCTTTTTTAACCCAGAATGGCCGACTCACACGGAGAAGGTGTAACTAGTCTTTTACAGATTACTCATACGGGATTGCACTGCTTTTTCAAACCACATAGAGATGAGACAGAGGGTATGCTCTAGCATACATCCAATGGTAAAGATTCGTGCCGGCTTAATATGGAGTAAAATACGTAATTTCATACAGGCGGTGAAAGTGTGGAAAGCTGCAAATTGGGGGGCGACGTAACTCAAATACCAGGAACTTGAACGGTCTTAGTCCAAGTCCGACCACCTCTCCGTTTCCGACGCTTTTTGTCTCTTGGGCACATTTCACAACCACACTTTTTCCTTTTGTTCGTCCCCTGATCTCTCCTCTGTGCCAATATGAGTGCCTCCAAGGCGCAGTCTCAAAAGATCTTTGAAAAGATCAAGTTGAAGCCCGCAAACAAGGTGCGCTGAACCCCACCCTTCCCCCCCCCCGTACGCTGCATGGTGGCACTTGGTTCTAATGTCTCTTTTTTGCTAGGTATGCTTCGATTGTGGTACCAAAAACCCGACATGGTCCTCTGTGCCATTCGGTATCTACTTGTGCCTTGATTGTTCGGCACACCACCGTAACCTTGGAGTGCACATCTCCTTCGTTCGATCAACAAACCTCGACCGTATGTCCCCGTGATACAATTCCCCTGTTTCCTGCGCTTGCCAGTAGATCAATGCTGACATACTACATAGAGTGGCAATGGGAACAACTGCGGGTGATGAAGGTTGGTGGAAATGAGTCCGCAACCAAGTACTTCCAATCGCACGGAGGCTCCGCTGCGCTTGCGAGCAAGGATAGTAAAGTCAAGTACACGTGCAATGCAGCTGTCAAGTATAAGGAGGAACTCAAGAAGCGCGCAGCGCTCGATGCGCAGCAGTGAGTGAAACCCAATGTCTTGGCCGAACTCCCACGATTAGGTACTGACCGCTGTTGTTGCTTTGTTTAGGTACCCCGAGGAAGTCATCATCACAGATCTCCCCGCTGGCACTCCCTCCGATGGTTCGAACACTCCTGCAGGCGACGCAGAGGATGACTTCTTTTCCTCATGGGACAAGCCCTCCATCAAGCGTCCCAGCAACCCCCCTTCGCGCACCAGCACGCCACCCGTTGTCAGCCGAAACGCTTCTCCATTCCTGAACGCCGGCGCAAACGCAAACGGATCTCGCTCAAAGTCTCCTCTTTCTGCTTCTGAAGAGAAGAGTACATCCCCGGCGCCAACTGCCATTCGGTCTACCCCTGCTGCCCGCAAGACTACCACAACCAGTGCTGCCAAGAAGGGCAGTGTCCTCGGTGCCAAGAAGGCGCCCAAGCTCGGAGCTAAGAAGGTCGCGGCTGCTGACATTATTGATTTCGATGAGGCCGAACGCAAGGCCAAGGAAGAAGCCGAGCGCATTGAAAAGCTTGGCTACGACCCCGAGGCTGAGCAGGCTGAAGCTGAGGCCAAGAAGGCTGCCGCTGTCGCTGCTACCCCGATTGCAGCTCCCACTCCGATCAGCCCTGTTGGAAAGTCTCACGAGCGAAACTCGAGCGATGTTGAGCGGCTCGGTATGGGTATGGGTAGACTTGGCTTTGGTCAGGTCACGAAGCCTGTTGCCCCTAAGAAGCCTACTTTTGGTTCGGTTGGCCCTGCCAAGTCCAACCCCGCTGATGGTACTATTTCTATTGATATTCGCATAGGAGCTATATGCTAATGATGTATAGATGAGGAACTTGCCCAGACTAGAACACGCTTCGGCACCCAGAAGGGTATCTCCTCCGATGAATTCTTTGGACGGGAGCGTTTCGATCCCGCGGCCCAATCGGAGGCCAAGGAGCGCCTCCGCCAATTCGACAGTGCCACATCTATCTCCAGCAACAACTACTTCGGCCGGTCCGAGGATGAGATTCCTGCCATGGACGATGGCTACGGTGATCTCGAGGTTGCTGCCAAGGATTTCATCCGCCGCTTCGGTATCACCGCTGGAGACGATATTGAGAACCTGTCTCACATTGTCGGCGAAGGCGCTACCAAGCTACAAGGTAATTGAGTCTTTCTTTATAGTAATGAAATGTTGCTAACCACCTGCGACTAGGCGCTATCCGCAATTATCTGAACAACTAAGTCAATTCCCATTTTCATCAGATATCCCGCCTTCTATCGCTCTCAGTTTCTAGCAAGCCTCATTGTTCCCGTGTTCTCCCCAATCCACGACGTATATTGTGTCTCCCCTTTTCCCCTCCCCTTTTGACATCTTCACTTGAAAACCCCATCGCGATCAGAAGCCGTTCAAAATTTATCTTCCTCTTACGATATTCAATTTGGCGTGTTTATGATGGCACCTTGACTTCTTTCATTCCCGTTTCTTCGCATCTCTTCTCAGTAACATCGGATGCTCGAAAGAACCCTTTTCTTCATTTCCCTTTCGCGTCTCGTTGGTATGGTTCAAGATAATTCAGAAATTCGTGATTTGGTATTATTCATAGAGAACTGAAAGTATTGACAATCAGTAAAATCAAAAACAAAGTTATATGTCTGAACTCCCAATCTTGATGACCTATACCGCGTTATAAAACTCCCATGATGAATGAAGAGAAATGCAGTACGAGCACAACCCCCGCAACCCAAATGTTGAATCCAAAAACCGGCCACTATGCAGTACAGCCGATGGGTATAAATAGCCAGCGACCAAAAAAACAAAACAAAACAAAGAAAACCAACCCAACACAACTTATTCAACACGATAAATCGCATCGGCAACCTTAGCAACCTGCCACATCTCCTGAACGTCATGAACACGAACAACATCCGCACCGCCAGCAACACTAGCCGAAACCGTAGCCGCAGTTCCCCAAACCCGATCCCGAGGTGTTTTAACACCAGTCAGAGTTCCAATGAAACGTTTCCGACTAGGCCCCATCAGCCAAGGGAAACACTCAAGCCCAGACATTCCCCTTAACTTTGACAAGTCACGCAGAATCTCCAAATCCTGATGCTGAACCTTCGCAAAGCCAAGTCCAGGATCGAGAATGATCCGCCACCGGCGAACACCAGCATCCTCAGCGGCAGCGATACGGCCACGCAGCTCAGCAGCCACGTCCTCGATCACCCCGTTCGGGTAGCCATGTAGCTCCGGCTGGGTCATTGTCTGTGGCGTACCGCGCATGTGCATCAGGATGATGGACTTGCCAATGCGCGCGACAGTAGATAACATTTCCGGATCGAGGAGGCCGGCAGAGACATCGTTGACGATGTCAGCTCCGGCGGCGCAGGCTGCTTCTGCCACGCGCGCGCGGTAGGTGTCGATGCTGATGGCTATGTTTGCGGCTTCGGGGATGTTGGTGCGAATGTGCTTGATTGCTGGGACGACGCGGGCGATTTCTTCGTCTGCACCTACGGGCGTTGAGCCTGGGCGGGTGCTTTCGCCGCCTATGTCGATTATTGTGGCGCCTGCTGAGATCATTTTATGCACTGTTTCTGTTATGTAGGATAGGTCTGTTGGTGAGTGTTTTCCGCCGTCGGAGAAGGAATCCGGGGTTAGGTTTAGGATTGCCATTATGTGGGTGCTGCGCTTTGGGTCTGTTGCGTGGAGTGCTTCGAAGTTTGGTGAGATCGGGGTTGTTGATACTGGTGTTGGGTCTGGCGGGGTCAGGGCTGCTAGATGACCGCTATATGTTTTTGTCTCTTTTCCTGGGATTGGTGGGTACTCGTTCGGAATTAATCTGGAGATGAGTGGTTAGTATGTTTGAATTTTGGTGTAGTTGGCATTGGGGACGTACTGGCTCAGAGGGCGCAACACGAAATCGCGCTCTAGCATCAGGTTGTGGGGGATGTTTAGACGTTCGTGAGATACCACTCTTTGATCGTAGAGCAGGATATCCAAATCGATACACCGTGGGCCTTTGTCAATTAATTTCTTTCTGCCCATTTCAATTTCAATAGCTTGGATGGCATTTAGAAGCTCCAGAGGCTCAAGGGTTGTTTCAACCTGGGGTTGTCAGCTTCTAGTTTTGAAATATAGGACTCTGCTGTGTCTTTGAAAGTCATACCTCGCACACGCCATTGATAAATGTGTCTTGGTCAAGGACATACATTGGCGCCGTCTCAAACAGTGAGCTTGTGCGCTTCACTTTGATACCAACTTTGTCCATTTCGAGACAAGCCTGTTCAATCATCTCTACTCGATCTCCAACATTGCTTCCCAGGGCAATAAAAGCCCGGTGCACATCTGGGGTCAGATATCGCAAGTTCATCCTGGAGTCTGAACGGGTGGCGGGTCCACTGGAGAAATTCCTCGCTGGCGGGGTCAAATGTGGCGATTTGATCTGGAGCGTCAAGTGGCCATTTCTTGCAGTCCAATCTGGCTTTGCTGATACTGTCGAGTGATTTGGTTCTAGTCAAACTGTTAGTATGAACCAAATGCAGATCGGATGTAGGAAAAGAAGAAAAAAAATTGCGGGACAGTCATCTTTCCCTTTTGGGGTGATAGGCCGATAAGCGGGGGGCGCGTACTCAAGCTTGAGGTTATTCCCAGTCTATTTCTGTTAGAGGCTATTCAATTGATGGGGATCTGTTCACTCACCTTGCTGATCGATGATACTGTCTTAATGAACCCCAGGTTCCGGGCAATGCAGGGGTTCCGGACCACCTCGCTGGCTGTCGACAGACAGAGCCTCCATGGAGGGACAGCAATCCATGAGCTCTCCCACTCATCTGTACACTCATAGTGGAATTTATTGAGAGAAGAAAAGAAACGAAAAGATCTCGGAGGATGAAATGATAGCGGGCACGGGAGATGGACACGGTTAGGTTAGTGCTGTTGTTTTACCGTACTGTCCTCGACCAATGGATGATGTTGATGACTCTGTATTGCTATTACCCCTTCCTCTGTCAATTTATGGGGCTGATCTAATTACATAATCAATGAAACTCGGAGCAACTATAGATCCGGTTTTATACAGTATTCGTAAGTTATGGCCGACACACCCCCTCAGTAAGCCCTGATTAATGGCTTGCTGAATCATTGCCAAATACTTCGAATCTGTCATATCAATTTCCTCCTTCAATCAAATGCTCAATCTGGACCATTCGGAGCAGTTTGATGAAGTTCTCATGCTGCTGTCTGGATAGCATCTTGGTCAAGCCATCGGCGACCATTTTTGCCGTCGGCGTCCAGCGTAGGGCGATACGTCCAGCTAGTACTTCCTGTCTAAGCCATAGATGATGAATATCTATATGGCGAAGCTTGGTGTCAAAACTGGCGTCCTGATTGGTGAGAAGACCAATTGCTCTCTCATTATCGCATTCAATTGTGATGACATGAGAGGCATCAAATCCTACGTGACTGAGTAACCTTCTCCACCACTGGAGATGTTTCCCAGCTTCTGAAAGTCCTAGCAATTCGGCTTCGGTGGTTGATGTTGTCACCGTCCGTTGCTTAGTAGCTTTCCAATCCACGGGTCCTCCGTAGACCTGGCAGATATATCCTGCGGAGCTTCTTCGGTCTTTGTGGTCGGCGTACGATGCATCGCTGGCTAGCTGTACTGAGTCTATCTCTAAGGTGCTGCTATACTCAATAGCAAGAAAGCGGGTAGAGTAGAGATAGCTAATCACTCGGTCGGCAGCCTGATGATGCTGAGGACCAGGGTTTGTCAAAAATTGAGCTAGTTTAGCTGTTGCTTTTGATGCATCTGGTCGGGTAATCGTGGTGGCGTATCCCATTGATCCGACCTTCTTCTGATATAGAAGAATGTCCTGGGAAGATGCCCTTCCATCGTACGGTTCTAATTCCTCGATGGGTAGTGGCGTGGATACACTTGGCCGGTCAGTAAGGTTATACCTCACTGCAATGCTAGTGATATAGCTATCTTGGCATAGCCATAGCTTCTTGGATTGCCGGTCCCTGATAATGCGGATGTTTAGGAACCAGTCAGCTTCTCCATGATCGGTCAATTCCCAATGCTTTTCAAGATCTTTTTCAAGCTTTTGGGCTCTCTCCCTTGCTGTCGGATGACTTGCAATTAGGATATCATCCACGTAGAAGAAGACAATGAGTCCATCTCCTATAAAAACACAGGGGTCCTCTGGGACTTGCTGTAGACCTAGTTGGCTAAGCACTCGCGATGCTTCATACTGCCATAGGCGTGGTGAGATTCTCAATCCATAAAGGGCCTTTCGGAGCTTCCAGCATTTTCCTGGAGTTTCAAACCCCTCCGGTGATCGTGTATAGACATCCTTCTCTAGCTTACTATTTAGGAAAGCTGTGACCGCATCTCGCTGTCGTAGATTGAGGTCAAATGCAGCCACGAGTGCGAAGATCATGCGGGCCGTTCTAGCTGCTAGCGTAGCAGCTCTCTTTTCGTCCGATGATATAGTTTCGAGGTCTCCTCTAACACAGATCCTTGCTTTTAGCTTAATCAGATATCCATCTTGATCAAATTTATAGGCAAAGACCCAGAGCAGTGGCAAGATTTGCTTTCCTCGGTCCTTCGGACGGTCCACAGTATCAAATGTCGCTTTCTCCGTGAGAGAGTTAATCTCCTTTCTCATTGCGGCTAGGAAACCCTCTTGGAATGGATGATTTATGACATCTTTCCAGTGTTTTGGGAGTTCTGGAAGGTCATCTCTGTGACGCTTAATTGGCCTATTTGCGTATAAACCGGCCGCGAAAGCATGAAGATATGCTGGTGGCTCAGTTATAGCAATAGCGCTGTAGGCGTAGGCATCGTCCCTCTTTGCCTGCCTTCTTCGTGGTCCTGAGATAATGTTCCCTTCTTCGATATTTCCACTAATATTCCTAGGTGCTAGTAGTCCTGCCTGTAGCTGCAGTTCAGCTTCTTCGTCGGAATCCGCTGAGCCCTGGAGCTGATCATTCTCTGACTCCGGTATTATCATTGCCGGTGCTGTCTCCACCCCCTGATCAGTTGCAAGGGATGCTGGAGTAGGCGGCAGCGGAGGTTCTCGCGGGAATGCGCCTGGAACGTCCGATATAACGTCAATTTGTCGATCCGATGTTTGACGGTCTGGTGTTGTATACACCCCCTGAAGAATAGGCGTCGGTTTTTCGGCCGAAAAACGGTCTCCTTGTTGGATGCTGTCATGGACGTTGTCATCATTGGCGTTATCTCTCGGTTCTAGATCTGGCACTGATCCAGTTATTATCGATGCCTGGATAGCTGCTGCAGCCTGATCTTGATCTAGTTCTTGAGGTTCTTTGACCAATGGCAATGGAACCGGCTGAAGCTGTTGAAAATCTGGCGAGTATCTTCGCGTTTCATCGAATATCGCGTCCCTGACCAGTTTCACTTTCCCATACTGCGGGAACCAGATCCTCCAGATATTTGAAGCTATATAGCCAACCATGAATCCAATTTCAGCGCGGGGATTCATCTTATCTGATTGCACTTGCTTGTCAATTCGACAGTACGCAAGGCTTCCGTATAACCTGACATTTGAGAGGTTGATTCTTGGCGGAATATCACCTGTGGCTGTAAACTGTTTCACGACTTCGGCCCATGGGATGATCCAGCGATTTTCTGTGGCGAGATACGTCGGCGTCCGATTCAATAGCCATATTGCGGCCATTGCTGCTTCTGGCCATAGCTCTTTTGGGAGCTTGCCTTCGAGCATTAGCATCCTCATTCGTTGGATGATGACACCCCCTGATCTTTCGGCATATCCATTCATCTCTGGATGTCCTGGTGGGCTATGGTAAATGACAATGCCATCCGACGTTAAGCTCTGCTCTGCTAGGCGTCCTGCAGCGGCTTCATTGTCATAGGAAAAAGCCCTAATTGGTAGGTTCCACCAATTCTTCGCCAATTGCACGAACTGATTGATAGCAATCTGACACTCGGGTTTATATTCATGCGTCATCAGCCAATGAAATCTGATACCATCGAGGTAAAAATGCGTAATCCAGCGGTGCTTATTGTAAGCAACTGGAAGTTGAATCAGATCAAAATGGACCCTTCCAAAACGTCCGAACGTACGTCCAATCGGTCTTCTTGATATTTGCCGATTAGAACGTCCTAGGTTGCAGGTTTCACAGATTGCTTGCGCTTTATCATTGCCATCGATATTGACTCCATCGACTAGTTTAGTCATTTGTTGGACTGTCTTATATTGTGGATGACCTAGGCGACGGTGCCATAGCTCTGCCGATGCACCTTTAATTCGCTGTGTTGATGATGATCTAACGGCATTTGCCATCAGATAAGATTCTTGATTAGAGCCTTCTTGGTCAAAGACCCATAATCCAACGTTTTTCCATAAACGTAAGCTCACGATTGGGAAGCCATTGCTATCCTCGATAAAACCCTTCTTTTCAGACCAGAACCCTCCTTTTTCTCGCAGTCTAGCGTACGACACTAGGTTTACATGGAACCCAGGTGCGTAGCAGGCATTGCTTAGGGTAATCGTCTGCTTCTTTTTGGTCTTCGGGTCAATGCCAGTAAGTCTCACAGTACCGCGTCCGATGATGTCGGTGCTACTATCTCCGGTTGATAGAACCTCTTGGCAAGCTTCTAGGTCCACGAAGCTGCTTCGGTCATTACACACGTGTACGCCGGATCCAGTATCAAGGATCCATCGGTGTCGGAGTGATGTAGTTAATGCCGGGATACCGATGCTTGAGAATGAGAGGTTTTGATGAACCTTTATACTTGTTGAGGTTTGCGCTTTCTGGATGATATTCTCTGTCCATTTTTTCCATGCTGGATCGGCCGCCAGTGTCCTCTCAATGCTCTCTAATTTCCCGCTAGGGATAGTAAAGCTTCGAGGTCTTACTGCCTCATTGAGGAAATAGCATTTAGCAGGTCCGTGGTTCTTCATGCCGCATGGGCATGGTCTCTTGTCAAATGGCACGTCTTCTTGTTTAGCTTCTTGATGACCTTGCCAGGTAGAGAAGGACCCTTTCAATGTCGGTGAGGTAGGCATTGTCGTACTAATTTCACGATGTATAGAACGGAAGCTTTCGATTAGCTTTCGCGTATCTATTATCGTCCTATTCATCACGATATCTTCATATTTTGCCTGCCACCAGATAGGTAAAACCTCTTTGATAGCCTGTAGGAAATCTTGATTCGCACTTTGGACCTCAGGAAGTTCGAGGGTCATTGCTTGCTCTCGTAATTCATCCCAAGATATCAGCCATTTCTCGATATCTCCAATCGGTTTTTGGATCGAGAAAGCTCTCCATTTCATACGAATCTCTTCCTTATACGCATGAGATCTAGCAAATCTTTGACTAAGATATACTAGACGATCGTACGGAGTATCGTACTCTAGTACTGCATCACGAATTGACGTGTCGAGGTAAATGATAATGAGTTCATTCACCTCATTTAGGCCTTTTCGCTGCTTTTCCCAGCGGTTTGCCTTGATCTTATAGACCTCAAGTAGGTCTCTCCAATCTTTCTTATTTTCCTGAGAACCTTGCTGAGGGTATTCAGGTTCAATTGGCTCAATGAGAGCCCGTGGTCGGTGGGATATCTCTACTTCTGGATTGCAGAGGTCCCATACCGAACGTTGTACTGCGAATGCCTTCACTCGCTTATACCATACTCGCCATTGTGACGAATCTTTCAATTTGTCGCCTTTGATAGCGGAGAGCATCGTTGCTGTGTCCATTGCTAATGAAGCAGATGGATGTATTGCTAATGAAGCAATTGTAGCAGGATTCGGATTAAGAAGGTCGGTCGATAAATGTAAACAAGGGGTTTTTCGTTGGGATTCGTCGGATTTATTGCGTACTAGATGCTTTCTGGTTTTGAATAGCTTCTTAATGCTTTCCGATGAATTTATTGATGGCGAACCGGGCTCATAACTGTTGTTTTACCGTACTGTCCTCGACCAATGGATGATGTTGATGACTCTGTATTGCTATTACCCCTTCCTCTGTCAATTTATGGGGCTGATCTAATTACATAATCAATGAAACTCGGAGCAACTATAGATCCGGTTTTATACAGTATTCGTAAGTTATGGCCGACAAGTGCTTGGTGCCTGAGGTGTCAGTTATCAAACTATGAGATGTCGAGATTCTGAGCATCGTAGTTTGATGTGCCACTGAACCAGACGTGAATTATTATGAGTATTTTATTTAGTGAATTTCAACCCTGCTACATATTGGTATAAGTTGACCAGTCACATTTGGACATGCTCCAGGGTCAACGAGCACGATGCAACCCGTCATGCGTCTTGGACCTGGCAGCGCGCGGCCCATGTGACTTACTCGAGGGAAAGAAAATGGATCATATAACAATTTACAGGGAGAATGTAATAAAGAGAAACTTGACTCTCTTTACAACGGACATATCGAGTAGCCCATGCAGATAATGCAGGGGACTACAAAGAACCCCCTAGAGCGTTAATACTCGGCATATCCATTGTTGAACGTCGAGAGGACATTCAGTTACCACATGAAGTAGTAGTTGAGGCTTCCAACAATAAAATGTCCCCCTAGCAAAGTGGTGGCGCTCATATGCGTCCAATGTGGTAGATCGTATTGTTCTTGTTTCATGTCCCAACGCCCATTGTAACTATACGACCCTACTTTCTTAGACTTCGTGGCCTTGAGAGCATTGATATAATCTCAAGTTGTTATACCATAAATATCGATGTTAGCGTCGTAAAAACTTGACATCTTTCGAAGTCTTTCACGCAACATGGGTTACGTTAATTTGAAGTATTTGCTACTATGCGGGCTGTTTTTCATTGCCACCACAGTCTTCGGTGTTATTCAACCTGTCCCAGCACAAGGCGCTGGCGGGATTTGCTACATGTACATCATCCAAGGTGCTGATACGTGTTTTTCGATTGCCCAACAGCACAGTATTACTGTTGCCGACATTGAAGCCTTCAACAAGAACACATGGGCATGGCTGGGATGCAAAAAGTCACTATACCAAGGTGCATTCATCTGTCTCAGCGCTGGCGCTGCTCCGATGCCAGTCGCACTCCCGCAGGCTACTTGTGGTCCCCAGGTGCCTGGAACAACACGTCCCAAGAACTTTGATCTACTTGGTACTCTTAATCCGTGCCCAGAAAAAGGATGTGTAAGTGGATTCAGGAAGAAATTATGTGTGATTTGAATCTAATTCGATTTCAGTGTTCTCCGTGGGGAGTCTGCGGTACTACTCCCGAATTCTGCAGTCCCTCGGACTATACATCGCACACGACAGCCGCGCCGACTCAAGCTCAGAAAGGGACAGCTGGTCAGAAAGCTCCTCCGCCAGCAGAGACAACCAAAGCCACTAGAAGCGAATCTACGACTACGAAAAAGCCAAGAACCACAACGACCACGTCGAAAGCAACCACTTCTAAATCAACCAGTACCAAGACTATGGCAACAACTAAAGAAGCAGACAAAACAACCAAAGCCTCTGCTTCTACTGAAACAGCTATGGAGCCATGGACACTCACACTCTATGAAAAGAAGAACTGCGAGGGAAATTACTATCTCCTAGAAGGATACAACAAAGGATACGATCAAATGAACCCAGCGCGATGTCTGAATGTCAACGGCAATCTCAAAACCGACTCGATGGGGACAGATACATTCTGCAAATTCTTTACAGAAGAAGGGTTGCATTCTACCAGTTGTGACGCTGGGAATTTCACCAAGATGGCCTCGTGGTATCTGAAGAATGGCTTTTGCTACACATTTAACCTCAAGGATTGCAGTTACAAGGATCACAAGGATTCTTTTATTGGTGATGGTAGTAATGCGTTCGGTTGTGAGAATCATGGACCCAGACATTCTCCGAATTATGACTCGTTGAATTGCTTTGTTAACTGACAGATTTCATTGATTACTATGACTTAACGTTATCGGAAAGTATTTGATCTCATTCTTATTTCTATGTCATTTCAAATATAGCCAGGTCTGAGGGCCTTAGAGCACGCAATATAGACCAAAGCCAAAAAAGGATTGTCTATACTAGACTTTAAATTCTAGGAGTAGGGGCTTCTACAATTCCAAGTCAAGGAGCTGTTTCAGGTAAGGCACTATCTTTCAAGTCGAAGATCAATTGGCGAATTCAAGTGTTTAAATTTTGGATTCCACGATCCAGAATGGGTTTTGAATATGCTGCCTACTTGGCACAGTGGAAGCCGCATCCGGCCCTCTACTCAATGACATGTGCACTCTAAACAAACATTAGTGGTTTGATTCTTGATTCTGGGACAGCTTATCTTTGAGATATCAAGAAAACCAACTATCTGACATGTTGCTGATGTCAGGTTTCCTCAGAACCTAAAACCAATGCACTTCGTTGCTATAATGACGTCTGCCATCTTAAGCATGCAATAGACTGTTTGAATGCTATATAATTTGAGATTTAATTCCATGGATACCAAGTACACGGATATGATCATGTCAATTCTGTGAAAGCGTTGTTCTATCTATTCTTCTTTGTCTCCTCTGCTTTGAACTTTGCCCCCAGTAAAAAGATATTGGCTAATATTTGCTGATAGACCAGTACTTCCTACCTGAATCATGAGTTAATCTCAGATTTCCAACAAATTGTAATGAGCTAGTAAGTTTGTAATTATGCGGCATTATGGTTATAGAGAGGGAGACAAATAGTTTCTTTGTATTCAAGTTCAACATTTTCATGAATTCCATCGTCAAAAAAGAAAATCTTTTATTTTTATCCTGTCATAACGTCGATCATCCCGGGGTGTGGCAACTCATCCCCAGAAGATTTGAACATCTTCGGATGCTCGGCTAGGGAATATAGTTCACAACCGATTGATGTCCGCACAGCCACGATGAAAGAATCTGAGTTGGAGAAGCGGAAAAGAATTTCATGATAAACTTTACACGGTACAGTGGTACGGGGCCAAAGTCGGGCTCCCGAAAGGACATTTCTCGGCAATGAACAAAGATTTGAAGATATTTCGGAAGATGGCGGGCTGGAGCCGGTAGCAGCCATGTTAATAATGCCAAACCCGATCATACGCCGTTCTTCCATACTGGTTAATCAGCTTCTTTCTTTTTCCATCGCACCTAAGAGGCTGACTTGCGTCCTCAAGTTGCCACTCTAGGCTGACGTAAATGATGTCTCGGTGAACGCCACGAAGAACTGATGTCAGGCTCCCCAATTCGCTATTTTCTCGGATGAGGAGAAAAGCAGTCCCATTTGAGGACCAGGTTGCGTAGACAAATGGAACGAAATTCTAGAAAGGAAGTTCTAGAAGGTTAAACCCAGTGCGTAAGGCGATGACGAGGTGTTCGAGACCCAAGTGGAAACGTGGGCCGCCGTTGATTGGCGGTGGATCTAAGGAACTCAACCTTATTGCGCGCCTCCACATCTATACTTGTGCCGGAAATGCAGGTCAACCATTCTTTGCTAGCTATGGTTCGCTTTGGGGTGGTTTGGGGCAGTGAACGTTGGAATTTTGGGATTTTCATTCTCCACCATGTAGTATAAGAAGAGCCAGAGTCCGCTGCTCAGGTACTTTTTTCTTTTCTCTATCAGCACAATCTTTTGATCCTTCAAGTCACTCTCTTCTTGAAGTCAATCCATTCTCTCAGAGGTAGATCCTCATCACTGTCTTTCCTGACAATCATTTACAAGAATCACTATTCTTTTCCACCAATTCCACTCACTTTTGCAACCCTGCAATATGACTTTCAACGTTTTCATGACCGGCCTCCTGGCAGCTACTGCCGTCGCTCTTCCCCAGCCCCACTGGACTCGCGACACTGAGTCCAGCGTCGAGGCCCGCAGCTCCGGTGGCGGTGTCCAGATCGTCAACAACCTGGGCACCGACGTTTACCTGTGGAGTACCGACAACAACCCCGGCTCCATGCAGACAGTCAGCTCTGGGGGCGGCGACTACAGCGAGAAGTGGGCTACCAACTCCGACGGTGGTGGTATCTCCATCAAGATGTCCACTACCCAGAGCGAGGACAGTGTCCTCCAGTTCGAATACACCCAGGACGGTAGCACTATCTACTGGGATATGTCCTCCATCGACCTCGACTCGACCTCTGACTTCGTCAAGGCCGGCTTCACCGTGCAGCCCAGTGACTCTAGCTGCACCGCCGTTAGCTGCGCCGCTGGCGACGCAAGCTGCAAGGAGGCTTACCAGAAGCCCGATGATGTGGCCACCAACTCCTGCTCTCTCGATGCAGGCTTCACTCTGACTCTGGGCTAAATTTTTTGTTCCTTTAAAACAACGGCAGGCCGGTGGAAATTTTGGTATTCTATTTTTTTGGCAGAACAATATATATGACTTGATTGTGTTGAAAAGCGTTTTGCTAAATTTCTTTTTTTCTGTCATCCCTCTCATGGATATAGACTTAGATATAGACTGGTTTATGAATGATGTCAATTCACTTTTCTTTGATCAGGATATCTTTCACGTAACTTGAGCCCTAAGTTGTAGAAATTTGCATGCTCGTGACCGATTAACACGTGATATGCACGATAAGTCTCCGTCTTTGATGACAGTTGATGGCTTCCAAGAATCTGCTCGGATCAGTTCTGGACAAAAGTATATATATGAGTAGGTATGGACTTGGAAAGGCTAAGTCATCTTAGATCGTCAAGAACGTATAGAATACCTTTTGGTATACGGAGTACAATTCGGCAAACGCGGTTGATTACACTATCCGCAAATCTTGCTGATCTGAATAGAAAACGTTGCGAATGAATCACAGATCATCAATGCATGCATAATATCCCGGCCATCCAGCTATCAAACATTCAATCAGCAGCAGGTAGCAGAATATACAGCCAACAGGTCAAGTATAAATCGCTACACGTGATCCAACCCCGCGGCCGGGGTAGTATTGTGACTAAGCTCGGTCGAGGCGTGGACCGAGGCTCAAATCGCGAGTCTGTGAAGCGCCGAGGCTGCTGTGGTTTATAGGCTGGCTCCCTGCTCCTCTTCTTTCCCGAATTTTATCTTATCATTATCTCTTTGATACATTTGACATCATGGCTTCTCCTCGTAAGTGATGGCAATACTCCTTGCTATGGTCTTGATCAACCCTTTGAAACAAACTCTCACATGTGACCTCTTCTCCCCCGATGTCACCGCTGTTACCACGATTTTGACATCTGCTAATATGTCTACCGCACAGAGCAAATCCGTACCCCGATCACCGATCTTCTCAAGATCAACCACCCCGTCCTGCTGGCAGGCATGAACGTGGCAGCGGGTCCCAAGCTGGCCGCCGCTGTCACCAACGCTGGTGGTCTTGGTGTGATCGGTGGCGTTGGCTATACCCCCGACATGCTTCGCGAGCAGATCACCGAGCTGAAGAGCTACCTGAATGACAAGAACGCCCCCTTCGGTGTCGACCTTCTCCTGCCCCAGGTCGGCGGCAGTGCCCGTAAGACCAAGTAAGAATACTCCCCGATCGCCGCTACCGCGTCGCGACCCCTTGTTTTCCACATAAGGCTGACCACGCGTTTGAAAACAGCTACGACTACACCAAGGGAAAACTCGGCGAGCTCGTTGATATTGTTATCGCCGAGAAGGCCAGCTTGTTCGTTTCTGCCGTTGGTGTCCCCCCCAAGGCTGTTGTCGACAAGCTCCACAGTGCCGGTATCCTCTGCATGAACATGATCGGTCACCCCAAGCACGTTGCCAAGTGCTTGGATGTTGGTGTTGATATTATCTGTGCTCAGGGTGGTGAGGGTGGTGGCCACACTGGTGATGTCCCGACCACCGTCCTCATCCCCACTGTTGCCAAGCTGGTCCAGGGCAAGAAGAGCCCTCTGACTGGCGAGCCCGTGCAGGTCATTGCTGCCGGTGGTCTGTTCAACGGTAACTCCGTTGCTGCTGCTCTCATGCTCGGTGCCTCTGCTGTCTGGATCGGTACTCGCTTCATCCTGTCTGATGAGGCTGGTGCCCCCAAGGCTCACCAGGAGGCCGTCCGCACCTCTGGCTTCGAGGACAACATTCGCACTATCATCTTCACTGTATGTTAACCTCCTCCTCTGTGCGTATGACATGATTACTAACCAGCATAACAGGGTCGTCCCCTCCGTGTTCGCAAGAACCCGTATATCCTCAACTGGGAGGAGAACCGCCACGAGGAGATCAAGCAGCTCACCTCCAAGGGTGTTATTCCTGTCGAGCACGATATGGAGAACCTGCCCGATGATGTCGATGACGACACCCTCGACAACGCTCGTCCCTACTTGATGGGCAAGGTCGCTGCCGTTGTCAACGAGAAGAAGTCTGCCAAGGCCATTGTTGATGAGCTCGTCACAGATGCTGCTGCTCTGCTCCAGAAGGGCAACAAGATGGTTGCCAAGCTGTAAATAATGGATGTTTCATATTTCGGTTTACATAGTCATTTTCAGCGTTGAATCAAATCCTGCCGACATTTCGGCTAAGTTCTGAAGTTTTTGACTCAAATGTCCACTACCTGTAGCCCTGTTCTTCCGACCATTCCGAGACTCTATCAACATGTCAAATATGCTATTTCTGGCACACGTGGGTCGACAAGGGTTATAAGCGCCTGAGTGGGCCAAGCTTGGGCTATCAAGTGTATGTTCACGTCAAACCCCAATTTTAGCGAAGGCTTGATATAAATAGATTCTTTTAGCGGGCTTTGCCATGTGTAAATGGCGCATCATATCCAGTTCCTCTCATAGAAAAGTGAGCTTGCTTGCACGGATACTAGAAAACTATCATACTGTGTACACCATGAGCACGGTGATGCATCCATACTGGGGTTACCACGAAGCCAATGGTCATATATATTCGTGCATACTTGCATCGTTTGACTACTCTATGTTCCTTAGATACTTCTATTTTATCTTTTCTGCATCATTGACATTAAATCCCAAAATAACGCGACACTAGAAAAAGGCGCATGCATCTACTGCTAGCAACAGGAGATACGTATGTAGTCTTGTGGACCTGGATCGTCCTCCCCTCTTCTAACCTCCCCTCATCATCTCTCAATGTCCACCATTCGACCGTCCATCTTCCTTTCCAGACATCTCACGCGAAAATGTTGGGAGATACCCTCGGACCCTCGGCTCTAAATAAAGCACTACAAGCGCCGTGGCGGGGAATGAAGACCGAGTGACAGGGGCCACGCACCAATGATCGCAGCACCCAGGATGCGACAGACCAGATTTCCATGATTGTGTATATCCCCGCACTCTGTAAGTGTTTTCTTGTCAGGGTCCATCTCATGAGAGCGTCAAAGCCCAATCCAATGGTTCAACTTGAGGGCCACCGATCAGTCCACTGGATATGCACGTCAACCTCCACTCACAGTGCAGTGTCACGAAATGCCTCGTCCGACCCTCTCATTGCTCCAATCGTGCATAAATGCTGCAGGTGAACGGGTTATTTTTGTCGCTCTTCCCTCGGTTTGGCTAGCCTCTCCAGCCCCCTCTCTGCAGGCTCTGGGATTTGGGTTTTGCTTCCCTGATGCTCGCACTTTTTCCTTCTCATTTGCATACCCGCCTATCCGCTTCTGGGATCCAATGTGCTGGGTCCTCCACATCCACACCGTGATCGGAGGTTAATCCAAACTTGTCCAAACTGGCGGTTTAAATCACACCAGCCACTTGCCCTGTCTTGCTCACCCTGGTCGCTTGTTCGCTGGGTATTTCGCCTTCTATTAATACATTTTTCTTCCAACATCCAGGGCTTCACTTTGCAATCTCGGGGGCCCGCTCTGATATCGCCTCGTATCACGGCCAATCCGCATCCCACCAACTCGTTTCCCCCCCGCAGCTCCTCTCTTCCGCTCACTGTGGTCTTGGCTGGCCCCTTTTATCTCGAAGGTTTTTGGTCACACCGACTACCCCTTGGCTATTGGTGCCAGCGGTTATATTACTGGGATCCTCCTGACTTTTTCCGGACGGTGACTGCCCCGGAACGCTCGTACACCATCGATTCTCCTTGTGTCCTAGACAGTCGGATGAGAAGTGCAAGGTCTTCTCGCCGTCTACATCAACCTAGGCACGGGAGAAACAACCAATGTTCTCATAATTCGAGACAATGTCGCTCAAACAAGTATGAATAGTAGTGATGTGTTCGAATATGTCGCTGACGGCAGAATAGGAGATCGAGACTTGGGTGCAGGCCTTAGATGCCTACGACAACCAAGAATTTGGAGAGTCCTTGCAGTTCTTTGATCAGATCGCCGATACATCAAAGATCTTGTTCAACTGTGGAGTGATTTATGCCACGCTAGGCGAGCACGACAAAGCTGTAAGTGCGCAGAACGACGTGGTGTGGCAAACCCACTGACAATGGTGATGCAGGTAGAATGCTATCAACGTGCTGTCGGGTTGGACCGGTATCTAGCCATTGCCTACTTCCAGCAAGGCGTATCCAACTTTCTGCTCGGGGACTTTGAAGAAGCATTGGCTAACTTCAACGATACCCTGTTGTATCTGCGAGGAAATACTTCAATTGACTATGATCAGTTAGGTCTGAAGTTCCGTCTCTTCTCGTGCGAGGTCTTGTTCAATCGAGGTCTCTGCTATATCTACCTTCGACAGATGAACCCAGGCATTCAAGATCTTGAATATGCTTCCAAGGAGAAAGTCACCACTGATCATGATGTGATTGACGACGCAATCCGCGAGAATGCAGATGTACGTGGATCCCCTGTACCATTTCTACAAAGCTAACCAAACAAAGGGATACACGGTATTCTCAATCCCCGTCGGGATCCTCTATCGCCCCAATGCAGCAAAAGTCAAGAACCTCAAGACGAAGGATTACCTCGGCAAGGCCCGACTAGTTGCTGCATCTGACCGTAACCAATCATCAGACCACCAATGGAAACCCATGGTCATTGATCAAGCCGCACTACAAGAACGTGAAGGAATATCTTATGCTGCCACCAATCTGGTACATAAAAACCTCAGCAGCCGCACCCGTCAGCACTCCGAACCCCCTTTAAACCGTAACGTATTCCCACCAACACCACCACCAGATGACCGATCCGTCAGCACGGCCTCGGGCTCCGGAAGCCATTCATCAGGCCACCACCGATCATCATCTCTTCGAGGTGTGCGCCCACCACGTCTCGACCTAGACCGAACAGGAGCCACCCTAGACCGCCGCCCAGAGCAACCACCCACAGAGAAACCCCGCATAGGCACCACCCGCACCGCATCCGAGCCCCGCGGGCCCTCTTCCAAACAAAGCAACATGCGCGGTTTCGGAGAACCCCGGCAATGGACGCAACAACCCAGCCACAGACGAAACCTCAGCGACACGAATACAAACACAACATACCCTTCCGATCAGGACTACCGACACCCTGACCCGTACGATTCATGCGCAAGCCAACGAAGCATAGCCAACACAGGCTGGGGTCGTGGGTCTCGCCACCAGCCACCGCAATACATCGACGAAGAAGAAGAATTTGGCAGCGACGCATGTGATGCAACCACGCTAAATGATGGAGCCTTCGAACTTGTCAACACGGCCGCCCCCGGCGGTCCGAGTCACCCATCCCAGCAAAGACGCACACGCTCACCAGCCCGCTTCTCTCGCCATGCCAATCCCCGCAGACCGGAGATCCATAAATTCCGCACCAAGGTCCATGCCCCGGATGATACGCGGTATATCATGATCGGGCCGTCAATTGAGTTTGCGGAGTTTGAGAATCGCATTCAGGAGAAGTTTGGCTTTAAGTGTCCGCTCAAGATGAAGGTGCAGGATGACGGAGATATGATTACCATGGTTGATCAAGAGGATCTGGATTTGTTGTTTACTTCTGCGAGGGAGGTTGCGAGGAGAGAGGGGAGTGAGATGGGCAAGATGGAGGTACGTTTTGCTTTTCTTTCCCATATTTTCTGGTTTATTCGGGCTTTTCGGTCATGGGTCACTGACTTTGCTCTTTTTCTTAGATTTGGGTTGAAGAGCGCACTATGATTTGATACGATGCGATGGAATTGGAATTGGAATTGGCTTTTGACTTTTGGCTTTTGATGCTGTTTTATTAGCATACTGATTTTGTCTATACCCTGTTTTGCGTGATTGGCGACGAATGAAATATATTTGGATCCTAGACTCTCGAGATTGAACATTGTCTACAGCTTCTACATGAGAGACATTATTGGTAGAGAGTCAGGAGGACCTAGTGGCGGCGATATCCGTTGATAGATGAGAGTGGGTCTTGGAGCCTCACCCAATCACGTGGCCCGTGCGTTGCATGACGATATCGATCTTGCCAGTTGAAAGACTCCTTGACATGTGTGACACTTGGCACTATGAGGCTTACTCCAGGCTTCAAGTCTGGAAATGGTCGCGCTAATTTAAATTCGGAGAAAGTTCGGATTCATCACGGTTATAACCGCATCGCCATACTGTACAAAGCATGCATTTGATACCATATAGGATCGGCACGCTGACAGATTCCACCGGTCCTGACTTTTCGGATGAGGTGCCACCAATCAAGAGCTCTGTCAACCAACACTATTCGAAATATGCAGCAAAATTCTCACCGAATTTAAGGGAACCCTGGAAAGATTTTCAAGATCGACAGTGACGAAAGAGTGGAGCATCTTTTTCCAAGGTTTGACGACAAGCTTTGACAGCTTGACATTTTCTTCTTAAAGATGGCTACTCTCCCTTTCAGCTCTCTGTTTCACATTGAGCCCTAGCATTGAAGTGTCAAAATGGCTTCATCAAAGGAGAGCCAACGTGAAAATGGCGATGGTGTCAAGGGTGAGTCTCCAATCTATAGCCCAAAGAAACCCACACGCGACCAAACTAACGAACCGAAAGACACTGTCGAAATGCCCGAAACGCAAGCGCCCAATGGAACCCAAGAAGCAGGCAGCAGAAATGAGGCTCTAGGCAATAATCAATCATACAGTCTAGCCAACTCCAACGCCCAAACACAAAACTCCCACAAAAACCCAAACGAGCCATACATTGACGATGAATACCAAGACTACAATCCACAATATGGACAAGAAGAAGATGGCCCGACCTGGTCTCTGGCACAGCCATTGCCTCACATCGTCCGACCAGGTATGCGTCATGGCGCCTTACCAGAGGACCGCCAAGAGGACGCAGAAGACATGAAACGATACGGCGAGGACCCGAGCCAGAAAAGCGCCGCGCAGAAACAACAAGTCTCTGATGCGCGTGTTCGGCAGAACAAGGATACAGATGATCAAGGGTTCTTTAATACGTGGAGTAAGATCCGGCATCAAATGAGGGAACCATTGGCCGAATGGCTTGGTGTGAGTAAACCCCCCAACCATGACATTGTTCGATCTACATCCAAATCAAGACCTGTCTACAGTACTAATAAACTCCCAGACAACAGTAGCCATGACAATCGGACTCTGCGCAACCCTTTCAAACTTCACTTCCAACGGCCAAGGAGGCTCCTACACATCCCAAAGCGCAGCCTGGGGCTTCGGCTTCATGATAGCAATTTATGCAACGGGCGGTACCTCCGGTGGGCACATGAACCCTGCAATCTCAATCTCACTCTCGGTCTTCAGAGGATTTCCCGCGCGGAAATGCTTCATCTACATCGCCGCCCAGCTTCTCGGTGCGATCACCGCGGGCGGGTTCGCGTACGCGCTGTATCACGATGCCATTGTGGAGATTGCGGCTGCATCCAAGGTCCCGCAAAATGCTAGTGCGGCCATGTCTGCGATGATCACTATGCCCAAGTCCTTTGTGCATCCTGCCACGGCGTTTTTCACTGAGTTTGTTGGCAGTGCTATTCTTGTCGGCGCTATTATGGCGTTGGGCGATGATACCAATGCGCCGCCGGGAGCTGGCATGCAGGCGTTTATCTTGGGGATTCTGATTACGGTCATTATTCTTGCTTTGGGGTATAATACTGGCGGGTAAGTCTCTTTCAAGTCTCGGCTTTTCCGGTTTCTGGGCATATTGGCTGACTATTTCTGTTTCTTTTCTTGCTGCTTATAGATGTTTCAACTGTGCCCGTGATTTCGGACCTAGACTGGTTGCTCTCATGGCTGGATGGGGCGGTCAACTCTTCCGTGAATATCACGCGTGGTGGATTTGGGGACCATGGTGTGCTGATATTAGCGGTGCCTTGTTTGGAGCCTTGGTCTACGATATGGCTATCTTCACTGGTGGAGAAAGTCCTGTCAACTACCCCCGCGCCGACGCAAGCGTGCTATCCGGGTCAGATCATTGAACCTGCGGAAGAAGCTTGGCATTGGAAAAAGCAGGATTGGAGACGTTGAGAGATCTGTTCGGGAGACTGAAGAATGAAGGCAATATAGCATCGGGGTTGAAAGGTCATTTTGTATCACTAATGTACAGTTGAATCGCATTGTTCATTTTGCATCATGAGCGCTGAGTGAATGTTTGCGTTGTTTTCTCATATCGTGCTCGTTTTCTAGGAGTATGTTTTGGACACAGCGACTCCCGTTCGGGTTGCGCTTCACCCGGTCGTCATTGAGGATGTTTGTGAGGGTAGCTTTGACTTGTTGCTGGTCGCTCAGGTGTGTATTGGAGGTGTGGCTTGGGGTACCTGGATTGGTGCCTGTTGGATCATCTCGTGTGGAGTGTGAAGTGATTGAGCGCTGGATGTTGGGGGTGGAGTGTATAGTTGGCACCCTGGTAGATGAAGCTGCAGAGTGCATGATTCGGGATTGTTGGGCCATTGTGTCTGAGTGATTGATTCAAGGTTGAATTTGAAACCAAGGAGCATTGTCCTTTATAAGGAAAGTCAGATGTTGTCGAATACAAGGGGTAGTGTTGGCCGTATGAGGTGACGTGTGCACGACACAATACTGACAGCGTAGAACTTGACTAGACCCCTGTCCTGTCAGAAGGTTATAACTTGAGCTAGATTCCACCAATGAGATCCTGGTGTAGGATTGTGCTCCTCAAGTTGAGACCTTTTTTGGTGAGCTATTCCATGTGATCTGTCGTGGTGGCAAGCTCTCGCCACTCCCAAGGCGATGAACCGTCTCAGCTATAAGTATAGCTCAGCTATAAGTCTAGCTGAGGGGACCTTTGGACTTCACGGGTTATACGAGCCAAGCCGTTGATGTCATGATTTGTTTCATGTCAAAGTCAGAGATGGCTTTGACCCGAGTCTCGTTATACTATTGAGTGACATGCTTGTGATGGTCATGGGTTAACAACAGTACCTGTCAATCAAGGCTGATTTTGAACTTTGCATAGATCTGTCACAATGACAGCGGATCGAAGCATGGTTTTATTACAATTGAGCCTGTCGAGACGTCATCTCATGCCTCTAAGACAGCAGAACCCCCAATCCAACACCCAACAACATGACCACCAGCTTCTCTAAACCGAACGCTAATTTCGGAGGGACATCCCATCGCAAAGCCCTGCTTCACTTCGACGGTCTCTTCAGAATCAACCAGAAGCCCATTTTCCAACAGTTCAAATGCCAAAGCAGATGCCGCAACACCTGTCGCTGCATCTTCATGATACCCAGCTCCCCTAGGGAACTGCCTCGCCTCGAATACCTGATCCTCTAGGTCGGAAACTGCATATGGGTAAAGACCAGTGCTGCCAAGAGCGTCACAAAGGGATTGGACATGATCGAATTGAGGTGCGAGACTGTTAAGTGCCGCAACAGACTTGATTGGAATGAGCGTCTTCACTCTACTTGTCGCTGCATTTCGAATGGACAATCCAGGAACAAGATCATCATTTGATATTCCCAAAACGGAGAGAATCTCATCGATGAGGTCCTGTCGTCGTATGCTCTCCAACATGTTCACTGCTGGCTGAGATACTTCAACCCATATCGCTTTCTCTTTTTCGTCGTCACTGCCCTCTCCTGATGTTCGCGAGACTGTGGCCTCGACGATACCGCTTTTAGTCGAGATTCGTATATTTTCTTTCGCTAACATCTCAAGATTCGATAGTAACCAGATTGCCCCTACAGTTGCGTGGCCACACATCTCCAGCTCGTGGTCTGGTGCATAATAGCGGAAATCATAGTCATATCTAGAGTCCAACTGTGCAGGTAATATGAAGCAGCACTCGTAGCCTTGACCTTTTGCCAGTGCCTGCATGTCATTGCCGGACATGTTTTGCGTCTCTAGTATGACTCGAAGGGGATTGCCACCGTTTGGACCTGCGGAGAACACACGTAACATGTGGGGTTTTATAGCCATTGCAAGGGATGTATGAGAATATTGAAAAAGCAGTAAGATTTAAAAACAGCGAAAAGACAATAAAAGACAATTCCTGTAGCAAAGCCCATTCACCAATTCAGGAAAGAAACAAGTCCTCTATAAGCTGCAGGAAGCGGCACGGACCAACCGCGCACAGTGACGTTTGAATGTTGACGAGCTTCATCTACAGACCACATCACCAACAATGACCGACCTAACGCCCACCTTCAGTAGCCTCCTATCCAAGCATGGCTCCCGCCCACACACCAAGCCCACAAAAACAGCAGACGAGTTCCTAAAAGAGGCCTACAGAATCGTAAGTTAGCGAAGCGCAACGCCGAAGCCAACCACCCCAAGCCCAATCCCCAATCTCGAGTCCCCATGCTATAAGAGCGACAAGCTAACAAAACACCTAGAACCACCACATCACATCTCTCTTAAACTATCTCCACACAATTCGACACCCCTACCTCTCAACAACACCAAACCGCCGCAATGCCAACCCATCAACCTCCAAATCAACGCCAACAACCACATCCCTCCCATCAACCCAGATCCTAACAGATTCAGAACGCGACAACATAGACACGCAAACCTCCCTCCTTCTCCGTGACCTCGCAAACTCTCTAAACAACCTCTCAAGCGCCGAGACCCTACGCCAAGAAACAGAACAAACTCTCCTCCACAAGAAATATGGCCACAGCACAGCAAGTGCATTACTTTTCCGCTGGGCGGGTGGGAGTGGCGTTACCGACGAGAATGGTTCGGACGGTAGTAAATCCGCCGAACAGGTTACTGCCGAGGAGAAGGCGCGCGCGCTGAAGATGGTGCGCGAGGGCGTGCTATGGTTTCTCAGGAGGGGGCTGGAGGGTGTTGTTGGTGTTCAGAGGGGTCTTGTTGAGAAGAGGATTGAGCGGGTCAGAGAGAAGGAGAAGAGTGTGCTCTACAAGGTTGCTGCTGGGAAGGATATCGGTGGTAGTGGGAGAGATGCTGGTGGGAGGGGAATGTCTGAGAAGAACGGGGGATACGGTGGTTCTGGTTCTGGTTCTGGCTCTGGGACGTTTGATCCTTCTTTCACTGCGCCTGATGCTAGTACACTCAGTGAAGCGGATACCGCGCGCATTGAAGCTCAGCTTTCGCCAGAGCAATTGCAGCTTTTTGCCGAGGAGAACGATTCCATGTTGAGGCATTATGAGGATACGTTGGGGAAGGTGCAGTATGTTTTGTCTTTTTCCTGTTGGGCTTTGCCTACACTGAGATTTCTCGTACTGATATTATCGACACAGGAACGCAGAAAAATCACTCTTGGAAATCTCGTCTCTGCAAGAGACTCTTGTTACGCATCTTGCCACGCAGGAGGAATATATTACACAGCTTGTTTCAGATGTTGATACAACGCAGACGAATGTCGGACAGGGAAATCGGGAGCTGAAGCGGGCCACTGAGCGGCGGAGTACAGCGCAAGCTGTGTTCTGGGGAACGGTTGGCTTATGTACTTGGCTTGTTGTTTGGGATTTGGTTTTTTGATATGATTTAATCGTTTGATACCATTGAGAGTACTACAATCGCATAGCAATGGCAACAGCATTGGGGAAGTTTCACATCGCCAATATCGCCAATTATGGGGTATACATTTCTAAGCTAGCATCATGGCCTTCTATGATATTTATTGGAAGTCTATTGGAATAAAATCTGGGGGAAATCCTTTAGTTTGCAATCATGCCTCATCACATGTGACACATGCACGCCATAGAGTATGGCATGCATAACCGGACCCACAGATCCATAAGAAAAACCTCAATGGCATACAATAGTAAAGGGAAAAAAATGAATAGAAACGCCAAGTCAAGCTTGTGGTCTAAACCGAACCCAGGAAGAAAAAAGGTATCAGTGTCAGTATGAGTATCAATATTCATCTCAAATCCAGCCCTCAACCCCTAACAACACTATCAACAGCCTCGGCAAAGTAATCAATATTGTGCGTATTAAGCCCAGCCATGGAAATTCTTCCATTCTTAGTCATGTAGACGTGCCACTTCTCCCGGAGCGTCATAACCTGCGCCTCAGTCAATCCCGTAAACGAGAACATGCCAATCTGCGAAGTAATATGGCTCCAGTCACCAGGAGTGCCCTTCTTCTCAAGACGCTCGCGCAAACCAGCTCTCATCTCCAGAATCCGACCACTCATAGTACGCAGGTCATCCTCCCACTCACCGAACAGAGTGGGATCATTCAGGACGCGACTAGCAATGCGCGCACCATAAGCAGGCGGGTTGGAAATCTCCGAGCGCTGCAGGATAGCCAGCTGGGACGCAATATGGGCTGAGGCGGTGGCGGCATCGGGGCCGGGCGCAGAGACGAAATGGAAAGCGCCCGTGCGCTCGCCGTACAGGCCGAAGTTCTTGGCGAAGGACTGGGCGACGCAGAGCTCGAAGCCTTGCTCGACGAAGTAGCGGATGGCCCAGGCGTCGCGGGACAGATCGCCGGAGGCGAAGCCTTGGTAGGCTGTGTCGAAGAAGGGGAAGTGGGAGCGCGCGCGCATGGTGGCTGCGATTTGCTTCCATTGGTCTTGGGTTGGGTCAACGCCGGTTGGGTTGTGGGCGCAGGCGTGGAGGAGGATGATTGAGCCGTTGGGGGCGCTTTCGAGGGTGGACATCATGCCTTTGAAGTCGAGGCCTTTGGTTGAGGCGTGGAAGTAGGGGTATTTTTCGATGGAGAGATTGACGTTGGAGAAGATTTGATTGTGGTTTGCCCATGTTGGGTTTGAGAGGTAGATGGTTGGTTTTTGAGGGTGGAATTTCGAGAGGAAGAGGCCTCCCAGGTGGACGGCGCCTGTTCCTGAGATTGTTTGGAGGGAGCAGATCTGGTGATGTGTTAGTATGGATGGGCTTTCACAGGCTATTTGGGGGCTGGACAGGGCTGCACATACTCGCTTCTCCTTGATCGCAGGGCTGTCGGCGCCGACAATCAGCTTCTGGGCGGCAGAGGTGAACTCGGCCAGACCACCAATGGACAGGTATTCATGGTTGAGACTGGGGTCATTGTGGATGGCATTGTCAGCCTTCTTAACCACGGGCAGAATCCAGGGCTTTGCGTTGTTGTCGCGGTAGGCACCGATGCCCAGGTCGACCTTCTTATCGGAGGGGTCCTCGCGATAGGCCTTCATCAATCCAAACAGAGGATCTTCTGGCGCAGCAGCCACAGTGGCTGCGGTGAATACTGAAGCATTGGAGGAGCCCATGATGTGTGAGGAGATGGAGGAAAGTCGGTCGTGGGGGGAAGAAGAAGACATGTTATAAATGAGCAATAAGAAATACTTAATTTCCCCGGAATCTGACACCGAAACGGGATTTGCCTGTTTGCGGTCACCGAATGAGGGGGTGGGGAATCGCTGGTCAGCAAAATCACTTTCGGTTCTATAAGTTCTGTTCTAATGTATTCAGAGAGAGTGTGTGTGATCGAGATATCCGGCTGTCTTATATCGATTTTATCTATTGTCCTTATCCTCGGTCTCAACATACCGAGGAAGTCCGTAATCTCCCTAGTTCACATGCTAGGCAAGTGTAGCCGTCAAGTAAGTTATAGCCGTCCAAGTATCTAAGTATAAAAGCCTTACCCATATACACATCCCTACACACACACACACACACTCCCATCATAGAAAATTCTCCGTGACACCATGCCTCCGACAGGCCACACACGCCGACTGTGTGTCATACGCCGAAAAAGAACGCACTGTGGAGACTGGAATGTATCATATGTTTGGTCCGGATCAGGTGGTACACAGTCAATATTAACATTTAATCTTCTTCCTGTCCAAGTCTCAGAATGGACATACTAAACAGCTTTTTCCCTCAGGCGGATCTGAACATTGCTGATGTTACATGCGGAGTCAACAACGAATCGCCCGGAATAGCAATTCCAAGCAACCCCACACGAGAGACACCGGAGAGGCCAAGACCCGGAGAAGGAAAAAGGAAAAGAAACGGAGTAACGATTAAGGCGGACTTGATCCGACTCCAACCGTTCCCCACACCGGGTGGAAATTCCCCGACTATTGGAGATTGGAGATTCAGCATATGGTATGATGTAACAGAGGCACGATGGGGCCATGTTTATAAGTGTAATGTTATGGAAGTGATCTGAGGAGATCAAAACATAGAGTAAGTATGCCTAAAACAGTAAATATTTTATTTCATCAGCTTTATAGCCTCCATGTCAGGTGAAAGAGAAACAGATAGGAAAGTGGACGGAGAAGCGCACGTAGATAGGATCGTGCCTGGTCCTTCCGGTTTAGTGCTCGCCTTGCCGCTTTTTGCTCCTGAGTAAAACTGAGCACGCCCGTCGACATCATCGTGCACGGCCCATATTCACGTGCTTATTACATAAGCACAATGTCAAGCCCTGGAGGTTCAAGTTCCAATCTTATAAGGTTCCAAGGTTGCGCCCTCGATATTACCTCAGCAGCCTCATCCGCAAGCCCTAAGTAAACGTTAACTGTTATCCCCTTAATGAATGCCATTAATGAATGCCGTTAATATGAGATCGGCCTATCATTCAGCATTCATGCACCTCTACAAGGCTCTACAAGGCTCTACAAGGCTCTACAAGGGTATTGAGAATAAGGAGCGAAAGTTCTGAAAGAAATCAGAAATCCGCTCTCATTCCAAAAATTCATTTGCAACCATCACATAATTAAATAAGGACTCTGATTCAATTACAAGTTCACCAAGTCCTCACAGAACAGCCACCTGGTGGAAGACCCATATCCCTTCTGTTGCCAATCATTGACCGTATCAGGGAAGAAAGGGATCTTCCCCCTCAAGCTATAATCGTGAGCAAGAATAACAAATACATCATCCGATGCATCTAGCTCTTTGATTTTCTCCACCGTCTCCAAGGCTCTTGCATGATCCGTCGTCAAAGCAGAGGAGACCTGAAAGAACGCCTCATCCCCAGCCGAGGGACATGTTGCACACGCGCTTAATCCGGGAGGCGAGCGCTGGCCTGACGGTAAGGGACGGTATTTAGTCGGGCGAAGAACCCCCGGGTGATGACATGCATCCGCACCCATGAATACAAATGTATCCGGGGATGTGGTCACTCTGGCCAGTGCGCACATGTGCCCGATCGAATGGCCGGGAGCATTGAGGAGGTAGAAGGACCCATCACCAAAGTAGTCAAATGCGTCAAAGGAACCGACCTTGAGTGGGCTGTGGTCAAAGGAAATCTCGCAGAGTTGACGGCCCTTGATATCAGAGTCGAGAACTCGGCTGGCGGGGTTGGATGGGTACCCTGGCCAGGAAGATCGCAGGCCCGGGCCCACGACCAAGTTGGTGGACGGTGGAAAGGTGGAGGGGTCTCCGGTATGGTCAAAATGGTCATGGGACCACACAATGGCTTCGACTTTAGTACAACGGATATCTGCATCTGGGATGAGAGTAGTGTCAAGGATATCCGCTACATTTCTGGGGTTGCAGACTGTGGTGGTGGCTCTGATAAGTTGTGCAGCTGTGGGTGCCAAGTTTTGCCAGTCCAGTCGGACGCCTAGATCAAATAGAATATGGCGCTCGCCGCTTGATATCAAAAAGCAGTACGTTGGTACTGTGACTTTGTCAAGTCCGTTGAGTGCAGGTTGCCAGAAGAGGTTTGGCGTCAGATCAACGGTTGTGCCTCTAAATGTAGAAAGGGTCAAGATTAAATTATGTCCTATTGTAAAAGGACTTCAAACTCACGGATCGATAACCCTCACAAGGGCTGTAGATGATGACGAAGGGACCTCCAACCGAGGGGGCTGCACCGCTTCATTCAAACGAATTTGAACGTGCAAGTCCCATTGCTTAAATAACCACGAATTCTCCATCCTAAGTTGGACTGGCCCAATAGCGGATACCTTGTATCGCATTAAAAGAGCCGGAAACAGTTTTTTCATTTCAAAGATGGCGATATTCCTGCCGAGGCATGTACGTCGACCAGCTCCGAACTGCATCATATAAGTAAGCTTCCGCAACTCGAAGCAACGAGGAATAGAAGGCTTCGTACCGTGAGAATGCCATTCTCAAGTCTTCGACGGTCCATATCGTCAAGATTCAGCCATCTTTCCGGCCTCCATTCGTCTGCGTCATTACCGTAGGTATCTTTATCCCGGTTTACAATATATGGGCTCATGCCAACCACCGTACCTGCTGCAAGATAAGTTCCGCAAATGGTTGCGCCACCCTCAGGAATAACACGCTCAAAGGGCAAACAGAACGGGGGATGGAGCCGGAGTGCCTCCATAATGCATGCATCGAGATAGGGAAGCTCTCGCACCTCATGCCAGGATGGGTATGGCCGTGAAAGGCGCCCCTTCCGATGTGCATCAGATAGTTCCTGGACTAATGTGGCCATGGAATCCGGACACTGAAGAAGATAGCGCATTACAGCAGTCATGGCGGTTGCAGTTGAATCTGATCCGGCAAGTATATTGGAGAACGTCCAAGCCTTGGGGGCCCTAGGATTGATTGGTTAAATTTGCGGTAGTTCAGTTGTTTTGAGGCGAGACAGATTCATACCATGTAGGGATACTAGGGTCCTTGTTCTTAATTTCCAAAAACTTGGAGAGCATGTCCTTTTTCTCTAGTTCCTGTGGTGAAGGGTTTTGGCGTGCAGAAACAAATCTATCCACGACCCCAAGCACATTGAGTCCCGTAGTCTGTTTAAACATTGCAACTACGGGGTTTTTGTTCCAAACCCGATCAAGCCAGGGGATTTGGCCAATCTGGAAGAGACAGTCAGTACGAACTGGTAAATAGGCTAGTTTAACTCACCGGAGCAACGGTCTTCATAAAGGACCAAATCCCAGGTAATATTTCACGGTCATCCCTGCCTGTCTCTATAAGTCCGTGTCGCTCGCTGAAAGATAACATCCCCATCACATCAAAGGCAAAGAACTGCAACCATTCTGCAAGATCGAGTGACTGCCCTGTCACGCCGAATCGCCGATCAAGCTGTTGAAAGAGAAGCTCCAACGTTTGGTCTACAGCTGGCTCCGAGCCCACAATGCTGGTCATGGAATAGAGCGAAGCGATTGGCTTTCGGAGCTGCCGGTGGAGGGTTTCATCTTGTGTGTTGAATACCGCAGGAAGAATACCGTTCTTGCGCGAATATGGCTTCTGGGTTCGATAAAAGTCACTCTGCCCGAGTATATTATACTTAGCAAGAGAATGACAATCAGCTCACTGCCCTCTCACCTTTTGATACCCGGGTCGATGGGGGTATATTATAGACATGGCGCTGGGATCGGAAATGGATACCATGTTAGGGCCAAATCTAACAAGCTTGCCATATTTTTCGTGCATTTCGCGATGATATTCATGTGCTTTGCCGGATTTTACCCACCACACTCGTTGGAGGTTGGTGAATGCAGCAATAATTGGTCCTGGGACATGACTGAGGTACAAAAAGCTTTGGACCACTTCATAAAAAGCGTACAGAGCGAGCGTGGCAGCAGCCAGCGTGGACAAGTTCATCATGTCTAGAATGGTCATTTTTGGCTGTGTTCACTGTTCGGCTCTTCTCTTTGGTGACGGAGATACTGATTCGAAAAGGCGGGTTTTTTTTGGTGCCGAAGAGACCAGCAATTGACCCCCTTGCAATCTTCCTCGAGGTGAGCTATGATCTAAAAAGCAAATAAACGTGCAGTTGACATGATTTTGATGCAAGCTGTGAAGCCAACACCTACTCCACTATTTCTCGGGCTCGGGAGATGCCCATGCATGAACCTAATATAAGTACATTGAATGTGACATATCGCGCATATTCCTTATCGATAAAAGCAAAGAAAGCCTTGGAGCAAGCCAGCATGTATAGTAAGCTGCCTTTATTGATTCTGACCTGTGAGTCTACTGCAGTAAGGAAATGAGGTTACCTTGAATTACCAGGTATTTGAATGCCATTTTCAGTTTAGAAGAATATTCAAAAATAAAATACTCATTATCGGCCAATCTGTGAGCATCTTCATCATGTAGCGTATCGTCTCTCTCAAGCCCAAGACCCCCTACTAAATATAGAGTAGTCAGGGACGGAGAGAAACGATTTGATGGTAGATAGTCTTGTTTTCTCGACATTCTACCTGCAGCGTTCAATCTCTACATCGTAAGTCGGGCATCACTGCATCACAAATTGCCTTTTTGATAAGCACAAGTGCTAATTTGCTCACTGCTGCTCTGCTGTCCACCCAGAGTGAAGATATGCACGAGGGTATCACATCTGCAATAGTTGTTCACCAAGAATGCATCCTCATCACTAGGCATGCATTTTGTACAACTATGCACAATGACATGTTCGTTACTGCAATGTACAGTAGATTGGTATGATCACGATTTCATGTACAAAGACTAAACCAGTAGCCAGAAGTGTTTCTTTTTGAGAAAGTCGAATCCGATTCCGTTTCTTTTCAATCTACGCTCAAAGGGGATCTGGTTCCTTTCTAAACTAGTGGCAAGGTCTTTCCTATTGTCTTCTTTCTATTATTTATCCTTGTCAGCTTCGGAATGACCGGCCTTACTACCGTCTCGCAGCCTCCCCTCCGCCGTGTTGCTGCAACAGCTGGAGCAGATGTTATCATCAATATCCTTCAGGAGGACGGTGCGGTCGTTATCGAAAACTTCTGCGATTCAGGTGTAATCGACCAGCTGAATGGTGAATTGGAACCATATCTAGCTCGCGATGTCGACCTCTTCAAAAATTTAGCCGACTTTCACGGTCTGGGATCCAAGCGTATCTGCAATCTCCCCGCGAAAAGCGAGGCATTCCGGCAGAACATCCTGAATGATACCTTGGTGCATGATATCTGTCGAAAGATTTATTCTGAGCAGCAGAATGTTGACTATTGGTTGGGAATGGGAGCAATGCTGCAGAACTTGCCAGGCGGGGATAAGCAGGATTTGCATCGTGATCAAATGTTATTCCCTCTCTCCAAGGCACTTGGAGAAGCCGGACCAATGGTCATGATCAACTTCTTCTTGGCCCTGGACAATATTACTGAGGAGAATGGTGGAACCCGTGTCATCCCTGGCAGTCACTTGTGGTCGGACTTTAGTGACCATGGCGAAGCGTCTGTTCCTGTGGAGATGAAAGCCGGAGATGCGTTTCTTCTGGGTGGCAAGACAGTCCACGCTGCTGGCCAGAATGTAAGCCAGGATTCTATTCGTCGACTCATCATCTTTGGGTTTCAGCCGGGGTACCTGACTCCCTTTGAATCGTTTATGGGCATACCGCGCGACATCGTTGAGAGTATGACACCTCTTGCCCGAAGAATGATTGGTTGGGGATCACCCATGGTAGAGGGGTTGCCCGTGTGGACAATGGATTCTAAAGACATTGGGCTTTGGCGGGAGAGAGAAGGGGTTCAGCACAAGCTTAGCACTTAGTCGCACACTTGTCCATGAAATAAATCTCAGCCTAGGTAGCACCCAGGAGACAATTTCTTTCGGCATCTTTAGGCTCTCTTCTCTCGACAAGAAACAACTTGAAATATACTCCAAAACACCATATTTGCTACTACTGGTCTACATCATCAAAAGCCCTGACGGCGTTGAGGGATATAAACGAAGATAACGTAGATTTCAAAGGCCAAAAGGTGAGAGGCAGGCTGGGCGTTGCTAATACCCCGATCTTATATCTTTTAGCAAATCCTGGATTTCACCACCTATAATATATATCTGTACAGCCCACTAACCAAAGAAGAATTTCCATGCCTTCCATGGCTCCTTCATGAATGGGAGCTCTGGGGCTTGTGAAACGGTTGTGCGTTAACTCTTACTTGCCAAACGATTTGCCAAAGAAATGAAGTATGGATGGTTCTGGATTAAGTTGAAGATTACTGGTTAGGGGGCTTGTCAGAGGTGTTAAGAGTTATCAGGCCAAAGGTTCCTTCTTGACGGCAGAATCCTGTTAACAGTTAATACACTCTAAGGTTTATATCTGAAATGTCCCAGAAAGATTTAAAAAGCGGCTATTTCGACTGGAGATAACTAAATTTGTGTCTTGTCGACCCGATATTATAGACAACATTCAGATACTTCGATGATTGAATACTGCGTATTCCCCTCGGTAGCCCCTATCCTAGAAATTAAAGCCTTCTATTCCAAGTATGTCAGATCCACTCCATCGAGCTTTTCCTCTTCTCTCCATGCTTCAATGTACTCCACGTAGCTTGCTATGCCCTCTCCCCAAATTGCCATGCGTACCATCTTTTTCAAATCTTCTGCATTGCCTGACTGGCCAATTTTACCATAGCCGTTGAGGTATCCTGGCGTGCAACCAGCTATCCCTCGGAGGGCCGCCGCACGCGAGACAACCTGCATGGCCCAGTTCTCCTCTGCCTCTGCTGTTGGCTCTATAATAACTTTTGACATTACAGGACACTGTGCGCCAGCGTTCTCTTTTGCTTTCGAGAGAATGTAGGCAACATGAGTGGCGCTTTGGTCCAGACTATATGTCATGTTGGCGCATCCCCCGGCCTGAGACGTTCCAGGGAAGAACAGGTTAGGTAAATCCCGAGTCATTACTCCATGCAAAGTTGCGAGGTTGTTCTTCCACTTGTCTTCCATTGTAAGGCCGTGCCGGCCTACAACTGAAATATTCGCCCGCGATCCCGGGCTGACTCGGGTCGCCGCGACAGTGAACCCTGTGCTGAATATGACAGCGTCCAGTTCATATTCAATGCTGTCTGCCACAAGCCCTTTGGGTGTAAAGTGACTAATTCCATGATCTCGGATGTCAACCAGCTTCACATTTGGCTTGTTGAATGAGGGCAGGTAGTCATCATGGAAAGTCGGTCGCTTACACCACCCTGGATACCACGGAGCCAGAGCACTAGCAGATGCCGAGGCTTGAACGATATCATGAACACGGCCCCTGATCCTTTGCTGCCGGGTTCGATCCACCTCCTGCATGTGGTGGAAATAATCCGGATCAAGAGCCTGCTTTGACCCTATAAGCACACTGAAAGAGGGTATTTCTGTCCACCCATCAGCTACCATGTTGGTCTTTGGAGGTGGTTGCTGATTACAAGTGAAGGCATTGAAATTTTCCATCCTTCTTCGTTGCCATCCCTGGGGTTCAGACTGAATCTCGCTTTCCCACCACTCCGGGTCTGTTGAACGTTGTCCACGATGGTCCACTGACGAGGGCGTGCGTTGAAATACCACGAGTTCCTTACAGTATTTCGCGAGATGGGGAACTATCTGTACCGCACTGGCTCCAGACCCAACGATGGCAACCGTCTTGTCTCGCAACTTGGCCATTTCTGGGTTCTGTGGTGTGCCTCCAGTGAAGTCATAGTCCCACCGAGCAGTGTGGAAAAGTCTGCCATTGTATTCCTGAGACTTTGGGAATGCGGGTATTCTTGGACTGGCAAACACCCCTTGGGCGATGATGGTGAAGTCCGCAGTAAGCTGAACCGCTGTCTTGTGCTCGTCGTTTTCCCCGTGAAACCTCATTGCACACACATTCCAAACGCTTTTGCCTTCATCCCAATTCATTTCTTGGACAGCTGTCCGAAACATGGTTCGCTCAACAAGGTCCCATTTACGGGCGATGCGCTCAGCATGAGTTCTTATCTCTTCACCAGATGCGTATTTCTCGCCAGGCATGTATCCTGTCTCTTCCAAAAGCGGCATATAGATATAGCTCTCCGTGTCACACATGATCCCTGGATACCGATTCCAGTACCAAGTGCCACCAAACCCAGCGGCCTTATCCACAAGTACTATGTCATCTGCACAAAAAGTACCGCTTTGAATCAAGCGAACTGCAAAAAGAAGACCGCCATGGCCGGCACCAACGATGAGTACCTTGTGGTGGGATTGTTGAAACAATTTTGCCCGGTCGTTTTCGCTTTCTACTGTTGAATGGATCCAGGGATCATGTGCAAAGGTCTTGAACTCCTCGTCGATATCAATTTCAATATCTGACACCAGTCCATGGGATGTCATCTGAGTCAAGCGCTCCCGTTCATATTTTTTCTCGATGTCGATAGAAGCTTCTTGAATGCAATCTTTGCAGGGAGGGTCCGGGATCGACCTGCTGCAATAGCATACCGTGGAAGATACGGTCATGGTTGGCTCTGAAGCTAATTGATCTAACGTGAGGCAAAAAGCCGGAAAAAGAATATGGTTGTTTCCTTTCAATTTAAGGAGGTGAGGTTTGGGATCGAGAAGCGCACAGTATTGCAGACATTAATCTTGTATTTGGACACTGTCTCCTTCATGTAGTTCATAAATAATGGGCCATGCGCAAGTCGCTTAGTGAAATTCTATCCCATATCTCGGCCAGAAGATAGTTTCTATGCTCAATTGGTGGATGATATTGAAAGATGCCCCCACTGTAAATCAAAATCAAACCTTTGGAACGGAAAATACTCCCCAGTCCGTATACCTGGTAGGTCGATCCGTCGATCATTGTGATGAAAAAACTATATTGATAGGTGGTATGCATCAAAATGCTCCCAAGATTCGGTATGTGCTCAATCTTTTGCAAGCTAGACCAAGCCAACGTCGTACGTCACCCAGTCTGGTCCACAATTACTGCACACAAAGCTATTGGTGAAAGCAAGCTTGTAGTAACACCATCAGAGGAGCTCTTTTATGCGGAGGACAGTACTCCATACAGTACGTTGGGTGTGATACGAATGCACGAGCGGCATAAATTGACCAAAAGATTAAGCATACTGCATACAACACTGTACAGTACTCAGCTACCCTTGCAAAACGTGGCTGTAAAATTGGCGCCTTGTACATATTGCCTAGCATATTTGCTGCATTGGAAGGCGTTTTTGTATAGACCAATGTGATAGATCACAGATTATGCGAAGTACTACAGAAGCAGATAAGAGGCAACGTGCTAACTGATCAATATCGAGGTAGGATCATACCAATCCAGCGCTGAATCATGTATCATGCAAAGTACTATATAGCACAGTAAATTCAAACAAAAGCAGGCAAATTGCTAACCGATTCGCATTGAGGTAGAATCGCATCGACCGGTATGATAGATCGTATTACATGCGAGAACATTGAAGAAGCAAATACAACAGAGGAAACTTGCTAACCGATGGGGATCAAGGTATGATCATGATTGTTCAACCTTGTAAAATATTTGAACGTGATAATTCGAAATTTCATCCAACTCAGAAAGAGTAGTCTGCGAAGGGGCATAGCGGCCAATGTCCCAATGGACTTTCTGCCTTAGTCGATGCCTTGATGTCTTATTAGTGCCTTATTTTAAACAGGCAGAACTGAAAATACATGAAATACAATGACAGGTGTTACATTAAACCAAGTACCTAAAGTGCCCAAGTTCAATAAAATGAAGCTATCCCCACTATACAAAATATCATACATCCCTCGGACCAGGCGATAAATATGTTTTCTTCTCTCCTCCGCTCTTCATCTTTACCACTACCTTCGTCGCCGCTTTATATTTACCTCAAGGTAAACTTCCGTCCTCCGTCTTCTGTCTAGTCTTAACACTATAAATGAGTCTAAAGCCGTTGCTGTTGTATCCGCTTACCGCTTATAGCTACAGCCATAACAGTTTTTATCCGCATCTACTTAGGCGAAAATAGTTAGCGAAATCTATAAGAATAGTTCCCTCTCATTAGTCGAGCCAGCATCAAGTAAACATTCATTGATCCATCGATAGATAGCTCTATTTACAATACACTGCATAGAGCGGTCAAAAAAGGTCTAGAATCAGACATCAAGGCATCAGCTAGGCCAAAAAGAAAGTTCATTGGGACGTTGGCCGCTATGCCCCTTTGCAATATAGGACAGCTATCAGTTTCAATAGATTGAAATATTTGCTGTGCAGATTTAATGAAGCTTGCTTATCACCACTGTGTTCTATTTGGAAAAATATAGCTCAAAAATGAATCTATAATGCCTCTTTTACCGCTACAATGAGGCTTGCATATTCACCATCTCTGTGGGGTTTGATGTCCACAACCTTCAGACCAGTCGATTTCAATAACTCCTCCCAGCGGCTCCCAGCCCTTTCCTCAGCACCAAGAGAGGCTAACATAAGCATATCCATGCTAGTTGCGTACGGTTGGGCGTTTGTTTCTGGCAGAACAAACTCATCAATTACAACAGTAGAATTGGAATCCATGGCATCCACGATATGCTGCAATATTTCTTGACACTTGGCATCTGGCCAATCATGAAGAACTCCTCGGATATAGTAAAACTTGGCGCCTAATGTTTTATTAATGAGATAGGGTGTAGAAGCATTCATGAATGCAAGCAAAAACTAACCTTTAACAGGCTGAGGTTGAAAGATGTCATGAACCATTCTTTCCACCCCCTCAGCGGTTGTTGGAGCGTCGATGACCCTCTGCCTGTCTTGAACTATCATCCGACCTTGCAGATCAGGATACTGAGCTCGAAGTCGAGCACCTTGATGACCAAGTCCTCCTGCCACATCCACGAACAGGACATCATCTGGGGCGACTTGCTTGTCCATCAGAGCGTACAGGTTAGCCCAGTTGGTCAGGTTGTTTCCGCAAAATGCCATATGCTTGTCGAAGAGTTCACCCTTTTCTGGGAAGGCATCGCTGTAGGCAAACGGATCACCTTGCCAGTTAGTTACCTCGTGAAAGGGGAGTTTAGCACAGCCCGCTGGATCCGCGTATGAGGATTTAGCGAGGTACTTGGGCAACTCATAAAAGATTGGAGTGAGCACTTGGTAGCTGGAAAATATCGAAACAATCAGTTTTGGCCCAATCAATACATAAATATACTTATATATTGATGTAGGTGAGTGTGCTTCTCATCATCTTGCACATTGAAGAGGGGGAAAAGATAACCTACTATGCCTCCACAAAGTTCTCGCCTTTTGGGGAGTCCAACGCGCGAGTAACATTGTTAGCAGTGAACACTTCAGCTTCGGGCTGATCAATCATCTTCATGCTTGCCAGGTAGCGCAGCACACGTGCTACGAGCTGAGTATCAGAATAGGGCTCATCCGTTGTGTGCACTCAGGGGCTTACCTAGCAAACGGCGATCTGCTCCTGTAGTTTCGGTGAGACTGTCCAAGGTCTGCGGTGAATCTTTCGATGAAAGGAACTTGAAGACCTTCAAGTCCAAACCCATTTTTGCTCCGCATAGCTCGAGTGGCTGACATATTCGTTAGTCTGGGATGGATCCGCTGTTCATGGTGTGGGATCTTGGGTAACCTACTGCAACCGCAACCCTTTCCAATGTTTCATCAGGAGTTTCCAATGAAATTGAAGTAGTGCGTAAGGCGGTGATAAAAGCCTTTCGCTCGCTGCCCTTGACAGTGTCAGCGAAGGATGTAATTTGGCTGATAATTTCCTCCATGATGCGTTGAAAGCAGGCTCGAGGATTGAAGAACAGAGAAGGATGCAAGTGGACCAAATACCAAAAATACTATTAGAGCCTTTAAGAAAAAAACGCAACAATCTAGTGAGATATTTATAGACATAGTCGGGGATCAAGAGGCGGAAATCCCGCCTTGCATATATTGATGTGATGCACGAGCTTCTGTGAAGGCTTTCCGACTCATGCATCATCAGCTGGAACTGACAGGGGACTAACCTTTTTGGCGGCTAACAAGAGTCTGTGGCGAGGTTCTAGCCCATAGACCAAAACCTCTGTACTGTACAGTATGCAGTTGACGAGGGCAGATACGACCCTGTCGGCTAAATCACATCACGTTGCACCGAGGTTTGCCTTTTATCATTTTGACGGAATTGGTAGATCAGATTATTTTCTTGTCACTGAAATACTTACTGCCTGTATTGATACCCAACCATGCGGGATAAATTATACCATGAAAGCTACGGGCGATAGATATTCGAGTCCTCCGATGACATATTACTCAAGAGATCATGGCAGGAGCTTGCTTTGACTAATTTCTCCTGACAAAATAGTGTATTTGTTGAGATTTGCTGCCGCATACAGTATGTATTTCATACGACCTTGGTTCACCATGGCGAGCCCTGGATGACATTGACCTATTCGTGGGGAATCTTGCCACAGCAACGCAGTATGTAAAATCTAGCAAATAATTCCTAAAGAGATACCAGGCGCATAAAGATCTCGTCATAAATGCGTAATAATTGCGCAACAGCTCTTGGTACACAAAATGTTAGCAAATAGAAATTTGTGGTCCATCTTTCTGCTGACTTGAAATGAGATGCTGTACAGGAATGTAGATCCTTCAGTTAATAGAAAATATCCGCGTGATCTACGCTGCGCACAATCTATCGATCTTGTACATTATCTATGCATCCATGGATGCTATGCGGCTTACTGTACATTGTCACATCAATATATCGGCATTGGGCTGCATTCACTTAATTGCCTTGTCTAGCAAAGAGAACGAGGCACAGGAACAGCCTACCGAAGCACTGTGTGGTATAGTTAGACTGTGAAACTGGAAAAGTCGATGAGAGCTGCAAGGGCCTGTTTGGCAATTGCCACATTTGGTTCTTCATTGGCTTGAGCCATCTGTGTGATCTAGTATTTCATGAATGTAGTTCCCCTTCAATTGAACCAAATTTTATTATACACACTTTCATCAAACTACTAACTTACTATTTATCATGAGACTTTGCGCTGAGTGCCCCGAAGTAGGCTATCGTGTTCTTTTTGGACCGCAATGCACCGAAATCGGAGAACAACTCACTCGTATCAGAGATGCCCTACAGAAATACCCATCGGAGCTGAATTTCCTTCATGAAATAGTAAACGAGCTTCCATCGCTATGGCCTGTCATTACAGGTGCCTGTCCAGCACTGGAAAGCTTACCTGGCGAGAGGGATCTAATTTCACTGGCCCAAAGTATGAACAAGGAATCACCGGCCGGTCCTGTGGGAGAACCTTCGAACATCATTCTCACTCCTCTCACCGTTATGGCACATATATCTGAGTTCTGGCAGCTCCAAAATGTTGCCACGCATCCAGCATTCCAATCAGGATCATCCACAGCCTCCTCGGCTGCACTTCCGAGGATAATTGATGCTCAAGGATTCTGTGTAGGTTTCCTCGCAGCGGGTGTTATCGCTAGCTCACGAGACGCGCGTGAGTTTCAATCCGTGGCATCCAATGCAATCAGACTGGCTGTCTGCATCGGAGCGTTGGTCGATTTGGATGAAATGGTGTCTGGTGAGGCTACATCTATGGCAATAAGATGGGAGTCCGAAGAGATGTATGCCTATCTTCAACAGATATTAAATCAAGACCCAACAGTAAGTAATTCTCCACTGAAAAAAAAAAAAGCCAAGCCAAAGCTGAGGACCACCTTAGGTGTATATTTCCTGCAACACGGATGTGAACAGCGCTACTATCACGCTTCCCGGTCAGATCACAGAATGGATGAAGCAGCAGCTCAATGGCTCTGGGCTGCGGTCAAAGCAGATTTCTCTACGGGGTCGTTTTCATCATCCCCAGGCGCATGAAGAAGGCGTTCTGCAGATAATGCAGCTGTGCAATAAGGACCGTCGCTTTCAACTCCCCAATAGTGATACCTTGCCATTTCCCCTTCGATCCAATCAAGACGGCGAGGTGATTGAGCCGGGGACATGGTTGCACACCGTTGCCCTGGAGGCAATTCTCTGTGCAAAGGCAAACTGGTGGAAAACCATATCGTCACTGCTCAATGACTGGGAATTGGGAGTTGACGAGTCCTGTCTGGTGTCCATTGGCACAACGGAATTCGTTCCACAATCTGCCCGAGGTCGACTGGTGTCCCAAAACAGCATTCCCATGGTATGTGGAAAGCACAGTCCGGTCGACGAGCAAACACCAAGTGTTTCCTCCACTTCATTCCTGAAAGAAGAACATGAGGTCGATGCCCCCTCACAAAAGAGCCAGATGATGCCGATTGCCATTACGGGAATGTCTTGTCGATATTCTGGCGCAGATTCTGTGAACGACTTGTGGGACTTGCTAGAGCTGGGCCAATGCAATGTGCAAAGGGTCCCCGAGCAGCGGTTCCGGATGACAGAGCTCCAGCGAGAACCCCGCGGTCCTTTCTGGGGCCACTTTCTGGAGCATCCAGAAATGTTCGATCATCGCTTTTTCGGCATCTCAGCGAGAGAGGCTGAGTCCATGGATCCGCAGCAGCGCTTGTTGCTTCAGGTAGCATACGAAGCAATGGAATCTGCCGGTTACTGCGGATGGCAGCAAACCAAGCCCCCACAGGATATCGGGTGTTATGTTGGGGTAGGCTCCGAAGACTATACAGAGAATGTAGCATCTCGTCATGCAAATGCCTTCTCCGCCACAGGAAGCTTGCAGTCATTCATCAGCGGGCGCACTAGCCATTTCTTTGGGTGGACGGGACCTTCAATCACGATAGATACAGCATGTTCGTCCGCAGCGGTGGCGATACATCTAGCATGCAAAGTAAATAATATGTCCACTCCTCTCCCAAGAATGCTGACTGACCACAATGAACAGGCCCTACAGACACAAGAGTGCTCGATCGCGGTAGCCGGTGGCGTCAACGTTCTCACTAACCCTAGAGTGTACCAGAATCTTGCGGCCGCATCATTCTTGTCTCCTACAGGAGCGTGTAAGCCATTTGATGCCACTGCTGATGGATACTGTCGTGGAGAGGGAGCTGGAATCGTTGTGCTACGTCCTTTGCAAGATGCCATTGACCACGGGGACCCCATACTCGCTGTGATCACTGGCTCAGCCGTTAATCAAGGCTCCAACAACTCACCTATCACAGTACCTGATGCGCTGTCTCAACGAACACTTTATGACAAGACGTTGTCTCTTGCGGGGGCAACTCCCGAGCAGGTTACGTACGTGGAAGCCCACGGAACTGGTATGGAATTCCACTGCTGTTTACCTTTCATGCATCCGTTCTTGATAGCTGATATGCTGTGATACAGGTACGCAGGTTGGCGATCCAATCGAGTTAGACAGTCTCCGCAGGGCATTTGGTGACCCTCAACGGCGACAGGATCTATTTGTCGGGTCCATTAAAGGCAATATCGGACACACTGAGACGTCCTCGGGAGCTGCCGGTCTGCTAAAGACGATTCTGATGCTGCAAAATCAACGCATTCCGCGACAAGCTAATTTCACAAGGCTGAATCCTAAAGTCACCCCGCTTGATCAAGACCGGTTGATAATTCCGGTAAAGTCAGCTAAATGGCAAGCAGATGCACGATTGGCGATGGTTAGCAACTATGGAGCCTCAGGGAGCAATGCTGCACTCGTGGTGAGGGAACACATTTCCAAAGAAGGTCATACACCCAGCTATATGCTGGATGTTCCGATCTTAATTTGTGCGCAGTCGAAAGACTCCATCAAGGCGTACTGCGGTGCCCTGCGCTCGGCCCTCTTGAGCACTTCTATCACAGTTCAAAACCTCGCATATAATCTCGCGATGAAGCAGAACAGAGACTTGTCATTCTTCTCTACTTTTTCGATTTCATCGAACTCAGAGTCCCTGGCCGCCCGTTTGGAGGCTATTGCTACGGGCGATTCTGCAGATCTTTTGAAGAAGCGACCGGCCAGCGAGCCCCGTGTTATTTTGTGCATTGGTGGTCAAACTGGTCAGAGGCCGTGGATTTCAAAGCTCTTGTTCGACAGCTGTGCCCTGTTGCAGAAACATCTTTTGGACTGTGAGCAGGTGGGTGAGATGCTAGGGCTCCCCAGTCTCTTCCCTACGATATTTGAATCAGAGCCAGTCACGGACATGATTCACTTGCATTTCTTGCTCTTTTCAATTCAGTACGCATGTGCAAAGGCATGGTTGGACTCTGGACTTCGCGTCAATCGCATCGTGGCCCATAGCTTCGGTCAGCTCACTGCTCTATCGGTGGCCGGTACTCTGAGCCTTCACGATGGTATTTTCTTGATCTCCGAGCGTGCTCGTCTAATCCAGACCCGCTGGGGCCCAGATTCCGGCACAATGCTTGCCTTCGAGGGCCCCAAATCGGTTCTTGACGAGCTACTCATTCAGACTGGCCATTGTGTTGATATTGCCTGCTATAATGGGCCGCAGCAAATAATTTTGACTGGCGCAGAGGAATCTATACGAGCTTTCGAGAACTCCGTCACTGGAAGTATTTCAGCAAGCAGTGTCAGACTGAGACGACTAAACATCACTCACGCATTCCACTCCAGACTCATGGACAGTATTACTCCAGGCCTGATGGGGGTTGCACAGTCACTGACCTACATGAAACCGACAATTACCATTGAAAATTGTTCCATGAGTGGTGACTGGTCGACAGTCACACCCTCAAAAATTGTCGAGCACAGTCGCGGCACCGTGTACTTCCAACATGCCGTCGAACGGATAGCTCAAAGTATAGAAGGTCCAGCTGTCTGGTTAGAAGCTGGATCTGGCTCACCGATCATTCCAATGGTCCGCCGAGTGTTGGATAACCTCTCTGGGCAACATGTGTATTGCAAAGTTGACCTCAGTGGGCCTGAAGCCGCAAGGAATTTGGCAACTGTTACTAGTGACCTTTGGGCGCAGAATATCCGCGTTCAATTCTGGCATTTCCATAAGCAGCAGGGAGGCACTTTCACCTGGATGAATCTTCCTCCATATCAGTTTGCGAAGACAAGCCACTGGGTAGACTTTGAGCCCAGTGCGTTTTCGCCCCCAGCCTCATCGACGGTTTCTCATCCTGCAAGTCAGCAGCGAACCGGTCTCTTACACCAACTGAGCAATGGACCGGACAAATATTTGTTCGCTGTGAATACTGGAGACGCGTTGTATCGGTCATGCACGCAGGGACACGCTGTTCTAGACCAGCCGCTGTGTCCTGCATCAATGTATATGGAGCTCGTGCTGCGAGCGACGGCTTGTCTCTCCACTGTGGATGAAACATTAATCCCATCGGCATCTCACATTGAGGACCTCGTCATTTGTTCCCCATTGGTTCTGGATCCACCAGGGGATGTGCATGTGGAACTATCGCCTCACGGACCAAGCTCGTCCAAGGTGTGGTCTTTCTCCATTTTCAGCAACGGCGGACAGACTCGTGATATAGCGACTCACGCCAAAGGAGTCGTTTCCCTTTTGCAAGACAACTCCAGCTCTATGTCCTATTTCCATTCCATGGGGAGATTGGTAAATCATTCCAGAGCCAAAGCAATCATAGAGCGACCGACTTCAAGTGGACTGAAAGGTTCAGCAGTCTATTCAGCGCTTCGGGAGGTGACCAACTATGCAGATCACTTTCGTGGCGTCAGTCAAGTGTTTGCCGATGACTGTGAGGCCACTGGAATTGTCACGATGGCACCCCATGCTACTGAGACAACCTGCAATCCCATTATTCTAGACAACTTTCTGCAGGTTGCGGGTATTCATGTTAACTGTCTTTCTGATCGCCAAGCGGACACAGTCTTTGTGTGCAACGCTATTGGGAAAACTTTCATCAGCAAACTGCTAATCGGGAAAATTAGCGGAGCTCTCTTGCCATCCTGGACTGTATACACCAATTACGTCCGACAGGCAAAGAATCAGATAACGTGTGACGTATACGTTAAAGACGGCTTGACGGATGATCTGGTGGTCGCGATGATGGGTGTTTTCTTCACGCCTGTGTCGATACGGTCTCTCACCCGCACACTGGCGAAGCTGAACAATAACAGTTTCGAAGATGCAAAGCCGACCCCTGTGTGCAGCGTTCCGCCTGAGACACAGCCATCAAAGAACATGCTGAGCCACGAAAAAGTCACCGCCGAGGTCAATGTAGACCGTGATCTTGCAGCTGTGCAAGATATGTTTAGCGAAATATGTGGCGTTGATGCGAACGAGTTATCTCCTGACACTTCATTAGTTGATATTGGAGTGGATTCTCTTTTGAGCACCGAAGTGCTGTCGGAAATCAAGAAACGATTTCAAATCGACTTGGCATATTCAACCTTGGTGGAACTACCAGATATCCAGAGCCTTGCGAGGCATATATTTCCAGGGCGTTCCAACGTAGCCTGCTCGCGGCCTGTTGCTGAGGAGCCACTACCTCGTGGATCTACCATGTCGCATACTGGACCTGTTGTCAGTATCAACGCTCACGACAGACCGTCGCTAATCTCAGTGGCTCATCAATGTTATGAAGCAACTCGCACAGCAGTGTCCCACGCGGATGATGCGAATTGGACCAACTTCTTTCACTGTGTCTATCCTCAACAAATGATGCTCATTACGGCGTACATTGTAGAGGCATTCAAGCTGTTGGACTGTCCGCTAGAGTCTTACCAGCCAGGGCAAGTTGTCCCAATTGTATCTGTTGTGCCGCATCAGGAAACCCTCAGGAACCACCTGTACTCTATTCTGGAGTCCTTCAATCTGCTCTGCCGCAATCCAGGAGGAGAGCTTGTGCGGACGGTAACGCCCCTTTCTCCGCTGTCGTCACAAGTCTTGCACACTCAGATACGCAGCGAGTATCCCGCATACGCATTGGAGCACGACCTCCTCCAGATTACAGGTCCGCAGCTGGCAAACTGTCTTTCTGGTCAAGCAGACGGAGTATCGCTGATCTTCCGTGATGCCCAAACCCGGCGTTTGGTCGGAGACGTCTATACCGACTCCCCAGTGTTCAAGTCGGGTAACCTCTATCTCGCGCGCTATCTCATGGATGTAATTCGAGGTCTTGGGGACAGTCAACCGATCAGGATCCTCGAAATTGGCGCCGGTACTGGAGGCACTACCAAGTTTCTTCTTGATCAGCTCATGAACATATCCGGAAATACTAACCGCATTCAATATACTTTCACGGACATCTCCTCGTCACTCATAGCAGCAGCACGGAAGAAGTTCGCCAAATACGACTTCATGCAGTACATGACTCTGGACATCGAACAGAATCCGTCTTCGACCTTACATGGCCAGTACGACATCGTGCTGTCGACAAACTGCATCCATGCTACACGGGATCTTGCTCAGAGCTGCTCGCATTTACGTACTCTTCTGCAGCCTAACGGAATCCTATGTCTCGTCGAGCTGACACGCGACATCTTCTGGCTAGATCTCGTGTTCGGTCTGCTCGAGGGCTGGTGGCGGTTTGATGATGGCCGTGAGCATGCTTTGGCGAGTGAACAGCTCTGGCATCAGAAACTTCGCCAGGCTGGCTTTGACTGGGTAGGCTGGACTGATAATGAGAGCGTTGAATCGAATGCGCTGCGTGTTATCATTGGGTCACCGTCAGGAGTGCCTGGACTTACTCAAAGCATTCCTACCAAGCCGACGAAGCTGGAAACCGTTTCCTGGGCACGCAGAAGCAATCTTGACTTGAAGGCGGATATATATTATCCTGATGAGATTGACGTTTTGCGGACTCCCCGTCCAATTGGTAGGAGTGTTCACATGTCATATGCTACAACCCAGTATCGCTAATACCTCTGTTCAGCTCTAATGATCCATGGGGGCGGTCATGTTACACTCTCGCGCAAGGACATTCGCCCGTCCCAGACTCAAGTTTTGCTCCGCGCCGGGTTCCTACCCGTCAGTATTGACTACCGACTCTGCCCAGAGGTCTCTCTACCAAATGGTCCTATGGCGGACGCCTGCGACGCTCTCCGTTGGGTTCGCAACACCCTGCCAAATCTGCCCCTCCTGCGCCCAGATATTCGACCAGACGGCAACCGCGTTGTAGTTATCGGATGGTCTACCGGTGGTCATCTCGCCATGACCCTACCGTGGACAGCCCCTGCTGCAGGTATTGCTCCTCCAGATGCTATTCTTGCCTTCTATTGCCCCACAAACTATGAAGATCCGTTCTGGTCGCGCCCCAATTTTCCTTTTGGGAAGACGGTCGCACCCAACGACGTGGAGTACGATGTCTGGGAAGGCGTGCGTGCTGCCCCGATCGCTAGCTATAACCCACCGCCACAGGAACGACCACTGGGGGGATGGATGTCAACGAAGGATTCACGCAGCCGAATTGCATTGCACATGAACTGGACAGGTCAGACACTGAATATGCTTCTCAAGGGGTCCATGCATATGAACAAAGAAGATCCCATCCCCCGTCCTACTGAAGAGGAGATCCAAGCGGTCAGTCCGCATTACCAAATCCACGCTGGGCGGTACCGCACGCCGACCTTCCTCATTCATGGAACAATGGATGACCTGGTTCCCTTTGCGCAGACAGAGTCAACACATGATGCCTTGGTGCAAAACGGCATTGAAGCAGAGATCAGAGTGTTAAAAGAGGCCTTGCATCTGTTTGACTTATATCCCAGTTTCCACACGTCCGAGGAAGCCAGGAACGCTGTGGCTGATGGATACGAGTTCCTTAAACGGCATGTAGGACTCTAGGAATAGTCTATTTTTGCTTTCTTTCCAATAGGAATTTAATAACCTCTCATCATCGCTTGTTCCTCGAGAAATACCATTGTATTCAGATCATACTCGAATATTTTTATTTAATTCCATTGACGTATTCAATATTACATATCACATCTAAGAAACTGGCTGATGACGCTCCAAGGCGGCCAAAATAGACAAAATATAACACCAGCTCGAGCCAAGATCATAATTGCTACTAGGATGAGATTCCAAAATTGCATTTACTCACAAGTCAACCGCAAAATTTATACATGTAGGTTTTCTATTCCAATTAATTGTACTTGGACCTCTTATATCTTTCTTGCTATCCCATCCAACTATGAAGCCTTCTGTCATGCGCTTAGCATTCATATCTATCCTCTAAACACAATTATCAGACCACAGAGAAAGAAAAATCCAGCCAAGACTCCAGGTAAAAACGAGCTGGCTTTGGGTTTGAACTTTTCCCATCCCGATCCTGAGCGTTTTGAAACTGGCAGCATGGCCAATGTGACCGTGTTCGCTATATCAACTGATGCCCAGTCCGCTAACTTATCCTTCATATAAGGTAGCATAAGACGGCCCAAGAGCCTTCTGAATATTCCCTCCCTGGCCTGGAGGCGCATGGCCAACCGCGTGGTTTTGTCGATATCTGCTAAGCGACCAATCCGCTGTTGTTTCAGTTGTTGGAAAATTTGGCCTATCTCAAGAAGGGAGGGCTCAGAACTCCCTTTACGGGCAAAATATTCGTGTAATTGATTACTGAGGCATGCCGCGTCTTCTATGGCGCAGTTGGCACCTTGACCTGTGTGTGGTGCAATCTAGAATGGCTGAGGTCAGTGGCTGCACATATAATGTATATCCTGAGGGGGTTCATGGTTATATATGTACCTTGTGCATACTGTCGCCAATACAAACTATCCGCCCCCAATCCCACTGGGAAAAAAGGACTTCCTCCAGTGGTGCCATGTTGAAGGCCTCTCGTTTGTCCCAGAGGTCGCCAAACTTTACATCTCCCCAGTATGGTTTGTCGTGCAATCTCTCACAGTAGGTAGAAGCATCCTGAGCAGAGAAGCGTGGAGCGGTGCCATACATATACTTTTTGTCGAGTTTGATAAACAGAAACCAGAAGGTCCGTCCCTTTTTTCCGATGACACTTAGGATACTCCAGCCGTCATTGAGACAGGTAATTTGCTGTCCGGGCTGCAGATCTGGGTTTGGCGATGAGATGCCGTAAACACAAGCGTACTCAATTGTCATGTCTATCCAGGACGTCAGATCTGTTTATGCCTATCGCTTCTCTGGGGAGATGATTATATCTGACCGTTTTTGCCTTCTTTGACGCTTCCTGGCACCATCGAATTCCTCAATCGCCACATTTCTTCTCGTACCTTGCTATGTACGCCATCTGCTCCCACAACGATGTCACCGTCATAGCATGAGTTGTCCTCTACTTGGACAGTGACATGACTTTTGTAATGCTGGATCTCAGTCACCTTCTTTCTGGTGAGGACTTTACCGTCATTTGGAAGCGATTGATGTAGAATCTCTAGGAGCTTCTGGCGGTCAAGAAAAGCGAGTGGGAAACCAAAGCTTGTAGGAGTTAGAATGGGGAGTAGAAGAAAGAATCACAGTCAGGGGATATAGCGCACCGTTCTCGCAAAATCTTTGGATACTGACTTTGGAAACTAAATCCATCAGGGTACCGCATATGAGCCGAATACAGGGGCTCAACAAGTTCTTCGATCTGATCATATAGCCCTAATTGATCTAGGATTCTCCCACCATTTGGCATTATGCCAACAGATGCACCCTCCTGAGGCGAGATCTCATCTCTTCGCTCTAAAACAACATAGTCAATTCCGAGCCGATGCAAACAATGGGCAAGGGTCAATCCGGCTATGGATCCGCCGACGATGATCACTTTGAACTGTTTTTTAGACATTGTCGTCGACCCTTCCAGATCATCTGCTGTGTCTTGAGTTATCGAACGGGATTGAATATCCATATAGGGGGACAAGGACCGAACCCTGTACCAGATGGCTTTAAGTGTTGCTGTATTTGCTTTTTGGGTTTCTGTTATTCATATTTCACATTTTGTTTTTCACATTTTATTTTTCACATTTTATTATTAAATTTTCAATATTAATTTCTTTTTCTTTTCTGGTGCATGATCTAGTGCATAATGTTCAGATTTAATTCTTGGTTTATGCTTCATGCAGTGAGATCTACTTGCATCACTCAAGCCCCCTCGGTCCTCCTGTCCTCGAGGTATTGGCTGGATCATAACGTTGTACCTTATCACAATGTTGGTTCCTCGCATTTCAATTATTCTTGAACTGCGAATGAACCTCTCATAGAGCTCCCACGCCCCCTTCGGATTCCGACACATACGTACTTGCTCATCTCTGCATTCTGCCCTTACTCTCCCATTGTTACATCTTTTAATTGTTCAGTGCAAAGAAACGGAAGAAAGATGCATCGTCATGAATGGATCGAGCGATCAAACTCACATCACCTCGTTATAGACCTGATTCAGACCTCGCGGTATGACCGCTACATGCCCTACTACACGATATTTGCCGCCGGTAAGAAGTTCTGCCCCGATTTTGTCACTTGCAAGCAATACCCGAAGATCATTTCTTAATTATGCAAAACAGTGTGGGCTACATTGATTGCAGGTGCTCTCAAGTTGCAAGAGGCCCGCAACAGTATCTCCGTTGAGCACATTCTCATTCAAGCCATGCTTTCCTCTCTACACTGCCTCCTCTTATGCGGTGCCGGAAACACATGGAACGATTTGGTAGACCGAGATATTGATGCGAGGGTCGCTCGAACAAAATCCAGACCATTGGCTTCCGGACGGGTCTCCACTATCCAGGCGCTGGGGTGGATGGTCGCTCAGTATGCACTCTCGGTGCAGATTCTAGTTTGGATATTGGATGGGCAGAGGACGTATGTTTTATCAGCCATTCTTCCCATGAACTCGAAAAGGCTGACCACATCTTTTCATATTTCAGTTGGAGCCTCATGATCCCACTAACAGCCACCATCACCGTGTACCCATATCTGAAGCGACCTGTCTTCAGTAGGGTCTACATCTATCCCCAATATATCCTCGGACTCGCCGTTAGCTACCCGGCAGTGACAGGCTGGGCTTCAATTAATGGGAAAGATCAAACGGGGGCTGATATCGTCAACCATTGCATACCGATAGTGCTTCTTGTCTTCTTCTGGTGCTTCTACTTCAACACGGCTTATAGCTTCCAGGATAGCGTCGACGACCGCAAGATGAAAATCAATTCTGCGTATGTCTTTGCTGGCAGCCGCATCCGTTTGTTCCTCTTGTTCCTAAGCATCCTGCCTATCGTGACAATTCCGTTTGTGGCTTCGAAAATCAATTCTCCTTGGCTGTGGTTCTCGTGGATGGGAGTTTGGCTCGGTGCCATGGTAAAGCAGATTGTTCAGTTTGATTCGGCAAAACCAGAGAGCGGCGCCCGAATTCATTGGGAAAATTTCCTTTTGGGTATATGGACTACTTCTGCTTGTGTGGTTGAGGTCTATTTACAGAAAACAGGGTTTTGGGATACTGTTTAGAAGGAAAGAAATTTTGCATCGCGCAGAGCTACGTCGGATGGCGTGCATTTTTTTTCCACTCACGGGGAACAAGACAAGAGAGGGCTCCAGTAGTACTGTATGCGATGGGGGAGCATGATAAGAGGGGTTTCTTGAATAGACTCCCTAATTTTGAGAAAATAGTCTGAAAAGTGTTGAAGAGGTTCTTTGGAGCAGCAAAAAAGTATAACTTAGATAGAGAGGCCCAATAGACTGACTCGTATTACTGTACAGTAGAGAAGCAGCCCTGGACGCTTTTCCTGGACCACATTGATTGCTGCTCTTGACGGGGTTGACTTGTGAGTCAACGTTGATCATTTCATAATTGCTCCATATGATCACTTGTGATATCTCACAAATACCTGTATTGTACAGTACAGTAAGTCTGGGGCCCTTTCAATGTGCCCTGATGCAATGGTGGACATAGGACGCAAGCCACCGCGGTTCAGGGCGGCTGTTTATCACCTAGGGCTGTGCGTCTAAGTCAACTGGATACATCATGAGTCTGCAACCCTGTATTCACGTACTTATGCAAGTTTCCCATATTTGTATGAAGTGAGGTGTGGGTAAATCAATAGTGATATGCTGTGATAACGCATCTTCGGCAGGGCCACTCAACCTACATTTCAATCCTGCTGCCAATTAGGCAGCTAGAGATGCATAACTTCGACCATGGAACGTGGGCCTGGGCTCCAACTCCCTTACAAAGTCAACAAACATTAAACCGCCGCCCCAACCTTAGTAGCGAATCATTCATATTACACGTATTCCCACGACCTTATTGATACCAGTTTAACTTCTCTAAACAAGATTTGTTGATACCAAGCGCACTTGTAATGGATTGGTTCAGTGGTGCTCCCCCGCCTCCAGAATACCAGGCTGTTGCGTGGTTGGTGAATATTGCTACTGTTGTTGAGACTGTTGGTTGGACAATCAACTATGGTGAATCGATCTATAGATCGGTAAAAGACCGTACCTATGGGATGGCCATATTTCCGATGTGTTTGAATCTATCATGGGAGATTGTCTATACCTTGGTCTATCCTTGCAATGACACTTATCAATGGATCATGATCATCAGCTGGTTACTTGTGAACCCGGGAATCGTGCTATCTGCGATTCGATATGCGCCAAATGAGTGGCAGCATGCTCCATTAGTCAAGGACAATATCCGACTCATATTTTTCCTGACAATAGTAGCTTGCATCCTGGGCCAGCTGGCGGCTGCTGCGACCCTTGGACCAGGTGTTGCTGCAACAGTGATAGCTTGTCTCTGCTATCTTTTGCTCACTGTTGGGTCCCTATGCCAGCTTCTGGTTCGTGGCAGCTCTCGGGGTACTTCTTACACAATGTGGTGAGTGATGTTAACGCCGCCCCTTGGTCCCAATCATTCATACTCAGGTTACTCACCAATCAATATAGGGCTTCTCGGTTCCTCGGCAATCTTGCGGCTGGTCTCAGTGCACATTTGAAGTTGAAATACTGGCCACAAATTTTCGGCTTCTTGGATAGCCCCCTAATGACATGGTTTGTCGCAATTACTACAATAGTGGAGTTATGCTATCTCTTTGTCTTGCGCCATATTCAAGCCAAAGAGAGTGCAGATCGTCAAAACCTCCTAATTACCGACAAGAAACGATGATTGGTTCGCAAATATCAGGATCATGGAGATATTGGGGACTGGCAGGGTACTTAGCAGCTCAAATTCAGCATTTGAGATCTGAAGAAGACAATACGAAATTATTCGGGTGTTATATCAGGTCGTGTTCATTTCATATACTAGTAGACTGTTAATGGCATTTATGTCCCACTTCTAACGTACTATTCACGGCTCTATTGTAGTGATTATTGTTATATGCTTGTCATTCAGATACAATTGTTTATCCAGAGTGGACTTTGACCTTTCAGAAGCCTCACCTGGAATTAACGACCTACAATTGACTCGTAGAGATCTCCAGCGGTCCTACGGTGTTGGTTCCCGACGACCTAAGATACTTCCTGCTCTTGAACCTGAGTGCTTGCCCGTGCTGGACTTAATGTACTCCGAATTAGGCCAGTCAAGAATCCACTTGAGGAAATTATTGCTACCAGTCCAACTAACGAGCCAAAATAATCCTGCAGCCTCCTCGTATTTCTTCAATGCTGTCTTATCAATAGTGTACAAGAGCTGCAACAGCTATCACCATACATGTGCAGCTCTTGGCAAACCTACAGTACAGTACAGTACAGTAGTCGTAGTACATGTCAAGCTACTGCACTGCAGAGCGTGCATGGTGTGATCGACTCTAGTTAACATTCTTGTAGAATCACAGTATTGGATAGCAAGGCAACGGAAAGGGCCTGGGTTATCCCTGCGGGGAAAAAAGCAAGCATGGTCGGCTGCCTCCAGTCTGGAATTATTGATAGCATCAAATAAGGCATCAATGCTTACAGTAGCAAGTACACTAGGCTTAGCTGCACTCATCATGCATAGTAGCTCAGGGTGAGGTATGCTATCCAGTTCAAGCAAAGATGGTTGAATAGGTGCAACAAAGCATTATTTGCTTTTTCGAGAGCGCAAACATACCCTGTGAGACCCATTTGCGCTCGGAATAAGCAGGATCTACAGTACAGTAAAGTCACTTCGCCGGGGTGAGCTGCGATTAATAGAGCAGTGGGGGTTTTTAAAAACTAACATCCCAAATTATTAGACCATCGATCGGATCATCGAGGTAGAAAAGAAAATAGGAAAAATCCATCTTTTTTTACCGGTTGCATTGCGCAGGCAGAGTAAGAAAACTGATCACTCAGGCTGAACAATAGAGAAATATGTTCGCTATTTTGGGCCGTCTAAAAGTGGAGGAATCAATGGTAAGATGATCTTTGTAGACAATTTTTGGTCACAAATCCGAGGATTGCGCCAACATAGAGAGCAATATAGATTACAACATATGATTTTGGAATTTCAGATAGTACATATCTTGCTAGCCTTCTGTATTTTTAATACAAAATAATAGGCGCAAGCATGCGCTAGTATCTGTTATTGATAGACTGAACTAGCCGCGAATAGAGAACCCGAAATATCGAAATCCTGGAACCTCAGGAGAAGCCCATTACACAAATTCTAAGAAAAGCATGAGTCGTTACTCCTGACCACCTTGAAAGAACTACGGTAGTAATTCCGAACCTCAAACGAAGTTCTAATCGAAATAAAAAGTAAACTTTGGAAATGAAGCCCGTAACGGAAAAATCATCAAGAAGTAAACACCGCAGATAGTGCCTTCAAAATGGAAAACGACTGTTAAGCCTTGATATGATCCGTTGCAAGGCCCATACGCGTGCCAACATCAACCTCATCGGCTGCCCATGAGCTATAACACCAGTTATCTTCAGGCCAATGGGGACTGCGGAAACCATACAAGCCCTGAGCCCTAAAGGACAAAGAAGAGACGATATCAAGCGGGGTTGTCACAGCATATGCTTGATATGGCACCAAGTCATGCCGGATCAACGCAATGGCCAACCCACGGCGTTTCTCCATGGTAGTCGAGTTATGACCGCCCCCGTGCAGTAACTTGGACGACATGAAGAAACAGTCCCCGGTTTCCATTTCCAGAGGTACCGATTTCACTCCTTCGTATCCTTGGAAACCGGGTTCTCTACACCCAACAAACTTCGGCCACCGGTGACTTCCTAGGACAAGGCGTGTCGCGCCGTTGGCCTCGGTGAAAGGAGTCATAGCGACGAAGCAATTGATCATGGCCTCTGGTGCGGAAGGGCCCATGGAATTCCAGAACCTGATCATCTCCTGGTCCCGATGGAGAAATTGAGCTGGAGCACCTGGCTCCAGCTCAATCACCTGTGTACTGCTCAGCCAGTACCCTGCTCCACGGTGCTGATTCAAGGCTGCCTCGGACATTTTATACAGGATATCTTTCTCTATGATCGTACGCCGAAATGTTTCGCTCTCGCAGACCGGGCTGTTGAACCGTTTCGTCCTGTTGTCGCCCATTATTTCCACGGCTTTGTCGTCACCATTGGTTTCTCTGGAATAGAGCTTGTCCATCACAGGCTGGATCTCGTGATTGAAACTTGCAACCTCGGATGTACTGAGAAACCCTGAGAGAATCACTCCGCCATCTTCCTGAAACGCCTGAAAAATGGCGTCAAAGTCGGCTGTTGCTGAAAACCGTTGCATCTTTCTCTAATGATTATGCAAAGGGATATTGGCACAAGGAAGCTTGAAATTTGACTTGGGTTTTGGATAAAAATGTAGTTCAATATGTATTGATGTGAAACTGGGCTGGAAACGAGGATGTCAGTCTGAGATCAATGGGGTGCCAGGTACAAATAGAGAGCACCAAGGCTTACCGAATGGAAATAAAGTTTTCAGCCGATAGACAGGGTGGTACGGATAGGCAATCCAGCGGAAATAAACAACCGCTGGAGGTGATAGGCGTGCTATGAGGTCATTAAGTGACCTTGGCTTAGGACGCCTCATATGAGAAATCCATACCAACTGCACAGTCAAATGCAAGGGCTATGATCTAGACTTGAACTAGGAACGACTGTATCAGCTGCAAAGACTACTGCGGTTGCGTTGGAATATGCATATGTGCATTTTAATATTGGGCAAAGAACAATTAGAACATACTGGGCTGGTATTGCTCCAAATTGTCATTTAGATACATATATCATTAAAAAGAACGTCATCCTACACTTTCTATGCGCTTAAAAGGTAAAGTAAAAGTTTGAGGTAATTATGAGCTATTCAATCACTATCACTTCCTGAAAGAATAGAACAATAGTGATGAACATTGCACTGAGACATGGCTGTTATCAAACAATGGCTATCTTGTCAGCTTCGTCGTTCCGTGGTGCCTCTGCCAGCTTTAACTAATATTCCGCCCGTTATATGGATGTGATAGTCGCATATGTAAGCATTTGTGCTACCAGTTGACCCGTGGACTTTTCTCTGGATATCATCCCTTGTTCAGTTCCACGCAGCATCGGGCATCAATAGGACGATCGGCATCAATCGCTTCATACAGCATATCTTGTTCATTGAGGGAGACCTTAGATCTAAAGCCTTTACTGGACTTTACCTAAAATTATTCCTAGTCCTCATCACATAATTAACTTAAACATTTTGATAGACGGCATTTCGGCAATTCCGATAAAACGAGGAATACGTAATACTGTTAAAGTGCAACTAAAAGACTCCTCTATTTGCTCAAAAAGATCATCTCTTACAAAAAGCTGCAGCGATGAACTGAGAAGTATATCAACGCATGATTACCGTGGTAATTTATTTACATTTTGGGCCAAAAGGTGGCATTGGATGCTCGGCAATGTAATGCACTCTCATGTTCCTGGGAACTAAGAGTTCGATTTCATGATAGCAGTTTATATGGACTTTTTCATGATATTTTTAGAATTACGTGAACTTCACAAAATATACTGTGAAAACGACGGGAAGCTGGGAAACAGAACTAGATTTACAAAAACACATCCCATTATAAGAACCTGACCCATATTTACAAGCAATGCACCCGAAGCAAATATAGTAACAATGCCCCGCCAGATGTCTCTAGCACCTTGACGGCTGCGTGCGAGGGGCTGAACGTGGAGTGTTTTAATTTGAAAATCATGGGAAAAATGCTTATCTAGATAGACTTCAAGTGCTTGTTTGTTGCTCTGTAAACTTTAAGAGCGTTATCACTGTGATACATACATTTGAAAGTGATAGGTTAAATTGAGTGATCTGCGAGGCGAGCTTACTGTATAGTACTATTTTGCATCAAACAAAGGATGGAGATATCTTAGCCAAGCAATTAATAAATTATGAAACGTCCCACAGCATCGCTCAGATTATGTCGGTCCTGGGTCATTTCCCTAAGGAGGTAGTGAGAGCAGAAATAATGATTTTTACCGATTGAATAGGCGGTAATGTAAGGATTCTTATGGAACAAGATCCTCTTGCATATGCCCTACGTGCATACCAACCTTGGGAGACAGTAGTCCGTGACTTGATAATGGGCACCAAGCGGACTATCTGCACCCGTGGACCTTTCTAGTAGAGACTAAGCCCATTGTAAAACCGGTGTCAAATGCATAGATCCCATCGTAATCGATACTGTAGAAGAATATTCCATTTTTCAGATAATAGAAAAATATTCACAGACCGAGGGTGTGGGCAAAGTATATTATGTCCCCGTCGTAGTGTGGCCCTATTATTTTCATTGCAGTAAATATAGTGCAACATTACGACTACTCAAATTAATGTGTACTTCATTTCCTCTGCTGCGCGTAGAATGATGTCAAAAATAAGGGCAGCGCTATATAAGTTAGATGTTGATATATATGTGTCAAGGGATATCAACAAGTAGCCTAGATTGTCGACCAAGCATTATCAATTGGCACAACTGCGCCATTGATTCTAAGGCTGGAATCCGACGCCAGAAAGATAATTGTCGCGGCTATCTCTTCCGCCTTGATCCATGGCCCCTTGCCGGGAGCCATATGGGCGTTATGGACAGGCTTCATCGACGACAGTGCTTCAAAGTCCAGGGTCGCTGGATCCGAGCTATTCAACATAGGCGTCAAGACTCCTATTCAATTTGACACTGGGTTAGTCATTTTCTCATCAAGAAAAACGGTGATTTTTAAAAGGTTTACCTCCAGGACAGACCGCATTGCACCGAATATTCTCATCTTTGTATCTCCATGCAACATTCTTGGTCGCGCCGATAAGGCCGTGCTTGCCTGAGCAAATGCTGTCAGTACAATGTCCTAAGCACACAATTCCGCCAACTGAGACGGATCTGATTACGCACTCGCAGTATAGGCCACCCCGGATGCTGCGCCGCTGGTACCGGCCTTACTGGCCAGGTTCACGATGCTTCCACTTTGTTCTTTGCGCATCAATGGAATCACTTCGCGCATCAACTCAACTGGTGCGGTCAAGTTGACTGCCAGGCAGCGCTTCCAGCTCTCGTTGGTCAGCGTATCGACACTGCCGTGGTTGTCCATCACGCCCGCTATGTTGAAGAGGCAGTCGATTTTCTCCCCGTATGCCTCCAAGCAAGCTTGCACAATCGCCTTTGAAGCATCATCAGCTGTCAGGTCACACTGGAAAAATCGAAAGCTGGGCTCGTTTTCTAATGAGGCTGGACAGGTCGAGATGTCTACTCCGAACACTCGGGCGCCTTCTTTGATTGATTGTATCGCTGTCGCGAGACCGATTCCCGAGGCACTGCCTGTAACAATGACTACCTGTTCTCATGCCATTAGTTGTCATTGCATGTTGTGAAAGCTGGTATATCATGCGTACTCGGTCTTGAAGTAATCCCATGGTCTTCGTCATGTTCTTGTTCTTTCCCTTTTTGTGGATTCAATCTTGAAAGTTCTGCTGTAGGAGAATATTCCTACTGTGGTCACAATAGGGGCTCGGTGTAAATTTACACAATCTTTCCAAGGCGTCGTGCTGAAAGCTCCACGCGTTGCATGACAGCGTTGCAATATCTCACCAAAAAGCAATGAAAAGAAAAAAAAGCAAAGAAAACAAAACAAAAGATACTTATCAGTTCTTCCAAAGAGTGAGATCCGGATTCGAGGGGTGCATTGCATTAATCGCCTGCACAAGCAATGCACGGGCTGCATTGAAGTTGCATTTGCATGTTTCTATAGCTGCAAATGCAGTGCCACATTTCACTTGTAAAAAATGGCTACTTGGAATAACTCATTTCGCAGTAGATCTCGGTGGAGTCAAATGTGATGTCCTATTGCCTGCCTGCGGGTACATCTCATGAAGAATGGCTGGGTCTCGTTCGATGCGGCTATTGATCTACTGTATAGCCATGTTCTGTTGAAATAACTTTTGTAGAGGCGGAACTGCTTACTGCATAAAGTAGCGGTCTACGTATAATTCAGCATTAGTGATTTATTTAAGACCTTCCTACGCACAGTAGAGCAAGACAGACACAATTTCTCTTCTATCCCACTGTTGTGTGCTCTCCTTTTCTATAGTACTATCACCCCTGGTGGCTGCCAGTTGCTTCCTACCTAACTTATTGTTGGGATTTTTCTATGATACCCTTCGGATCTCATAACGTTACATCAAAATGGATCACAAGAAATGGATCACGAGAAATTGAAGATATGTGACATGGTTTTCTCGAACCCGGCCGGTTCAAGGTGCCAGCCTTTATACTCTCCCACGGGCAGTTCATAATTGAACCGTTCAAGATGTTTGCATTAGCTTGCAGCACTTTCAAGCTGCTATGAATGATCAGTTAACCCTTCTCATCTATGACTATATCGTCTCGGACGAACACAGCAAGGCTAACAATACAAATGGTACATCCAGTATGATGTCTATAACATTGTCTTCCCCGTTGGGGCAATCTTGAGGATATTTCAGAAACCCACAGTCAATTGGTTTTGAAGTGCAGAATGCTTTGCGTGATCCATCAGGCGGCACTCTTCTTGCCATCTTAATTGTCCAACAGGAACAACATACCACACTCAACAGTAATGTTGATGAGTATGTATAGATTGGATACTCAAAGGTTAGTCGACTGCACAGGAGAGTCAATTAAAACCTGCGAGTGGTTTGATGGCTGTAAATGGCTCTATAGGGCCGATCTCTCCTACTCCACGGACTAACGTTGAGCCGTAACATCATGATCGGGGTTAGGCTAGTCAGCATCCACGTGATCGGACTCGAGCCCATGCGCTTGGCAGTCCAAGCCGTGCTGACATCTACGGTAGTCACTGACGTCCTCTTAAAGCGGCAAGCCGACAAAGTCCCCCGCATAATTTGACTTGCCTTGGCATACTGTACTCCGTACTTCCCTCAACTACTGTACAGTATATCCCTCATACCCTAACCCAGCCCCGGCAGAGCACAAAAGCCGCTGATGCAATCACGGCAAAAGTCCGAGTCTTCAACGTGTAGAGGGCACATCACTTACCCCAACTTGTTCCTGGCGATCCTTACCACCCTGTTACGCCCGGCGTTGATCCGTGGGGGATGAACAATGGGTTGTTGTTAGTAATAGGATTATCCTCCCACAGCCCTGGAGGGCTTGACCGTATTCCCAGGTGTCGTCATACAGTACATGTACAGCCAATCCCCCGAGCGGGTTGAGCCGGTATGGAGAACAGGACAGTCTATTGTTCATCAACATCGGGTCCACGGTTCCCGTTCGTGTCTCTATCTCTGTCCTGCTGTCCGGCTGACCTGCACAGCCTATCTCTCCCTCCGTACTATCCATAGGGCTGGATAACGCGATACGCGATACGCTATACGCTATACGCCATACACCCTATTGGACACGCTCTCCATGTGAATGGATATACAGAAATACATGTACATGTACCCCGTGGTCGTCCCATGATCGATGATGTATACTCTGGTCTAGACGGGATCTACACACATTGACTTTTGTTCGCTGTTCGTTGTACCATCCATATCCAATCAAATTGAGTCATATGTGATCTACAGCCAAAAGCTAAATCCCAAATATACAACACGGACACAGAACACAGAACACAGAACAAACATGCATGTATATGCAAGAAAGAGAAGAAGAGAAGAGAAATAAATGACAGATACTCTTTTGCGCAAGAACGCCGTGCAGATCCCCCATAGCAACATAGCCACAATCATAAAGATCAATATCGACGTGAAAGAAAAGCCAAAAGAAAACGCCCATGTAGCCTCCAAACCGAGGTCATCATCATAACATAATATGTGCAAACGTAAAGGAGTGATATGTATAAGAACGCAAATCAGAAGAAAGATCAAGGTTCAAATCAAAAAGTAGATCCAATCAGATCAAGAGGACGGGTGAGTAGCAGCAGGGGCTGCAGGCATCGAAGGCCCGCTCTCAGCCTCGGCCTCGGCCTCTTCGCTGACGGGGGTGTGAGTGGCAGTCTCCTCTGACTCGCCGTGAGCACGCGTGCGGATGCGGAACTTATCACGCAGGCGGGTTGTCAGGCGGCGGCGGGTTCCTTCGGGGGTTGGCTCGGCCGCGGGTTGGTCTTGGTTTGCTTCGCGGACGCGGCGGAGCGCGGCGAGGCGCTCTTCCACCGTGGCGTCACGCATGTGTCGGGCGTTGAGAGGGCCATGCAGGTAGTTGGTTAGGCGGCGGTGGGTGTGGCGGCCTCCTTGGGGTTCTTGGGTGGCGGGTGGTTCTGGTTCTTGAGTTTCACCGGTTTCTGCGGGTTGGTCGGTGGGGTTAGTTGGGTCGGTTGGTTCTTCTGGCGGTGGGTTTAGATCGATGCGGCTGGAACCGTTAGTTTTGATGCATGGGTGGTGGATAGATCGGGGGATCGGGAAGGGGGTGTGGGCTCACCAGAGAGGACAGGTTCCGGATACATTCATCAGCCAGGGGTCAATGCATTCCATGTGGAATCGGTGGTTACAGGGCAAGACACGGAGATCCTGGCCCTTGATAAAGTCGTCGGTACAGATCGGACAGGAGAAGTTGCCAGTCTCAGGCGTCTCGGTCTTCTCTGCGGGAGCATGGTGTGCATCGTCCACCGGAGTGGGCAGTTCGGACTCGGTCGGCGTCGAGTTTTCAGGGATCCCGTCGCGTGGAGGGGAGTGCTCGCGGGCGGGATCCTCAGCAGTGGACATCTCCACGTCCCGCTTGGCGGCATCGATTTCGTCATCGTTATCACCAAACTTGACCACGGGAATTGTTTCCAACATGGCGCGGGCTATCCCTCGGGCGCGACTCTGCCGTACTCGTCCCGCGATACGACGAGGTCCATACCGTTCTGGGTGCCGATGGGCCCGGACGGCGCCGGTGATGATGATTCCCAGGAAGAGTGCAGTGATGATACCGGTAATACTGTACAGGATGATCATAGCTGGAGTATCATATTAGTTTACTTCATCGCTGCCCGGGGACAATCTCCACATACCCGTGTTAGGACTGTCGCCGGAGTTCCCGGAATCACCGGTGTCGGTCGGGACATTGGTCATTAACGACATTGAGACGATGGCAATGGTTGGGGATGGTTCTGTGAAAGTACGTTGCAGCGCTGACCAGGCACCAGGACCTGTAAGGGTAAAGATGTTGTTGTACCGGGCGATAGTTTGATCATCGGCTGTCAAGTTACAGTGCGATGAATAGTGGGTGTACAACAGCACAGCAGCCGGCAGAGCAGAGGCTGTGAGAACTGTTTGAACTGTCTGGTCGACGGTGTAGAAGCCAGGGTAGTCGTCAGGATCGCAAGAAATACAGGCGATCTCGGAATCGGTCAGTGAGATGGAATTGCCCGGATGCACTTGGGTGGCAGTGCCAGACTGATTGAAGGACTGGCGATGGTCAGCAAATGCAGCAGCCCTAGAGCCATTGGACCAACCTGTAAGTGGGCGCTGGTCGCTCCAGAGAGGGCCTCGGTTAACGGGGCAACTCGTTGCGTGAGATTGGAACCCTGAAGTTGAAAGCCTTTGGAGTGTACTTGACTGAGATCGGTCAAATTGGAAGGAAGAACCACCACAGCCCGAACCGAGATGAACAGGGTAAAGAGGAACAGCAGCCCCATTGTATGGGCAAAAGGAAAGAGAGAAGTGGAGGTGCAGGAAAACCGGAAAATGAGGGGACTAGGGCCGATCGGTGGAGATAAAGACTCCAGTCGACAGTACAGTAGGGAAGACCGTAGACAGTACGGAGTATGACAGCATGTCTTCCGACGAGACGATTGGCGATCAACAATCAAAGCTGAAAATACAGCAAGAATGCCGACCTGGGGGGGTTATGACATCTTGCACTTCGCTCTCGTATTCTCTCGTCTTCGTCTCCGTGGATCTTTTGGATCTTTTTGGATCTTTTGAGCTCAAAGTATGGAAAAGGATCTAAAAGTGTCTCACCGTTCTCCATCTGCTCTTCCACGGTTTCCTGATCCCGATCACCCCAATAGGGACAAAGCAAAGCCTAACACTGACAGAGTCGGAGACTGGAGAGAACCGGAGACACTGGAGACACTGGAGACAACTGGGGGAGACTGGGGAAACCCCGCCCTCTCTACTCTACTCTCTGGCTTCTTACTCTTAAACATCTCATGAGATCTGCTCCATCCCTCACGTTCATAGTCATCGTACGCTCACTATAACTTATCACTTAGACGTTAACAGTCTCGCAGCTGAGACATGATCATATCCCTATTCTGGTCATAGACCAGTCTCGGCCTTGGCCCAAAAACCCCAAAAAAAAGGGAAAAATCCCGGCCATTCCCCCGTATTAATAGATTCTTTTTTAGCTTCCCCTTCTTCCTCTCTCCACTCCTTTCAAATGCCCGCCATGAGTTGGTTTCAGCGTTATGATGCGAAACCCGTCTCTCCGTAAGATCTCTATTTCTTTTTTCTTCCCCCCCCCCCCCCCCTGGTTTTTCTGGGATGGTTGGCTGACTTCTTCCCCCCCACACACACACAGTATTCCTGCTATTGCCGAACTAGACATCGAACGCAATGAGTTGGCTCACACCTGGAAACGCTTCATCAGTCTACTCGTCCCACAAGATCAAGTCGATTTTGAGGAACGACCACAGACCGGACACGATGTACAGACTTTACTAGGGAATATCAAGACCTTTTGGCAATCGCGACCACGGAATAGAGTCTTTAGCGACTCCATGAACTTGTGCGATCGACTTTTGCCGACCATAGACACGCACGCGACTCTCCTGGCCACCTTGTCCGACTCGCAGTCCTACTATACCCCTTTATTATATGGTGTGCTCCAGTCGGTGATTAAGGTGGGTAGAAGAACCCCGTCTTGATCCTCTTCGTGGCATGGCTAACTCCGACAGGCATCCTCACACTACCCCCGAGTGATGGAGGGACTAGCCACGGCTCTACTGAACATCCACGACGCAATAGGCCAACCGGACCCCGACTCCCTTCAGAATGCCGTGGAACCGATTGCGAAAACATACACCTTAATCTTCTTCTTTCTGACCGAATTCATGGACTGGTATGTCCGACGGTCGACCTGCCAATTGCTGAACATCCATAGCCAAGATGTCTACTCCGAGTTCCACCACTTGGTCATCTTCACACAACGCCAGGCGCAGAGCCTGCCCTGGCAACATGAGGACACCGAAATGGAAGAGGAAGACTCGGATTCATACAGTGCCCGGGCCCTGTGGGAGGAAGCCCGACTGAGCCAAGTCGGGCGCCGAGGAACGGAGCGTCGGATTGCGGCCCAGAATACTATCACCCGGCGACTCCTGTGGGAGATTCAACAGGATGCGGAGGAGCGTGCCCGGTATCGGGAAGGTCGGGATCGATTATTGGCAGAGACGTTGAGCTCGGTGCGCGAACAATTGGAGCCTGTCAGCGAACAGAGCACTGGCATTGTCTGCATGACCACGCCCCCTGCGCCCAACATTGGTAAGAAACCTGCACCTATGGGCCGATCCATGCTGACACTTGATTTTTTCATTTTCTCCAGACACATCATCCTTTGAATGGTCCCGGGGATCCAAGCGTCGTCTAGGACGACTGGAGATTCAAAGTTCTTCCAAGCATCTCCAGGATTTCTTCGACAGCGATGATCAAATCTGCGACTATGAACCAGAGGTCAAAGTGGTCGCCGAGGGAAGCATCGTCGCTTCTCTTCAGCAATGGGCAACTAGTCCACGGTCGCAAGCCCTAGCCGTGGGTGGGACTCAGCCTCTCCTCCTCCGACAACCCGGTCGCTCTGATCTCAGCCTGCTATGCCTCGTTCGCTCGTCAGGCTCGATTACCAGTGGTTTCTCATTTCTGTGTCGTGCCCACCCACGAGGTGAAAGGACTCAGTCTCCAAGAGCAGGGGCTGGTCGCCCTCACCTACAGCGTGATCCGACAGTTGATCGACTGGCTTCCCCCGTCGTCGACAGCGACGCCGTGCTCGACCTCAGCGCCGAGCGATTCCGCCAACTGGACGGAACCCTCGCCAGCTGGAAAGCAGCCCTCTCCCTCGTCGACACCCTTCTCCAATCAGCCCCGCCCCTCCTCGTCTTCATCATCGATGGCCTAGACGCCATCCATGACGCGGCCACCGACAGCGCCATCCGCGACCTAGTCCGCGTCTTACTCACCCACACCCGTCGTCAGCCCCAAGGTGGTCTCAACGGAGGTCCAACCCTCCTCTTGAAAGTTCTCTTTACCGTCACGGGCCGACCCAGCGCACTGGTCGAGACCATGTCCGAGCACCAACTGGTGCTTAGCGAGTCAACGGACCAACGCCCTTCCGACCCGGTCCTCACTTCGGATCTCGGAGTTATGATGAATGCATGAATTACCACTGGGTGCCCTACGGCCCAGTCACGCACCGTTACGAAGCTGTCTTTTTTCCATTCATATTTGCTGTTTCTTATTTTTATTATTATTTTCCTTCAAAAGACGGTTGACACCGAGCATAGAATTGCGTGGGGGGGGGGGGGGGATATCTTGGATTTCTTTGGAGCTTATAAGTCATTTCCCAGCTTGGGCGTTTCTTAGCGCTTGTTTGACCTGATCATCTTTTTGTCTTTTCTATAGTAGACCTGAACCTATGCTGATTGGTAGCTGTGATACCCATCTAGGTCTATAAATTGACGTTCTGACTTGCTAGTTCTTCACATTCAAGATTGACCTGTTCGGAAACCCATTCCCGTAAGCCCTGACAACATCCAACGTGCGTCTCGCCCGAGCGGGTCAGATCCGAAAATGCGGGGAGCCTCTAAGGACATTGGTTTCCGCCGAGCAGATATTTAACACATGCTATCTCGGTGAGCGAGAACGGCCATAGCATAGCCATACACCTACAATGTCGTCCCGCCTCTATCAAACCACGACCCCGGACCTCTCCGACTTCAAACAGATCTGCTCCCAAACCACAAACCCAGCAGACTACCCACTATCAAGCCACATTTCATCCAACATCCCAATCTACGACCTCCCCTCCCTCGAATCAGCAGGATTGACACAAACCAAAACCCACCTCTCCGCCCTGCAAGATGAATGGCACAAATGCCTGCACACTGGGCCAGGAGTGTACATCCTCAAAGGAATGTACCCCGCGCAAACCCACAGCCAAACCATAGAGCCAGCCAACCAAGCCTTTGACCAAATCATCTCCTCCGAAAAAGCCAACACAGCCCTCCAAAAAGGCGACCACTTCGCCGCTGGCGGCACCAACGACCGCATCTGGAACTCCTTCCAAAAGCACGCCAGCGCCGACCCCACCAGCTTCAGCGCCTACTACTCCAACCCCTGGCTAGCCGCCGTGTCCGAGTCCTGGCTGGGCCCGAACTATCGCGTGACGGCGCAGCTGAACGCCGTGCACCCGGGCGGCGCAGCACAGGACTCGCACCGCGACTACCACCTGGGGTTCCAGGACGTCGAGTGCACGGCGCGGGTTCCGGCCGCCATGCAGGTGGCCAGCCAGTTCTTGACGCTGCAGGGGGCGGTTGCGCACTCGGACATGCCGGTCGAGTCCGGGCCGACGAGGTTCCTGCCGTACAGCCAGTCGTACGGGGCCGGGTTTATGGCGTGGCGGCTGGAGGCGTTCCGGGAGTATTTCCTGGCGGAATATGTGTCTGCGCCGCTGGAGGTTGGGGATGGGGTGTTTTTTAATCCTGGGCTGTTTCATGCCGCTGGGGCGAACACTATGGATGCTGGGACGGGGTTTAGACGCGTGGCGAACTTGCTGCAGGTTAGCTCGGCGTTTGGGAAGCCCATGGAGAGTGTGGATTCTTTGGTGGTTGTGAGGGGTGTTTGGGACTCTTTGCTGGGCATGTTTGAGAGGGCTGGGGGCGTTGCTGGGTCGGATTTGGATCCTGGGCTTTGGTCGTTGCCGCAGAGGCAGGTGAGGGCTCTTGTGCAGGCTGTTGGGGAGGGTTATCCTTTCCCCACTAATCTTGATTCGAGGCCGCCGCAGCCTGGCGGGATGGCGCCTGAGAGTGAGCAGGATGTTCTTGTAAGGGGGTTGGTGGAAGGATGGAGTTGTGAGAAGGTGGTTGGGGTTTTGGAGGGGATGAGGGCTGATTCGAGGGCTTAGGCTCTTTGTACTTGTGTTTGTCCAATGTAGAGGATGGCTGTCATTGGAGATCCTGTGGTTTATATATGTTTGAGCGTTATATGTGTCTGATGTATATATGTTATAGTTTGCCATTATACGCATAAGACTGAGTATGACGGATAATCAAAACCCAGTAGCCTATGTACCGGATTATGCCTGGCAGTCGAGACTTTTCTCTGTCCATTTGAGTGCTCACCCCTTGCCACTTTTTGATATCAGAGCACAAGTGAGCGCTCTACTCACTGAGAATGAGAGTATTGCATTTGAAGGTATATGGACACCTTCCTAAGGTGAAGCAATAAATAACTATACAGCTCTACGACTCTTACTCAGTGGACTCTTGCGACAATTGCCGCGTGGGGGACACCCCCGGTTCCTTCCCTTTTGGGAGTCGGAGCTTTCTACAACTCATCCTTTCCTTTCTCAAATCTTGACTGCTTTCACTTCTCTCCTTTCACAACAATCTTTTGTTTTTTGAACGTGTATCAACGATCATCCCTTCAAAGCCAACAACCGACAGCAGCGCCCTATATGTAATCAACCTTGACAAGCTACAGCGGCATCAAGTCAATGTCTGCACTCCTGGAGGATAACTTCGATGTCACCTCTGCGATTTTTTGCCTCGCAAAGTCCGACAGAACGCCTGCTTGGACTATTGCTGGAAGAATCAATGGTAGTTAATGAGTTTGTCAATTTTCAATTTTTGGGCTTGGGTGGGCAAGCAGGACGCAATTTTCCTATGTGGCAGCATAGAAAATCAAGTTATTTCAGGCCCCTAGGCTCTGTCAGTTGGAGTCAATCAAAACATTCCATTTTTTTTCCCCGCAATTTTATCACTTTTACCTGGTAGAGCAAGGGAGTTAGGGGACTTAGACACTTAGGGTACTTGATTTACGTAGCAGATTGCTAGCAGACTCGGGTACCCTAAGTGCATGGACCCTACACCCTTAGCAAAAATGGGGGTTTTGGTTACTGAGCGAGGACTGATGATTCATGGGATTCATTGAAATGTCAAGTATTTGATGCCATATTTGAGGTAAAATTTAATGTAAAATTTGATGTAAATTCCAATGCCCAAAAAACGCTAGAATACTGCTAGTGTAGTAGTCAGATTTAATCTGGGGGGGCTTTTTAGCACTACCCAAAATCAATGGGCTGCTGGCAAAGAATCACACACCTTGACTGTTGGTGGACGATGCCAAGACGCTCTAAAGGAGTTTCGCAATGTCATTGAAAGCCTCCCTGGAAACTTGTAGGTCACCCTCGTGGACGCGTATGAGACTGATGCCTCAGCCCTTGTCCTTTTCAGAATGGACCTTGAAGTCTGCGCAAAGTTATAGCACGCTGTAGATCTTGAATACATGGGCATTGTTATCGGCCCGTCGCTTGTTCACTCCGTGGAAACCCCTGAGCTAACCAATTAGACTGAGAACGTTCCCTGCACTACTTGTCAAGCCCCCTAAACCCTTTCGTTGAGACAGAAGGCCTTGCTTTATATCCCGTTAGCTTTCTCTTCAACAATCTTGAGTTTAATTTGCTCGTAACAATGAAATAATTTTATCAGTGAAATTAATGAATCGTGTATATCTAGTTTGTAGTCATACCCTTTAATAAATATCAAGGGTGTCTCTACGGGATATCCGAGGGCATGATTCTGATAAACCGCGATTAGAGTGATCTAGATAAGTGAGTGTTCTTCGGACTCCTTCCCACAATTGCCATGAGTTAGGGACATAAGTAGTGGACGATCTTGGTGAACGTGTTGTAGGAGGAAAAGGGACAGTGCGATATGAGTAGTTTGTCGAAGTGAATGCGAGGCGTATGAAGTGATACGGTAGCGAAGTGAGTGTGAACTGATGATAAAGTGATATACAAATAGTCACGAAGTGACGATGAACTAAGAATGCCCTATCAATGCGTATTTTCCACGCCTATCTCGACATTTGTTATGTCTCTCAGTCAGTTTGACTTGATCCTCTTGGCTCTCGTGCTCTAGAACTGGGATACTGTTGCGCCTGTGCTCGAACTCCTTGATGAGGTTCTCACTCCCGACTGCGTTCCTTTCGAGCACCCACTAGGCCTCTTCGTATAGGTGGCCTTCCTGCTGCTTGAGATACTCCATGGTTACCCAACCGCGGGTGCGTTTGGTCCGGACGTCTAGTATACGCGCAACATTATATCGGCCCGTATCGTCTAGGAAGCGATTAGCCTACGTGGAACCTTCATGTTTAGGTTGTCATCATCTACTAGTGCTAGCTCAAGGTGTTAGACACTAATAACTGGGTGGACTCGATGGCCTAGTTGGGCGGATAAAAATCCTCGCTCGACAGTGTCGGCTTATCTTACTATGCGATTGTAAATTCGATACGGTAAAGTAGCAAAATACTATATGCTTTCCGGTGGATTAGTGGGTTTTCAGGGTGAAATTGTTAAAGGTAGTGCGCCAGCACCAGAAATGTGTACAGCCTCGTATTTGTCTTGTCGTCAGACACAAAGATGATAGATATCAGGCTGCCGTCCTTCGAAAAGGACTGTGCCGTGCTCAGTAGCGTTTCTAAAATCACTGATGCTAGAGATAGAACGCTGTATGATAATAAAGGATGGTGTTACTGTGATCTCATGGTGACGAATGGTAGTGGGGAAGAGCGATTGATCGTGGAAGATCCGTGAGGACGCGTTTCTCAAGTAACGTTGACATGTATCACGTGACATGACACGCAGGGGCAGCTCCTCGAACTTACAAGCAATGTGGGCAGTGTGGTGGTCGAGGACGGGAGCGTATCCATATCTAGCACCGCGCTAACCAGGGTAGCACGATGACCTAGTCATTGAAGGATCAGGACGTCTCTACGTACTGTACGGTTATTGCACGCGTTGTTGCCGCGTAAGGGTGTCGTGTAGAAGGAAGAAATTTTCCGACAAAGAAATCCCTGGTGTTCACCCTGGCTGCTGGATCGCAAGCCAGGACCTGCTACCATATGTGAGGCTTACGCTAGATAGGGCAAAGAAAGGTAACAAGCTGAGAAGCCCGGCACCATGTGATAGTCCGCGGGTGTCACTGAGTAATCAGTCATCATGCACGTGACTATTCTAGGCTCATCACTGACTCTGAGCTCGTGCTGGTATCTACTATGAGAGGCTAAGTGCCCTCATTAAAGCGTCGGCAGCCCAAATAAGAAATCCCTACTCTCCTAGGGAAAATTATGTATAGGTATATATATATAGATTTTAGCGTCAATTTCTTCCCAAGGTTCGCAGTGCTTTCAACGCCCAGTCACGTTATAACCAGTGAAAGATATCCGGAGCCCCTCAGACCGCCCACGTGACCCACTGGCTGATCGGCCGACTTGCCTTCCAAGGGTTCTGCTCAGCTCAGGGGGATCTTGTTGACTTATTTCCTGATTCACTTCATCCTTGCCTCTGCTACTTGTTTAACAGGTTGCCCCTCTGCATGACCTACATATGAGGTGTTCCAGCATACGCCAATATTCGGGAATTGAGACCCCTGGATCGTAAGCCACCCGCCGTTTCGTCAATTTAATTGGGCGATCAGACACATCGTGATGTGGGGAGCGTGTGGACCTGCGTCCATGTGTCTCGAGATTTCAAGTCAATGGCCGCGTATAGTGGCGAGATTGAGGGTCTGAACTGTAGAGTTGATCTTAGCCTGGTGGATTCACGTCCAATCACAGACCAATTCGGTGCATTCCACACTTCCAAAAATGGCGGTCTCACATTTTCGTTGCTCCCGTGTCAACGGGTCCTGATGAAACAGGTGGCTGATTCTAGGGCTGGACGTGTTGGAACTCTGAACTTTTACTTGAATCTGCTCTTTCTCTCTTTTCCTGTTTCTCCCTCCTGTCACTCGTTCGGAGGATATAAGACACGGAAAAAAGAGTTCACGGTCCACATCTCCACCTCTGACAGCCATTGAGCACGAACGATCGACTCTCTCCTCCAATCCACATTCGTTCGGGAGCCGAAGCCAGCAAGCTAGCTTGCAACTATTACAAGCGAAAAACCCGGTCCAAGAGGGGGAGGCGAAAAAGAACCCACGAGCCGTTGTTTTTTTCTCGCGTGTCTCCACAAGACCCAGAAGTCGGCGACTCCAAGGGGGCCGATCTACGACTGATAAATAGGTTCCGTCACTTCTCTGCGTTCGGCGCACTGCGATGGGAAGACCGAGCCTCTCGCAAAAGCGATTGACCGCACATCGATTCGAACAGCTACCAGACATGCCTGACTACGGGCAGGGGAATCCCCACGACGTGACCATTGACATCCCACTGACTGCGACCGCGAGTCGTGGTCAGACCGGTGCGCGCAAATGGGCCTCCAATACCTCCCCCGAGAGCAGCGAGGCTACAGCCACTGGCACAGCTACGGAAAAGGATCCCATCGTGAGACACCGCGGGCCTGGGCGTAGGCATCGCACCGACACGGGTATCAATGACTTGAACGGAAAGGCTGCGGAATCGTCCGAGGATGGCAGTCTGAACCGCATGGGCCGTGTCTACCAGGCTGTTTTGAATTATTCGCTTATCACTCGTTACTTGATCTATGTTCTTCCCATTGCGATTTTGATCGCTGTTCCCATCATTGTTGGTGCAACTGCTGCACCCAACGCGGAGATTGGTGGTGTTCACATTTACTGGTTCTTCACCTGGATTGAGATTGTCTGGTTCAGTCTGTGGACATCTAAGATCTTTGCTCGGTACATTCCTTACTTATTCCAGTACCTGGTTGGTATTGTCAGCTCCGGAACTCGCAAGTATGCGCTTATTCTGCGTGCGCTTGAGACACCCATTGCGCTGGTCCTCTGGGCTGTCATCTCTCTCGTTACTTTCCTTCCTGTTATGACTTTGACTCCTGGTAAGAAGGACTCGGGTGATACCACCACCAAGTCGTGGGAGAAGAGTCTCAAGAATGTTCTCTTTGCTTTCCTTCTTTGCGCGCTCATTTATCTTGCCGAGAAGGCGCTTGTTCAACTTATCTCCATCAGTTACCACCGCAAGCAGTTCGATGCCAAGATCAAGGTCTCCAAGCGCAATCTGTACCTGGTTGGTCTGCTCTTCGAGGCTTCCCGCAACATGTTCCCCGTCTACTGCCAGGAGTTCAAGGAGGAGGATTCTCTCATTTTCGATTCCATTCTGGCCCAGGCTGGCAACAAGAATGGCAAACGCTCCTCCGCTATGCCTCTTCGCATGCTCCGTCAAGTCGGCAAGAACGTCGGCCGCGTCGGTGACAAGGTTACGGCTGCTTTTGGTAACGTAGCTTCCGAACTCACCGGAAAGCAAGTGTTCAACCCGACTGCCACGCACACCATGGTCATCCAAGCTCTTGAGCGTAAGCGTTCCGCTGCAGCTCTGGCCCGCCGTATTTGGATGTCATTTGTTGTTGAGGGCCGCGAGTCTCTGTACATGGATGATATCGTGGAGGTCCTTGGTGCTGACCACGAAGCCGAGGCCGAAGAGTGCTTCCTCGCTCTGGACAAGGATGGCAACGGTGATATCAGTTTGGACGAGATGGTTCTCACCATCAGTGAGTTTGGTCGCCTGCGCAAATCTCTCAACAACAGCATGCACGATGTCGACCAGGCTATTCGTGTTTTGGACAACTTGCTCATGTGTGTTGCTGGTCTTGTCGGCATTTTGGTCTTCATTTCTTTCGTTACCAGTGGATTCGGTACTGTCATCGCTGCCGGTGCCACCTCTCTGCTTTCCCTCAGTTTCGTCTTTTCCGTTACAGCCCAGGAAGTTCTCGGTTCTTGTATCTTCCTCTTTGTTAAGCATCCCTTCGATATTGGTGACCGTGTCGAGGTTAGCGACAAGCCCTTTGTGGTTGAGCGTATCTCTCTACTTTTCACTGTCTTCCGAAATGTGACCGATTCCCGTGTCACTCAGGTGCCGAATAACATTCTGAACAGTCTCTGGGTTGACAACTTTACTCGCGCCAATGCCATGCACGAACAACTCACCGTCCCTGTTGCATTTGACACTTCTTTCGCCGAGGTTCAGCTTCTCCGCCAGGAGATGGAGAACTTTGTTCGTGACAAAGAAAACAACCGTGACTTCCAACCTGACGTGGACATTGAACTTGGTGGTGTCGGTGATATGGACAAGCTTCAGCTTCGTGTTGACATCCGTCACAAGTCCAACTGGTCCAATGAGACAGTCCGCGCCGCCCGCCGATCCAAGTTCCTATGTGCCCTGGTCCTGGCTGTCCGCAAGGTCCAAGTCCGTGCCCCAGGTGTCGCCGCCCCCGAGCCCGAGGCCGACGAAGGTGATGACAAGGGTGATGATGCAGACACTGGCAAGCGTACTTCCCAGCAAGGTGGTAGCACCGAGCAGCCCGACGTCGGAAAAGCCGCCGCCGCCGCCGGAGTTACCATCAACTACGAGAACTACGGCCAATCGACAGGCTTTGACCAAGGCCGCTCAGGAACCATCACCCACCGTGGTTCAAGCCAAACCAATGCCGAACGTGAAGCTGCCATTGTTGAGATGCTCAACTCTCGCTCTCCATCTGCCATCAACCCTGGTCTGGACGTTGACGACGGCCATGCCCTCCACCGCACAGCAACCAACGCCTCCAACACCCTCAGTGTGAACACCGCTGCAGGAGTTTCTCGCGGCCTCTCAACCGGTCACAGGAAAGCCGGCGAACGCGTATCCTACAACGACCAAGACGCCCCCGCTGTCCCTCATCCACCCCTCTCTCCAGTGCCCGCAGGCCTGACCCCTTCCACAAGCCAGGTCCCTATCCTTGAAACACCAAAGCCAGGTTCCCGCGGCAGCGCCTGCTACGAGCCCCGCCCTCACTCCTCCGGCCACTCCTCCGCACAAACCGCGAACCAGAGCCAGGGCCAGGGCCAGGGGCTAAGCCAGATGTCTACCGTGCAGACTGTTGGCTCACCAGACCCCAACGCATACCAGGGCTACTACACCCACGACACGGGATACAGCCAAGTCCCCCTTGGAAACTTTGGCGCCGAGAACGCTCCTCACCGCCACGACCCCATCTCCGGCGTGACGGCGAGCAGCAATTACGAGCTCACGGATCGCTATGATCCCGTTTCGCCGCCATCCGTCTACTCCCCACCTCAGGGCTACCCTAGTACAGGTGGCTCAGATGCCCCCGGGAAACGCACTTCATTCTTGAACAAGGCTCTCGGAAGAAAAGATAAGTCGCCTTATGGTGAGCATGATGCTTAGTTTATCTTTCGACCTTGATCTGCTTTGATTTGTTTTGCATACTTTCCTTTCTCCAAAATTTTCTTTCCTTCCCCAACCTTTCTTCAATCTCTTCATTCCATCTCCTGGTTTGTCTATACTTTCATGCGCTCCATGTTGGTAGATATCTTTCCTTCTCTCTGTTCTTTATCTTCAATTTTTTTTTTGCGTTTAGAGCACTTGCATGAAAACCTTTCTTTCCTTTCGTGCTGTACGAGTATAAGACATACTTGCCTCCTGGTCTATTCCGATACAGGGGTTTTACAATTGACTTCATTCAATCATTCTGAGTTAATCTTGCATCTCCATCGAACGTAAACCCACTATATTCCACATCCTCAACCCAAAATCAAACCTTCCTCTTAACCAAGCCTCTAAAGAAATCAAAACTATTAGAATCACTCTGCAACTGCCAAACTCTCCCAGTAGGCCGATCTCCCCATCCCAACTCCTCAGCAAGAAGCAGCCCATAATCACGCGTGATACCCTGAATCCGAGCCTTGGCCCCACCCTCCTCTTCAAGCGTCACAATCTGATGCATGTGCAACCAATCCTCATAATACAGCGCCTCAAATCCACGGTCAAAGCCCGTACGCAGGAACCGCGTATACAGAGACTCAAAGGTCGTCAGGATGCGCGCGAGCAGTTTCTCCAGCGTGACGGGGTTGGCGGCTGCGCTGCCCGGCGACGCGTATTTGGCAGCCAGGGTTGTCAGTGCTGTTGTCGGTGAGGCGTTTGTGGCGTTAAGGCCTATTCCCACTACTGAGATGTATTCGTTCGACATGAAATGGCTGTTTATTAGGATGCCGCAGATTTTTGTGTAGCGCTTTTGGGCTGGGTCTTCGGGGTCGAGGGCGTCTGGAGATGGGAGGGGTTGTTAGTTCTTTTCGGTTGATATGAGTTGGGCGGTTTGGGGGTATACGTACAGACGTCGTTTGGCCATTTTAGTTTCACGGGGATGTTTTCATAGCCCTTGGCGTAGCTTTTGATGCCTCGTACTACGGCCATTGCTGAGAGGTATTGGAGGAATACTACTGGTGCGGACTGCATCTTCTCCATTGGATGGCGGACGACAGTTGAGAAGATGAGGGAACCGGCGGGTGAGACCCAGACGTTTGAACCGCGGCCGCGACCGGCGACTTGGCTGGTTGCTGTTGCTGTGAAGCCCTGGGGGAGTTGACGGAGGAGAGCGGTGTTTCTGTTGATTGTCAGATTGGGATATCCTAGGGTTGGAAGGCGAGGCTTACTTTTCGAGAATCGTGTTTGTGCTAGTCACAACTTCTCCGTATAGAAGATTGGAGCCAAAGCATGTGGCGTCTCCCTTGGACTCGGTCTGATACTGACGGAGGTTGGAATAGAACGCGTGGTGGTTAAAGTATGGGGTAAGCTTTGAAGAGGGAATGTCGTCGTGGAATACAAGACGCTTGATGATCGCTTGGTAGTCGACGATACCATCACTAGGCGTGGAGGACTCCGTCGGAAGCGATTCCTCCAGGTCACCAAGATTCCATGTTCCAGGCCGCTCAATGCGGAACTTATCATGCTCGTCTTTGAGATACTCGGTTCGACCTTCATTCGTGAAGTCCTTACCAAGGCCTGACAGAATGTCCATAGGTCCATCAGCATCGATACCAGACATATGCATGGACGACAGTGAAGGCACTGCCGAGGTCTCCTGTGTGACTTCAAGCCCAAGCTTAGACAGACAGGCTTTCAGGAAGTCTGTCCGTGCCTTATCATCTGCGGCGAGAGCGGCGACCATTTCAGCGTATTCAGGCCCGCCTGCCTTGGGGTGGAGATTGACAGCCGCGAATCTAGCACAGGTCAGCGGTTAATCTTGCCAGGTTAGCTTTGAACATACTCAGGATGAGGTCCTGTCAAGACTGCAGCTCCTTCGCCGACTTTGCAGTAGACGACAGCAGCCGTATCCTCCCCGGAATCGACATTAAGCTTCTCGGTATAGCTTGCAAGAACCTCGACACCCTTGTCCGCAAGCAATTGCGCGTCAACAAACACTCCGCCACCGTTGTAGTAACACTTGAATTGCTCCGGCACAGTACCAATGCTCAAAGCCTCCTTGGACACTTTCATCTCCGCAGCACGAGCACCCTCCTCACTATGGTAAACGAAGCCAGGGAATGCCCCGCCACGACAGATACCGGGGAAGAACGCCAATTCGCGGTCCCCAACAACCTCCATAGTCTTATCGCCAACCTCAAACTCACAGCTCTTGCATCCATAGTAGCCTCCAGCACAAAGACCCAAGTATCTGCCACCATTGCGAACGAATTGTGCAATGCGCCTGTTCCCCGCGCCATTGAACGTGCGGCAGTATCCCAGATCCGCGCCCCCGGGGAAGACCAGCAGCGCACAAGTGGCCATCCATGGCTCTTTCAGGAGCATGTCCCCCGTCACAGGGATCACGGCATAGTGGGGAGCGAGGAGGCGGCGGAGGGTGTAGAGACAATGGCGGACTGAGTCAACAGTGGTTCCGTTTCCTGTCGAGAAGTCGTCGGTCAGAAAACGGCTGAGTTGCCATGCGGAGTAAGTGAGCGAACCGGAGTAAACAAGCACATTGAGTCTTTTGCCAGTGAAATTGGCATTGTTGCCTGTAGGCGTGGACATTGTTGTTGGGGGGAAATCAGTCATCGATAAGATCAGATCGCCCGTTCTCCGATGCCAACCGCCTGATTCTGTCACTTTCCTACGATCATGTCGAACAACGCAGAACAGACTACTGTTATCCCGGAGGAGGATGATGAGCCTGATGATTGGTCAGTGGCTTTGCAATTGGGTCTGTTCGAGGGCTAACTATGGCCGCAGGGATAAGCGCATCTTCAGCACTGGCTGCCATGGTGATTTGATTCGATGTTCATTGGAAGGCAATGCTAATATGAAGCAGCTGAGCAAGACAAGATGAACGACTGCTACTATGCCAAGAGAGACTGGCGCGAATGTAAAGAAGAGGTGAGATGATCCTTATGGACCGACGTCATGCTTGAGCTATTCGAAGCTGTTTGCACCCTTCAATGTCTTCAATCAAGAAACAGCTTTCCTTATCTCACAGAGGTCTATTTTCAAAGTCTTCATATCACATATTGACTGGAAATTACAGATGGAAGCCTTCCGTGAATGCTGGAAACGCCAGGGCAACGACCAGCGAACAGAGACCAAAGATACTTAACGTCAGATGTACTTGATACCAACACTTAAACTTGTACAATCAGCCTCTCCAATCAAATTTACAGACCAAACTATCTCTCCCTCTTGGCACTCGAGCTCTATAATCATCCAATTTGCTTCTGTGTCACGTGACTGCACTTACAACTCACTTCACAGCTCACCTCTGCAGCTTCAGCACATCAACCAACTATGTCTTCAGCTTTGCGCATCCGCTCCTGGCGGGCAATTGAGTCTATTCAGCATGCTTCGCCAATCTCTGGCTCTCGAGGAGTCACCCGCCTCCAATTCGGACAGCTCTCCACCCCGATGACCAAACGGGCAATCAGCTACAGCAACTCTCAAAAACAGACCGAGAAACCAACCACCTCTTACTCTAAGCCTTCCACCACGACTTCAACACCGAAACCCAACTCTCCGGTACCAACAAGTTCCGCAAGCCGTGTATCGGCCCCCACCCCAAACCGCGCAACAACAGAAAACATCTCCCACAGCGGGTTGTCCGACAAACCCCTCTTACTCGAGACCGCCCCCGAAGACAAGATTGATTGGACACGATCATTCCATGGTCTTTCCGCTGCCCCGTTCCCCAAGGAAGCAGCCGATATTCTGTTGGCCGAGACAGACCCACAAGAAGTTGAGATCAAGCCCGATGGGATCCTGTATCTGCCCGAGATCAAGTATCGCCGCATCTTGAACCGTGCTTTTGGCCCTGGTGGCTGGGGTCTTGTCCCCCGAAGCGAGAGCATTGTCACGCCCAAGACCGTGACAAGAGAGTATGCTCTCGTTTGTAACGGACGGTAGGGAATCCATCCCCCCATACCCTCAGTCGGCATCTGATAAACCTCACATTGCTCCGACGCACATCCATACGGGCCTATAGCTAACTCTATTATCCAGCCTGGTCTCTGTCGCTCGCGGCGAGCAAGATTATTTCTCCCCCGACGGAATCCCAACCGCAACAGAAGGCTGCCGCTCCAACGCCCTAGTACGTTGCTGCAAGGACCTCGGAATAGCAAGCGAACTCTGGGACCCGCGCTGGATCCGCAAGTTCAGGGCTCAGCACACTCGCGAAGTATTCGTCGAGCACGTCGTTAACAAGAGAAAGACGAAGATCTGGACACGCAAGGATGACAGCGTGAGCTATCCGTGGAAGGAGACCGGCAGTGTCAGTAAATAGATCTAGATGACTATATCGGTAGATGACATCGCTGCGTAGTCTTAGACTACCTTGTACAATATGCAATTGATTTGTTCTGACTACCCAGCTTAGCGAAGCTCCTCTGTGTGATCACGGTTCGGATGACACCGTTTGTGCTATTCAATGGGATAGTGGCCAAGCGGTTAAGGTGCGCCGCTCGTATTTTGACATCTATTTCTTGAATTATTGATGGGTACTCTCTAAGACCTCGCTGGATGGGTGAATAACTTACAGGGTAGAAAATACATCTTTCTTTTTTTTTTGCCAGTAGACCATGTATTTAGCCGGGGCCTACTTCCTTTGGTCCAGATTGCCTGTTCAACGCATATTCCAGCATCAAGCTTGGGGATATAGAAGTAAGAGGCTGTAACGTTCTATTAGGGATATTACTATTTCCGCACATATTTACAAATTTGAACCCCCAGGCAGGGGAGCATTTGATTAAATTTCCAACTGACTTTCGGGGGCATCAGTGAAATGCATCAAAGTGTTGCGCAACTTCCCCAGCAAGCCGTTGATCCCACATTCTGGAACAAAGTGGCTGGAGTATGCCAATGTCAGCTTGAGCATTCCACCCTGCAGTTCCTCCGAGTACAGCTTCAATGAATCATCCGTGGGCTCAATGGGGATGTAATCAGCCCAATGGCAGCGCAGGTCATCTCCGATTTGAACTTCCGTCTTCGCAGAAAGATCTTTGTGAATAACCAAACTCTGCGGCTTACATCCAGCGACCCAGGAGGTGCTGTGGGAGACAATGCTCTCCCATTCGGCCGCTTTGAAGGGAGCTATCTGCTTCTCTTGGTCTTCAACAGCTTGGAGAAGTGCTAGCGTTGTTTTGCATTGGCCGTACTGCACTCGAACGGGCACCCGGTTAGAGCACAGACCGACAGTTCGATGTGCATTCGGCGTGTTCATATTGCGTAAATTGACAAGCTGGGCGAAAACAATATCATCGCATTTTGCCTCTTGTCGGAGAATTGTTGACCAGGCAGCTTTGACCATGCTCGCCATGCTGATGCCACTAGGCAAAGATGGAATAGTGACCTTGGTTGAGCATCGTAAGATTGTGTTCTTTGACTGCATCTCTGGCGCGGTGTTTGGTATCTCGGTGATGCTTGAGTCCGAAAGAATATTGCGCCAGAAATCAAATGCCTCGGGGGTTTGTTGCTTTTCCACTTCCTGAGCAAACAGAGCATATTCCGTCGAACTGACAGCTTTTGCTGGGTCTTGATAGAACTGGCACAGATCGGAGACAAGAATCTCTGGACACACGCTGTCATATTGAGAGTGTGATAATTGAATCATCAGAGCATTTTGGTCTCGAGATCCAGCAATGAGTGTGAAACATAGAGGAAGTGTACCCAGCGGAAAAGTATGGCCCGGGTTGACTGTACACAGATTCCGAGCAACCGAAACCGGATGCTGAGAGACATCGGTGTGCACGGTAAATGGAAGATCGAATTCCTTCAACACAGTCTGAACAAATTCTCCGTCATGGCGTGTAAAAATAGACCGGAGTGCAGTGTGAGACTCCATGAGACGCTGGCAGGCATCCTCGAGCCTCGAAGAGTCCAAGGGCCCCGAGAATTCCAAAACAAAACAGCCCCCTTCGTTATTGTTGAGTACCCATTGCTGTGTTTTTGTGCATGGGAAAGTCTCCAATACGTTCTCAAGGGGTACTGCGGTGGTGTCTTGATTGGTCTTCTCTTCGGAATGCGTTTCGAAGTAGATTTCACGGGGTGAAACTGATGAACCGCGGCTTGTTGGGGGAGTATCATCTCCCTTCGAGGCATTTTCTCCAATAGTCTCCGTCCATGCCACTTCTGAGAGCTGTGACTGATCTGACTTTCCATCCCAATCACATACAGATGGGGAATTTGTGGTTTCCTCGCTTTTTGTGATCACATCATGTAGACCCAACTCCTGTCTGCGCCGCTGAAGACGAGAGTTGAAAGATTGATCGCGCTTGGATTCATTAGGAGAAATATCCAGAAGAGCTTTTAGTTGTGTCTCCGGATCGGTCTGTATGCAATTCACGATATGGACCAGTCGATCCATCACTATCCGCGACAGTGACGTTGAAAGAATCTCTGGATCGAATTCGAAATGCATATGGACTTCGGTATGCTGATCCACACCGGTCAATAGCAGTGGACAAGTATCGAAATGGCCACCGCTCAGTTTCATTGGCGGGCCGGTACTTGTCCAGTCTTCCATGTCGTTCTTTATCACCAATATGTTCGGGAAAGCAGGAGACGTTGATAAGTCCAATTCGGACAGCAGAGACACAACGTGATTTTCAGTACTCAGCAATTTCAACATATCATTGACTTTTTGCTCCGGTTGAATGATCATTTGAATGGGCGAGATCGGATTGGCAGAAGGATTGGATTTCTCACATAGACCGAAGACGACATCATTCGAGTCCGTGTAGGCCGCAATCACGATTGCCCAGGCCAGCTGCAGAAGAGGCGATATGCACGTAGCGTCTTCTCCTGTCTTAACTGGGATCACTGAACTGTGCTTTTCTGTTCGGCGAGCATCACAAGGCTCGTTCGGCACCGAAGGAAATCCACTCGGTTGCAAGCCTCTTTCTTGGTGGTCATTTTTTGGTGATAGATTGGCCTGCATGGTGATGGTATAGAAAACAGAGAATGTGAGGAGAAAGCTAGAAACCCAAGCGGACACGGATACATTTTGTATGTTCCAGCTTGTCTATTGAAATGCTTCAGACCCACCTGGAGCTCTCAGGTGGAACTGATAGCCCCTTTTGTCAGATCGTGGCGATCCAACCACTCTCTTGGGTTTTCAAGCCTCGTGCTGATTATGAGTATAAAGAATTACAGGAATAAAGCTATAATGACGTGAGTGGCTTCAATAAATTGATCCAAAGACCGGAAAACTCCTCTTAGCAGGTCTGGGGAGTAACCAGTTTGACTTAACTGGCACATAGACATCTACGCGGTGAGATCGACGTAAGAGATTCCCAAAAACAAGCCTGTCAAACAACAATCAAACCCCGACCCACAATTCTCCATTATGATCGCTAGAGTTATTTAGTTGATGTGCATCACGTAGGTGGTGGATCGGTGGAGCCCTATGTGCGAACTATGATCCGATAGATCGATCCTCCGAAGACCGCCCCAGTGTAAGGGGAAGTCAGGGGTTCTCGTGAAACAAAAATTCTGCAGAACATACAGCCAGATTCGGATTTTTCATCCCAGTCCAATAGGACTTAACCTTTTATCTGAATGAGTCGCATGGGAAGATCATGTATCATTGACAGCACGAAATTGAATACTGTAATTTCCGGATTCCATCACGTTCGACGATCGCTACTGGAATTAAATGGGTGATTGGTTCTACTGTACTAAAGGCTCCAAAGCTACAGTGGATCCTCGGCACTTCGGCAACAGAAGCTCTGCGTTCTGAGCATACTGTACATGTATTAGTGCTGCAGAAGGTTTTCATACTGTATGTTTGATATATTTCGAGGTGCGAGGGAATCAAATGTGAGCTCCAGATAGGGCATTAGAGTTCCAATGAAGATTAGAGTGCAATACATATAGTGCAGTACGTAGATTGGTGTTAATATGCAAGCCCCGAACATTTCATCGGAGATTCCACTCCACTTTCCACCATGGCCGATTTCTTTTCGGTCGAAATCCCGGAGTGTGTTCAAAAAGCAAATGACTTATCATTGCCAAAGCATGTATTCAGCCGTGCATGACTTCATTTCACGTGAAATAGTGTGTTTTCTCCATGGCAGAAAGCAACGAGAAACACAATAACTTAACATTACTTGATAAGCAGGTCAAAGTACTTTAGTTTATGGCAGGTCTATCGAATGACGAATCTGTGTTATCTTGATTTTATTTTATGAAACAGATGCGGCGAATATATCTACACGATACAGTGCGCATTGAACAGAGATCGGCCTGTCCTTGCGGTCTGTACAATTCTCATGCTCTGTCTCTCTGTTCTTTTATGTTTGACCCTCACTCTTTTCGCCACCAGCATTTGAAATCCCGTGTGAAGAGGCTATGTGCCTATGGCTGCGCCACATACGTGGAGGTTATGTGCGTGTAGCATGGGCTCGTTCCGATGGAGAGCCCAATTCCGGTACTAAGACATAGGCATATAGTCTCTTTGTTGTGACATTATATGACGATTAACATCGGACATCTTCTACGGGATTAACAAATCATGCTGTGCAGCTTTTCTGATATATACCAGAGAACGGCCTCATAGGAAATGAATGGTAATTACCTTGGCCACATCGTGAGTGCCAAGGTCTGAGTTGCCTAGTTTAAGGTACTCATTGGTCAGGTATTCCAGTCGCCCCACACAGTTATGCACATACTGCGCCGAGGCGCGTAACTGGCATCTTCTAGTATGCAAGAAGAACTGTTTCAAGAACTTGTGGGAACCGGCTTAAACTTAAGCCTCAGACCGGAGAGGGGCTACTGGGGTGGATTGCAATATCGGAGGCCTTTGCCTTGAAACATAGGTAGCTGATCACCTGTTTCGCATTATTTAATAAAAGACAATGTACCATTTAGGGCGTGGAATGCTAGATAAAATATTTAGTGCAATATCTTCTAGGAAAGGAAGTTGTTTACAATTACAGTAGGCTATGGAGGAATTGTGCCTGGGCATTCGCGCCTGGGCATTCGCGTCTGAAGGATCGCCGCTTGGACTATGCACAAGCACCTCTACGGCTTAGGGGCGCCTAGAGCGGACCAAAGCCTGGTGTCTCTTTTCCCCGGGTACTTACAGTAAGGAGGAGACTTAAAAATAGAAACCTCACGAATGAAGTGATTGGGGCTGTTCACTCTCATTAGCTTGAAGTGTTAAGTGCTTAAGATCTCGGATATTCATCTTGCCCTCTTCAAAGCATTTCACGCCCGATTAAGATTTTTTTGCTCAAGGGGTTGTCCAGATAGCAGAATACGCACTACCCAAGGATAAAACCACCCGAAGTGGGGGCCAGATATAGACTATGACCCTCATGACACAACTCAGGATGATTACTGTGCTTTCTTTCGTTCAGTTTAGTATATCATTAGCGGCTTTTCTTCCCAAACGAAATACCACCATCACTGTCCCAGACGGGGTGACCTACTCCAACAATGTGATTTGCACACCAACTTCGTGGACGGATATTGTGTCTTTCTTCCTGGGCAACTACCTATCTCATGCGGCAACGGTCATCACATTCCCTGGAGAGCCAGCCCTCACCACAACAGTGAACATGATCTTCGCCATTCTGTTCCCTTCCATGGGCGCTAGTCGGGGAATGATGGCTATCCTTGGACGAGGAGCCCTTCAAACTAGTCCTCTCAAGCGGGCGCTACAATCAAGAGCATTGTGCATGGTGGTACGGTCTCGAGAGTGGGATCCGAAATCGTCACAGTCGATACGATCATTGTCAATACTGCCTAAACAATGCAATGTGAATGAACCTGAATGGTGGCCTTATTTGAAGCTCGGTACTTCTTTGTGATTTCGTACTCTTGTCTTTATTGCTAATAAAGAATAGCACGGAATAAAGACAACTATGAAGAAGAGATCAAGAGGCTGTGAGCTAAAGACATCATACTAAAGTTTCATTGCTTCTAACACCATTCTATAGGGAGTCATACACAGGCCCATTTGAACTTACTGTCTGCATTCCTCCATGGCTTGCCCCAGAAGGTAACACATACAGTACCGTGCCTCCATACTACAAAATATCCGGAACTTGTGAGCTCCCTCCCGGGTACGGGCTGGCATATGTTCCATCCAATGCGCTCATAGAGCCCCTTTCGGCCGCGGAAATACTTCGTTATAATGGCCAAGATCCGCAAAACCTCTCCTCCACATATAGCTTTGCAGCACCGTTGATGGCACTCATTCAAATTGTATATGGCTCGGTCACTTTATTCCAGTCACGAGGGAATCAAGTAGACACGTATGGATACGCTGCATTCGGGTTCACCGTTGTGCCATACTTGATCATGTCGGTCGTCAATCTCGTCGGCAATATGGCAACTCACAGCTACCCATCACTCTCTCTTGTTCATACTGAGTTGATGGATGAAGCTATTGGACGCGGCGGTGTCTTTACAGGTGCTGTTGGAAAGTTGAGAAGCGAGCCACTCCCAGTCAATAACCAGTTCGTTTTCTCGGGTGTATGTCAACGTCGCCAAGGGCCTCTATGGGAGTTCGACGTGGGAAAGGTATACCGTCACGGCGAGACTGAGCCCGATGATTTCTTTCCACTACGCACAACCGCCTGTGACATTCCACACAATTTGTCTCCAACATCAAGCAGATCGCCTTCTTTACAAGAAAATCAAGAAATATCTCGACTCGTCATCGTTTGTCCAAGCTGTTACAAATTTGAAGTCAGCTCTTCAAGACCGTTTCCTTTGTTTCACACTCTGGTCTTGTCCATTTCATTGCTGCCCCTGGTAGCAATCGGCGGACTCTCCGGGTTCAAGGCCGAGTCAAGCACTGTGGCACAGAGAGTCTGGATGATTGTATCTCTTGTTTTCGGGATGGTGATAGTTACCAATGCAATGGTCGCAGATTATTGTATTCATGGCATTCTCCATAATCCTGTTTGGATGAAAATCCGTGAATGGAACTCGGCCGACCCGCGAAAAAAGAAACTTGTCTTTATAGACATCATGACATTTCTCCAGCTGAGTTTTACTATGTGTGCTATAGCCACTCCAGCAATTGGTCACTTTGTTGTGGTGGGACAAATGCTTTGGGAGTACGGATCGTGCTCCCAGCTATGAGCTGTCAAATAGGATGTTAACTGATAATGATGCACTGGTCTATATTTTGACAGACCCGTCGAAGACTTTTCTTCCTCGCACACTATGCTTATAGACGAATGTGGTGTCAAAAACCACAATCCCAATTTCTCTCACGTTTCTACCCTTACTAAATCTTCGTTCAATGATATACCAATTCATATAGCTACACCATTATGCACTTGAACGAAAAAAAAGAAAATCAAAACTCGAAAGATGGGATGTGAGCAAAGTCCACGTAGCTCAATTCTTAGTAGCTCAATTCATAAAATCTTTATCAATTTTTTTATCACAAGGAGAAACGTGACTCAATCGTAAGTCACACTAGTTATAGTCTGACGCAAAGTGATGCAAAGAAACACAATAGATCAATGTGCTGCAAAGGTGAAATGGATTCCGGCAGGGTAGCCAAGGGGTAGAAAGAAGGGGTCAGGAGCAACCAGAACGGGTTTCATCAAATCGAAACAATATCATTAAGGGAATGTTTACTCAGCTGCCTCATGCATGCGGACAGTAAGTCGATCAGCAGGAGAACTGGTCAAGGTCAAGCCGTGTCGAATCTCGCGATCGGGATTCACATCATGGATCTGATCAAAGCGCTGCAGGAGTCGAACAATGACGTAACCGGCTTCGGTGAGAGCGAATTGTTGACCGATGCAAATGCGCGGGCCACCGTTGAAGGGGATGTATTCCCAGCCAGCCTTGCGGTTGGCCCAGCGGTCAGGCTTGAATTCATCGGCATCAGGGCCCCAGAGGTCCTTGCGTCGCTGCATAACATGGGTGGTGTAAATGACAGACTGGCCCTTGCGAACGTAGACGGGGTCTTGGCCGTCGGGACCACCGCCTCGAGGGATAGTGGTATCGCGAGTAGCATTGCGGCGGTTGAATGGCACAACGGGGTAGAGACGGAGGACCTCATTCATAACATACTGCAGATATTGACAGGACTTAAGAGCAGCAAAGGTGACATTTTGCGGGTTCGAGTAAGTGCCAAAAGTGGAGATAATGGTTTCGCGGAGCTTATTAAAAACTTCAGGGTTACGGGCAAGAAGGAGGGTGGTCCAGCTAAGGAGGGAGGCAGTAGTATCGCGGCCGGCCAAGAGGATGTTCAAAAGCTGCGAGCGCAGCTCGATCGGGTCTCGTGTAACCTCCAGAAGGGCGTCCAGGAACACATAAGGGGATTTTCCAGTTTCGGGGTTCTTCTTTTCTTGGTCGGCGGCTTTCAAAGCAGTTGCGACGACCTTGTCAACGAAGGCTTGGACTTGTTTGTCTGAGTTCTTGCTTTCTTTGGTCTCAGCAAGGAAGCTCAATTTCTCGAATCGGCCACGCTGCGCGCAGATAAATTGCGAGAAGTCAAAGTGGCCAGCGAAGGAATCCTCGGGTCTGTTTAAACCGTTCAGACCACCAAGCTGGCTCTCAACGCTTTCGCCGAACAGGAACTCTGTGGCAGAATCGATAGTTAGGCGGAAAAATATAGTTTGGATATCGGTCGAGGCGGTCCAGCCGTTGGCTGCGACGGGCAGCGCTTGCATGGCCTTTTGCACATGTTCTTCCTCCAAATCTAGCTGACTGATTTGCTCTCTGGTAAATTGAGGGCGTAGTAGACCTCTGGACCTAGACCAATCCTCACCGTCCGCAGTGAACTGTATCCGGTTAGTGCCCAAACGAGAAGGAGAAAAAGTATATCATGTGACTTACAATACCAGTTCCAAGTAAGGGGTGCAACGATCTTCGGCGAGAATCACCGAGTTCAAACTCCTTGAATTGTGTTGCTAGAACAGCTTGGATATTTTTTGGGTCGATAGTAAAAATGCCATCGCGACCGAGGTTGCGAATCATGAAGGTAGTGACGTAACGATTCTCCTGCTCGGCCATGACCTTGAAGCGCTTCTCAGCCAACGCTGGAACAGTATTTTCTTTGGCCGCTGCCAGAGACTGCTTCAGGGTGTCGATTCCAATTGGATCTTTGCAAGGGTACCAGGGCAGACTGCCACAGCCCAGCTTTTTAGCGTTGCGAGAGTGCTGCCATGAGTTGATCACCATGCGGATGATCTGCAGCACGATGGCCGCGGCCGCAAAACCCACGATGAAGGTCAGGGCCATGGTGTTGATGGTTGATATGGGTTTACAAGGAACCCAGATCTTGTGTGGGCAGGAGAAGGTTATATGTTTGAATTTAGCAAGCACCGATGGCCGGGTGGGGAACGCTTGCGGAACACAACAAGATGCAGTCAAGATCGTCAATGTTGGAGCCAATAAAATGCACAGCGGAGGTCATATTCGATCAGTGGTCGGAGTTCGCACTCATTCCATTTCCTGGGCCGTTCGATCTCGGACCTCTTGCTCGGTGAGTCTTCGGATTGCGAGAAGATCTTGGAGCCCATCGGGTTCATATTCGGAGACACCGTCAGGTTGCATGTCCATGTATCCACAGACATCTGTACCGTACTTTGTATCCACCAAATAATCTTCATGTTCGCGCCACAGTCGGTGGGTTGCCCCCCCCCCTTCCACGGGCGGCTGCGGTCGCACTCGAGGGGAGAGGTCTGTGTGGGCTCAAAACGGATTTCGGATTTCGGGGTTCGAGAAACCCATTTCCTCCTGAACTTGTGCACAAGTTAAGAAATATGTACTCCGCGAAGATCCTCATAGAAGTATGAATGAAGTCATGGGTCTTGACATATCCTGCAGGTGACCCCTGCTGATGTCTGCATTAGTGTAGTTGCGGCTTGGCCACTGCCGAGGTGATGAGTGATCATAAAAATCACGGGATGAGGAGGCCTTTCTTTGATTACATGAACTTGTTAACTTTCCAACACCGACCGTCTCAGCTCAACCCGATGCAGGACTATGGGAATTCCTCAGATGTGCTATCAGACATGCTCTCATCCAGGTCCTACTTGGACTTGTCTTCGGAGCGGCCACAGGTTCTTCCCAGACGGGAACTAGACTCCGAAATTAAACATGAGCCGGAGCGCAGCCTAAGGCCGCGGAACAAGCGTGACCCTAAAGCACCGGAAATGACCGACCAGCTAGGGATCAACAGGGAATCGGCAGCTCCGGATCGTCCCGCTCGGAAGCGAGGTCGGCCAAGAATGGAGACAGTCAAGGATGCGGCTGCCATTGAGGTATAGTGTATTCCGATATCAAGAGGTCCACTTTGCTCATTCCAGCAGGAGCGTCGTCTGCAGATTCGACGTGCCCAACGCACTTATCGACTCAAAAAAGAATCAACGATTCAGTCCCTCAAATCTCGCGTCGATGGACTGGAACGGACCTTGGAGAAAGTCTCTCATCTACTCGGTGCTGCCCATCAGGATTCAGCTAGTCACCAGGGTGGCACACTGACGACACAGCCTGGCAACGACTATCTGACTCACGCACGAGAGTTGATTTTAGCAGAGCTCCATACGACCCCATCTACCCCAGAGGAAGATGAGAATCTTGAGCCAGCTCGCCAACCATCGAGTGAGACCTTAGGATACCAAGTCTCGCACGCGTTGAGCTACGCAGATGAACAACCCCATCAGAAGGAACGTTCTTCATACTCCAACCACGCCAGGTCCCCTTCCCCACTAATCAACCGTATCCTCCCAAACACAACAATATATACGTATAGCCACCAAGAATCTAATCTCTCACGACGTCTGCACAGGTTCTGCCTCGAGCATATTTACCGCTGGCTCACAGATGCTCGCACCGAGCCAGCACTACTAGGTCGTGTCTTTGGACTCGTACCGTGCATACAAGACATGCCAGGGATAAGACGCAGTTTCCGGCGTGCACTACATTCCGAGATTGGAAGTACGCTGGAATTTACCAAGCTGCCTTTCTACACGCTCGGTGGAGCGGGAACGCATTTTCCACGGAAGGATAGAGATGGGATGCCCATTTCCCCAGATAATAGTCGGAGACCTGGCAAGATTTTGCGAAGGATGGTACGCATTCTGGAGCGTGGGGGAATTCAAGATTGGGATGAGGATTGGAGTGGAGATCGGGAGCCCGGGATTACGGGGCCGGGTCAAAGGCCCCTGGACATGGATCGGGATGAGAGGATCCGTTCGTTGGATCTGGATGGTGAGTGGTTTGACTGCCATGATATACAGGGCTATCTGGAGTCCCGCGGCCTTACGCTTGATGGGTCGGCGCTGAGGCTGGAGGTACCCCCTGCTATGGTTTGGCATCTTCATGGATTCTCACCCGATCAGTCTGTGTCGAGTCTGTACCAAACCCCCGACGAGGTTTGCATCAACCAGCCAGCATCAGAGCCGAGCTCGTCTTACATGCTGGACCTGGAGTGTTTCTTTGATCGTGAGTCAAGCCTTGTTTCTCTCTTGATCCCACTTCAACACATACTTACATGTCATTAGTTCTTCTGGCCAACTTACGAATCCTTGGCCGCGCTCCAGGGTTCCGAGTCTGGGATGTTGACTCTGCGTTGAGATCCGCCATCCATCGACGCCCGTTCAACTAGCATGACGTACGGGAAAAGCATACCGTTGAAGACCATACAACTGATAATAATACAATACTGAACGAAACTCATCAGCCAATGTTGGCAAGGCATTAGAAAAATGAACACCATCATTAGTACTGTTCTGGGTATGTGTACGGTAGATCTGGAAAAGCGGTGTATCATAACAAAAAAAAAACAAAGCCACAAAAAAAGCCACGCAGACGCCCGACACGTCACATTGTCATAATCCCTGCACCTCATCACATTCTCAACATCCGGGGTTCGGTATCAGTGGTCACGTGTATGGTATATCAAATCGAGAAAGAGATCGTTGAGGCGTTAAGTGTTTAGCAGCAGCACTCGCAGCACTCGAAGCAGAGAAGACCAGCGCACCTATTCAACGAATTAGATATATGGTCTTCATCTTGTTTGCGCACTCAGACTTGCGACTTCGATATATGCTTCATAGATGAAAGCGGGGATAATGATCGACTTACATTCCGCAGCAGATACCACCACCGCCACCTCCACGCAGCTGCATTTGCTCTTGGCTTGCCTAAAAGCGACGGGTGTTAGTTTTACTTGGAAAGCTTCCTGACAAATGATTTTGCACGTACGGGCTGCTCAGCAACAACAGCCTGGTTGCTAGAAGGCGCGGCAGGGCTCATGGGTTGCATGGTGACAGTGTTGGCGTTCCAGGTGTTCTCAGTAGGAGTCTGGTCGTTGACCGGGGTAGACTTGAAGAAGTTGAAGTTGAACATGGCGAATGAAGGTAGAATGAGGTGTTGTAAGGTTGTGGGATAGAAGAAGAAGAGTGTATGGAGTATGCGACACGGAATATGAATTTAAAACAAAAAACACCAGGGACGGGATGAAGGGAGACTATATGTACTAATTTTTTCCCCTACGTAGAGATGTGGAGGATCAGCTCCCGAAATACAATGAAACGACTAGCGCCCGACCAATTTGGGACCCATGTACATACATGGAACGTTGTCACGCATTCCAGCACTCCATGGCTGTACTCCGTACGTATTCGTAAACAAATTTCCATGCACTAATTAACTTAGAATGATGCTGCCTGCTGACTGCGGCCGACTTACGGAACCTGCAGTGAGGCTTTGCGGGCATACGTGGTCCACTGTTCATGTTCTATAATTATTCCCCCAGGGCTCAATGCTTCCAGATGCAAGAATACACAGCCTCCTCCACTCACAATCCCTCATCGAAACCATGGAAATGAAGCCTCAGCCCTAAGTTCCTCAGCCCTGCCGCGCGAGAGCGGGCTGCCAAGAGTCTTGGCAAAACACTTGTATCAACCATGTAACGGGGAGACCAAAGGGGTGCACAGGTTAGCATAGGAGATAACTTGCATTATTACCAACGTCTAGCTTATGCATAGGTACATAGAGAGAGAGGGAAAAAAACCGAAAACAGGTCTGGGTTCCTGCTCACCGTCTTCCTAGAGCTTCGAGAGGATCCCGTCAGGCTGTAAAACCGAAAGATAGCTTTTCTGGATTTCCGCGATCGTTCGGCACCTACTGCCGATCAGTAAAGAAATTTTTTTTTAAAATAGGCAGACGGGCATTTTTCTTACCCAGCTAGTGCCATGGTAATACGCAACTCTTGGCGCAATATTCTGATCGCTAGTTCCACTCCTTCTTGCCCGTTGTACTGTCAATAGTTAGTGATGAACAGCATCCACAAAACAGGGAGGGGATAAACGTACGGCCAAGCCCCAGAAGGGAATTCTTCCCATAAAACAGAAGTCTGCTCCAAGAGCTAGAGCTTTGAAGATATCTGAGCCTCGGCGAATTCCACCGTCAACTGCAATGGAAATCCGGCCTTTGGCTACGGGTGCGCAGGAGCGGAGGGCATCCAATGTCGAAGGCATGCCATCTAATTGACGGCCTCCGTGGTTTGAGACGACAACGCCGTTGACACCATATTTGATCGCAAGCTCCACGTCCTCGGGGGAGGTTACTGTAACAGCAGATCGTTAGTGGATGGCTTCACACTCATACATCTGAACACAACGAAAGAGAAAAGGAGGCAACATACCACCCTTGAGCCAGATCTTCAGAGAGGTATGCTCTCTCAACCAAGGAATTGTGCTCTCCCAGTCCAGACTAGGATCTACGATACGTCAGCCATCGATCCTGCAAGTATAACACGTACACCTCTTCATCCGTCGCATCAAACATACCATAATCAGTGCGATCAGAGGTATCGCCTCCATGACTCAGAATGTTTGGCCAAGACATATCCTCCGGAATGCGATACTCATGGCGGTATTCATTCAACCGTTTTCCTAGCACGGGCACATCAACCGATAAGAAGAGTGCCTTGTATCCGGCCTCTATAATTCAAGGTCACGTTAGCTTGACAAACCCCAATATAAGATCCAATCAAAGTCGATGGTTAATCGGAAACAGGACAGACATACTCTCAGCTCGCTCCAAAAGCTGAATTGTAAGTGCCCGATCCCGAAGCACACACATCTGCATCGCATACGGATTCCCCGTTCCCTGCGCAGCAACATCTTCTAGTGGATAGTTTGAATATGATGATAGGCCCATTGCAAGACCGTATTTCGCGGCTGCGCGCGAGGTTGCCAGTTCGCCATCTGGGTGGGCCAGTTTCATTGATGCGGCGGGACTAAAACCGAATGGGAGGGCGACCTATTAAATTGGATGTCAGATGTGATAAGTCTGGGCTGGATTGCAATTTGCAATTAGCAAGGAAACTAGACGCACCTTGGTATCCAAAATTTCTGTACTTGTGTCGATCTTGTCGACGTTCTTTAGAATTCGGGGACGGATTTTGTATCGATCATAGGCGGTTTCGTTCTCGTTCAGACTAGAGGAGGTTCAATATTTAGACATAGAGAATGGAATTTTCGATGAAGATATCCATACGTGATCAAATCCATAGCTCCTTCATTATAATAGTCTATCAGAGTCAGCAGAGTTAATATCAATCACAATCGTGGTAGTCACTCACCTCTAACCATCGGGGCCAGCCGAGCACTCCCCAGCCTCTTCAGATCAGCAATGCAGCATACATCTTTATGAAAGGTTTCTCCACGGTGAGCCATTGTTGTGCAGTGTGATGGGTGTGAAAGAAATGAATATGGAAATAGAAGAAAGTGACAGGAGCACGCCTCAAATAAGACTCGCAGCAATTGAAGCTAACCTTACGCAAAGCACTTTTTAACAAATACAGCTATGCACGATTCATTGCCTGCCGTTTTGCTATAGATTGGAAGTCGGTTTCCTATCTTGGATTTCCCCACAGGCGATCGTCGGAATCGCCTGCCTGGCTGAGAGAGTGTAACGTCTGCTAGATTTGGAGTTGCAAAAGACTTTCGAGGCATAGCTTTCCTAAAGAGTTTTTGCTTCAGTGAGGTAGTTTCGGCTTGGGATCCGATATTTATCTGAGCCGCCATAGCCCATTTTATTTTGCATTGGTCCCTCGGGTTGTGCTGGCAGTACTATATTGCATATTTCTAGGTAGGAGATGTTCGTCATCATCCTGACAGAAGCTTACCTGAATGCGTCTTTCTTCTTTGATCGTGACTATTTATCTCATGAGCCATCTTCGGAAGCAAATTTGAATATCATAGGTATGTTAAGAAGTTGCTGAGAATTAATACGGAACTAGAACCAGATGTTGGTGGTGAGGATAGTCTCAACTTGAGACATCATCAACTGCCAGCATATGCAAGTGGCTAAGGCTTCTCCGATTCAATATCTGCAGTTACAAGAGCGCATTTCAAGGTACTAATGCACTTCCAATATGCCTCCCATACTCCAACAACCGTAAAAGGAAGAGGCAAATCGGGACTTGGCGTAGATAAGATAGCGAGTCACGGGTTAGGAAGGCGTTTCCGAGCTTCGCGGGGTTCGAATCATCTCCATGTTTTCTATCAATATGCCAAATTTACATCTATTGCAAGATATCTATTTTCGTCATGGTAACAAAGCGACCACGCCCTCGTCGGTCGCATGTGCTCGGAGGTTGTAGCACTTGCAGGCGCCGGCATGTCAAATGTGACCAGAAACGGCCCGTCTGTCGGACCTGTAGGGCGCTCGGAGTGACCTGCGAGGGGTTCTCCGATCAAGTGCTTTGGATGCGCACTAATAGCGAGGAAGCTGAGGGACCTCGTCGGGGCACTAGGCGACATCTCTATACAGGTAAGTTGGCCGATGAAGGATCGTGTTCTAATATATTGATTCGTGTTTTAGAACAATCCAGACTGTCTATGAGCGCTGCTCTCAAATCAGATTTAATATCCGGATCTATTGATGCGTCTTTGGCAGAAGTTGACTCAAGATCAAGAGACCCGGAGCGTTCACTTGATAATGATATTATTATCGGACCTTTTGCGGTCCTTGACTTTTCTACTGCGCCAGAGAAACTACAAACACAGCAAGAATTACCGGAAGTCGAATCTATCCCACTTCTTTCCGAAAGATCACCTGGGGCTTTACCTGACCAAATTGAGACCTTGGTTTCAGAGGACGTACAAGGTCCCAGCCCTTCTTCAATCCTAGATACCCTATCCCATATAGATGACTTTCTCCATTGGTCCGATCTATTGAGCTTCAGTCCAGATCAAACTGAATTCGCTCCGAATGGAGCATCAAATATTCCAAATGATCTAATGTTCGATATGAGCCAAGAAATGGGATTACTCCCAGCAGACTCCACCATGAATGACGAGCTGCTCCGAATGTTCACGCCCCAGCAGACGCCGGCTGATTTTCTACCAACGGAAACAGACGCTTTGAATGATGGCCCCTGCCTTCTGAAACACTTCCAAGATATCGTTATCCCGCACATAATGGCAATCCCCTGTCTGCAGAAATCACCTTGGAAGATTCTAAACGTTCCAGCTGCTGTAGTCACTTATGGTGACTCAACATTTCTTGGGACGGAAAAGATCAGCCATGCTAGACTTGCAAATTTGTATGGCTTGCTTGCATGCTCGGCTATTCATCTTGTCCTTAACCCTTCGACAACATCAACTAAACCACCTGAGCATTGGTGGTCGGTTGCTAACCAGGCGTACCAACAAGCCAAAGACCATATGCAAACATCATTGCAAACCGAAACGCATGGACTTAAAAAGGCAAAATACAAAGATCAGCTAATGGCTGCATGTATCCTTATACAATTTACAGTGAGTGACCCTACTTCGAATTCTCCAAATGAGACTGACTCGGTTAGATAATGTCCGGTCAGCAGCAACATGCTCGATGTTTTATGATTGATGCAGAACGTTTATTACGACTTCGAGGACTATCAAAGACACGAATATCAAAGAAAGCCCGACTTCTACACCATGTGTACACCTGGCTGCGAATCGTCGGCGAGAGCACTTTCGTCCTCCACGACTATGAAATTTCCTCCTCTTCCCTCGAAGCTCTTGGCTCTCGATTCAAGTCTCATCGATCAAATGCCACAAGATCCTCTGATCCAACTATTACCAAGGAACCAAATCCCCGACTAGATGATTTCCTTCGCCTTGAAAGCCAAAACTCAGATAATGATCTGAACATCGATGAACCGAAAGATCAAACATCCGGACTACATGACATTCATCTCCAAGACTCACGAAGTTATCCGGAGACACTATACAAGCAGATCTACGGTATCCCAGAAACATGGCTGAGCTTAATGTCACAAACTACCAGACTAGCAAACGTACTAGAGACATTCCGCACAGCTCGCGAGTCGGGCAAAGATGTCAACTTTGAAGCCTGGGATACCCTGCAACGACGCAGTATGCGTTTGGAAAACATGATCTGCTCTTTTAGTCTGGGTCGGACGAGGGGTGGAGTCTTGGAACTGCATGCCGACTCCAAACCCCACAGTCATATGGTTGAAGCTTTGAATGCAGCTCTAGTAATCTTCTTCTATAGAAGAATCAGACAAACCCACCCAGCTGCTCTCCAAGGCCATGTCGACAATGTCATCACCGCACTAGAGTCATGCAGTGCGGCTCTTGCGCCTGATGACCCCACTGGTCCGGGGACAGCTTGGCCGCTATTCATTGCAGGATGCGAGGCTATGTCGCCGTCAAGGCGGGAGGCTATTACAAACCTGTTGGACAGAGCGAGTTCTGTTTGTGGGTTTGCGGCCTTTACCACCGCTAGAAATATCATTACTGAGGTGTGGAGCAGGCAAGATGAACATCTTACTGCCAACCGAGGTGACATTATGCCATCTTGGGTCGATACTGTGAAGCAAGGACATATATGGCCTTTGTTTTGTTGATCTAATGAGAGTTTCTTTTTTTTCTCAGCCATGTATTTATCCTGAACCTAACATTTGATAATGAGATGTAACAGAAACAATATCTCCTCATAGCTAGTCGCCAAAGAGGACATAGAGTGTGCAAATAAGAAAGCATCATATTATATCTACACCATAAAGATCGCTTACTACGAATACTTCTTATGAAACGAAGTGAAGGTATCAAACAATTTCTGACTTTCACGAATTAACCTCTTCATCAGAGGCAACACTCAGATTTCGGCTTGGCACTTCTCCAGCGAATCCCAAGCGAGAGGAGAAATGCAACACCGGCAACACCAGTATTTGGGTAGTAGAAACTGGTCATTTCGCATGTTCGCAACGTCTCGGATGATCGTTCTGCACTCCCAAATTCAGTTGAGGCAATGATGTCTCCTGCATCGTCTTTCTCATTTGCTGTTGTGGCAGGTACTGATGTGACTGCGTCCGCAGAGGGCTGTGACGCCGTGGGCGACAATGAAAAGTGTTGTGCTGCATTTTCGGATCGCTGGTGTCGGGTTCTCGGAGGTACGTCTTGCATGTGGCCGTATATGTCCTCCTTCATCAAAATTCCAGGGAAAGATTGCGACCAGCGTGCGAAAGGAAAAGTTCTTCGCTGCGATATAAGCCAGTTCATCCGAGAGACGGACAAGTGGGAGCGGTTGCACCTATCTACCGTCCTCCATTAGCTGGACGATAATGGTGAGAGGTGCCTAAGATTGTGAAATATCCTCATCCGGTGAGGAATCTCCTGGCATCCATCGCGGGCGCTCAGCCCTAGTTCTTGATTCGTTGTCTGCCCGGAAAGCCTTGCGTAAGGTGTAAAGATGCATGGTGATTTCTGCGCTTGTTTCGGTTTCTGCCGCGTGTATATTGTTGCAATATAGGAAATGGCCGGGACGGCAAGGTCAGTGAGATATAGAAATAATGTAAGAGAGAAGGAAGAAAAAAATGTGTCGGTTATGGAAGAAAAGGAGTGTCTCCGCTGCCTATAAAGATATGCTGGAGCGGGTGGTGAAGTGGAAATGATGATTTGATAAAGTGGAAGTGAGGTTATCCAAACCGAGAAAAGCACAAAGTGAGGATACCGCGAAGTGAGTATAAAGTGACTCTTAACTGATCACGAAGTGAGGTGAAAGTGATATTCTGTTTCGGTTAGTTTGACCTGTTCTTTGTCCTGCTCTGGTACCCCGACCAGGATGCCGTTAGTCACAACGTAAAATGACCTGGTAATAGCATAGTTGTATGCATCTAGCACTCCCGAGATGTACTCAGCGGAAACCACGCGTCTCGCTTCAGCGAACCCTGCACTGAGCATATTTTCGATCTCATTACTTTGAAATCTCAAACTGTCAAATCGTGCGACAAGTACATTCTCGAAGATCGCCTCAGCGATGGCGAGTTTCACAGAAGCATCGAAAAACTGAAAGAACTATGAAACGCTGCAGCAACGACGTGTCAACAGGAATATCTTCTGGCTTGAGAACCGTTTGTGTTGTCACATATGCCATTAAAAGAGTCTGTCCAACACCGAGACCTTGAAGGACCTGGAATAGGATATTCTGTTTCGTGGATATTAAGATGGAATCAGCATTGCCTGATTGGCCCTTTTCATATGCAGTTCTAAAGCTGAAGGAACGCAGAGACATTAATTAAAGAGGTAATAAACGTGTCAAGAAGTGGCTTGGATTTGCTGTATCAAAAATATTTCAAAGTAGCTCGTTCTCAATCCTAATACTCAACATATAACCAATGCACCCCTTAATCATTTTCTGAAGAGTGCGATATTCTCATTGAAAACATTCAGGTTGTCCGCCTCGTTAGCAACACTAACACCATTGATATCAACCATACTGGCTGATCCTACTGTGTTGAGATTGTAGATGGAGATTGACGAAGAGCCCTCCAGGCTAAAGATTGAGTTCTGGCAACTTCTTCCAGAGTCTTGGGCCGAGCATGCTAGAAATTGTCAGGTCTGATATCCGTGGGGGTGGAATTGGATTTAGATGCTTACAGGCATCATTGTTGTCGAAGAAAGAGTATAGTCCCGCTCCATAGACGAAGATCCCAGTTGAATCCAAAACCCGCAGACCCCAGCCCTCAGCGCAATACTTGCCTTTGCCAGCACAGGATGTTGTAAAGTTGGGATCGTGGATAGACGAGACGACCGGGAATGGAGTCGTGGCGAGGGGGTTTGGTTGGTAGTATCTGTGGAATGTGACTTTAGTAAAAAGCTCATTCAATTAAGGAGTGTCGTGTACTCACGCTGATTCGGTTTGTATCTGGGCCATGTAGATGTTCTTGGTTGAAGCAAGCTGATACTGATACAGCACGTTGTGTTCCACCGCAGTGCCCGAGCTGTATAATCAGTCAATTTGTCTTTATGCAATATTCGAAGTGTAATGTGGAACTCACAGCCAGATATTTCCCTGAGTACTCTCAATGTTCAAGCCGCGACCGCTGTAGATCGTGAGCTGACCATTTCCGTCAAGATCACTAATTGGTTAGCAGGATTCTTGAGAATTTAAGTGGAGAGAACATACTGATCAGCAACCCAAAGCCAGTTATTTTCCATATATAATCCGGTGGCGGATGATGTGATATGCATGAGCATAAATGCAGCAATGCAATTGGGATTTGCGGTCGTGGTAGCTGTGCCTGGCGTCGCAGTACATTGCGCAGCCTGAAGCTTAGAGCCTGCAAACCCTCCAACTCTCACATGCACATCCCACATTCCAGATGGGCTGCCAGATGAAGAAGCAAGATTCCACTCAATGAGAACAGCCCCTGCCTGTGCGCCTTGTGTGCTGACAATCATATCTGACCATTCTACTTGGCCACTGTCACCAGAAGCGCCAACTCGAACGACAGGCTGAGGACTGCCCATATTGTTGAAAAAGCTCCCACTCGACATGATTACTGGGTAGGCTTCACCGACAATTTTGGAGCCCGCCGGAATCTTGAGAGTGCTGGTCACCAGGTACGTACCAGCATCGAAGTAAACGATCTTGCCAGAGGATGCAGCGGCATTGATGATATTTTGCAGAGCTGCTGTGTCATCTGTCTTTCCGTCACCCTTTGCACCGCCGCTTCGGGTGCTGCTGAATGAAGATGCACTCAACGTGCTATACTGGGGCTTGGAGCGCTCATAGAACTGTTGTCCTTGAAGAAGCGACGCTGGACGAGAGTTGGGTGTGAAAGTGCCCTGGAGGGTTTGGGGCCCGTTAGGAGTGTAACTGTGACCTTGTCCCCAGGCATTGACTAGAACGTTTCCGCCAGCGAGAACAGTTGTCTGGCCCGGGCCTTGTACAATGACGGGGACATTTTGAACAGACACGTTCTCAAGAACAACGCTTCCAGCTGTCGGAGGCTGAGAGGTAGAGTCATGGACAGTGACGATGCCCACTGGAGTGTTAGTGATGAAGCTGTCCAATAAGGTAATAGAGCTAACGCTCTGTTGACCATGACCTCCGGAGGTGATATCGATGCCGACCTGACAGTTATTGATATGGATGTTCTTATAGGTCCAGCCCCAGTCCCAGTAGTGGCTGATAGCAGTGACTGCATTGTTGAATGTCAAATTTCTCATGGTGAATTGTTGGTTACCGAGTGCTGCGCCGATGTTTCCGCCATTGAAAATGAGATCACCCATATATCCAGCAGATCCTGATCAGTATCAGTATTGAAGAAAAGGTTCAAGTTTCTCATCGAAAACATAACGTACCGCTTTCACAGAAAATACCCTGATGTTTTGTGCCAGAAGCCGAACTCATCTGGAAGACCATGTTCTGAAGACTAGTTGCCTGGGCTGTTGGCCAGTGGATGCCACTCACAGTGTTCCCTGTGGGAATATTGCGAAGATCCAAAACGAGATTTCTAATTTGTCGGAAGAACACAACGGTAGATCCCCAGTTGAGATCCGAAGTGAAATAAGGGTCAGCATCAATAAGGTATCCGCCTTGGAATCCGGATGTTGCCTTGATCACAGGCATGTTTGTGGGATCTCCAATGATCTGCGTGTAATAGTAGTCAAAGATTGGATACGAAATCAAGTAGGTGCCGGCAGGGAAGTAGACCAAGGCTGGAGTTGTTGTATCAGATGCACAGCCCTGTCCACACCTGCCACCACTGCTAATTGCTGCGTTGATGGCTGCAGTATCATCGGTAACACCATCACCTGAACTTGATGTCAATAAAATTGATTTGGCTGTAAATTCGTCAAGAGAACACCTTACCTTTCGCACCAAAGTCTTTGACATTGCGAAAGACTTGATACCCAGAAGCTCCAAAGGCAGAGACACCCTGATGGCTTATGGATTCCAACCAAAAGGATGAGCTGCTGGCGAGCAACGCGCTTTCTTCAACGACCTTTGCTTTAGCCGGGACCTTCTTTTGAGGGCCAGTGTAGGCCTCATAGTTTCCATAGTCTTTGAGTGCCGCAGCAACAGCAGCATCAACAGACGGAATATCTATAAGAGCTGCACTTGCAGTAAGTGCCAAAGGCAGGATGGCCAAAATACCGAAGCGGACCATGATTGCCTCAGGAATTTGGTTGAAAGGAAAGCTGTAGGTCAAATTCCAGGGCACGTCTGTCATATTTATATGTGAATATAGTTGGTATGGAAATCGAACCCCGATTGACCGTCAGTCATATTGTCGCCCTGAGCGCTCATTTCCAACCTGGACTAGACGGAAACCTGGAAACTCGCTTCCCCTCAAAACCTATTGCACGTGGCTCTGCGTTAAGCCTATGCAGGACGTGTCCGAGCTAACATGCATATCAAGATAGATCCGTGACTCCGCAACCGCAGCTCTGAATGCAGGACAAGGTTGAGAGCTAATGCAAGTGATCCGTGAAGGAACTCGCTCGGATGACAACTCTGCTTTGTCCGATAATCCGCAAATTAAATCCGAACAAGTAGATGCTTCACGGTTTTTCGACTTTGCCTTCAATTGAGCTTTCGTGTAGTGCCGAAATTCCGCGCGCGACTTTTGAATATCTTCATCAGTCTTGTTTGTTAATGAATCTAATTTTCGCCTTGAAAGAAAGATCATGTCAAGGAACTTGTCAGTAAGGACGAAACAAGAGATCTGGGAAAATGCCGCAGCATTGGGTAATTCTTTCAGTAATGATCCGTTCTCATAATTTGGGTAAAACTCTGTCACATTCATGAAGCTAGATCTCTATATGATTGCAGGGTGCTCTCAACTATCCTAACATGTATTTGCAATTGTTCATTTCCCACAGCAGCCTACTATTTCCATCCATTCTTCACGTTGACCAGAATCATTAACAATGGTTTATTCTTATCTTCTTCTGACAACCCTTCTGCTTCATAAGGCGCACGGCCTTGCTGCAAAGAGAGGCATTGCCTACAACAACAATAACCCTTCCGGAAACTCAGTCTATGCGAACCTTTTCAAGGGAAACTCGAAGGTCTCATGGGCCTATGACTGGGGATACCCGTCCTGGGGTCTGGACTCGTCATTTGAGTTGTGAGTTTCACCCTGCAAATTGAAGACTCGAACATTATTTACTGACTTGCCAGTGTTCCTATGCTGTGGGGACTGCCCAGCGGTGCCGATCCAGATTGGACAGCTGCTGTGTCAACTCCTGGAACTCGTAACATCCTCGGATTCAACGAGCCTGATCTGACCTACGACGCTTCATCTAACATCATTCCCGCAAAGGCTGCCGCTGGGTATCTTACATACATGCAGCCCTTTGCTGGAACTGTGCGGATTGGGTCACCCAGTGTGCTTTGGAATAACGTGGGCTCATCTTCTGGTGGATCTTATGATACCGCTACATGGACTCAATATTTCCTTGGAAACTGCACCGGTTGCCACTTGGACTTTGCAGCTATTCATTACTACCAGGATTGTGTGACTCCTGATGGCCGGAATGGCGCTATTTGGTTTGAAGGTAATGTGACAAACGCGCATGATGTTTTGGGCCTCCCGATTTGGATTACAGAGTTCGAGTGCTATGGAAGCGAGGAACAGCAAATTGCGTTTTTGGAGCAGGCTCTTCCTTGGTTGGACTCGCAAGGTTATGTGGAAAGGTATGCGTACTTTGGTGCTTTCCCACAGTATCTCATCAACGCGGATGGGACTGGATTATCTGATTTGGGAAGCACTTACGCAACTATCTAAGTGCTATCTCAAGTTGTATAGGACTATTTAGTAAAGTAGGCATATCTTTTAGATATTGTTGAAATGCATTGAACTACATTGAGAATGGCAGCTCTGCGGTGACTGTGATAAGATCCTCACAATAATCAAATAGGATCAGATGAGATAGATCGTGAGACTCGAGATAGTCATCACTGAGTTTCCAATATCACCAAATACTGCTCCAGGTCCTTCATACCAGTGTGTTCATCTCTAAAAACCATGGCCCGGGCCGCTCGGGAATTGGAAGTAATGCGTTCTTCGACTATAGACCCTTGAATTTCAGCGACGCTACTACACTCCTGCAGGTTGACCCCGCAAATATGAACACAAATTTAATATAAATCCTGGTCTGCTGCCAGATTTCTGCGGGGTTCTTCAGCACTAAGCTAATCTTGGAAAGGGCTCAGCTACTGCGTGTTATTCAATGTAACCACGCAGGGATCTCAACTGAACTATTCAACTGAGCCACTTTCTGAAATGCTTTCAATATAGTCTACAAGGCATGCGGAGTCTCGGAGATAGCCATTAAGTCTCGCTTCAGTGTATACACTTTATTGTGCGCTTGAAGAGGACAAAGATCATCTTAGATTTTTGTCGACAGGAAGCACAGCTCATGGCCAAGAGTCATGACAATAAAAGGAAGTCCAGACAGCCACGGTGAGAGGATGTTATCACAATTTTACATTAAGTAAAGGAAACCACCAAAGCAATGATGAAGATGCGAGCTTGTGTTAGATACATTCCTTCGTTGCTGATATATATCAGCCCTACATTTGCCTTCTTCAAAGTTCCATGCAGTACGCCTTTGGTCATTGAACGAGCAGACCCACTCATCTCACCTGGAGTAGTCTCCAATCATGTTCACACCATTATGGGTGGATCTGGCTTCGGGTTTACCATGAACTACGACATGACCCAGACGTCAGAGTGCAACTCTTGCTCTGCGATTGAAGACAAGTCCAACTACTGGGTTGCTGCTCTCTACTATCACGCGCAGAATGGAAGTTTCATCCAAGTTCCACAAAACGGGGGAGCTTTGATCTACTACGAGTAAGGGTTCTGTGGTCATCTTTGGTCTACAATGGTACTTATACTTCACAATTTAGACAACGCCCTGATCCAACCACAGATGGGAAGATTGTGGCACCACCAGCTGGATTCCGCATGATTGCAGGTAGTCCATTTGACCGCAGGTATAAGGATACCATCGAAGCCGATGCGAGAAGCTTCGCCTGTCTCAACTATGATGGTCCTGCAACGCCACAAACAAATGGATTCCCAGCGACCAATTGTCCCAATGGGCTCCGCGCTCAAGTCTACTTCCCATCCTGCTGGGATGGAGTCAATTTGGATAGCCCCGATCACAAGTCCCATGTAGCCTACCCTAACCAGACATATGACAATGGCCCATGTCCCGCGACACACCCAGTTCGCATCGTCTCTATATTCTACGAGATTACATGGCACACCGAGCAATTCGCAGACATGTGGTATGGCAACAGCCAACCTTTCGTCTTCTCCTTCGGCGACCCTACAGGATACGGGCTGCATGGCGACTTCGTCAACGGATGGGACATTACAGTTCTCCAAGAAGCCATTGACACCTGCAACGATGGCGGTGGAGATATCACCGAGTGCTCGCCCATCCATCTCTATCCAGATACCATCACAGACGGCTGTCTGTTGGAGCAATCGGTTGATGAAACAGTTGGTGGATGGCTGACTGCTCTTCCGGGCTGCAATCCCATCCAACCAGGTCCGAACGACGCGACAGTCAGGACTGGCTGTGGTGCGCCCACGCAGATTGGATCGCCCCAGCATTACTATACTGATGTAACCGGTGAGCTGGGCTGGGAATGGATTGGCTGTGCTGTCGATAATGCAGGGGGCGTCAGGATCCTTGGTGGCGCCAGCTCGGCCGGCTCGGACATGACGGTCGAAAAGTGCATTTCGAACTGCAAAGCTGCAGGATATACGATTGCCGGCCTCGAAAATTCTCACGAGTGCTATTGTGGCAATAGCATTGACCCTGCCAAACAGCCGTCTGTTACACCCATGGGAAATTGTCTCTATCCCTGCAGCGGCAACCCTAGTCAGAACTGCGGGGGCTATGGCTTTATTGGCCTTTACCAGAAGTGCGTGGGCAACTGTCAGAATCTTCAGTATCCCGTAGTTCCTCACTAGTGGACCCATAGGTGGTTGTTTCAGGGGGGGGTATGGGGGAGGAAGAGGGCCAGGTCTACTTAGTGTTGCATAGTGCTGATGCTTATTGGCTCATTAATCCAGAGAATTTGGTTCTGAGACCCTTGTTTCTAAGTTAAAGTGGTTCAATTTCCGTTTTCAGGATAGGCTTGCTCGTTAGCCCCGGGAAATAGCAAAGTTTAGGCCGAATCTCGTTCTCGTTCTCGGCTTATATTTCCCTGTTTTGGCTCTGTCCTCTCTGATAGATTAAGCACATGCATCAAAGAGCCGTGCAGGGCAAAATACCGGCATATGCACGCACTAGTGGGCAATCTACCCGATGAATAGCAGGTATAAATCTTTACATTCGTCCATCAGCATAATTAACCGAAACCTTATAGCCATTAATAAGTTTCATGGAGTATTGATAGGCACAAGTTAATTAACAATCCCGCCCACTAAGCTCCACCTAAGGCTCGCAAGCCGCAAATTATAGACTTGCAAGAAACAACCAAGTAAGCAAACATCAAACAGCCTAGACTTCTGCTGGGGTCGGCTTCTCAGAAACCTCGCCGAACGCTTCCTCTCCATCAAAGATCAATGCGACCTCTTCCAAGCTATGCCCCTTGGTCTCGGGGAATCCAAAGTAGACGAGACCAATTTCAACAGCAATCACACAGCAGTAGACAATGTAATACTTCCAGCTGATTGCATCCATTGCCACAGGATTCGCGTATCCGTTGAAAAGAATGACACAAGTAGATGCGATTTGCATGATGTTTGTGCCTTTGGCGCGGAGATGAGTGGGCAGAACCTCAGTGACATAGACCCAGGGTGGTCCATTGAGACCGGCATTGTAGAACAGCTGATACATGAAAATCATAACAATGACTCCAGCTCCAAGAGAGGTATCGTGGAAGTCCCTTTGTTCGTTGATTGCAGACAGAATTGTCCAAATCACATAACAGCACAGCATTCCTATTGTGGAGAATAAGAACAGGCGTCGCCGACCCACGATTTCCATAAATGAAGCTAGAATGACAGAGACTCCCAAATTGAAGACTGTCAAACCGCCATTGATACGGAGCTGCTGCGGATCTGAGGTATAGCCGATGGAGTTCAAAATGAGATGGAGATAGTAGGCGATGAGACCATTGCCGGAAAGCTGCATCATGCACGGAACTGCGATGATAATGAACAGCCGGTGCATGTTGCCTCGGGTGCTTAGGAACTCGCGATACCCAGTTGACGAGGAACTCTTGGCTGTCTGGATTTGCAAGATGATTTCCTTCATTTCGAAGTCGACAAGCGCAGAGTTTTCGTCTCCTCCCGCATGATACTTGGTCAGTACCTTTCGGGCTTCATCATATCGATCTTTCTGCACCAGATATCGCGGCGACTCTGGAAGCAGATAGATGCAAATTACTTGCACCAAAGGGAACAATCCTTGCAGTAGCGAGGGTACACGCCAGGCCCAGGAGGCACCGGGTCCCATAAAATACGTTCCATAGGTGACCCATGCAGCAAGCAAGGCCCCCAGATACCACAAATTATTATAATAACCAACAAGAACGGATCGATGAGTTGGATAGGCAAGTTCGCTGACAAGCATCGGGGATGCTTCAACTGCAATCAGGCCTCCAAAGCCGATGACCATGCGAGCGGCCAAAAACATGGCATAGTTCTGAGCGGCACACTGAAGCAAAGCACCAATCACCAAAAGAGCCGAACCAATAAAGATCGGGAAGCGTCGGCCCATATGGTCACATAGCCACGGAGCGATGGGAAAGGCGAGGATCTGACCAAAGATGACACCGTTGGAGAGTGATCCCAAACGGGTTCCGGTCGGCGAGTCGAAGAAGTGCTGCCACTGGCTCATCGACTGAAGACCGTTGAGCATAGATCCATCATAGCCGTTGGTAGTCGAAGATAGGTAGGGAATGATCATTCCGAGGTTGAGCAGCAGCAAGTGACGCTGCTTATACCACGGCGTGCCGGTATCGGGCAGAACGCTTGAAAGACTCCACTCGCCAGGGTTGTTGTGAACATCTTCAACCTGGGCGGTTGCTTTAGTGTCATTGTCAGCCATGCTGACTCTGTTTTCTGTTCTGATGGTTGTCGTGGCTGTCTGGTTCAAGCAAAAGGCTGATTTGGATGCCGTGGAGGTCGGGGATTGGGATGAAGTCCTTGATATATCAAATTTCTGACCCGAGACCTCCGTGATTCCGCAGTGAGACCTGGACAAGACGTGGAAAGCGCCATGCCAAATGGTTCTTCGTCTTCCAGTGTGCAAATGGCAAAAGCCAGATCTCACGCCGTGTGGCGCTTTGAACTAACCGCTTCGGACCGAACCTGTCAAGCTTAGTCTCAAACTCCAAGCGAGAGGATCCCCGCAGTGAAAAATTCCCCAGGCTGTTGAGTCCGGGGAAGGGACAAAGCGTGTCATGGCGAATGGAACTTCCTCATATTGGCTATGGCCTGGGATGAAAAAGTCAGATGCCACACTACAACGGAAACAGCTTAGGGAGACCCCTGGACTTCCGAAACTCCGCTGAGTACTTAATTCAGACCATAGCCTCTTCTCTACACACTCATCTACCAGTCAAGAGACTGCTTTTCGGCTCTGATGGAGACGGTCTACCTGCCCAAGAACCAATCGGAAACCCCTTCCGATGGAGAATCACCACTTGCAAAGGCCAGTCAGAAGAGAAAACACCCTCGGGCGGCTGGGACGTACCCACGGAAACGAGCTACACAGGCATGCCACACTTGTCGCCTGCGACGGACCAAGTGCGACAATACCCGGCCTGCCTGTGCATCCTGTGTCCGTTTGGGGGCGGAATGCAACTACCAGCAGATAGATCACTCGACGTGAGTGTCTCTAAGCATGCGGAGACTCGGAAGAAGCTGACCGGGGTCCTAGATTTGATTCTGCGAGTTTAGCGATTTTGAAGCGCATAGATGATCTGGAATCTCTGATCCAATCCAAGGCCAATGACCTGCCTGCGCTGCCATCGAACTGCATTCCTTCAACGTCGCCTATCTCTTTCAGCATTGGATCGTCTGTCATTGATCAGCAAGCTCAGTGGAAACCATCATTTATCAATATAGATGAGGTTTTGAAGTGGCCTGTATTCGAGAATCACAGTTTTGATCAGCGACTATATTCACTATCACAGTCAGAAGAAGACAGAGTCCAGTCGGAACTACCCATATCGGTTGATCTTGATCTCCAAGAGGCTGATATTCTTCTTCGAAATTTCTTCGATGATGTGCATATTTTCAACCCGACGCTAAGGGAGGAAGATGTAGCAGAATATGTCAAGATTGTGCGATACAACGGCATCGGCTGGGATGCCACATCCTGCCTACTGGTAGGTTCCCTTTGTCGTCTCAAATATTCTGTTTCATGCTAATCTGTTTTTTTCTAAAAAAAGCTTCTCATATATGCTCATGGCTCGATTGCAACTCCATTTGTCAAGATTGAGCCGGATGGATCGTCTTCCTCTTTTCGTCAGTCGAAGGAATTCCTACAGGCTGAGTCGTACTTCCTTGCTGCTCAGAAACGAATGGGTATGCTTCTTTGCAAAACTGGTGCCATGGAGGCCCAATGTTTTTTCTTGGCCGGCGTCTATTTAATGGCAACTTTGCGACCGGTTGGTGCTTGGAGAATGTTTGTGCAAGCATTAGCCTGTTGTCAGGGGTTTTCCATCCAAGGCACAAATGACAGCCACTACGAAGATGAATGGAATACCAAGCAGAGGATATACTGGACTTGCTTCAAGTCTGAACTGTAAGTTATCTTGCTGCAAAATTCTGGTCTCACCTGCTGACTTCCCCCATAGAGAACTTCGACTGGAGCTAAACCTATCACAAAAGAATGTTTTGGATCTAAGCTACCCAACATTTTTTCCTACACCCCCCGATGGTCTAAAGACTAAAGATGAGGCAGCATGGTATTTTTACCTGGCTGAGATTGCCCTGCGCAGATTGGAAAATCGCATCTTGGGACACCTCTATCGACCCGACGCGGCAATCTCAGAATCCACCATGATATATGCGATTGTTGATTTTGAAGAGCAGAGAGATGCCTGGTACGTAAAAGTCTCTAGCATGAAAGGCATTGTCAATGGTTGTTCGCTAATGCCTTCGAAATTCTAGGTACCGCTCTCTACCCGAAGTGTTGGCTCTCGACATTGATACCCCCAACACAGATCAATACGAGCCATTTCGGTTCATACTCCGTGGGCACTTCCTAGACTGCCAAGAGACCATGTATTGGCACTTTTTAGTGGAGGCAATATATGGCCGTGTTCATGGCAGCAACGATGTCTTCCTTCGAAAGGGGTTGAAGGTTTGCGTGGACAGAATCCAGCAGAATCGGACAGGTTTCTACCACCGCCATCATGGGACATGGCTTATGTTACGGTCGTGTACAAGAAGTGCACTTGTTCTCCTTGCTGCGGAACGTAGTGCAGATCTTGTTCATCTGTTGCCTCTGGGCTGGGAAGAGGCCATTCTTGAGGTGACTAGGATGCTGAAATTCTGGAAAGATGAATCAAGTGACGTGCTTGAGATGTTGGACATTGTGCATATTCTTATCAATTCCAGAGCTTCTTAAATTAGTCCTTATCAATCAGCTAGTTTGGGGCAATGTATTAACCTTCTTATTTAACCGGTAGCTTGCTGAACGTGAATTCTGTACTTCCACCAGTCGCAGCCTAGACCAGAGTGTGTACAACTGGGCTTATCTGCATTATCATTGAGTCTCCAGTCTCAGGTTAGTGCCACGTATAAACTGAAATGTCTCGGGGAAGAATAGCAATTTGGGCCAATGAGACCTCCAAGTATCCAAGCCCGACACTCCGCGATGCACCCGAAGACCACCATAGCTTATTTATTATCCGGAGTTATTCCGATTACGAAATACTTGCTTTCTTATTGTCACGTAGGCCGATTCATTCCTTGATATGTCTTTTGTATAAGAATAAGGCCTGCCCCCAATTATTTCCAAATTTTCATCTCCAGAATACATCTTTGTCAGTCACTTTGACTAAGATGTCGGACATTGATATCGAATATGCGCTCGAGCAGCTTACTCTGAACGAAAAGGTCTCCCTTCTCTCAGGTTCGTGGCTTTCAATTCCAAAGCGTTACTTCACTAACCTTGAGAATAGGAGTCGATGGCTGGCACACAGCAGCAATCCCGCGACTGGGAATCCCTCAGATTCGAATGTCAGACGGACCAAACGGTGTTCGAGGGACTCGCTTTTTCAACGGGGTCCCTGCAGCTTGTCTTCCTTGTGCGACCGCGCTAGGTGCTTCATTTGACACGGAGCTCATATTTTCTCTCGGAAAGCTCCTGGGTGCAGAGTGCAAAGCGAAGGGCGCACATGTCCTTCTAGGCCCGACCATAAACATCCAACGAGGGCCGCTGGGCGGACGCGGCTTTGAGTCTTTCTCGGAGGATCCTGTTCTCTCTGGCTCTTTGGCTGCTAGCTATTGTTTAGGTGTTCAGACTGAGAATATCATTCCGACGCCGAAACACCTGGTCTGTAATGACCAAGAACATGAGCGAGTTGCTGTTAGTGCGCTTGTGACTGAGCGAGCATTGCGGGAGATTTATCTTCTCCCTTTTCAATTAGCCATTTCCGGTGCCAATCCTGGTGCGCTCATGACTTCATACAACAAAGTCAATGGATGCCATGCGAGTGAAAGTCCGGATCTGCTACAAAATGTTGTTCGAGACGAGTGGAACTATAAAGGTCTCATTGTGAGCGATTGGTTCGTTGAAATCAAAGCTTCATGTTACGTTCAATACTAATTGTAACAGGTTTGGAACCTACAGCGGGTCCGATGCACTCAATGCCGGACTAGATCTTGAGATGCCAGGCCCAAGTCGTTTCCGGGGCCCTGGCTTGGTGCATGCTATTACATCCAACAAGGTTTCCGAGAAGACTGTTAATGACCGAGTTCGTTCGGTGTTGGAGATGGTGAAGCTAACGGCCAGCTCAAAAATTCCCGAGAATGCAGTCGAAGTCCAACGGAATCTGCCCGAAGATCAAGCACTACTTCGCCGAGCAGCTTCTGAGTCCATTGTGCTGCTCAAGAACGATGACCATGTTCTTCCTCTTGACCCTGCTAAGAAGACTCTTGTGATTGGGCCCAATGCCGATATTGCGGCATACTGTGGTGGAGGCTCTGCAGCCTTGCCGGGGTACTATACAGTCACTCCCTTGGAAGGAATATCTAGCAGCTGCACTGGAGGTGTCACGTTCTCACAGGGAGTCTATAGTCATAAGGAGTTGCCTCTTCTTGGCTCTCAGCTTAAGGTCGAGGATGGTCGTGTCGGTTATACATTCAGCGTGTTTACCGAGCCCTCCACCAAAAAGGACAGAAAGGTGGTTGACAGTTTGCATATGACAAGCAGCTCTGCCTTTTTGATGGACTACAAGCATCCCGAGATCCATTCAGATCTTTACTATATTACCATGGAAGGCATCTTCGAACCGGCTGAAAGTGGAGTATATGACTTTGGGCTTACTGTCGCCGGTACCGGAGAACTCTTCATTGATGGAGAGTTGATAGTCGATAACAAAACCACCCAGCGCCAGGGGACGTCCTTCTTTGGCATCGGTACCCCAGAAGAACGTGGCTCGAAGTATCTTGAGGCAAACAAGCAATATAAGATTCTGGTCGACTATGGTACTGCTCCAACTTCCAATTTGAAATTGCATGGAGTCGTCTCGTTCGGGCCTGGAGGAGTCAGAGTTGGAGGATGTCGACGTATTGATTCGGAGCGCTCAATTCAAGAGGCTGTGAGCCTGGCAAAGTCTGCTGAGCAAGTCGTGGTCTTGGTAGGATTGAGCGGGGAATGGGAAAGCGAAGGCTTTGACCGTCCGCACATGGATCTCCCTCCACATTCTGATGAGCTAGTAGAGAGAATTCTCGCTGTACAGCCAAATGCTGTGATAGTGGTGCAAAGCGGTACACCTGTGAGCATGCCCTGGGCTCGAGATACCAAGGCACTGCTTCATGCTTGGTATGGCGGTAACGAAACAGGAAATGGAATTGCTGATATCATCTTTGGAGATGTGAATCCGGTCAGTACTATCACGTCTAGACCATATGATCTCGTTTACTGACTCCATGTTGTAGTCTGGAAAGCTCCCTCTCACATTCCCAGAGTTTGTCGAGCAGAACCCAGCATACTTGTCTTTCCGCTCAGAGGGAGGACGTGTGCTGTATGGCGAAGATGTATATGTCGGCTATCGGTACTACGAAAAGACCAAAGTGAAGCCCCTGTTTCCCTTTGGGCATGGTCTCTCGTACACAAAGTTCTGTCTTTCAAATCTTTCTGTCTCGCAGCCTCTGGCAAGCTTCAACAGAATCAAAGAGGAAGTGCTTGAGGTTTCTGTTTTACTGGAAAACACCGGGCTATGCAGTGGCGCAGAGACTACCTTGGTCTACATCTCACCCTCTTCTAGCAGCAGTGTTACACGCCCAATCAGAGAGCTCAAGGGTTTCAAGAAGATTGGGCTTGAGAAGGGCGAAAGACAAGAGATCTTGATTTCGATTCCACTTGCTCTCGCTACTAGTTTCTGGGATGAAGGTCAATCTACATGGCTTAGCGAAGCAGGAGAATACAGAGTGATCGTGGTTGGCACCGGAGATCAGAACTCGCTCTCTGCGACTTTCCACGTCGCCCGTACACGGAGATGGAATGGGTTGTTTGGGACCGGTGTGAAAGCTCCTTCATTACATGTCAACGGCAATGGAAGTTTAAGCAAGCAGACATAAAGCAGGATGGTTAAATTGGCCTACTCAGTCAGATAATAAATGAACTGCTAATATCGAATATATTCACTGAAAACCACATATACACATCCAAAATCGAAACGTTGAAGCAAAAGGTCCCATCTAAATAGTCTTAACACCAGCATTTTGTAACAATTGCTTAAGCTCAGCCGTCAGCTCCGGGTTGAGCAAAGCAAAAGGCTTACGCAAACCACCAGTAGGCTGTCCAATTAACTCGCAGCCTGTCTTGACAGCAGCGGAATAGTTATGTGACTCAAGGAACTTGCAGACAGGCCAAGCCTTGGCCCAGATCTCGCGTCCACGCTTAAGATCACCCTTCACAGAAACAGCGTCCCAAAGCTCAACCGCTAGTTCGGGAATAATGTTGGCAGCGCCCCAAACACCGCCAGGCGCGCCAGCAGCAAGACCGTAGAAAGTCAAAGTATCCCAGCCATTGAATGCAGTAATCTGGTCCGAGAGGCCAAAGATTAGCTCTGTAAGCGCAGGCGCGTTACCAGAGGTATCCTTCAAGTACTTCACGCCAACCTTGGAGAGTCCGGCGATCTCAGCAGGCGTCAGCGTCAAGCCACTCGCAGAGGGAATGTTATAGAAGACAATTGGCAAGCCAGAGGCAGTGTAGATCTCATTGAGCATCTCGTGCAACTGCTCTAAGTTGACGGGGTCATAGAAGGGAGGAACGACCATTGTAGCAGCGGCGCCGGCTTTAGCGGCGTGCATGGAGAGCTCAACAGCTTCCTCAGTCGAATTGCTACCAGTTCCAGCCACAACTGGGACACGACCTGCAGCGAACTTCACGCACAGCTCTGTTAACTGCTTGCGTTCGGCAAAGCTTAGGGTTGTGAATTCGCCTGTGCTGCCACCTGGTACGAGGCCATGGCAGCCTGCTGTGATGAGGTGCTCAATGTGTTGCTGGAGGCGGCCTTCGTCGATCTTGGTGCGATCATCTGTGAAAGGTGTGATGATTGCCACCATGATGCCGCCGAGGGATGCCATTTTGGAAATATGGTATAGAATGTATTGAGGGATGCAGAAGGCTGTCTGTTTGAAGGCTGGAGGGGTATTGTGATGTAGAGTCTAAGGTGAAGATCTAGTGATCTAGATATAGTTGGGATGTTGGAGTCTCTTTCCGTCTACGTTGGTTGTATACTCGGAGAGTAGGGCTGCGTGGTCGGAATCACTTTCCTTTTGCGTTAACCCGCCATTATCAACCTCACACCCCCACCTTCCTTTTCGTGCGGACAATGAAATCGTCTGCAAATATTAATGGGAGAGTACTCCGCACTAAGGATAATTTCGGTGTTAATTGAATCGGAATGAAGTCCATGAGATCAATGCAACGCGTGATTACAATACGCGATCGGCACTCAAATCGTCCAAAAGTGGCTAGACTCACTGCTCCACTCTCGAAAGAAGGTTGAAGTGCAGCAAAACTTTGGATATCTCTCAGCCCTTTGGATCTTTCTATTGATGGCGTTCTCTATAGGGCATTATCAGTCACCTGTCATCACATGACATTCTTGAACTTGGTAAGCTCAGAAACCATCAGTTTATACCTATGGATCCATGGATCACTGACATTATACATTAGCTGGGATGACAGAATCAGAGGTCTTGAATGTTTACAAGGAATACGAACTAAGTTAACTAACATAACCCTTTTCATTATGTCAGGATCGGTGAGAGATGTGACTAACCATGCCAGTGCCAGTGCATAAACGTGATTATATAAGGAAAGACTTGCCAAATTGGTCGGAAATCGGTCGGAAGGACATGCCGAAAAGGGTATAGCCTGTTACCCCAAATGATCTTATATCAAACACTCCGCGCCTTAAGGTCAGTTTCTCAAGCACAAAATGGATCTCTTTGTCGATATCGTCACTCCAAACGGGCGTAGCTATAAGCAGCCCACTGGCCTCTTCATTAATAACGAGATTGTATCTGCAACGGGAGGACAAACTATTACCTCGCTTGACCCCGCGTAAGTTGTCTTATCATACATTTGCGATAACCCCTCACTAATCAATTCACCAGCACTGACAAGCCCATTGCTACTGTTCAGGCTGCCAGTGCCGCAGATGTCAACCGCGCTGTGGAAGCAGCGAAAGCAGCCCTAGTTCATCCCTCATGGAAACAGCTTCCCGCCACAGAACGAGGTCAGCTCATGGGACGATTGGCTGACCTTATGGAGGAGAACCGTGAATTGTTAGCTTCCATTGATGCATGGGATAATGGTATGTTTAATATCCAATAAATACCTACTGGTTTGCTAAATCTCACTCAGGAAAACCTTACCACGTCGCTGTCGACGAGGACCTCACGGAGGCAATTACTACCATCCGCTACTACAGTGGCTGGGCCGATAAGACTTTTGGTCAGACAATCAACACAACTCCTCAGAAGTTTGCCTACACAATCCGCCAGCCCATCGGAGTTGTCGGCCAGATCATTCCCTGGAACTACCCACTGTCAATGGCAACCTGGAAGCTAGGTCCGGCCTTGGCTTGCGGAAACACAGTTGTTCTCAAGCCCGCCGAGCAAACCCCTCTTAGTGCCCTTGTGCTTGGAACATTGATCAAGGAGGCTGGTTTCCCTCCAGGTGTGGTAAACATCGTCAACGGATACGGCCGTGAAGCCGGCGCATCATTGGCATCGCACCCACTAGTTGACAAAGTTGCCTTCACAGGGTCAACTGGCACTGCTCGAGAAATCATGAAGATGGCCGCTGGTACTCTGAAAAACATCACTCTCGAGACGGGCGGCAAGTCCCCTCTCCTTGTTTTCCCCGATGCAGACATGGACCAAGCGGTCAAGTGGTCGCACGCTGGTATCATGTCCAACAAAGGCGAAATTTGCACGGCTACTTCTCGCATCTTTGTTCACCGTGATATCCTAGAAGCCTTCACTGCTTCCTATAAGGCCGCAGTTGAAAGCGTCAAGATTGGCGACCAGTGGGATGAAGCTGTCTTCCAAGGTCCTCAAGTCACACGCGCTCAATACGATCGGATCCTCTCCTACTTTGAGATCGCTAAGAGCGAAGGTGCTACTATCCTCACTGGCGGCGCTCCTTATAAGCCTACCGATGCAAAGAATGCAAACGGATATTTCGTCCAGCCCACCGTTATCATCAATGCCACTGATTCCATGCGCATCGCCCAAGAAGAAGTCTTCGGGCCTGTCGTGGTTATCTTCCCCTTCGGTGACGAAGAAGAAGCCATTCGTCGCGCTAATGATAGCGCATACGGTCTCGGTGCATCTGTTTTCACTCGCGACCTAGAGCGAGCTCACCGCGTCGCGTCGGAGATTGAGTCTGGTATGGTCTGGATCAACAGTAGCCAGGACTGCGACCCACGAATTCCATTCGGTGGTGTGAAGCAGAGTGGTATTGGACGGGAATTGGGTGAAGCTGGCCTTGAAGCTTATAGCCAGGTCAAGGCTGTTCATGTGAACATGGGTACGAAATTATGAAACCGATGCGATCTATCAAGTAGGTAGTATGATACAGTGAGATATTTTCATATAGCAAAATTAGACACGATTGCAATGCGGTCGACTATATAGTCAAGAGCAGTCTTATATCCTTCGCTTCTCATTGAACTCCTAGGTTCCGGTACAAAGATTGGCATTTACGCATCCCAATATTCAACTCCATATATGAGCTTCATCTAAATTCGTATAACATAGGCAATTATTAAAGCTTTCTCCCAGTGTTACCTTTATACTTTCTGCAGCACTGACCTGAGGCGTTCGGAACCGAGCGAAGCGGATGTCAAAGGAACAGATCAGAGTGGGACAAAAGCAATCTACAACACAGTCTATTTTCTGTTTTTCTGTGCTTCGCAAAATTCCATTACTTCATGCCATTGATAAACATGACTAAATAGAGGAGATGACACATATTCACAACCACTTGGCATGAACTGATACAGCAGATTCAGATACTTGGTGACCTATTTGGCCCGGGTAGGAAGGCAATTCCGAGCGAAATTAGTGGCAATTGTGAACTCTGGACTCTTCACAGGAGTGAAAGGAGGAGCCTGGAGTGAATTCTGGGATAAATCCTGGGGAATGGCAGATAAATTATCGTGTTAGGTGATTTGTTGCTAGGGATAAGATACAAATTAACAGTAGAACGATTCAATATCTCCAACTAAAAGAATCAGGTTTTATATTTTCCCTAAAACCCTACAAGATGCAAGTTATTCCGCCAAGGGAGAAGATAAGGATCTGGAGCAAAGATAGTAAATATTTCCTTGTATATTCTATAGGCCATGATTTTGATGTAGAGAGTGCAAACCGAATCACCATAGATCATATCAACACTGTCAACCTTGATCTAGGTTATAGATAAGAACCAGTATTGATATCACAGTGGCAGTTGATATGTCTGTAAATGGAAGGTAAGAGTGGTCCTCTCCGCATTCCCCGGGTTTCAGGGGAATGCCTTTCCCCATGTCTCTATTGTGTTCTACTTTGCGGAGCTATGGAAGTTCCAGTATCAATCTTTTACTTAATACTCACATTATCCAAATCATCAGAATTGTGGTCAATATGACAGTCATCAGTATGCGGTCTCAAATCGTCGACATTGTCCCAACAAGCCCAGATCACGGTCTGGATATTCATGAAACAGAGGAACTTTCGGGAGAAGTTGAGAAGCCAGATCTCACTCCACGTCGACAAGATGCATTTGGTGACGAAGAGAATGCAGAAATCAAGTACAAGACGCTGGAGTGGTGGTAAGTTATAAGCGTCTTTCCATTTTATTCCTTCCTAACAATGTTCCCAGGCAAGGAGGCCTGCTCATGGTGGCCGAAACCATCTCACTAGGAATCCTCTCCTTACCAGCCGCGGTAGCTGGGCTAGGTCTAGTACCAGCACTGATTGTACTGATAGGACTGGGCCTCATAGCTTGTTACACTGGGTTTGTTATTGGACAGTTTAAAATGAGACATCCTCATATCTCAAGCATGGCTGATGCCGGTGAAGTGCTGATGGGTGCCTTTGGTCGGGAGTTGTTCGGTATAGGCCAACTACTCTTCCTCATTTTCCTTATGGCTAGTCACATCTTGACATTTACCGTCGCTCTCAATACTATCACAGGGCATGCTACTTGCTCAATTGTTTTTGGTGTCGTTGGGCTGGTCCTTTCGTTGATTTTGTCTCTGCCTCGAACTCTGGAAAAGATGTCTTGGCTCTCGCTTGTTTGTGAGATGTTCTATCTTTTCCATTCTTCCCCCTCTATGCTAATAACCACCAGCTTTTATTAGTATCTTCTCCGCTGTTATGGTTACAATGATCGCCCTCGGGATACAAGACAACGGTGCCCCTGTCAAACCTTTTGTCGAGAGCAATCTCGTGACTGGATTCATGGCTACTTGCAACATTGCTTTTTCATACGGTGAGTTGAATTTTACAGGATCAAGATCGAGACCAAATTACCTAACCTTCTACAGTCTCCCACAACACCTTCTTCACGTTCATGGCGGAGCTTAAAGATCCTAAGGACTTTCCCAAAGCTCTGGCACTTCTTCAAACCATTGATATGAGCCTTTACCTTGTTGCAGCTGTTGTCATTTACCGTTTTACTGGTGCAGATGTTGCTTCACCAGCTCTAGGCTCGGCTGGTCCACTGATTTCGAAAATTGCCTATGGCTTGGCTCTCCCTACAGTAAGAGCAATTCTCTTTGCACTTGAAGAGCATTAACTCACCGTTCAGATTCTTATTGCTGGAGTCATCAATGGACATGTCGCCGCCAAATCGCTCTACGTTCGTATCTTTGCTGGCACAGATCGCATGTCCAAACGAGACTGGGTTGCTGTGAGCTCATGGATTGGCATTGCTTTTGGTCTTTGGACCATTGCGTGGGTTATTGCTGAGGCAATCCCTGTCTTCAATAATCTTCTCAGTTTAATAGTAAGTTTCTGGGTTCAGACAGCGTATCTGGTCACCTACTAACGGATAATAATCATCAGACGGCGCTATTTGGTAGCTGGTTTACCTTCGGCTTCACTGGCATGTTCTGGTTGCACATGAACAAGGGCCTCTGGTTTTCCTCGGCTAAAAAGATTGCTTTGACGCTTCTGAACACCTTGGCAATTACTATTGGTATCGTTTTGGTAAGTGCATTCTCCCAAGCTTTTCGAGTCGTACTGATGGACTATCTCTAGTGTGTTCTTGGTCTCTATGCTTCTGGGATGGCCATTCATGATAACCCCAATGGAGCTAGTTTTTCTTGCACGAGTAATGACTCTTGATTGCCCTCATTCTTTCTCCTTTAAGATCATGATTATTTCAATGAAGCTTGTGGGCAACTCTGCCGATTCGAACTTTTCTCACTCAGCATTGTACTTGTACTTTGTACTGTCCGTTCGGCACAATCCAGATTACATCATACTTTGCGTCTGATTCCCTGGACTGACCAACTTTCACTCTAGCATAGACATGAAAGGATCCAATCTAGCAAATGAAAATTTTCAGAGCTTCTAACTGTTTGGTTTCGGCGATGACGTGTGTAATAGCTTTCGAATCCTAGGATATTACAAAAAGAACTACCAGATATAGTAGCCCTGGGTCTGACAGCATTCGCAACATAGCAGTCCGGGGTTACTTCGGTACATAAACTATCATCTTGACTGCCTGGGTCACTCCCCTACTCTAACCCGAATAGGCAACTTCAACAGTCGGTGCATAAGCGAATGACAGGAAACGAACTATATTGTGCCGAAAGCAACGTTGCATTCATGCCATCTTTGGGGAGAGCATACATATAAAGTGCCAGGACAGATAAATTTCTATCTATTCATCAACCTCAAGTCATGACTTCCCCAAACCCGGAGATCAAGCTCATCGAGTTAACCAAAGATGAGCTTGCAACTCGACAAATCGGATCACACAACCTACAGAGCTGCTTAGAAGCCCTCCATCATGATGGAATAGTCGTCCTCAAGAACGCAGTCGATCCATCCCATCTAGACAAGCTCAACGAGAAAATGGTTGCCGAAGCCAAAAGTATCTATGAACGCACCGAGACTTACAGAAACTTCGGCAAGAAAACAGGCAACATCCAGCAAGAGCCGGTCCGCTCAGCAGACTATGTCTTCGAGGATATAATCGCCAACCCCTTCGCCACATCCGTGATTGAAAGTATGATTGGCCCATGTCCAACAATGCGCTTCTACAGCGCCAACACGGCCTTCAAAGCAACAGAAAGACAGCCAGTGCATATTGACGTCGACTTTGATATGCCGCACATGCCATTTGCCTACTGTGTCAATGTCAATCTCGTCGATACCTCTCCTGAGAATGGCGCGACGGAGGTGTGGCTTGGTAGTCATACTGACACGGATCGATATATGCTGGATCAAACCACTGAGTATAAGCAGATTAGATCTGATTTGTTGGAGGAGCGCAGGCGCATTAGCCCAGGTATTCAGCCGGGGTTGCCAAAGGGTTCATTGATGATTCGGGATTTCAGGCTGTGGCATGCTGGTATGCCGAATCGGACTGATGATCCTAGGGTGATGCTTGTTTCTATTCAGTTTGCGAGCTGGTATCGAAGTGGGCTGAAGGTTGTCTTGCCACGGAGTTTGGAAGGGAAGGTTGACTGGGGCCGTGTGGTTCCTGCTGTAGAGTGGGTTGATGATGATTATGATTATTTTCAGGGGGTGCAGGATCGCGACTTTTCGTTGTTGCCCTAGTCTTTATCTCGATGCATTTGTATCTTGTCTCTACACAAAGGTTTGTTTTGATCACTGAAAATGCCTGGAAACAGTTGGCTCTTTTGACATGGGTATCTGTTCGCGAGTAGTCGTTCTTCGTTTGGCCTTTCTCTACCGTAACTTATATCAAATCATGCCTATGCTAAAAATTCGCGCAGATATCATCCTTCATTGCCCGCTCGTCTTGTCAGGCTTGATGGGCGGAAATCTTGGCGTCCGTCGGGATCTTCATCTGATTACATCTGATCTGATTGTCAGTCCTGAACTCAAGTAACCCTCACATCCTTGAACTCGCTTCAATTCTCAATCCTTAACAAACATACCCACCGTGAAACACAATCACCTCTCGGTAACACTAGAAACAAACCTAGACATCAAGGAGTTCCATACCCCAAGAGATCAATCCTATAAACCAACTATTAGAAAGAAATTACTCGCGTAAAATGGCCGTGCCTTCACTGGCTATAAAGCACAGCTCTGTCTAGTTCGACTTACAAGAATAGCAAATACATTTACTAGGAGATATGTTATTTTAATGAGTAATGTCCAAATGAATTTATATAGTAGAAGTGAAGAAAATAAGTGAAAAGAAAGTATACAAGTAGAAGTCAACGGAAAGAAGATCTCCCAAGACCATTCGATATACACATGCCATTTTGTCCGTACGCTTAGATGCTTAGAAAGAGATGAACTCTTTAAACGCACTGGTAGTAGTAGGGGTTCTGCTTGACGCAGGTGGTGCCAGTCTCGCAGGTAGTGGCGCCAGTGTAGTTAAGACCACCGCACTGGAAGTAGTGCTTGACCACACCTCCGCTGGCAGAGGCAGAGGCAGTGGAAGAGGCAGCGCTGGAGGTGCTCTGGGCGACCGAGGTAACTGTGGCAAGAGTGGTAGGGGCGGAGGTGGGGACTGGGACGTCAACGGGGATAGATGTGACGGTGGTGGCGGCAGGAGCGGGAGCGGCAGTGGTGGTAGAGGCGACTGAGACGACTGGGGCAGCGGAGGTGGTGGACTCGGCGGCAGTGGAGATGACCTCGACCTGGCTGTTGGGGGTGGTGGTAACCTCGATGGCAGCGGCGGTAGTGGTGGAGGTCTGGGCGGCGGTCTTAGTGGAGGAGGTGGAAGAAGAGGAGGAAGAAGAAGCAGAGGAAGTAGAAGCAGAGTCGGAGGAGACGAAGTACTTCTCGAGGATAGGGAGATAGGTGGAGTAAGCAGGGCCAGATGAGGGCTCAAGGCTGTACATGTAGCTGCCCCACCAGGGACCAGCAGACCACCACTCAGCACCCATCCAGACGTCGCTGTTCTCGGACATGTAGGAGAGCATGCCCTCGACGGCGGCCTCACAGTCGCTGTTGACACCACCGGCGAACTCGCCGATGAAGCCAAGCTTGCCGTTGGTCTGGAGCCACTCAGTGGCAGCCTGGATACGCTCCTTTCCAATGGTGCTGCTGACACAGGTCTCGGAGGTACCGGAGCTGTCAGAGTCGAGGTACTGGTGCATCTCGTAGACGATCTTATCCGCGGAGTCGGTGAGATCCTTCAGATTGTCGTTGTTGTCGGTCCACGACCAGGCGCCAGTCCAGGCGTTACCCTCAACGAAGATGTACTGGCTGGTGGCACCGGCGGCACGGATACCGTTGATGGCAGCCTGGTTGAGGTCCAGAACGAGGGTCTGGTCCATGTCGTGGTACTCGTTGTCTATGAGAAAAGACCGTTAGTGCATGCACCGATTGGTAAGGAGTCATTGGATCTTACTGGTGTCGAAGATAACCTTCTCGTTGTCAGCAAACACAGTAGCAACGGTCTTCCACCAAGCCTGGAAGTCGGCGGTGGACGAAATGACACTGCCAGAGCTAGAAATTGAATGTTAGTATGCATATCATTTTGTTCAAGTACCATGCAACTTACTATCTTCCGTAGTTGTGGGGGTCGAGGACGGCGTAGGCACCGCTGTCAGTGATGAACTCGACAGTGGTCTTCAAGGAAGCCAGATAAGTGGCATCGGTAGTTCCGGTCATGCTGGAGGGGACCAGGCGTTCCATCAAGAAAGGCACACGGAAGACATTCATGCCGGCATCTCTGAGGATCTTGATCTGAGAGGTCTCGGGCCAGGTGTAGTCTGTTCCAAGAGTACCGGGGGTGTTACCCGGGCCGAACTCAGCACCAGACTCGCTGACACCAACCCACTTGAAGCCAGTGCCACGCTTCTTGATGCTCTGCTTGGCGGGAAGAACGTCACGTCCCCGGGGGTAGGCAGCGGCCAGGCTTGCGGCGCTGGCAGCGAGAACAATGTTGGTGAACTTCATTTTGAAATGTAAAAGAGAGTGATTGTCGAGTTTGACGGTTAAAAAGAATGTAAAAAGGCGAAGAAAAAGAATGAATGTCAAGAAACCAGTCTTGAAGAATTTGGATGAACAGCAGACAAAACCCTGGAGGCCGCTGTTATATAGCCCTGCAGCCCCATCTGTGTGCTCGGCGTTGTCAAACAGCGCTTAGCGCAGACCAGGAGAATCTCAGGCACGAAAGTGGGCTCATCGTTCGAGACCTCCAGTGTAGCCACTCAGGCACGCCTCGGGTTGGTGGTGGCCGGTATCCCGATGGAGGCTAACCCTGAGTTCCATAGTGAATATCCCTGATAGAGCCAGAATTTCTCCACCACCGGAAAAACAAGCTGATGGTTCACATTGCCCAGGGGTCATGGTTCCAGCACGAACGGCCAGGAACGGTTTAGACTAGCGCGTAGGTCAATCTAGGTCAGGGTAGGTCCAGTAAACCGGAAATTGTCTTCATCGCTTGGCTGTTCATATGACGATGGGGACGGGGGTGGAGATAGGTGGCTGCAGCAGTCAGGGTTAGTCCCCTCATAGTTAATTTGCACCAGTCTCACCGTCAAAGAAAAGTAATCAAATCGATATTATTCTGATACACTTCTAGAATCAACTATACCGATTCGGGGTCATGGCCGAGATCGAGGCACCGGCTAAATGAGCGATTGCTCAAGATGAAACACAATGGGGCGGTTAGTATGGCCGTTGTGATCCACGGCATAATTTGCCCAAAGAGACCCGGAGATTCCTTTTCAAATGAAAGAGGCGAAGTACGATACATTAGTGTTAATATATCTGCCTGGAAAGACCAGGAGAGGCTCTGGATGAAGGACAGGAACAGATCGAAATTCAGGGATAAACAGGGGCACCGGTCAGCCCACCAAGCATCACAGAACTTTGGTATGGCAAAATAGCGGAAGCTTGGAGATATCATATTTTGGTGATTCTTTTAAATCAGAAACAAGTGGCGATCCTAGCATTTAACTCAGCAGCGTTGATTAACAAACGTTAACCTTATCCTTAGTCGATAAACACATGGGCAAAACAATTGGCCCTTGGCGCGCGTTGTCAACGCGGGTCGCGCCCCCGTAAACAGTGTGCAAGTTAGATAACCTGGAAACAAAAACAAAAAGGAAAATCAAATAGGTGATACTCGAAATAATTTCACCGTCAATTATTTTTGATTAGTCCGCAAGGTAGTCTGACCGGGTGGGCATGGGCGAAATAATAAAATAATCAATCGTTGATTGTCGGGTTCGAATGGCGGCCGACATACACTGTCCCAATTAGGCAGTTCAGGGACCCCCATAGACAGCGTGTGAATAACCTCGAAAAAGCTTCTCGAAGGAAAAAAAAAATTGGTAGCTTCTCTTTGATTGAGCGTGTCATCCTTAGTGCAGGGGCCATGCTAATCTTCTCTGTATATTTTCATTTGACCAAATGCCCCGTAGGGCGAAAAACGTCTCCCTTAACGACATTATATCCTCTGTTTTTGGGCAGTATCTGACCGCCTTCCCAAATCGACTGATACGTCGATTGCTATAAAACAGCATAGATGCAAACTCCAGGTCATTGGCTATATATTTTACGTGCTCATAGTACTGTGTAAGATTTGGCTTTTCTCAAAAAGTTGAAGTAGTGGGCTACTAGGTGTGGTATCATAAAGCTATTCTAAGTGCTACCGAACGGTAAACTCAAATGAATTATCGCCTTCTCCCAGAGGTACAGCCTGAGCATTGTTGTCATACAACGTTCTTTCAAAGTATCGTACGCGCCCGTCCGGTCGTGCCAAAAGAACAGTTTGTTTCTGGGTTCCATAAGCCCCAGATGTAAAGCTTTGATCAATGAAACCGTTGGTTGGACTGTCTACAGCTCTCTCGTGCTCGGTTGGTTCTCCAATGACCGGGATGAAGATGCTCTTACGCAGATGGTTGATATAGGTATCAAGTGTTTCCCCCTGTGACAGCCGTGGCAATGTGTCAGTGCTGAGAACGTGCAATAACTGCTCAATCAAGACGTCCTCGTCTTCTGTTTGCTTTGAGATGTGGTCTTGAATGGCAGCCTCCATCAGCTTCTCTCCATCGAGAATCTTTGGCCAGGTCCGATCATCAAAGCTGGTATTGCTGAGTCCACGAGTCTGGTTTTTCTCGGTGGCAACCCAAGTGATATGGTCCATATCGGAGGAGCGGTTGGATACGATGGCCAGCGGTTCGTTAATGTGTCCACAGACCAAACTGAAGCCACCTACTTGCTTGGCTTCGGGGCTGGCGACGATGGCTTGAACAAATTCTCGAGTAGCTTGTTGTTTGTCTATCGGGCCGGTGAGCCAGCTGTTGACGATTAAGCCGCGACTGTATACACCGATGGCTTCGCTGGCTTTGTCTTCGCGGTAGTTGGTGAGTACGGCAATCTTCCCATGCTTTGTAACTCCCATCCAGGTTCCATGCGTAGATCTGGCTAGGTCGCGTGAGCCGAGGACGTGCGACGAGGGCTCCGGCCACCAGTCGGGTGATGACGTAGGGCGGTGTAGGAATTCCTAGAACCGTCAGCTCACTCCGAGGGTTCAAGTCAGAGGCCTTACATCTCTGTTATTGATTATAATCAAAGAATATGTAGGATGCGCCGTTGAGATCAAGGCGATACACATTGTTGCGGATGTGGGGAGAGAACGAGACGTGAAAGCGGGGAACGGGGAAACCACAACAGTTGAAGATGGTCTCGGTGATTATAGTATGGAAATAGAAGAGCCAAGCATGAATAAACTAGATGAGTAGATGGACGAGGATGAATGCAGATTTCAATATAAAAGAAATGCGGAATATATAAATGAGTGGTGCTACCCCCGTATAACTTACTTGATGGCGTTCCCTTTCCGTTTGGGGCGTTACATAAGCACGCCAATCTGCCAGCCCACGACCTCGGCGTTAACCTTGAAACTCCCGAGGTCAGTATCATGGACTTTGTATTACAGTCAGATCAAATCGGCTTGGATAGGGCATGAAATAAGAAAGACTTTACTATGATCCTATCCAACATGGGTAACATGTCCTTGATGAAATCTTTCTATATACTTCCCCGGATGATCACGAGCGGTTCACCCAGGTTATGGAGTTGGAACGTGCAACCCTTTGATGCTAATAGCGTAAGGACCATTCAGCATAAGGCATAAAACAGAGGAAAATATACAAAGCACTTGAAACACATCCAAAAAATCAGCATTAGCACCGGTCAGGTGTTCGAAGTAAGTAAAATTCGCAGGATTCAATCCCATTGAATCACAATCCAATGTCTATGGCGTCTTCAATTCTGCCATCAGATAGACGTTGTTAGTGCTTTGCTGCTGCTCCGGAATAGCAAGATCGAAAGAGACACCTGGAGCATTCTCGACCACAGCAGCGAGAGACTGAATATTGGCAAATCTGGTAGACGCCATATGTAGGAGTGAAACAAGTGCTCTTGTCACTGGGTCACATAAGTTGCGGATATGACGGCCAAGGAGACCAACTCCATTGCCACACCATGTATAGCTCCTATTCATCATGGGAAGTAACGTCCTAGGTAATCGGCATTTGTTGAAAACAGGCAAATGAGTCCTGCATAAATGAACTCCATGATGCCAGGTATGACAATGAGATACTCTCGGTGGATATTGATGAATGCCTTGTGCCGTGGAGATGACTCAACGGTCGTAGGGCACGAGCTAATTGGTTCTGAGCAAGCTCTATACTGAAAGCTGGAACAAAAGAGAAAGACCTGAAAAACATCGGTGACTAAGCCGGATTAACTAATCCGCTTGATCTTGGCATGAACATTGGAGTTCGAACCAGCTCTGGAGCTGAATAACAGTCGATAGTTATAAGCCCTGGAGGTTGGCCAGGTGTAGTAGTTGTACGCTACTCAACTCAAAGCCCTTGAATGACAGATAGGAAGCCCTTCTTCGCAAAAGAAACTCAAGTGTATAAGTTATGTACTTTAGGGCTGCTTCCAGATGGACCCCGTCCAGCTGACGTGCAGGCGTCATAGTGTGTGGTTGATCCTTTGGAGGTCCTCCCACCGCACCTCCTTGGCCTCAACTTGTCCTTTGCCTCTTGTTTCTTGCTTCTTCCATTTCAGCGGCCGGCCGTTGTCTTTGTTGTTGCCTGTTCTCCGAGCCCCAATTTTATTGTGCCCTCTGTCCTCCTGAGACAGTGGGGCGGAAAACGATAGTGCAGCTTCTTCATTAAAGCGGTGATTGTATCTCCTGGAGAGTTCATTTCTCACACATCGCCCACCATGTTCGGAATCTTTGCGGACTTGTTGTCGTGAGTGCTCATACCTCAAGAGCTCATATCCTAAAGATGGGTCCGACAATAAGCTAACGCAGATCTATCGTCTAGCTCGATCATCACGATCCTCCTCCCAGTATTCGCTTCCTACAAAGCTCTGCGATCTTCCGACCCCTCACAACTCGCCCCATGGCTGATGTACTGGGTGGTGCTTTCTGTCATTCTTCTGGCAGAATCCTGGACAGTATTCATCATTGGATGGTACATTCCCCGCACCCAGCCATGCCGAAATCGCAAGCTGATTATGAACAACTCACAGGTTCCCCTTCTATAGCTGGATCCGCCTTTGTTTCCTGTCTTATCTCGTCCTCCCCCAGACGCAAGGGGCTCGCTTGTTATACCAGGATTACGTGGACCCGTTTTTGACACACCACGAGCGGGAGATCGAGGACATCATCGGCCGCACCCATGAACGGGCTAAGGCTCTGGGCCTCCAATACTTCTACCAAGCCATCGATCTGATCCGACAGAAGGTACTCGGTCTTCCCCCGCAGCGTCCATCCACACCGCCCCAGCCAAATGCTGCCTCCTACGCTCAGTCCCTCTTGTCGCGCTTCAACATTCCCACTGCCGGAGCTTCCGCCAACAATGATTGGTATTCAGTCCTCAGTTCAGCCGTAGGCTCGGTTACATCCGGAAAGACTCGCGAAGCCCGGGAAGAGGAACTGTCCGCCAGCGGTAATCTGCTTCAGCGACAGATGTCCTCCATGTCCGGCGCCGAGAAGGCCCACTTCATCGCCTCGCAGCGCGAACTGTTGGATCACCTTCGGTCAACCCTGACTCGCGAGGAGCAGAATACCAATCTGGATGTGCCCGAATCAGATGATCTCGCTTATGGCGTACCCCTGCGTAAGAACCGCAGCGACAACTCCTTCGAGGTAGTCGATAACGAGGAACCAGGTACCCGCACAGCCCGAAAGACCAGCAGCGGATGGGCATCGGGCTGGTTTAACAACGAGCAGGACTCTGCTGGTTCCTCTGGCAGTGAGTTCGCGGCACGGGCTATCGACGAGATTTCCCGCTCGCGCGCAACGGGCTATGATCGATCTTGATCTGCTTTTAAGGGGGCTTCGCTCTACTTGTAGGATTGAGTGAGAATCCCACAACCCAAAAATAGAATATTATTGTTTACTTTTGCTGAGATGCTGGGAAACGCAGGACCTGTATGGCTTACCTTGCTGAATATCAACTATGGAATTGAGCTTGATCTGGATCTTGATTATATCCTGTATGGACCGAGTAATTCTGTTGTTTGTGTTTGCTGTTGGGAATATAGGAGATGGCTTCCAAGTAGGCATCTAGTTCTTCCCTAGAAAAGAAAACCACAGCTTTAGGGCCCGCGTTCATGCAAAGGCCGTCTTATGGGTTACTTCACTAGTGTCACTCTCACCATGGCATTGTTTAACGTTATCTCGGAATCCGACCTAATTGTTTACTAATCCTATGGAATACAAACCTTGAGATACAGGTCTACCACTCCAAATGTAATGGTAATCCTCTTTTTCCCGGAAATGGAGTGATGGTAGGTAGGCGGTGCTTTGTCAAACTTCGTTTCTAAACTACTACTACAAGATAAAGAACAAAAAAACAGTACTGCGTTAAACTGGAACTTTAGCTCTGTGACAAATTCTAGCTGCCTATTGCCATGGTCTCATTCTTTATCATGAATAGCCTCTTGTGCCGCTATCTGGAGGGTGTTGTTCACCACCCCTCACGGATTTTAGTCCGCCTATGGAATCCAGAGCCTCATGATCTCATGGTAGACTCATCGGAGAATAAACACTAATTATAGCAGTGAGTCACACCCCTCGCAGAAGGCGAGAACCTGGAGATGTATAGCGGATCACGTGTTGCCAAGACATTGGGCGAGAGGCTTAAAGTTGGCAGGTTCTGGCCATTTGCTCCGCTAAATAGTATGAAGGGTATGGAGAGTATAGGGAGTGCACAGTATATAGAAGTACAAAGGAGGCGAGGAAGAAAGGTAGTAAATGCTATTCGAAGTATACTCAGAAAAGAGATATAACACAACACATCAGAACACTGTATATTCACTGACTATTGTGGGCAGCTTCAAGTGTATTTACCAAAAAAGAACTGTACAATAGATCCTTGGATACTGTAACCTTAGTATTGTTCTGTATAGTTCATGTTCCCCTGAGTCATATTGTTCCATCATTTGCTCGCGACTTGATTTCTTTGTATAGGCGATGTCATGGTGGCGGAAGTAGATACATAGAATACAGACCATCCTCCCTCGAATTTCGGAATTCAACAAATCTTCTGACTGCAAAAATTGCCCTTGAGTCTCTCTCAAGAATCCCATATTGAAATCGTGACTTTGGCGTGAGGTGAGCCTGACTCGTTCGTAGTCGCGCCTTTACCCTTTCGTTTTCCTCCACAAACCCCGAATTTTTTTCCACCGAAACGACTTTTTCCTTCACCCACCCATTTGAGAAAAATCAAATCATCAACTACCCGCCTTGTCGACCAAAACGCTGCTTCATTTGCTGCGTACCTGGTCTTCATTGCATCTGGGATCTTTCATCCCTTCTTTTTTTACGATTTCATCCCTTTGACTGTGTGTGTCGACATCCCAGGTTTGGATGTGGCCTTGTCACGTTTCCGCGCCTTGACATCACCTCGTCTCTCCCCTCGAAAATATCTCGCTCCCTTCGCGCGTTAAGGACACCACCTGTCTAATGACCTCGAACCCTCCTCAGTCGGGACAAGCACAGAGCACCGCGACCTCCGCTTCGACCCAGCCCGCAACCCCTGCCTCCAACCAGGCCCCCAAGTCCTACGCCAACGCAACCAAGAAGTCCGCGACGGATTCATCCGCCGCTTCAGCCACCGTGAGCGGTTCCGCGCAACATGGGAAGTCGAGCTCCGTCTCCCCTGTGAACGGCAAACCCATGCAAAACCAACCTGCCTCGGGCGTGACCATTGTCAATGGCGCCCCGACTGCTCCGGCTTCCCAGGGTGATCACTCTCGCAAGCCCTCTGTGACCATTTCTTCCGCGGGTACTTCCGGACAGATGCCCAACGGCGCCGCCAGTCGTCCCAACAGCCTTCAGTTCGGATTCGCAAACCAGCAGAGCTCCCCCAACATGGGCGCTCCCGCTGTGCCTGCATCCAACCCTGCCCAGGGTGGCCTGAGTGCTCCATCTGCGAACCCTCGTGTGACATCTCCTCAGACTTCCCCGTCGCCTATTCCTCAGCCTGCATCCAGCGGTGGACGTCCTCCACCATCGACATACCAGGCGCAAGGCAACGTGCCGAACTTCGGCAGCTTTGGAGAATCAGGCGATGCTAACGTAAGTATCACAATATCGTTAATTTGTCCCCTGGCTTCGTGCATGATATGTGGCGTATTTTACGTGCGCCACTTTTTCCGCTTTCTCAAGTCTCTTAAATTTGATCCCTCTGCTCACGGCGAATTTTTAACAGGCCGCCCTCACTCACGGTTCCCAGCACCTGCGTCGCGAATCGTCTCAATCCACCCACAGTGACATGAGCAACATGGGTAACGTCCCCGGACGCTCTGGTTATCCTCACCAGGGTGGCCGCGGCCGTGGATACTCCCAGTCCGGTTACCAGGGACAGCCCATTCCCTACTCGCCTAACCCCAGTTTCCGGGCTCCCAACCAGCCGCGGGGCGGTCCCAACATGGGCCCTCAATTCCATGGCAACCAGAGTCGCCCTATGGGTTACCCTAACTCGCCGCACCAAGCCAACCGCAGCCCTGCCCTGGCGAACGTGAACCCTACCACTCCCCAGATGAACCCGGTCCCCATGGCCGGCCAGATGCCTCCCGGCGCCTACTACCCCCACAACATGGCCCCTCAATCTGTGAGACCCCCTTCTTCTTCCGCGTTTAACTCCTCCAAACCCCCGGCCCGGCGTGGCAATTACCAAAAAAAGAAACAAAATAAACCCTTTACCCCGGACTTTACCGTGGACCTTGCGCCAGAAAGCGGCCAGTTTGAACAGATTCTAACTATGATGAAGGCTTACCCAGGCGCCTACGACCCCAACTATGGTTACTACCAAGGGGCTTACTACATGCCGCCATCGCCCCAACCTCGTCCCGGCATGCCCTTCAACCCTCAAGCACAGTTCCCCAACCCGATGGGCACCCAATTCCCTGGTGGTCCCCAGGCACCTGCTCTCTCGCGTGAGCCATCTATGTCTACTGACCGTCCAGGATCGAGCCTCAGTGGCCACAACCCGGCACCCACCGGCCCGGCTGCTTCTGGCCACTCTCACAATGCCAGCCGTACTTCGAACAGCCCCGCCCCCAAGCCTCACTTTATCCTTCCCTCCAAAAAGAGCCCCATTGTCATCAAAGACCCCGGCAGTGGTGTTGTCAAGACCTTCGAAAAGAACCCTGCATCCCCCGCACGTGCTACTCCTTCTCCTGTGAAATTCACTCCCCCTCCCTCAGCTACTCCTCCCCCACGAACTGCTAGCGCTACTGAACACAACCGTTCCGATAGCAAGGCCAACGCTGCCAAGACTGATGAGGAGAAGAAGCAGGAGTTGAAGAACGCCGTTCGTCTCAAGATTCAACAGGATGAGGCTGACCAGAAGCGCCTGGCCGATGAGGCTGCTCGCAAGACTGCCGAAGCCGAGTCCAAGCCCAAGGAGGACGAGACCGAGGCTGCTCGTGCCGCCATCGAGGACCTTAGCATCAAGGACAAGGCTACTGAGGAGCCCAAGAAGGCTGCTGAGGAGCCCAAGAAGATTGCCGAGGAGCCCAAGAAGGTCGCTGAGGAGCCTAAGAAGGCTCCTGTTCCTGCTCCCGCTGATGACGACGAAATTGACTTCGATGCCATTGAGCGTGAGATGGCTGAGATCGAGGCCAAGGAACGTGCTGCTGAGGAGGACTACTACCGTGCCAAGCAGGCCAAGAAGGACGAAGCCGAGCGCAAGGAGCGTGAGGAGCGTGAAAACTATGAGGCTAACATGAAGAAGGCTGAGGCTGAGGCCGAGGCTCGTGAAGTTGCCCGCGAGAACGCCCGCGCTCTGGGAGAAAGCGACTCTGGTGACAAGGACGCATTTGCCTCTCTCAAGAAGGGTGGATATGGTGCTACCGAAGTATCCACTCCTGCTGATAGCGGTGCTGCTACCCCTGTCTCTGACATGGGTCCCCCCGCCAAGCCTGCTGGTGCTAAGAAACCTGCCGGTCTCAAGCTTGATACCCCCAAGCCTACTGAGCCTCTGCAGCCAACTCCTGGTATGACATCTCTCCAGAACGCCAAGTTCCTGGACGACCTCAGCAAGGTCACATACCCCTCATCCATCACTCCTCCTAATGCTGCTCTGAATGCCGCTTCCCCTGCTGGCCGTCGCTTCCACTACGACCGGGACTTCTTGATTCAGTTCCAAGCTATCTTCAAGGACAAGATCTCTGTCGACTGGGACTTGCGCATTCGCGAGACTGTCGGTGACAATGACGCTTCTTCTCGCACTCCGTCCAACCGCACTCCCAGCATGGGTAGCCGAGGTCCCTCCCGTAATGGTATTGGTGGTAACTTCCCCATGGGTACCTTCGGAACTGTACCCAGACCTGGCGGTATGCCTCCTATGGGCGGCCCAGGAATGGGTGCCCGTGGCTCTTCCAACTTCGGACCCTTCCCTGGCTCTCGTCCTGGCCTCAACGGCCCCGGAAGCATTCGCACTGGTAGCGGTGTTGCTGCTCGCGGTAGCAACAACAGCAAGGGTCCCCGCCAAGGCAGCAAGGCTGGTGGTCCCAAGCACGGTGGCAAGAGTGAGCACGAGCAGAACAAGACCATGCCTCTCACTGCTGGTATGGACTTGAAGGCCATTACTACCACCGCTTCTGGCTGGAAGCCTCGCAGCGTCGGACAGTCTGCTACTGGTCCCGCCCCTGGTGGCGAGGGCTATTTGGCTCCCGATGTCGTGCAGCGTAAGGTCAAGGCTGCTCTTAACAAGATGACCCCCGAGAAGTTCGACCGTATCGCCGGCCAGATCCTCGAAATCGTTTCACAGTCCAAGGACGAGTCTGATGGCCGTACTCTGCGCCAGGTCATTCAGCTCACCTTTGAGAAGGCCACTGACGAGGCCCACTGGGCCCCTATGTACGCCAAGTTCTGTAAGAGCATGCTCGAGAGCATGAGCGGTGAAATCAAGGATGAGAACATCCGTGACAAGGCCGGCAACGTCGTTGCTGGTGGCAGTCTCTTCCGCAAGTACCTGCTTAACCGTTGTCAAGAGGAGTTCGAGCGTGGTTGGAAGGTTAACCTGCCCCCCAAGCCCGAGGGTGTTACTGAGGAGATTGCTATGATGTCTGACGAGTACTACGTTGCCGCTGCCGCTAAGCGTCGTGGTCTTGGTCTTGTCAAGTTCATTGGTGAGCTTTACAAGCTCGGCATGTTGACAGAGCGTATTATGCACGAGTGTGTTAAGAAGCTTGTCGACTACGAGGGCATTCCCGACGAGGCCGAGGTTGAGAGTTTGACCAGTCTGCTCCGCACCATTGGTGCCAGTCTCGATGCTTCCGAAAAGGGCCCCGCCATGATGGACGCCTACTTTGCTCGCATCCACCTCATGGTTGAGACTCCTGGCCTGCCCAGCCGTCTCCGTTTCATGCTTCTGGTAAGTACATTATGTCGTTTTTGTGTCGCTCAAAAACTAACTCGCTTTCTAGGATATCATTGATCTCCGTTCTGGTCGCTGGAGCACCAAGGAGGCCGACAAGGGTCCCCAGACCATTGTTGAGATTCGTGAGGCTGCTGCTCGTGCCGCTCAAGCCGCCGAGGCTGAGCGTCAGCGCCAGAACAGCAACCGTGGAGGTGGTGGCCGCATGCAAATGGGCCGTGGTGACGCTCGTGGCTTCAGCTACAACAACCAAGCCCCTCCTCCCGACTATGCCTCCAGCAAGGTCGGCACCGATGATCTCCGCCGTCTGCGCGCGACTCGCAACACCAACCAGCCCATGTCATTTGGTCCGTCCAGCCTGCTAGGAGGCTCTCGCACCAACAGCGGCCGCAAGAACCTCGGTCCCGGTGGCAATCTGGTTCGCGGCAGTGATGACAGCGCCGCCAGCAGCCGCACTGGCACTCCTCCTGCCGGCAAGAAGGAAGACAAGGACACCTCGTCCATGAACGCTTTCAGGTACGCAACAAACGTCCATTAGCTCCAATTTCCCTCCTTCATACTAATACCTATTTCCTAGTGCTCTCGCCGCTCTCGAAGACCGGGATAACATGGCGACCTCGCCACCGTCCAACCCTACCTCCCCCATGCTCACCAAGTCGCAGCCCGCGGCCGCTGAGCGTCGCCCCTCAAAAACCCCGTCGAAGGATGGCGAGTCCACAGCATAGAAAGTTTCCTTAGGAGTAATGATCAACGTTTCCATTATTTTGGTTCCTCTCAAAAGATTTCCTCATTTCTTGTGATTCCATTTTCCATCTTGCTTCCAAATCCTACCCCTTGCGCTTGCGCTTCTTTGTCTTTTAATCTGTGTTTCCTCCCACACGCAGTTCAGTTCCTCGCCTCTTCCCCCCGTTTGCATTTCCCCGACTGGTCGGTTTACGGGAATCAAGTCTCTTTATTACTTAACGTTAACCTACGCTCTACCCTTTCTTCATAGTGTACAATCTTGACATTTCTCTATTATCATTTTTGACCTCTCTTTCTTCTTGTCTCTTGTTCTTTTTTCCGTCTCAATTTGTTTCCCTTCTTCGTTTCTTGTCTCCTTCTTTCTTCTATTGAGGTATTCTTTTTTCGCTTCGCTTTACAAGTGGCCTGAGATTATGAAAAGACTGGAATGAAGGTTTGGAGGGCTAGGAGATGAAAAAAGGATGAAATATGATTGTTGCTTGTTGAATGTTGCTTGTTGAATGTTGAATGCTGAATGTTGAATGCCTACCACTTGTCTCTTGAAATGTAGGCATACAAACATGACACAAACACGACCGAGAGACGGAGACACACTGTATTCTATAGCTATACCGTGTCGATCGATATGAATATGATATCTGCTGATTTCTCATGTTGCATATTTCATGGCTGGGACTAGTTGAAACGGCTTGTCGATTGTCGGTTTTCTCGGTGATATCTTGCAGGGCTTTGCTTCAGGATGAAGGAGAGAGAATAGGACATGGCACTTGTAACAATGTACGAAAAGACAGATGCGACGACGGCGGTGACGACTAGAATCACCACTACTTCGAAATAATTACCTTGTCCTTTGATTTCATCTTGTATTTTTCTTGATTTGCATACACTCGGTCTCTCCCTTTCCTTAGGACCTGGAACTCAAAGTTAAAGCTATGATGCGATTAAAAAGATGCTTCGGCTTTGACTACTTATCATCCATTGTGTTCTATTGCGTAGTAACTCGGTTTATTTACTGTATGATATAAATCTATCTAGATGGAAAATAGATCAAAAAGAAAGAAGATAGAAGATCTAAACGGAGAAGGAAAAGGGTTGAATGTCAATAGAGGTTGTAGACCATAGAAGGTGTACAGCCATTGAGAATGAGGATTGCATTGTATTGTTGGTAAAGTAGAGAGAGAGAGTGTGTGTGAGAGAGAGAGAGAGGAATGGTAACGTCAGAGGAATCTCTCTCACTAAACCATAGACAAGACCTAAACCTAGAGCTGAACTACATAAATTTTATCGTGTAGAGTATCGTATGCATCGTGAGATATGAAAAGTTCCCGAATTAGCAGCACGGGGGAACGAGAATAAAAAAAAGAGCAAGGCTATGCATGTTTTTGAGGGGGTTTCGCGACATCCTTATCCTGCTCGTTGTCATTTGACACTTCAATAACAGGAATGGATACCGGGGCCTTGTTCGCAGGCGTGTCATCTGCCTCGGGCTTTTCCGTCTCAGCCGCCGAGGAGTCATCGTTTGAATCATCTTGTTCGACAATCAAAGAACGGTCCGCTGCGCCATCTGGCGAAGAGTCGGTTTGGCCACTTTCATCGCCAGCAATGATGCTCTCTTGGGAGCTCTCAGCTGGACTCCCCATGAGGACAGCATCCAGTGAATTTCGCGCCGGAAAAGTCGAGTCCGATTCATCGACGCTGAGACTGCTTCGATCTGAGACTGATAATGAGCTTCGCGAGTTCGCATTTGAATATGAAGCAGGGAGGCCTAGGGCTTCGGCCACTGCGGCTTCCTCGTCTGGTAGTTTCGAGGTACTGCTTTCAGTGCTAGAGCTAGCGTCGAAGATGCGACTACCGCGCTGCTCGCTTAATTCCAGGATATGGTTGTAACTTCGGCGTGTAGGGTCCGCCCGGCGCTTGAGTTTCTTTTTCTGGCGCTTCGGGGATGGACGCACGACAATGACAGGGATGGGTGATTGTTGGAGACAGTATTTCGAGACCGAGCCAGGTAGTAGACTGTGCACTCCTTTTAAATTGCGGCCGCGAGTGCCCACGACGAGCATTGCAGGTTCGTATATGCGAATCTAGGGAGAGCACATTAGATTGAGATCTCAATAAGCTTCTTGTGGAACTTACCATGCGCTGAATGATACTCTCGACCTTGCCGACTGCAAGTTCCAGCACCAGACTGATTGCCTTTTCATCCTGGCTGTTTTTCTGGATAACCTGCTCAAACAGCTTCTCTGCTTCCTGTCGGTATTTGCCCTCTTCAATACCGACGTCACTGGCTATGCGCGAATCCTTCTCCACAGCCCGTAGACAGACAATTTCATCTCCATCATCCACCAACTCATCGATAAGCCATTCAAGCGCAAACTCGGAATAATCGTTCTGATCCGTGCCGCACAGAAAGGTCCTGCTGCGTCGCGTGCTCTGGTAACCTTTATGCTTGTAGTTCAACGTAAGGGAGAAATCAGTCGCGTCGAAATTATCAAAAGTATCAAAGGAGACGCCTCGCTCGTAAGTTCTGCCATGAATTAGTGAGCACATATCACGATAGGTGGTTGGGGAAAACGCATACTTTGGTGGAGGCGGAGACGGCCCTCGATTCGCCAGAGCCGCCTTGTGCTCCCTATCCCTCTCTTCCAATTCCCTCTCTCTGGTCGGAGTATCGCCGTATGACAGCCGCTTTTCCTTGAAACTGGACTTCCGAGCCGGCAGCTGGGCTTCCGCGGCTCCGACGCTAAACTGGATCGATCGTCGTCGGGGGCTGTAGTCTCGGGACATGTCGCTAGCGGAGCGGGTGTGGCCGGACCCTGTAGCTTTTGTCGTATGATCCTGGGACTCTGGGCGGTCTTCGGAGTCGAAGGAGGGTCTGGGAGAGGGTTTGGGGGAAGTTGGTGCAGACATGCTTGGAATGGTTGTGAATAAGCTGGGGACGATGTGGTGCTTGTTCTCCCGTAGGTGATGTAGGTGGGAGTATACCGAGTAAAGGTTCAGCGAAGCATCTCGCACGTGGAATGATTCAGGATCCCACAGGTTGCCTGGGCATGTTTTGGAAGTGGTGTATAGGGTTATTGGTCACGAGGCAGCAGTGACGGATGCAGCGAGGGGTCCAGGGCGGTGACAGCTTATCGATAGGCGATGAGCTTAACTTCTTATGTCAGCATTGCAGATCCTGTGGATCACGTGATTAGATGAGCGGCTTCCATTGTTCCCTGCCCAGGTGGCTCCAAGGTTGGCAAGTCAGCTTTAGAAAGACTCTGGAAGTAACTTGTTGGAATTTTATAGATGCTTTGGCTAGCCATTGTCCCAGGATTATAGTACAGATGAGGTGATCCAAGTCTGACAAGCTGCATGTCAGATCACCTTAGAATTGACAGCGGGACACAAAGCATAGCCCAAAGTCTTTAATTCGAAACAACAGAGCAAAGTCCGAGGATCCATTCATGTCTCATGGGTACGGAGTATACGGACAGTATCTCAGCCGCAAGCCACCAAAACCCAAGTCCCGATAAGAAATTTACGGGAAAGCAAAATTAACTTACGACTATTGATCTCGTCAGGGTCTGCACTGTCAGATAGGCAGATCACTATCACTCAAAAATCAGATCCCCCTATTCACACCCAACGTAAGCCATGGTAAAATATCCAACGGTAAGTTAAACTTGCCAAGTCCAATTACCATAGCGCTACAGCTCCCCAGCCCCAACAAAAAAAAAATCACCAGTATCCCCTTACTGCCCAATTCCATATCCATTCCGTATCCCGTGTTCCATCTCAATCCCGAACTAAGCAGCACTAGAAGCAAAAAGAAGCGAAAGAAACTAATCCCGATCCACCAGTCCACAACGGAGCGTCCGAACCCCCCATCAAACCCATTTCCCGGCAGGAAACCCACCAGACACGCTAAAAACTAATAATATTAGGACGCTAGTAAAACCCTTCACGGCACTATAGCCAACTGTCGCCACTATCGCCAACATGGCCCAGATACTGTACTGTACAGTGGCCAAGATCGTGATGGCTATTATAGCTAGTGTTGGGTTAGTCGGTTCCTCACACTGGGTATATATCGAATATACCGAGCTAGCCGCGCAGATCTCTCAGATCTCTCAGATGCATCCACCAGCGGTGAAGGGCGGCGCATGGCGTGCTGGGTTGGCGGTGATCTATTTGATAGTTACCCGCGGTCGGGGCGCTGGCTTGCAGGGATCGACCGGTCACATGGGGGGATTTACTTGATAGGAGATCAAATGAGATGTGGATTGTGAAGAGGTGAGATTATCAATGTCGATGTTCTACTCAGATTTACTGGAAAAAGGTGTGTGTGTTTAGAATTTTTATTATGTATTTTGTGTTTGAGTTTAGACATGTGTCTGTAGTCTGTATATACATTCCAAATGTCGTATGTCCCGAGACAGTCTCGACCATGCAGGGAGAGCTGTTGGGCCGCCATCACAGATAGCGTAGAGATGAGAGGGGTATGCAAATTCCAAGTATGAGATGCGCTTCAGCGACCGTTCAAAAACGCCAAGAATGAAAATGAGGACAAAAAATAAATATGAGAAGAGAATTATAGAGTCGTGAGAAGATCGGGGGTATCATCGCTGTATAGTACACAAGAGCAAGAGTTCGTAAGGAGGAGTGACCGAAAAAAGAGAGGCAAGATCCGACACATCTAGTGTCTAATAAGCCTCGATCATGGTCCTCTGCTCTTGTGCACCGAAGTACCCCTCTTCGAATAGTTGTTCCTGCTCAGACCCAGCCAGGGCAATGGCTGTGGTGGCAGGTGCCTTCTCGTTGAAGCATTCCAGAGTAGGCTGAGGCGGCGAGGAGGGGTGGCCTCGTCCTCGGACTCGCCATCCGAGTCGGCGAGGAGCTCCGGGGGAGACTGGCGCGATGGCGACCGGGTCAAGCTGAGCTCGTCCAGGTCCTCTGCGTCGTCGTATTCAAAGTCCGAGTCGGTGTCATCGGCGTCGTCCTCTTCCAGAAGGTCCTCGTGGAAGGGCGCCACGGGAGAGGGAGCGCGGCGACGGACGGGGGTGTTGATGACAAAGTCTGCTTCGTCGTAGTCTTCGTCATCGCTGTCACTGGCATCCGAGTCGAGATCGGAGGTTTCCTCCTCCCAGTTTTCGGGCTCTTCCACGACGGTGGAGGTGGAGGCCCATTGGATGTGACGGTCGGAGGAGGCGGCCTTGGTAGCGCCGCTGACGGTTTGGTTGAACCAGCGTTCTTGTTCGCGCTCTGCATCGGCGAGGTCGAACATCAGGGAGTCCAGGAGGTTGGCGTGGCCGACCAGCAGGCGGAGGTCGTGGTCTGCCCGGGAAGCTTCCCGAGTGAGCTTCTTCCGGGCAGTATGAGCGAGGTAGTAGGTTTGTGTGATGCTCATCTTCTTTTGTTGGCGGCGTTTGGCCAGAGAGTCAAAGTAGGGAGAGGGGGAGGCGAAGGAAGCAGAGGTGGTTGAAGTAGCCATAGTGGGCATGGCTGGGGGTTTTGACTGTTTTAAGTATGACTCTTGTTTGACTCAATTAGGCGTCATCCAGTCACAGTGGGGGGCGGTGTGAGCTAGGGATGAGACAGATCAGGTTTGATGTTCCGATACACGTTTAATGTCCCAGGAGTGATGTTATCATATAAGAGTGGTATATCTGGAGAATAAAGTCAGAGCTGACCCTGGCGATCCAGCTTTATTTAATATCTGAGGCAACGGGATTCTTATTTTTTTTTTGTCCGAACTGGACGGAGTTTACGGATAACTGACCCACCGGCGATAAAAAATATTATTAATTCCACAAAATCGAAACTTGGGTCCCGATCTGGTATTTCCATGTAAATTCCGAGCTCACAGCAGCCTGACCGCTACATGCAAGGGTTGGGATTATTGAGCAAATTACAGTCATACACACCCATTCTCAATTTTCTCTTGCTCTACTCAATCTAATCTAGAATAAAAACAATCTGTACTGATAGCCCTGGAGTACTGTCAAGCTCTCATAGTGAGTCACTCGGGACCCGGATGACCAATCCGTGCCGTAAACCCGGAACGGAGCATCGGTCGCAGAAGTCGCCGATTATTCAACAAATTCCTTTCTGAGTAACCCATGGGCCGCTAACGTTATACTTTAAAGTCCGGATATAACAGACTTTCAGCCTCGATTTCCAATCATTGATTTCCAATCCCCGTACCCCGTACAGTACTGTAGTTTATTATCACGCCTTGCAGATGAACGTGGATAATCATCTGGCATGTCAGCAAGAGAGAGGCTCAAGACCTTGGTGGTACGGCACACTCTATCCGCGTACAGTAACGAGTACGAGGTCTTGGCAAAAGGATTGAGCATTCCCCAGGAAATCACGGGCTTTGCGAGCTCGAATCCCTTGGGAGCAAAAAAAAAAAAAAAGAATTGGCAGCCTCAAGGCAACCCAATTGAAACTCGTCAGCCTACTAGCCTTTTAGCCTCCTCTCTATCGTTATCAGAGTATGTGCACGTACAGATGACATTTTCCTAAAGCGTTGCCTGGGTAATCTGTGCCAATTCCCCAGGCTCTCTACAGTATCTTACCTGTACATATGTACAAGTACATGTATGACCGCCTCACTCCTTGCCTACCTCGGGCACTCTTTTTGGCCAAATTGTGGGGACCAGTAAAAAAGTCGGGCTCTGTGTTTCACTTGTGGAATGTCCAATTGCTGCCTGTGTCAGGTCGATGCGTCGTCCTCGTCCTTGCTTAGTGCTCGGCATAGACTCACAGTATGTATGACCCATGCGAGAAGAGACCAGGCTACCGAGATGAGAGCGTGTTTGGCGTACGTCACAAAATCACCACTTACAAGTTGTCCTCTCTGATCTTGGCGCTACATTACCCAGATAGGCATCCAGGATGCAGGGTAGTCAGAGATTAGCTAAGCGCGTAAATACACTCGGATTCGGCAAGGCGGATATCACCGAGCCAAGTCCCAAGGCTGCACTGGTGGACTCGCTGGGTTTTCCCTTTTCAGTGTGCTCTGTCCCCACTCTCGGCCATCGCAGCCCTACAGTGTCCCAGAGAGAACGAATACGATTGTCTGTCACTGTCAACCAGCAACGGGGCGTAAAAATAGGGTCTCAGGCTAAATTATGCCATCATAGATGGTTCCATAGGGATTCCATCCAAGACCTTCAGGAGACCCGAATTCAACAATACCATGACACCATCAATCAACAAACTCTAGCACCATCAGAAAAGGGTAAATAGATGAGGTCAACCGACATGCTTGAAATCAGACCATTCTGGAACACTTGATCTAGAGCCCGAGGAGAACAATTAGATTCACGGAGATAGTGAGAATACCAGGGCCATTGGCTCTCGCTGCCTAACCTTACTGAGTGCCCAGTTGCGCCCCATGGCAGAGATCCGGTGGATCATTCATCAAAGGCCGAGGATCCGAGCTTGACAGGTCGATGACATCAAGATGTGGTCTTTGCTGTTCGGCTATTTGGTACCGTTCGCCGGGAATGGATCGCTGGTTTGAGATTTTGAGTTGCGAGACTGGCATTTGCCTAGAACTGACTAGCCTGGGTGGATCGACTTTCTAATACATGCGTTCATGAGTGACCTTGGTGGTGAGAAATGGTGATTTGTGATAACGTTAGTGTTTGGGAGGTGATTAGGGTTTGCGCGAGTAATCCCAGGCTGCGCTGGCAATCTGCAGTCATGACCATGACGAGTACACCGTCTTATCAAGACACAACAACACCAATGTCCTAATTCTGTCTATTTCCCCGGTGGCCGACTGGCTGAATAATCCAGGAATGCGATCCGCTGACTCATTCGCCGAGCCTCGGGAACAGGAAAAACTCAGTGCTCGGAGACGGACTTCGCAGCTCCGAGTTCCACTCCGCACAAGGCGTTAAGTTATGCTATGTCCATGTCCGGTGTGCCCACTGATATCCGGATGATCGACACGTGCCTGATGACTCGATCTCGGGTTAATCGCCGTTAATCGCAACCTGGATAATGCGGCATCCGTCCTATGCGGATGATTTGGGTCCGTTATCTCCACTATTGTCCTGGTGACTCACGTTGGAGCCTCTTGCTCAGCTGAGCTCCTAGCCCTTCCGAGCGCACATACCTCAGGTCGATAGGCTGCACTCGGTGCACGGGTTGATCCGGACGCTTGGTATGGGGTCTTGCTGTTGATCGGGTTGGGATTTGCATTCCGGAGTGTACTGTACTGGGCGATCAGTGATCGTGTCATGTGACTGTACCTGATCTGCGTTTGATGCGGGTGTTCTGGAAGGGGCGGCTTAGAGGTATATTGACAAGATATTGAGATTCAATTGAGATCTGGTTTTTAGAGCAGGTATGGTATGATTTGGTTGTTTTTAAATCTGCATACAGTCCCTCTTTGTCTTTTTTGTCAATTTCTTTTCCAATATATATTTATCTCTTGTATCCCCCCTCCTTTTCCACTTCTTACTGCTCAATCTTCTCACAATGCCTCTTGATCTTCGAAATCTCAAGTCAAGCTCAATTCCTCGCATGCGACTGATCCCCACTGCTCTTTAATCATGACTTCGAGCTACCCACCAAGCCATATTAACAAGCTAACCCATTCAACGCGCGAATATAACACCACTAAAAAACAATTGACCGCGTCAGCTTAGCTACCAAATCAATACGCAACATGTGAATTGTCTATTAAACGCCACCGTCATCAACATGGATGCTGGGGATGGCCGAAAGGGACCTCGCCCTCTGAAGTGAGAACTAAACCCCCAGGCTTCTCCTATATCCGAAGCTACATATATCCGAAGGCTATATCCGATACATCTATCTGACCTCGCTTCTTTTGTTTGTTTCCCGAGCAAGTTTTTTTCCGATCAGTCTGCTGAAGAAAACAACCTATTATGCCCCGTGATATCTCGGGTGAAAGGTCGTCGCTAAACCAAAGTCCTGCAGCTTATAGTCAGGGCTCGGCGATGGGCTTTTGCGTCCGTTATATGGAGCTCCTAGAGTCCTGTACCGGTCATCTCGCTGCGTTACTGCACTTATGGAAGGGAAAATCAAGGCTTTATCATCATACCGTGTTCTTCCAAGGTTGCATGTGTTGTTTCTTCAACAGCGGTCACCTCTGACCGAGTCATATACTACACTTGGTTTTCTCACTTGCAACAGAAAGTTCGTGACTGATCACCAGTGACATATCAATAAGGCGATGATATCGCCTGAAACGTTCTTCTGCCTCTAAAGAACTGATAACCTCTTATACCAGATATCCTCAATGAGGGCGTTCGAGCAAGAGATATGAACCATTTATCGAGCTCATCCCTGCTTGCCTTTGACTTGCAACCCATAGGTGAATCTGCCTATATACTTACAGTGACCAAAGCTCCTTTCAAGCCTTCAATCGATTGAAGCTTGCCTATATCTCTCACACACACGTAGATTCAACGGTAATCGTTGTATTACTATGTCAAGCGCCCTAACAAACTCATGATACAACTTAAACCTCAAAAAATCAGCATCAGCATCAGAATCAGCATCAGCGTCGGCATCAACAACAGCAACCGAACTTAGAAGATCTTCGTCCGCATCGTCCACAGGCTCTGGGCCACAAAACCAGAGAAACCACCACAGGCCCAACAAGAACTGTTCAAAACAAAGGGTATCTCGCATCGCAACAAATCCACACAAGCATATCTCAAAGAGCAAAAGCAAAAGCAAAAGCAAAAGCAATGCCATATCAGATCAGATCAGATCAGATCAGGTCAGATCACCCCCTGGAAATCAATAACATCCACTTCGAATCCTCTTTCCCAAGTGATTGATAACTCCAGGCACATGGTCAACATCAGCCAAGCGCCGATCCACAAAAGCCAGAGCATTCGCCATGAAGAAATCCACGTCGAAGTCCTCAGCCAGTCCATTCATCTGCAATTTCCGAATAGCTGCCTGAACCCACCCGACGCAGTTCTGGCTCGGCGTGGATCTATCATTGTCCTTCACTGGCAGCGGGATAGACCGTAGGAGGGTATCGATGTTGTCGAATGCATGGCCGCTGCTATTGCTATCCCTGATCTTGCCGATTCGAATCCTCAACAGTAGTGACCCGCTGTGGTCCGGGTTGACGTTTTTCTTCACTCGGAACTTCCATTCGAAGTTGGGGTTGTTGTCCTTCCGTACCAACGGGTCTGGAGACGAGCCGTCGGTTACGTCGAAGGCGTGGCAGTTGGCGCCTCGGGAGCGTCGGGGTGCGAGGAGGATGCCCCAGTGGTAGGCGCTGGAGCCGAGGTCGCGTCTGCTTTTGTCGAGGGAGAGTTCGTTGCGGTGGTGGATTGTGATGAAGATTTGGTGGTCTTGTTTTAGGGTTGGGGGCTTTTCTGGGGGGTCTTTTGAGCGCTGGCTTTGGTTAGATTTGGTGCTTTGGGCTTTAGAATGTCTGGATGCTGGATGGGAGATGATTACTGTGTAGCCCATGGTTGGCCGGCTGGCTGGCTGTTTATGGGGCTGTGAGGGTGCTGATCGCGACGAGGGATGACTTGCTTCATGTATCAACACATTGTGTGCACTTGAAGTGGCTATCAGAGTGGGAATCGAAATGGAGGGAGAGGAAGGGTCCTTCCAGAGTGTATTTTCTATATGATCTTGTGTTGACTTCCTATTGTGGTAGTTTCATTTTGGGTGATAGGGCTGTTCAATAACCATCCATGGGCCACTTTTGGCTTATTGATTGAAGTGTTTAATCCCAGCTAGATCTGTACGTGTCTAATGTGTATTCTGATTGTTGATACACAGCATGGTGCTTCACATAGCTTGAGTGTCAATAATCATTCCCTGTAGTCGGGTACCCGAGATATTAAGCTTATGAGGCTAAACCTTAATTGAGTCTGCTCTATTCATTAGACCGACGAGTATAATACGACCAGGGGTACCAAGCTGATTCTTAAAGAACGCGGAAAATCTTATTTTTTCTGAACTAATATATGCAGAAACTCTGAATAGAAACGCAGATTATATCATGACTATAAACAAAGGTCATAACAGGCAATACTACCTATAAGATGACCATGACGTAAAGAGCCCCTAACTAGACGGCTACTCATAGCTTCGTGTCTCACAAAAAAGCACACACATCATCCCTTTTATTTCTTTAAGGTAGAGAAAGGAACAGCTTCTTCATCTCCGGGAAATTGGGTGTACCCAACCCAGTAGCCGGATCCCATCTACACGGGTGGTCAGCAACATCCACATGTAAATAACGCAAAGATAAACATACCCCTTGATAGCACTGAAGCCGTCTGAGCCACAGCCAACGTTGGTACCATTGGTGATATCATACAGAATATTAGGGTGAGCATAAAGCACAGGGTTGACGAAACCAACGGGACCCTTGCCCTTGTGGATACGCTCCTCGTTGATCTAACACGCAAGAAACGAAGCTGTTAGCTTCATACTTCGTACTGGAAAAGTGAATACCAGACTTACCAAGCTCAACACAGAAGCGAACAATGGCGAGGCCAAACTGGCACCGTAGAAGTGATGCTTCGTGCCACCAGTATAAGCAGGGAACAAAGCGCCGTTAGCGGCAACATCAGGATAAGCACGACCGATGCGGTTGTAAAGACCGGTTGTGGTGTTCAGATCAACATTAATCTCCGAGTAATAGGGGTAGTCAAGCTTAGCCTTCTCAAAGTATTTCGCAATAGTCGCCTTCTGGTAATCAGGCTGGGGGAAGTAATTCGAGAAGCCACCCGAGCTACTAAAGTTCGTAGCGGTGCCACCCAGGTTGGCGTGCATGACACTCTCGTCATCCTTGTATGTTTGGTCTGCGTAGAGCATGGTGCCGCCGACGGAGGTGACGTAAGGGCAGTTGGACGGGTATTGCGGGTTGAAGATCTTGCCCTCAGGACCGAGGCAGCCGTTGCTGGTGCCATCGCCGGGGAATGAGGCTACGCCGTAGTCGCCGGATGCGAAGAGGATGGAGTGGCCTTGTAGGCCGAGCTTGAGGAACTCATTGCATTGGCGCTTTGTGTAGGCCAATGGGAGGTCCGCTTCAGCTTGGCCGTAGGAGGCACTGATTACGTTTGTGGGCTTGTACACGCCGCATTGGAGTTTGCCTATTGGATAGTTTAGTATTTGGGCGGTTAAGAGGAGTGTGAGAAGTACCTTTGTAGCCACCAGGGCGGGTGTTGGGGTAGGTTGGGTCGATGTCAGGGTTGTTTCCTGTCTCGCCGTAGGCACTGTATGTGCAGTATGACTGGGTATGTTAGTAAGATGTCTCTCAGCGGAAGTAGAAGACATACACCATCGAGGGCATCGAGGAAAGTGTTGAACAGGTTGGTGGTTGCAACTTCCTCTGGCTCATAGAGTTGGTCATCAACCTGATAAAGGGTGACTGTCTGGGGGTAAATGAGAGCATATCTTGGGACCGGTTAGCAGAGTCCATGGGTGAACTGTACGTAGGAAGTTGACGTACGCCATATCAATATCAATGTCCGACTCGCCAGTGTTCAACGAGCTGTATGCAGGCACGGAGTAGTTGGCTCCATCAATTAAAGCAGGAATGGGATAAGTGCCCTGTGGCACATTTGGAGAGTACTCCTTGTAGAACAGATCGAGATCCGACTTGGCAAAGTAGTCACCTTGCTCGTACAGACCAAGCGAGTTGCCCTCAGCCGCCTTCTTAGCCACTGGAATATGATAAAGAGCCCTGATGCAGTCAGGGGTCATTTCAGACCCACAAGTCTGGAGGTTCTGGGGAAGATCCTGCGCCTTAGCAGGGATTGATGCCGCTCCTGCGGCGTCACCAATCTCCACGCTGCCCTTGGACTGAGCCAAGTGGGACATACGCTTCACTTTTGAGCTCTTCTTCACAATCGGGCTCAGCTTGACTCCAGGAGTTATATAGTCAATGTGCTTTTGGATGTGCTCTGGGAGGTGGTATCTGATTTGTGTCAATCATCCCGATCAATCGTTAACAAAGAGTATAGCATCTTACTCATCACAACCAATCTTGATGCTGTTAGTACCAGCATGCTCATGCTCGTAGAACTCAGTCAAGAACAGCTTTTCCACTTCGTGAGCATGGGCATCGAAAGCCAGCCACCCCTTATTGTCCGAGTGTACAACCCGGGACTCATGGATCCCTGAGCTCTCGAGCCATTGACGGACAGATTCGACAGCTTCCTTGGAGGGGGAGAACATATCATGCACCTCCTCTGCAGTCCAGTACTTTCCATACTTGGCCGAGGTAGGATCAGAGCTATACAGAGAGATCCATGTAAGTAATCGGCATGCAGACAGTCCCAAAGTCCAACTTACACCTCCATAAGCAAGGCATCACCCTTGTCCAAGTTATTCTGAGTCAAACCAATTCGCACCGGCAAGACCGAGTCACGCTTGATGCGCTCACCCTTCACCCAGTCGGCATGCTGGCCTCGCTTTTCATGCAGGACATGCTTGATCGGCGCAGGAATAGCACCCGAAAGGGCAGCAATCGCCAAAGCGAGACACACTTGACGGACCAACATCTCAAGGAAGAAGAGAATAGGGCAGATACAGCCATATCGGGGGAGAGGGGATGTCCCCTTAAAATACCAGAAACTAACGACGGGGTTGTTGTGATTGTAACCCTGCTTGCCTCATCTGAGATAGCGACAGGTACCAATTCCCACCGATGAGTGTGATTGGACCTCATGCAGGCTCATATGCACGATGGCCGAGACATCGCTGCACGCCCACGCGCGTCTTTAGGGCTAAGCATCCCTGGAAAAGGCTAATCTCGGCATTTCTCGACGGATCCTGATCAATTGAGTCTTGAAGATATGAAGAGTAATTTCCGCACGGTTATTGTGTCCTTATCGAGTCGTTCTGGTGTTAGTATCCTGCTTGTTGTTAGCGGGATTTTCTTTAGCGTGCTGGTTATCTCAGGCCCGGTGCTCCGACTAGGCCGCCCGTTGGCTGCGGAGTTCCGACGGGAGACTCTTTTGCCTATTGCACGATGCGATATTGAGAGTGCGGGGAATGGAATGCAAGTTAGCCCATGCCCCTCGGAATCGGAAGTTGATGGGGTGTGTGAGAAACAAGCTGTTCGTCACGCAATGCGCCCGGGTCGATTTGGGTACCATATTCTGGCATCAGGCTACCACTCAAGGCAAATAACACGAAGAAAATATGTATATTTCTAAATCACAAACAAAGAAAAGCTGACATCATCATCATATCGAATATCCATCACAGTGGAAAACACACAAGTGGGCTTTTTTTTACGAGAAGGAAGAGAAAAAAAGGATTTTGAGAAGGTAGGAGGAAGAAAGAAAAAGAGACCCGAAGATGACTACTAGCAGAAGAAACTCAAACTAGTGGTGGAACAGACGGATGCCCTGCTCGACAAAGGTGATGCCCAGCTTCTCGGCGGTCTCGAAAACGGGGGTGTCGTTCTGGCTGCCGGTAGGAGCGGCAATGTACTTGACTCCTGAGCGGGCAGCGCGGAAGACGTTGTCGATGAAGGGGAACTGAGTTAATGTTAGTATGGACTTTGAAATGAAGGCATTGATGGCATAATGTGAACTTACGAAGGCATCGGACGAGACAGCAACCTCGCTGAGCTTCTCGAGCCAGGCCTCACGCTCCTCGGCAGTGAAAGGAGCGGGGACCTCCTCGAAGACGCGGACGTATTCGGCGGTCTCAGCCTCGCTGCGGGGAGTCTGGCCTGAGCAGAGCAAGTCAATGGCGTTGGACTTGTCGGCACGCTTGGTGCCCTGCTTCCACTTGATGTTGATGACACGCTCGTGGAAGCGCATCCACCAGTTGTCGGCCTTGTCACCAGCCAGGCGGGTGCAGTGGATACGGCTCTGCTGGCCAGCGCCGAGGCCAATGACCTGGCCGTTCAGGGCGTAGCAGACCGAGTTGGACTGGGTGTACTTGAGGGCGATAGTGGCGACGGTCAAGTCACGGAGAGCAGCCTCGGGGAGGGAGGGGCTGTTCTTGGGTGTGATGACGGTGTTGAAGGTCTTGCTGGGGGAGATGACAACGTCGTTGCGGTGCTGGGTCAGCTGAACACCGTACAGGGTGCGGGTCTCCTCGGGAGCAGGGGTGTAGTCCTCGTCCATCTGGAGGACGAGGTACTTGCCGCCCTTCTTCTTGGAGAGGATCTCCAGGGCCTCGGGTTGGTAGCCAGCGGCGATGACACCGTCGGAGACCTCGCGGGAAATGATCTTGGCGGTGGGGACGTCGACAATGTCGCTGAGGGCGAGGATATCACCAAAGCTGGACATACGGTCGGCGCCACGGGCACGGGCGTAGGCCTGGGCGAGACCGGAGGACTCGATGCCCTTGATGTCGTCGACCATGTAGACCTTGCGCTCCTTCTCGTTGAGGGGAACACCGATGGCAGCACCAGCGGGGGAAACGTGCTTGAAAGAAGCAGCGGCGGGGTAGCCAAGAGCCTGCTTGAGCTCCTTGACCAGAGGCCAGGCGTTCAGGGCATCGAGCAAGTTAACGTAGCCAGGGGATCCGTTGAGGACCTTGAAAGGCAGGTTACCGTGGACCGAGAAAGCAGAGGCGGGCTTCTGGTGAGGGTTGGTACCATAACGCAGAGAGAGCTGCTTGACACCGTTACCAGCATACTCCTTGCGGAAGAAACCAGAGATGGCAGAGTCGTAGTCGGCAGTCTGCTCGAAGGCCTTAAGGGCGTACTGCTTGCGGCTGGCATCGGTGATCTCGCCAGCCTCGAGCTCCTTGAGGAACTCGGAGTAGTCAGTGGGGTCGGACAGGATGGTGACACGCTTGTGGTTCTTGGCCGCAGCGCGGAGCAGAGTCACACCACCGATATCGACCTCCTCGACAGCCTCTTCGATGGTGACGTTGACCTTGGCGACGGTCTCCTTGAAGGGGTACAGGTTGCAGACGACGTAGTCGACCTTGGCAATCTTCTGCTCGGCAAGATCCTTCTCGTCGGACTCGATGTCACGGGCGAGGATACCACCGTGAACGGCGGGGTGGAGGGTCTTGACACGGCCGCCGAGCATCTCGGGGGCGTGGGTGATGGCGGAGACATCCCTGCCATATTGTTAGCGCCTGAGCTGTATATAGCTTAAGCTTCAAGTATGCTTGCACGACGAAACTCACTCGACGGGGAAACCGGCCTCACGGATCATCTTAGCAGTACCGCCAGACGCGAGGAGACGGACATCCTGCTTGACAAGGCCCTTGGCCAAGTCGAGGAGACCAGTCTTGTCATAGACGGAGATAATGGCTGTATGATAGAGAATAGGTTAGCAATTTCCTCGAGCAGGTTGGAGCAAGCAATTCCTAGTCCGGGGGATTGCCCGATCTATGAAACCAAGAGTCACATACCAGACTTTTGAGACATGATGGAGTCGACACTGTATCAGTCAGTAGAAAGACTAAAACGTCAATTGCAGAATACAATTGAGCTGTAGCAAGAAACAGATAGCATACCTGAAACCAAGTGACAACGGGGTATAAGAGCGATGACGGAAAGGAAAAAAAGAGAAGAATTGTCCCGCGGGGTCACACCGTAATCGGAGGGGCAGAGTATGAGGTGGGTTATATTACCAAAGATACCATTGGCTATTACATACTCTCCGCGTAGATGCCAGCCAATCATAGACGGGAACAGGCAGAATCCTTAGCGTCCCACGTGACCCAGGCATTCAAAAGCTTTTTTCCACTCGCGCCATTTCCTCTTTTCTTCTTTTTTCTTCATGAACAACGCAAAAAATAACATTCCAAAAAGCGTTCCTACGAGGACTTGTCTGATGAAGTACGGAAATCGTAAAGAGAATGGAGACCGAGTGCCAATGGCTAAAGGTATCGATCTTGGGTGCAGTGCCTGCTTGACCTTGTGTCATGTAGTAGGGATTGCAATGATTGATTCCACATCGCGAATCTCAATATCAATATTATTTATATCAATACTATCTTTGTTTATGTCTTCATCTGTGATCCAAAAGTCCTAGCTACCATGATTCTAAAGTCATCAATAAGATGAATGTCTGGAAAGTAGCTCTTGAAAAGTCATTTATCTATTACAGCGTACATTTATCTATCAAAAATTATTCCTGTATCGGCGTTAACGCCCTCATAAAGCGTTGCATATACCTCAGGCTATCCAGCCGAGAAAATCCCAGGTGCTTTGAAGCACTATGGCTTCAAAGTATCTCTGCTGCCAGCTCCAATGGCCAGCTGACGGCCAACATTTCCAAAGCATACGCACGCACAGAAAATGACACTGGCGACCCAAGTGCGGACCGCAATGCTCTCCTGTGTGATGCCTGCTCCAAATGCATTTTCAAGTCCAGTGCCATTCAGAATACCAGTGCCAAACGATGGACCAGTAGACATAGGTACCAGCTCTGGCTTGAGGCCGAGAACAACCCCCATACCGGTCAAGCCGACAGTGGTCGAGAGGACGAAGCCGGTCGTGGTACGGTCAATAAGGTACCAGAGAACGGGGTTGGCGAGGGCGAGAGTAAGAGAGGCTTGCGTGGTAGATTGCCAAGGGAGTCTCCGCTGCAAATAAAAAAAAACGCCATGTTAACTTTTTCCTGCATGGAAGAAAAATATAAAAAAAAACGGGGAGAGAAAAAAAATAAGCACGTACCATAGCGAAAGCAATCCCAACAAAAGCACCGACACTCCGAGCAACAGTCACCCAAGATGGAGTGCGATCCTCGCGCTCTTCCTCGTTACTCGTATGCTTGGAATCGGCCTTCTCAAGCTCACCCTCACGCCAGCCATCCAGCCAAGGAAGTAGATTGCCCAGCGCAATACCAGCTAGCCCCCAGACACCCAGGTACTGCCATGAATCATAGTAATGAACATTCTCCAGCTTAACAGGGGTAATCCAATGATTCTCATGAAGATGCACCGTAATCACACCGTAAGCAATGCCAAATCCAAACAGCAGCGTACTGCTCAGGATCTGTGGTAGAATGACACCCCGGAATAATCCCTGACTCAACCGTGAGCGTGTGCGCCGCAGCGCCATCCGCCGCGGTTCAATGGCCGATTTCTCTGCTGCGCGCTGCGACGGCTCGGGCGGGAACTCTGAGGCCGGGGAATTGGCTTCTGTGCCCCAGGGGCTGGATTCATCGCGCAGGCTGTCGAATGCGGTGGGCGAGTAGATGCCGTACAGGGTTGAGGAGGTGAGATTCATGACTGAGCCGGTGCGACTGACGCTCGTAGAGTTGGGTCCTGTTGCAGGCGCAGTGCTGGGATTGAGGTAGTCCGTCGTGGTTGATTCGGCGGGGGTTGGAGGTCCGGAAGATTCGGTTGATGCCGGTGTGAGATCGAAGGCTCTTCTTGGGCGTGGACGTAAGATGCGAGGTTGTTCTGTCATGATGGCTAAGGTAGGGTGGGAGGTTGAAGTAAGCTGAGCAGGAAAAGTGTGGTGCGGTAGAATTCGACCGAGTCCCGTTCCGTATCACGCGTTGGAAGATCGTACGAGGATGTCAGATGATGATCCGAGGGGAAGTGAAGGGATGAAGTAGCCGAAGTCAAATCCGGAGAACCAATTTGTAGGGTCGGATACGGGGGATATGACGCTTCCCAACAAAAATGTGTCAATTGCGATGCAGGGGTAGACCGAAATAGATCGAATTAGGTCTCAATTGTTTAGGAATCCGCTCTATACTGTTGGTTGCTGCAGTATCCACTCGCCTCTGTGGTCTGAAATGCGGGAATTGTTTGAGAAGTGAAGTCTCAAGAAGTGTTGAAGAGTGAAGAGTGAAGAGTGAAGAGTTTCAAGTCCAGAATCTCGAGTCCAGAGTCCATGAGGCATGAGGCAAAGAGGGGATTGTCACATGTTTCCCCACTGAGCTATGTCCACAGTCTTGATGCCTCGGAAACTTTGCCACTCTGACAGCCTATCGCGGAGATGCTGAATGCATTGGGTACATGAGGACATCTGGAGAAATCTTAATACGAAAAAGGAGACTAAAGCTATACAGTCATTCCAAGGTGTTCCATTCACGCCTTCACAAGACCCTTAAGCCGAAAAAAAAAATGAAGCACAAAGGTAGATCGTGATACACAGTACAAAAGAGAAATAGAAACGCCATCCCAATTACTTAGTCTTCCATCACATCGTCGCCATCACCTACTCGGTGATCAGCAAGACCCGCAGGAGGCGGGGATGAGGCCTCATGTCGCGCATAGCCATTGGCACCCTCATATGTAGATGAGTTTTCATCTTCGTCATCATCATCTTCAGTGGAATCCCCGTCGGACCCTTCACCGAGTAATTCCCGGTCCAGGTCATCCAGTTCTCCTTCGATGTAGTCGTCATGTCCGCCCCAGTTGGGGGTGCCCATGCCGGGAGTGCCAGCGCCCGGACCGTCGGGGTAGCTGGGAAGACCCTTGGCATGAGACGCTTGGGCTTTCTTTGCGGTGCCTGGGGTAGCTGTGACACCCGACTTGCGCTTGGCGGCACTGGGGCGTGAGGCACGCGGGCGCGAGCGATTGTTGCTGTTGCGCACGTCGGCCTCCAGGGCTGCGCGGGCTTTGTATCGCTCCTCGCGTTCTTGCTTGCGATCCTTTTTGGGCCCGTTGGCTTCATCGCAATCCCAGCGGTCCAGTCGTCGGGCGGCTTTGCGGACTACAGATAAGAAGACACTGGCGCATTCTCCAAAGTCGTCTTCTTCCTCGGGATTCGGGAAAAGGCCGCCCTTGCCCCAGGAGTTATCTTCATCTTCGGTGTTGTAGCCTTCGGGGAGACTCTGAAGCAAGCGACCGTAGCGGCCGAATGGAATCTCACTTTCACGCTTGGCGCGGAGGACACGATAGGCATTTGACCGGCGCTTAGCGAGGAGATAGTCGATCCTTTGACGGCGATTTTGCTCCACGGCAATTTGGTGCTGTGTTAATGGACGTGGTCGACGTCCGGGGGCTGAAGACAATGAAGGCTCGGTGATGAAACGGTTGAGGACTGGGTGATTGGAGCCCGGAGGCGCGGGAGAGGCATCGGGAGTGTGTTCCATTCGCGTCTTCAAGATGAGCCTCTGCTGGCCCATAGCTCGATTAAGTGAGGATTCCCGCTTGGCTTGCTTGGGGCGCGGACGGGAGTAGCCACCAGGGGTCATATCATCTTCCTCGTCGTCCAAACTTCGTTTAGCAGAGGGGTGGAGAGGGGTTGACATGGCAGAGCCGCGGCCTCCGAAGCCAGAGTAGTCTCCAGCAAATGAGTCTTCCTCAAAGCCAAATTCTGTAGATTTATGTTAGACCAGAACAGGTTTCGGTCAGCGCGAATGGCACTTTACCTTTCTTGGGTCGTTTTGGGACGCGTGGTAATGGTTCTTCTTCCTCCAGAATGCCTACACCAGTTTGTCAGTCAACGATATCCAAAGGCAATTGTGAGCACCACGTACGCTTTCGTTCCAGTCGCTTCGACTCTCCATATTCCTGCTCTTCGGGTGTATCTACATTCTCCTCGTTCGACTGCTCCTCAGTCAATATATCAAAGGCTGGCACCTTGAGAGGTAGTCCCTCAGAGCCCTCGCCTTCCATGCCAGCACCAAATGGATTGTTTAGGGCCGCCTCACGGCTAAAGTCACTTTCCAGGTACCACCACATCAACCATAGGAACGCCCTGGCGCGACTTTGACTCGAAAGCGTAGATCTCATAACCAAATCAAAGAAATCCCGAGGAGGGAAGAAGTGTGTTTCCGACACTTTGGGGGCGTACTGTGCCAGAACGAAGATCAGATTCACCGGATTCGTCCTAGGCACATTTAACCGCTTGATCTTATCCAGTGTGTTTGGTTGTTCGGCATCCTCAGAGGCACCCTTGAGGATAGATTTGAGACGTGGGGCATCCTGCAACTGCTTATAGGCATTGGAGTCCTGATGCGCTTGTAATGACGGAATCGAGTGGTATGTTCGGAGTTGAGCACGCATTTCAGGGAAGACTGTAAAGCAAAGGCAATCGCTGTTAGTATTTTAGACAGAGAATGTATGAGCTTCCACGTACAGTTCAGAGTGGTATTCATGCGACCGAAATTGACGAGCAGACAGACCATGGCCATGCTGATAGCTGCCGGTTTGTCATTTTGCAATTTGTCCTTGAGGATCTTGCTAGTCTTGCTGCTCCGGGCCATTGCGTCAATGTAGACATCAGCGAAATCCATTCCCTTTTGTCCATCGGGATACCGCGTAAAGACTGGTGTTTTGTCTTCAAACACCAACTTGAGGAACTGGTATTGGATATCTTTGCGCCACAGTGGGATACCATCTTCTTTCTTCAAGTGCCGAATCTTGTTGCCAGAGTAGACAGAGCCAATCGTGCCATTTGCTTGTCGTCTTGTACCGACCGTCGCGCTGGCGGTTGAGCCAGCGTGGTTTTGGTCATCCGCAGCCTCGGACACGGCAAAAGACTCGTCCATCATGCTTTGGTCCATATCGGCCATTTTGGAAGGTGGATATTGAGGGGGGGGAGGTGGACACGCTTGCGACAGACTGAAAACCGGAGAAATCGCGGGTTGGGGCAATGGAGATGCCCCCTAGTAGGGCGGGCCGATGCAATAAGCAGAAATAGCAACAAAAAGATCAATATGAGGACGGGAGAAAAAAAGATAGAAGGGGGGAGGGAACGGGAAAGGAGTGAGGATAAGGGAAAATGAAAAATGAGGTCAAAGTTCCGGAAAATCGAGGAAGAAAGCAGTGCCGAGTGCCCATGAAGGTATAGCTGTGATATCTACCCGTATCAGACAGTACTGCCACGCACTATCACCGTCGAATCCTGTGGGATGGCGCAAAGAATGCATGTAAAATACACGCACTATGTACACTATGAGCACTATGAGCACTATACGATCTGCGAGAAATTGCATCGAGAATTTGTCAGATCCTGTTACTACTGGATATATGATATACTCTCCTACACTACACTCGGAACACAATTGATCTTCACAAGCTGCATTTCAGTAAGCTACATCATACACAGATCAGGAAACACTTTTGGAAATTGCATTGGGAGAGTCCTTCTCATGGCCTAAGGCCTCAGGTTCCTCCGAGCCCACATTCATCCAGCGGCGGCGACAGCGTCCCATCCTCCAAGGTCCGAGAAAATGATCAGAACAGACAAGGAAATAATGTGATGTGTTCCCACTCGGAAACAATCAGCCTCCAGGACCAGAAAGCAGAGGATATTGTGGATGCAGGTGAAGCCAACGCCATATAGAATGCAAAGTAAACCCAGTTTTGTTTCGCCCACCAGCAAAAGCCCGGAGAAAGAACAGATTTTTTGGAAAAGAAAAACCGCAGAACGCACGAGGGCAGCAAACTGGAAAAGAAATGTCCGCCATGAGATACCGACGCTGTAAAAAGTCTATGCTGCACATAATGCAGCCATAACAAACACCGAGAAGGATGCAAAGAGAAAGAGAGAACTTTTCGAGAGAATGAAAAGCCGGCATTCTCCGCTCGGCGCACGCGCGTCACTCGAACGTGTCCCCTGCTGGGAACGCTCGAACATAAGGGGTATCTGACGAGAGCGGACATAAAAAAGATAAATAGGACAACGCGATCTATGATGTTCGTGCAGTGCTGATCACAGGTTGCTCGAAAGCAGATGATCCGACTGCGCCAATGCCCCGCGTCTGGACAAGGCTATACCATAGCCCGGTATAGAACAAGTCAGATGGGCATAAGGAACAACAGAGGTAACAGGATTAAAAGAAACATGCGCAGAAATGGAGGAAATGACTCTAAAACAAGCATAAGAAAGTCGTAGCAGTCATGACAAAGCCGTCCCTGAGAGATAGCAAGATAGGAAAAAAGAGATACTCAGGGACTCGTTCTGATCGTATCCGTCAACGAGAGACAAAGGAAAATAAAGCAATGGAGCCAATCAGACCCGGCGGCCTCGTCAAAAGACCACGACTGATTTACCACCAGGAAGAGGGGCCGGAGGAGCCGGAAGGGTTACCGTAGCCACCACCACCGCCGCCGTAACCACCACCGCCGTAGGAGGGAGCACCGCCACCGCTGCCACCGTAGCTGCCACTGTAGGAGGGAGTAGAACCACCGGCAGCACCGCCGTAGGAAGAGCCGCCGCCGAAGCCACCACCCATACCCATACCGCCGGGAACGCGACGAACATCGCGAGTGGCGTTGGAGCCACGGCCACGGCCACCACCGCGTCCACCACGACCACCGAAGCCGCTGCCCTCGCGGGCAATGCTCTCCAGGAAAGCGGGGACCTCTTGGTGGGCCTCCTTGAGGAGCTCGAGGAGGTCACGGACAACACCACGGTTGCCACGGTTGAAGAAGGCAGTGGCGATACCGGTGTTACCAGCACGACCAGTACGACCGATACGGTGGACGTAGTCGTCAATGTCGGTGGGGAGATCGTAGTTGATGACGTGGGTCACGTTGGGGATATCAAGACCACGAGCAGCAACGGCAGTAGCAACCAGAATGGGGCAACGGCCGTTACGGAAGAGCTCCAGAGCACGCTCACGCTCGCGCTGGGTGCGGTCACCGTGAATGGCGGTAGCAGGGAAACGCTGGTTGATGAGGAAGTCGGAGAGAGAGTCGGCCATACGCTTGGTCTCGACGAAGATGAGGGTCAGGCCAGTGCTGCCGTGAGTGTGGAGGATGTCCAAGAGGACGGAGCGCTTGTCAGCATCCTCGACGTACTCGACCTTCTGAGTAATGTTCTCAGAGGTAGATCCAACACGACCAACGGACAAGAAAATATAGTCCTTGAGGAAGTCGCGGGCGAGCATCTGGATGTCGCGGGGGAAGGTGGCCGAGAACATGAGAGTCTGGCGGTCCTGGACCAAAGGCATATCCTCACCCTCAACGATACGGCGAATTTGGGGCTCGAAACCCATGTCCAACATGCGGTCAGCCTCGTCAAGAACAAGGTACTTGATGTTAGCGAGAGAGATACGGCCACGCTCGATCAAATCAACAAGACGACCGGGGGTAGCAACGAGGAGATCACAGCCACGCTCGATCTGGCGGAGCTGAGAACCGATGTCGGCACCGCCGTAAACGACACAGGGGCGGACCCAAGAGCGGTAAGCAAACTTGCGGGCCTCATCGAAGATCTGAGAGACAAGCTCACGAGTAGGAGCAAGAATGAGAGAAGTAGGGTAGGCCTTGCGTTGACGGCCGTAGCTCATCTGACCATTAGCAGCAGCAGGGGTAGCCGAGGGGCCGTTCTTGAAAGCCTGGGAGAGGATGGGGAAGAGGAAACCACCAGTCTTTCCGGAACCAGTCTGGGCACAAGCCATGAGATCACGGCCACCCATGACAATGGGGACAGAGTACTTCTGGACGGGGGTGGGGATAACATAGCTAGCGAGCTTAATGTTGGAGATCAGGTGGTCGTCCAGAGGGGGGTTGGTGAACTGAGTAACGGGCTCGGGGACGTCGTTACCAGAGGCCTCAACGGGAATGTCGTCGTAGTTAGCAAAATTGATACCAGTCTGCTGCTTGGTGGGGTCGTTGGGAACACCGAAGAGCTCGCGCTCCACACGGGCGTTGGCGGGACCGGGGATGTGCTTGCCGTCGCGCCACTGGCCATCGCCAGAGCCACGGCCTTGCTGACCACCACCGCTGTAGCTGCCGCCACCACCACTGTATGATCCTGGATGTCCGTAAGCATGGGGATCGAAGGGTTGGGTTCGACCGATTGGGTTCGGCATGGGAGGGTTACCAGTAGCGGGGCCGCGAGGACTGAAGTCGGGAGCGTTAGCGTTAGCCCATTTACCGCCACCTGGGGGACCACTGAAGAAGCCACTTATATTAGTGACATCTCATCAGGGGGTGGGGGATTTTGATTTGGGGAGACTGTACCGAGGGCCACCAAAGCCGCCTGCAGGAGCAGCAGCGGGATCAACGTTGGCAGGAGCAGGTCCAGGGCCACGCTGGCGGAGGTGTGGAGGAATATAGGCAGCACGGCCAACGCCAGGAGCGTTACCGGCGGGGGCGTGTTGGGATTCGTTGAGGGAAAGGTTTCCCATCTGCAGACCGTCGGCCATTTTTGCGGTTGAAAATGTCTGTGGCGACTTGGAGGTTAGAGGGCGACGAGGGCAAAGGGGGGTGGGAGGAAAGAAGAAGCGAAACGAACAGTTTTTATTTTCTGGTTCACGGAGAGGATGACAAGACGCAAGCAATCTCAGAAAGACACTTGCAGAATAAAAGAAGTCAAAGATACCTTCACTGGGAGAAGGTATGTGAAAAGATTGGAGTTTGCTTGAGGGGGGGTCCACCTAGAGAAAAAGATGAAGTAGGCAAACAAAAAAAGAAGTCAAGAAACTGATAAATGCAAATCTCCCAAATCTAGCTCTAGAAGAAAAGAGAGGAGAGTGGAAAAAAGGGATAGAGAGAAGTGAAGTGTGTGGGAAGGAGGCAAATCGTCAGGTTGAGGCAGTACCGTACTGTGAGGTAATGAGACGAAACAGGAGGCGTGGGTACTTGGGGGGAACCTGGGTTTTGGCTGCCAATCACTGTATTGAGCAGGTACCGACCAAGTACTGACCGCCACAAAAAAAATTTCTTATTTTTGACTCGCCAGTTGGGGGTTCTGCTCTGACTAAGCACCGGAGCTGACTGGTCATTTGGGAGATCCAGGGAAGTATACCCCGGGTGCATTTAATCAACTTGCTGCTTCAGCGTCTACTTCGGGTTATTTTAAGACTTGCAAAATATAACATGATATACTCAACAGTTCAATACATTCATCTCTTACGCATCATAGTGCTCCTTCTCCTGTTGTTGCTGCTGGCTGCGGCGACGAGCAATCCAGACACCCACAAGACAAATCAGAACGAAGAAAATCACAAGCGGCTGGAAGGAGTAAGATGTCGTGGCGGTCTCGGGAGCCTCGGTGACCGGCTCAGTGACCGGCTCTTGGTCGAATTCTTAAAACCCAACATTATCAGCCACTAACCAGCAGCAGAGGAAACAGCGCAGACAGTCACCTATCTACAGCTCATCACGGCTACCTTTGTCCTCGGTCTTGCCATCGGTCTTCTCCTCGGAATCCTGCTCGATAGGAAGCTCGCCGCTCTTGACGATCTTGACAACCTCCTTGGGCTTGTCACCGGGGTGCTTGGGGACGTTCTGGATCTCGTCGACAATCTCATAACCCTCAAGGACCTCTCCGAAGACGACGTGACGGCCATCGAGCCAACTGTCAAATGATTAGCCACAGATCATATGGTGAGGAATGAAAAGTAGGGTACGAACGAGGTGATGGCGGTGGTGATGAAGAACTGAGAGCCGTTGGTGTCCTTGCCGGCGTTGGCCATGCCTAAGAATGGTCAGATATCCGAAACATTCAGTCAATAGGACTTTTGAACATGGTGCTTACTCAGGAGACCCTTCTTGGTGTGGCGGAGCTTGAAGTTCTCGTCCTTGAACTTGTTGCCGTAGATCGACTTACCACCAGTGCCTGTAAACGCTTAGTGTGGTGCGCCTCTGGCCATGGACAGATTAACTTACCATCACCCTTAGTGAAATCACCACCCTGGATCATGAAATCCTTGATAACGCGGTGGAAGGTAGAATCCTGGTAGCCAAAGCCCTTCTCGCCAGTAGCCAGAGCGCTATGAGAGTGGTCAGTTTATACAGAGACGCATAATGCGTTGGTGCAACCAGCGATCCATACCGGAAGTTCTCAGCAGTCTAAAGAAAGGACAATGTCAGCGATGAATCCTCAATGGCCGGCTGCATGGGATATAGAGGAACGAACCTCGGGAACAGTCTTGCCGTACAGACCGAACACAATGCGGCCAAGGTCCTTCTCTCCATGCTTGATGTCAAAGAAGACCTATCTCATCAGTTAGCACAGTTCAACTGAGAGCCAGTCTGGCAGTCAAGAGTAAAGCAATCACCTTGCTAGTGACCTTGGGGCCACGGGGCTCCTTGGACTCTTCAGCCTGGGCCAGCGCGAAGCCGACGGCGAAGACGACGAAGAGAGACAGGAATAGGTTCCGGAAAAACATGCTTGCTAATTGTCACTGCTTGAGAGAGACAGTGAAGAAGGGAGAAGTAGACGAGGCCAGCTTGCAATGGCGTGCGGAGAATACACTCCACTTCCAAACATGTAATTTTGCAATTGGGCTGTTGAATAATAGCGGGTAAATCAGTATTTATTACATTAAATACAGAATCTTACAATGCAAATACCTCGTTCAAGTTGCAAATAGTACCCGGAAAAACAATGATGCCGGATGATTTCTCCCGGAAGTTCGAGAGCGACAAGCAACGGACTCCAATCGAAAGTCAAGACAGCAGCCAGCCAAATAGCGTCAAGATGGTAAGTAGGCCACATTGATTGAATCATTGAAACACTCGCTAAAACTTTCTGCAGGTCTTCATCCTAGGCGTTAACTTCCCCGAGCGGAACCTGCTCAAGGCAAGCCAACCCCCGATATACCTGCAGCGTCACCACAACTCGCCCCATTGGACCATCAACTAACACGCAATCTTTGCGCATAACAGAAGTCCCTTGAGACTTTCTTCGGAATCGGCAACAATGGCTCCTCCCGCCTTTTGTCCCGCTTCAACATCCACCCGACCTGCCGTGTCGGCGAGCTGGCCAACAAGCAGGTCCTCGATCTGACCGCCGTGCTTTCGGAAATGAAGATTGAGAACGACTTGCGCAGAGAGGTTCTCAATGATATCAAGCGTCTGAAGGAAACAGGAACATACCGCGGTCGACGTCATGCACTGGGCTTGCCTGTGAGGGGACAGCGGACACGAACTCAGGTGAGTCGTTTCTTTCCCTCCATATATATTGCTTTATTTGGAGGTGGACTGTGGCTAATAGATGATCAAAAGATCAAAACTCCCGTCCGGTTGAACCGCATGGAACGGAGGCTTTAAATCGGATGGTAGCTCGTTCGCTGTGTGCTTTTATGGAATTATCTCACGCTTTTGCGTGAGAGGCATGGAACTGGCGTTTTCTTGATACCTGGCATTTGATTTTTGCCGGGTTGAATTGTACGTGAATGGAACACCCCTCTGGATGTATTATAGGCTAGAAATGGACTTGGTGTGAACAAAAGCCAGAGAACTACAACTCCTAACACAAATATTGACATATCCTTTGTATCATAATGACGGGAAAGTTGATCGATCTATTGCACTCCTACTTGACAATACTGTGACGTTAGGGTCGTGGAAACTGTAGTTTTGCAGGTAGATATACATGTACATCCAGTTCCGAGCTAGGGTAATCGTCAAGATGGAACAGTAAAAATAATAATATGTATCTAGGTAGATTCTCAACTTTTGCCCTCAATCAAGTGTTAAAACGCCAGGCCCATATGTGCGACTTCATGTCATTTATGCCTTGGAAGACAAAACACCCTCTCCACGGTTGATCTGGATTCGCTTGTCCTCACCAGCGCTGACAATTCCAATTGTCTTATCCCAGCAAACGCTGAAGACCTTGACACCCTCACCACCAACACGCTTGCTGTCGGCCTTGCCCTCCTCCTCGAGGCTCTTTCGTGTAATGGAGTAGACACTCTCACCAACAACACCCTCCTTGTCGGTCTTGGTAGACCGGATATCCCAGATGCGACATGTGCCATCGTGACTGCCACTAATGAGACCGTATGTGCTGTGGGGATCGCGTGACAAACTGACAACAGCGTTGGTATGGCCACGGAGAGTCATAGCTGTCACAGTTGCGGCGGATGCACGGGGGTCGATCAGAGTAATATGACGGGCAGCAGTACCTGCAGCCAAGAGGTTGAGTTCGGGGAGGTGCTCGAGAGAGAGAAGAGAGTGCGAAGTGGTGCGGGTGTCGACAAGACCTCCAGTAACCAAGTCCCAGGTGCGCAGGGAGTGATCCCATGAAGCAGAGTAACCAACGGTGGCATCCTTGGCGTCAAAGATGGCGGCAGAGACGGGTGCTGTGTGTCCAGACAACATGGACAGAGGTCCACGTTGGGCGGTGCTAACAGACGAGTTCAGCTTGCGGCGCTTGGAGTTGCGAGAGCTGGAAGGAAGCAAGCTCTCGGGTGCGGCCGGTGCATCAGCCTTCTTGGTTGACCAGAATCCAACAGTGTGGTCTGAGGAACCTGTCAACAGACGGTTGGACTTGGCATGCACAGATAGCGACTCGATTCCAGACTTGTGACCGTACAGCTCCAGCTGGGGAGAAATCTTTCCAGCAAAGCCACCCTCGTCTTCGGTATACTTCCACAATCGGACTGTGCGATCAAGGCCCGCTGAAGCAATCTGGTTCGGGGAAACGAACTTGGCGGCTTTGATGGAGGCAGTGTGGCCGCCCTCAGTGGCAGCAGGGGAGGTCGCAATGGTCTCGGATGACATGTTCCAGATGCGGAGGAGACCATCATAGCTTCCAGAAAGGATTCTCTCTTGGCCCTTCTTGAAGGTTGCGCCTGATGCCCATGATGCAGCCGGTGAAGTGGTGGAAAGGACGTCAGTAGAGCTGACCCAGTCGTCGTGCTGGAAAGAGGCGATGTGCAGAGGAGGAATCAAAGCCCGAACGTATTCAATCTCGAGGGTCGTCTCGGCAGAGATACCATTGTCGACCAGATATTCGTCAATTGAGGTCCGCAGAAAAGTTCCGTTGATCAAAAACTCAAATGGGATTGGCTTCTCGCTCGAGAGAAGGTTGTTCACCAATGTCGACAGCGCATAACGGCGAAGACCTGTACAGAAGAAACGTTAGTACTGTGGTTCTTACTTTTTGATCGACATCAACTTACCGGTGGGAATGAGAATTGGGCCGGTGCTCTCAGGCAGAGCAATATCCTCCTGCTGGCTGGTGAGTTGCACGCGAACTTGTCGTTGCGCAGCCTCGGAGACTCCTGACATAATTTGATCTTCACTCATGGTAAAATCGAGGCCAAATTGGTGCTGATGTTGGAGATGGAATCTTTTCTGGTGGCTGTCGCATTTTCGGCGGGCGAAGAAAAAATACGGTGACCTGTGCGGCACACTTGCGCAGAGCGCGGAGATAGGCCCTATTTACTAAACGCAAAACACTGCTAACACAATTTGCCGCGGAATTATTTATATAAATGGATTTCAAGTAGTAATATGGCTCCTCTATATTTTGACATTTATCCTCTGGGAGCTCTGCGAATATCTGCTATGGCTCGTCGCCGATAGTCAGATTCAGCAAACAATGCCTCAATCAGGTCAATCACTTCCTCGACGGAGAATTCCAGGCCTAGTTCTCCTTCAATCCAGAGGAACTTGATATCAGCGAGTGAGCTCTCCAGGATGTTGATCAGATACTGGAAGCGAAGCCAGCTTGGGACGTAGATTGCTGTAACAGGCAAAGCCTCGGCATCACCATTCTGGGGCCTAAATAAGTCTTCAAGTTTCGAGATCTGGCTGCAGAAAGAGACCAGTTGTCGGGACTGGTCTTCTGAGATATCTCCCAGATCTTCAATATCGATGACAACCTTGTTTATCACTGTAGACAAGAGTGATCCAACAGACTGGAGCAGAGCAGAGTGTGACAGAATGGGCTGCCATTCCTTATAAACATCGCGAATCCGGTCAACGGTGACTGTGACGGAGTTCTCGCAGTCTGATTGGAAGGGCTGTTCGGAGCATTGCCCGAATCCTTGCGCTCCATCGAGCAGATCAGTAACAATCGTTCGCTGGGTTTGCATTTCCTTGCTATAAGCAAGTTTTCCGAATTTTTCCAATGCCTCAACATCTGGTTGAAGCCTGGAGAGTTCATGCTCCTCGACCAGCTTCCGAATTTCATCTGCAAGATACAAACTGTCATTGTAGAGGTACATCGGTCCCGAACTTAGCTTCATCGAGTAGAATGTCGATGATGTAGCTTTGAACATGGCCAGGATGAGGGTCGGAAGAGCTAGGAGACCATTTCCAGAGGATGCAACACGGGATTTGGCGTGTCTGATATCTCGTTAGTCTGGATAAAGATGAAGGATTTGCAGGCATGACTTACGTAGGCTGCAAAATATCCTTTGAGTCAACTATTTGCTGCTGAATCAACCTGAGAACCGACTCTGGAATATCAGTAATGGTGAACACTTCCTTCAGGGTAACTTCCTTAGGCGACTGAGACCCAGCTGTGCTTTTGGCGCCTGCCTGTTCCCGTGCGGCAGTGGTATTTGATTTGGAAGACTCAGTGCCGGCTTTCTGGGCATCTTCATCTTCATCACCCCAGCCCCAGGCATCGTCGGCGTCATCATCTTCTGTTTGTGCAGCTGTATCTGGGTTGGGCTCATCTTGAGTTTCGTCATCATCAAGACCCCAGGCGCTAACGTCTTCTTCCTCTTCATCTTCATGGGGCTTTGATGTATTTCCTTTCACGGAAGTATCATCTTTATCATCATCCCAGTCCGCGTCCCAGTCATCATTGACAGCGTTTTCCAAGAGTGCTCCGTCGGTCTGAGAAACTTTTTCTTTTTCAACACGTTCGACCAGTTTTGTTGTGCCTTGACTGGCGGCGAGAACCTTCCGAACACTATCAAGTGAGTCCACCCGACGCCGAGTCAGCCATAAGCGTGGAGCCTGACTAACCCATGCGGACAGCTCTTCTTGGCCAGTCCAACCCCAAGACTCTATGGCCTGGGTGAATTGCAGGACATGATCCAACAGTTTCTCGAAATCGGCGAGACCAGCTAGATCAACGGGGATAGCAGAAGATAGCCACTCTGAAATCACTTTGGAAGCGATGCTTGGAATGAAAGACTCAGGGAGAGCCGCAGATACCACCGAAGGTAGATTGTGTCGCAAGTGACCCAATACGCTAGAGAGACAATCCAGGGTCTCTAATACGGTTGTCTTTGAGGCCTTTGACTCAACTTGAATGGTGGTATCCGTCACTATAACGCCATGACTAGTGCCATCAGGGCGAGGCAGCAAGATTGGATTGAGAATTGCGGAGACGAAGTCCTTCTGAAACTTTTCGTTGGCAGCTGTGAGGATGTCCATCCGGGCAAGTGACGCGATGGTGTCCTCAAGAGCAGCTGGATCAGTTTTGGACACTTGAAATTCGCGGTTCTTGCGATCGATCTTCAGTTGGTCTGCCCAGCGCATATGGAGCGCTTCTATGATTTCAGCTCGCAACTGTGCTACCTCTCCAGAGAGTATGGCCATCACGTTTGTATTGGTAAAGAAAGCATCCTGCCCAACAGCTGCGCCTGTAGCCTCCAGCTGCTCAATAGCGGTGGTGATCTGGCCATTTCGGAGGGCAACACGTCCATTTTCGAGCTGCTGACACAGTCGCTGCACCCCCTCCAGGGTGTCTGCAACGGCCTCGTTGAAGGCAATCTCCGTCTCAACCAATGCGACTTTCGCCTTTGCGTCTTCAACCTTGGCTTTGAGGGGATTGGTATGCTCATGCTGGGCGACAATCTCACGCGCAGTCAATCTAGACCGTTCAATATCTTCATGAAGTTGTTTCGCTTGGATGATCCAGTCGTCGGCGTCAAAGGTGTTCTCTCGACTCAGGGAACTGATCTCGTTCTAACCGGGTTCAAGAGCGCAAGTCAGTACATGTGATCTGAATTTGATTAATTAAATTTCCGTACCTCTACCTGCTCACGAGCCTTAGAAATAAGCTCCAACTCTCTGGCGAGGGCAGCTGCCGGGAACTTGCCAGCAACCACCTTCTCCTCAGGGTATGTGCCCTCCGCGACGAAGCCCAGTACCGCCTGGCACACCTCCTCGTCTCCAGTATTCCCGGTCATGGTGCCAATCGTTCGAATATGAAGAGCAAAGTATGGAGAAAAAGGTTCCGGTTGGAATGAAGTGTAGAAGCAAAGAGCTAAGCTGTCAACAACCCGTGACCTTGGGCGTCACCGCCCCCACGAGTGATTACATTCGACATTCGTAGATTCGCATTCAGAAAGAAGAATAAAAAGGAATCAAGATACTATTTGGATATGACATATAATTCTTAATTTTGATACTCCGAGTGACTGTTCTATAAATCTCCCCAACACCGAGCTCGCTTTGTAAGGAACGGGACCCAAACTCCGCCTGGGTCCAGCACACATTCTGAAAACACTTGCGTCGTGTCTCGATTTCTACGCCTGAGTCGGGCAAAATCTTCAAATCTGTGAGTCTTCATCTGTGCTATGTCTTTGTTGTTGGAGGGGCCATCTGATACCCCAATTTTCCCTTTCTTGCCCCTCCATTTATCTCACATCTCGGCGGGATGTGAATAGCAGAAACCCAGCCCAGGTGGGCATGTCCTTTCATGGTATATGATGTGCTTATGAAGAGCATGTACAATGTCCTTCTGACTCCCATCAACTTGATCTGGACGAATCATGTCTGGATTCTGGGTTTCGGGCTTCGTATCAGAATGTTCCCCGCTGTGGATGCGCTGGCGATGAGACTCAACCTCCTTGAGATGAAACATGCTGATGAAAAAACCCGTAGACTGTCAGGTTTTCGGCGCAATATCTTCACTGGGCTTGCTCCATTGACCAATATGTCGCCCTCGGTGCAAACCAGTCATTTCAAACTGCTTCAGCAGTTCAAGCCAGACTACTCGCCAAGCGAATTCACCCAGTATGAATCGCAGCGGACCGGAATGAGGGTGGTAGTCATTGACCAGCCCGGTCCCAAGGTGAATGGCTATTTTGTGCTTGCTACTGAAATCCACGATGACTCCGGTGCCCCTCATACTCTGGAGCATTTGTGCTTCATGGGATCCCGTAACTATCGCTACAAGGGATTTTTGGACAAACTAGCTACCCGCGTATACTCCAGTACCAACGCCTGGACAGCCACGGATCATACAGCCTACACCCTAGATACCGCAGGCTGGGAAGGCTTTGCGCGTATCCTACCAGTCTATCTGGAGCATGTTATTGCTCCCACATTGACTGACGAAGGCTGTTATACCGAGGTGTTCCATGTCGATGGTACTGGAAATGATGCCGGTGTCGTGTACTCTGAGATGCAGGGTGTGCAGAACAATTCCGCTGAACTAATTGACCTGCAAGCCCGCCGCTTGCTTTACCCGGAGGGTAATGGTTTCCGTTACGAGACCGGAGGCATGATGGAACAGCTACGTGTCTTGTCTGCGGAGCGTATTCGCGAGTTCCATCGTGAAATGTATCAGCCCAAGAACCTGTGCCTGATCATTACCGGAGAGGTTGATCAGAACAACATGCTTGATATCCTGGACAAATTCGAAGACACAATTTTGGATGTTATTCCTAGCCCGGATGCGCCTTTCAAGAGACCCTGGGTGGACTCTGTTAAGGCTCCTTATTTGCAGAAGTCAATTCTCAAGAAGGTTGAGTTCCCTGAGGAGGATGAAGACTTTGGTGAAATTGAGATTCGGTTCATGGGACCTGACTGCACGGATCCCATTCAATGTTCGTTTTTTATACTCCTTTATTTTGGGGTTGAACAATGCTAATAAGTTCACAGCTGGAGCTGTCAATGTGTCTCTTTTGTACCTCGCTGGCTCATCTGCTGCCCTTTTGGAGAACATCATTGTCGAGAAAGAACAACTTGCCAGTGCTGTGTACTATTCAACCGAGGATCACCCTAACATGGAAATTCGTTTCACTTTGACCAGTGTCGCGACGGAAAAGCTTGAGCAGGTTGAGAAGAGATTCTTCGAGATCCTCCAGGATGCTATGAGCAAAGACTTGGATATGAAGTATCTCAAAGAGTGCATCGACCGTCAACGTCGGACCTGGAAGTTCTCGACAGAGACCTCTGCCTCCTCGTTCGCCGAGTATGTTATCTCTGATTTCCTTTTCGGGAAGCGAGATGGTTCGACCATGATGGATGTCGCATCCCTCAAGGAGTATGATACCCTTAAGACTTGGTCCCAGGACCAATGGCGCGAGTTTATCAAGAAATGGATATCCGATGCTCCCCATGTTACCATTTTGGGTGTGCCGTCTCACAAGATGTCTGAGGCATTGAAGAAGGACGAGGAAGACCGAGTCGCTGCGCAGAAAGAGCGTCTTGGTGAGAAGGGTCTTAAGGAGCTTGCTGATAAGCTCGAAAATGCCAAGGCAGAGAACGACAAGGAGATTCCCCAGGAGATCTTGGAGAAGTTTGCTATTCCTGGAACCGAGTCTATTCATTTCATGGATACAACAACAGCCCGTTCCGGTGCTGCCTTGAAGGCTGGACGTCCCGACAACAAAATCCAACAGGTCATTGATGCCGACAAGTCTGACCAATCCCTGTTCATCCACTTCGAGCACATCCCCAGCAGCTTCGTTCAGTTGGCGGTTCTTATCTCTGCTGACTCTGTGCCTGTTCAGCTGCGTCCCTTGCTTTCCATCTACACTGAGGCCTTCTTTAACAGTCCGATCCAGCGTGATGGAAAGACAATCGACTTTGAGCAAGTTGTAGTTCAGCTGGAGAGAGACACTGTTGGATACTCTATGGACACTGCTCGTGGTCTTGGAAACTCCGAGATGCTCCGTGTCTCCTTCCAAGTCGAGCTAGAGAAGTATGAAAACGCCATCGCCTGGTTGCAGGAGCTGTCCTGGAAGTCTATCTTCGACGTGGAGAGACTCCGTGCCATCAACACCCGCCTTCTGGCCGACGTGCCCGACTCCAAGCGTAGCGGCGATGACATGCTCGCCGCAGCCCATGTGATGGTTCACTACGCCCAGGAATCGATAGTCCGCGCTCGTTCCACTCTCGTCAAGGCTCGCTATCTCAAGCGCATCAAACGTCTGCTCGCCGATACCCCCGAAGAGGTCGTATCCCGCATGGAGGAGATCCGCACTTCGCTATTCCAGCCTGACAACGTCCGCGTCATTGTCATTGCCGACCTTGAGAAACTCAAGAATCCCGTTACGGCCTGGAAGTCCTTTGCCGAAACTCTAGGCACAAGCACTGACCTACGGCCCATCACCGTCCGCCGCGAGCGGTTGAGTGATGCAGGTAAGAACATTGGTGGCAAGTCCTACATCGTCCCCATGCCGACGGTCGACTCCTCCTTTGCATACGCCACCGGCCGTGGACTGGACTCGTACGACCACCCAAAGCTGCCTGCCCTGTTGGTTGCGATCTCGTACATGAACGCCGTCGAGGGTCCCCTTTGGGTTGCAGTCCGCGGCACTGGTCTGGCATACGGCACCAACTTCAGTTACAACATCGATACTGGCTTTGTCAACTTTGATGTGTACCGGTCTCCCAACGCCCACAAAGCCTTCGAGTCCAGCAAGCAGATTGTTGAGGACCATTTGTCTGGTGCTTCACCTTTCGACCCGCTTATGCTTGAGGGTGCCATTAGCAGCATTGTGGTTAACTTTGCTAATGAACAAATGACTGCTGCTAGTGCTGCTCAAGGCAGTTTCATTCGCCAGGTCGTGCGTAACTTGCCTAGTGACTACAAGGAGAAGATGCTCAAGAATGTGCGCGGTATTACTCTTGATGAGATCAAGGGTGCTCTCCGTGAGATCATCCTGCCATTGTTTGCTCCTAAGACGGCCAACTTGGTGATCACCTGCGCGACTGTCTTGGAAGAGGTAAGTCATCTTTCTTGTCTGTATGCCTTCATCAACTAACATATTATCAGACTATCAAGCAGGGCTTCGAGGCCTCTGGCTTTACTCCCACTGTCCAGGCTCTGAAGGAGTTCGAGGACGACTATGGTCTGAAGGCTGGTGATGAGGAAGAAGAGGACGACGACGACGAAGAAGAAGATGAAAGCGAGGAAGAGAGTGGAGATGATGAGTGATATACCTCATGGACTTCCATACTTTATAGGTAAAGTAAGAGGGTAGATCCCAGCTACACCAGACTGTAGAGAGACTATACGCCAACCAGACATGATAAACCTACTCTCATACTCAAAAAAGACGACACAGTCGCACGTACAAGTAGCCCTCCTGGCAAGATAGAACAAAAAACAAAGCTGAAAATTCAAACTATATGAAAGTCTCACACCTCCTCTGGCAGAGGTAATATGGTACACGCCAGACAAGAGCCACATCATCCCGTCTGAACCCCCAACCCCCATCTCAAAAGGCCTCGATAAGAGGAATCACTCTGGAAAAAGCAGAAACAGGCAGTTAATCCCCAGTTTCCTCTCTCTATGATGGCCACAAGGCCAGTCCAATAAACACAATGATACAATGAATCCCAATCTCTCCGTCAAAACATCGGTATCAAGATGACCCAGTTACCAGCTCAACTCCTTCCGCCCCTTCATAAGCCTCCTCGTAAGAGTCTTCCGTCCATTGCGATCCTTCTTCCGCGCCAGATACCCATGGCGACGCTTCTGCACCCGCCGCGACGGCCGGAACGTGACACGGCGCACGCCCAGCGACGCACTAGCCGAGAAGGACCGGGATTGCTGGGGCAGTTGGCCAGCTCCAGAGCGGAGTGATGACAGTGGCGAGAAGGATGTTGTGAATGTCGAGGGCAGCCGGGAGCCGAGTGTTGATGGTTGGAAGCGGGTTGGGGCAGAGAGGAGGGAGAAGGGTCTGGAGGTGAGGGCGGCGGATGTGATTGATTGTTGGGGAATTTGGGAGACCCTGTATTTCCAGAAGAAGAGAGAGTTAGCTATTTGGCTGTGGTTCTTGGTCTGGGACAATTGCCGCTGTATATCGTTTGGGGTTTGCTGTTGCGTACCTGGTCATTGGGGCTCGCATGGTGGCCATGGAGGCTCGGATGGCCTGGAGCAAAGCCCCGGTGCGGAGACTGAACATTTTGAATGCCCGGTTGGAGAGGCGGGTGCTGGTTGGGAGGGCTG